GCATAAATTAAGACAGAAAATGGGTGTCGTTGGAGGCGGACAATTGGACAGAAGATATGCATCTCAAGAAATCTTCGAAGCAATCGAGGCTTGAGGTTCTGACATCCTCCGGCCTTTTATCAAGACCTAACTGAACTTGTGCTATGCTGACATTTCGATATTGCTCAGAAAAATTGAGTTTTCAACTGCACAAATTTCTTGAAACAGTTTGCAGAAATGTGCTTTTATTTTACCTCTGAGAATTCGTCTGAAAATTTTTTCCCGAAAAGATGTCGATGAAAAATGTAAGTTTCGAGAATGAGGATCATTTTCTTAAAAAACCAAAAAACGAAAGTGAGAGACTGCCGCAATCTGAAGAGAATTCAGAGAAGAAAAATCATCTTTTTCTCTAACGTCTCTCATGTCCTTTTGATCTCTCATTTTAACCAATTTTCGCCTCAATTCTTTTTCATTCTACTCTCTCACTTGCAACTCCACATTCTATATTTTCAAAAAAATCCCTTTTTTAAATGTTAAACTTGACTAAAACTCTTTTTCTGCTTATGTTTTCGGAAGGATCATCCACGAATAATCTCGAATCATAATTAATTACAAATTTGGACCAAAGTCCAAGTCCCCAGTGTCAAAAAGACAAGGACAAAAAGCCTTCCGGAAGCGTTTATAAATATTGGAATCCCCAGGAGACGTGCATCTTCACACTTCAAAAATCTTCCTTTTTGTTTTGCTCAGATCGATCCTAGTGTTTTGCTTGAAAATTTTTCAACTCTGTACTTTTTTCTGGATTTCGAAGCAATTTTTCTTGTTTTGAAGCATGCTTTTTGCATATGTACCAGTGTGAATGACTTTAGAAGATTATGAAAACGAAAAAAACCAAGTTATTTTTGCTCCAAATTGCTTCAAAAATGATCTTTTTTCAAAAGTTTTTTTCTAATCACGATTCAATTTTTCATTTTGATCCATCGAACATAAGAAAACTCAGTCTCGATTTAAAACGGAGTAACTTGCACTGGTCATCGGCTTCGCGACAAATCGCATTTGCAATCAGCGAGGGTCCGAAACCCGAAACCCGGGACCGATTCAACTCAAAATTGGCTCATTTCGCTTAAATTTGACCTTTCCTTGATTGAAGACTTGATTATGATAGTCTTTAGCTCACTTTTCATGTAGAATTTATGAAGTTTTCGCTTTTTTGTAGGGCTTTATTTTCTTGACTCAGATAAAAAGTTTGGAAGCTTTTCGGTTTTTTGGAAGGCATTTGGTAGCTTTCCAGCAAATGATCGAGTGCCCCAAACACCTTCAACTTAGAAAAAAGCCTGCCAGAAGCTTTCCAGCAGGCTTCTGGCAGGCATATTCCATTTTCAACATCCAAATACCATTCAAATAACTTCCGAGCACCTTCCAAAGGCTTTCTTAGGACTTTCTAGCTTCCGTACACCTTCCAATCTCCTTTCCTTCTCAATTACCAGGATTTTCCTGGTCTCCTTTTGATGTTTCGAAGTACCTTTTTGTATTTTGATTTTTCATCTTTTTTTTTATTAGAGCTTGTCTTTTTCTTGTAAAAAAATGGCTTGAAATTCGTTAACTAGTCCCATTCTTTGTAAATTTATTGATAATACTGTTCAAAACTTTCTAGCCTATCAAAACTCTAATAGACATCTCCATTAGGGAACGTCTGGCACAGAAAATATAAGAAGCTTCGAAAAACTACTGCTTATATCTTTTGGAATCGCAGCATCTGGCGACCCGTCGGCCGGCAACCAGTTATTTCTTTCCTAACCCCATAACATTCTTCGAGAGACGGGTACTTATCTCATCATTTTCAGTACATTTTTTTGTATTTATCTTATATTACTTTTGTATTAATTTTGTCATTATCGATAATTCAAGGCTCATTTTTGAAAATTTCGGATGATTTGAAAAAAATTTCAAAACCTATATCATTTTACAAAAAACTTGATTTCCTCTGATATTTTCGCTGTTTTTCTATTAAAAATTTTGAAGAAAAATACTTGATATGAGGTTTAAAAAAAGTTACCCTCTGCAAATGACGTCACCAGAGAGCACATCTGGCAGCGATCCAACAACTCCGCCCACTTTCTTTTGGCTCGTCTCCATCATCTCATCCATCATCCCCAATTTGTCGCAAAAACCTCCAGTTTCTTTGCATTGTCTAAAAATTTTTTCAATGATATTTTTCATAAATAACAGGATTCTCCCAATTTTTCATGCTTTTTCGCGTTCCAAGACCATTTTCTCGAAAATACCATGCTCCTTTAAATTTCAATAAAAGGCAACTATGGCACGAAATCGAAAGCTAGCTATGAATCGAATATATTCATTTTCCTCATTATCAGGCGGCCAAGTTTTGACCTTGGTTACGCCCATTTTTCGTGCGTCCTCTCTTTTTTCAGCCTTCGCAACATTTATTCCTGTTATTCTTTGTCTCATTTCAAATGACTTTTTGGAAAAATGCCAACTTTTTTTTTGAATCATGTTTTCCGATGCTCTAAGATTTTTATCTTCGGAGCGTATTTGAACATACTTTCCTTGAAAAAATTGAATTTCGGTTTGATAGTAGCTTGTTTGCTGTAAAAATATAGTCTGCTCCTTCAAAATATTGTCCCAAAATTCAACCATTTATTAATGCTTTAATTTTTTTTTTTTTTCAGCTTGGTTTTTTTGATTTTTTTGTATTTCATCTTGTTTTTTTTAATTTTTTTGACGTGGGGGGAGGGGTTCCAATTACCAAGCTTTCTGGAATTTTCCCTAAATTTGACCGTCAAAGAGCAATTCTACAGAAAACCACAAAAAGCTAGGTAAAAAGACTTTCCGTGTAAGATGAAAAAATTCCAATGTTCCGAGATTTCATTTCCCGCCTCGAAATCTCATCAAAACAGTCCTTCTCAATAGAGCGCAACTAAATGGCATAAAACAGCCGTCTAATCTTTTATCCATGATTCACTTTATCCGATCGGCTATTTCTTACTTCAAAAAACTTTGTTCTACAAAAGATTTTTAAAAAAATTTCCTCGTTTTATCAATAGAGCGCAATTTTATTGCCAAAAACAGCCGCCCAAGCTTCTATCCATGGTTCACTTGATCCGACGGCCTATTTCTTCCTTTAAAAATCTCCCTTCCACGGAAGACTTTGAAAATTTTCCCGTTTTATCAATAGAGCGCAATTAAAATGCGTAAAACAGCCGTTATCCACATTGAACCATGGTCCAATTAATCCGACCGCCATCCTCTCTCTTCGAAAAAAAAGGTCTTTGAATCAATCTTCTTCTTCGGAATGGGTTTTGATGATATCAAGCGTGTCACACACCCATCCTGCGCCCTCCATCACTTCGTTCTCCGTTCCTTCACGCTTGTTTGTCGCACCTATTTTTTTGTCTTCGTTTTCTCTCCATTTTTCGCCATTAATCAGTCGATCCACAGCTGGCCAAAAGCTTAGTTCGTTCTTTTTTCTTCGTACCGAGGAATATTGTAAAACGTTTCTCGTTACTTTTACAATCTCCTCTCTAGATCAAAATTCTTTTTGGTATTTTACTCAAGTACTGATCTACTGAAAATTCCTGGAAAAAGTTGAGTTTCAAATTTTTAAATCGCTTCTTGAAAACCAGCCTAAAAATTCTCTGCTGATTACCGTCTTCGAAATTTTCTTTTTGAAATTGCAACTGGATTTTATTGATTTGATGGTTTGTCATAATCTTCCCATTTTTCTCTATCAATTGATCTACTTTTTTTCTCAAGTCCATATTTTTTTCTTTTCATATTATTATGGTCAAGTTCAGAGCATTCAATTTTCTCAAGATTATATCATTTCCTGGACTTCGAATCAATGACAAAATTCAGCTTGATTTTGAAATTTTCACCTGAAGTCAAATTTTGATGAAGTTTTATCCTCATGTGAGTTTTTTTAAAATCTTATCGTCCAATTATTTATCCAAACTGCATAACTACCTTCCATACATGCTCATTCTGACCCAGAGTAACAATTTCTCGATCCAGAAACCTCTCGAATTCCAAAAACTCCTCCAAATCACTTCCAGGAACCTCCCCACCCATTTTACGGTTCTCACTCCGTCCCACTGTCCCTAAAGTGTATCACTTCACCACAATGGGGTTCAGGAAGAAGACAAAAAAAACGCAGCGGAAGATATATATTCTATGCAAACGGCGGCGGTTTTGTGGTGTGTAATACACAACACAACAACAGCAGCAACATGATTTCGCCAAGAATCGAAAAACCGATGTGTATGTGGAGGTTTATAGCCTTTCCCGGGGCCGACAGTTAATCCGACAGGTTCTCTCCTTGATTCACCGTTAACTTACCTACTTACCACCTTACTTTATGACTTTATAAAAAAAAAATGCTCAACAACGGATTGTAAGGTATTTACAAACAACGAAGCCAAGCCTGAGCTGATTTAAAAAAAAAAATTGAATGATGGTGTTTCGGTTTTTGTTTCTCCTTGAATCCGACAGGTTCTCTTCTTGATTCAACGTTAATTTATCTAATTGGTAGCTCACTTTTTCGACTGGGTCCAAAGAAAAATAGTATTCCGTACTTTTGTCCATTCACAATAGTTCCTTAGGTTTTTTTTGCAGTGTAAGCCATCCATCGTGAATTGAAAAAGCTCTCGAAAATATTTTAGTCTCGGTTCAATTCCAGTCGCTTATGGCAAACTTGATCTAACACTTTGTTCCAAAAAAAAATTTCTTGTTTTTCCTTCCTGCTGTTTTTTTTCCACCGTTATCTCATTCAGCTTTATTTGATTTCCCGTTACCTATTTCTGAATATTCTTTTCAATTGTGTCTTTTTTTTTCTTTAGATTTCATATTTTCACGGAGTTCCCAAAATTTTTCACGTCCAGTTTTACAAACCAGTTCCCCAGTCATATTTTTTTCGTGTCATCCAATTTTCGCGCAAATGTTCTTTCGCACTGCATTTTTCATTTCAATCCATTTATTTTTTTAATTAAAATTTTTCAGAACAAATGGCTACGTTAGAAGTTGTTTTTTTGAAAAACTCAAGGTCTTATTAATTCTTAATATTTATTAGGTATAGAAAATGATAAAAATTGTCGTATTAACTTAGAGAAAAAAATAGCAAATGACTCATTTTCATACCAATTACACTGAATGGGGAACCCATGATGATTCATAATTTTCTCTTCAAAAACAGGTTTATTTCGTTTTTTTTTTTTCGTTTTGTCGTTTTCCTGCAAAATTGAGAATCGTGATCAAAGTAAGCGGAAACGAGTGTTCAACGGCGATCTGAAGAAACGCTAGAGAAAGAGAGTGCTTTCATTTCTCTGGCTTCTCTTCAAGATGACCAATCTCTCGCTGATTCTAAGTTTGTGCAAAAAAAAAATGGGGGAACGAAGGATAAGGAGCGGTCTCAAGAGAAGCCAGACAGCTAAAGATGCTCTGACTTCTCTTCAGTCCCTTGATCTCTCGCTCACAGTTTTTAATTTTTTTTTCATCATTATCAATATCATCAATATTTATTGGTTGTTTTAGTCTGATGGAATCTTCCAAATCATATAGTTTAATTTTTTTTTTACATTTTATGCACAGTACCTTCAATTTTTCGTCTTTTTTTCGCAGCTTGTCATCTTCCACTTTTTGGTTCAAATTTTTGAAAATTTCCTTCCCACCATCTCCATCATTCTACCATCCGTTCCACGGTTAAGGAACCATTAATACCATTCGAAAACCAGGAAAAGTTCCCAGGATCAGCCAACAGCCCAGAAGAAAGGTCTTTATTTATTCATGGAAAAGGGCCGCCGCCATTTTCGCACACTTTCGGCCACTCGGCCGGCGCCAACCAATTTTTCAAACGCAAATACTTTTACCGTCTTGTGTTTGCATTGAAATGTTAGCCCAAATTGCCTCGTGTTCCTGACTTCTGCGCAACTTATTTCTCCAATTGGATATTCTTCGTTTTGTTGAAGTGCAACTGGTCATAATCTCTGCAAAAATCCTTGCTGGACTGTTTGAAGACGCAGCAGTTTCGCATGGCCTTCGGCTCAAAACGTTTGTAGTAATTGTCCATGTTCCTTTGAAAAATCAAATTCGCTCTATAAAGCTTGAATTTCAACTTTATGAAACTCTAATAAATGTCAAATGTATCGCTCCTATTATTTTCAACGGCCGTGAGCGTAAACCGTTTTGTGGTCTGCTGCAAGTTCACAGCAACTCCGCCGCTTTTGAGTCATTTTTGTGTGACCAACGTCTCTCAAATCTACAGCCCCATGACTTTCTAACTTCTTTCGCCATTGTAATGCTTCTAGTTTTCACAAAATCTCAATAAACCCTGTATAAACTTTTGGGACTATCTCTCAAGGCGACATTTTGAGACCTAAAAGTGAACCAGAATTAGTTCGAAATAACTCTGAGACTGATACGGACGTTTTCTGGGCATTTCAAGTGAGCAAATTAGAAGCGTCAGCATTCTAAAGGGATCCCTCGAATTGCCCAGACGTCCGTTTCACGTCACCAATGCGCGAGTCATAAAAAAGCTTCATTCTGTTTTGACCTCTGTCTCTATACAGAAACTACTCAGACCTCCGTGCTCAATAGAAGGTCATTCCTCCTTAACCAAACCATTTTGAAGGCGTTACCGGAGAGCAACAACAGCTAGCAAGCCTAGCAGGTCGAAGCTTTTTCCAGTACATCAATTCCCCAGACCCCTTAGATTCCCTCAGCCAAGTCAAAGTATTTTCTTCTGAACCCCAACCTTGTGAAGGCGTTACCTCGGGTCAGCTAAAAACCATTCCTACCTCAAGAACTTTATCCAGTACATCAAGTTCCCAGACCCCTTAGATTCCCTCAGCCAAGGCAATTTCTGGATCCGAACCGAGGTGGAGGCGTTTCCTGAGGTCATCGAGGGCAGTGTTGGTTTTATGCACAAAAAGATGGAGAGACAGAGCGCAAGAAGAGAGAGTCGAAGGGGGGCGTCGTCTGCCGTCGGAGCCGACGCCGTTGGATGTAAAGTTGGCAGGGCGAGAACAGCTGCCAGCTCTGAGCAGCAGCAAGATGCTCCTCGTCGCACACCTCTCAGGCACTATTACTTTTGGACGCTGCCGTTTGTTGCTCGAGGATCGACCAACGCCCACGCCCTTTTTTCCTTTGGGTATTGATTGATGGCAAAAATACTTTTGACTCTCGAATTTTCCATTTACTCATCTTCTTTTTCTTATTTGAAGCTTCATCACAAAGACTTCACAAGCCACTCCTCTTAGAGAACCTATAAAGTATATATTTCCACTCATTGGGTCTCCGGTACCTCAAAACTTGTCCAAAATTTGAAATAGAATCCTCTTGCCGATTTTGCTCAAACTGTAAAGTTCCTTGCGTCCTTTCTTATATTCCTAAGATCCACCAAATTTTTTAAACCTTCAAGCACCTGTCATATCTATTTTGCTTCAGCAATTAAACCTGAATTTTTTAATTCGTCTTTTTTTTCGCCTTAAAACTCTTCAGATGTCGTCAATCTTCAATATTACTTCTAACCACAACTCGAAGTTTGAAACATTGTGTTCTACTATCAGATCTTAAAAGCCATCAATTTTATTGAAGGAGTGATATCATTCCGACCCCTTTCTAAGTAAAACTTAACTTTCATTGTTCTTTTTTGCTAAAGTGCCACACCATACGTTTTCCAGCAAAGACATTCTTTTGAGAAACGCGATTTTTCACTGCTTTTTTTGTTCATCGGAGTGCTTGGCCCATGGAGAACGTCTGCAGGTGCTCGTCGTGGGCGTAGCCTTACTGCTTTCCATGCCTTACTACTTCGAAAATTCTCTTTTTTTGAAGTGAACGCCTTACCTACGTAACTCTCATATACTGATGGTTGAAACTATTGATTCTGAAAACTTCTTTTAATGATATTTTTTAACGAACGTATCAAGGATAATTCCGGACAAGGAAAAATATAGAGTTAGTCATAAACGTTTCTTTTTTGAAACAAGGTTCTTCTAGTCGTTCGCTTTTTTCTCAATAAAAAATCCCGGAAAACTTTTGATTTTTTTTAAACAAGGTTCCAGTTAACGAAGGCGTCCATTTAGGCTCTTTCCTTTCAGAAACGATACTAACTATTTTTTAAAAATTGATTTTTTAACGAGGCTTTAATTGACGATCAAGTTTTCATCCTCAATAAGGCGCTATTGAAGTTTTTTTGAACATGATTTCATATAACGCTTGATTTTTTTTTTCTAAAATTTTTGGAAATCAATATTTTTAATGAGCCAAGGTAATGAAAAATATTTTATTTAGACGCTTACTCAGTAAATTTTCCTGAAATGAACTTCCAAACTCCCGTTATTATTCACCTTTTTTCTCTCTCAACCCCATACAAATCGGGAATGGAACAGCCACCAGTTGGCTGGTCAGCGGCGGCGGCCAATTTGTGAGTCAGCCACCCAAAACTACCAATTACCCATTGACACGAGCTCCGGGATTGCGTGACGACGGTTTCACACCAGAATACTCGGGATACGCTCAGCTATTTGCGGTTTTTCAGAAAAATAGTACTTCTTTAAACCAAAAAATGATGTTCCTGTGTTCAAAACTGTGTTTGAAGACAAAGAAAAAGTTTTAATCAAATATATGCTGACGATGGGTCACCCTCTAAGCCGTCCATTTTTGGGACCCGAAACGGCTGCGCAATATAAAATATTCTCATCTTTAAACCCTTTCTCCTCTAAGAAATTTCAGAAATCCTAAAACCTTGTCATAGTAATGTCCTCTTCATATGTATTTTCTCACCCTTCATATTGATTAAACACACTGAATATCGTGGAAAAAAATGTTGACTTTCCTTTTTTATTATTTTTTTTTAACTTATTTCTTTTTTAATATGAATTTTTATTTCGCTCACAGACAGATCTGTGGCGTGGAGGAAGAGAATGTCATTTTGATGTTCTTTCTTTTTACTACCGCAAAGTTCATTCGACACCAGCTTGTCAAAAAAAAAAGATCTTCCAAAACCTTTTCTTTTAACACATAACTCGACATTCCTTATAAAAAAAAACTGTTCTCAAGCCACTGATTTTTAAAATAACGTTATGAGCTAGTGGTCATGGAATTATAATCTTTTTGAAATCAACCTACTGAAATCAGTTTATTTTTCTTAACTTATCAACTATTTTAAAGCTTGTATTTTTTTCGAAGTAAATTTCAGGTTTTCTGCGCTTTCAAAAGTACTCTGAACTAAAATAAAGACTTACCTTTACAACATCGAAAAAAGTCAAAGAATTTGGAACTCACATTTTCTTCAAAACAAAAAAAAAAATTCCACACACCAAAGCAAGCCAGTTTAGTCGTTTATTTTGACATTTTTTTACCCATAAGAGTTTTCAAACTCTCTCAAAACTCCAAAAAATTCCAAAACCAGGCTTCCAATAGTGTGAAGAAATAGTTTCGATCAAATTTGAACCGAAAAAAGAGATATTATAGCCAAAAAAGTGTCCGGAAGCGATTTGAAAAGGCGGTTGTTGACGTTCACATGGTTGCCCCATTGGTTCCAGGCCCATGAGCACACGGACACATGGCTGGCACCTAGGCTCAGGAGACGCGGCCGCAGAGATTCGTCCGCACTTTCTCCTTCTCGATTCGCGCGCGCTGATTCGATTGCTTTTTTAACCTTTTTTTTTTGGAGAACACCTTCTTTGGAGTTCACGAGGAGCTACAGAGGATGAACATGTGAAGATTTTTCGAAATAGTTCACTACTCTTTCAAAAGTGTTTATTTTGAGGTGACCGACTCTAAATGCCATGCTCTTTTTTTCCTTCTTTCATCTTAGTCTCCTTCTTTTTTTTTTGCCCTTCTGGTACCCGAGAAACGTTTACGAAATGTATTTCTTTTCCAGGACCCAATGTCGGAATATTTTCGTCAGCTCATCATTAAAATTATTCTACCAAATTTACATGAGAAACCCTAAAAATTTCTTTTCAGAGAAGATCTATGGAAATCGATACTTTTTCAAATATCACATTCATTACTAGAAGTGAGTTCCATAAAAACTGGAACATAAAACGATGCAACTGCTGTTCTGTCAATTACTCTACAATTCCCATTTCACTGCCATTTAAATTTTTTATTTTATTTCTATCCAAGTCATCTAATCACTTTATCGCTACCAAAGCTTTCTATTACCATATTCCTCATTATTCTCAAAGTAGTAAAACTTCTTCGATACGCTCTACCAGCTAAAAAAAAATGCTCGTTCCAATAGCTACCCCTGTTTTAAACTTCCTGACGGAATTTTGAATTACCTGTTTTTCTTCACTAAAAAAAAACTCGAGAAGCTCAGAAAAACCGTTTTTTTTTAACCTTTGAGAGGTTTTGTCCATTAAAGGTTTTCATTCCAGGTCATCAACTTGTATCAAACTTCGCAATTTTTTGACTTTTCCTTTCCTTTCTCTATCACACGTTCCTACACTCATTTTTCCCCTTTATACTTCTTCCTTCGTATTTTTAAAAAGTATTCTTTTGAAAAAAAAAGCAAATTACCTAAATTGAAGATGAGCTGGGTGATGGACGGGCCGCCGGTCGGCCGTCGGCGGAAGACCAACCTCGCCGCCGTCGTCGCCATGCTGTCGTTGCTGATCAGCGACGTCGCGGCGTTCAACGTCGACACGAAAAACGCCGTCGTCCACCATGTCGCCAACGGCTATTTCGGCTATTCCATCGATTTCTACAACGAAAAGAAAGGAATGCCAGTGTGAGTCGCTTTGATATTTGATGAGTTCAAAATGAACCTGGTCAAAACCTCCTTGAAGTTTGAATTACTTTCAGCTTCTCCTACGTAGAAAATGCCAAGAAATAATTTGAAAAGATATATTTCGGCGTTAAGATTGCTTTTTTCTAATATTTTCCCATTTTTCTCGTTTCATTCAATCCTTTTCCTTGTACAAATTCATTCAAGGAAGATTTATACCTCATTTTCAAATTTTTCCGCACCTTAAACATTAAAAATCAATCCCCTTCTCGACTTTATCGACTCAAGAAAATGTAGTTCCTATGGATCAAAGCGCATGGAAAGACAATTGTCCGGGCGGAGAGGGCGCCCGGCAAAAAGGTTCCGAATGTCGGCTTTACACACGCATAAAAGCTGGAGGAAGCTATTTTGAAATCCACGCGGAGGTTTCGTAACCGTTGCGAAACTATAGGAATGATAAGAGGGTTTTAAAAATTAAAATTATTCCAAATATATAACTGATTAGTACAAAAAATGATAGAAAAAAAGTCAAACGAGTTCAAAAAGAGATTTTGAATGAAGAAATTAGAAAAATTAGGCTAAAATGCTTTTGTCGAAAAATTCGATGACAAGTGCACGCTACTGATAATTTACAGCGGAGCGTCGTACCAAGAATTAATATTTATCTCAAATATTCAACTGTTTTCAAGTGGAATTTGCATCTTTTCTGTTACCAATACAAAAAAACTCGAAAGAGGCTCAAACACAAAAATTTTTTTTTACTTTTTCACATTTTTTTCGATCGTTTTTCATTTCATTTTTATTGTAAAGCCAAATTTTCTCTTCCTTTTTTTCATCAAAAATATCTTCAGATTGGTCGTTGGAGCGCCGGAAAGTGCATCGGCCAACCCGAATCTTCAAGGAATCCGCACTCCGGGAGCCGTTTTCTCATGCTCCGTCAACAGGGCGACTTGCCGTGAAGTCCATGTCGACACTAATAGTTGGTTCCTTTTCTATTTAAAAAAAATCCCTTTGACGTCAGAAAAATTTCTAATTTTGGAAACTACATAGAAGTTGTCTTTTATCAACCTAGCATTTTCTTCTTTTCTTCTTTTTAGATCTAAATAAAGATATATCAACTTTAAGGCCCTATTTTCTAGGTCTTCGTTATCAAATTTCAACTCAAAGTGACTAGCATTAAAAAATGATAATTCAAATCTAGCCTCATTTTTTCATATTCCATTCTCAAAATAATCGTACAACAACATATTCTCCTTCTAGCTTTCCTTTTCACTCGCATAATTACCAGCCGTATTAATGACCGCCCATAACCATACAAGAAGCGATTAATCAAGTGGAATGACTGCTCGAGGGATAATTAGGCTTGGGGGGAATAAAAAGGGAAGCCTTGGCAACAGTCCTAGAAATGTTGGAAGGTGATTAGAAAAAGGTTAAGGTGTGTCAATGCAATGAAAATGAAAATAAATGATAAATCGGGCGCGAGACGTAAGTTTGAAAAGTTGGGCAGGGATCGAAAAACGTATATGAGTCATTCAATTTTCCGAAAAAAAAAAAGTCAAAATGAAAGTTGTTTACTTTTTTTTTGTTCAAAAAAATTTTTTTCTTGATGATTTTTGAACGTAAAAATTTCACAGTTTATATTCGGAAAAATCCAGAATTTAAAAAAATAGATTTTTTTCTCCATTCCTTTAGATGATAATCCAACGAAAAAAATCCTTATAAATGAAATACCAAATTCACACATTCATCATTATTCAATTAACTCAGTGAATCAATATTTTTTTTAAGTTTTCAAGTTACTTTTTCAAAGATTACAAGCCCCTTTTCTCAACAAAAATCCAATTTTCTCCCCCTAACGAGCCAGGCAACATTAATGGTCATCATGAATTTCGCGCAACATTTTTGCGACACAGTCTCTCTTTCCGCCGTCGTCGTTAAATGTTTCGGAAATGTCGGAAGCACGCGACGACGACGACGAGGAGGAGGACGAAGACCGAGCAGCTCATTTGTTATGGATCTGAGCAGATGGCCATGCGCGGATCCCACTCCCTGTCGAATGGCTGAATTTCGGCCGGGGGGTTTTTTTTTCTTCGAATGACTCAGAAAAAAAGGAACAAAAGTGCGAGGAGGTCACTCCGAATAATGGGCCGTTAATCAAATGCTTTGGAGTTCTGAAAGTGAACTTGACTCGTTTTTTTTGCGGAGGAAAGATTCGTTGTAGGGGAATTGATTTTAGCCATGTTTTAAAGACGCAAGAGTCTTTTATGACTTAAAAAAACGCAAAAAACTGCACTTTTAACCCTAGTAAAATTTAACTTCTCAAACAAATCTACCGTCATCTAAAATAATTCTCCCATTCCAGAAGGAAACCTCCACAAGCTGAATGGCTCGGTTTTGCTTCCAATCGAGGACAAGGCACACCAATTCTTCGGCGCCACCGTCAAATCCAACAACAAGCACGACAAACTTCTGGTATCTCTCCAAAAAATATCTCAATAAGCTTCAAATTCTTTCAAGATGTGCGCTCCAAAGTACAAGTACTTCTACTCAAAGTTTGAAGTCATTGAGCCAGTTGGAACGTGTTTCTACGCCGAGAACGGCTTCGAAAAGACGCAGGAATTCTCATCTTGCAAACAAGAACGTGGGTTCCAACTTTGAAAACTCAAAAATGAGCAAGAATTTTCAGCTGCTCGACATGGACGACATCGGCTGGGTTATGGTCAATGCGGCTTCTCTGCAGCTGTACCAGATCGTACCAAGAAGGACGAAGAGAGGGTATACTGTAGAAACATATGGGTTACTGTAATATGAATCTAGGTTTTCATCGGAGCGCCTGGAGTATGGTATTGGCAGGGAGCGATCTTCAGTCAGAACGTCCGGAATGCGACAGAAAGACCGAATACGGAGTATGGCCCGAAGGAGTACGATAACGACATGATGGGTGCGTTTTCTCAAGAATCCCCAGAGAAAAAAAAGAACTTCTACTTTTCGGGCTTCTCTTCAGAAAGCTTTTACTATCTCCTTTCCATTTAAAGACCTCAAAGCTCAAGTTCAACGTTTTTCTAGGCTATGCCACGGCTTCTGGAGACCTTGACGGCGACGGTATCGACGACATCGTCACTGGCGTGCCTCGTGGAAACTTCCTGATGGGAAAGGTATCAAGAAGATCCTCGATTTGAAACTCAGTCACTTTTCCAGTTGGTCCTGTACACGTCGAGGCTGAAGATGCTGGTTAACCTGACCGACACAGTATCCCCTCAGCATGGCGAGTACTGTGGCGCTGCCGTTGCTGTGGCTGATTTGAATAAGGATGGGTACGTTGGAAGAAAAAATATTCACAACATAATGAGTTCAGACGGGATGACATTATCATGGGCTGTCCATTTTTCACCGACTACGTCACGAAGAAAGACGTCAAGACGCAGGAGCGCAAGCCGCAGTACGACGTCGGCAAGATCGTCGTCTTCTTTCAGACTGCACCGGTTAGTTTTTGGTTGAAGGAGAGGGTTTGTTAGAAGTCAGAGTTTTACATGCGTGAAAAAAAGCTTCAGAAGCGAGAGCTGTTTTTGCTTTCTGAAGTTCAAAATCAAAAGTGGCACCTGATTTTGTTTGCTTGAGTAACAAATTTGCCTTTTTTTCTGATCTTCAAAAAAGAAAACAGTCAAATTTCAAGCATGTACAATCTTCAGAAGTCTTAAACCAGCAACCATCTTATTTAAATAGACAGGCGTCAAACCAGCTGAGCCAGATTTAAACTTTGACAAGTTTTGTGAATCTAGGGTGTCTTCGATCGGGCTGTGGCAATCGTCGGTGAAGATCAGTGGGGTCGTTTTGGATTCTCGATCGCTTCTGCTGGCGATCTCAACTTGGATGGATATAATGGTAGGTCGAACTCGGCTTAAGCAAGTTTTAACAGCTCTCATCAATAGTTCCAGCCTAACTGGAGCAAGAAAACTGCTTCCCAGTAGTGACTTTTTTCAACTTTTATGTCCCAGAGTAGCATCTCTTGAGGCCACTAGAAAGCAGGAGGTGTTAGGTTCTCTTGGATCTTTCAAGGAAGTTGTCTCGACTCCATCTGAGATAGATTAGGATCATCAGAAGCAGATTTTCATGCGAATCTGTGACTGTATTTTCTCTTTCAGACGTCATTGTTGGTGCTCCCTACGCTGGTAAGAATCGTCACGGAGCCGTCTATGTCGTGCATGGAAGCAAGGACGGTGTCCGCGAGAAAGTCACCCAGAAGATCGAAGCCGACGCCCTGGGCCACGGTCAGATCAAATCTTTCGGATTTTCTCTGGCTGGCGGCGTTGATGTTGACGGAAATGGAATGCCTGGTGAGATTGCGGATCAAATGAAGAATTATCAAGCCAACTTTACTCCAGACATCGCCGTCGGAGCTTGGAAGACTGGAAACGCTGTAGTCATGCTCACAAAGCCTGTAGTCACCGTGACAGGTCAGACCGACGCCGAGAGTGTCACGATCAACGTCGAGGACAAGAACTGCGACGTGGATGCTAAGCTCGGAAAACAGGCTTGGTAAGTGAGACATTATCAAGACCTTGTAGAGAACTTTTCAAAATTTGATCACTCATTCTTTTACACTTTCTGAGCTCAAATTTCAAGTTCCAACTTCTTTTTAGGCATTAAGGTAGCCCTTTCTCAAAATAAACAGCCACTCTTCTATCCTCATGCTTCCAGCCGCACCATCAACACCTGTCTGAAGTACGAAGGCCGTGGTGAGACTCCCAACGACTTGGAGTTCATCCTCCAGTTCAACCTCGACGATCACTCTCCAGAACCGAGAGCCTACTTCCTACAGAGGGAGATCGTGAGAGAACCCAGGAAGAAACTTGAAGAACTATTCATTTCCAGAAGTCTGACCGAAGCGTGAACATCGCCAAGACCTCGAAAACAATGGATCATCCGTCTAGCATCGAACAAAGAGTCCGACTCGAGAAAGGCCGTCAAAAGTGCTTCCGACACAAGTTCTTCGCCTCTTCTACCATGAGGTGAGAGATAATATCAAGAAGAAAAATTCATAACTATTTTAAAGAGACAAGCTGTCACCGATTCATTGGTCAGTCAATTACACCTACGTTGAGAGCAAAACTGGAAAAGTTCGCGGCGACAAACTGGAGCCGGCTATTGATACAACTGTGCCGTTGGCTTTCCAGAACAAGGTTAGTTACTTCTGGATTTGAAACTTGAGGTAAAAAAAAACAGAGAAAGATGTCTTCTTTCCGTTTCAATTATTAATCTTTAAAAAAACCTTGGTAAATTTACAGATCAATATCGCTAATAACTGCGGAAATGACGATTTGTGTGTGCCCGACTTGAAGGTTACTGCTGTTGCGTGAGTTTCTTTTGTTTTATGTAATTTTTTTCCGATTATATGGCGCTCTAATGTATGAAAATGTCTTGATCTTTCTGAATTGTCGAGCAACCAAATTTGAATAATACACGTTAATTTTTCATGAAGCTTTTCTGCCAGTTCATGCTCAACAGAAGCGTTCTTGACCGCTTTTGACCCTTTTTCTAGATTCTAAACCTTGATTTTTACAAATCCAGCTGAACTTCTTCAAAAATTGCCTCATTCAAGTTTGAAAAACCCTATGGTCTATTTCAATCTTCAGATCTGATTGCCACAAAAAATAAAAATATTTTTAGCGATCGCGAGAAATTCCTTCTCGGCACCACCGACAACACGATGCTGATCAATGTGACCGTACAAAATGGCGGTGAAGATTCCTACGAGACAAAACTGTACTTTGATGTGCCGCAAGGCTTCGAGTACGGCGGAATCGAGTCCAGTGACGAGAAAGTGAGTCTAGAAGCCTATGGTCGCACGTGGAATAGCTGGCGTCCGACCAGAAACGACTTTCGCGCAGAGGCATCAAAAAGAATCGAAGAAACTCTTTGAGCCATTCTACTTGCAACCACAGTTCTATAACTATTTTTGCGAAAATTCCACTTCAGACCGCTCCAACTTGTTCACCTACTTCTGATGAGCCTGATGAGGACGGAAAATGGACTTTTGGCTGTGATTTGGGCAATCCTTTGCCTGCTAATAAGGTAAATTTAAAAAAAAGTAACACTTCGTGAGAATATTAAGCATGATCCAAAAATATACTTTATTTGACCTTCAGAAAAAATCCAAGATACCTTATAAATTCATTTTCTCGGAATTAATCCAATTCTTTTCATCCTTTTGAAGAGCTACTATTAGTTTGGGTTCAAGAATAAAAAAACTCGAAATTTTTAAACTAAATTTCTAAATTTCAGGTCGTTTCGAGTGTGGTTCGAGTGACGGCTTCTGCTGAAAAACCACCGTTGGCACCGATTCAAATCAAGGCTCGTGTTAACAGGCAAGAGACTCCGCACCATAAATGATCAAACAAAACTTTTCAAAATGATCTGATTATTAAAAACGTGAAAAAGCAGCGTGAAAATTTCGAAATCTTTTCATTTCTGAAAGATTTTGGTCACCCAAAAAAAGTGAGAATTAAAAGTTTTAAGATTTCTTTTAATTTTTATCAGCTTCTCCATTTTTTCTAGAGACCTTTTTTGTACTGGTTTTAAAAATAAATTCACTTTATAAAAAAAGTTCACGGATTTTTTTCAAGTTCAAATTACGGTATAGACATTTTCTACTAGCCAAAAAATGTAGTTTCAAAATCCAAACTAACTGAAGAAAAGAGCTGGCTCAATCTTTATATTTCCCTGTATTATTGTAGCCTTACAACAAGAATATTATTTTCAGTAGCAACGAAGAAGAAGACCACACAGTCAATGACAACTCGGTGACTTTCACCGTTCCAGTCGATTTCAAAAACCAACTGAGCTTGAACGGAAAATCCATGCCGGAACAGGTACACGATTACTTTTTTACTCATCTCAATGCTAATTTCTAGGCCGATTTCATCAGAGGCAACAAGTCCAAGGAGGAAATCTTCGATGATAACGAGATTGGTCCGGTTGTCAGTCACTTGTTCCAGGTATTTATTTTAATATAAACTTTTGAAAGACAACTTTCACCATTAACTCTATAATGCTATGCTAAATTCCCAGACTAGGCAAGATTTTTCTTTAGGTTGGAAACCGTGGACCGTCCGAAATCGATGCTGCCACTCTGGACATCTTCTGGCCATCTTTCTCTGTTGACGGTGAGTGTATTAAGATTAAATGAAATTTTTTTATGAGAAGGTTTTATGAAGCTTATAATTTTTTAAAAAAAAGTCCAAAAAGGCTCCAATTTCTAGCTTGAAGTTACTAATTAATCAAAATGAAAAATCGTTTCTCAATTAAAAAAAAAATGAAATAAAATTCTTCAGGTGAACATCTTCTCTACATCATTACGGATCCAGTTGTGAGCCCACCAAATAAGGGGAGATGCCGTGTGAAACAGACCCAAAACGTCAACCCCTTCAATTTGAGGGTAAGTTATTGGAATTAGAGAGTTGAAAAAAAAATTTAAAACTTTTTTTTTTTTACAAGTGTACGGTTTCCCTTTTGAGCGTTTTATTCAACTTTCCCTAGTCATACTTTTTTCATCATATATTTCCAGCTGACCAACGAACACGTTCCAACGGAGCCACCAGAGCCGACGCCTGGCGCCGACTACTCCAAGGAGGAAGGCGACGAGTCCTACGAGGAAGAAACCACGACGACCCATCACCGCCAGCCAGCTCACACTCAGACGCACACTAGGACTCAGACTCAAACTCACACCGTCCACAAGACTCAGCAAGGAGGACAGGGGCAGCCGCAGCAGCCTCACACCGGCCCAGTTCACGTAAGTCTCAGAAAGTTCAAGCCTTCACCAAATTAAAAACCGGCTGAAAAAAAATCTCAACGTCTTTTCAGGTCTACGAAGCTCATCCGAACCCACTAGGGGGTGCCGGTGGCCACTTCGAGTACCAGGAGAACGAGCGGAAAAAGGTCGACTACGAGTACATTCCCGACGAAGATGCTGAAGACTACGAGGACGAGGATTATGAACGAGGAGGCTCTAAGAGAATCCGACGAGAAGCCAAGCGCAGGAAGAACGACCGGCAGCAGGTCACCAATCGAGCTCACGACACCAAGTCTGGTAAGATTTCTTAAATTCATAGTTCAAAACGAAACTTTATGCGACGTATTCCAGACCGCGCACGCCAGGCTGATCTCTACGAAGCTGTGAAGCTGTCGAAGGAAGCTGGTGGCGTTGCTGACTACAAGGGTTCCGTCTCCAGAGCCACTGTCGACTGCAACGCTCTCCGCTGTACTCACATCGAATGCGATATCTTCGATTTGAGAGAGGAGGAGTACGTCTTGGTGCAGGTATACAATGAAGTTGTACACTAAAATGAAGAATTTATGCTTCAGGTCTTCGCCAGAATGTACACTGGAACGACAGTTTTCAAAGAGGGACACGAGAACGAGGTTTCCTCACTGGCATTGGCTCGAGTCACGTCGTCCAAGTACAACTTGCCACACAAACCGACGCTTGTCACAGCTGTAAGTTTCTTTTTGCAACTTCAGAATACCAAATAGGCCAGGAAATTTGGAAGATTCGTTCGAATAGATTCTACCGAAATCTCAAACGAAATTTTAGGTAACAACTGAGCTGAACCAGCTGCAAGACTCTAGCAGAGGTCGTGAACCGGCCTGGTGGGTCTACCTTCTTGCCATTCTCATGGGTCTGGCTATGGTCGCCTTCATTGCGCTACTTCTCTGGAGGGTGAGTTCTGAGATTTAAAAAAAGAAGTTATTAGTAGAAAACTAGTGCATAACCTAATTTTTGAGGGGAATAACTTGACAGAAAGAGTCGGGCCTCGAGCTGAATTTCCTTCTGAAAAAATAGGAAGATAGCTAGGAGCAGCTGAAGCGGAACTGAGAGTCCCTAAGACGGATTCTGGACCGGATATTTAGCTTTATCAAACATCCGATCCAGAAACCAGAACCCGCAAAATCCATACTGAAAATGATATTTCAGTGCGGCTTCTTCAAACGGAAGCGACCGCCAACGGCCCACGCCGAGCTCCGAGAAAATCGCGAGCCCGACGCTCACTACGCCGACACGAAGACCCGTTACGCTGGCCAGGACAGTTACAATCCGCAGAGTCACGGTCAAATGTTGTAATCCCCCCAAACAAATTGTCTCTTCTAGTAACCGAGTTCTTTCTTCTATTGTTTATTTGTTGTTCTTCATTAATTACTGTGGTCAGTTCTCCTTTTTATTTGTTATTAGTCCAGATCTTCTTGTCGAGTGTATCTTGAATTGCTCAACTGTGCTGCCACAAACTGCCAAACTAATTAATTTTTCTTTCATTTTTAACCCCACCAAACGAAAAAGTGCTATTTTCCACTTGCGGGTTTTTTCTTTGCGTTTGTCAATTTGCTTTTATTATGTGCCTTTACCTTTTTCTTCATCATTGTCCAATCAAAAATCTTCGTTTTATGTAACGATTGAAGAGGTGCTTTAATAATTTTTGTGCATTCATTTTTTCTTGTAGCTTTGTCTAGTCAAACGGATTTTGTTTATGAATAAAGTTTTAAATATATTTCATCAAATTTACACCCGGAAGTCCAAGGAAAGGCAATCATTGGCAATCACCACAAGTACCAGAGAAAACAAGATATTTGGCCAAGAATCTAAGCACCAAATATTTAAATAAGTTACTACAAAGAAAAACGAAATAATTTCGCGCTATTGCGCTTCCAGCTTCTTCTTTTTGATCATCTCCATGAGGTCTTTAAACCTCTGCATACATTGCTTTTTGGTTTTGGTCCCCACGGCTTCGGAAATCCGTTCCCATCTGGAATTCTCATCAGAAAAGTCCTGGCAAGTCACAAACGGCTCAGCAAATTTTGAAGCTTTCAGATTTTTTCTTCTACAAAACTAATTGAATTCCTTTCCTTTCTTTCCTAGAGCTTTGAAACTTATACTGAACAAAAGTTTTCAAAAAACCTTTGAACATGAGTTTTTTTGTGGCTCAAACGCTCTATCAGCAAGATTCTGAAAAATTTTCTGGATTTTTTTTTCTGAAATAACCTCTCATCGACGCCTTTCGGTATCCTCTGCAAGGCCTGTTCGAACGCCTTCTGCTCGGCCTGGCTCCACTCTTCGATCCTAACGATGCCGGCAGAATCGGCGACGGCCGACGTCGCTGGGGCCTTCGCCGCTCCAGATGACGTGGAACTTTCATTGACCGCCGTACACTGCTGTCTTTGCAGCAATTTCGTGTACTCTTCCTGAAAGTTTTGATTTTTTGACCTTCTTAATTTTATCAATGGAGAATTCCTTAGAAGGTTAGAAAATCTTATAGCTAACCTGTTTCATCTGCTTCAACTTGCCAGCCATGGAGATGACGTCATCTGGACTCCGATTCAGAACTCGGCCCATTTGCTCCCACCGATTGGGCGTTCCTTGAACATTCAAGATTCTTAGCTTTTCTATTTTCTTTCAAAACCTGCGGGATACTTTTTCCGTGCTCAAACGGACCAAATTGGCTAGCTCATCTGGTGTCCAGGCGCCGCCGGCTTTGTTCTGAAAAAAAGATATTTTCTTTTCAATGAAGTTTTAGAAAATAAAAAAGGATAAAGAATATCTTTAAAAACCTGTAAATGAAAGCTTGAATCAGAGCACCAAAAAATTCACTTAAGAATGAAAAAGTGCGCTTTTCAAATGATAATTGAAAAATTAATGAATCACTTTTGGAAACCATCTCGTTTTCGGCCGCATATTTCCTCTCAGCTTCGGGATCATTTGTTGAAACTGGCTTATTGTCCCTAGCAACTTCAAACTCGTAGACAGGCTGAGGAACTGATGGATTGATTCTTTTGGGTCTCGGTTGTTCTTCGAGGAGCTCCTGAAAGGGACAAGTTAAAGTTAAATGACTGAACAAGCAAACAAAAAACGTTTTCTTTCAATTATGGGCAAAAAATTGATTTTTGAAAACTTACACCGTTTCAACTTTTAAAAATTGAAACTAAGACATTTCTTATCAGAAAAACATCCTTTTAAAAATTTGAACAGTTCTTATCGAAAAAAATTCCAGGTAATTCGCCATTATTTTTCAGATCTCAGAACGTTGTGAGAATGATTTCGGTAAATTTTTTTCCAATTCGGTTATACCAAAAGAGTATAAAATAATTCTGGCCAGAAACTGAAAAAACTACGAAAATTCTTTCAAAACCTCGAAAATCCAATTTCATCAATATTTCAAAGTTTCTCTGACGTAAAGTTTTTCGAAAAATATTTTACCTTCTCCTCATCATTTTCCTTCCGGCTCATCGATTTGGCAACAATCACAAGATCCTGAAAACAAAAAGGAACTTGAAAAACTCTTTAAAAAATCCGATCACCTTGAAAAGGTTACAACAGCCGAAAAACAATAAAACCGGCAAGAGCTCAAATATTTTTGGCTTATAGATATCGAGAGCTTCTTTCCGAGCCGCATCTTCATCGGTTTCTTTCTTCTGCTCCTTTTTCTTCGATCTTTTCTGGGCCTAAATTATTTCAATTAGTTTTTATGATGAAGTGTGAAAAATCACATCTTTATAGACAAGAGACTTCTCGAAATAATTGGCCCACATCATGAAATAATGAGCAATTGTTCCTATGAACAGCAGAACGAAGATTCCTTCGTACCACGCCAACTTTCGCATTCGACTGAATTTTGTTCCATTGTTCCAAATTTTAAATAAATTCCTTCTACCGGAAATAGAAAACGGGTTGTCGCCAATTCGGCATTCCAAATTCGAGCACATTATCATACTTCTCGCGTAGGTCTTTTGATTTGAGAACATCGTAGATTCCAGTCACCTGCTCGTCTTTAATAGAATGATACAAAAACTTATTGGATATTTAAAAAAAAACCAAAAACATGTTCTAAATAGTCGAAACTGGTTTAAAACTTAATTTTTTTCAATATTAAACTTATTTTTTAGTTTGCAAGTTACTGCCGCTCACTATATGGCTTTGTAAAATATTGAAAAAATGTTAATTTCATTAGAACGTCCATAAAAGAAGAAAATTTTCCAAACTTTCCCTACATTTACTTCGTAAATAATAATACTTGTGTGTGAGAAAAAATTTGAAAAAAATTTAAAAAGTGAAAAACTTCTAAATTTAGATTTTGAGCGTTTCAAGGCTTTCTTATTGAAAGCGCGAAAACGCGATTTCTATAAACTTAACTTTTTTTAAACATGAAAAAAGGAATTGAAAAACCACCTGTTGAAACTTTTGCACAGCGTCCTCGGCCCTATTTCGATCCGGATGGTACTCCAATGATAATTTCCTATACGCCTTTTTTATCTCCCCAATTGAGGCGTCCCAAAAACAAATATTATTGAAAATCTCAACAATTTCAAAAGGAAAACCTTGGCGACTCCATAAAATTCATAAAAATTGAGGCCGGATTCCTCAATCAAATCGTACATGGCGAGTTCTTCCGAGTTCCATTGGCCAGAAACTACTGGCAAAAATGCCAGGAGCAGTACCAACATCATGGCTACTACATAATTTATAAATTAATTTTTAATCTGAATTCAAAAAAATATCTCTCGTGGTCAAAACGATTACTTTTTTTGAATCAATATTAAACTTTATTAATCATTTATTCCAAGTGTCTCGGAGGCGGTTGGCAATGAAAAAACGAAGTATAGTATTGAAAGTACGAAAAAAAAAAACAAGCACGCATACAAATATACGAAGGAAGAAGAATAATAACCACGCATTTTCAATTAAGAAGCAAATTATTACAACTCCTCGTGCCAAGGCGCTTTATTTTTTTGATGGCACAGAGAAAACTTCAAGAGAAAGGAGTTAATAAAGGGGAGATCCATGTTTTGGAAATAAGGCATTTTTTCCAGACACTTTGCTATTTTCCGAATTTGAACTTGATGGGAGCGCGAGCGGCACCTCCTTTATTGATAATCGCCTGTTGTTCGTTTTTTTCGAGCTCCGACTTCTGGCGAGCCAGCTCAGCTCTTTCGCGCTCAAGCTGGCTTCGCTGAGCCAGCATCTCCAGGCGGCCTTCGTCCTGAAAATGAATAAAATTGATAATGTTCGGTGAAGCAACGGCTCTGCGCATTGTTTTATTCGAAACTTGGAGGGAAGAACAAGAAATTGAAGGATTTAGGTGAAGAAAAAGACATATAATTACATCACAACATCCTTCTGAAGTTTTTGTGTACTTTTTACGACTTCTGAATTTAACAGTCCCAAACTTGCAGCGCTAAAAAAGCGATATTAATTTTGCAGCTCCCGAGAGGCTATCCCAAACACGAAAAAACGCCAATTTTCTGCGCTTAAAATACTTTATACTTTTGATTCAGAATACGCAGATACAGGAGCTTTCAAAAGGAAAAAATCTTTTCAAAATGCCTCCTTTAATCTCTCATTCCTCTCCTAAAAAACTATGCACAGGTAAACCGTCCATTGTCCTTGAAAGAAGTAAAATTCCAAACTATATACTTCAAATAGTTTCATCTTAAAATGAACAAACCTGCCATTTTTCTAAAAATCAACAAACATTTTTTCGGAAAGACACCCGTTTCGCATATTTGGGAAACCTCGATTACAGTCGTTTTTGTGTGCGCGATAGTGGGCCGGTTGATTCGCGTCTGACCAAACTGAGTTCGATTTCGAGAGGTTATTTCGCCTAGAGCTATAGGAGTTCAAGACAAAATGAAAAGATAAAAACTAAGGCACAGATGAATTATGAAACAAAAAAAAATGGAAAGCAGGAATTATTCAAAATTCACATATGCATAAACTATGACTGTATTCGTATTCTAAAGAAAAATCCTAGTAATCTAGTCAAAAATATTTCGGAGATGAGATATGCGCACAGGCCAATCCAAAAAAACATCACAGCTTTAAATCAAAATCTTAAGTGAAGATTTTTTTAATCGAAAGAAACCCTAACAGAATCTTGAAAAAACTCTTGAAAAGTGAAAATCAGGTGAAAGACAGAAAAAATATATTGGATGGGAGATAGCTCGACGGTTTTTTGAAACAAGAAACAATCATGAATCAATGTGGCTTTAGATAAATAACTAAACTGGAAAAAAAATTAACATGAAAACCTCTGAAAAAATAGAAACACATGAAAAGACGAAATAAGAGTCCAAAGTGAGGATTTCGCTGCTCAATCAAAAAAAATCATTAAAATTTGAAATTTTCAAAGTAAGAAAAGAAATAAACTTACATATTTCTTTTTGACTTTCTTCGGCGTCTTTAATCTTTTTTTCTCGAGTTCGGCTTCAAGCTGTTGGCAACGTTTTCGCGAATCTTCCTGAAAATTTATCATTTTTTTAAAAACTATTCATTAAAAATTTTTTTACATCGCGTTTCCGGCACTCGGCGAGTTCCATGGCCATTTCGTTCTCAATCTGAGCTCGAAGCATTCTTTCCATTTCGTGCCGTGCCGCCGTGGCTTTTTCTGCCATCAAAGCCTCCAGCTTGTCAACTCGTGAGGAAACCTGAATAAATGCACAAAATCAATTGGGTCACTCTTTTTTCTCAACCTGTTCTGTAATCCTCGTTTCTAAATACTTTCTCGCTGTTTCACTCAACGTGTTCTCATCGAAAGGAGTGCCTAACTCGATTTGAACTTCGCTCGGAGCTGGCCTACAAAAACGCTATGTTTACAATAAACTAAATAGAAATCACTTGGCTCCATTTTTCTCCTTCTCCTTTTCTGGACTCTTCTCTCGCTTTTTCTTCTCATTCAGGATACTTCCAAGTTTATTAGCGGCGTCAGAAGTTTCACTAGATGAACTTCGATGACTGGAAACAAAAGAACAGAGTTCGGAAAAAACTGAAACTTTTACCGTCTCCTCCTCTCCTTTTTGCTTTTCCTGTCCCTTCTATCTTCATCTCGTCGCCTGCTGGACCGATCATCACCTCTATCCCTTCTGGGAGATCTTGATCTTGATCGATTCCTCATTTCTAAGAACTTCTTTTGCATTTGGTGCGGTCGCGAGCGAAATACCGGATAAAGGAACTAACAAATCGTTCAAAAGAAGGTCTCCAGCATGTCAGAACAGTTATTTACTTTGAAATGAACTAAACCATATGAAAATAACAAAAAAACGAAAAACGTAAAAGTTACAAAATGGAAATTGATTAGGCCAGAGGTCGTGCGTGCCTTCAGACAACGCATCGCATCGCACGAAATTTAACGTCGAATGCGCCGGAAAATTCAACCGGCTCAATTAAATTTTTTCAAAACTTGATTAGCGCAGAGCTCGCAAGAAATCGAAAGTATCAAAGACCCAAACCTTTGAACCGAAAGCATAAAAGTGAATCCAACGCTTTAAATTTTTACGGAATAAAAATTTCTTTGAAAATAATTTATAACCAACAAAAAATACCAAGAATCGACAAGATGAGGCCTGAAACTCACTTATTCAATCAACTGAAGCACAATAATGATAAAGTGAAAATGAAAGAAGAAAGACATGAAAACAGACGTGTTAAAATTCACCGATGAGGCAGTAAAGCATCAATTTTATGATTCTGTGGAGGCATATTGATGACATGGAATATAATCTCGAGTTTTACCGTAATCTGATAGATGTGTACAAACAATCATGATAATGTGGAAAACCTAATTAATTATGACGAAATAGTAAAATAAAGAGTAAAGAAGAGAAAATAGAAATGAAAGATTGCGGAGACGTGGTGCTGGTAGTTGAACTACGCTGAGCCTCGGCTTCTGAAATGAGAAAAATATGAGAGATTTCTTCACAATACGAAAATGAATGAACGAACTATTGATATGGACGATCTGGCTGGCCTTCTGATGCCTATGTTCGCAGGCGTAGTCGCCGTCGTCTTCCATCGTCGCCTTCCGAATCCGGAGCGTCTGGACAACGACGCCAGCGTCTCGTTTCGCCTTCCAAACGTATTCTGAATTAGTAAAAAAAAAGCCGATGTGCCGGAATTCCATAGAAAGCTCAAACAAAATTTTAAAATCTAGGCAGCTCTCATTTTTCGCTTGTTTTGAAAATATGGATTTCTTAAAACAGGCTCAAAAAGTACTCAATCCAAGGGTAAAATGTAAGCGTTTGAGTTAAAAATAATCCATTTTATGAGTTTCATGGATAATTTTGATACTCTCCAATCAACTGGAACTGAAACGCGGCGCTGCTTGCCCCTTCTTCTTCTTCTTCTTATATAAGTCCCTAAAATCAAAATTTCTTGGCATTCATGACTTTTTCTTACTTTTCTCGAATCTCAACCTTACTCTATCCCTTTGGAACGGCCGAACGGACTTTGCAATTGCGCTCACTCAAACAATTGCCAGATAATAGTTTTGAATAAGTCATGAGCCTCGTGTCACGTTAGGCGTGTACCCACAAAGTCTGCATCCGCAATGAGCGTGTGAATATTTCAGGGTTTGTCGACTTTTCAAAATTACCTATTTCTACTGACCTTCGAGAACTTTCGACATACTTTTTAAGGTGAAGTTTAATAACGATTATGATGAGGAATATCTACAAGCGCAGGATTTAGCTTGAAACAAAAGATATACGAAAAATAAAGCAATTTAACTGTATGTCAGTACTTCCCTCAAGCTTGCTCAGGTCCATTTTCCTAATTATCTAACATTTTTTCAGATTAATACTTCTCAGAAACTCACTTTCAGTGTTATTAAAGTCGATATGATCGCCGTTTCGGGTCCAGACGATGTCATCGACCGATTCGCCGGAATCTGAAGTCGTCACGGTGCAATTGAGCAACACCTCGTCGCCAGCCATATTCGCCATTAGCCGCGTGGTTTTCTCTGAAAATAATCAGTGAATTATTTAGACATACAGCTTGAAAATAATCATTATTTTGATATAGAATCTGGGATTACTATGAAAAAAATTTCATTCTACTGAAAAAAATTCATTTTCAAAGCTTGAAAAAAATCTCAAACTGTTAGTAGACAAACATTCTTCAGGTCGAAGCCAGAAATTTTTCTCCCTTTTTATGATAAAATCAATATCAAACTCCTAAAAGAGACAAAGTCCTACGAAAGTTTCATTTTTCAACAAAAAAATCCACTTAAAAACAACAAACTCTGCGCTGAAGAAGGGGACGGCGGCGGCGGTTCTGTAAAAAACTTATTTCATATTTTTTCCGAAGATCTCTAGTTTAAACTCGAATTCAAAACATCCCCGTGTGTATAAAATTGCGCGTAAAAAAACGCGCACAATTTTGGCAGCTGTCTCGCAAAACAAATTTATTCCGACACATTTCTACTTCGTTTTTTTCTTCAAGGATAGCAATTTGCATACGTCTAGGCGCAAAAAACGCGCTTGATTGAAAAGGAGAACTAGAAAAACTTTTTTTACGATTAGTTTTTTTCAAGAGGAGAACTTTTTTTTTTCGACAATGTGAAAAAATTACCTTGTACGCTGAGAAAAACAGCGTAGACGGTACTGTACTTGTCGTTGACCTCACACAGGTAACAGCCGGTATCGGTGAGTTCGGCTCTTCTGGAAAAAACTCTTTATTATTGAAATAACTAGAAAAAATAATGAATAGTTAATAAGTATTAATAAAGCGGTGAAACACAGGATAAGCCCAAGTTATCCGTTTCCAATAGACCAGTCTTATTAAAACTCGGGCAAAGTCGGAATTATGGATAATGGCCGCTAGAGGAGAGGCTCAAAAAAGGCAGCAAAAAGAGTCCCTTTATCGACCCTCCCATTTTTTCTGCGATTTTAACGGCTCAAGAAATGATTGAAAAAGGGAGAGGTAGCAAAAATGGTGCATAAGAGCCGAGAAAATGGCCCAAAGAAGCTGCAAAAAAGGAGCCTTTCTCAGTCTTCTACGGAGCCTTTTTCGACCCTTTCCGAATTTGCCTATGAAGTCAAATGCAACTTTCTAGGCCCCAACTTCTTTAAACCTCAGCTCAAAATCAAGACCTTTCCAAACCCCCAAATTGATCTTCGAATTAAAAAGGCAGGTGTCTCCCCTCTCTTTCGGAGTAGAACATTCAAGTGATTCGCTCTCTGAAGCACTTTTCCTCGCCCATCGTTTTGCGCGCGAGTAATCCAATTCCACCTATATAACGTTCGTGCTTCTTCTTCTTCTTCTACTACTTCTTCTAGTTCTTCAAATCGCCCGCGACTGATTGAGTTCTTCCAATCTTCGAGTAAAGTGGATTTTGAGGCCACCTCCTCTTTTCATTTCCACTTTCAATTTGAATTGGGACCACACCGAGTGTTCTTTTTTTTTCGAAGGTTTTGGTTTTTCATGAACAAGAAGGTCCCGATGTGTTCATGGTGGCACGCAAAGTAGCTCAGGCTGCAAAGAAAATACTTTCTGGCGGCTTAAATTTGACAGTATCGAGTTCTAAGCTTCTAACGTTAAGTTTCAAAAGTGGTAGTTCCAAGTTCGGAATGCGCACCTTTCATATCCAAAATTGCAGCTCCCAACTGAGAGTCTTAAGTTTCGACCTTTCAAGTTTGCAGCTCCCAACTGGCAGTCCTAAGATTCTAGTTTTCAAGTTTGCAGCTCCCAACTGGCAGTCCTAAGTTTCGAGCTTTCGTTTGCAGCTCCCAACTGAGAGTCCTAAGATTCTAGCTTCCAAGTATGCAGCTACCAACTGAGAATCCTATAATTCGACCCTTCAAGTTTGCATCTCCCAACTGAGAGTCCCAAGTTTCGACCTTTCAAGTTTGCAGCTCCCAACTGGCAGTTCTAAGATCCTAGCTTCCAAGTTTGCAACTCCCAACTGCAGTCCTAAGTTTCGAGCTTTCGTTTGCAGCTCCCAACTGACAGTCCTGAGATTCTAGCTTTCAAGTTTGCAGCTCCCAACTGAGAATCCTATAAATCGACCCTTCAAGTTTGCAGCTCCCAACTGGCAGTCCCAAGTTTCGAGCTTCCAAGTTTGCAGCTCCCAACTGCAGTCCTAAGTTTCGAGCTTTCAATTTTCCAGTTCCCAACTTCCTTAATTTCGAGCTTTCAAGTTTGCAGCTCCCGAATGGCATTCCTAATTATAACGGTTTTCACTGAACTTTGAGTAGACCGAAACGCTTTTAACGATCCTTCCATCAATAAAGTCATCACGAAATGAGTTTTTTGAACTTCCCCGAAAAAATAACCTCAAGTTGAGGACCCAAATGTCCTCAGCTTTTCGGGACACCTGCCAGCGTGGATCTCGAGTAAAAGTCCTATTTCCAGCGGTCAGGAGGGCTGCATCCGAAACACGTGTCCAAGCGACCTGTAATTGAAAATTGATCATTCGATAGCTTCTCAAAAACAGATGTAGAAACAATTTTCCACGAAATCTGGATTTCAAAACCATTGATCTCCCCTAAAAATCCTATCCAACCACTTGTAACCTTCCCACCGCCACTTACACCCTCTTCACGGTACGGTAAGCCCATTGGCGCTGAAAATCTGTAATGGATTCGTCGAGCGCCATAATTGCCAGCTGGCCCTCGAGTGTGAATGGCGTTGTGACCGTATATGGAAATGGCCATAGTGTCGAATCAGACTTTCTAATATCTATGGAAACAGTTTTGAACGATTCGAAAAGGCCTTGGGAGTCAAGAAGTTCAAAATTTCGGAAAGCCGCCGTTTTCTTCTGTACCTTTCTTCATACAGAAAACAATCAAGTGTCCTTTTTTTGCCTAATTGGCCAATCGGCAAATGAAAAAAGAGCCGCGTTAGGACAGAGGAAATGACGTAACCACTCGATTAGGTGACGGCCCATCTGACCGTTTTTTTTCTCAGGACAACGAAAAAATTGGAGCTTTTTTGTCGCTTCGAATCAGGATAATTGGCACCTGACACTCCGTGTTCGTTGAACTGTCATGAATAGAAAGACTAGGATTTCGTTTTAGTGGAAATCTTTTTGACCTTTTTGAAATAAATAACCAAACTTTGAAGCCTTAAGTTTCAAGGTTTATTCAGCCGAAACCTTTTCCCGTTCTCATTAAAATCTATCCGAAAGTCCTGAATTACGTTAAATCAATAATAAAGAACATTTTCCTCTCAAACTACTTTAATATTACCAATTTAACTTCAAATTCTCAAAAAAACAACAGATTCAATGTTTTCCTTGCCATTTGCATGAGAAACAATCGTCAGCCGTGGCGGATTAACGGCCCCGCCATTGACACTAATTATGGAACACAACAAGTGACCGGCCGGATGGCTAACAAGGTCGGCACAGGATCCATCTTTTTGTTGTGGATCGGTGGGAGTCGTTTCGGAATCATTATCGAGAACCGACAAACGGCTTTTTCAAATTCTTTTTGAATCAGAAAAAAACCATAAAGATTGTAAAATGTGGACCAAACGATAAATTTTAAAAAAAACTCTTTATTTAAAAAAAAAAAAGATCGGCGCCGGAAACTTTTTTTGTTGTGGATCGGTGGGAGTCGTTTCGGAATCATTATCGAGAACCGAGAAATGCCTCTTTCAAATTCTTTTGAATCAGAAAAACCATAAAGACTGTAATACGCGGAAGAAAAAAACAATTTTGAAAAAAACTGAAGTTCATAAAAACAAAAAGATCGGCGCCGGAAACTTTTTTGTAGTGGATCGGTGAGAGTCATTTCAGAATCATTATCGAGAGCCGAAAAAAAGACATTTAAAAATATTTTTTTAATCAAAAAAAGCTATAATGCAGTAAAATGCGGACAAAAAAATATGATTTTAAAAAAATTGTCCAAAAAAAGACACCGTAAGGCAACGTGGAGCATACATGGAGATTCTTGAAAAAATCGCAAGCCTCTTTAAAAAATCGCCGTTTCTATAGATCAGTCAGAGACATTTCAAAAAAATATAACTAGAATAATTAAAACGTTCTTAAATTACCCAAAAAAATTGATGAAATCTACAGTTTTAAGAAATTTCATGCCGTGTTCAAAGTAATTTCCGCGAAATGCAAAATGGTCTCTGACCCTCCAAAATTTAGTTATCTTTCTCTTTCTCTGACGGCTATTTTGAATTTCGCGGAATCACTTTGAACACGGCATCAAATTATTAATCAATGAAAGCAGATATTATACAGTTATCACAGTCTTCAGAACCATTTCAAAAAACCGGAAAAAGATTTTCCGTCTTTACTGAAACCAAAATATCCTCAAAACCAGTAAAATATCCCATTTAAGTTTGAAGATTTCAAGCTAAAATCACAGCGTCAGCATCAAAAAACTCCAAATTTTCAGCCCATCTCAATAAAAATCACCTCATGATGACTGGAAACCCGACAGTGAAGATAGGCAGGATTTTCGGCCGTAACCGTGACGATGTTCTGCGACGGATTCTCGTGTTTGGCGCGCTCCTGCCGCAGACAAGCCATTATGTCTTCTGATGCGCCGCCGCCTGAAAAAAAAGTTCAAATTTGGTTACAGTAGTCTCAAACAGAACGGTGCTTTCAGATAATCGGATAGATAACCTTTAAACTACTCAATCTCTTAAATTTACGTGTATGAGTCCCGGTCTCTGCACTCGTTGGGGTGCTGTGAAAATCGGGTTTTACTTTATTTCATCCACCTCAGTTCTTTTTTTGTTTCTTGTGCCATCTCTGTATTTTTCAATGACTTATTATTAATATTAAACTTTGACCATCCAAAATTTGAAAAAAGATAGAGCTCATGTGTAATATGTGTATCAAGCTTCCCTCAAACATTAGAAATATAAGATTTTTCTGAAGCGCGGAACGCAATCAAAATGCAAATTTCGAGCCCGCAGGCCGAGTTTCCTGTGCGGCACACGTCAAAACGGGGTTTCCTGACAGGCGTCGCTGATGTCCAACCGAGAGCCAAGACGTCAGATTTCGATGTGAGTAAATGAGATAAGTTTGGAGGGAGTCTAGAGAGTATTCTGGGTAGGAAGTTTTTTTTTCCAACTGGAAAAATTTTGAATAAAGAAGGGAATTTGAATGCTTCGAAAAAGTCTCATGGAGCTAGTGAAAACTCAGGAATTTCAGGGTGGTCTCTATAGAGGTTAGGAGAAAAGCAGACCCTATAGGGGATAAAAAAGTGGTCCCTATAGGGGTAAAGTGGTCCCTAAGGGTTCAGGGTCCAGGGTCTAAAGTTCAAATGGTCCCTATAGGAGTTTTTCAATTTCATTCAAAAAACACTTATTTAATCAGTTTTTTTCCCAGGAAAGTCCTTCTTCTCTCAGAGTTCTTAAAAATTATCGACTAGCAAGCTTTGGTGACCCCTATAGGGGTTGGTTAAGTGGCCCCTAGAGGGCCTCTGCAAGGGCCCCTGTAGGGGCCACTCTGGAGTTCCTAAGAACGTCCTCTTTCGTAGTATCGCGGCTCATCGGCAAAAATCCGTTTTTAGAACCAACCTTCTAAAAATTCTAAGAAAATCTCAAGCCAAACTGAAAAATCTAGGCCCGTATAACGTTATTCCTCAGTGAAAAAAGAGTTTTAATCCCTTCAAGAAAAAAAAATCAAGCTAAAAATGTTGCCAAAACGTCCAAACAAGTGTTCCTTGTCACTTCGAGAACCAAAAAAACCTCCAGAAAAGGAAAAAAATAAATCCCCAAGTCGTGTTCGCCGGGCCATTTTTCTCGCCGAGGGCACCGCCAGGCGAATCCCCAGGCGACGAAATTCTCTCCGTATTTTCCTCCTTGACTTTGGACACTCGGTGTGCCAGAAGAGAGATAACTCGACTAATAATGGACTGCTCCCTTTCGGCATAAATCATGTGTCGAGCATGTTTTGAGTGAGAATGAAGCGTTCATCTACGCGGATTAAAATTTATGACAAGTTTGTAAAAAAGTTGTTTGAAAGGAAAAGCTTTCAATCACTGCCAGGCGAAAAAACACTTTAAAAGAAATTTTGCTGTCTCAAGGGAATATCCATTTTGAATATAAAAAAAACTTCTTTCGCTATTTTTAGTTTGTTCACATCTTTCATATTTTTGAATGGATGGAATGAAGAAACTAAAAATAAGTTATGTATATGTGCCACGACTTAAAATTTCACCGAACGACATTCCGCTGTTCCGCTGTTTGCCTTTGGGATCCTTGGTCGCGCTTTTAAATGTTTCCCTACTCTACTTTCATGTGCTCCCAAAACAATCAATTAAAAGCGTGATCTAGATTCGAAAGACGCTTCGCGAACGCACGCAGCGGAACAACGGAATGTCGTTTCGTTAAATTTCAAGTCGTGGCATAAAGACTATAAAAAGTTCAAAAAAACTTTAGAGCGGCCACTAGAAACTTTTTTGATTGTAGAAAAATCATTTCTTTTTTCATTCATAGCTTGTAAAACTAGAAAGTTTCGCGTTTGCTCCAAAACAGTTTTCTTAATCTAAATGACTCCTTTAAAATGTCGATTTTTCACTAAAAAGGCGCCAAGTGGCTACTAAAATAGTAAATTTTGGCCGCTTTTCAATTGGGACTGCCCAAAAACCTTTAATCCTCAGAACACTGAAATGATCACTCGGATTCTCAAACTGCAGCTCATACCTACTCGGACATTGGTAACGGGAAACGGACGTGCTCCGGACGTTTCTGATCATTTCTAGCGACCACTTTAGTGGCTTCAACACTCTTAAGTGATCCCTAGAATTGCCTAGAAACGTCCGTTTCGCGTTACCAATGTCCGAGTAAGATGTCACTCGATTTAATTATCAAAAATTAGACTTTGTGATGATTTTTGAAAGTCTGAGTTCCCTTATATCAACGCAATCAATCAATAAATCGATTATTGAAACCCAAGTCCCTTTTTTTCTCATATTTAAAATGTTTCTGTTTTTCAAGATGTACAGCTCGCAGTCGAAACACGGCTAGTTAGCATCAAAAAGTGAATCAAAAAAGGCGGAAAGGACTTTGGCCAAAAGTGGGCTCGTTAATGCATGTTGTCGCGCATCGGCGAGCTTGTACGGCCAATTTTTTTTTATTTCTGCTCGACTCGAAAATGTTTCTCTTGTTGTTTTTGTTTCTAGAAAGCTTTTAACGGATGAGTGGTCTTGGTTGGCTATAAAACATTTGTCCATGGAGCGGATTTGAAAGGTTGAGTACGACCATTTTTATTCAAAAAGCTCTGATTTCTTTTAAAGTGTAAAAAAAAGCATTCCAATTTTTTTTTCCAAAGTTTCGACGATGTATGTCATTCTCTAAGGACTTTAACTAAAAAATCATTTTTTTTTTCAAATTATTCTTCCAGAAGTCTACTTTAATTGACATCCAAATAAGCCTTATTGCCAAGCAATCAATCAATATTTGCACCAATCTTCCGCCTCGATCGGCTACAAAAGTGTCATTGGAGCAAAAACGTGCCGCCATAAGACATACAGGTCGAGACAAACAGTCACTTCGACGCAATCCGACGGCCGCCGAGATTACCGTAATTTGATCTGGTCAGCTTCTTCTTCTCGGCGGCAGTGGCCAGATGCGCTCATCTACACATAGTATATAATGATTCTGGGTAAATCCCCCTCAGAGGGGGGGTGTCTGGCGGATGGAAAACGGGAATGGTCGAGTTGGCGCACTATGTTGGTAAAAGTTGAAATGGCTCTTTTAGGGTTACTTGAAAAATAAAATTCTCACAAGCCACTATTATAATTATGAGCAGTCCTTTAACTCGGGCAAAGTCGGAAGGGTGGATAATGGCCGCTAAAAGGGAGAGGCTCAAAAAAGGCTGCAGAAAGGCAGCAAAAAGGCCGCAGAAAGGCACCAAAAAGGCCGCAGAAAGGCGGCAAAAAGGCCACAGAAAGGCAACAAAAAGGGTCCCTTTATCGAGCCATTTTTTCTGGGGTGTGTCAAGAAATGGTGGAAAAGGGAGAGGTAGCAAAAAATGGTGTATAAGAGCCGATGAAATTGCGCAAAAAGGCAGCAAAAAGGACCCTTTTTCCACCTTTTCCGACTGCCTATGAAGTGACATACCTATCAGTACTGAATCACATGAAACGGCAGAAAAATTTCTCAACCTACCTATTGAAAAAAAAACCGTAAAATCCATCATAAAACTCAAAAATAACCTTAATCTTAATTACCTAAAACCCAACTAACTACACTTCTAGCCGCCGAAAGGACGGGATAATCCATGTTGCCGTGGCTCATAATCCTAGGCCTTCTCAGTTTCCGAATAATTGGACCCCGTAAAACGGCGTCCAATGACTTATCCAAGCTAGTATGTTTGCACTGAAATTGCTTAGAAACAGGAAAATGAGATATTTCTGGAGCTATTTTTTAATATTTCTTAAAACGATCATAGCAACACTCCAGAACTTGAGGAGAAAAAAAAAATCAAATTTCTAGTTTTTAAAATCTTATGTTCAAGATTTTCATCCACCTTCTCCAGGTATTACTTTTAGCAGGCTTGAAAAAAAAACGACTTCAATGATTTAAAAAAAATTCATTTACTTAAGCTTCACATATTCCCATTTTTTTCAAGAATTTTACGAAAATACACCATTTTTTTCATTGAAAGAAAAAAACTTTTGGGATGCTTCCAATTCCAAATTTTCTCAATATTTTACCCAAGCCAACCACTTGAAATCTTCCCACACTTCAGAATTTTCCCTCTTTTCCCCATAAATACGAAAACTTTAAACAAGAAGAAAAATGAACTCACATATCGAAATTTTGTAGAACGTGAGCATGAGGAGAACGAATAAATGCCGCATTTAGCTGGATGAAAAATATTAATTTTGTCGTTTTTTTCGGCTAAAGTTCGAATTGAAGTTGGGAATCGGGGTCGAGTCTGAAAAATAGGTGAATATAGTTACAATTACATCGAATAGAAATAAAAGTTTCAAAAAACGACTTTTTTTTTCAATGTTCAAAAAAAATGGTGGCATACACTTTTGGGAAAGCTCGGAATCTAGCTAAGATCAGGAAGAAATTGGAAAAGTGAGAAAACTGCTATTCCGTATTTCAGTTCCAAAAATCACAAACCAACGTGGAAATGGTATCAGAAAAAAACTTATTTTGACTCGAAATTCGGAAAAATATATAAAATTTTTTTGTAAATGAATTACTCTTTTTTTCATTAAAGTTTCCCAATTAAAAAAAGCATGAAAAAAATAAAAATTTTTTTATCAAGATTATACAAAAAAACGAAAAGATGAGCTCCAACTGAGCAAAAAAAAAGTCAGAATTGGACGATTGAGAGAATCAAATAGGAGACGTCGTTGAAAAGGAGCAGCAGAAACGGAGCGAAACGAAAAACGAGGAAGAGCTTGTACTTGTCCGCAATGGGAGGGTGTGGCCGAAAACGAGTGGGCGGAGCTTCGAGACAGGTTGCAGGCCGCACATACAACGACAATGAGAAGAGGTCGATTTTTATATTGGGTTTGAATATTTGAATAATTCTTTCACTCAGATACATAGAACAAAATGAGGGGGGTTAATTAAATTGGTTATTTATTTACAGTCGATCAAGTGGCAGTCTTAAAGTCTTCATTTATAATCAGATTCGTATACTTTGGTACTGCCATTTGAGAGCTACATCATTCTTTTTAAGGATGCAACTGCTATTTTTAAAAAGAAACAAAAAATCTCTAGAAGATTCAAAATGCTTGTGGCTTGAGCCATTCGAAGAAATGTTCTTGGAAATATTTTAAAAAATTGTTTTTTTGGTGAGAAAGTTATTTTTTTTCTCATATTTTCATTTGGTGAACAGGCTATGGGAGTGGTATAGCTGATTCACGGCTGGCTTGAGCCATCGAGAAAAGGGTCCTGCCACGAAAAGAGACGAGACAGTGCCCTGGTTGGTGGAGAGTGCAGACAGGCCACGCCTTTTTGCGTCCCAAGCTAGCCGTGAATCGTCTATAACAGGGCTGCCGATCCGGCACGCAAAGTGAAAATTACCAAAAATATGGAAAATGACTGAAAAATAAGATAATAAGAAATCAAGGAAAAATGGCTCTCTTGACAGTGTGAAAGCTTCGGGGGCCGTGTCGCCCTGGGTTGACCCGTCACACCAACAGCTCAGAGAATGAATTAACGACAAACTAAAGTGAAGGACCGTACTTGAAACAGCTCAATTGATAATTAACGCCTTCAAGACTCGCTCGAATATAAATTTTTCTCATGCAAAAAAGAAAAAAATATATATATAAATCTCATGGTTTACTTCAACTCTTTCTTTGAAATATAACATTGTAACAGCTTAAAAATTCTAGAATAAAAAAATCCTAATTATACAAAAATCACACAATCACCCAAGACCAGGTAAGAACGCAGAATCAACACTGAGAAGCGATTAATTCCAAGCCTTCGAACAAATAAATTCTGTGTTCTTGCCAGAATCAAATCAACAATTCTGTCTTGCTTTTCTTTTTCTCGTCCTCGATCAGAAGGAAATTTTATTTTAACTTGACTTCTAGAAATCTTTTAGTTCCTGGATGAAGAAGAAGAAAAAGTTGATTTCCCATCGGTTTGAAGAAAAAAAAATTGCAAAGACTGCATTTTTGCAAATTTAGATGGGAAACCCCTCGTTGTGATTTTTATTTTTTGTTGAATTATTTGGGTTCTTTTTTAGTATTTCAGCGAAATGTCTCTCAATTTTGAACAAAATAAACTAAAAGTTCTCAAATTTTCCTCCAATTTCGAGTCGAACTACCCTATGAAAGAATCAAAACGAAATTCTCCGGTGAGGAAGGAAAAATTTCCTGCCATTTCTAAATCTTTTCTCTTCAAATGCGGCCAAATTGCCTCGGGAGTCAATTCCGGCGAACCGGTGCTTCATGGGGAATCATTATGGGAAATTATGGGTAAAAATAGGTGAAAAAGGTTATCATCTTTTTTTAAACTTGAAGCGTTTCTCATTCTACGACCACAAAAAAACCGAAAAAAACTGACCTAAAAAGAATTTTTAAGGCATTTTTTTAATTTGATCGAAAGTTTTTAGAGAAAAAAACGCTAATGAGCTGAAAAATTGGGAACTCTAAAATATAACGATGAACATTTTTTTGAGTATTTCAATGATCCAGAAAAATAAAAAAAGAAAGACCAATTTTTTTGAGAATTTTTTTCAGGTCCTTGATCCAAAAACTCGACTTAATATTTCTTTAATGAACTGTCTTTTTTTTCATTTGAATTTTTTTCGATGCTCTCTTCAAATCTTATGAAATCGAAAGAGAGTCAGAAAGGCCTTCGTTCCCAATAAAAATTCATGACATAAAATTACAAACCTTCTGAAAAATTGATCCATTTTGAAGGTTCTTCAAGCACAGCTAAGTGAGAGAAACTCCTTTTCTGAAACGAAATTCAAAAAATAATGCTTCTTTATTTTCAAAAGTAAATAAATATGATTCCTAGGCGCCAGACTCATCAAAAACCGATATTAGGTTTCGCGCATTGTGCCAGGTGTGCTCTGCAGTTCTGTTTGCTCAAAACGAATACGATATGTCCATAAATGGTAATCATTGTGCCAAAAAAATAAGAGAGCAAACAGAAAAACCAAAAATGGTCAACTTTTTTTTTTGGTTGAGTACTTCTGTTGAAATTACAAAATTAGTACTACTTTTTGAGAGCTGAAAATATGGGACTGGCAAATTTTGTGAAGCACTGGACCAAGTTTGGTCCCGAATTTGGCAGTCCCAAGTTTGGGAAACTCCATTCGTTTATTGCTTTCTACTGAGAAAAATTTTAGTGGCCACTATAGAGGCTCGCCAAGGACTACTTGGAGAGTAGAGTTCTCAAAAATAAATGTTTGAACGAACGTTCAACCAAACATTTTCTGAACGTTTGATGAATTCGACCAATTAGTTAAACTTCACATGAACCGTTTGTTAAAAACTTCATTTTGGTTAAATTTCATAACTGAGCATTTAAAAAAATGAACAATTACTTATTTTTTTCGAAAAAATTTTTGGTCAAAAAAAGTAAACATTTAAAAATTCATTTCGGAAATTTTGGTCAAAAAAATGAACATTTAAATTTCACTTTTTGGAAATTTTGGTCAGAAAAAGTAAACATTTAAAGTTCACTTTGAAAAATTTTTGGTCAAAAAAATGAACATTTAAAAATTCATTTTAGAAATTTTGGTCAAAAAAATGAACATTTAAAAATTCATTTTAGAAATTTTTGGTCAAAAAAATGAACATTTAAAAATTCATTTTAGAAATTTTTGGTCAAAAAAATGAACATTTAAAAATTCATTTTAGAAATTTTGGTCAAAAAAATGAACATTTAAAATTCATTTTAAAAAAATTTTTTTCAAAAAAAGGTAAACATTTATTCATTACTTTACGGTACTTGGCAGTATCTGTGTCGGAGTCAATTCTATCTCAGTCTTCTCCAAATGAAATCTTGAATCGATTACTTCGAAATTCAAACTAATTTCTGGTTAAAAAAATTAATAAATCTGTTGGAAAAACAGTGATCTGGATGGTCAAGGGCAAAGCTAAAAAGCCGGTTAAGGACGAGAAAAAAATTATATGGAACCGGTCAAAAATGAGCAGACCGGAAGAAAGGTGCTATCTGGAGAATTAATTGAATGAGGAAAAAGGAAAAGTATAGATTTGGATTTTGGTTCGGAAAATCCAGGTTCGGAAAATTATCGGCCAAAAAATAAACATTTAATTTTCACAATTGAAAAAAAAATTTTTTTTGTACGAAAAAATAAACATTTAAAATTCATTTTGAAAATTTTGTTCAAAAAAATGAACATTTAAAGGTCATTTTAAAAATTTTGGTCAAAAAAATGAACATTTAAATTTCACTTCTGAAAATTTTGGTCAAAAGAGTAAACATTTAAAATTCGTTTCGAAAAATTTTTGGTCAAAAAAAGTGACCATTTACTTTTCACTTTGAAAAATTTGGTCATTAGGACGAATATTTATTTACTAGTCAGAATATGATTGTTTAAAAAATGACCATCTATTTTTCAGTCATTATTTGAAAAGTCACAAGATGAAAAGAATGAAAGTGATCAATTTTGGTTGATCTTTCAAAAACGACATTCGTTTGAAATGTCAAAAAGAAAATTTTTCGTTTTTGAAAAATATCATTTTTTTCAATTGGTCATTTTGAGAACTCTATTGGAGAGGACACTAAAATGGCCACAAGAGGTTCTCCGTTTAGTGGCCACTTCAGTAGTTATTCATTCAGTACTCCTTCCAGTAACTCTGATAAATTTAAAACAAACAGATTGGACCAGTTATGTTGATCCATCGACCCCTAAAGTGGTCACTAACAATTTTAGTGGTCCAGTAGTAGCACTTAGACCTCTATAGTGGCCACTAATTTTCAACCCCGTCGTTTTTGCCTAATCTCTCGCTAATAACGCCAGAGCCAATTCCTTTCAAACTCCTCAATTATAAACAAAATAATTCTTTGAACTTCTACGCGAAAAAATAAAGAATTCTCGTAAAAAAAAACTTTACCAGTAAAAAGCGATACAAACACAAATATATATTAGGACAAAATAAGCAAAAAAAAATACACACACAAACTTAAGGCAGTAGGAGAACAACTGGTTGAGGGATAGGAGATAAATACAAAGTTTCGGCTGTTAATTAGTTTGAAACTAAGTTGAAGTCGAAGATATAACGATCAATTCAAAATGAATCCGAACATAAAAAAACCCATTTCTTCCAAGAGGAACATCGGAAACTATCGTCAACTATCGGGTAAATAAAGCTTAATGTTTTTTTTTACAAAACTTCCGAAGATTTCGAAGAGGCACAAACATTTTTCAAAAAAGCAAACATTGCACAAGGTGAAAGAACACATGATAGTCATTTTTTGTCAAGAAAAACTTTTGAAATTTCACAACCTTTTCAAAAAGTACGAGCAAAAGGGGGGTAAAGCCGCTGTGATATCATTAAATTTTATCTGCAGCTGGAATTAGGGTACAAAGGAAAAAAAGAGAAAGGCCCAGGGCGTAACAATGCTGCAGAGGTGTGAAGATGATTTCTTAGTAAAAATTGGAATTAAAAAGAAAATTAATTGCTTCCAGCTTTCCGAAAAACATGAATGACAAGATCTAAATGAGAGGGGAAAAAAACGAGGAATCAGAACCCGCATTGAAAATTTATAAGATTAATTCATCAAATTGATGGGTTATCCAAACAAGAAGCGGAAAAGGCGGAAAAAATTCAACCAGCTCTAAACTGGCTAATAAAAAAATTATTTTCTCAACTAAATAGACAGGTTCGAAAAAGGCGTATGAAAATTATTTACATTTTCTTTTTTTGGACAAATTTTCATACAGCTTCTTCAACCTTCAAATAACAAGCACTTTTCTAAGTTAGTGGATTTATTGATTAGTTGGTTATAAGGCAACAGCCTTCGCAGCGGGACTTCCATTGCCCTTGCCGTTATTCAAGATGTCGTGTATCCGGACGGCGTCGGCGAAACCCATCGGCTTGTTGGCGTCGCCGTTGAAGACCTGCGACGCGGCGACTTCCATTGACGTTGCTAGAAAATCAATAATAAGAGGAAAAAAGCATCAACTTCAAAAATTTGAAAGTAAAACAACTTTTAATCTGAAAAATTAACTTCAACTGGGAACTGCGAATTTGGTACTGCCAATTGGAAGCTAAATTTTCAGTTATAACAGTCGAGAGCTGCAAATTTGGGACTGCCAATTAACTGGGAAAATTTTTAGCGGCCACTATAGGGTTTCGACGTTTTAATGACCTCTATAGTAGTCGGATTAGTGGCCACTATAGAGGTCTATGTGCTACCACTAGACCACTAAAAATTTTAGTGATCACTTTAGGGGTCAATGGATCTACTTTGAAACTTGAAACTTTATTCAGTCTTCAGAGAAGGTACTCTGCTGAATCATGGAATAATTGAAGAGTTGTTCGTCGGTTTGCGAAACTGTCGTTGATCAAACGTAGACGGCGCGTAGAGCATCTCGCTTCTCTTGTGATAGTAGTAGACGACTTTCAAGCGTTTCCGACGATCACTGCTTCTCCATGTAGGAACGGTACGGCGCCCAGCTTGTCCAGGGCTGACGGGCGTCAGATTAAATCTCAGACGAGAGCGGAAATGAAGACCGACCACTCGGGTGGTAGAAATGAGATAATAATAATGGATCTACATAACTGGTCAAATCTGTTTTTTAAAAGTTATCAGAGTTACTGGAAGGAATACAGGATGAAAAACTACTGAAGTTGCCACTATAGAGGTGGGTTTAGTGGCCACTTTAGTGTCCTCTCCAAGTATTCCTTGGCAAGCCTCTATAGTGGCCACTAAAAATGTTTCCAGTAAAAGCTTATTTTTCAGTTATAAGAGTTGAGGGCTGCAAAATCGGGACTGTAAATTGAAAACTAAATTTCAGTTATAAAAGTTGAGGGCTTAGGACGCCAGATGACTCCCCGCAAGGTTATTTGGCTATTACTAACTGATCAGCACTATCAATGACCATATCCTTTTTTTTTTAACTTTCTCAGTTATCAATTCCGCAATTCGAAACAAAACTGACGTCGCTGCATGCCATTCGGAGTGCCAGTGGTTGTGTTTCGCATCGCTTCTTCGACACAAGCCTTGTAGGCGGCCGACGGCGATATCGCGCTGGTCGAAGAGGACGATTTCGTCGTCGTACTCTCGGCGCCGCCGCTTCTCCGGGGCATCAACGTTTCATGTGCCGCCGGCGACTGTACTCGCGGTGAACCTTCAAAATGAGGTGATAAGGCACTGCATGGAAAAATGAAACTACCTTGAGCAGATTCGAATAAGTTACAGGTGGAGCCATCTCTATCCTGTTCTGAAACGGATCGATCGCCAGCCAGTGACAAAGAAGTCCCGACGGATTGGCTGTCAGCCAGTTTTAGTTGTTTTAACTGAAAATAACTTTTTGAGCTTTATTTTCCCAAACTTCTAATGGCGTGTTCACCTGAGAAACCAAAAAATGCTTTAAAACAAAAAATCGTGTTCATAGCCAAAGTTGCTCCAAAACAGTACTAATTCTCGTTTCGGATCAATTTTTCGTTTCAAAGCATTTTTCGTTTTGTCCGATGAACACACCACAAAACTCTGATGGCAAACTCAATCTGGTAAAATTTTTAGCGGCCACTATAGGGTTCTGAAGTTTTATTAGCCACTATAGTAGTCAAATTAGTGGCCACTTAAAGAGTTAAAAATTAGTGGCCACTATAAAGGTCTAAGTGCTACTACTAAACCACTAAAAAATTTTAGTGACCACTTTAGGGGTCGATGGATTAACATAACTGGTTAAATATGTTTGTTTTAAAATTATCAGAGTTACTGGAAGGAATACTCGATGAAAAACTACGGAAGTGGCCACTAAATAGAAAACCTCTATAATGGCCACTAAACATTTTCCCATAATTATCAAACTTCGTTCAAAAATATAGCTAACTTCCCTTTTTTAAACTTGATTCCTCCATAACTTTTTGTTTAGAATGGAAGATAACTTGAAAAATTTGAAAAGTAACGTCTGATTGAGTGAAAAGGTCTCTGAAACCTTATTTTCAACTTCTACTCATTCTAGTCCTTTCAATAATCGTTTGACAAATAATGTTATCAGAACCCTACCCGAATATGGCCGTCCTTTCCGCCCTGCTTGTCAGGAACATACAGAACCGTCGTCTCATCAGCATCGGCCTGTAAAAACGAAAATTTGGATCGAGAAATAATTTTCTTAAAATAACCTCTTCACGTTCTCTTTGTCGTTGAGCACTGGCCAACTCCCGCTCTTGTCTTCTTCTCCTTTTGCCTTCTTCAACGTATGGGGTGAAGCTAAATTAGTTATTATTTATCCTAAAAATTCTTTATCACGCATTTTCTCCCAGGGAAGGTCATTTCAACTTACGATTGGGAATCACCTCAAAATTGGCCCTAAAACTCCTTGATGTACGAAAACTGTGAAGGTCTCCTGCATAATTTCATTGTTCTCGAGAAAAAAGGGCTTTTAAGTCACAAAAATAGTCTATTTAAATGACTATTGAGGCTTATTTCGACTTTGAGTCGTCCTTTCTCAAAAATGAGGAAGTTGTTCATACTTTCCGAATCTTCATTTGGTACATCAAAGAACCTTCCGACCAATGTCAGGAAATTCCCAACCGCAAAGTGAAATGACCTCCCTTGTCAGTTTCTAACCCGACAATTTCATGTGGGAATTTCTCTAAAAAGAAAGTTCATACAACTTTTTTTTCTATCAACGATTGAAACTGTCAATCTTATTTCTATTTAAAAACTAATCCAGGAGGCCCTAAATTTCAAAGTTCCAGCTAAAACGAACGGTGGGAATTGGCTGCCGCAGAGGACCTTCTTGCAATTCCCAAAACATCCAATCGTGAATGGGTTATAGCCGGATTGAAACTTCCCCGTAACCTACAAGAAGAAAAATGAATCGCTTTGAAAAAACAAAAGGAGGGCAAAAGCGCATGCAAATACTCATATAGCAAACTTTGACATGTTCAAAAGTCCTTGCAGTTCAATGACCATAGGAAATTTTAATAGAAATCTCTGGGCAAAGAGCAGTTATAGTTTCATTTTAGGTCATGTTGCGTCTCTTCCAGCAAGAAATTTTGAAGAGACATTATACATAGGCAGAGTCGGAAAGGGTGGAAAACAGAAATTTTCCTTTTAGGGTTACGAAGGCTTCTTTTTGCTGCCTTTTTGCGCCATTTTCTCAGCCCATATGCACCATTTTTGTTGCCTCTCCCTTCTTCCACCATTTCTTGAACCCCAGAAAAAGAAAAGGCTCGATAAATGGGCTCTTTTTGGTGCCTTTGCGGCCTTTTTTGCCTCTTCTTTTTAAGCGGCCATCGCCCTTCCGACTTTGCCGGAGTAAGGAAAAAGTTACGTTTTCATACCACGAATTGCGAGACTTTCACAGCACAGTGCTTGTTGTTAGTGCAAGAAAAATATCAGGATTCGTATAAGATAAAAATTATGTGAATAATAAATTCTACCAGGGTCTATACGTGATAATGTCGATGATAGAACTCAGCGTAATCGATTTACTTTATAACTCAGGATTCTCAAATTCAAAACAAAAGTCATAAAATCACTCTTTTCCGTTTTAAAATTTCCTTAGCAAGGCGAAGCATGCGGTGTGGGTGCGATATGAATGAAACAAACACTCTGGTGATACGGAGGCCCGTGGCGAACCTGCTCATTGGTGGTCCTGCCGCGGGACACGAGCACGACGTGGAAGATGGTCAGGCCGACGACCGGAACGGACAGAATCGCACAGGCGGCCATGAGGATGATCGCGCAGACGTACGCCGGCGTCAGCATCTCATCGCTAGATCTTCAACCTCATTCGGACAGTGAAAAACCAGCGACAAAGCGTTAGGCGGCACGGATTTCGAAGTAAATTGTTAGAACAGGACAGGTCACGATGGACATTATTTTGTTCGTTCGAATATTTAAGAATAGAAAAAGAAAACTGGGACAAGCAAGCCGCTAGGTGAGAAATTCATTTATTACGTCCTCTCAAGGCTTGATACCGGATAGGTAGTGGCAGTCCTACGTTTCAAACCAATATTTTGAAATTTTCAGCACATTTGAGAGTCCCAAAATATTTTAATGCAAGACGGATCACTTGTCACAGCTCGATTAATGTTTTAATTTTTTGACCTAACACGGGAAGTCATTACTTTGCCATTTTTCCATGAATTTTCTCAAACAATTGCTGAAAATTTATATGAAGATACATCTAAACTGCAACTCGCGCCTTCATAATTTTGAAATTCGAGGAAATAGCCTTAAAACTTATCTTTCGGAACTGAAAAATCATATCTCAAAAACTAAATTTTTGAGCTGGTAGCGACAATAAGGGATCTTCATCTAAACCTTCAGAGAATGTTTGAGAAAATTTAAAAAAATTCAAAACCGAAAAGTAAAATGAACCCCTTTGTAAAGTGACATGAATATATCGTTAAAGATACTGACATTGAAATTTTGTCGTTTTGAAAGGTCTTTTTGTAAAATTTTTACAGAATTCCGAATTTACGACTTGAAGAAGCTCTACTAAACGACAAAGACAAAGTTCTTTCATGTTTAAATAAACATCGAAACATAGAAGTTATATTTTTGACAACCAAAAAAAGAAATAAATTTCAATCAAACTCTTATTCAATTATTTAACAGAAACAAGCTTATGAATCAAAGTTCCTATAAACAAAAAGCAAGCGACATTGAGAAGAGAAAAAGTTAAATTAAAAAAATCCCACCTGAATTTCCAAATATAGAACAAAGAAATACTGAACACGTAAATCATATGAACGCTCAGAATGCATAGGAAAAAGAAGAAGTACCTGAAAAGGAACTTTATTGAAAAAATTATAAGGAAAGCAAATACCGATAATTCCTTCGGCCAACACAATTATGCACCCACGGGCAATGATGATCGAACGTATCAATACACCTGAAAAATGATCATTTCATGTTTTTTTTAATAACAGGGTCATGGGAAACAAAAATAATATTTTCCGGAAAAAAAATATTGACGTTATTTCCTACAAAAAAATCTGATTTGCATCAATTCAATAAGAATCTAGACCACATTTTTCCGTTCAAAAACGCTTTTGAAGGCACAGAAAAGGCTCCAACAAGAGCGGTGATTTTAATTTCAGGAAAATTGACCAGATAACTCCTTGATTTTGAAAGTTTCAACCTGCGAAAAATCCTAGTTGTCGAGAAATAAGGGCTTAAAGTTTTAAAATGGCCTTTTTTGAGGGTTTCCTTCGTCTTTGAGGACTTCTTTTCCGATAATTAAGAATTTTTGCAGGATGAAACTTTCAGAACATTCTTCTGGCAGATCAAGGAGTGTTCTGGCCAAATTTCAGAAAAATCCCAACCGCTAATTTGAATGAGCTTCCTCATAAGAATATTTTGCATAAATTCCATTTTTAAAAGTATCATTATTACGCTACTTTTGAACTATAAAACGTTCTAAACAAATCTCAAAAGGAAAAAAATGCCTTACCGATTACAAACACTGCAGTGGCTAGACCTTGGAGGCCTGTAGAACTTGCAAGTGACACACCATTTCATCCTCACTGTTATCCCGTTGATATCAACATTTTTATACAGAGGTGCCCGAAGATCGTCGAGTTGGGTTGGTTCTTCGGATCCGATGGCTGGAAAAAGGTCATGGAATAATTGGATTAAAATATTGGTCTTCAGAATAGAAGCAATATATAGTCGTATCACGGCTGGAATGAGCCATCGAAAAATGACGCGGTAAAAATTAGAGACTTTTTGGTTAGTGGGTAGCGCAGAGAGTCCCACACCATTGAAGTCCCAAGCCAGCCGTGAATCGACTTTAATTAAAATGAATAGAATTATTAACCATATGGATGGGTGCCTGGGTCCAAGCACATCGCCATCCCCAAGTTTGCGATAACCATCAGAAACAAGCATCCGTCGATTATCACTGCGGCGAGACCCCATCTGAAAAAAATAAAATAATCCGAAAACTTAAAAAAAACTGAAAACTCATTAAGTTACGAAAATTGGGTGGTATGAAAAAAAGACCGGAAATTCAAACGGCGACTTTTCCGATTTTTTAAATCGCGAGGTAACTTTCCGAAAGCCACCTTTCCGACGAATCTCATTCCGACTTATTTCCCGGTGTATAAAAAATCTGTTAACATTTTTTTTTTCCTATTTCGTTGTGTTTTAATCATGAATAACTCGCCTACATCAGAAAGGAAGATTGAAAACGAAGAGTTTATCGAGAAAAAAAAGTCGGAAAAAAATTCGGCGGAAAGGTGGTCGTCGGAAAGTTCTCTAGCGATATGAAAAAATCGGAAAAGTCGCCATTTAAATTTTCGCTGGTCTTTTTTTCATACCACTGGAAATTGAACGGTCGACCGACCGCTCGATCAACATTTTTTTTTTAACATGTTATACTAAATGGTTATTGGTCGAAAGGTTGAAGTTTCATAAATTTCAAAAACTGGTCGGTGAAACGAACGGTCAGTAGAACGAAATGTTACAACCGTTCGAAAACGGAACGGTCAAATCAGTTGAACGGTCTAACTTAAGACATTAATAAAGAGTTATCAAAATATTTCCTTTCAAAAATTGGCATAGTCCATGTGTTATATGACGACTACTTTTTGTTCTATCATCGGAATTGATGAGTTTTCTCACTTCTGATTAACAGCTAACGAAGCTCTAGGCATATTTTATATCGGCCTCTGTTCAATTATTTTACAACTTTCCAGTCATTTTCATTCGAATTTTTCTGTTTTCCTTCGCTCAACTAAATTTCCAAGGAATCCTTTTCTGTACAGAAAAGCTGCAAAAGCCACTTACAATGCCCACTTGGCGACGACGGCCGGAGCGAGGAAATAGTAGAAGATGGCGCTGCCGATGATGATCATCGACCAGGCGACGCCGGCCGGCAGGAGCAGGGTGAACTTCTTGCACATCTTCTTTCGCTGCCTGCAGCACCAGCTGGTCCTGCGCCTCCGGCTGCTGGCTCCTTCGATACGCACAGCGCCCGCGTTTGTTCTGATCGCCGCCAGCTCTCCTACTCTCTGAAATTTGTGAAAAATAATAAAAAAATTCAACTAGGAAAAATGTGAACGATGGCTGAATCAAATTTGAAAAATAAAAATTCTTCATCTTTCATATTATTGAGCACGACGTATTTGAGCTTGTTCTCGACAATCAGGACTGAAATTTGTGGGACTGTCAATTTTTACAAAGTTTTTACAAAAGTAGTGTCCCATTTGAAAGTGAGATTTGAAACTACACTGGAAAAGTTCAAAAGGTCTCAAAAAGGACTTTTGGAACAAAAAATTCTCTGAAAGGCTTCAAAAACGCCTTTTTTACAACTTCTACTGAGAAGGACCTTCTAAGGAGGTGTAATAAAATAAGGCAGAAAAAAGGTGATTCCGAGAAACCTCTTTAGGAACTCAAAAAGGAGTTTTAGACTCTTCTTTTTAAGGCCTTTTTGAGGTCGCTTGGTATCCAATTAAAACCAGTTTTACAGCTCTCAACTGGAAATTCCAAAACTTTTTTTTTTATATGTCGGCTAACTTCTAAAAGTACTGAAAAAAAGAACCTTCAACTATCCGATGTGCAGTTTCAGGCCGAGCAAGCAATTGCGCCGAGCGCTATGCTTTACAAGCAACCGATCGCTTGCTGAAATTATCTTAATATTTTGAAAAAAATTACAAAAATAACTCTCAAAAATCGAGTGTAGAATTTGAAAAAAACAAAGTCGAAAAGAGAAAGAAAATAACAGCAGTGAAAATGTGATATTATGGAGAAAAACCAAATTAAACTATGACAAATCGGGTGACAAGGTGAATAATATTGATGACGTCGAAATCTAAATGAAAAAATGGGGGAAAAATATCTGAACGTTTTAAAAATACCTTTTCGAACTGAAAAAAAGATTTCACAATATTCTAAAAAAAGGCAAGAGTATTTGTTCCTATTTTCAATGATCTATCGTCTCTTCTTTGATTAAACAAGGTTTATCATTTTTTTCTATTAAATATTTTAGCTAAGAAACGCTAAGAAAAAAATATCATCAAGAGCATAGATACAAAAAAATACCTGGATGTTCAAAAATTTGAATACTTTTAAATTAAGAAATCGATATTCGAAATTCCCGGAGCAAAATCAAGTTGAAACTCAAAATAACCCCAAAAATTCCGAAAACTTGTTGATCCTTAACAGCTTTATTCGGACAAATTTACACATAAAAACACCTAAAAAAATAAATTTTAAAAAAATGTATGACTTTTTTTCATTGTCCAAAAATCAAATTCAAATGCTCTAAAAAAATCGAAAAAGTACCATTTCGAAATATTTTTTTGAGACCTGAATAATATAAATATTAATTCAACTTTAACGATACATGCTTCAGTTCTTCATTCAACGAAAAATAGAAAAATTTCAAGACAAAAAAGCCTTTTGGAAAGCACAATGAGCTGCTAAGAATAAAAAAAAACTACGGAATAGTTAAAAGTAAAGGTCGAAAAAGGGCGTTTTTAATCCAGCTGACACCTGCACTGGAAACCTAGCCAAAAGCTTCCACTCAAGTGAAAATGTTTGCAAAGTGACATGTTAGCCGGCGGGAGGCTCAAGGCCAAAACTCTTGTGGAGCTCGAGAGCCGTTCCGATTCAATCTCACCCCTCCTTTGGCTCAATCTCATTATCACTCGGCGACTGGAGCATTGAGCTTTTTTCTCCTTTTTATAAAAATCTTATAATAATGCTTTCTTTTTTTATGAGATTTTCTAAAACTTAAATGGAGGGAATTTTTGAAAGTATAACCTCCAAACTTTTTGATATGAAACATTTTTTTCAGTCGAAAATGGTAAAAACCTAGAAAAAGCATTGGAAAGAATACAAATAAAATTCTGGCGGGTCTTCAAAAAAATTAGTTTGAGAAATTTCGAGTTCATGGCGCGTTCATTAGAGGAATGGAGTTTCAAACTCGAAAAAGAACTTTTTCGCAACAAGCTTCATTTTTTCCGGTGGTTCCGTCATGAAGTTCAAAAAAATCTTATAAATTTCCACAGTTTTTTTCTTTAAATTTTTAAGTGATATTTGTGTCCGAAATTAATAAATGTATTCATCCGAAGTTTCAGCAAAAATTTTGATACCGATATTCATAACAATTATTAAAAAAATATCCTTTTTATTCGAGTTTTTTTGAGTATTTTTTTGATTAGCTCACGGTAAAAAAATAGTTAAAAAGCATGACTACCGTAGAAAAAAATGAAACATTTTTTTATAATTATAAAAAAAGCGTCTACAAGTTTTCGAACAATATTGATTTTAGAAATTAATAGCAAAACAAACTTCGAAAAAAATTTTTTTTTATATTTTCAGAAATGTTGGAAAATAAACGTTGTCGTGACGTATATGAATGGGAGAAAAAAGTCTATTTTTGATTTAAAAGGAACTGCGAATACACCTAAATAAAAAAAGAGCCAAAGCATTGGACAATATAACTTTACACTCGGCTAGTATCGATCAAAGTTTGGTTTGCGGAAGCCCCTAATAAATTATCAAATTCCGCCGATATCATGAAACATTTATAAGCAGCAAAAAAAGCTCCATTGTTGCAAATTCAAAACTTTTCAAGAATCAAACTTTATTAAAATAAACTGGCCATCTGAGCTTTTGAACTCAGTTATATTTATTAGAAATTTCTCCTCTAGCAAGACTGACAAAGATTTGAAAAAACTGTTCAAAGATTGCAATAAAAACCATTTGAAAATAAAAAATAAATAATTGAAGACGTGATAAAAAGCGAAATCGAAAAGATAACGGACCTGAAAGGCGTCGGAGCGAGAGAATCGGACTGCCAAATAGGCTTGTTCGCTCTGACGCACAAAATTTGGTGTGTCAGGAAATCCCGGAAACGTCAGACTCATCTCGCACCCGAGCCATTGTAAACGTTCTTTGGGAAATAGCCTCATTCCAGCCTAATGGAAAAAGCCAGAAAAATAGCTTTAGCCGAGCGGCGGTCAAGGTGAAAACAATTTCGAAAACAAATAAATTGTATTTTCTTTTTTGTTTATCATCTCATTCAGAAAAAAAAACTTGGGAAAGGCCACCCTACAGATTTTTCATGAGCGGAGAAGCATAACCGCAGTTCAAACTTCCGGGAATGACGCTATAGGATCTATAATTAGAAGGAAAAAAACTAATTATTTTATCTAATGATGTTCTATGAGTCATCTGACAAAATGAAAAATTTTCAAGCCCAAGCCTGCAAAAGAAATTACTAAACAAAATATTTTTTTAATGAAGTTTTGCTCAATGAAAATTTTTCTAGAACTGTGAAAATTTGGCAAAAAGCCTGTTAGCTTTCGAACGCATTGATGTAATATATTTTATAATTACTGAAAAGTAAGAAGCAAAAAAAGAAAAAAATTTTTTTGAACAATTTTTCAAAAATGCGCGTGAGATGCGCATTTGATGCATAAGAGATGCAGTTTGAAAGCGACCGTACTCAAAATTTCGGCTTTTTTTCTGTTTTTTTCTCCTCGTTTCGAAATTTAAGGCATTCGACGCATAATATGTGTTTCATATTGCTGGCGGAGTAATTACTCATCGACTTGTAAACCTAATTTGTTTTTTGGGCTCTCAAGGATGTGGTATTCAAAAGCTCCAATGAATTTATTTTCAAGCCACAGAGTTTGATAAAACAGTGAAAAAGTTCGTTCTGAAGTAGTGAAAAAAAAAAGTAGTGCAAGTAAAGATTAGATTTAAAGAAACAACGATCTCACTGGCTTCCATGGAAAAGCTCGAAAAATTGGCTCCGAAAACATTTTTTCACTTTTATGTGAAACCTTCAAATTCGATTGAAGCCAATTTACATCAAACATCGAATGTGAAAAATGGCGCTGAAATTGAGGCGTTTCAATAGATCTATTTAACACGTCTTTTTCTTTATCCAAGAATGTTTGTAGTATTTCCCTTCCCTTATTTTTTTGTTTTTTTGGCCGAAAAAAACTGAAAATAAAAAAATAAACTATAAACTTAAAAAAACTTCTACATCACAAGATAACTTGATAGATTCTTTTAAAAAAAAATTTCATTTGAAAATTTAGAAAAAGATGAATTTTAACCTTATTTTTCGTTTTTGGCAAGATTCCACTTTTTCTAATTTTCAGGACCATTAATTTTGTTTCATGCTGGTGCGGCTTGATTTTTGAGATTTTAGATATGTTAAAATTTTTTTTTGTTTTTTATTCTGCCGGTCATTGACTTCATGATTTTCTCGACGCGTCGACGTCAAGGCGGGGTAAGGGGCGGGACGCGTAGCGTGTGCGTTCGCGGTTCTTGGCACGTGTTCAATTCAACCGTCATCGACTCTTTGTGAAGCCCGTTTTTTGCTCTTTTCATTCTTTTTTCAATTATTTATTGATTATGTTCATGTGTGCATCAAAAAATAATAGAAAACATTGAAAAAGAGCGGTTGCCGAGCTTTTTAAATAGTCGGCGGCAATTGAATTGGACTCGTGCCAAGAACCGCGTACGCACACGCTACGCGTCCCGCCCCTTGCCCCGCCTCCCTCGCCTTTCAAGTCGGGAAACATTGACTTTATTCATGTTGAAGTAAATTAGCTTTTTTTCAATTTTTTTCTTTTCCTATTTTTTTCCTGACAATCGATTAATTTGGCAACCCTAAGTTCGAGGCCCTCAAACTATTAAATTTAAGAAAAAAATCAAAAAGAAAAGAAAAGAAAAATTTCGAAAGTTCATGTTTCGAAGACTGGAATTTTTGTGCAGGAAGCCAGTGTGAAACATTTTGAAAACCAGACCTTCGAGTCGCTTTTCGGAAAATTTCAAAGTGTTCAAAGAAACATATAATAATTTATAAAAACCTTAATAGTTTTAGTTCCATGTCCTGTTATGTGAAACTCCATCGACCTCTAAAGTTTCAGCAAGGTTTTTTTTTTTGAATAGGAAGCATTCCAGAAGCTTCCATCAGAAAAAAACTTCGAAATTGTAGCCATCGGAAAATTTTTTGTGCTCAACCAGCCGCACCCTTTTAACTTCGTCTCTCGTATTTTTTGTGGTTTGGCGTAGCCTCAGAGGTTGTTTGGCCTCGGTCGCACTCTTGCGCGGGTCGCGGCGAGAGTTTGTACGGAGCTGCGCCGGTAGCGGAAGCACAACGGACGGCTCTCAGCTCCTTCGCCACAGAACAAACAGTTTGTCTCTTTCGCCCCCCTACGAACGCGAGTTTCGAATCTTCAATTGGTGGCTCACGTCCGTCTTTTTTCACTCTCTTTCAAGGTTTTGAATCTAGAATTCGTTCAAAATCGAAATTTCTGTCCAAAGTCATACTTTTTGTTCTTTCCATTACAGCCTTTTTCTAGTGCAGGGAAATAAAATTCCTGAAATCAGTTTTTTCGTCTTGATACTTTTGTTAAGTTTATCTCTGATCTTTTGAGAACCTCATAACTTATTATCTACCGATATTTCTGTAGCATTTGAAAAATTTCTATACATTTGAAAGTTTCTATATACTTTTTTTCAGATAAACCTGGTCTATAATTTATATATATTTTTAAGTATAGGGCCATTTTTTTGGCTCCTTTCTATGGCTTGAAGCCAAAATGATTGAAATGAAGCAAAAATTGTTTTCAAATTGAAAAAAATTGCACTATTCTGAAGCGTTTTTTTCAGGACGAAAAATTTCCTCGAAACGAAATTCGATTTTTAAATTTTCAGTTTTTTTGTGAATTTATAAATTCAAAAAAATTGGCAAATATTTAAATGTCAGTGAAAAAGAAAAAGAAAAAAACTTCACCGAAACTTATTTTTCGATTTTTTTACTTTTTCTATGTTGCTGAAAAACCTCTCAAGATATCGGTTTATCGGCGAAAAATGTTTTGAAATATTTTTTGGCCTTCTTTCCTTTTTTTTTAAAATTTCTTCAAGATCTTATCAGTAAGGCACTTTTCTCGGCTGTGAAAAGTTGAAATTTCATTTTATTAGCTTCAATTCAAATGTTGTATCAAGCTGTGATTTTTGAACTTTCAGGTCTTGAAAAGTTCATTTAAAAGAAAACAAATTAGACGCCCTTATTAGTAGTGCCTAGACAAGCCTCTTGAGTCATTTCAATTGACTATTGTCATCAAATTGTCATTTACGAATAAGTTGACATGTTTTGGGAAGTATTTCAAATTTTTTTTAGTCCTCCTGGCAATATAATAACTTCATGAGAAAAAAATTTTTTTGTAAATAAAAAAATTTATGTTTTTCTTTTATGAAAGTTTTTCAAAGGTTGATAGTGAATTGAACCGGCCTTTTTTTGGATAAAAAGCATGTCTAAAAAATGAATAAAATTTTTTCAACTGATATCAAATTTATTCCTCGGATATATTCTGTGTGCCGAGACTTGAAATTTCACGGAACGACATTCCGCTGTGCCGCTGCGCGCCTTTTTTTTCTTTTCTTAAGGTACTCTACTTTCATGTGCTCCCACAGCAATAACAATCAATTGAAAGCGTGACCTAGATTCGAAAGTCGCTTCGCAAACGCACGCAGCGGAACAGCGGAATGTCGTTCCGTGAAATTTCAAGTCGTGGCACACGGACTATATATATGCGAAGAATATTGTAGGATCCATCAGAAGCTCTGTGAAAAACTTTGAATTTGATTAAACGACTTTTGTCATTGTTTAAACTGTTTTGAGATATTCAGTTATTCTGAGTTTCTCAAAGTTTCCTATTGATCAAGGTAAACTGAGTTTCACGGTATTCCCATGATTTTTTGCTTTTCATCCAAGCTTTTGGATTCTCCTTTTTAAACAGGGTCTTTGATCTTTTCCATATTGATATTCTCAGTAGCATCTGTGGATTACGCTCCAGTAGAAACTTCCCCTCTCAGCTTTCACACGATTATTTCATCGAAATCCTTTGGGATCCGCCTTTCTCGTCGCACTCTGCCGATTAATTGCTGCCTTGCCTTGTTATTGAAGAAGGAATGGTTCTTGTGTTTTAACAGGGTTGCCATGGCGGCGGCGGTGGTCGGCGCCCGCTGAAACTCCGCCGCGCCGAACTTCCAACCGACCGCTGTTGACAGAGCTCCCGACGACGACGATATTAGTTGTGCCACGAATCAGCGATGATAGTCTTGCATCCACGAGTGAGTTTTTCGTACTCTTCACGACTTGGAATGAGTCCTTGTCGTTATCGGTTAGAGCCTTCTCAGTGTGCAAAAAGTTTAAAGTATAAAAAAATATATTTAGAGAAAAAAACGAGGGAAAAATAGTAATGATTTTTGCACAATACGAGTCCCCTATTTTTTCAAGGAGGTCCAATTTTTCCGATTTTCAAGAAGATCACGGAAAATCAACGAATCGCAATGTTTTTATATAGTCTAGACTAAATTTCCAACATTAGCCTAAACCACGCCCAGTTTTCTGCAATTGTGGCGCGGTACTTTCTGTCTCATTTTTCTCCACTGCGAGGTTCCTTTTTGGAACGCCGTGGTCTGTTCAGATTTTAAATTTCAAGCACAATGACGTCGTTCTAAAAGGCTCTCTGGATGGCTTGCCCTCTGATTGGTCTATCACGCCATTAGGGGCGGAGCTTGAGCGTCGACTTAACATTCAAAACTTGAACAGGCTGTAGTTTACTCTAGAAAATTTAGAAGCAAAACAATTTTTAAAAAATCTTAATTGACAATCACAGTAAGCTGTGTTATAAATGGAATAAAAGCCTCAATAAAAAAACCCTCAAACGTCATTTTTTTTTTCAGGACGGTACTAATATTGATCGTTCAACACCAGCAACATCAAAAAATGAGCCGATAATGGTCTTCTGAGCAACAACAACAACAAAAATGCTCCCAAAAAACACTGAATAAAAATAAAAATGGCTGGTTTTCGCAGCGTTGACTCGTCCGCTTCGGTATTTCAATGCAACTTCTTACAAACATTTTTTAGTTCGAACAATTCTTCTTTTTTGTAATTTTCTTGTTAATTATCCAAAAAACAAATATCTCTTCATATCCCATTGCAATGCCAGCAATTATCGATGTTTTCTCTGTGAAATCAAGCTCACCTTGCCCATGCCAATTTTTTTTCTTTTTTCTTTGTCCCATATTATTCCTCGAAAAGTTTTGTTTACATCCCGAGTAACCATTTTATTTATATGATTGCCATTAAAGTCCAGTAAAATGCCAATCTCGAGCCTCTTCTACCTGTTTTTCTTCAGCCAGAATTATTTATTAAAAAAATTGCCACGTTAATTTAAGCCATCCCTGAAACGAAAAAAAGTTTGCCATCTTCTTTTTACCGACTCTTGCACTAAACTTCGATTGATTTCATTAAGTATTTTCGATTGCCGCTTTTTTAAAATATTGCCCTGTCGTTTTCAGTAAAATGCCAATTATTTTTTTAAAAAGGTGAAGGAATAAATTTTTAATGGTAAAAAAAGAATTCAAAAATTTCATTCTGTGGGTGAGAATTACGCAGCACGCTCACAAAACCCGAAACATCAGATCTTACGACTATTCGGCGAAAACATTTCAGTTGAAAATTTTCAAAACACGCTTTTGCGTTTTGAAGCATGTTCCGTTTCCACAATGAACACGCCAATAGCATTTTCTAATTTTATTCGAATTACGACTCCGGAACAAATTTTTAATAAAATGAAAATGTGCAAGATGGAAATTCCCTACCGGTGGAGTGTCGTAATAGCCGTCAACCTATTGGTCCTCCTGCCCTTTAAAGCCTTGTTAAAGGCCTTTAACAAGGGAGGTAATTTTAACTTGTGTTTTGGACAAAGTCGTTCAAACGCTCTAAATTCCCAGGTGAAGAATCTCATGGTCGCTAAATGCGCAAACTATTGAGATATGATTTTTTAAAGTTGCGAGATATAAAAGCCTAAATTTTCGAATTATAAATAATCTTTTAAAAATCAGAAGTTGGTACGATTAGCGAATTTGATAGGCCCTCACATAAACCTTTAAAGATTTCTTGAACGATTTCGTAGAAAGTTCAAACTCGCAAAGAAAAATTACTTTCTGTTAGGTCTAATTCGGTGTTGGACGCGAACTTCAATATCTGCTAACTCAAAAGATTTATCTGCTAACTCAAGAACCAAACGTTTGCGCAGGTAGAACTATGAGGGATCCTAATCTAGATATTTGAAGGGTTATTGAGCGCATTTTCAAGAAATACCAAATAAATAACTTTTCATGTGAGCCCCACCTGTCCTGGACTTCTTATTTTTAATTCATTCCCTGCTTTTAAGCAATTTTTTCGAAGGTATCAACAGTAAAGCATTATGACTTTCAGAATTCAAGGTGAATCCGTGCAATAAAAATAAAATTTTGTCCATTTTTGATTTCGGAGACTTGACCCGTTTTCTATTCATCGAGTGTTCAAAATAAGAAGTACGAGTAAAGACTAAAAGTGAGGATTAAAACATCAAAAAAAAAATTAGACTAAACATCACTGAAAGGTTCTCAAAAAATTAGTTATTTCCATTGTCATTTGATATTTACCTGCGTTCCTTTCATTGAAGAGAGAAATCGTTATTTTTATGGGCCTCAGAATTCTCCTCCTATTCACGCGCCACAATTGTTCTTTCGAAAAACCAACCCATCATAACAAAAATTTTTTTGAGGTTGATTCCTTAGGTACCACTTTTCATTTGTGTTTGTTTTGTTCGCCTCTCGCTCCTCATCAATTTACCGTGACGGTTATCGACAACTTGAGCTCTTTTCGTTATTTTTCTGCTTTTATTTTTTTTGTTTTAATCAATGCAAGGGCTCCAATATTTTGTTCTAATTATAAAATCGAAAAAAAAACGGCATCTTTCGAAGTATTATACTTACATTAGCTTCTAAATGGCATACCCACGGCATTAATAAAAATTCAAACTTCCTGTTTTCAGTCCCAAACTTTTATCTTGAAGAGTCCCAAGTTTTCCAACTTGCAACTTCTGACACAGTTCTTGCGATCATATTCTAGACCTACCTGTCCTAACCAATCGAATGAGTGAAACCGCAGCTTCATTCTCATTTTTCTTTATTTTCACTATAACCCACCTCCAAACATCTCAGCATTTTTTTTTTGTTTACAACCTCGAGAGTGACATCATCATTTTTGTGGTGTCCGATTCAATCGATCCTACTAGGATTCGTGAGAGAAATAGCGCCGCGGCCGCGTGTGTTGGACGAAATAGCGAAAAAGGGCGAAAACGGCCCCAGAATGAATGAACCGGATTGTTGTGGCCCCTTCGACGTCCCCTGGTTACGCCTTTGGTTTTCCGGTGAACGTCGAAAATTAGCCGCTTTCGCTTATTGCAGTTGCTTCGTTAGGAGTTCAACTTACAATTATTTTTTTTGAGTTTGTGTCTGTTCGTTCAGAAATCCTAGCTAGAAGGCTCGAAGGACCCAATTTCTCTCTCTTTATTGACCTAAAGTTATATTTAAAACACTCCAAGCTCCAACCAGTTCATGAATTATTTTTGCCTTTTGCCAATTTTTTTCTCTCTTCAAACCATTTTTGTATTTGTTATTTTGTTCTGCCTATCAATAAATATTATTTTGTTCTGCCTATCAATAAATATTACCTTACCTCTTTGAACACCTTAGCTGAAACTTTTGAATAAACTCCATTTTTAGTCAAAAGTTTCCTTCATAACGAAATTCAGTAAGAGTATTTTTCCCAATTTATAGTAGTATTCATTTTTTTTTAAATAGTAAACGGCTAACAATGATTTGAGTATGTTTTATCCGCTAAAAACAATCCATTTTTTTTCTTCCACAGTTCCGCGAAGCTTTGGTCACAGGTCTAAGACGATCTTTACACGTCATAAAACTTTTTATTTATTTCCAACTCTTGCTGTTGAATTTTCAACCTTTTTCATTTTTTCACCAATCAAACGGCTGCTTCAACAGAAAGATAAAATGTTTATCGGAATTTGAAAAGTGTTCCAAAAAAGTTTTAAATTGATGCATTTTATTTTGCTTCTCACATAGTTCTGATTACACTGTTCTGGTTTAAAACGTCAAAGTTTTTCTCAAGGTTTTCCTTATTTATTTACTTTTGCACGTTCCTTACGACTGTACGAAGGAAGCAGGCGTCCATTTGTTCCACGTCATCTTTTGACCAGTTCCTTTTTACGCGCCTTTCCAGTTCCCACCAAGGAGTCTGGTTAGTCGTAGTAAGTTTTTCACTTTCTAATGTTCATGTTGATGATTTTTTTTATTGTAACTCAAATTGAGAAAAGCTGGCTTTATTTCTGGATTCAAGTACTTAGTTTTCCCCAAAAAAAACTTTTTTTTTCTTCATTTTCTTGCAAACTAAACCGGTTTCTGTGTGTCGCTGATTTACTTTCATAGATGACCCCAATTGTATTTGGATCCAAATTTGACCTGTCTTAAGACATTTATTAGTACCCTGAAGTTAGAGTTTTAAAGAAGATTTTTTTTTTCCATGATCGCTTTTGATCTCAAAACTCCTTGAATCTTTGTGATTTCAATGAAAAATCTTGGTTTCTGAGTAGTTTCCGGCCAACGGAAGTCGTCTTTTTCCGCTTGGGGTCGCACCGTTTTGCTTTGTGTGTTGTGTAAAAACTACCAAAACCGCACTTGTTTTGCCTTTCTCAGTTCTTCATCCATCTCCACAGACACACACACCTTTTCTCTTTCTCTTTTCCATTTTTTTTCTTTGTTTGGCTGGTCGGTCGATTTATTGTCGCATGGGAATCGCAATGAATGTTCCAGGAAACAAAATTTTCTGGAATCAATTTCTACATTTCACAAGCCCTTTTCGTGGCGTCGAATTTTTCTATTATTTGGACAGGAGGATGTATTTCAGGTGGCCCCGCCAATTATGGCGTCACCTTTTTGGCAGCAATGTCAAAAAAACGTTTGTCAGCCGTTTCTTCTTGATTGCCAACATTTATTTTCTTTTTTTCGAGTTCTAGAGTTCTTCGGTTTTTATTTTTAGGCTTTTCTTTTGGTAAACTTCAATGGATTTCAATTGTAAATTTTTTAAAAAATGAGTAAAACAGTCTCCCCGAAGTTATTTTAGGATATTTTATATCTCTATTTCTTTGATTTTTATATCTTTTAATGAATATTTTTTTACTGGGAAAACTTTTAAATTTTCACTGTAGAGGCTCGCCAAGGACTTCTTGGAGAGGACACTAAAGTGGCCACTAAACACACCTCTATAGTGGCCACAATTTTCCGTTTTAGTGGTCACTATAGAGGTTCCTTGTTAAGTGGCCACTTCAGTAGTTTTGTAACTCTGATAATTTTAAAACAAAAAGATTGGAAAGCAAACTAAATCGATCTTCGTCAAATTTAAAATAAATCTAAGTAAGATCTTCTCCTACTAATTATTCCAATTCAGAAAAAACCTTTTATTTTTCATGTACTTATTTCGAAACTTTCATGTTTCTTCTACGTGGACGATGTTCTGCCCCACGTTTTTCAGGCATCGTTTTGGTTCGGTGACCAAAAACCCTTGAATATAATAGTTTTTTGACTGAAATAACTTTCTTTCTATGAAAAACGTCAATATCGTTTTGAAGGAGGCCACTCTTCTCATCCACTCTATGCTTGAAGCGTCGGATAGGCTTTACAGAAACTTCTTGGCTGTAAACTCGATAAAAAGTCACTTTTACATCCTTCGTCAACTGTAACATTCGCAATGATTTTGTCGTCCTGGTGTCTGCGCTTTGATCGTGTACTTAAAAAGAGAAATTTTAGTCTTCCAGGATGTTTCGGCATTTGACCACATTATTAATAGCGACAGCCGTCTTTTTGGCTGGTCCGATTGAAGCTCGTCGAGCCTCGGGCGGTGGCGGTTTCAACCGTGGCGGAAGCGCTTCACGGGGGTCTTTGGGGGGAAATCCTGGAGGTTTGTTTTATTTTCTAGGTGAAATGATGTATTGAAAATCGTTTCCAAGTATATTCAGTTGCACGGCGTTCCCAAACGGGGTGCGGAGAAGTTTGGCGCGAAAATTGAAATCTCAAGTACGCCACCAAAAGCGATTGAACAAAAAAGTTATTAACGTTGAATGCTCATGTAATTTGTGACGAAGAATGATGTCATTTTATCCGGAGCGCGCACTTACTTTTTTTTGTAAAATGGCCGTCCCAAGTATTGACTTTTTTTAAGTACTGCTTTTCAATTGTAGATCTAAGAAAAAAAAATGGCAGTCCTAGTTTTGCATCTTTGAAGTGGTAGCTCTGAACTTTTATCGCTTTTTTTGATCATTAGAAAAAGCTGTCTTGTTTTAAAAGATTCTTCCAAGATCATCCGGCCTTGAGTCAGGCAGCTCTATTTCCAATTCCTTGTCAAAAGAGATGCTTTTTATGGAAAGTATCCGACTTCAGGTCCACCAGCAGGCGGTGGTGGTTTCCACCCGAGCGGAGGCGGCGGTTTCCATCCAAACCAAGGTGGCGGCGGCTTCCATCCCAACCCTGGGGCCGGAGGATTCCATCCGAATCAAGGAGGCGGCTTCAGACCTGGCACCAACGTTAACCAGGGCTTCCATCCTAATGTCAATCCTGGGTTAGCTCAAAACTTGTATAATGATCTGTTGAAGGGGGAAATTTGAAAATGGTCTCTTTAATAATTAGACGAGCAGTGACGTCTATTTTTCAGTCGAAAAAAAAGCAAGGGGAAAAAATATATTCACCAAAAGTCTAAAACCGAGTTTATTGTGTAGCTTCAACTGTATATGGTTCTTCAACTTCCAGACTTTATAATGATTTTATTTTGAGGCCTATTTTTCACTATGTTGCATCATTTTTTTTTTTTGAATATTCAAACTTTATGGTCACATGCATTGATTTTCCAACGCGCAAAGTCGATTATCGTCGTAAAATCTAAAAAAAACCGCATTTCGCAATGTTTTGATGTTGCTTTGTGAATTGAATTCTTTTTTGCGCTTTTAAAAACAACTTTGGAATCGGTCAATCAGAGGAAGTGAAATTCAGTAATTTGACCTTGAAGGATTGCTGTGGAAGTTGAAAGTGTCTTCATCTATTCGAGAGAGTTTTTATTGCTACTGCAAGGAATTAGAATGAACAGGTTTATAGTTTCAAGAAAAATTTCTGAAATTAGGGACCGGGGTATGCGAATTTTATTAGAAGAAATCGAAAAAGAACATTTTCAAGATTCCGACCCGGATCTGGTCCAGGCTCGTTTTCTAGTGGTAGCACGTTCAAACATGCGCTTATCGGCGGAGCTCTCGGAGCAGCAGGAGGTTTGATTTAAGAAAGAAAAAAAAATTAGAATCGAAGTTTATTCAAGGAATCATCGCTTACGAAGCCGGAAAAGCGATCATCAACTCGGCGACGACGCCATTCCATCAAGGCGGACGCGACTATTACTGGGACAACCATTATCAACAACGCAATGGCCAATTCCAATGCTCCATGCCGCTCAGCCAGTTGACTCAGGTATGGGATCAGTAAAAACATGAGAATGATATATGAGAGAGTGTTAAAGGTTCATTTTGAAAAGTGTATATTAATTTATGTAAGATGAAATAATTTACCATGGAGTTTTTGTGCATCATGAATCAGCTTTTCATGTCAACCGGAATTTTTTCCAATTCAAAAAACTTTGCAGCTCTCAAAAAGAGTGACAAGTTTGTCGGGGCATTTCTAATAGCCACTTCAGTAGCTTTAAAACTCTTAAGTGACCCCTAGAACTGCCCAGAATCGTCCGGTTTGTGTTACAGAGGTCCAAGTTTGGAGCTCTCGATTGGAAGTCCTAAGTTGGGCTGTCAATAATAAGTTCTGTCCCCAAAACTTGCAGCTCTCAAATTTAAGCTCCCATGAAAAAAACTGAGATATGAGCTTCCAACTGGCGATTCTAAATAGGGCTGTAGATAATTTATGAAGTGGCTGTACCAAATTTTCAAGCTTTCAAGAAGTTTTACACAAATTGAGCTCTCTACTGGCAGCCCCAAAACTTGCAGCTCTCAAATTTAAGCTCCCTTGAAAAAAACTGAGATTTTAGCTTCCAACGGACAGTCCTAATTAGGGCTGCTTTCAAGAAGTTTTAAATCTATTGAGCTCTCTACGGGCAGCCCCAAAACTTGCAGCTCTCAAATTTCAGCTCCCATGAAAAATAATTGAGATATGAGCTTCCAACTGGCAGTCCTAAACTTTCAGCTCTTATGAAATTGCAGCCCCCAACCAACTCAGCTTCACAGATCTTTTTAAATTAAATTATTCTTTTGTGAACTTTTTTTCAAAAAAATGTTGATTCGGTCCTGCAGACTGCCTCGACGACGACTTCAACGACGACAACGACGTCGACAGGCGCTCCTGATGCCAGCACGACGCCGTCGACTGTTCCATCGACGACCCCCACTCCGGAAGCTGTCTTGAACAATGTCAGACTTCAATTTGTTTTTTTTTATACAATCGGTGGTATAAAACTCGTTGTTTTTTGTAGTTTTGCAGCTCGCAGAATTGTTAGGATATCGGTCCAAAGTATAATTTTTTTCGGTTCAAAATACAATTCTCGTGTGCTGTTGGAAACTACAAAGTCGAAAATTTCGGGCGAGAACAGTTTCGAAAGAAGAAGATCGATTTACTCGAAAAAACTTATTAATTTTTCAGCTTCAATTCGCTGATGGTACACGGCCGAAGCAGATCGTCTGGGGATGCAAAGTGAGTTTTAAAGCAAGATAATTTGAGGATAACGGTAAAAGTTTTCCTTTGAAATGAAAAGTTAGCGATGTCCGATTTTCATACGTGTTAAGGAATGGACTGAGTTTGATTGTCTAAAAAGTCGTTTTCGAATTGGTTTTTATTCAAAAATCAGGCTCAATTAGCTCAATAGATAGAGTATTTCATTGTCGTTTTGATAAAGACAAGAGAAAACGCCGGTTCGCAACTTCATATACTGGTTTTGATTTTTTGTGAAAAGTTCTCCAATATGAGCAATAATGAGGAAACATGGGATAAAAAAAATTATTTTGCAAGTTTGGTTGAGTTTGGTTGATTTTTTGTCGAGATGTAGATTTTCGAAAGGTTCTACTGTATTCCTTTGAGCTACCGTATCTCTAAAACGGCTTGGGTGATGATATTTCGTTCTGTTTTCAAGAAATCCTAAAAATCGTGTTCTACATCATGTTTGATTTAAAGAAAATTTCACCCTAACGCTCATTTTTTTTTCTAACTCAGCCTAAACCCAAATGGCGCAGAACAAGTATGCGCCTAATGAAATGACACTAAGTATTGATCTTCAACTAGTATCTTGGATGCTGATGTAGTTTTCACTTATTCATCATCTTTAGGTTGGCCAAGAAGTTTGCTGCGGAACTGACTGCTGTCCGGCGCCGGTTCAGGCCAATAAGCCTGGAAGTGCCGGTTCCTCTATGGGCGGTGCCGCTACCACCTTCTTGATGTGAGATTTACCGTGATTGTCATATCAAAGACGATTAATCAAGAGATTTCAAAAGAAAGTAGGAAGATCAGCTCGAAAAAATTGATCAGACTATACACATCTCAAAAAGTTGGAAAAGGAGATGTTTCGAAACTTTTCTAGCCTCTAGCTACTCGCGGAAGCTCAAAAGAAAACAGTTTTCGAAATTTTCACGGATCGTCAATTGTATTTATGTGTAGAACGTCTGGATACGAAGAACTGCACAAAAAATTTTTTCCCGGGTTGATGTAATCGTGAAGTTTTTTTTATAGAAACGACTACAACTAAATATAGTCCTCGGGACGTCATTCAAGAATTGTTTTACGTCGGTTATGTTTAAAAATGTCCACGTCCTTGCGTGTCTTTGTGTGCTCTCTAACATGTCATCCGTACACGATTTTTGTTAAACATTTTTAAATTATAGAAATAAAAAGAATGAAATAAAGGTGGATCAATATTTTTGATTGGGAAAAAATTTATACGGCAAGATCATTTAGACAGTTTCTTGCAATTAGATGCTTCTACGAGAACAAGAAGCTCAATACATGTTAATATGAATTATTTTTGGAAATTTGGTTCAGTGTAAAAAATGAAAATCTCGAACTTTGAATTCTCCCTTGGTTTTGAGTTCGAATTTGATATTTTTATTAAACAAGAGGTTTTTTTTTCTGATTTTTCAAGACATCGAAAGGTTGGTTAAGTCTTCCACTTAACAGAAAAAGTCAGTAAAATTTTACATTTTATCGATTTTCCTGCTATATCAGAGCTCAATTTGATTTCGTTGTAATTTTTACTAGGTTAATCCGAAAAAAATAGTTTTTTTTTGAGAGTTGTTTTTCACTTTAAAGGAAATCAAAATCTTGTGCTCGAGTTTTCGCACGATGTTAGGATCAAAGGCATCTTAAAATTGGTTTTTGACTAGCTTGGAAGATTTTTCGGGATTAAACCAACTCTGGGTCATCAGAAATCTCAGAATCATCTTCAAATCAAAAATAACCCCAACCACGTCTCTTGGATAAACTTGAGCGCCTTTTTTAAGCCATGTTAGGATTACATTCCACTTTAAAATGATTTGTGAGATTCTTTATTTTGATCTCCGTTGGCAATCTGAAAAAAAAAAGCACCAACCACATCTTCCAGTAGATTTATCTTATCCGAAACATAAACTGAAGGATTATCGTGTTGTGAACGAGTAATATCAATAACAAGTCTATTTTGAGGCTAATTGCGCTTCCGGTGATGATGATGAGGATGGTTTAACCCACACACTTGGCTGACGTCCGCATTCTGATACTTATCGGCCTCCCCTTCCTCAAATTCCTTGCCTAATCGCTTTGACTCAACGAATTGTACTTTGTACAAGAACATCGACCAATCGCTTTTCAAAGTCTTCACTTCGAAATTTTTTAATGTTTGGTAAGAGATTAGAAGGATATGAATTTATTGGTGGTTTTTCAACTCGGAATGAATTCAAGAATTTCACATTTTGGTCATGCTGAGCCTCAAGGGAATAAATGGCTGTATACATTTTCTAAACTTTTGAAATGAATTAGCCTTAAACTTTCAGTCCCAAAAATTAGCCGCTTTCATCCAAATAATTTTTACATTTATAGGTTTCTGTGATCTTTTTAACTACAAGTTATGCATATAGCAGGAAAATTTTCAACATTTTCGAAGAGTTTTTTGCTTTTTTTTTTCCTGATTTTTTGAAAATATTCTAACACTGTCAGAGCCAGCTTGAAAAACTGCAAAAAACCCATTTTCTTTTCACAAATGTTGAAAACCCACTGGTGCTTGCATATTTTTGACTAGATGAACGTGCTTAGTTGTGTCGGTGTGTGCTTCTGTTAGAACAAAAAAATGAGTGAAGTTCAAACAACATCGTCTATTTTTAATATTTATTTCAGCTAGTTTTTCGTTGAAAAGAAGGTCCTGATTTTTTTTTCCATATAATGATGATTTGAATTAAGTCGAAATATGATTGTTGTGCTGTGTGTGTTGCTTTGGGATTTACCAGAGTAGTTCTGCAAAAATCGGAGTTTTGAGAGATTTTCTTATAGCTTTATTAGAAATTTAAACTTGAAAAAAGGAGGTTTTTCTTAAAATTATCCTTTTTCTACAACTTTGTGACAAGCTAGCACTGAAATAAGTTGGCTCAAATGCTAGTTAAAAAACTCGACTTTTTGAGCTTTTTGAATTGCTTCACCACTTAAAAAATGATTTGTTGTGTGTTGTCCTTGTGTTTGTTTGAAAACTTTCCTTTATTTTCGGAGATATGCGACATGTTTCTCGAAAGGAAGTACATGAAACATATCTCCATCATTTCCCTGATTTTGGTTTTTTTTTTGTTTTGCAAAACTGAATTTCGGTCATTTTCAGCATTCTGTTGGTTTTGCTGTTGTTGTGCTGCGGTTGCTGCATTGGAGCCTATTTCTGCTGCAGATCTGCTTTTGATAGCTGTTTCTCATCGAATAATCAGCCCAAGTACGACGATGGCTATGATGGTAAGATTTATTATTTATTTTCAAACTTTTAGGAGAGAAAACTCAAGTAAAGTATCAAAAAAGAGGACCCGATTGAGTACGAAGGTTGTTAAAAGATTGGAAAGCTTTGATCATAGTTATTTAGTTTTTTTCAGCCCCTCAGTAATATATAATTTTGGAAGCTTTCCCTTCGTCACAATTGTACCATTGGAGGTTCCATTTTAGACCGACTACGTAAATCTCGTCTCTTGACACATGACTTGAGTACGAATATCCCTACCAAGAATGAATCTTTGATGTTTGGTAGTTTGGAGTCGAAAATGTACTTTGAAGCGCCAAAATATGATAAATCTCTTGAGAAGTGAAGATTTGGAAGTTGAATTTTTTTTCTTCGAATTTATTTATATAGTCTGTGTGCCACGACTTGAAATTTCACGGAACGACATTCCGCTGTTCCGCTGCGTGCGTTCGCGAAGCGTTTTTGATTTTTATTGCTGTGGGAGTACATGAAAGTAGAGTACCTTAATAAAAGAAAAAAATTAATTAAAAGCGCGACCAAGGTTCGCAAAGGCGCGCAGCGGCACAGCGGAATGTCGTTCTGTGAAATTCCGAGTCGTGGTACACAGGCTATAATTGAGAAGCTGAAATTGTGGTTTTTCCAGTTTTTTTTAAAATTAAGTGAAGAATAAAAGGCAATAAATGAAAACTAAAAACGACTTTTTCAGGAAGTTATCAAGACCAGCAGCAGTACCAGATGCAGAACTACCCGCAGCAGCAGCAACAGTACCCTCACCAAGTACAGTACAACCAGCAACAGTACTCTCAACAGCATCCTCAAAGCGGATACCCCGCCTCTGGCAATTATTACCCGCCAAACCAATATCCTCCTCAGCCAAACTATTAGAGTAACGTTTTGAACGAAAAAAGTTTAACCTGAGCTAGGTTTTATTGATTAATGTGACCTGTACCTTTTCAACCCTCAAAAATGACATTTGCCAACTTTTTTCACTCATTCACTTTTTCCTACACCTATTCCCATCGCATTGTTTACGGGCAAAGACAGTGAAGCTGCTCCTTTCCTATTTTAGAACGATCCAGTCATTTCTACAAAATTTTCTAAAATTTTCATCCCCTAGGTGTTTTTTCCCCATTTTTGTTGGAAGTTTTGACGCTATAAAGTTTTGTACATTTTATCTTTTCAAGAAAATGTTTTCTTCGAATCATCTGAAAATTTTGTCATCGAGGTGACATTTCGGCTAAAATAGGCTTGCACTACAAAGCTTGTTATGCCGTGTTCAAAGTTATTTCCGCGAAATGCAAAATGGTCTCTGACCCTCCAAAATTTTGTTATCTTTTTTATCTCTGATGGCTATTTTGTATTTCTCTGAATCACTTTGAACACGGCATTATATTTTTGACCCGCGCACATAATTTTTTTTTTGATTACAGTATGTGCGCGTTGTGCAATATCCGTGGGAACAACAAACGTTTTAAAATACGCCTAATTGGGTTGTTATTTTTAATTTTAATTTGTATTTTTATTTTGATTGTAATTTTTTTTGATGCTTTGTTTGAAGTATTTGTGTGAAGTTCAGAATAGTCGTCCAAGGAAGAAAAGAATAAAAAAATTTGGAGAATTAGAGATTTCTCTGCCTTTCGCGGGAATTACTTTGAACACGGCATGAAATAAATAATGCCAGACTTTTGCTTGAATTTTAAAATACTGGAGAGTGTTTCGAAAATCGAAAAGAGCAGACATTTTTGCACATACTTTTATAACGTTTAGTATACTTACAAGCAAGTGATTGGCTAATTTTTTTGTATGCTTTTTTGAATATTTCTTGCTTAATTTTTCGAATAAGCAGAAGATTTTCATGGCTCAAAAATGCACTAAAAACGTTTCTCCGGGTCGAAACTTTCGATAAGCCGCAGGAAGTATTTTCACCTGCCTTTCTTATTCGATTTATAAGATAGAAATCCCGTGAGTTCCTCCGAAGGCGTGCAAAATTAAGCATGAAGCTTTTTTTGAACTATTGAGAAATTAACTTATCAAAGTTAATGAGTTAACAAGATAAACACCATGACTAATTTGACTAATTTAATTCGATTGTTGCTATCTTTAACTGTTAGAATAATTAGGATAACTGGATGAGATTTTTGAACTTTTTTTTTGTTGTTTCTCTTGTATTCCTGAAAATTTGCTAGGCGTATGTTTTTTTGTAGAGGGCGATTTTGTCTTTACAGGACTTATTCGATAATGTATCAATTTGAGAAATTTAAAAAAAAAAACGACTTTTCGTTTCCGGAAAAACAGCCTATGCGCCTTTAAGCACCCGAAAAAACTGTTGTGACGGTTTATAGACATGTATAATGTTTTTGAACAGTTTTCTCTATCTATCATTTAATCCCGCGGTAATTAGGAGATACATGTCAGTTGTCGCACCATGACACGCTCTTGGCCACGTGCCATTGGCACCAAGAAGAAGAGCTGAGCCGGCTTGTCATAAAACAATTATTTATTGTGCTGTAGATCGTATCGATGGCCTGACTTCACACTTTTCTCCGTTTTTGGTCCACATAGCACCCGTAAACAACAAACAACTTGCCGAATGAGCCAATTGCTCCGAGTTGGTGTGGCTCTCAGCAGAACAATAAATTATCACATTAGATGATGGTCACTCTTTTTTATTGACCTAATTTACAAGTTCACCAGGGTTAAGTGCGTATAATTTTGTTCTTCAATCAGGGTATAGTCTGTGTGCCACGACTCGAAATTTCACCGAACGACATTTCGCTGTTCCGCTGCGTGCGTTCGCGAAGCGGATTTCGAATCTAGGTCACGCTTTCGATTGATTGTTGTTGCTGTGGGAGCACATGAAAGTAGAGTAACTTAATAAAAGAAAAAAAAATCAAAAGCGCGACCAAAATTCGCAAAGGCGCGCAGCGGCACAGCGGATCGTCTTTGGGTGAAATTCCAAGTCGTGGTACACAGGCTATAATTGAGAAGCTGAAATTTTGTGGCTTCCCTCTTTTAACGCGATTTTTATTCCGTTATGGTAAAGGCGCATGCCTTTTGGCAGCGCACGAGTGTCAAGGAGAGGCTTCCCGGATAGTTTCTGTAGCTCGGAGGAAAAAAAAGTCGTGACAACCTGGCGCGGAATGGGCTATATCTATCTTGCACGCGGAATCACTTCGAACACGGCAAACTACATCCAAAACGTACAACTTATGATTAGACAGGTGCTCTTTTTCTGTTTTTTTAATACATTTCAAGAAAAAGCTGATAAGTTTTACTTACTTACTTCCAGTTTTTTACCTACTTTAGTTTTTTTGAATGAATGTTCCATGGTTTTTTTGAAAGCGTTTAGTTATATTTCACGAAGCTTCCTATTGTTTTATTCAAATTAATTTCGGCGATTAAAAAAATTATTCGTTCAAGTTGCATTTTTTTACGATGAGTTTTACGCGTGGATTTTAATTTTTTTCGTGGAAAAATGCACACATAATTTCAAAATTTTGAGTTTTATGTGTAGATCTTACAGTAAAAAAGGCATATCTTGCGATATATCGTTGTAGGACTCATTTTCCCTGGACCCTCAAAAAAAAACCAATTCTGCCTATTTCCCGAAATAATTTTAAACGAATAACGCGTCAATTTTGAAATCGCCGAAGTTACTTCTAACCAGGAGATGATCTTTTTCAAAGTTATTGAGGTCTTGCAAATTCCTTGAGTTTGAGAATAACGATTAGAAATACTTTTCTGAAGCTCCTTTGCCTCAAAAATATTTAATTTGATTGAAGGTAGTTACGATGGAAAACAGGTTATTTTTCTCATGTGAAAAAAAGATTTTTTTTTATTATTTCAGGTGCAAAATCATTCTTTGCACTCGAGGTAGTTTTCTCAAAAACTTCGCTTTGATTTTCGGAGACATATGGACAAATTAGTAAGGATTTCGAGGCTAGAACCATATTCAGTTTCGTTTCAAGACGAATCTCGCTTGTGCGCTTTGATAAGGTTTTTTTCTGAAACGGATTTTTGAAATCGTTTGCAGAAAAGCTTAAACATGTTTTCCCAGTTCTTTGTCTTATGCAAAGCGAAGATCATCATTTTTCCCATTTTGATGATGAATTTTTGTTTACGAAGAACCCATCTTTATTATTTCCACTTGACTTATTCCCATCGGATCATATAGTATTTGGAAGCCAACGAAACAAAGCCACTTTTTTCATATTTTTATCAGGAATGTGCACTGGCCCGTAAAGCCCGGTACGCCAACGCAGGGAATGCGGAAATTTTGGGGGTTGCAAAAGATTGTTTTCGAGCTCTTCATTAAGAGATCTATGGTGTAAGTTGGAAGTTCATGATTTTAGCATAAGAAAAGCAGAAGTCTTTTAAGAACTACAAAAGCTGTAGAAGAAATCCGTGACTCAAGAATTTTAGAGCATTCGTTCAAGCTTCTGTGAAAGATGCAGGAAACGCCAAGTATAAATTATCAAAATAATAATAATAATAATTCGTCTAAAGAATGATCATTTTAAAAAAAGCTCACCATAATATTTCCGTGGACTTTATAAAAGGTTTAGAAATTATCGAATAAGTCCTGTAAAGACAAAATCGCCCTCTACAAAGAAAAACTCGACACCTCGTTTTCATTATTTCGAATAAAAAAATTTCAACTTGTTTTTTTATCTTTAGCAAAAAGTTATTTCAAGGATTTTTTTCACCTGCAGGTCACGTCTGAACACTTGAAAAGTTCAAGGCTTGAAAAAAATATTTTCATGAAAAACACCTGTTTTCCCTTTAAAATGTTCTGCTCGAGTGGAGTTTTGATCAAGAAACGTCTCGAAATAGAGGAATTGCGTTTACTTGAAGGCTACAAATCTTTATCAGGAACTGAAAAAAAGATTTGAAAGTACTTGAAAACTTTATTTTTAGTTTCTTTTTTATTTTTCTATTTATATTTTCAAGATTATTTTCCTCGAAAGCAGGACCATTTTAAATTTTCTCAGCTTCTGAAAAAAATATGATCGAGAATTTTTCGGGAAAAGCCTTCTGGTATTTTTAAAAACAGAGTGCTTTTATAAATTTTACATATAACGGAAAAACGGCTCTTCGCGTTGAAATCTATTGGAAACAAGTGCATAACTGTTAAAAAAACTCAGCAAGATTTTTTTGAAAAATAATGTAAAGAACTTCTTCGAAAAATCTAACGCGGCCGCAGGGCCTTGAAGTTTGATATTTTTTTCATCTTTTTTTATTCAAAGGAAGACTTTCTCATAGTTTTATAATTATAACTCCATTCACTCTTTTTTTTTTGACAATTTTGGCAATTAGGAAGATGACCATTGTTGTGCCAACCGAGTGTTGGCTTGGGAACTCGTCGCGCGCGAACTTGTACCTCAATTAAATTGTGATGTTTTGTGACGCAACAATTACCTCCCGAAGTCCTGCTGCTCTTCGATTTATTCGATTATTTCTTCTATTTTCTTTTTTATTATTTTTTTTTTGTTAAAACGCAGTTAAACTTGTTAAATAGGGATTTTTTGATTTTTTTTTTCCGATTTTTCGGAAATTTCTTTAGACAAGGGTACACATATTGAAACGCGAGGATGCTCTGAAAAGTAGGTTTTTTATATTTTGAAGTTGTTTTGCTCCTTTCCGAGACGATTTGGCTCAGAAATATTCTTTTATTCTGTGAAAAAGTTCGAACTTCCTGACGCATTGTCGAAGCGCAAAAAGGCTCAAAAATAGTACCAATTTTCGAATTTCGGAGCGTTGTCTAGGCTTATAAAATGCTAAAGAAAAACTGTACTTTTTCAAAATTGCGAAATTTTCCGTTTTGATCATTGTAACAGCAGTGTACTTATACTTTTCAGGAAAAATCCCATCTTAATTTTTTTTTTTTCGAATTATCACGAAACCATGATTCACTCTTCTTTACGTCCCACGGGTTTCTCACACAGATTTGGAACGATTATATAGTTTTTTTTCCCCGGTTTCTCTCATTTTTGTTATGGAAAAAGCGGCTCCAAAATAAGTTATCAGAGGTTGGCGATGTTTTCAGGAAAAGAAAAAAGTTTTAGTTGTTTTGATAAGCAGAATGGGGATTTTCTGTCCCTGGAGACAATATGCAGTTACGTAGATGTGTAAAACGTGATAGATTATGGCGAGACTTAATTTATTAATTGGAAAAATTGTTTTTCTTTCATTCGTTAGAGTCAAAAAGTACTTTGCGAAAAGTTTTACGGTAAAAAGAAGGATTTCGCGCTTTTCTCGTTTCTTAGAGAGAAAAGGTGGAAATTTTTTATCTAGAATGGAAAAAAAACGAATCAGAAAAAATTTCTTAACTTTTTTCCCGATTTTTCTTTCCGAGAGCGTTTTTTTTCAGATATGGACGCATGAAGTCTGTTTCAATGTGCTTTTTTTTAAAATTTTGGTCTTCAAAAATGAAATTTTGTTAATTTTTGCTTTCTGAAACCCTTTAATTGTCTGTTCGAATTGATATAGGTCGAAAAGAATCATATAGTAACCACCCTAAAACGCTCAATTTCTAGAGATTCCCGCGTTCACACCTTTCTGACCGAGGTCGACTGACTTTTTTGACCATTTTACTGGTTTCACACCAATAAATAATACAAATAATGAGTAGAGTCGCATATTTTTCAAACAGAGTAGAATCAGATTTTATATAAAACAATAAAATTGACCTGACAAGAAAAGTCATTTTACTTTGCGGTTGGAATTTTCCGAATAATTGACCAGGACACTTCTGGATATACCAGGGGAATATAAAGAAAATATAAAACTTAACAAGTTTCTAGTTTTTGAATTATGAAAAGCAAAGTACTAAATTGGCCTGTTTTGACGGATTTTTTTGGTTGACTTTGAGCCCTGATTTCGAAAAAACTAATAAGTTTTGCAGGTTTGGATTTTCAGGCTCACTATCTAGTGGGTCAAGAAGTGTTCTGGCGAATTTTCAGAAAAATCGCAACCGTAAAGTGAAATGACCTCCCTTGTGAGGTAGTCTTTATGAAAAATCTCTCTGAAATGTTCATATTTTTCATTTTTTACAGCTTTTGGAGTGTTCTATCGATAGTTGAATGGAGATCTCCAAGAAATAGTTTCTCAAGTTTTCAAATTTGCTAAATTCATTAATCGCGAGCTTTTTGCTTAGCAGCTTGAATTGAATAACTTCATAATTCCGGACACGCGTTTTTTCGAAGTATAAATTTATAAAAGCTTGATTTTAATACTTGCGTATTTCGAAGGGTCTTGAGACGAAGAGCCATTTTAAATGATGTTTTAAATCATTCAAGACTTCCTCTCCTTTCAACATCGCAGTGAGAATTTTCGATCGACTTCATTGATTTGTTGCCCATTTTCACCATTATCACACCAATAAATAGCCGAATAATGAGGAAAGTGACTTTTTTTTGTTGCTGACACCTCGATGAAGACGTCGAACGGGGGCGGTCTTCTACTTCCAGATGTGGTAGGCCCACCGAGAGATGGGCGGAGTCTCGGACGACCCCTCCGCCACTGCGACCAGTGAGAGGCGAGAGGAGGCACACGTTTCCCGCGCACGTCTCTTGAGCTCAATCTCTTTTAAATACTTGCTGATTATCTTATTTTCCTGCTTTCATGGACATTTTTATCGTTTCTAACACGTTTTTTGGTTTGATTTAGCCCTTGGATTCTATTTTTGAACAAATTTTCATGAAATATTTCTTTTTTGAACAATTTTGTCGTTTTTTTCCTATGAATTACTCGCAATTTCGAACGTTTTAAATAAAAAAGTTTTCTCTGAAATATCTTACATTGGGACTCTTGAGCTTATTTTATTTTTTACCAACTCTTTTCCATTCTTTTTCATTTCGAATACTTTTATGCTACAAAACTGAACTTTATTATTTTTTTTCAAAGCTGTGAAGGTTCAAAATCTCGTTTATTGGATTTTTTTTCTTAGTGTCTTTTTGAAAAATTTGGATTCTTCTGATTTCCTATTTTTTAAAGTACAAACTGCACTTTTTTCACTTGTAGATCAAGAAAAAAGGAAGGGAAAGATCAAAAATTCCCGATATATATTTTTTTCTCGACAGTTGATGACTCATTTCTATTTCCGGAATCATCCAATCTTTACTATTATTCTGTTTCCTTTTTCAAATCCTATAATTTTAATTTAAATTTGTTGTTTTTGATAAAAATCTTCAATCTTTTTTCATTCATCGTGAAGTTTTCTGTTTCTTCCGCCGTTCCAAAAAACCAACTTTCTCTTTTCTTCCATTGATATTTACCGTATAACGATGGGATGTTGATAAAACAGCCCTATTCCCATAAAGCGACGTTTTCTCCATTCTTTGCATTTTTCGGCAAACTAGTGTCTATATTTGCACGTTTTCGCTTTTCTTCACAATAGAAACTTATTTCACGATAGAAGATTTTGAATTTTCAGGCTTCCTGTATATGACACTTAACCGGACTTAACAAACGTTTTTCGATTTTCTTTAAATAACGAAAGAAACGGAACGAGATGCGGAGTATTTTACTGTTCTGCTCGATTTTTGTACTGGCCCGGGCCGCTGGCGGCTTTCTCAATGGTTAGTTTTTTTTTTTGACAAGATTTTTTTCATTTCTTTTTTGTTTAGGCGGTTGTGATCGGTCCTCGTGTGTGAATGGCAAATGCCATCGTGGCCCACAGACGAAATACGGTGGAGCGACTCATTGGTGCGAGTGAGTGGACTTTTTGAATTCATTTTTATGATGCGCAAAAAAATTTAGTATTAAGTTTAAAGCTTGGAAAATTTAAGATACGTTGTATTTTTTTAGTTTCCTGAGCTTCTCTTTATTAGCCTAAAAATTTTAATTTCAATTTTTTTCAAGCTTTTGTTCACACATGATCTTGGACTGTTTCTTCAAATCAAACGAAACGATATTTTTCTTTGTTTTTTTTATTCCTACCACTGCTTACCAATAAATATGGCGAAATAGCCCAAATCCCAGCGCGTAAAATTGTGGCCGCAAAGCATCCGCCGACAGTTGCGCAACACTTTTTTTTTCTAGCGGAACCGCTTTTCCGTTTCTTTTTTTCTTACTGTTAATCAATCCAGTTTTTTATTGCTCTGATATCTTTAAGGAAATTACTCAACACGTATTTTTTATATGCGGCACGTGCCCTTTAACCTTGCCAATGCGTCATGATAAGATAATGTTATTCTTCTCCTTTTTTTGGCATTTGTTAAGGTGATGATTAATGAGGCGATAGGTTGACTTTTAGGGGTTTGAATAGGTTACGGAGCTCCTCATCAATTAACTAAGGGGAGTGCGAATTTTTAAAAAGTAGTTTCAATTTTAAAACTCAACAAAATGTTTAGCAGTACGGTTATTTTTTACATGATGGTAAAATTGTCGGGAAAGAAAAAATTCACTTCATTTTTTCATCCCAAGTGCGGAAACTTCAAGATGAAGCTGAAAGCAGAATCGTACTCTGGACGTTTTACACACTGTCTATGGTCCTGCGCGCAGGTCTGCCGTTCCCTGGTAAATTGGCATGCCAGCGCGCATGTCTTTAGACATTGAGTAGAACGAGGATAGTCTGGCCTCTCCAAGTTCAACGTGCTCTCTAAACGGATGCATGCGCGCTGACCTACCGTTTCGTTTCGCTTCGGAGTACTGTAGATTCTCCCAGCAGATCCCAATCGAGAGGGGCGCAAAAAAGCAATGGCGCAACCGTGGAAGAAAGAAGTGAGAGATGAGTAGTTTAGAGCGCCACAAGTAATGGACCAGCCACCCCACAATTACCCAATCAAATACCTTCCGTTTGATCATATCTTGACGATGCGTTTCCGCTGGGCGAATCAAGGCAACACGAAAGTGCTAACAGAGGCTTAAGGGATCACTTGAATGACTCTCAGAGATGTCAAGGTCACCACAGAATGTGAAAGAATCATAGAAAAAATTCAAAAAGCTTTCTCAGAGCAATTTTAAAATCATATTTTTCTGCTCATCATGAAAGCTTTTTTGGAATTCGAAGCTCGATTCCCAGGCGCGACAGGTTCTTTTTTTGCGATGCCTCGTCCATGTGGTGAGAAGCGGCACCACCAAGGTGTTGGTGGTCGTGTGGCGCAACACTGAATGGACATCTGTCGCGTGTGGGTTTTGTAGATATGTGTCGAGGAATTGGGTTGAAATGCTTGGGAAAAGAATATTTTCCGATTTTGACGTCTTCTCCAGTGGTAGGTTGGATAGACGCGGAGATTTTAGATTTTTAGAACTAGAGAAAAGTTTAAAGCATAAATTAAAGCTGCCAGACCATGTCAAGCTCGTCAGTAGTAACAGTGGTGCTTAAGTTATTTTTTCTGAGTTATAATTGTATCTCTTACCTGATAATTATGAGGCATCAGGTAATTGTGGACTACGTTTTGGGGAGGACACTGAGTTCTAAGCTTTTCTTTTCAAGATAGTTCATTTTTGAACTGGGGTTTATCAGAACCTTGACTCGAACCTTAGAAATGCTTTAATTTTAGGTATTTTTAAGTTGTAATCGGATGGAGTACGGTCCAAAATAACTTGTTGAAATTTGATTACAAGAAAATTAGATGAAGCCTTGAAAATCACAAGTCAATCAACACGGAAACATTAACTTCCGAAGAATAAAAGAACAAAAAGACCGACAATCCGATTCCCAAGTCATTTCAATTCCGATTAGGACACGAGGAAGAAAGGATCAGCGGCGAACCTACCGAAAAAGGTAGTAGGGTGGAAATCCAGCCAGTTATTGGATTATCTCCTCATTTCGGCCATTTGTCGGCGATAAAGAACAACTCCGGATGCATTGTTCTACGATTAGCAAGTCGGCGGCGACGAGGGTCAGTTCCCAGAGGCACATTTCATTCTGAGGATTAGTGCTGACCATTGCCAGCAAGTCTTGAAGATAGAGCTGAGATCAGCCTACGAAGGCTAAAAAGTGTTAGAAACGTGGAAAACTGGATAAGAATCGAAACCACAATCAACACTTCCATCAGGAGTCTCTGCTTGTAGAAAAGAAAAAGTCATACTTTTTCAAAACTTTTAATCCCAAAGATTCGCATTTCACACCTTTTTGTCTTCCCTCTTGTCAGCCATTTATCCCCAAAAAAGGCCGTGGCGTTCAGACGGCCGAAGCGAACGCGGATCACACCGACAAACAAGGAACAGTAAATCACTCTAGTGTGCGTCTTGGCCACTGATGTCGCTCCGACGAAAATCATGACCATTTAAGGGACTTTCTTCATCTCATCCAAATGAAAACCGCTTCATTTACGCGCGCGCGAGCCGAAAAAATTGAAAATAAATGAAGAAAAAAACGGCTCTCGGCTAAATCGCTAGTTTATTGCCATGAGAAAATCTCCGCGGCGGTGGGTTGTGGTCAAGAAAAATGGCGCCCTACCAATGAGGACTTGATGAAAATTAAGGAAGATGAGCTGCGCCAATTTCCTCGTTTTAAGAGATTCTTCTGGGAATTCTCGGATGAATAAGTTCTTCTGTAGTTGTCGTGGCTTGAGATTAGAAAAAGAAGGGGTTTGATAAGGATTTTTGTGGAGAAACTTTATCGCTTGGTCGAAATTTCTAGTTGAATAAGTATAAAAGTCACACAGATTTTTTTATAGGTTGCTTTATAAGATTTTAAAGTAGATTTTTAAAAATATTGGCTTTTTATGTAAGATTTATATCTCATTCTGAGTACTGATGAAAAATCTTGCCAAATTCTTATCTTATCGAAAGATCTGCGCGGCGTTTTGCTTGGAATGTTTTATAAACGTTGGACTTTTTCTCGGGAGAAATTTACCAGTGATTCATGTAGATTAGAAACTGCGGGCAGAAAACAACACAAAAAAATCTTTTTTTCATGAAAAATTAGGGGTTTTTATCAAAATTTTTTTCAGGAATAAATCTAACTTCCGAGATTTACTCAGTTATTCCTGAATTTCTTTTCAGATGTATCCCGGAAGCGGCTGGAAAACTATGCGAGAAGATCTGCGACCTGGAATGTGGCCAAGGCGAAAAATGCGTCTTCGACTCGTTGGGACGACCAAACTGTTGCAACGGTAGGTCATCCAGGCCATTCAAATGGTGTTAACAATAAAAAAAAGAAGAAAGAAGGGGAAAAAACGCGCGTAAATCATCAGCACGGCTCCAATGTGGCTAGTCATCGCTTAGCCGTATTTTTTTCTCCGTGATGATGGTGGTGACCACATTTTTTCGCGCACCTCGCGTGGTTTTTACGAGGTTTTGAGTAGTGTCCACCGGGTGGTGTCCGATGGAAATTGTCGAATTTGAGGTTTTTGATTTATGGTTTTGAAGGGAAAAAAGCTGGTGTTAAGCTTTGGAGAATTCACAGCGATTTTTAAAAGGAGAATAAAAAGTTTTGAACCAAGCTTACAGAAAGATATTGCTGCTATATGTCAGTTCCAAACGCAGTTCTCAAAAAATGATAATTTTCAAATCCCAGCTTTTAAATGCCAGTGAAAACGAAAAGAAAAAATAGTACCTAGAAGTAATAGTAGAAGCCTCAGAAAGAAAAACTCATCAATCATGTGGTTTTTGCGAAGTGACCCATCGCAACTTTTCCTCCATTTTTGGTGAGTAGCAGTGCCACGCGGTGAAACGTTGAACGGCCACTTCCACTCCTACTACGACAAGGGATCACAAACAATCATTCATCTTTTTTTTTCAAAAGGGTTTTCTCCGTTTTTGGACCCGAGCGATTTTCAATCCTTTTTCCTGGGGGTCGCCGTCGGCGGCGGCGAAGAAAAAAGGAGCCGGCTGTTGCGGCATCTCTTTTTTTGGGCGGCGCGCATGTTTAGCGATCTTTTCGCAATTTTTGAATTGTTTGATTGGATTTTTGAAATATGTCGTTGGCAATGACGGCATGTGGATTGTAAGTTTTCAGATTTTGCAATAGTCTGTATAGGGTCCTTTAAAATATATCACCTAAATCAAATAATTTGAAAAATTAAAAAGTTGTCCGTAGAGATTGGCATTATTTTATGTATGAACTTCATATTTAATGCCGAAGTTACTCTCAAATCCTCGAGCTTTCAGTGCGATTTTAATTTTTACAAACATGTTTTTTTTTTTTGAAAAACAAGAAATATTCAGTGATCGAGCTTACAATGAACTTTTCCTCTGTTTTCAACTCCAAAAAGTAGAAATATACTTCGTACTCAACTTGAAAGCGAGGACGAACCGGCGGCAAAGACAAATGGCTTCTGCCGTCGACCTTCTGTCTTCCAACACCACAGCGTGGCGCCGACAAATGAACTATCCGTTCATCTTGTTCTTCGAAATTTATCGAATCACTGGCACCGTGGCCTAGAGAATCTGTACATTTTTCTCAATTGACGGGATCGAATGAAATAAAAAAGTGAGAAGTTTGGCGCCAGTGAACGGCCTAATTTGCGTGGCGGCTGTCTGAGAAACGGCAATTTTTGCTTGATGCCGACAAACGCACGTCCCGCAACACAACCGTAATCTCCTCGTTTTGACTCTTTCTCAACTATTCGTTTGCGTGTGAATTGGAACAAGATTGTGGGACTTTTGAATTTTTTTCGGGACTTCGGAAGATGAAATGGAGTTGAAAAAAATACGAAAACTAGAAATTGAGAGGCTGAGAATTATTTTTTTGGGTGAAGAGAATTTTTGACATTGACAGGAGTGTTAAAAATCGAAATTTTCATCCATTTCAATTTTCATCCTAGTTTTCTGGTGTCCAAAATCAACGTTCACATGTCATAAACACCTAAAATAAGTGCAAGAAATAACAAAAAAAAAACCCAAAACAAAAAGGGACGGCGGTGCCACCTGCGGCTGGCGAGTATGGGAACGCGGCGCCCCATTGCGATTTCCGCGCACTTGTTCTTCTTATTCTGCTTCCTTTACAACAACTGAAGGAAAAAATATTCAGCGATGTTCTGAATAGTGATTTTGAGTGAATGATGTGACAGAAGCATAAATAAATGCTACAGACGCCATGGGAAAACATATGTTTCAATATTTTTTCATTGCAGCTTGCGGCGAAATCGACGAGGACGGCAACCAAGTTTTCTACGACGGATGTCCGGTCAGCTTGAAAGGTAATGTTTTGGGGTTGTTTTAGTACCTAGAGGAGAGGGAAAGATTAGAGGTTTGAGGGTTTAAATAACGAAAATTGGGCTTTATAAAAGTATTAAAATAAGCAACTGTCGAATACTGCGTTTCAAAAATTTCAACTTTTGAGGTTCTGGCGAAAGATTTTTAGTTACGATGCTCCACTTTACGGAGAGCTTAAAATTTTTCTATAGTTTTTTTGGATCCAAGATAGAAATGAGCTTCCCAGGGTACATGAAGCTTTCTATGAGAAGACATATAAGCATTTTCTTTCTTTTAACTTCAGAACGAACTACTAAGCTCTCGTTGCTAAGAACTTCTCAGCCTTCTGACCACCGGAAAGAGAGTCAACAATTCTTGAGTTGCGCAACAACTCCTTACTGATCTCGCTAATGAACACCTGTAATTAACGGATTTGTGTCGGTTGGCAAAGTTCGTTTGGATTACGGTGGTGGTAGAAGCAACTGCCGCCAATCTCGAAAAAAAAAGAAACTGTAGGTGAACAAATATGATGGGCAGCAATCAAGGCGGGTCAACTCGTCGTTTATTTGCCGATCCCATGCATGTTTCCGCGCTTGTCTCTGTCAAACTTTCCGCTTATGGCCGGTACTCACATAAATCAAGCCTGGTGGGGCCTATTTTTGTTGTCGTTGTTATCGACAACCTCGACCAAACACAGTGAATGAGAATGCTACTGGTTGCTGTTGCGTAGAAGTTTTTAATTGGGTTTTAGGCAGATCTAGGAGAAGGATTTTGTAGCAGATTCTTAATATAGAAAAGGGAAGATTTTGTAGAGATTGTGAGATTTCGAAGCGGCTTCTGACGTTCTAGAAAAGCAATAGACTCTTTTTGGTGCGGTTCATGTGTGAGAGAAGCTTCTGAGTTTGCTCCGAAACCTTCTGGAGTCCTCCCAGTGTCATGTCAAGTTCCAAATCCAACAACCGTTTCCAATTCCCCCACCTGCCCACCCAGGACAAAGACGAGTAGAAAAAGAGGAAGAAGAAGGCTGTCGAGGGGTGAACGGAACGAACGCAACACACACAAAAAAAAGAACCTTTCCTCACACAGAGGTGACAACGAGACGAAGGGATGAGTAACGGTGGCGTTGCGAGAACCAGCGCAAGTAACAAAAAATCTATGTTTTGTTACCTTTGGGCAAAAAAGTTTGGTGAGGATTTTAATAAAAATTAATCTAAGGTACTGGAATAACCTAGGCAGAAAGTCGATTGGGTTACCTTTTTAGGAATCTTTGAACTGTCGATTTTTTCTGAACAATCTTCACCATGAAGCTACATACTGAATAGCTCTTTCAAATATTGAGATCATTCCGAGCGTGCGAAACCTTATCAAAACTTCGAGATTGACCATTTCTTCATCACGAGAAAAAAAAGCTTCGAAGTGATTCATCCCGTCTTCCAAATGCCGAAAAAACCTCTGACCGGCATTTCTCAAAAAATGAGAAAAGAAAGAGAATTTAACGAGCGTTTGTGTCTTTCTGATCGTGAAAATGACGGTAGGGCAATGTTTGCAACGAATCTGGCGCCACGCCACAGCGGGACGCTTTTGCAGCCGTTTTTTCAGCCATTTTTTGGCCCATCCATCGTTGATTTACATGTGAATAGGGTTCGAAGACGACGACCGTTTGTTCGGCGAAAGATTCTCTCTTAATGACTTTTTCTTGGTTTTTTTCAACGCTTCTCTCGGGGGTCCGTCATCAATTAGTCCAAATCGATCTTATCTTTTTTTACTACCTTGCTACAAGTACTGCTTTCCCAGCGGGAAGTAAAAGTTACGAGAAGTTTATCGGCGTTCGGCATCTGTCTACCGACGCGTGCTGCGGTTTCCTTCATCTTTTTGTGACGATTGCAATCTTGACATGGCAATGTGTTAACGTGGGATTATGACCTTATTAGGGTTGGGTTAAGTGAGGTGGAACGAATTTTGGCTTGGTAAAAGTTAGATTTGATGATATTATTTTAGAACTAGGTAGTTGGAATGATAAGAAAATGGATAGTTAAAAAGTTAGTGTGTTGGAGTTTATCATAAGTAGTTGATAGTTATTCTCAGCTTTATATTAATCACCATTGACTTGATGAGAATATTTTTAACGTTGTGATAAAATTTTAACATAAATAGAGAGGTAGTCCAAACAGAGCTCTCTACAGTGATAAGATCTTCTAACAAGCTGGCTAGGAGTGGAGTATATTTAGTATCTTCCAAACTGGAGAAACAGAAGATTTCGAAAAACTCAGAAAAAACGGCTACCACCGGATGTGCGAAAGCGTTCTTGACGCTTGAAGGAGCCCCGACAAAGGTGTTTGTTTAAAATTGGAGAAAAATCGCCTGGTCGTCGGCAAACGACCTAACGAATTGGACAAATCTTCACCTTTTTTTGGACACCTGCGTGTTCATTTCCTGCCGTTGTGTTAAATTTGGGGACTTTACTACTCCAAAAAACATGGAAGGAAGTTGTAGTTTTCTATACCTTTTCCAAGAAAAACAGGACTGTTTGTCGACTACAAGAAACACGAAAATCGTAGCATGGTCATGTGAGGTGGATACATTCTTGTTGAATTGTTTTTCTCGCTTGCGGATTTATAGATTTACGACAAGTTTTGGATTGTGCAACATGTGCGTGTGTGGTTGTATCGAAATGCGAGAAGAACATTGGGTAATTTACGATCAAGATATTCAGGTGCACACCTGAACGTGCAAACAAGCGGATCAAGGCAATGGATATTTATGAGCGATGTGGTGGTATAATGAGACAACTTTTTGAGATTAATTCTTCCTCGTGGCGTGGCTGTAGACGGGAACTGTTAGAAAATGTGTTCCTGTTTAATTTTGAACTACTGGATATTTTCTAGAGGCTCTTAATCACAAGGGTGATTCTTAACTTTAGTCATAAAGCTGATAAAACTTTAATTTTCGAATGGGATAGGAAGTTGAGAGAAATCTCCTCTAAAAAATTCAAAAAGGGTGACGGTAGCTTGACTTTATGTTTATTGAGAAGCAGAATTCGATTTTAAGTCCTCTCCGGAGTAGATAAAAGTTTAAAGCTGCTCGTAATTTTTTTTTTCGTTAATCAAGCTATTTTGACACCTTCCTCGCTGGTTTGAAGCTGATCAACTTGAGTTTTCTTCTGCGTTTTGTCGAAAATCAAAGTGACAGTCGTCAAAGAGTCTGCCGTGTTGTAGTAATTTGTCACCGTCGCACACGTCGAACTATATGGGAACCGACCGATGGACCTTACCAAGAGCCGTTTTTCATTCCGCTGGCCGTCGGCTGAAACTTTTCTGTTGACCAACTCCTCTTATTTTCGCCCTATGGTAGCTTGGAGTTATTGGAGACTTTTTAAACTGAAAATAGATCTGAAGAAGGTTTTTTGATTTTTTTCATACGGTAGTCAAGTAAGTAAGACGGCTAAATTTGGAGACTTCTGACTTCTCTTTGCAAATTCGGGAGTGTGGATCACTAAAACCTGCTAACTTTTCACATTTCATCACCTATGGCAGCTAGGAGGTTCTCATGAAGCAGGACGTTTTATTGACTTGAGTATAATTTTCTCGGGATCCTACTTAGAGCCGCCTTTTTGCGTTCAAATCCGGATGTTTAATTTCGTCGTCCTACGGTAGCTAAGATGTTCTCATGATGACGTGATTTCCATCCTTGCGGGAAAGGAAAATATTTTGAGTTGAGTTGAGTGAAGAAGTTGAGAGAGGTTTTAAATGACACGCAAAGGACACGGTAAGTCTTTCGCGGGGCCGGCCGAAGAGAAATCGGACCGGCGGCAGCGACGGCGTGGACCAAACCGGATTAACGCCACTTTTTTTTGGCTAGCTCTACATGTTCTGTGTGTGTTTGGAGTGTACCGCCAAGGATACCATGGGAATTGTGGTTTTTTCTGGGTTCGCAAAGTTTTTTGGGTTGGATGAGATTGGGTGACATTGGAACATTTGGATTGGCTTTAGGGAGATGTTTGTTTTTTTTTTCTCACTGTTGAACTTTTACTATCAAACTAGCAAAAAAAATTATATTTAAGTACTGTCGAGAAGAGGCAAAAAACTTTTTAAATTAGGAAAAAGGGAAAAATAAAGTCTAAAAGTTGCATTCAAAAAGGGTGAATAAAAAAAATACAGGAGAATCAACTATACTGAAAAAAATTGAGCAAAGTGAAGTTTCAGAGAGCTACGGTATTTGAAAAAAAATATTTTTTAAGCTCTAGAGTTCAGGAAAATCGAGGAAACTTTTGAAAAATTTTAGAAACAAGGGCTTCCGTCAGATCAGCCAAAATCGGACGTAATCTCATTTTTGAAATTTTTAGACGTCGACTGCGTGACACGCGACTTCTGCTTCCCGAAGACGTGCTTCAACGGCGGATTCTGCCAAGCCGACAACGCTACGAGTGCCAGCTGCGTCTGTCCGCCTGGATTTGCTGGAGAACAGTGTGAAATCGACATCGACGAGTGCGAAGATGCCGAAGAACGACGGTGCAATGGCGGAAGATGTGTTAACACTGTGGGTAGAAGGGAAAATTTGATCAAAATTGGACAAAAATGGTTTTCAAAAGGCTTCTTCAGAAGACCTGCAGCTTAGAACCTTCACAAAACGTCGAAAGAAAAACATTAATACGGTTCCAATGAGCGTATTTGCCTTCTTTTGGCTATGTATTTGGAGATTATCCGTTGCTGAGCAAATTTGGCTCGCCTGGTGTAATAAGAAACAGTCCGATACCACTTTTCCTATAGATACAGTGAAAAATAAAACCTGATTTTTCTTTTGATTCGAAAAAAAATTCTGGCGACTGACCGCGTTCCCACGCCTACCGTATATGGGCTGGCGAGTGTTTTTATACGAGCCGCCTGTGTTGTTTTCCCCGTCGTCTCGTCAGCAACAGCATCCCCATTCTCTTTTCGCTTGTAAATGATGATCTCGAGAGGAGAAATGGATTTGAATGGACAGTTTTATTTGAAAAAAAATTTCTACGTGTTCGTTTTTCAGTACGAACGAAGCTTGATTCAGAGAAGTATTCTACGAAAAAAAAATCCAAAGTTTTTTCTTGTTAGCATAGTTAGCATAGAAAAATGTTTTTACGAAGGTGCATTTTTTTAGTGAGGAGACTTCTGCTTTCTGAAGTATACTGCTCAAAAAATAATGAATCAAACTTCAAAATTTTTCCAGTACGGCTCGTTCAAATGCGCCTGCTTGCCTGGAACTGGCGACACCGACTGTTCGACCCTGGAGTTCCGAGGAATGCGACAAGTCAGCTACACGAAGAACGACGAGCAGCCGGCCTGCGTGAAGCCCAACGCGACGGCCGAACCGGAGCCTTGCCGAAACGGAGGCTTCTGCCGTCAGACCATCGACTCTAACCGCACTTGCGTCTGCCCAAGAGGCTTCCAAGGCGAGTTAATCGTTGTGAAAAGAAGAATGGCGCAACTTCGCACCTTGTTATGGTCTAACACTTCCGGTGAAAGGATTAACACTCACTAGTTCTTCTAACATGATGAATAAGACTTTTTCTGTGTCTCAGAGACATAATTTGCATGATAAACATAATTTCTTTTCATTAATAACAGGTGGAAATATTAACTTAGGCTTAGCTTATATTATCAGGCTTAACTTATAAAAATTCATCCTTAAGGTGACCTCTGCGAACAAGATATCGACGAATGCGCCCTATCGCCATGCCTGAATTCTGGAACTTGCCACAACAAGCAGGACGGTTTCGTCTGCGTCTGTCTCCTTGGGTTCGAAGGTTTCCTCAAATCTTGAAACGTCCTTTTCAAAATAATATATTTCCAGGCGAGTTCTGCGAGACCAACGTCGACGACTGCGTCAACAACGAATGCGCCAACGGATCGACCTGCGTCGACGGAATCTCGCGCTACACTTGCGAGTGCCAGAACGGCACCAAAGGAACGCGTTGCGAGATGATCGACCCCTGTTTCGAGAATCCTTGCCTCCATGGCGACTGCTCCGCCCTGGAGAATGGCGACTTCGAGTGCCTCTGCGATCAGGGATACCAGGTGAGAATTGGGATTGGATCAAATGTGTGGAATTTACGCTGCCTTTGTTATATAAGGCCTATCTGTTGAGAAAAAAAAAACAATCTAAAAATTGATTCCAATAAAAAAAAAAAATAGCTTGCCAGTTAAAATTGGGCTGAAACTTTTAGGCCTGAAGTGAGCGCACAAGCCAGAGTTATGTGTCGATTTACGGAGATTCTGCGTCCCGAAACATTTTGAAATGATTAGTGCAACTGAATAATCTCCCGAGAAGCGTCTTTTTTTTCCAACTGGATTCAGAAAGCCTGGGAAAAGAGGGAAAGATTAAAATTTGAAAAAAAATAGGGATATCAATACTTTTTGCCCATTCTCTACAGTTTTCAAGCCTATAGGTGTCTTGAAAATTTTTGAGAAATCCATGCTGAATAATATGTTGAATTTGACGCGTGCTCTTTATTTATGGTCTTTGAGTTTGGGTCTTCCTTTGCAAAATTTTAAAAGCCTAACTAAAAAGCAAGACAAAAAATCCATTCTAACTATGGTTCATTTACAGGGAAGTCTCTGCGAGGCCGACGTCAACGAGTGCTTGCGACAACAGTGCTACCACAACGGGAAGTGCGTGAACACGCCTGGCAGCTGGAGATGCGAATGCCCTCGTGGATTCAACGGAACCCGATGCGAAGAGTCCTTCGACACGTGCGTCGATGAGAACGTCGTCTGTGAGAACGGAGGACAGTGCTACAGTGGCTACGAAGGCAATCGCGAGCCGATTTGTAGTTGTCCGCAAGGTAGATCGCCTTCCTTATAGCTTTTAAGAAGATTTTCCGATTTCTAGGCTCATGAGCTCACTTGCAACGATTTTCTGATGTCATGCTCTTTTTAAGCTTCCAAATTTTCAGGATTTGTTGGAAAACGCTGCGAGTCTGCCTGCAAGCCGGGAACTGGCGGCGTCGCCTGTGACCTCAACCTGACCATCCCTGTCTGCGGCGAACACCTTGGCAAGTGTCTGAACGGCGGAAAGTGCATCGACAACTTTTGCGTGTGCCCGGCGGTAATCAACCACCCAAAAAATCACCATAATCTCCTTCTCTTAATCAGAAATACGTTGGAAACCGTTGCGAAGCGGCCCGAAGCGACATCCGCCCTCTTTATAACATTTCCTGCGCGTCAGACCCTTGTCTGAACAACGCCACTTGCTATGATATCACTGACAACGAAGTCGGATACATTTGCCAGTGCGAGGACGGTTTCGAAGGCGAACTTTGTGAGAAGCGCAAGAGTTTGAAGATCAAAAATTGCCAGAAGTATAAAGTTTTTTTAGAACATTGTGATGGAAATCCGTGCCATAATGGCGGCAGTTGTGTAGAAAGAACTGAAGGATTCGTCTGCGCCTGCATGAACGGAACGACTGGGGAGCGCTGTGAAGTTCGTCAGCAGTTGGATTGCTCTATGACGTGAGTTTGTGCGGAAATCTTAGTTAAAGTGGAGAAAAACTGGTGGTACAGCTGCAGATGAAAGTGAGGCTCTTTACAAAAATCAGAGTGATTTTAGAACCTTTGGATATTTTTCGAGAAGAGAAAATTTGAAAATTTCTAATTTCGGTACGTGTTTCGTTTATGTCTTCAGCTGCTCCCAATTCTGGAACTCGTAAAGCTTCGCAAACAACAAAATTTTTGATTTCGTTATGTTTTTGATTACGTTCATGACGCGCCATGGGAAACTGTTATGTTGAGGAGTACTGTAGCGTATTTTGTTTTATTTCGTTTGAAATGGTAGGCTTCTCTGATATTCTTTGTTGAAACATTTTTTTTTTCGCTGAAAATTTTCTTTTATTTTTCTGCATTATAATTCTTCTATTTTCACGGCTTCTCGAGACTTCAGAATTTCCAGGCCTTGCGCAAACGACGGAAAATGCTTTATGGCGATGGACGGCAAAAGCCAGTGCGTCTGTCCCGCGGGCTTCGGCGGGGACCGTTGTACTGTCAATGTTGACCAGTTTGACACAGTCAACAGGTGCTACCGAACTTCTTCTTCTTCCACAATCAATTATTTTTGTAGAAAGTTACAAGAAGCCTGCTCCCTCCGGAATTGCTCGGCTCGCGCTGGCGACGGCGCCTGCGATCTCGACTGCAACTTTTTGGCCTGCGGATTCGATGGCGGCGATTGTAGCGCCAAGCTTCAACCCTTTGCCCGTTGTCCCTACGCTAATTTCTGCGCCAACGTCTTCGCCAATAACATCTGTGATGCGGTACTGATGCGATACAGGAATGAAGAAAGGAATGATGAGTTTCCAGGCTTGTAACAACGCCGAGTGTCAGTTTGATGGCATGGACTGCCTTCCGGCCGTGCCACGGTGTCCGGCGATGATCGAACGCCATTGCGCTGCCCACTATGCCGACGGGGTCTGCAACAAGGAGTGCAACAGCGCCGCCTGCGGCTTCGATGGCGGCGACTGCGAGGCCGACGATGACTCTGTCAATGTTGGACTTTGTCGCAAATAATTGTTACAAAAATATAACTTTTTCCAGGTCCTGAAAGACCTCCGATTCAAACTGCTGACGTCACCAGAAGAGTTCCGACGCGGCGTCAAGAGCTTCCTGATGGAGATCAGTTCGGCTCTCCGATCGGCCGTCCGCATCCAGTCTGATGAAGTTGGACCGATGATCTTCGAGTTTTCCGAAGACGAAAACGTGACGAATATCGGCAAGAGGCTCAAGCTTGATGAGGTTTGAAATGAAGATTGTTCTGATAATCATTGAAATGCTGTTTTTCAGGCCGCTCTCAAGTCCATCTCCACTTCGCTCCGTCAGAAACGACGCGCCGCTCAGAGAGAAGGTGTCGTGGTCTTCCTGGAAGTTGACGTCGCCAAGTCCTCGCCGCTGTCCCCGTCGACCTGCGACGCCGATGATCATTCGTCGTGTATCTTCCAGTCTGCGCAAGGAGTCGTGGACTACGTCGCTGCTGATCTTTCCAAGAAGGTTTGGAGAAATGAGGACTTGAAATAGTCGAGTACAGAAATTTTCATGAAGATCTGCAACTTGAAACTTGGGAATTTGTTTATCGGGCTTAAAAGGCTCACTAACCTTCTTCATATCTCTAGAAAAGCTTATCTTGGCTTATTTACGTTTCTACCTTCTAAAGCTCAAACACTTTTACGTCTCTTTTTCATCGCATGAAAACCCCTTTTTTCCAGGGACCTCAAACCTTTGGTCTTCCCGTCTATGAAGCCCGAGTCAGTCCGATGCAGCCGCCGCGCTACGTCTTCGGCTTCACCTACACCACTCTCTTCGCCGGCCTTCTCGCCGCCGTCATCCTCGTCGCTGCCGCCTTTGGAGCCCTGGTTCATGACCGCAAGCGGCGCAACGTCAGAGCCTCTCTCTGGTGTCCCGGAAGCGAGGCTGAACGTAATGAATCATCCTGATTCCCTTTCTACCGACATTTTTTAGTCAAGAAGCAGTCGACGGCTTCTAGTCAGTGCTCCCTGCTCGATCCGGCTTTCAATCTCCACCACGCCAAGCGAGGTCGCTTCGAATACGGCCAGAGCATTCATTCGTCTCACTACTCTCCGCCGAGGTTCATGGGCTTCTTCAAACCCGAGAAAGTTGAAGAATCCGCTGTCACGCCAGGAACTCCTGTCATACCGTAAATATCCTCCCGGGAAAATTATTCTCATTACTGTTCTTGTAGACCTCCGAAAAAGGCAGTCATCGTCAAGGAGCCGACTCCGTTGATTATTCAAGCTGAGAGCGGTGGAAAGATTACTGTCGAGGTGCTGAGGAAATTCCGAACATTCACCTAAAAATTTGTCTTTTAGATAACAAAACAGACGGTCAACGAGTCGGAGGGACTCTTCGGACGGACCGCCCTCCATTGGGTCTGTGCCAACTCGAGAGGAAAGCCTGAGGAAGTTATTGTGGAGGAAGCTCAGCGATTGATCGCCGCTGGCGCGAATCTCGACGTCAAGGATTCGGGTGAGTTTGTGAGGGAATATGGCGGATTCAGTGGTCAAGAACTTTTTCTTCAAGTGTTATTATTTCCAGATGGCGACACCCCGCTGCTTCTGGCAGTCCGTTCCCGACGTCAACGGCTCGCTCTGATCCTTCTGAATGCTGGCGCCGATCCGTGTTGCTTCAACAACAGCCTCCGAAGTGTATTGCATGAAACGGCTGTGAATTCCGATATTTCCATGGCTCGGGTCCTTCTTCGCTATGAAGGCGTTGTCAAGGAGGTTTCCATCGAGGAATATTTCCGAATATCATTTTTTTTTTGCTCTTCAGATTGATGAAATTAACAAGACTGGCTGTACTCCATTGATGGAGGTCGCGAGAAACGACATGGTCACCACGGACTTCGCCCGACTTCTTATCCAATATGGCGCCAAGGTTGAAGCGGATGGAGGGTCCAGAAAGGTATTTTACAACGAAAAAAACGATACCGTAATCCATATTCTTTCAGGAGTCATGCATCTACAAGGGACGGACGGCACTGCACTACGCTGCTCAGATTAATAATATGGTCATGGTTGAATTTTTGCTCATGTCCAATGCCAACAAGGACAAGCAGGATGAACAGGTTTTAGTAGAGAAAGAAAAACGGAATCAATCTCTGTTTTCAGCAAATGACTCCGCTGATGCTCGCCGCGAAAGAAGGACACATCGAAATTGTCAAGTACCTGGTTCAGCACGGGGCCAGCGTCGAGAGCGTCGACCAGATGGAGAGAACCGCGAAGATGATGGCTGCTGACAACAAACATCAGGACGTCGTCGACTACCTGGCCAGCGTCAGCCCCACGGACGTCCATCTGGCCCGACTCACCGAAGCCGCCGTTCAGCAACACCTCGTCCAGCAGCAGCCCCTCAACGCCGCCAGACTCAACAGCAAGAAGACGTCCGCCCGACCTTCGACCAAAGCCGTCAAGAGAATCGCCGCTCGCCGTGGTACTGGCCACAGCACTGAGTCATCGTCACCCGCCACCACGTCGCCGTCGAACTTGTCTCGCGACTCGGCGATCCACCTGACGCCGCCGCCATCTTCTGAAGGGTCTCTCTCGTCGCCGTCGCCTCCGACTCACTACGGATCTTCGCTTGTCAATCCGGCGCACGTCTACTCTTCGAGGTCGTCTTCTGGCGGAAGTTCCATGCACTCGTCGCATGCTGAATCGTCGCCCGAGTATCATCACAATGACTCGGTTGAAATGGTGATTATCTGATAGAATATGGACATTGAAGGGTTATGGAAAGTAGGCATGCAAATCGTAAAAAAATAATTCACTTATTCAAATCAATAATTTTCAGATGAACTCGGTCGGACATCATACGATGTGGCACGAATCGCCACCTTATGACCCACAGCATCTGTACGCACAGCAGCCGTCGGCCCAGCAGCTTCATCATCAACAGACCCAGCAATCGGCCGTTCAGCCCATCGGATTCCAGGAGTTCTGCTACGAACAGCAGCAGCGGGTCATGAACCAGAGCCATCCCAATGAGGAGCAGCACCAAATGTACTATTGATTCCGATTTTTTCGTCTATTGTTAAGCAGCTTGAAATTTTTTGAAGTCGTATTATTTTTTTGTGGTCTTTGGGCCAAATTTGTGTTTTATGATATTGTAGCGCGTTTTATTGAGATTAATTAATCTTCTAGAAAGAGATATGGAACGTTTCTAAAAATCGAAATTTTTAGCTCCGATTTGCGCTTTTTCTCACATTTTAAAAGCACATTACTATCTAAGGTATCTTCTTTCCTACACCTTTTCAAGCTGTTTTTTTTTAAATTAAAATTTCCCCTATTTTCTCATTTTACATTGGTTGTGTGTGAAATCTAGTGCAATTCCCTGACGATTCCTCGCCCCTCAATCTTTCCTGTTATTTATTTTCTTCTCCTCCTCCGAATCCTAGTGAACTTAGTCACGGGTTACAGTATATTTTTTGTTGTTTTACCGTTCTAACCCTCTCTTTTTTGCTTGGTAGTTTTTTGTTTAATAATTTTTCCTCTGGTGTTGCTGCTTCCCTGAATGCTAATAACTAATATGCAAAACTTTCTTGTTCATTTGTTATTTTCCTTCTTTTCATTTTACTTTGACGTATCATCGGAATTTCGTTGGTCTTGCTTCGTATTGTATTTTTATACATTGACCTATTTTCCATATCGACAATGTTATTTGATATTGTTGTCACGTGATGATAAAGCGTGCTAAGTGTTCTAGTTCATGTTTCTTCTTCGAAAATTTAGTACTTGCAAAAGAAATATCGGAGGGAGTTTCACGGTGTTTTTTTCATTACGCAAGGTCAAGACTTTTCGTAAATTATGATGCTTAGGGTTTAAGCACACGGAGACGCACTATCGCATACTCAAAAATGTTTTTTTCAATTTTTAGAATTTGCGATTTCAGGATAATAGCTCCTGAAATATTCGAAATTTGTCAGTTTGAAGAATATGATGTGAAAAAACATTCACTTACATTAAAAAAACATTTAGGATTGATTTCGAAAGGGGAAAAACTCTAAATTACTGATTACAAAAATATAAACAAAAAAATATTATGTAAATGAATCAGCTCCCATTGAATAAGCATTTATAAATACGAAAAAAATATTGAAATGAGGAAAAATTCGAGGAGCAAATGAAAAAAACATTTTATATACCTCGAAAAACCTAGCTTCAGAAAAAAACAAGTAATGGATAGAAAGCAGAAATTTTAGAAAAAAACCTCGTATGGCGAAATTTTTTTGTTTAAATTCGAAAACCATCAAAAAAACTAGAAAAAAATATATAATTTAGATGATGCATATATCAAAAATCATTAAACTGCATCAGCAAATTCAATTTGGCTCTAATTTACACGAAACCGGTTTCAAACTACGTCAAAGGAACTAGATAATAACTTTTTTTATTATTAACTGATTAAATTAAAAAAACTATAGTTTCCGAAATAGAGTTACTCTTTTTCATGTCGCGAAACAGATTTCAAAAATTTTTGAAAAAAATAGGACTTTTTAGAAAAAAATCTTCAACTATTTTGAGAAAAAAAGTTAAAGATCTGAAACCGGTTTAGCAAAGTGCACAATTTAAAAACTCCACAAAAATGTACCCATAGAGAGGCGGATCACATAAATGCAAGAAATAGAAAAAAGTAAAAAACCAATGAAAAAAGTGAAGAAATTCAATTTTTGCATCAGAAACGATGAGAAGGGCGCAATGATGCGCCACGGATAATATGCCGCTGGGACCCAAAATTTCGCATTTTTTTTTTCATTGCGCGGAACAATTAATAAATTTTTTTTCTTCTGTTCCTTAAACGTTTAAGGAACAGAAGAAAAAATTTTATTAATTTTTAAAGTCACGGTATGAGTCCTTGGTGCACACAGAAAAATGTGCACCGAATGCGCACCTTACGCGCTAAATAATTTTTACTGACTCTCCAAAATTTAGTGATCTTTTCCTTTCTCTAACGGGTATTTTGCATTTCGCGGAAATTACTTTGAACACGGCATTAGCCTAATAGTTTCACATTTCCTATAATGTTTTCTTTTTCCGTTCGAAGTCGTATTATCACGTTTTTCAGGATTCTTAGTACACGCAGAAAATTCAAAAATCAAAAGAATTCCTACCGCGTTCAAAACACTTTGTAATTCGTTTCAAAACAGTTTTTTTCGTTAAAAAGCACGATCCGCACGCATGTTCAAGGCGGCCGGTCGTATTACGGTAGTCAAGCGGCTTTTGGGTAATAAAATGAAAACTTGTGTACTTTTGTGACGTAACTTATCTTGTAACCTCGAGAAATAGGTCCTTATAGACCATTCGAATGGACCTATTTCTAAAAACCCGGGTCGATTCCGCGCCAGCTTGTCACGTTTTTCTTTCCGCCAAAAGGTCAGGCCAAATTTAACCAACTTCGCTTCCATACCTTTGTGTCTTGCCGTTATAAAAGCAGAAATTTGATCTAATTTGGTATACTGTCTTTTTGGCGGAAAGAAAAACGTGACAAGCTGGCGCGGAATAGGCTATAACAAATTGCAAAAAAGAAAAAAAATTTAAAAAATTTCCTGGCTCCCAAACTGACAACGCAATTTTGAGCGGGCGCCGGCCGCCGTAGCACTGTCTTATAGTCTGTTCAGATTTTGAATGTCAAGTAGAATGACGTCATTCGAAAACCTCAAAGGAACTTTTCAGTTTTACCTATGTTTCGGGAGCTTTTCAGTTTTGCCCGAGAATACGTCCGTTCCGCGTTAGCAATGTCCGGGTTATTTCTTTCTATTTTTTGGGGAGTTTTTTCATGTCCTTTTTGTAGCGATTCCGCTAAATTTCGGAAGTCTTAGAAATCTCATCAGTTAGAAGAATATGATGTAAAAAAAAACATGTCTGGACGTGATGGAGCGTTTCTTTAGTCTGTTCAGATTAAGAATGTCAAGCAGCTTACTCAGCCCCCAAGGTTATAATATCTTTCGCGTCAATGTTCATCACAGATGACGATGATCCTTTTGAAAATATAGAGCAAGAAAGAACAAAAATCTTCTCGCGCGATATAACATCGATGCAAAAGGTACCGTGGCAGCAGGGGCAGTGTTAGGTGGTTGACATTTAAAATCTGAACAGGCTATATGCCGTGTTCAAAGTAAATTCCGCGAAATGCAAAATGATCTCTGACTCTCCAAAATTTAGTTATATTTTCCTTTCTCTGGCGGCAATTTTGGGTTTCGCGCAATCACTTTGAACACGGCAATAGAATTGCTCAGAAACGTCCGGAGCGCGTTTGGCTTTCGTTACCGAGGTCCGAGATAGGGTTGAGCGAGGGCCGGCTCATCAGCATAGCGGCAAGTTTTCTTCAATTCGAACACCAGCTTTTTTTTTTACAGAGAAATTTGAGTATGGGTTCTAATTTTTATTTTTTCCGAATAAAGTTTCAAATTTTTTTGAAGCCAGAGCCCGCGCAAACTTCTTCGCAAAAATTAGTCCAGCCAGACGCACAAGCCCGGACCCCGGTACCGAAAACCGTACGCGCTTCGGACGTTTCTGATCGTTTCTATCAACTCTTTCAGCGGCTATAGCCCGTTCACGGCTGGCTTGGGACAGCAAACGGGCGGTTTAACTTGCGCGGTTAAAATAGATCATGGCGGTCATACATGCGCCTTTAATAAAAGCCTCATTTGGTGAATTATTTCTGTTTACATTGACTTCAGTTTTTATTTACACTGCTCTCATTGATTTTTAGATTTTCTTAAAAACGATAAAATACGAAATAAAAATAATCAAGTCATAAAGTTTGGCTTTTATGGAAGGCGCATGAATAGTCGCGATGATCTACCTTCGCCGTGAAATTAAGCCGCCCGTTCGCTGTCCCAAGTCAGCCGTGAACGGGCTTTACAGCACTTTATTTTTGAATATTCTACTAGAAATTCTAAGAAAACTCCGGGACGAGTCCGATTCTCATCCAAACTGAAAATTTTCACCACAAATTTACGTTTCACTTGTTTCATTAAAGTCTGTCAGAAGTTATGGAAATAGTCGGAGACCGATAGGTTGACAATCTCGACCTCACACAAGCATGGATAGCCTGCTTTGAACAGGTGTCAATCGTTTTTAAATAAACGATAATTTCATTTTTTGTACTAGCGAAGAGTGATTCCAGTCATTGTGAATGTACTCTTATTTATTTTCTCCTTTGCAATTTAACACAGAAAAAACCCTCAGCTGCTTTTTAGAGCATTGGGCTAGTACCTGGTATTGTTTAGCCGGCACAGCAGTTGATCGCACGCGGTCCGCCAAGGGTCTAGTGTCGTCGAATTGCATGGACCGATCACAACAAGTTCTTTGGAAGCTTTCTGCAATAATTACATCATTGAAAAAGCAAGTCATTTGCATCATTCGAATCACAATGTTTTGACTGATTAGCTATGTAAAGTCGTTAAAAAGTCAGGTTATGCAGTCAGAAGAACTAACTAGGCGGCGCGCTAGAGCTCCGCTCGGCCTTGTCAAAACTAAGAATCCTAGACGCCGAAAGCCGTGACGGCATTTTCCGCGGGGGTCCCATCATCGCTTTGTCAGCATCGCGCTGCCAACAGTTTGTGCTTCGGCCACAGGAATGGGCTTCGGCGTGACTTTGCGTATCCGATTCGCAAGCAAAAAGGATCGGCACTCTGGGAGTCCCGCGGACCTAATCTACTAGCGCTTACAAGTCAGAAACGTATTTTGGAAACTAGGACTTTTAGGAAGGTTCAAAACTCATCTGGACGTTGAATTCAGAAGCAAGGCGCCTGTTGAGAGAAGCGAAAATGAAAATTGAAGCCAGGTCAAAAAAAAAAAAAGAAGAAATGCGTGTTGTCACGTGGCTTTTTGGACGTGTTATTTTTTTTTTCTAGCCTAGCCACAGGGTTCACGTTTTTTTTTTTGCAGAGAATGAAACTTTTATTCTGAACAACTTAAAAAAAAGGTAAAAAACTGCCGAAAAGAAAAAAAAACGTTGGTAACGCGAAAAAGCGCACCTCAATGATAAATATTTTGTCAAGTTATGTGAGGCAAGCTTTGCGGATCCACTGCGTAAGAGCCATTGAACTAAAAAAAATATTTCGCAGCGTATTTACACTAGTAAAACTGTTTAAGCTCTTCTTTTTATTTATAAAAAGTACTTTTTAGAACTATACTTCTTAAATCAATATTTTCTGTTTTTCATTCTTCATATAAATCCTGCCGTTCGAAAGTCGCTGAGCTTTTCCCCAGCGTATTTTCCGATCCTTTCTGTTTGCCTAATAAAATTGGCATATTTAATTTGTGCGACACCTCAATGCTGCTTATTTATATCGTCAGAAAGCTCTTGCCTGAATCGAGGATTTTCTTTTGAAAAAAGATGTTTCTATTCGATATTGTCTGCTTATTTTTCTGCTTTTTCTACAGGGTCAACTGTCAATTGAATTCAGCTCCTACCGGCTTCCGCTTTGTACCATATCCTTATGGATTCGTCGTGCCGGAAGGTTTTGCCACATTTATTTCATATTGGATGTTCTGTAAGATTTTTTTCAATATTGTAATGCCGTGTTGGAAGTAATTTCTGCGAAATGCAAAATTATCTCTGAATCTCCAAAGTTTGGTTATCTTTTTTTAAAAAGAAATTTTTCTTTCTTTAACGGCTATTTCGGATTTCGCGGAATCATTTTGAAAAACAGGGATAAGGTTTTAAAAAAATTTAAAAAAATTTAAATATATGAATTTTTTTGATAACTTTTTTTATAAGGACGTTTCAATTCATATATCTATGAAGTTTTCGTTTTTTTTCCCTTCAATTTAGAATTTTCAGATGTGTCCACCTTGTCTGGCATTTCTTCTTCAGAAGCCGAGTTGACGTCGGAAGTCTCTCCGAGTCCTCAAAGAACTGTCAGAACGAAACCGAATGCAGCAAAAGCACGGGGAGATGATCATTGCACCGATGAACTTCTACGGAAAGTCATGCACGAGGTTTAGTTTTTAGTATGAAATAAACCTGCTTCTCTCTAAATTGAAAAATTTATAAAAATATATCGATAACAAGATTGACTTCATGCCGTGTTCAAAGTAATTTCCGCGAAATGCAAAATACCCGTTAGAGAAAGGAAAAGATCACTAAATTTTGGAGAGTCAGAGATCATTTTGCATTTCGCGGAAATTACTTTGAACACGGCATCAAATTCAGCTTGAATTCATGAAGATGATGAAAATTGAGATTAATTTTTTTCAGGTTCTTGTCTTGTTTCTTGTGATTATATAATTGTTTTCTTGTAGAACATGGAGGAGACGATGACCGAATCGAAACATGCGATCCACACATCGATGAAACGCTCCTTCGAAGGCCGATGGAGCGTAATTTGTGCCCCTTGCGCCTTTTCTTACTTGGCACATAGCCATGATTACTGTATTCACACACGGAACAATATTACTTGCCTTTTGTATCGTGATGATTAAATTTACAACATTTTGTGGATATCCAACAATCTTTTATACAGACTTTGAAAAGCGATACACGTATGAGATATGATATCTACAAAATTATTAAAAAATTATCCTTATTAAAATGAAAAGTAATATATTTGGTATGAGAGCCAAGTTTGTTTGACCTGATTTTGATGGACTTGCAGGTGGCGCTCCGAATCGAATTTGTAGATTTTTTTGAATTATTTCCTCAAAATCCGACGTTTCACAAAACGTTTTCGGAAAAATGCCAACCTTTTTGGGTAAACGAACGTCGCAAGTATAACTTCCAAGGTTGAACGTTTCCAGATGCTCGATTTTTAAGTGATAGGAGGTTGTCAATTTTGTGTTTTTCCCGAATATCTGAAGGTTTCGCAGTTTCATTGAAAACAGAATATATTTTATTTGATTTTTCTTTTTTTTTAAGTGAAATTTATTTTATTTTCGTATTGATCGCGGACTTTTTAATTGTGTTGGAGTTTAATAAATGGTTCTCAGTGTCTATCCGTTTTATTCTGGTTTCGAACTTTATCGGTTTTCATTCGACTTATTACTTTTTTTAAAAATAACGTAACGGTAAATTTCTACCTTTTCCCTTTTATAAAAGTGGAATAAAAAAATTTTTCTGGACCCACCGGATATTTTATATTAGAATCTGTAGAGTTAGATCCATGTTTCCGGCAGTGAACTCCTTCAACCCTTTTTGTTGGGAACCAGTCTGAAAGTACAGTTTTGTTTTTGGAAATTTAACTGGAAACAAGAAAATGCATAGTCTAGCTGGTCTCTAGTCTTTTTGATTCTCAAAATATGTTAAAAGTTTCTTTTCGACCGGAAATTTTTCTATTGAAGGCATGTGATTCTAAATAAAGGCAATCAATTCGCGCTTTTGAGAAAAAGAGCAAAAAAATTACATTTTCTTGAAGTTGAGTCCCAATTGTAACCTTTTTGCCTCTGTCTTTGGTTTTGTTCAAAATTAACCATTAAAACTCACTTTATGTAGTAGGAATCACCCTCGTCCGCCCATAGATCATCGCTCTCCGTTAAGTCAATGTTCTTTTGGGTAGTTTTATCTGGAATTTATGAATTTTTTGGAGAAAAGCAGATTAACTTTACTTTTAACAGTTAGAGTTCTTGTATAACAGGCGTTACCCAGAGACTCCCGAACACAGCAGACATATTCGCCTTGAAACGAGTTTCGCACCGCGTTCGCTTCAGATAGAAACCTTCAAAATTTTCAAAATTCAGCCCTGAATGAAGTAGTTGGTTCAAATCCAGCTTGTCAAGCCTTGGAAGCCAGCCTCGATATTTCAAAAAGAACCTGTTGTTTTTCAGAGGGAAATTCCGAGACCCGACAAGCTGGATTTGAACGAACTACAAGTGAGGATTAATTAATCAAATAATAAACTCACACGAACTGATCCTTGTGAATTTGCGTTCTTTCCGGAAGTACTGAGGAACCATTGAAACGCCAATGGTACTTTCCCTGAAAGTATTTATTTTTTTCAAGTTTTCTTTTTTTTTTTATTGGCGTACAAATTCCTTTCAAAATTCCGATTAACCGGAAGCTTTAGTTCAGAATCGAATTAAAAAAAAACATGACTTGGTTAATGAAATAAGAAAAAATATATCTTGAACTGACTTACCCGATATTTTTCGTCGAAATGATCACAGAATATCCGTCTTTCTCCTTGCTCATTGACTTTCAAGCTTTCCCATACTATTGAGGGTCTCTGAATTGTTTTTGTATTGGCATGGTGAGTATAGAAGCTCTCATACCGTTATTCGGACCCAATTTGTCGCATGCGATGTGCTGAAGATTAAGAGAAGTAGTCTTAATCTGAAATTTCCGAGATTGGAGATAGTTAAAGCGCTTTGAGGTGGTTCTTTTTTTTAAAAAAATGATTTTTTTTTGGAATTTTTTAATTTCAAAAGCATGTCAGAATTTTTCGTAGAACCTCCTTTTGATGAATAACGTATAAGGTTGACGTTTAAAAAGGGAGAATCAACTGAAATTTCAATTTAAAAATAGCGGACATGAGAAAATTATACAATAAAATGAGTTTATTAATCCAAAAAGGTTTCTAAATTTAAAATTTGAACCAATATAACCTCATGCGCTTTTGGCTTTGAGGATGTTCAAATAAACATCAACCGGTTCAAGACAGGTAAAAAAAAATGAAGGCAAAACTAACCTCATTTAAGCTGGAATATCGTTTGTTGGTGTTGGTGCGTAAGCCGAAATGAATTGGCTGAGGACGAACACAGAAGCGGAAGGAATTGTGTTGGGGTGGACCTTTATTTGCACGCGCGGCACACACCTGGTAGCTCTGAGGACGAAAAATAGTGGAGTCTCTTCAGAGAGCAGCTTCTCCCAATTTGGAGCTCCAACAGAGGATATCGTGTTTCAGGAGTTGATCTTGTTCTGGCATTCGTGGCCTTGCTTCAAGTTTTGAAGGCCTTCAAAAAGATGATGCGCTATGGATAAGTGCTTTTAAATGAGTTTTTTCAGAACTTTCAGATTTTTTAATCCTCAGATCGACCTGATTGATTTTGAAATTGCGAGGAAAAACCTTCCCTAAATTTCAGAGAGTTAATTAATCAGATAAGTCTTAAAGAAGTCAGAGGGAATGAAGAATGCTCTAACCTGGTAAGGGCAGCAAAAAAGTGTTAAGCCAGTTTGAAACGGAGATTTCGGGATAGATTTTTAAAGTTCCGCCATCTCTATTTTAAATAGTACTATAGAGTCTATAGTCTTTTCCAGGAAATAATGTAAAAGAAAATTCAGAAAAAAAGGCTTTTGCATATAATTTAAATAAGGAGCTCTAATTACTTATCGGTGTAGCCTTTTCAGGTTTGGGATCTCAAGCTCCGCCCCTAATAGCGCGATAAACCAATCAGAGAGCGAGCCATTCACAGAGCGTTTTCGAATGGCCTCATTGTATTTGACATTCAATATCTGAACAGACTATACCTATCAAGTATCGGCTTTAGATGTCTTGGAGCATTTTTTTGTAGCATCGCTAGCTAATGATTGAAGAAGTTAATATTTTTCAAACATATTCCAAGGGAATGTCCACAATGTCCCATTTTCGCGGCAAAAACCCACCAAAACCCAAGTTTTCAGAACTCAAAATACATAAAATCAGAAGAAAAGACTTTTTTCGTGATTTAATGAGAATATTGCTGATAAAATCGTTGAAAATAAGCCATGAAATTTTAAATTATTGTAATAACGACCGTTTTTTGTAAGAAAGAAACGTTCTTTCTAGAAATGAGTGAAAAAAATTCTGAATTCTAAATTTTTTACACGCATTTTTGTCGATACTGTTTAAATGGTCTCGCACTAAGAGAAGTTCTTAATTTTTATCCCAGCTTATTCAATTTTTAACGTCTTCACACAACTTAATAAATATTTTTTACCAAGCTTAAACTCAAATTTTAGGATTTCAATTCAGTTTATTTATTGGACTCCTTCAGTCTCCCAAAAAAAAATCCTGTCCCGCAGACCTACTGACCAGCAAATGTTCCATTTGAAAACTTTTGTCTGCAAACCCGTTTTTTGTTCTCTATCCTACACGCTGGTCGGTCCTCCTCGAACGGAGTAGCCGCCGAGGTCATTAGCCTCGTGCTCCCCCTCTCCTCCTCCTCCTCTAGATCCACCCCGCGAAATTCAAATCTGCAGCGTCGTACCGACGACCTCTAATGAGTCCAGTCTAGTGACTAGGCAGAACAGTCGCTTTCGATTCTCGTCACTTTTTCGCTTTCCTTTTGAACAGTGTTCTCTTGAGTTCGGATGGTCTTGAACCTCTTTTTGAATCCAATTTTGAAATTTTCAAAAAAATTCAGGCCATTTTCAACTTCCTTTTAAAGTGAGCACTGTTCTGTTGAGCAAAATGAATGATTTGAAGTTTCATTTCATCTTGAATTCCTCTGAATAAACCGAATCAAAAATAAATCTATCTTTCAGATTTTTATTCTTGAACCAATTTTTCTTCTATTGTTCGCTCGTTTCGTCTACTCTACAAGATCAGAAGACATCTGCTTTAGGCAGCTGTTGTCTTTTGTACCTTCCACTTTTTTTCTACTGAAAAAAAGATTTCTGCTTTGATTTGAGAGTAAAATCCCTTTTTTTTTTTTTAGAATCGGAGTTTTTTCGGAAATCGGGTTACTGTTACACAACTTTCTGTGGTCTTGAGGTGGATGCACCAGAAACTCGGCTTCACGCCATTTTTTTTTTTCATCAGCGTCATTTGTTAGTATTTTTTTTAAAGTTATTTGCTTTTGTAAATTATTGATTCCAAATGGCTTGTTGGGGTTTCCAAGAACAGCGACTTAGCATGGTGAAAAGACTAATAATTCGTGCTAAAGTTTCCGTAATCAACTATTTTCACATTCCAGCAAGCTGATCATTTTCTAATGTATAATCCATTCAGAAGTCCTTGCCGTGTTGTTTGAAGGCGGGGATTTTTTTTAAAAAGAGAGCACTGGAGACGGCTCAAGAATTTTATATTTCTTCGAAGGCCCCAGCAAGGTTTCTTGAAAAAGCAACAGTACCATGGTACCAATTTAACATAGATAATCTGTCGTAAATTTGATTGGTTGAGTAGAAAATTACTGGGGTAGGTAGTTCCTACATGTAGCCTCAGTTTGAATTCATGTCTCCGCCTTCAGAGAGCTTCTCTTTGTGTGGCCAAGTGTCAAAGAAAAAGCCGTGGCACCGTACACTTCCCGTTGCAAAGAAGCGTTCGAATTTTACCGATTTGAATGAAGGAGAACCACTGGCGCCATAGGTTTCGTTCCTTTTTTCACTTGCCGCCAACCTTTTTTCGGCACAAAGGTCGCCTCCTGGCACCGGCTGCACTTTTTTGTCGTAGATCTTCACGGTTCGCCGTGTTTCTTGAGGTTTCATTCCGTCCAGGTATGAAGGCGTCGTTGATCTTTTTGATTTGAAGAGTGTTAGACTTTTGAACTTGTCATGTTTATCCACTCTCTTTTCAGGATCTTGAACTTTAATAGATACATTCGAAAGATTTGGACCTTCTTTGAAGACATTTTCTGTTTTCAAATGAAAAGCCGTCTTTCTCAGATCAAGATAGATTGTAAAATCTTTCTCTCGAATGTAAATTCAATCGCGGACATTTATGGGAACGGAACATGTTTGAAAATTGTTTTTTTTAGATCGAAGTTTTTTGAGTTTTCCGGAAATTTCTCTGTTTCTATTACTCAACATTTTTTTTTGTTGTATGCATTTAGATATTTTGAGGATTTGATGGTCTGTAGGGAACACGTCTCCGAATCAAGAAAATGCTCTTTGATTTGAAAAAAAAAGCAATTCTCTGGAAACATTCTGCATCGTCCAATGGAGTCTTTTGTTTTTGAGACTTTTTCTTTTTTTTTTTCGATGGCGCTTTTTTTTGGAAGTTCAGGTTCAAATCGAAAGGAAATATCAAGATTCAATCTTTCACAAAATATTTTTCTTCCAACTTGAGCTAGATCGAAATTTGTCATTGAGTGAGGCGAGAAAAATCGGCGATTTGTTACGATAGCGGCTGAGTGCCTCTGTCGTGCCGGTAAATAGCGGCGCCGCGTCTTTGAACTCTTCTTCCTCTCCAACTAATTACCGATTACCCAACCGTATAAGTGACTGTCCTTCAGACCTCTTCTTTTTTTGGCTTGGTGTCTTGGTTGCGATTGTTTATGGACTGCGTATCGATTCGACCCTCTTCGATAACCGTTGAGGATAGAGAGAGACCTTATCGGAGTGCACTTTCAATGGCACACTGCCAAGTGGTGTTCTCATTGTCCGTGTAATGTTGCCAATTTTTCCTACCGTTGATTTGATATGATAATGAGAGGGCAGTGTGATAGGCTTCATGGAAATTTCAAACAAACTTTCTAGATTACGTTCCGATTGTTAATCAATAATTCTTGCTGGAATTTTCGAAGTATCTGAAGAAAATTTAAAAATGGTCTTGGAGCGAATAGTTGTTTTTTCAGTCAATGCCCCCCGCGCCTTTGAAATTTTTAAAATCTTCTTTCTAAAATCTTATGAGATTTTGTGTTTTTGTTGCTGAACCGACAAGCTCTCGAAATGAACTTCGACAATATTGAAAACTTCAATTTTGCTCTTCAAGCGAATTTTTTGAAGTAACCTGTTCAGTTAAAAACAATTTCATTTTTCGGGAACTTAAAAAATCGTTAATAGAATGAAAGCTGTGAATTTTGAAGTGATAACGAGTTGCTGAGGTCAGCTTATGGTAGCCGCTTGGAACCGATTAATATTTGATATTCAAATAAGTGGTTTTTTGACAATCGTTTAGTTTTTCGTAGTTTTTTTTTATTTTTGCTTCATAATATCGGAATATCGTGTCGTCAGTTTCAAGGGAACGTCTTTTAAATCTGCAAATTTCTTTTTAAGAAAATTTGAATCTCACGAGGTTGAAAACCCAGAGAATTTAGGTGAATGACTATTTTCCCTCCTCTCGGATTTGAGTTGAATTTGTGCCGTCGTTTGCTTGCTGATTTTCTTTTTTCCTTTTGGAGGCCACACACCTATCCAGGTAATTCGCGAGTGCCCCTTGATTTCAATGTCAGTCAACGGCGTATCGGATGGACATCTCCACCTCGGAGGGACGACGCTGTATTTGAGTAATGAACGATTTTTTCTCAGAGAGGCTGTTAATCGTGTGCAACTCCTCCTTCTCCACCTCTTTCCCGATTTATGGTTCATTTCGTTGGTCCTATGGCTACTTGATGATCCCTCTCACGATTTGCTGTTTAACCTACCGGAAATTTGAGGACGTCTATTTTGCAGTTTTATGACAGTTTTTGGCTTCACTGATCGCTTTGGTCTGGCGTGTAGATTTAGTGTTCCAACGAGGTTGAACTAAAATGTTCTCCAATCATTTTTGTCTCGAACGCTTTGGACCATTCGAATCATATTTTGAAACCTGTTGAGATATTCAATGATAAATATTATTCCTCTCTCAACGTTCCAAATTTGCCATTTCCCAGCAGTTTTGAACGTCAGACGGAAGCAGTCCACCGTATTCCCCCGTCGCCATTTTGCATATTGAAGAATGGCGGATGAGCTTTTTTGTCTTTCCTTTTTGATAATCAATATGTACATGGTATGGTCTCGTTTTTTGAGATGGGTTGGACGGATCAGAAGGGCGCATTGTTGCACATTGACGCAACCGTTGCGTCACCAACGTCCACCGCCGTCCGAAGACGTCCTTCTCATGGATGTGTGACCGCCTTTTTTTGTTGTTTACTTCGTCTTTTGAATTTTAAACGGTCTGAAATTTGGAATTGATCGAAATGGTCAGTAAAATCTTTGTAAGACCTCTTAAAGGTTTTTTTTTAAATTTTTTGTAGGACTCAAGATTTTTCAGAATGATTCTATTCCTACATCAAGGAACAGCTTGTTCCTCAGTTTTTAAAAATGTATTTTCGTTCTCCCATGTTCTTTCTCTGCTTCAAGGACAATTTCAGAAAAGTAAATCGCTAATAAATTGTCCAGACTCGTTTTCAACGTAGGGTGCGTCTTGGAAGAATTGATTTTCAGAATTTAGAAGATTTTATCATGGACGATGTCGACTTCTTTTCAAAATTTCAATCTGTTAGTAACAGTTGCGAGCTTAGAGGTTAGAAAGCTAATTAGGTGAATTTTTGAAATTTTTGACAAAAATTAGGTTACGGTAGTCCATGCATTACGCTTATACGGCTGATTTGTGATTCGAATTTATCATTATCCTCATCATTTTTCGCCGTTCTGTTATAGTAGGAAAAAAAGGATTCATGAGTAAAAAAATTATTTAATCGTGCTCAAAAAAATATGAAATCAAGGAACTTTTTTTCTTCGCAGAATTAAAAATCGAAAAAATTTCAGTTATCCCGTTTCGGAACCTAAAAAATATTTTAATTGAAAGTTCTATTCCTTATTTTCGTTCGAGTTTTTTTCAGTTTTTTTTTCTCAAACTCCTTTTTCTGATAGTTATACGTATGAATACGATCTCAGCCAGTCGAAGGTTTTTTAAAAACTTTCATAAAAAAATCTATAGTTTGACTTTTCAAATCAGAAATCTAGTTTTCTTTTTGCATTCTTTTTTTTTGAGCTTTGCACTTCCTATCATGTTGCTCATATCTGTCGGAACGCCATTGGGATCCGGTTTCAGGTGGTTTCTCATCGGATATTGCGTAGGCGATCGCGCGGTCTGACCTCCCCGGCGTGGACTTGTGGTCAGAGGAGATCGCTCGTCTTGGCTTTGGCACTGTTCCAGGAGGCGACCACAGCCTCGCTAGGTTGATCGATCGCCCTTGGACAGATGCTAGCTACAATGCGCAGAAACAATGTTTAGGCTTCTGGAAATTTAGTGAGAGGGACAAGAGACTCATTAATACAATTGAAACGAAGTAATTGGAGTCCTAACTTCGGGAATGAGCTGGGACTTCTTCCAAAAAATGAATGAAAATTTTTTATACTTTGCTTAAAAGAAATATTTCAAGTCTTTATCGAATTTGAACCCGAAAAGATTCATTTTATGACTTTCAAATAGTAGGAAGAAGTTGATTAGGGTTAGGAAGCTCAAAAAATTAATTAACAGAAATTTCAGTTTTTCCACGTCAATATTTATTTTTAAAACGTCAACTCTTCACGTGAAAAATGGCAAATACTCGTTGAAGATCTTTTCTAGATATGGCAGTGTCCATCACGTTTCAAGGGTACCTGGAAAGCTAGCGTTTATTTGTAGTTTGCTGGGTATCTCAATAGAATTTTTTTTCTTGACCTCATACAGTATATTTCATGATATTTGACCTCAACAATTGTTTTGTTTGTACTATGGTGGGTTGTGCTGACCTCACCGTGCCGTTGGAATCATTCTCTTTGGCCTATTTTATCGGTTCTTGTTGTTCGGGTTTATATTTTCCTGGATGGAGGGTTTTGATGTTTTCGTCAACTTCAGTAGGTATAGGTGTTAACTTTTCGATTGTTCAATAGTTTGAGCGTTTTTAACTTGCATATATACTTTATAGGACAATATTTGAATATTTTAAAACTCATTTTCCGATTTCGAGATCGAATCACATCTAGATTTGAACGAAGTTTTGATATTTTGATATTTCTTTTCTGAAAATTGTGACCGTTAATGTATAAAATAACCTGAAAGTGAAAATTGAATAGAAAATGAGCTTTAAGTTTAACTTTTTTTTCTTAGATTTTACTTCTCACTCATATATTTTTCGTGTACTCATGTTACCCTATTGAAAAAATGAATAACTTTTTCTCTATTCTAAATGTTAGAGTACAATTTGAACCGCGAGATGTTGAAGTTTTTTTAAACTTAAGTTTCATTCATGAAATTGCTAGATAAATTTTTGTAAAAACGTTGAAAAAAAGTTCATTAAAAATATTCAAAAATACCGGGGTGAAGAAGAAAAAAAATTACCGGCTTATAAATTCACAGTAACTAATTGATCTAGTCTTTTTCTTTTTCTTTACATTGTGTCTGGATCCTTTTCTCGTCAACCGTCTCGTTTTTTCTTTCAACTTTCCAAAATTTGCTTTATTAACCTACGATTTTTCAGGGTGCGCTTCCTTTCCCTGAGCCGACTTTGATCGCGCGCGCGCGTTAGGGCAACTTCACGAGAAAAAATGCGCGGAATCGCACAGCAGCGACAACCTTTGCAAAATGCGGCCGAGCCGAACAAGCAGAAAGAAGAGAAGAAAGGCGGTCTGAGGATGGTCCGACAGATCGGCCGGACCAATCTGATGGACCCCAACAAAGTTGGATTGATCGGGGTTTTATCAGTTTTGAAACTTGGGAGAATAAGAATTGTTCGTTAAGGCGCCGAAGACTGGGCCGGTGACTTTGGCTGCGATCGGACGTGGAAAATCGAAGCCGCAACAGTCTTCTTTCGAAGTTTTCGTCGATTCTTCTCCGGCTCGCCGGGAATCCACTTCTAACAACATGATACATGTGCTTGAGAAATTCATGGAAGAGAAGGAGAAGGCCAAGGTAAAAGCTTAGAAAATTGAGTGTAGATCGCCCTTTAAACTTCAATTTGTTCTCTATTTGGTTTTTTTTTGAGGACTATTGAGTAGAGATCTGAACTTTTCAGATACGATTTCGCTCTGGGTTCCAGCTGGAACATTTCTTGAATGATTAAAGCTTATTTTCAAAATTAAATTCCTCATTTACCCTTTTATTTTTTTTCTGATTATTTATCTCAATCTTCAAAAAAAAAATTCCAGATCGAGGAACCGAAAGATAAAGAAAACGCGCAGCCGAACAAGGCTTTCGGGTTAAGAGTCCGTCACAATACAGATGATATCCCATATATCGATGAATCCGTCCCTTCCAGCGTTCACGGTTTCAGCCTCGACGAGGTTAACAAAAAAAAAGATGATTTTTCACCAATGAAACTTTTCAGAATGCCGAAACGGCTGCTCAGACTGGAGCCACGATGATTCGAGCGGAGCTCGCCAAGATTAAAATGACCGCTGAGGTGATTTTTTCACCAAATTTAAATCAAAAAGTTTTTTTTGTTCAGATGGAAGCTGTGGGATCGTCTGTCAACGTTGTTCCTTCTCCGGAGGCAGAATTTAAAGATGCTGATAGGAATTCAGAGTGAGAAAAATTCAAAAAAAAAAAAACCATAATATTTTTTCCTCTAGATACGCGAAAGCCTTGGCGATGCGCGACCAGGCAAATGAGGCCATTTTTAACTCGGATGAGTACTATCAGGATATTTATCGGTGGGTTTTGGAGAGTAGACAGAAATAATTAGTTTTCGGCGGAAAATATACTCTGGCAAAGTCGGAATGGTGGATAATGGCCGCTTAAAGTGAGAGGCGCGAAAAAGGCAGCAAAAAGGGTCTTTTTTATCGAGCTTTCCAGTTTTTCTAGAACTTCAAAGGGTCAAGAATTGGTGGAAAAAGGGAGAGAGAGCAAAAATGGTGCATAAGAGCCGATGAAATAGCGTAAAAAGCAGCAAAAAAGGAAAATTTCTATGAAGCATTTTTCGACCCTTTCCTACTTTGTACACGAACATCGAGACGCTCATAAACTTTTTTACTTAAAAAATAATTTTTTTTCCAGCTACATGGCGAAGCGACAGCAAGCGGTACGCTCCTCGTCGCGCTACATGAGACGCCAACGAGAAGTGACGGTGGAAATGAGAGCCATCCTCGTCGATTGGTTCTGCGACGTCGCCGTCGAATACGCGTTGTCGCAGGAGACGATCCACCTGGCTGTCTCGATCGTCGACCGCGTCTTGTCCCTTTTCATGGTCGAGAAAAGTCGCCTGCAGCTGGTCGGCACCACGGCCCTCATGATCGCCTCGTACGTAGAGAAATTGTTACGATATGAAATCAAGTATTCCAAATCTCAATTTTTCCTTTTCAAGCCGAACTTTAGTTCGTGTGCATCGAACTTTACGCAGCGTAAATGAGTTTCCGAAAAGAATCCTTCATATTTGTACATTCGTTTAACAGTTGGAAGCTACAAAGTTCACATGCCACTGTAAAAATTTCAAGTTTTCCTGCTTTAAACTCATATCCGATTCACGGCTAACTTGGGAGGCTAAAGGGGTGTAGCCTGTCTGCTCTCTTCATAAACCATACACTATCTCTCTTCTTATCGTATCGGGACCTTTTTTCCGATGGCTCAAGCCAGCCGTGAATCAGCTATACGTAAAATTTCACGCGTGTGGCTTCTCATTTACTCGTATTATTCGTTAGTTGGAAAAAGAATATTCTTGAAGTAACCAGTATCCATTCAACCTTCTAGTTTCCAGGAAATACGAAGAGATCTTCCCACCAGAGCTCAAGGACTTTGCTCACATCACTGACGACTCTTTCACCACTTCTCAGGTAGGCAAAAGTCACAGAAACTCTAGATGATCAACGTGGACTTTCAGATCCTGATGATGGAGCAATACCTGCTCAACCAGCTCGGCTTTGTCGTCGGAGCTCCTACCGTTTCTTGGTTCGGCACCATGTTCGCCAAGCGTCAAGGAGCTGATCGGTGCGGGATTGGCAAACTTTCTTTGATATTTGGAAAAAAATAACGTATCAAAATCTGAAATCCCAGTTTTTCATGGAATCGGGCTTTTTGAGACAATCTCAAGCATCTTAATGCCAAGACCTCAAGAAAATCAGACTTCAAATCGTCTTGATATCAATTTTTCATGATTTTTGAGATTTTGAACTTGATCTTGTGGAGATATTTTGGTTCTCATGGATATTAAGCTGAACAAAAAAAAGTTGAGAAACGCTAAAGTTCCAATTTTCCTTTAAAGTTATTTCTTCAAGTCAAGTTGTAATTCTGTTTGAATCCTTTTTTGGGAACCTCTCTCAATTTATATTAAGAAATTCGAAAATGAAATTCAAGTTCATTTATTCTAGCCGTACTCGCCTCGCCACACAATACCTGATGGACTTGACGCTTCTCGACTACTCTTTCCTCAAGTACAAGCCATCTTTCATCGCGGCTGCCTGCCTTTGCTACGCGAATATTCTCACGGGTTCGTTTATTCCTTCCAGAAAGTTCCAAGAATTGTAATGTTAATTTTTCAGGTTTGGAGCCGTGGTCGGCGAAAATGGTTCAAGATACGGGTCTCTCGATACGAGCTTTCGCCGCGGTTTTACCCGAACTTCATGTGTAAGTTTCAGGAAGAAAAAGTCCGAAATTTATTTTTAGTTCATTCAGAAATTACTCTTAAAATGGGGGTTATTTTGATTGGCTAGACACGCCCATTCTGACCCATTCTCGACACTTTTTAAGATTTTGCAAGACTGAAAATGTGAGCATAGAGTTTTCAACTTCCTTTTTTTGCTACTGAAGGGACTACTTTAGAAATTTTGAGTGGCAACTATAGTAGCCAAGTTAGTTGCCACTTAAGGGGTTAAAAATTAGTGGCCACTATAGAGGTCTAAGTGCTACTACTAGACCGCTAAAATTTTTAGTGGCCACTTGGGGGTCAGTGGACCACCATAACTGGTCCAATCTGTTTGTTTTAAAATTATCAGAGTTTTTGGAAAGAATACTGGATGAAAAACTACTGAAGTGGCACCTGAAACGGAAAATAGTGGCCACTCTAGAGGTTGGTTTAGTGGTCACTTTAGTGTCCTTTCCAAGTAGTCCTTGGCGAGCCTCTATAGTGGACAATGAAAATTTTCCCAGAAGCTTCAAATTTGTCGTAGATTATTAATTTTTCGCGGTGAATAGATGTGGCCGCATTTAGAATGGCTCAATACTTCCATATCTTGATTTCTCAAGCTTTAAATTATTGAGCCTCTCCAGCTCCGACTTCTCAAACTTGTCGATTTTCAGAGCCTTCACCAGCGCGCCAAGCAGCGAACACGGGTCGGTTCACCACCGGTTCAGCAGCCCAGAATACGAGTCGGTAGCCTCGATTCCACCACCGGCGACGCTTCCAGCCGAAGTCGCCCAGATGAACTTTGGCGTCGTGCGACCCTCAGTCGTCTAACTTTTTTCAGAATTATATAATTCCTTTCGTTTTTTATTTATTCAGTTGTTTATTTTTGATCATGATTGCTCAATTTCTTTGTATTTCGCGCGTTTTTGTACATGCTCCTAACCGTTTTATCGAAGCGCTTCTCTTCCCTTTACCATCACACACACAGGTAGTTTTATCCTAAAGTTGAATTGAATCTCAAGAATCCCACCCCCTCAATAATTTACTCTTGGCACACTCCCTCTCGATTGAATGTATAACCATAATGGTTTGTCGATTTCTCTGTGAATATTTATTTGAAATTGAAATTATAAATGAAGCCTTTCTTTTTTTCTTGTTCTCGAAAATTCCTGTAGACTGTATTGTTGCACGGCAGCCAAGTCCTATCTTTGTTTCGAAATTGCTTAGAAAGCCTTCGTTTTGTGTGTTGAATTGAATCTGATCTCAACGTTAAAATGTACACACTGCCTGTTTTGTATGGAAGTCTTGAAGTGACCAAGTTCTTGATAAACGATTTTCGTGATTTTCTCTTTTGAACCTTGTTTTTCATTCCTTGCATTGGAAATGTTCATTTTTTGGAGCAATTCCTGGGGTTTAATAAGGGTCTGGTCATGTTAACCTTTATAATAGGAGGAAGGGAAAAGCTTAAAAAATAAATGATTTATTCTTCTTCTGGTAGGCGTAAAGTAAGCTGGATTTGGAACTTCTTTTTCAGATCAGTTTAATTTAAAGGATCATAGAAATCTTAAGTCTGCACCTTTAAAGCTTTTGTGAATGAATTAAACTTTGTTAGAAGTTGTAGAAATTTTCAAATCTGTACTAAAAGAGATTTTTTGGATCAAAGGCGCATAGGTGGATTTATGAAAGAATATTACACGAAAAGCCTTCTCGGACATTGGTAACGCGAAACGGACGTTTCTGGGCAATTCTAGGGATCACTTAAGAGCGCTGAAGCCACTAAAGTAGTCACTAGAAATTCCCCGACATGTCCGATTGGCGTCTTGTTTGCGTTACCAAGGTCCGAGTTCTTCTAAAATTGAGAGGATTGAATTTTCTTCACTAGATTTGAGGAGAATTTTCTTCATGGACATAATTTGAGGGAATTATGTTCATTTTTTGAAAAGGAAAATAAGAAAATCTTTTCAAGAACCCCGGTTTTTCTAGATTTGCCTCCAAGGCTTATGTGAACGAACTATTACACATTTTTCTCGTTCTGTGACAAAACCAGACGAATAAGATAAAGTTTATGGCGATAATTACAGACACGTCATAACGAGGTAATGAGGATTTAACGACGTCGGGTGCCGTCTTCGAAGAAGATTCCGCCGTCGATGGCGCAGTACTTGGGACAGATTCCCTTCTCGCCGGCGGCTCCAGCCTGACCGGCCTCACCTGGAGGTCCTGGGTTTCCGTCGGGTCCAGGCTGTCCGTCCGCACCGGCTGGTCCCTTTTCACCCGGCTGTCCTGGCGCTCCGTCGGCTCCTGGAGCTCCTGGCTGTCCTGGTGGTCCTTGAGGTCCTTGAGGTCCTTCCGGTCCAGGCTCTCCTGGAGTGATCTCCTCGTTCGGCGCGTCTTCTCCGGGCTGTCCTGGCTCTCCTGGGGCTCCGGGGTTGCCGTCAGGTCCTGGCGCTCCTTTCGGTCCTGGCTCACCGGGTGAGCCGTCGTTGCCGGGCGCTCCTGGCTGACCGTCTGGTCCGGCGTCTCCTGGTGCTCCTGGAGCTCCTGGCGGGCCGGCTGGTCCTTCGGGACATGGTTTGCATGGAGGAGGCGTGATCGGCTCGCATGGAGCCTGTGGTGGACGTCCTGGATTGCCTGGCAGACCGGCGGCTCCTGGCTTTCCTGGGCGACCAGGCTTTCCTGGGGTTCCGGCTGGACCCGCTGGACCTGGAAGACAGCAGCCGTCGCAGGATTCGGCACTGCCGCCGGTGACTGCCTCGCCGCCGTAGCCGGCCTGACGAGCGGTTCTGTTGGCCGCTGGCAATGTGTTGAGATAGGTCATGTCCTTGAGGATTTCCTTCGCCGAGTTCTGGAAGAGAGAATAGATTTTAGTTTACTGTTCATCGGTAAAAAGATGTTCCAACAGGCAAACAATGCTACAGAACAAAATTGGATTTTTTTTTTGCGTTTTAAGCCATGCTCCATTTGCCAGTGGAGCACGGCGAAAATAAGCGTCAGATTTACTTTGAATAAAAAAAGGTTTGAAGGTTAACATGACCAGATCTTTCTTGATCTCCAACTTGTCTGAAATGTTGAAGGATTAGTTGAAACTCCGAGAAAGCGGCCTTGGGACGAAAAGCGATGGAGGGAAAATCATTAAAGTGTTTTGCTATACTCCGTCTAAATTAATTTTGATTTGTCTATTTCTAATTGAAAACCCCATTTTTGGATCATGATTGAAAGAGAACGACTGATTACCTTGCAGAATCGGATGTCAGTGTTGACTTGGCGTTTGACGTTACCGACGTAGTTGTAGACCATCGGCAGAGTGACGCAGACCTGGAAGTTCCATGGTTAGTTTTATGTTTCTCATGAAATTTAAAAATTAAAACTGTTCTGGTATCTATCAGAGAAGAAAAAATAGGAAAGTAATCAATAAATAAGAAATTATCAGTGTGGTACGACTCAATTTGATGAATCAGATGAAAAAAGTGAAATTAATCGACGAAGCCCGATTTGAACTCGAAAATTGACCGAAGTAGGTTTCTGATGCAATTTTGGAAAGAAGTCTAGCAAAAAATGATCAAAGGTGGCCAAATTTAGTTGTAAAATAAGTCAAATTAATGAAAATTAGTAGTGGGGAGCTGAAAGTTTAAAAAAAAAGTAAAAATGGGATAAATAGTCGTTTGGATAAAACTTCTTTGAAGCTCTAACCTAGCCATTCCACATGCGGCCAAAAAAAGTTACTCTTCATTATTCCATATTTATTTTCAATGTTTTTTTTCAAGAAAATCTAACCGGTCTGCAATATCTTTTCCTTGACGTCAAGGTAATAGAAAAAGGAATACAGGGTTAGAAACTCCAGAGTGGTCCCTTAATGGGATGCTAGTCGATTATTAAATTTCTAGGAAAAGAAGCTATGCGGAAAGCTCAATAAATTAGCTTTGTTTGAATGGAAAATATCAACAGAGGACAAATTGATCAATTTTGTCTATGTTCAACTCTGAAAGAAAAAATTTAAAAACCCTATAGGGACCAATTAAACTTCAGGTCAAACCCTAAACCCCTATAGGGACCGCCTGAATTTGTCAACAAAAAGGCGATTTAAAAGCTTTTTTCCCTAACCCTTAAAGGGACCACTTTGGCGTTCCTAAGAAGCTCAAAAAGGAATTGAGAGAAAAGAGGACGCCGAGAAATCAGACACTTGCAAGCTTTTTAGGAATGCGTTATAACATAACTAGATTAGAAGAAACGATTTGATTGAGATATTAGAGGGGTATTAACTCGAAAGAAAGAACTTACGGAGACGACGGCAACGACGGAGAAGGTGACGGCCGAGTAGGCGACGAATCGGTACGCCTTGACGCGGCATTCGGCGTCCATAGTTGTTGGCTTGATGATATTGGGATGAAGCGCCCTATGAACCACTGAGATCCGGCCTCGAGGGCTTGCCTTTTATAGGCCTCTTGTCCATGGCTTTACACCCACTGACACTGCCGTCGAAGATTTTGCGTAAACTGTCAAAGGAAAACGAAGGCAACGTAGAGTGAGAGAGAAAGAGAGGCGAAAAAAACGTCTGCCGAGGATATTCGTGTTCCTTCCACACCTGCAACAAAATCCAAGAAAAAACACTTGACAGACTCCACGATGATCCTTGTCGCGCGGCACGTTGTTTTTTTTTTTTGGTTTAAGAAACGTGATTTTATCTTTAGGCTTGTTTTGGACTAGATGGGGAATTCTTTGAGTTTTTGTTTTCTTTACAAGGAAGGTCATCTTAGGAACTTCAATGGGGTCCCTCTAGGGGCAATCTTAGAGGCCCTTCGAGGGTCTAGGGACCACTTTACCAACCCCTATAGGGGCCACTAAAGCTTGCAGAATTGGTCCCTATAGGGGACATGCTAGTCGATAGTACTTATGAACTCTGAGCGAAGAAGCAATTCCATGATAAAAACTGGATAAAGAAGCGTTTTTTGAATGAAACTGATAAACCCCTATATGGTTCACTTGAGCTTTAGGGGCTAAGTGATTAGACCTTAAAGTGTTCTGGGCGAATTTCAGAAAATTCTTAACTTAAAATGGTGATTTGACCTGGGCATGTTTTAGCTTGGTTTGTTGAGAAATAGTACATTTCTCACCAGTCCAAGCCAGAGTCAAGTCAGAGTCACCAGTACCAGTCAACACCGGTCAAAGCTTAAGGCCCTTCGCGAAGTTTTTAAGAATATATATAGGAATCCTTCAAAAACTTCCTGCTACGAAAGTACGGAGCTTGCGAATTTGGGAAGATGAATTTTCGACCCTTCACTTTAGATTTTTATCTTCGCTTCTTGAAACTTTATGTGGTTACGCATAATGTCATCTTTTTCGGAATTTTAATCGCTGGTTTTCATTTTTTTTTTTTGTCTCTGATGAGTTTTGAAGGACGTTCAGCTTCTTATTGAATTGAGCTTACCAAGATCTATATACCCTCCAAAAAAGAGCTCAATCGGAGACACTGAAATTTTCGACTTTTGAGGGTTCATAATTTTTTTCACAGACGTATTGGGCAACTTTTGAAACTAGATTTGGAATCACCGTGAAAAACTACATCTAGTAAACTTGGTCTCATTCAGAAGTCCCACTGCGTCCCGAGACCCTTCCCTGGTTACAAGGTTATTTAAACTCTTGTATATCTTATCGTTCGAAGGCCTTTTTTGTGTTTTAGTGGGAAAATTGCGGTGACTGGAGTATGTATTGGTGTGGTTTGATGTGGTATTGGAACGCGGAAGGCAATCAAGCTGATCTAAAGAGATCCTCGTTCATTCTCTCACTCTCAATTTGCCTCCGAGTGGCCTTCGACAGAGCGTCAAAAAGAAAACGATTACACTTGAATGAACACATTTTGCGAACAACACACACAGAAAAAATGTGGAAACTTCACTGTAGGCAGCAAAAAAAGAACATTTTTATCCCGAGAAAGTACAGAAAATTGACCCGATTTGTGAAAGTTAGTCCTCGAAAATTTGACGTTGGTTTAATATCAAAAATGTCGCCGTCGTGGTGCCTATTAAGAAGACGAGCAGGAGGAATCGGTCCAGGACCATTGCTACCTGAAACATTTGAAGAGTACGCATCTTAAAGGAAAATATAGAATAATAAATAAATCTTATTCTAAGTCATATGTCGCGAAACATCTCCCAAAGGTCAAACGAAAAGGTGAAAGATTTTTTTTCTGGTTTTTTTCAAGAATTCAGGAATTTCCAATTGATATCTTTTTAACATATCACATATCCAGAACAGTGAGGCCTTTCTCCCTTTCTTGGAAAGATTCTTGATTTTTTTTTTTTCGATATCGCACCTTGGCACCGCGAACCGGACACGTCCCGGACGTGTAGGAGCATTTTCAGAGACCATTTCAGTAACGTCAGAACTCTTAAGTGATCCCTAGAACTGCTCAAAAAACGTCCGGGGAGCGTCCGGTTTGCGTTACCGACGTCCGAGTTTTTATCGAAAAATCAAAAATTTTCAAGAAAAAAAGTATGACCTCACTCTTATGGCTTTTTTAGCCGAGCTTCTCGGAAAATGAAATAAAATAAAATCCTTTACAAAAATAACTTATCCTCACTGTTGATTTAAAAGTACGGACGCCAAATTTTAGATATGTGCTCTAGTCGCGATTATTGTGTTGAGAAGTTTCTCCTTTTTGGAATTTTAGAAGGATGTGATTTCCTAGAATTGCTCAGAAACGTCCGAAGCGTGTTTTTAAAAGCGACGGCTGCATTCGGAAAGTTAACTGAGTGAGAATATTTGTTTTAGTGACAATTTTAGCCATGAAGTTTTTTTTTCGCCTTTCAACAATTTAGGAAGCTGTGTCGAGCTGACAATAACAGTTTTTTCTCAATTTTCCCTTTTCAGACTTCTTGCCGACCTGCTGCCACTCGAGAGCAATGGCGTCGCGTTTGTCGCGTTCGGCGACCCGCATCTCGTTGCGTTCGATGACGGCGTGGACCTGAGCCATCACCCGAAGGAACTCCTCCTCGAAGACGTCCCCAACCAGTCGAGCTGGCGACTTCGGCAGTTCCGGCTCCCTGGAAGTTAGTTTTTTTATTTAAAGAAACACGAAAAATAGATAGAAAGACAGTTGAAATGAAAAAAAAATCCAGAAAAAAATCTAAGTAAAGAAATATGGAAAAATCTTATGATCTTATGGAAAAATGATGCATTCCTTTTTGACTTCAACCTACTAATTTGAGGCTTCATTCAGTGGTCACTTCAGTGTGCTCTATTCTCCACGACCTCTCAAAAAGAGAGCGCAGAGATGTCAGACGGTGGCGAATGAAGCATAGAACTTTTCCAAGTTTCTACCGAATTTGGAGTTTCATCTTGAGACGCGACATTGAAATTGAGAAAAACTTGTATTTTTCCTTCCAAAGATGGTTCAGAAACCGAGAAGCTTTCTTGAGAGATCATGACTACTTTACGTATTTTTCCGATCTTTTCTGTGCTTTTGAAACTTCTTCCCCCTTTCTCTAACCGGTGAAAATTGCTTCTAGGCAGTAATCATCTCATTTTTCCTTCTAGTCTCCTCGGAAAAGATATTTAGATCTTTAAATCTTCGAAAAACCCACTGAGTTTGCCCGAACTTCCTGCCATAAATTGGCGAATCCATCGAATCGTTGCGTGTCGTGGTGGAAAAGGACACCTGAAAGGCATTTTAAGATATTGACTTCATTTTTTTGAGAAAAGAGAAATTAGAGAAGCAGGAAAGCATTTGGGTGCAAGCGATAGCTGCGAAAGGCTTAGGAAGTGAGAGGAATTTTCGAAAATCTTGCTGTAAAATTTGAAGCTTGAAAGAAAGCGATAGCATTTTCTTTTGAAGGCTCAGAGGAGTTTGAAATGACTGGTTGAATTATTAACCTCCTGAACCTTCAGTTTTGAAAATTAACAAGCAAAAATAAGAAGAATTACGTCAAAGTTCTTGATTCGATTCGCAGCCTTAACGCCTACTTGACCCTGTAATTGATTATTCAATTTTTCCTTCTTTTCTGAAGCTTCATCATTGAAACTATATGTGAAAATTCGTTCTGTAACACTCTTTATTTTTGAAATGCTTGAACTGATTCGGCCGTACTCTGATCTCCATGCGGAAAATCAGATTTTGAAAAATAAAATGCTCGTTGTTTCCATCAAGCACAACAGCCTCAAGAATATTTACCTTAACTAAATCAACTAAAGTGGTCCCTAAAAGCTTCTCAACTCTATTTCGCCAAATTTACGAAAAATCTACCTTTTTGACCCGAGGCGGTGTTCCAATCCCTGTGGATAGTGAAAAGCGTGTTTTTCGCCCTTGGACCGGCGTCGACTTGTCTGGAACCGAGTGACTCCTTGGAGAAGACGGACTTTGAGTGTCCTCGTCGTCCTCGTTGTTGTTCTCCTGCTCGATGAGTCGTCGATGAACTTGACACAGGGCGGTCGTCGAGGGGCTTGTCTCCAGTGGAAGTTCTTGCGTTGGCTTCAGTTGGTAGCTGCTCGAGCGACGACGCTCGTGAGGGTTCTCCTTCTGTGAGTTGGACTTCGACTTGAATAGGTTAACGATAGAAAAGGGACTGAAGTAGACTTGGAAATTTTGTCCTGATTTTCTTGTTGAGAGCTCGGACTTCACTTTTAACTGGCTTACGCTCCTATCGGATTGAAAAACAGTAATTTTCGATTAGAAGTTTTCAAACCTTGTGATTCTCCAGTTTACGAGGAGTTTAAATTTTGAGTTACAAATTCCACAGTCGAAAATTTTTTGTTTCCGACGGAAAAGTACGGAAAATTGGACAAGTAACTTAATTTTCTTTTTCAAAGCACGGTTTTTTGTTTTTAGATAAGTTTTTTCAGAGGCGAGAAGTTGTCATTGACAAATTTTTACTGCTTCTGGAGCTAAAAAATTCTCTCAGTGCTACTTAAGCTTTTCTTTCTGTCAAATATATTCCGAGGGACATTTCGACTCACCTCGTACATGTGGCGAACGTGATGTGTTATCGAATGGAATGGCTCAATGTGGACGAACAAAACTTTTGACAGAAACCGAAAGGCGAAAATTTGAAGCAACGGCGGCACAGGATTACCGTGTACACCGTTGTGATGGATATTCACCTAAAGTTTTGGGTAATTAATCACGAATTGATTTGTGAACTAACCGTGAAAACTGTCATAGCGGTTCCCAAAGCTACCAGCATAATTGTAACGCCATAGTAGATTCCTAAAAAGTTTATTTAAAAAAGAGAACTTCTTAATATTGAAACTACTCGCGCCTTTAAGTTGTCTTTGTGGTTTTTAAAGAAGCATACGATTTTAAGTTATGCAAAATCTTTTAAGCCAGGCGCCTTTAATAGTTTCAGAAAAAATTTTTTACGCGAAATCGGACTACTTTTGCGCTTTTCAACGTCTCAGCAATACTACACTATTGAAGAGACTCTCAATAACGCAAAACGGACGCACTACGGACGTTTCTCAGCTTTTATAGTGATCCCTTTAGTACTATTGTTCACTAAAAAAGCTCGGAAACGTCCGAGTACACTCCGCTTTTAAAGATAATCCGAAAATAATCGAAGGCGGAGCATGGCTTTTATTTTTTCAAGGTCGGAAAAGGCTTAAACCAACCGATCAAAGGTAAAGCTTCTGAGGTTGGCGGCATCCCCTCGGCTACTAACATCAGAAAGACAGTGGTCGAAAGCAATGAAGTGATCCCTAGAGTGACCTTCTCCCCAGAATCTGTCGGCATGTAGAAGCCCATCAATGCGATCAAGCTGATCAGCACGCAGGGCAGGATGAGATTGAAGACCTAAAGAGGAAAGTTGGAGCTGGAGGAGGTTAGAAACAAACGTAGAACATGGCGCGACGTTCGATGGTGACATGGACGTCGATGAAGGGGTAGGGTTCTGGACAGCAGCTGTAGATGACCTCGTTCTTCTCGACGCGAATATCTATCAGACTCCACTCCGTGTTGGTTATGTAGTTGCTGTCGTCGCCTGGAAGTTTGATGAGTTTCGCTGGACTAACTTTAAAGAGTTTCGGAAAAACTTTGGTTCCAACTTGGCTTGTGAGCTGTACAAACTTCGGATGAGCTAGTTCAACTCCTAGGTCACAGTTTTTACTTGACTAAGCTTGAAGTAGGTTTGCCCTTGTAGCATACTTATCTTCGCAGGGAACCTATTGGCTTTTGAGCTGGATTAACTTAAAAATAAGAAGTTTTTCTAGTTTTGGATTGGCTTAACCAAGCTGTAGGAGACTAAAATACTTCAAGACATTGGCATTTTTTGTATTGAGCTGTTTTTAAATGGGCTTCTTCTCGAACTTTGAAGCTCTACCAAGAAGAGGTCGAATATGGTCCATCATCATTAATGCGAAGTTCGAACCTTTCTCCGAGGTCAACACGAGGTTGATTTTGGTGCCATCGTAGGCCCAGCTGGCGTACTTCAAAAGGCACGTTTGGCGGTCGAAAGGGTAGTGCTTGACGTCTAGAGGACAGGAAGATCTGGAATACCCATCACTATTTTTTTTTCACGAAAAACTCACGTAAAAATGGCGGATAGTGGCCATCGTATGTTGCCTAGATAGTCGACGATCACATCCGTCGACATGACGGATTTCATGTATTGAGCATCGGCACTGAAGTGGTCACTTGATGAAACAATTTGAGAAAGAAGGGGTAGTTATTGGGAAACAATATTGGAAGATTATCACCAAATTTGGCTATTTTTCAGAGATTTTTTTGACCAAGCGTTCAAGAGAACAAAGAGAAATTCTCGATTCTAGGGTTTTTGTGCTTTCTGAAGTTCACTCTTTGAAGAAAGGTCAAACTTGTTGTAAAGAATGATGTCGGGCTTCCAGATTTTCTCGCTAGGAATGTGTAGTCGAGTGACGTTTCCGTAAAGACGCGGATCCCAGACGAGCTTGTAATCGACCCAGTGTAGTCGGACCCAAGCGTTGGTCGTGAGAACTTGGTTTTTTTCGTCCTGGAAAAATTTGGGCCTATCAGTTAGTTTCTGCATGGTGAATGGTTGGAAATTTCGTCTAGCGGGGAAATTTCCGATAAATGAACCCACCACATCGATAATTTGAGTCAGAGAGAAGACAAAGGTGACGTTTATCGGAGCCGATGGATGAACTGCTGGCCGGATCTCGTTGTTGTAGTCCTTGAGGATCGTTCTGTACAACCGCATCACACTATCGTCTGCATCTGGAAATTAATGTTCCATGGGATGTCTTAGAATGCAATTTATGATTCTCTATTCAAGGTTCTCAGTCGACGGTGGTGAAACTAATTTCCTGTATCATTTTACGGTTGTCAATAGAAGAATTAGCATCGGCTTTTTTTTTTTTGAGAAAGTGCGCTCTGAAGCTAAAAAAAAAGTTCTCCACAGATTTTTAGAAACTTGCTTAGATTTAATAACGTGAAAGTGCGTAACGTAATCATTTCATAGTATATTCTTTTTACGGCTGTCTTTCAGCCGGAAACCTGTGCTAACAGGACGAAAAACTAGGGCATTCATATTTGTCTTTATAGTTTTCTAGCCTTCTCAGTTTTCTTTTTTTATTTTGAGAATATTTTTAAATTCTTTTTTTTTTACTCTATGAACTCGACGAACGGCGAAAGCTTGCAAGGCCACGTCCCAAAGGGCGCCCGCCTGGAGAAAAAAGAAATCGAAGCTTTTCGTTCAGTTTCTGAGATTTTGAGATCGGCTTGTCGAATGCCATCACACATCACTTTGGCTGGGCAAAAAAAAACATCTCGAAAGTGTCTCTCTTTTCGAGATTCGATGCGTTTCGAAAAGGAAGTCTCGGTTTGGGCTAGATAAAAAATATCGGAATGTATGTCAGGCGAAGAAAAATGAGTCGTCTTCAAGAAAAAAATCTATTCCGGAAATATCACTCCTTTCGAATAAAAAGGATTTGCCCTGCCGCATTTGGAATGGCTCAAAGCATTGCGATATATTTTATTGACATTCAAGAGGCAGAATGCCGATTTACGGAAGTCGTTTTGGGTCGGACGCATTAAAAGCAACGATTTTGAAGATGTTTGTCATGCCCAGTGCTTTGCTCATCAGATTGAAAATCACTGGGAAATATTTTAGTGGCCTCTATAGGGATTTGACGTTTTAGTGGCCACTATAGTAGTCAAATTAGCGGCCACTTTAGGGTTTAATAATTAGTGGCCACTATAGCGTTCTAAGAGGTACTACTGAAGGACTAAGACTACTAAAGTTACCACTAATGAACAAATAGTGGCCTCTATAAAGGTGGTTTTAGTGGCCTCTTTAGCGTCCTCTCCAAGTAGTCCTTGGCGAACCTCTATAGTAGGCACTAAAAGTTTTCCCAATAAGGCGTTTTGTTTTTCCAAAAAATGTGAAAATTTTCCTCGGGGAACTTTCCTTTTTTTGGACCAACGATTTTTCTTGTCTCGACGGCTAAAGGTACTTACTTGGAATTGTGTTAGTGCGCAAGAGTGCGTCGAGTTTTTCGTTCTTTGCCAGTTTGGCCCAGCTGCTCGAAAGAGGAGAAATTTGAATATATTGACCAGAACTTCCCATTCTCGATGATTTCCAGCCTTTTTTGAGGGAATTTTTGTGGAAAATGCTACATTCAGAAGTTTTTCTGGTGTCATTTTCAGACATCTGAACTACAAAGAAACAACTGGAGACTATCGTGTACTTCTTATAAATTTGAAAAAGTATATTGAGTAAAAAAAAAAGATCATTTGCCCATTTTTTTCGTCTCCTAACTCTCAAGTGGTCACTTAAAATCGTCTAGTGAACAGGATTTCTAGGACCGTGGGTTTACGGATTTTTTAGGCTTCGAAATTGGAATATTTTTCATTCAGAACCTGGACCTCTTTCAAGTAACTCTCAAAAATTGATTTTGAATACCGAGTAAAAATTAAACTTTAAGGGAAGTAAAAATTATAAAGTTCATTATGAAGTAAAAACAGAGAAGTAATTCAAAGGATCATCGATTGCGTACTAAAAGAGACTACGACGCAGAAACTCAGTCAGCACGGAATACATTACTCTTGTACGTTATAAATTTCCCAACGAGCCCATTTTCAACTTTTTAACTATTCTCAAGGGAACAATTAGAAGGCGATAAGAGTTGGAAAGGCATTTTTTGGCTTGTGTTGTTTTCCTACCCGTTCCTTCCTTCCCAAGTGAAATGTATCTTCAACGAATTTCTTTTTTTTGCTGTTTTTCCCAGAGCCGCCCAGACAAAATAACGCTAATTCCTTCGCGCGCGGCTTTTTCCTCCTTCTCCTTTTTTGATTGGCTTTTTGTTTCGAACGCCGGAGAGAAGGCGACGGAACGGATATTCTGTTACGGAGGGAAGAAGGTAAACTTTGTGGGAAAAATTGAAGGAATATCATTTAGGAACAGCAACGTTTTCATAGTCCATTCACAAAGGGGTATGTTCAAAAACGCATTTTTTGCGCCAAAAGTTTTTTGAAGTTTCAATCTCTCGACTTATCTTGAATTTGGGAATCTCAGAAAAGCTGTTGTAAAGGAACTGTGTAGAAACTGATTTAAACTTTACTTTATCGATTAAAAGCCAATATAGACGATTCACGGCCAGCTTGGGACGCGAAAAAGCCGCGCGCGAAGGAATTAGAATAACTAGAAACTCAAAACCCTATGAAAGCCACTTCAGCCTTTTCCAATAGTATTTTTCCCACATTATCAAAGAAACCCTTGGAAAACTCATTAATATTTTCAAAAATTCCTAAAAATCTATTGAAAATAAACTTCAAGCAATTACCTGCATAGGTTAGCAATAGAATTGCGGTGATGTTGTAGAGAGTGGCCAGCATCACTCGGCATCGCCAGCCTTCTTCCAAATTCTCATTCAGAATCTCTTCTTTTAGTGTCCGTCACTTATTTGTCACTCTGTATCGATTGCTTTGGAAGAATCTGAAGATTCATTTTCGCTAGAAGACAACAGAACTTGAAAAGTTAACGAAAATAAAACGATTATGGTTTCTAAAGGTGCAGAAAAACCGGTCGAGATTATTATTACTGAAAAATCGACTCGTCTCTAGATCTATATAACAAGCGCCTTTAATAAACTCGTGAGAAAAAAGCAAGGAATTAAATCAATCTTCGAAAAAAAAAAACACGGAAGAAGGACTCATTCATTAAGGAAAAATGAATATGCACAAGACCTTTTTTTTCTCTTCAAAATATTCAAAAGCGCCGAGTGAAGCCAACGGGCGTGGCTTAGGTACCGCCCACCCGAAAAAGAAGAAAAGTTTTTCTCTTCTTTTCAAGACTTGAAAAGGATTCTCAACGCTCGAGTAGTCAGAATCCAGGGGGAGCCTACTCAACCGGACCAAACGTTATATTAATTAGGTTTTCGGCTGCATCACTCACTCATACATGTTTTTCTGCGTGCCCGTGGACCGGAATTAATTTATAAATATTTCTTGCAGCTAGAAATTGCAGAATATTTCGAAACCAGTTGTTCAGAAACCAGTTTATTCTAAAGTGATCCTATAAAATGCGAAAAATCATCAAATTATCATCAAAGTTTCTTTTTTTCTATTGTTTTTCCGTTGCCGTTGATTGGCACGTTCAGAGCAGCCCGTTTGGACAGGTAGACCTGAAAGAAATGGTCTTGGAACGAATAGCGAAAATAAAACGAGCCGATGCATTGAAGTTTTATGGTTTTCGTTACTTGGACCCTTAGAAGCTTAAAAATAGGTACTCAAGGTGTTCAGGTGTAGAACTTGTAGTGACAACTTTAATCCAATAAAAGGATATTCAATCTTTTTCTCATCCTAACGAGCGGGGGAAATCACTAGAACCATATGATATCACCAATTTTGCAAAAATTCTGGATTTTTTTAAAAAATTGTTTTTTTATTACAGGGGTATAGGTGTTCGTATCAGTGAGTTCAACTCATGATCTTTTTGTATAATTTTATTTCTAGAATCAAACCTTAAGATTAGATCTCTGAGAAAATCGCTCATGGAAGCTCTTGAGAGCTGGGAAGTGATCAAGAGCCGAGTGACTCAGAACGAGAAGAACGTCGAGCTCTTCGAAAAGAGCGTAATCGGCGTAGCTCTCCTTAAAATTAATTTGTATACTCTTATTCTATACCGACTTCTTGACAAACCTTGGGGCCGGCGATGAACAACTCGCCGTTGCTGTAGGTCTTGAAAAGCTTCTCCAGCTTTTCAAGCTCAACGGGAAGCACGTCCTTGATGAAGGGCTCCTTTCCATTCTCCTAGAGCAAAAAAACCACTAGAATCATTTCTTTTCTAGACGCACAAAGTCTCCATAGATGAGATGTGCGTATTTTGTGTGCAAGTCGCGGATTCCCTCGAAGAACATGTCGATGAACGTGGTCTCTTGCTCATTGTGACCGTTGAGACCTTTTGGAGAACTTTTTTGAATTCATGTTGAGATTCTAAAAACCATAAGCACGGCCCAAATGACGCATGATAGCTCCGGTTTGAACGATTTGCTCGTCCTCGACATAGAGGCAAGGAACTTGGCCGAATTGCTAAACATTTTTTTTTGTTTCAAAGTTTGATAAAACTCTGTGAAACCATTTTTGGCTTGTAGGAGGGCCAATCTGCGTAACCGAACCGCTCATCCTCGAAAGGAATCTGCTTATCGGTCAACAGGAGCCGAATCATTTCGCCGAGTCCACGACAGTTAAAATAAGTGAGTTTCATGGCGACCTGAGAAATTTATGAATTTGGAACTCCTGTTTGAAAGAGCGGAGGACTAGTTGGAAATGGTACAGAGGCAATTAAAATCCGTAAAAATCTTAGTTCTTGGCAAACGCAGTGAAACGGAATTTCGAAGCAAGAAAGGAGAAAGCTCTGAGGTGCCTGTCCTCGAAAACTAAAACTTCTTGGTAGATGATCAAAAATCATTACGTTGTACATTTAAATCTGGGCTAGAATGATTTTCTGAAGGGAAGTTATAGGAGAATAACTTCAGCGCACCGCTCCACGAAACTCAGTTCAGATAAGAAAACACGAAAATTGATAAGAAACGGCAGGAAAATGGAAAGGAAACGTGGCCCGATATTGACAGGTCCAATGTCAATGGAACAACAAAAACGTCGCGTTTGAGACCAAAAAAAACTTCAATTTATTTCACAATATATTAACATGCATTTAAAGATTTGTTTTCCAATAATTTATTGTTTGCCGTTGTTGTTGATTGGCAGGTTGCTAGCGGCGCGCTTGGACAGGTAAGCCTGAAAAAGTGGATCAAGTAGACTATTTTTTTTTCGGGTGTCTTACCTTAAGGTTAGGTCTCTGGGAGAATCTGTCATGGAAATTCTTCAGTTTTGGGAAATGATCAAAAGCCGAGTGGCTCAGAACGAGAAGAACGTCGATTTCTTCGAAAAGAGCATAGTCAGCGTAGCTTTCCTTGAAAATGTTTACATTTTTGGTTCACTTGTGTTTTTGGTGAACCTTGGCTCCTGCGACAAACGCGTCACCGTTTCCGTAGGTCTTGAACAGCTTCTCCAGCTTTTCAAGCTCAACAGGGAGCACGTCCTTGAGGAACGGCTCCTTTCCGTTTTCCTATAACAAAAAGAGTTGAAATAACATTACGGTGTTTTTCTAGACTTACATAATTTTGGTAGATCATTGTCGTGTACTTCGAATGCAAGTCGCGAATTCCCTCGAAGAACATGTCGATGAAGGTTGTTTCTTGTTCGTTTTGACCATTCAAGCCTTCAAAAAAAATTTTTTTTAATCGTTCCAAACTGTTAAAAACCATGAACACGGCCCAAATGACGCATGATAGCTCCAGTTTGAACGATTTGCTCGTCCTCGAAGGAAAGGCAAGGAACTTGGCCAAATTGCTAAAAAAATTGTTTTAAAAATACCTTCTTTTCACGAAATAATACCATTTTCGGCTTGATTTTCTGCCATTCATCCTTGTTGAACTGTTCATCCTCAAAAGGAATCTGTTTATCAGTCAGTAATAGTCGGATCATTTCACCGAGTCCGCGGATGTTGAAGTAGGAAACCTTCATTTTGACAACCTGAAACTGAACTGTAATAATTGGAAACTTTTGCAACAACGAAAAAAAAACGAGAGAAAAACGCAGCGAAATTCAGAGAGAACTTGGCGGCGGCCGCAAACAATTTATAGGCCAACAAACAGGCAGAGTTCAAGGCGGTCGAACAGAGGATGATGTTAGCGGAGAGAGTCCAAAAATCGCTCAAAACATTAAAATCGCATTGGCAAACATGTAAACGTTTCCCTTAGATAACAATGTCTGCGCGTCTCTTCTCACTCAACTATACTGGCGCAAACATAAAGTAAATCAGGACACGCATGAGAGAGCAAAAATGTTCATTAAAACGTGTTAATCATAGTGACGAAATTCTTAGATAATGTTAGGCGCACCCTTTTAAGACAAATAATCATTTCACCAAAATGTTCGTACATAAAACAGAACAAAAAACTGGCAGTGTGTAAGAAAAGACTTTTGGTTGCTCTTGGCAACCTGCGGGCGTATCTTCCCTGAATAGGAATGTATTCAAGACTTTTTATAGATATGAGAAACAGATTTGCATGATTCCCAGTAAACAAAACGCGAGAGAACCTCGAGAGAAAGTTTTTTTCAGATAAGCAAGGCCTAAGGTAGGGTTTTTGAACCCTTCTAGTGACTTCTTACACCTGGATTCTCACGATTCTAACGCACGAATAGTCAAAATCCAGGGGAAGCCTACTTAAACGGCCCAAACATTATATCAATTGTGCTTCGACTAATACAAGTTTTTCTGCGTGGACGTGGACCGGAATTGATACATAAGTATTTCTTTCAGCGAGAAAAGGCAGAACATTTTAACACCAGTTTTTCGGAAACCTGAATATTTCAAAGTGATCTTAAAAAATGCAAAATTCATCAAATTATCATCAAAGTTTCTTTTTTATTGTTTTCCATTGCCGTTGATTGGAACGTTCAGAGAAGCCCGTTTGGACAGGTAGGCCTGAAAAAATGGTCTTGGAACGGATAGCGAAAATAAAACGGGCCGATGCATTGAAATTTCAATGATTATCTTCACTTGGACCCCTAGAAGCTGAAAAATATTGTCTAAGAGTTCATGTGAAGTTTTAGAATTTTTAGTGACCCCTAAAACCAATGAAGGTATATTCAATTATTTTTCATCCAAGTGTAGTTGAAATATCTGAAATCATAAGATATCAATAACTAAGAAAGTTTAATGTTATTTTTCACATTATAGGAATCTAAGCTGTCTGTATTACTCTATCTCGCTATATCGTTTTTATTGATTTTTTCAAAATTTAAACCTTGAGATTAGGCCTTTGAGAGAATCGATAATGGAAGTTCTTCAGTTTTGGGAAATGATCAAGAGCCGATTGACTCAGAACGAGAAGAACGTCGATTTCTTCGAAAAGAGCGTAGTCGGCGTAGCTCTCCTTGAAAATGTTTATTCTGATTCTAATTTCTTAATTTTTCGGTGTACCTTGGCTCCAGCGACAAACGCGTCACCGTTTCCGTAAGTCTTGAACAGCTTCTCCAACTTTTCAAGCTCAACGGGGAGCACGTCCTTGAGGAACGGCTCCTTTCCGTTTTCCTATAACAAAAAGAGTTGAAATAACATTACGGTGTTTTTCTAGACTTACATAATTTTGGTAGATCATTGTCGTGTACTTCGAATGCAAGTCGCGAATTCCCTCGAAGAACATGTCGATGAAGGTTGTTTCTTGTTCGTTTTGACCATTCAAGCCTTAAAAAAAATTTTTTTAATCGTTCCAAACTGTTAAAAACCATGAACACGGCCCAAATGACGCATGATAGCTCCAGTTTGAACGATTTGCTCGTCCTCGAAGGAAAGGCAAGGAACTTGGCCAAATTGCTAAAAAAAATTGTTTTAAAATACCTTCTTTTCACAAAAAAACACCATTTTCGGCTTGATGTTCTGCCATTCATCCTTGGTGAACTTTTCATCCTCAAAAGAAATCTGTTTATCAGTCAGTAATAGTCGGATCATTTCACCGAGTCCGCGGACGTTGAAGTAAGAAACCTTCATTTTGACAACTTGAAACTAAATTGCAATAATTGAAAACTTTTGAAACACGAAAGAAACACGATATTAAAAACGCAGCGAAAATTAGAGTGAACTTGGTTGCGGCACAAACAATTTATAGGCCAACAAACAGGCAGAGTTCAATGCGGTCGAACAGAGGATGATTTCAAATGATGACAAATAATCATTTCAGCGAAATTTCCCTACTTCGAACAAAAGAAACCCTGACACGTGTGAGAGAAAACTTTTGGTTAATCTTGGCCGCCTATGGACTCATCTTTTCTCAGTAGAGATGTATTCATGACTTTGTATAGCTATGAGAAACGGATTTGCATGATTTCCAGTAAACAGAACGCGAGAGAACCTCGGAAGCAAGTTTTTTCAGATATAGTCTGTTCAGATTTTGAATGTCAAGTCGTTGCTCAAGCTCCGCTGCCTAATGGCGCGATAAACCAATCAGAGAGCGAGCCATCCACAGAGCGTTTTCGAATGACGTCTTTCTACTTGACATTCAAAATCTGAACGGACTATAAGCAAGGCCTGAAATAAGGTTTTTGAATCTACATAAGTGACTTCTTACACCTAGATAGAGCCTCAAAATAACTTTTAACGCGAGAAAGATAATGAAACAAAAAGTAAATAAAAATAAAAGTCATCCATCAGAATTTAAAGACGCATGACCACACGCAGAAATTCAGATAGTCCTGATGCGAAGAGGTGTGGGCGCAATTTAATTTTCTTTTCCTATTTTTTCGGGGAAATTCTGGAATTTTCGGATGCCTTTTATTTTCTGTTTTTATGTCGTGTTCAAAGTGATTCCGCGGAATGCAAAATGGCCTTCAGAGAAAAAAAATATATAAATTAATCTTGGAGAGTCAAAGATCATTTTGCATTTCGCAGAAATTACTTTTAACACGGCGCCGTGTTCAGAGAACGTCTGTGAAATTAAAATTTATCCTTTTGTTTACATCTTATAGTTATCTTTTTTACCCTCTAACAGTTGTGTCGAATTTTTTAATTTTTTCCGGGATTTTTGAATTTGTAATCCCCGAAATTTAAAAAAATTACAATGAAAACGGCATCAAGTAGTTGAACTACTCTTGCAAAAAGAAGATGGTTCTCAAAAATTTTTCAAAAAAGCTTTTAATGACCACTGAAGAATTTTTTTCATTTCACAACGGCATCTTTTTCACTTATTTAAAAAAAAGATGCTGGGAAGCAACTGAAAAAATTCGGGGAGATTCGGAAAGAATTCTCTGAAAAAAAAAAACTTAAGAGGCATTTCACCATTTTAGGAGTTTTTAGCGGACCTTTTCAGCTACTGCTGAAAGTCCTCATAGAAACTTTTCCGTTTCGCCTGTGTAAGAGAGTTTAGAAGCTTTGTATTTCATATATTCTCTGTTAAGAGACCTTTTTTTGTTTTTTTTTAATCTGCAATACTGTATGAAATGAATATGAACTTTTGATCTTCTTTTCTTAATTCTTGCGCCTTCCTGAGATTTTTTTCAAAGCGCAGATTTGACTCAAGATAATTCTGAAATAGCCCAGCAGAGATTTTTGAAAAAATCTAATTGAACTTCGGGACTTTTAATATGCATTTTTAATTTTTAAATCCCCATGACATCAGCCTGTTTTGGAAACGGAGAACCACCACCGAGATAGATGTTATTTACGAAAGAGAGAGAAGAGAGAAAAAAAAAACTTATAAACAACAATCGACTGTTGTGTGCATGGTGGGAAAAACGTGTGGCGAGCGTGCGTTTTTTCTCTCTATTTCGACGTCGCGAGAGGAAAAGACACCACAAACGCTCACATTGCGCGCAACCAACTCGATCTAGAACATTCTAGGTGCGTCCCGATTCATATCCATCCACACACATACGCCCACACTTCACACACGCGGCTACCGTAGAACGCCGTTTTCGATGGTAATTTTATCATTTTTATAATTTTCGCATTTATTTCTTGATTTTTCTCAATATTTTTTCTTCATTTCATTGATCACCATGTCTTGTTTTTCTTGTTTCTGAATGTACTTAAGAAAAAAAACCGAATTTTAGGTAATAACACTGCAGAAAGCGCTTAAACGATTTCCGCGAACTTTCTGGAAGCACGGCGAAAAGTGTAGTTTGACCATTCGAAACATATGATCATAGCGTGCGATTTCACTTGGCACTGTGCCATTTTTTTTTCATTATCTTCCTTTTTACCAAATGGAATTCTACGATATTTAAAAGTATTAAAAGAAGAAGCTTCTTCCAGAATTAAAATGAGGATGCCGCGAATTTTTCGCTCCAAGAGGAACTTATTGATCACAGCTTAGACTCCATTTTCTTTCTTTTCAAAGCTTCTAAGAGCAGTTCTTTGCCTCATAAATTTTTTTTGTTGCACATTATTATCAAATCAATTTTTTTTTCAATGACTTATTCACTTTGGTATCAATTCTTTTGATGGTATGAAAAAAAAGCCAGAGAAATTTCAAAGAGTGACTTTTCCGATTTTTCGTATCGCTAGGGAACTTTCCGACGGCCACCTTTCCGCCGAAATCCTTTCCGACTTTTTGCCTTTATATTTTTCGATTTATAAAACATCTATTAACATTTGTTTCCTATTTCGTTGTGTTTTAATCATGAATAAACTGCCTACTTCATATCAATCAATCAAATCATTTATTTTGTTGTTTTAGTCTGATGTAATCGACTAGGCGGTGAACAAGAACTTTGAAAGCTTTAACGAACAACCGCCTTTGGCGAGCTAGAAGTCCAAACGTGTAGTCGAAAGAGTTGAAAGCATGGTCTTACGGTCCTTCGCCTCGTCCTTCTGCGCGTAGTCCATCCAGTTGCGCCTTGACGAGCTCAGAATGTAGCAGATCTTGTGCTGGAGCCCGGAGACCGTGCTCTAGGTGTAGGAAGATTCAAAACAAAATAGGAAGATTCAACAAGATTCAACACAACAATATAGGAAGATTCAAAACAAAAAGTTCATCAAGAAAAAAAGTCGGAAAAAGATTCGGCGAAAAGGTGGCCGTCGGAAAGTTCTCTAGCGATATGAAAAATCGGAAAAGTCGCCGTTTGAATTTTTGCTGGTCTTTTTTTCATACCACCATTCTTTTCTATTCTTAAACAGTCAATTATATTCAAAATGTAAGCTAAACTGTCGAAGCGGTTTAATAAAGTCTTTAATGCAGAGGAAGTTAATTTTTTTTTAGCTATTTATCGGCTATTTAAACCGATTTTCACTAATTGGTTTAGAATTTTGATTCAATAATGTTAAGGCATTACTTCTGAATTAAAATCATTGGAAACAATAAAAAAATTAAACCGATCTCCAATGGTTTCTGAGTCAACTCGATCGCTGTTGCTTTTTTTCATACGTGGAAAAATTTTTGACTTTTACGCTAAAAATCCTATCAATTTTGAATCATATTGAAGTTTAAAACATGAGAATAATCTCTAAACAAGAAAAAGTGAAATATTTCTAGTTCTGCAACAAGAGCGATTTTTTTCCTGTTTGATTTAAACTTCGTTGAAAAAAAGATTATAAAAAAATGGAAGTTAAAAATTCATCAACTATTCCAACTTATTGAGAAATTGAATTGGAATGCAGAGAAGCTATTTGCAAAAAAAAATACGCTCTTGACGTAACGCAAGGTTTCTTTGAACGATGGTTTCGTTCAGTTTTATCCCTGCCCCTCATCATAATCAGAATGACTTTTCTTTTCACGCTGTATCTTTTGAATAATTTCGAAGCTTTTATCAACCTAAAAAAAAGTCATAATTTCAGTCAATCGGTTTACGTGATGACCGGAAAAGTTCTGCAAGGAGCCTACAGCAGCGACAGCTTTAATCAACAGCGCTACGATCAGCGCGAGACCGGAAATTCCTCGCTTTTCGGCGAAAAAATGGACGCCGAACTGCCGGAATCACGTTATTATGTACAGGAGCCGCGCGTCAAACGTGCACATCAAGACGACGAACAAGTGAGTTGAAGAAAATTGATAATTTTTTGTCTGTTTGCGATTATTGTCTCGAACCATTCTATTTGGTCTTGTAAACTTTTGAAAGGATTCTATTAATTTGAATTCTAATGTTTTTTTTTGCTATTTATCGGTCCTATACAATCAGAGAGTGTATTCAAAGGCGTAGAAGTTTTTCGTTACCAGGTATAAAACTTCAAGCGACATCCATGGTAAAAGTTAGATATGATATGTTTTTAAACAGATGCTCAGATTCTTTCTCGAAGTTCATAGAACATTCTAGAAAGAATAATGATATCAAATCGAATCTCATGAAGTTCTTTGTACAATTTGATAGTATTGGTCAAAATGAGACGTTCTTTTCCGTAAACGTGTCAAAGAAAGTCTTAATTATCTCTTTGTAACACCCCAGTTGAAACCTTCCGGTGATAACTCGTTCAGAGATTACTTGATACGCCTGTTATCATGATACTCTCGGTAGTTTAAAAGAGAGTAGAAAAAGACAGTTGTGAAGTGCAATCTTAACGTTTTTCCAGTTTTCTCTCTTTTTTTTGCGCGTGTTCGAAAGCAAGCGGTGCAGACACGTCGGCTGAGGATTACATGACCTCAACGCGCGAAAAACACTTTATTTTCTGTTTGGCCGCCGCGTTCAGAGTACGTTCCCCCCAAAGGACACTTCAGACTTGTCCACTGTAGCGATTTCCTGTCTGTTTCATACAGCTTTCCCCAAAATTACTCATTCAGTAATAGGAAAACCTTTGAGATGCGGTCCTTTTTATCTTTAGGGAATGACTCGCCGTTTTTTTTTTGCCTCTCTAAATGGGTGTGGTTCTCAGAGGTTCTCCTCATCACAGTGTAACCTTGAAAGCAAAGTTTTCTTTACTTTTCCCTTTTTTTGAAGTAATTTTAACTGTTTTAAGGAAAAACCTTGGTCTGGTAATTTTATAGAGTATTTTTTTGGGGATGGAACAGCCAATATTTTTTTTTACTTTTGGGATGTTTCCAATTTTCTTCTGAAACTTTGTGTGTTCATGGTGATTATCTCAGTCACTAGTCCACTCGATTTTCATTTTTAGCCAGTTTCTTATAAAATTGTGATTTGTTTAGAGATTCTTATAGACTATCAGTTTAAAAAATAAGTCCTATTTATTTTTTCATTTTTTCCTCTTCCTGGATATGTTTTCAAAAGACCGGTGAATCCAAATAAACCTGCCTCGATTAACGAAGTTTTGATCGAAATGGAAAGAAAAACATCCTACAGTAACCTGTCCTGTGAGTTAGGATTTCAATTTCAAATTATCCATTCATCTTTTTTTTTCAATTCATTTTTTTATTTCCATAAATAACGTTTTTTTCCATAGACTCATTGATAAATTAATAATTCCAAGTTTTCAGGACATGGAATATGCTCCACGGGCCAAACGAAGATTCGACAAAATCAGCGCTCGATTGGAGAATTTTTCGATTTCCAATGATAGAGTGACTCCTCTGCAAACTTTGTCAGTGGAAAATCTGTTTTATGAATTCATAAAGTTGCTTTTTTAGTGATTCTTCATCGGACGATGAGATGGAGGAAATTCTGCCGGAGGAAAGTAACAATATCGCTTCATCAAGTGTGGAAGAATGCGTGGAGCCGCTGATTCTGGAGCCAGAAGAAGATGAGCCGCCGAAGAAGCTGAGGCTCGATGAGCGACTTCAGATGTACCTGGAGATGGCTCGGAATAATCATCTTGATTTCATTCCGAAGTATGATTTTGTGTAGTTTGATTCATGGGTTTGACAGCATTTTTTAGAATCCATTAGTTATAATTAAAATAAAAGTCAGTGTACTTAAATCCCATTCCGTGAAAATTGGGAGTTTAACTCATACAGTGTATTAACACAAGGTCTCGAGGCGATAAGTTTGTCCCAGTTCTATTCAAATTATCCCAAGGCTTTTTCGAAGTTTTTGAAAAAGTGTCAATTTGAAGAGAACAACGTTTTGAGGATTTTCAATCGATGGATATTGTTTTCATTTGCAGATCGGCGAAAACACGCGGCGACGAACTGGTGGTTTGGCGAGCGCCGGTAACAATCAATCCATTTGACGACCCGACGATGAGCGGCCGCATCCGGGAGCTCACGGAAGAGGAGGAGCAGGACGTTTTCGAAGAAATGAAACATCGACAGCTTCTTTTCGACGGCATGACTTCGGAGGAGCCCAGCGACAATGGAAATTGTTCGTTTTCAGTTATTATCACTCTCAAGGAAAAATTTCCATAGGAGTGTTTCAAAATTCAATTTTTTTCTTTTCAAAAAACGATAAGGCTTGGACAGGTTCTGAAAATTCAACAAAATCGTATGTTTAAAGAATTTAAGTAAATAAATTAGAAAAAAAAAGCTCGTTAGAAGCGTTTTTGATTTATTTCGGGACTTAAACGTTTACAGTAAAATTCTTTTGCAAGTCTAACTTTCAGGTATCGTCGACTGCGATGCATCTTCTGTTGCCAGCTCCACTGAAGGAAGCTTCGTCGACCTTGATTCTCCACTGCCGTCGCCCCCGAACATCGTCGAAGTCACGGAGGAAAGGAGAGATCTCAGCTCTCCAACTAGTCTGACCAACGGCAGCGTTTCTGACGAGGAAATGATGGATTTTGACTAATTCCGACCATTTTCTCGTTTCAAATTAGCCGGTTAATCTCCCTTATTTGTATAATTTTTGTTGATTTTCTGTCTACTTTCATAATATTTTCTATGTACTTGTACAAACTTTCTATTGCTGCTCAATTCATTATTATTTCATATTGAAATCTTTGACGTTGCTGGTGATGTTGTCGGGCTTTCATTTGTTTTTCTATGTGATAAATGCTTTTTTTCAATTTGTGTTCTGATGCATCATCGATGGAAAGCGGTTACTTTCTGGTTTTGATACATTGATAATTAGAAAAAAAGTTTTAGTTAGATTCATTTTTTTGAATTTTTTTTCATGAGGCGTTTTACTTAATTTTTTTGATCCTGTTTTGAAAAACAGCTTCCTTTCAAGAAAAAAATTTTTTTAAAAAAAGAAGAGAAAGTGAAATAAAATAAAAAATCACATCGGCGTTCCAATTGACACTGCGCTGGAGCGCACTTTCCTCGGCTCTGTAGAATAAAAAATTTTATTTTAAATATTTTTTATCAAATTTTGAGTCTTCCGACTCTCATAGTTTCTAGTCAAGTAAACAGGTATAATGGAGAAATTCTCATTTAAAAAAAGAAGAAGAGTAATGAAATTAACATTTCTAGAATTTTTGTAAGAATTTGTTTCTGATATTTATTTTTTCCTTAGGAGAAGTGAAAGACGTAAAAGGTTACATTCCTTCCTGTTTGCGCAAAAAAACTTGCAAAAATTATCTATGCCACGCTTGCTCACATTAAATGTCAAGTCGTTATCTTCTCGTTTAATGATGGAAACCGTTTTAGATCAGAGAAGGAGAGATAATTCTTCCTAATAGGCAAAATGCAAAAATTTTCTGTTTTCCTGCACCATCGCAACACATGTGACACGAACGATCGGTTGTTGTCTTTTTTTTTTTGAGGCTCTTTCGCAATTTTTTTTCATTCTGTCTCTTATTTTCTATTTTACTATTGGTTTTAAAAAGGTTGAAGAGTTACTGATTTCTGAAAAATGACTTATTTTTTTATTGGAAGTTTTGGAAAAAAAGCTCAGTAAACAATTTCTCAGGGTGCATCCAAGTCTTTTTTTCACCGCTCTAGCCTGTTTTTCTTGCACTTTTTTTCTGCGTTCCCTGCGTCCTTCGCCCGCTAAAATGAGCAATTTCCGCGAGGAAAATGTATAAAATTCCTACGAATACGTTATTTTTTTCAAATTATGTTCTCCATATGTTATCAGAAGCTTTAGGAATGATTTCGATATTCATTCTTGATTTACTGAACGTTTGTGAATGGGTTTCTAACGCTTGAAAAAAATTGAATTTTTTTCGCATTTTTTTAAATTTTATAAATTTTTTTCTTCAAGTTTATGCGAAACTTTCAATTTTAGGTTTTTTTGTCACAGGCCGACTTTCTTTGATTTCGTTATTTTTTTGTAAAAAGAAATGTCGCAATCGGTGAGTTTCGTAATAGAAAACGTTTACAACAAGCATCTTACGATGGTCTCACGATTTTCGTTGTGAAAAATCTTATTTGATCAGGGTCGGGTACCTTTTGGTGATTCATTCTCCATTTTCATGTCTTTTTTCGTTAAATTTTCTTTTTTGATTTTGATGAAACGGTTTTTAAGCTTTTTTGTGCTGAGGATTCATGCTTTTAACCTTTTCGTGATGATTTTTCAATGTAGTTGATGATATTTTCGTCTTTTCAGGGTTCTTTTTCTTACCACTCATGAAATGTCGGAACCCACGGATCAGAAAGGTGCTCCCATTACGGATGGAGATCTTTATTCGGTTTCTTGGGACGATTTGATTGGTGGAGGAGCGTTTAGTAAGGTTAGAAATGTCCAATTTTTCACGAATTTTGTGTTGTTTGATTCAAACAAGTTTTTCAATAGGAAATCTTGTGGAGCTTGTGAAATACTTATCATTTTATCGATTTTTCGAGAAAAAAACAAATAACAGCTTTGACTGCGAAATTTCTATATCGAAGTTTAAAACAAAGGCTGAATTTGATTTTCTGGGAAACATTTTACTGAAATTTAGTAGCTTGACGAACAGATTGACGGCTTTTTTAAATAAAAGAAAATTAACCCGATTCAGAAGTAATCATTTTTTCCTTTCCTTCAACTTTATTTAAGGTTTACTTGGGAAGGACCAAAGCGGGTAGAAGAGTTGCCGTGAAATATACAAGATCGAAACGGGACATCGAAGCGGCCAGAAATGAAGTGAAGCTATTGAAGCAATGTGCTGGAGCTTTGAATATTGTACAGGTTGGATTCAAAAAAAAAATCCCCCTTTGAAATGTGTTTCCAGTACATCGGAAGTTGCTATCGGCCCTATCGAAGTGATGAAACTGGGCCTCCGCTGGAGGATTACACTTTCGCCATGGAAATGGCCCTGTTTAGCTTGGAAAAGTTCATGCAGATGCCCGGAAACGCTCGCGGTTTAGAGATGTTCGTCCTTATCGATTTGATCACCGATTGTGGTTGGTTTTTTCGTTAGCCTTGAAAAATGTTGAAAAACTTGGAAAGAAAAGCTAAAAATATCTTTCAGCATCGGCTCTCGTGACATTGAAAGAGAAGAAAATCGCCCATCGAGATATCAAACATATGAATATTCTGGTCTTTCCGGGAACCCCGACCAAAGGACGGAGGTTTCTATTCGATCTCTTTGAAAATATAATTTATACCTTCAGATCAACCTATCTGTTCAAACTTTGCGATTTGGGCGGTTCTCGGACTGTTGAAGACGATCAAGGAATGAAGACCCTTGTCGGGACTCCCAACATGCTCGTGAGTATAGTTTGATCAATCCAGAGATTTTTGAACACCTGTGCCGGAGTTATAGCAGATCCACAGTTAGAAAAAGCCCTGACACGAAAAGAAAATAGATAGTGCATGGTCGGTGGAGAGCGCAGACAAGCTTCTTTGCGTTTCAAGCTAGCCTTGAATCAGATTTAGCTTATTTGAAAAATTATTTTTTGGGAATTTCAAAGAGTTTCATGAATTTTTCGAGTCGTAAAGTCGATCCCGAAGTATCTTAGGTCAAGACAAACTTTCGCGCCTTTAGCAAGACCTTTTTTATGTCTTCGAAAAAGTTTTTCAAATCAGACGCAGAAAAAAGAGAAAGAAGAAGTCAAACTTGAAACCAGGAAAAATCGGAAAATTGCGGTTTTTTGAAAAATGTGAGGTACTATTAAAGAGACATAACGAGGCGAAGTTCTGCAGAAAGTTATTTCAAAAAAAGCAGAATTACTTCAAAAAAAATAGCATTTTGAATATTCCAGCACCCATGTATGGCTGAAGAACTGTGCTACGGACCTGTAGACTGGAAAACGAAGGAAAGTTATACGGCGGAGCAGTGCGACCTCTGGTCTCTCGGCTGCACCTTGTATTTCTGCGCGACCGGCTCTTTCCCCTTCAAACATGATAACAACGATCGATCTCTCTACTATAATGGCGTGTCCCGGCTGCGCGAGAATCCCGGTTCGTGGTAAAATGAGAAAAATTAGCTTGTTAGCTGATGAATCTCTGAAAGGTTGAGCTTGCAAGGAAGGTCAACTTTTTTACGGTTGCGATTTAACTGAAAATTGGTCAGAGCACCATTTGGATGTACTAGAAAAAGATTCTGGAAGCCTCAACCAGCACAACTTCCTAGTTTTCGAGAAACAAGACCTCAAAGTCAAAGAAAACCTTTAAAATCTGTTTAAGTAGACTATTCTTGAGCTTCAAGCTCTTATTTTTCAGAAACTAGGAAGTTTTGCAGGTTTATGCTTTCAGAATCTTTCTTTGGTTGTTTTCGAGGTTATCATTCGAATTTTCAAGAAATTTCCAACCGCAAGGTACCATAACCTTCCTTGTAAGGAAATCAAGCCGTAATTCAAAAATTTCGAGCTTTTTCATAGAAATCGACTGTTTTTGAGACTGAATTTTCAGTTCAAATTTCGACTCTTGCAAATTCGCAACAGCTCAATTTATTGGAAGAAAAGTTATTGGAAATTTTTTTTCAAGGAAATCAGATGTGAAAAGAGGCTCACATATCGAGTATTGTCATATTTCAAAACCTTTTCTAGGAGCTCTGAAGGCGCGATAAATAAAGGTCTCGAGACGAAAGGCTTTTTTGTATTGTGTCTAAGGATTTCTAAAAAATCGTAGATTATTCAGTCTCTAAATGAATATTTCCGATTCAGATGCCATCGCGATGGAGCACCGTTGCACAACGAAGCACATGAACAAGCGTCGATACGAATTCGCTCCGATTGAAGTGCTTCCGAATAAAAGAAATCGATATCCAAAGTGAACCCCTGAAATTTTCCCATAATCTTGTGCCTTTCAGATGGTTCGTCCACATGATGACGATGCTCCTGCGAGGATTTTTCCACGAACCGTCGATGACTAACTTTGCCAGTGTGGCCGAGTCGCTCAAAAAAGCCCCTCGCCGCGTGTTCCTCTCCATCGATCAGCTTTCTATCGTCTATCACTCGGATCTGAGTGCTGATCGGCACGTTGGGTTCGATCCAACCTTGTTGGAACCCAAGAAAATGGAGCTTCAGAATCAACTTCCCGTCGCTTTCCGAATGCTTTGACTATCCGAAAGGCACGCCGTTGATGCTCATCTCGAGGAGCAACATGACTCTGTTCGGACCTAAGGACAAAGCTCTCAGTAGGCTGAGGGACGAGGAGTTCCTGGTACTGCCACTTTGTCCGGAAGTCTCCTGTCGCAGGTTCCCCGCCTTGAGAACCGATTATAGAGGTGGGAATGGTGTTGTCCTACTAGAAGGCTCTAAAGAAATTGAAATTTTGAATTTTCTAGAATTCCCTGAACATGTTTGATTTTTACAGTTCTTTGTCAAAATGTTTGAACTTTTTCAAATTTTCGTGGTTTTTAATGGTTTTTGTAGCTCTCCCTTGGAAGCGAAAGGGTTCTTTAAAAGTCTTTCCTCTTCATTTTTCGTTTTCCAATTGATTCCTCTTCAGAAGATGTTTCGATGCCAGTTTCGGAACTATTTTCCACGCGGCTCACGATGATTGCCGACGCGATTGAGTCGTTGAACATGTCCGACACCTTTATTCAACTCGTTTCTGAGCTTAAAATAATCCTATCCCGCCAATTTGATTTGGTAAAATCATTTAAACTCGAAATAAAACAAAAATATTCGCAGTTGATCGAGGAGATGAGCTCGGAGCCGGCGTCGATTGCTGCCGTTTCCAGATTTTCCGTCTATTTCGAGACGGCTTGTGTTCCCCTGGTCGTCTTCAATTCGGGAGCTTCTGAAGATGTTAGTTTTTCAATGGTTTTAATCATATAGGCTAGTGTCCAATGAAAATGTTTCTTTTTTTTTTAGCAGAAATCGGTTCTTAGCCGCTGTTGTGAAGCCTCCAACAAGATTGGCAAAGAACTCGACCTTCACATTGGTATTTCGAAGAGAAAACGAAATGTTCTATCAATCTTCATGTTTCAGGAAAAATTCTGAAGCTTGTTGATTATTGCAAGAAGCAGAAGATACATGTGGAGAAGGATTTCGAGCTGGATTATGTTGATTTGCCGAATATTAAAGGTATTTTTTCGAGTTTTTATGATCTTTGAATGTCCTGGAAGTCAATCGCTTAAGCCAATTTTCATATAATTTTTTTCTCAACCAAAAAAAAGTTTTAAGAAGAACTGGAGACCTTTTTCGTGGAAGACAAACCCTTGATTTTGGCTACCCACGAATATGCCAAGGAATTGGCCCTGAAATGCTATGATCGACGTTGTGGCCTTCTGCGGCAGTTTTTCGAGCCCGTCGATGGCAAAAATATGATCCAGCGCATGATGATGGTCGCCAAGTACGTCTTTCTCGTTTGAATCTGAATTTGAAGCTCTGAAATTGATGGTTTTTTTCAGGTGAAAAAAACTTGAAATTTATTTATTCTATAATTTCTATTTCTAGCTAGCGAGGTAGCTTATAGTGGTTCAAAAAGATTTTTTTGCGAATTTTTTTCTAAATTATTTCGAAAAAAATAGTTTCTTAAAAGTCCATTCATGCAACGATTTGCTTAAAATTTCAACTTATTCGTGCTCAAAAACCTTTGTTTCTGGACATTATGGCTAGAAATGAATTTTTAAAGCCAAAAGTGAGAGAAAATACAACCTGAAAAGTATTTTTTACCCTAAGAAAAATCTCTTTTTTCCAGCGGCCTCAACGAGATCCGGGACCGTTTCCGTTATTGTCGGACCCAGGTTTTGGAATGCGTCGAAATGCTCGAAAAACCTTTCCAGGAAATGAAGGTGAAGACCAAATGATTTATTTTTACCTTTGAATATTTTATTTCAGTCTACGATTGGTATGAACTTCGCGGCACAAGGGGTGAAACCAAGAAGCCCTCACATATTCTCTGAGAACAATGTCTTCAGAAAAGACTAAGAAGAAAGAGTAAGAAAAAAATTTTAATTCTTAAAATATACCATCTTTTTTCAGGATGAAAATGATGATCCTGAAGAACAACGAGCTCGCGCGAAGGCTTGAAACAGAAATGGCTAGTTTGCAAGTCGACCTGAAAGACTTCTCAATCATCCCGACGCCTTTTGCGACGCCTTCGGAAAGTTTGAAGCCACAGGAACGAGAAAAGACTGCCGATCCACAAACTGTTACCGCAGTTCCAGAAGAAGATCAAGTAGAAACTGCGATGTGCAGGTAAAAATTACAAAAAAGTGTTCAACGTGAAAATTCTGTCTTGATGCGCTCCATGCTAACAGAAATTGTTTAGAAAATAGTTTAATTTTTTCAAAAATTATTTTAAAAAAACCACGTTATTGCGCGTGTGGTACGTAAACACCTCCATTGCGTACTTTCAACTTACAGTAATCCAATTTCCTTTTTTTGGCGGATATCCGCGGATGATACCAGCAACCGCTGGGAAATGTTTTTTTCAATTAGTTTACGTTCAAAAGAAGTGTTTGTGAATTCAAGAGCGGTAAAACGGCCTTTTTCCAGAAGTTCATTAAATTATTCGGTATAACAACTCCAGAAATAACGTTTTTTTTCTTGAACGAATATCACGGATTTGATTTCAATATTTCTTGGAGCGAATTTATTTTGCCTTTTTATGCTTTTTGTCTGCCGTGTGTCGTTTTTTTTTACGTGTAACTTTTGCCCTTTTCATGTTGTCGTTGTTGTTTTCTTGTTTTGCTTGATCAACGCTAGGAAATAGTCCTTGAAGTAGAGCGCTTTTTATATTTATAGAAAAAGCCCTTGAATTGTGGAACTGGCCAATAACTAATTGAATCACCAAATTTATTTTTTAGTTCCAGAATATCCTGACTTCTCAGCTCACGTCTACTCATGCTGTAAAAAACATTTGTACATATATTCTCTTTGAAAAAAATGATCTATGCTTTCAGTTTCATATTTATATTATATATCGTGCTTGAAAATTTATCTCCCTGAAATTAAAAGCGGAAAGTTTCGGGTTTTCGTCAAGGTAACGGTACTATTCCCAGTGAACTTTTTTTGGTTTTTTTTTCATTTTCAATTCACTACATTCTTTTGTTGTTTTCTCTTGTTTTTCTCATTTTTTATCCTTCATTGTGTATATTTTGGTTGTTTACTTGTATAAAAATATACGTATAGTCGCATTTGTTTAAATATATGATGAAGATTGAAGGAGAGTCCATGAAATATCTTTAATTTGAAAGAACATTAAGAATCGGCCTTTTCAGAAAAAGTTTGAATATGGAACAGCTGCTGAAGTTGCTGCCCAAGTTGAGCAATCATCTCAGGAAGGTCTTTACCTTTTTCATTCGTATTTCTCTAGCAAAAAATAGAATGCCTAATTATTCCGAAGTGAAATATTGTAAAATGAACTTTTTTTGTAATTTCAATCAAGAATTCGCATCTATTCTCTGACAGAAGCTTTTTCGCGCATATAATATATATTTTTCAAAAAAATGCTATATCTCGAACAGAAAAAAAGCAGCTTTTGAATGAATAAAAGGTTTCAAAGTTAGTTTTCCAGAAATTAGATCAAGTTTCCACGGAAGTTTTTTTTTTTTGAAACGTGTGTCCAGCTGGAATTTTTCTTTGATACGAAATTAGAAATTCAGGGAGATTGTGGAAAAATTGGTATCATTGGCGGTTCGATGGAATACACTGGTGCTCCATATTTCGCCGCCTCGTCGGCTGCAAGATTGGTTAATAATTCGGATCATAAACTAAAATTTCTCAATTTAAATAAGTTTTTCGAGCTCTGCGGGTTCGCGTTCCAGCCTTTGGAAGAGACTCACTTGCACTTGCATTTATCTTCATTTTAGTTCTAGATGGGATTTTTCTTGAAATATTGATATTGTAGATATTTTTCTGGCTATTCTTGGATGAATACCAGCCAGAAAATTGATTTTATTTACTATAAACGTTCAATCTCGCTTTTTGCGCGTCGCTTTTCATGCCTCGCGTGCACTGCGTACAACACATTTTATTTTCCGCCGTTGTGGTGGGTGTGACGTCGGTTTGGTGTCGCCGTGACTTGTAGAAAAATCCGAAAGAAATGGATTTCAGATTCCTGAAATTAAAAAACACGATTTCCAGGGCGCCGATCTGATTCACGTCTTCTGCACGCACGACGCCGCCACAGTCATCAAGACCTATTCGCCGGATTTGATCGTTCATCCTGGAATGAAGGTCGACGACGTCATTCCGGTCATCTGGAGTCGCAAATCTATTTGACGTCAAAAATGGGTTCAGAAGTTGGAAAGACTCACGACGCTGGTTCTTGGACCCGGATTGGGCCGCAACAAAGACCTTTGGCCTCTGATAAAAGGCGTTTTTAAGCTGGTCAAGGAAAAAGGAGCTCCCGCTTGTTATTGACGGGGTTAATTTTTTTCAGAAAAAAATTGGATAATGAAATGTTAAAAAAAATTTCTTTTTTTTCCTTCCTTTTTTTTTTGAAAACTGACCTTTCAGGATGGCCTGTGGTTCGTCGCCGAGGACTCTTCACTCCTACCAAAATCGGAAAGTATCGTTTTGACGCCAAACGTGGTTGAATTTTCTCGACTCTGCAAAGCTGTGCTGAAAAAGGAGAACGTTCTTGATATCAAGGTTTCGAGATCTCAATCCATTTTACTTTTGAAAAATGTATAAAATTTTCAAATTTCACAAAAGAAGTAACGCCGTTGTTGGGAATTGTATTTGATTATTCACGGTTTTTAGTTGAAATTGTTTTCTTCTTGTCATAGCCTGCTTTATACTTCAAATTACGAACCTGGTCAATTTATTTATTTTTTTTATTTATTTTTTTAGGACTTCGATGAAATTCGACAGTTGGCCGCTAATTTGAGCCGAGAAATGAGAGTCGCTATTTATTTGAAAGGAAACTCCGACTTGGTTGTCACGCCGGATGGTCGAGGTTTCTTTTTCATTTTGAAATATTTATTTGATAATTTTCAGTGTCGAAATGTGATGCAAAAGGAAGCATGAGACGATGCGGCGGACAAGGCGACGTCACGGCCGGAACTTTGGGACTTTTACTGTCTTGGGCGAGGAAGTCAGCAGAATTAATCCTACTCCTCAAAGCTATTTCCTTCTTTGAAACGTCATAGGAAAAGTCGGAAAGACCCTCCGAGGGTCCACAGAGGTCCATATAAATGTTCCTTTTAGGGTGATGAAGGGTCCCTTTTTGCTGCCTTTTTGCACCATTTTCTCAGCCCTTATGTACCATTTTTGCTGCCTCTCCCTTTTTCAAGCCTTTAAAATCCCAGAAAGATGGAAGGCTTGATAAAGGGACTCTTTTTGCGGCCTTTTTTGAGCTTCTCCCTTTTAGCGGCCATTATCCACCATTCCGCCTGAGATTTAGTCTTTAAAGTCTTTTTTACATTTTCTAACGTTTTTTTCGGGGTGAAGGCGATGTAAATTTTAATGAATTGGAAGGAAAACCTTTTTTGCACCATCTTTTTTCTGTTTTTTTCATCGTTTTTCTATATTTTGTTCAATATTTTCTCTTCAGAACTGGCGCCGACTGGACCACTTCACACCACGACGCCGGGGTCGCTAGCAGCTGGCTGGTGCGAACCGCAGGACATCGCGCTTTTGAACGCGAAGGCCGCTCGATGAACACCCCCAACTTGCTCGAAGAACTGCCGCGGGTCTTGAGAGACGTCGAGACGGCCGAAACTGTTCCTAACAACAAGTAGTTCAGTAAAGTTAATAATTATAGCCAATTCTCTGCCAGTAAATTTTTTTTTTCTCGAACTTTTGAACGTCTATGTTCATACGCCTCAATTTTTCCCATCCACTAGAAAATCGAAATATCCACGCCCTTTGAGAGTTCAAAGAGAGTATAGTCAATTTTTCCCGACTTGAAAGGCGAAGGAGGCGGGACGCGTAGCGTGTGCGTACGCGGTTCTTGGCACGAGTCCAATTCAATTGCCGCCGACTATTTGAAAAGCTCGGCAACCGCTCTTTTTCAATGTTTTCTCTCACTATTTTTTGATGCACACATGAACATAATCAATAAATAATTGAAAGAGGAATGAAAAAAGCGAAAAACAGGCTTTTCAAAGAGTCGATGGCGGTTGAATTGAACACGAGAGTTTTTTCTTGAGAACCTTACAAATAAAAATTTTTTTTTAAATCGGTAGATTTGAAGTTGCAATCGGAGTAGATGCTCCAATTTTTCGAACATTTTCCTTGTTTGAATTTTTTTTTTCTTCCATTATGACAATCTCAAGTTGAATTTTCTCTTTTTTTGACAGTATATTTTTCAGAATCTGAACTACCGTGTTACAGCGTCGTCGATTCTGTCAAAAAAATCTGGAAATTAGAATTTAGTTTTTTTCTTTTCTCTAAAAAAATAAACGTTGAAAAAAACAATAACAATTGTTCGTTCAAACAGTAGGTGTGATTTGTACATAACTTAATTAATTATATAGTTGTTCCCTTGTCTTTTTTGTTCTTATTGTTCTTTCCGCGCCAGTTAGTTTTCCTCCGAGCTACAGCATCTTTTCCGTGTGGGCGGCCTGCTTCTATGCATGCGATTTTTGTCTAGCTTAAACTTCTCGTTATATTAAAGGCACATGTACAGAAAAAGGTCGCGCGCATCGAAGGTAAAGATTCTATAACTCAGAGGAAAAGCTGGCGGGTGCGAAATGAGCCTTTTCTTTCTTCTTGTTTTAATAATCTTCTTTTTGAAAATAATTGTAAATATGATAATTTTATCTCAGCATGTTTATGACTTGGATATTAAATATCGTGAACGACTTCGAAGTTTTTTCCAGAAAATTTTTTGATTTCTTTTCAGAGAGTGATTTATGGACTTCTTTCTTTAATCACGTACTACTTGTCTCACGCTGATTTTTATAAAGTTTTCACCGCTATGTTTTGCTTTGTGGAGTTTCACTTCTGAAAAATTATTTTTTTTTTGTGTTTTTACTTCAGGGGACGATCAAAAAAGACTCAAATTTTTGAAAAAGTTAAAATATGGTATCAATCGATACAGAACATCATGGATATTGGAAAAAAGAATGCTTAGGAGTTCAGAACTTCCTAGGTTTCCTAGGATCGAGAAATCGGTGAAAAAATAAGAATGAGCTTAATTTGACCTCGGTATAGTCTGTTCAGATTTTGAATGTCAAGTCGTCGCTCAAGCTCCGCCCCTAATGGTGCAATAAACCAATCAGAGAGCGAGCCATCCACAGAGCGTTTTTGAATGACGTCATTCTACTTGACATTCAAAATCTGAACAGACTATAGGTCTATTAGGAACTAAGATACGGGCGATTGAACTTTTGTTTCAGATTTTGAAAATTGCTCAAAATCATTTTCAAGCAATAGAGTATATCATTAAGATCGGAAAAAGAAGTCCATAACCCCCTAGTAATAAAGTTATGAATTTTCAAAGCGTCGAAAATTAAGCTTTTGGGTGAAGCTCAATTAACTGATAACCTACATCATCGAAAAGCTGAGATCATGACAAATCGGATGATGTAAGCAAATAAGCTGCAGCTGCTCTGGTTGCCGAGATATAAGCGTTTAAAGTTTACCATTAATATTTCGATAGTCGTCCGATATAATGCACTTGGTGGGCTGCACCGCGGTCTAATTTTCTCCCGAAAAAGAAAAAAAGCTCAAAAATTTTTTTCGTATTTTTTGGGATTTTTTTCTATAATAATCGATAGAGCAGCTTCTTTATAATACTGTTATCATATCAGTTTCAAGAGAAATCCTCAAAAATTGCGTGAAAATTAGGTCCAAAGGGTCGTATTTCTCAAAATTTCGAAGCTCCATATCTTCGTTCATTTCGAACTTACAGAGAAAATGATTGTATTGATCGAGTCGTCTTAACGTCAGCTTTTAATTGATACAAAGCATCAATAGTTTGGAGCACTTTCATAGAAAATCATCCACTTTGAAAAATCATAACTTTTTTTCTAGAAGCCTCAGAAGTTTTCTACTTGCGTTTTCGAGTACGACGCGTCATTATCTATCGATTGGTGTGAAAATCACGAAAACTTTTGTTTTTGGAAAAATCAAAAAAAGTGCAGTCTAACCCCTTGGCTTTTTTTTGAGCTTCTGAAGTCATGGAAGCCGATCCGGACGAAACCTATATCAATCGATAGATCTCGACGAGAAAATAACCTGAGACCAGGTTTGACCTCCGTAGGTCAACTAAGAGCTAAGTTATGGACGATCAAACTGAGAGGTCAAAAATTGTAAAGTAGGTCAAATTTGGTATCAATCGATAGAGGAGATCAAGAAAATCAATAGAAACTAGGTCTCTAAGTTCCTAACCTCCTAAGGATCGAGTTACGATTTTTCAAAAACTTCAAAAAATCATAACTTTTTTTCTAGAAGCCTCAGAACCTTTTGACTTGGATTTCCGTACTTCTGACGTCATTTCCTATCGATTGGTGTGAAAATCACGAAAACTTTTGTTTTTGGAAAAATCAAAAAAAGTGCAGTCTAACCCCTAAGCTTTTTTTCGAGCTTCTGAGGTCATGGAAGCCAATTTGGACGAGACCTATATCAATCGATAGATCTCGACGAGAAAATAACCTGAGACCAGGTTTGACCTCTGTAGGTCAACTAAGAACTAAGATACGGGCGGTTGAACTTTGGTGTCCGATTTTGAAATCGCTCAAAATCATCATCAATCGATAGAAAAGATCATGAAGATCAGGAAAAACTAGGTCTCGAAGTCTATAACCCCCTAGTAATAAAGTTATGAATTTTCAAAGCGTCGAAAATTAAGCTTTTGGGTGAAGCTCAATTAACTGATAACCTACATCATCGAAAAGCTGAGATCATGACTAATCGGATGATGTAAGCAAATAAGCTGCAGCTGCTCTGGTTGCCGAGATATAAGCGTTTAAAGTTTACCATTAATATTTCGATAGTCGTCCGATATAATGCACTTGGTGGGCTGCACCGCGGTCTAATTTTCTCCCGAAAAAGAAAAAGCTCAAAATTTTTTTCGTATTTTTTGGATTTTTTCTATAATAATCGATAGAGCAGCTTCTTTATAATACTGTTATCATATCAGTTTCAAGAGAAATCCTCAAAAAGTGGGTGAAAAATAGGTCTAAAAAGTCGTATTTTTCAGACTTTGAAGCTCCATATCTCGGTTCATTTTGAACTTACAGAGAAACTGATTGTATTAATCGAGTCGTCTTAACGTCAGCTTTTAATTGATACAAAGCATCAATAGTTTGGATCACTTTCATAGAAAATCATCCACTTTGAAAAATCATAACTTTTTTTCCAGAAGCTTCAGAAGTTTTCTACTTGCGTTTTCGAGTACAACGCGTCATTATCTATCGATTGATGTAACAAAATCGATAGTTTCGATTTTCGGATAAATTGGAAAATTTGCAGTAACCCCTTTGGATTTTTTCGGGCCTTTGAACTCATGGAAGCCAATCCAGTCGAAACCTATATCAATCGATAGGCCTCGACGAGAAAATAACCTGAGACCAGGTTTGACCTCTGTAGGTCAACTAAGAACTAAGATACGGGCGGTTGAACTTTGGTGTCCGATTTTGAAATCGCTCAAAATCATCATCAATCGATGTAGGTCAACTAGGAACGAAGTTAAGGGCGATTAAACTTTAGGGTTAAAAATTCAAATGAGGTCAAATATGGTTTCAGTCGATAGAGGAGATCATGACAATCAAGGAAAACTAGGTATCGAAGCCCTTAACCCCATAGGAACAAAGTTATGAATTTTCAAAGTTCCAGAGAGTGAACTTTTGGATGCAGCTAAAACAATCGATATCGTATATCAGAGGAAAACTGACATCATGACGAATCGAATGATGAAATCAGATGAGCTGTATCTGCTCTGGGAGCCGAGATATAAGCCTTCAGAGTTTGCTTCAAAAATATAACTTGCGCGTCAGATAAAATGTGTCGTCTGAAGTTGCGCGTCGGGTTAAGTGCTCGTCTGAGGCCCGAAGCGGTGAGGTTTCTCGCGAAAAAGGAGAAGCTGAGAAAAAAGTTGTTTTTCAAGTTTTTTCTAGTTCAATCGATAGAATAGCTTCTATATAGTACCGTTATCATATCAGTTTCAAGGAAAAAGCTCAAAAATTTAGACGAATCAATGTCGAAAAAAATGCCTCTTCTTGGACTTTCAAGATTTTTAACTTTGTTCATTTGAAAGTTACAGAGGAACTGATTGTATCAATCGATCGGTCTTATCATGGGCTTTCCAACGATATAGGACTTCAAATTTTTTGAATAACCTGGATGACGTCATATGAATATCCAGCTTATATCTCAGAATTTGCTTCAAACCGAGTGATACTATAATCAATCGACAGAGCTTCTTGAGCAGGACCTAACAGTATAACTCGATCTTTGATATCTTATCAAAAAGTCAAGTTACACGCTAAAGCCATTCTCAAGCTTCGTTCCAATATATCACTTCAACTTTTAAGACACATTAGTACCAATGTTCGCGATCCAATCATGTCGCATTTCACTAAAAATTCAAGTTATCAAAACTAAAACTGTCAATCGATATTTAAATCGCCGAGATCTAAACAACATCGAATTTTTCACCTGACAGCCTCTTTTTATTCGATTGTTCACCGATTTTCCTTTTCCATTCACTAATTTTCTTATCATGTGACAGTTGAGAGTGCCAAACTGATATAAATGTTCATTTCTTCACTGAGTTTCACCCGCAATTACGAAGAGATTTTCTGTTACAAATTTACTTCTTCCGAGGTCAAGAAGGTCGATCACGAGCTAGAGACAGCGAAAGCAAACGGTTTTCCCGGGCCAACCGCGTATTTTCCGTCGATAAAGTGTCTGCGGTACTCTGAAACCTTTTCAGAATGAAAATTCGAAAGAAAGTAACAATTTTGAAACAAGTAGTGCTTCGTTTAGATTTCGTTCTTTTAACGCAAAAAGTCGGAATCTTGTTCAGCTCGAATTCGGAAAACGTTCCTTTAATAAAGGTGCTTCTTTTAAAGTGAAGTAACATTATCAATCCCCCTTCAAGTACCACCTCTACGCGGTGATGGGGAGGCAACGCCATTTATGGCGGCTAACGGTACACCGGTCACGCAGTTCAACTTGCTTCTGCTAACAGAATGGGCGGTCTTTTTTAGCCCTGGCAAGGCAAAAAGGATAATAAGACCACAATTATGCTATAACACGTTCAACACCACGGATGGAACTTTTTCGCAAGAATACCAGTCAACCAGGACGACAACACTGGATGACCGATTGCATAAGACCTCCTGGAAAACGTGTGGTCCACGCTTCGATCAATAAAAGGCACTAAAAGGCAATAAAAGGTCGAAAGCGAAGATGGACCATCTAAGCATCTAAGTATCTAAGTAAGTAAGTAACATTATCAATCAATTCGGATTTTCCAGTATTCGCTTCGCAAAGATTCTTTTGAACAGCAAGCAAAATTGAATAACTTTCGGGTCTTTTGAAGTTTCATCTCTTTTACATAGCAATATCTCCTTTTCAAGACGTTTTCTATTTCATAGAAACTGATTACACTTGAAAAAGCCGAACCCAATGATCTCAGAGCGGGTTTCAAGTGTCTTTTTTTCAAGTTCAGCACGGCCTTTCTCCATTGGGAAACAGGCATTTTTGTTCACCTTGAGGACGATATTTTTCTGAAGGACGTCTTCAAGAACCGCCTGTAGTCGCGAGTTGAGTTCACATGCTATTTGAGTTCCCTTTTTCTCGCCCGCAGCGATAAAACTGGAGCCCATGAGAGCATGGACGCTTCCTCTGCGAATTATTGGCACCTCAAGATCAAATTTATACTTTGTGAAAAGTTTTGATAGCACAAAAAGACGTTAAATTATTTTTCAACATAATATTAGCCGATCGAATGATGGCGTTAATATACTGATGAAACTATTTGAAATTTCACTCCTGTGGATTTTCCCTAGTTTTCACATTTTCCTGTGTGAAGAAAAAGTGGTCCCTATAGGGGAAGGGGCTAGGGTCCGTGCCATTAGCTTCTAAAGGTCAAGTCGTTCCTATAGATCCACATCTTCTCAGTGAGTCTACAACAATACTTGACTAGCATGTCCCCTTAAGGGGCGACTAACTGAAAATCTATAGGAACCACTCTGGAGTTTCTAGGTGGGCGTTCTCCATCAAACAGATAATATTTCTTTCTTCTTTTTGATCGTTTTTTTGCCATCCGTTAATGGGAAAATTCTAACGGAAACTTCGTTGCCTTAATTTCTCACCGAAATTTGGAACTTGAAATTACCTGCACGAACTCACAGGACGCGAAGAGCTGAAAATAGAAAAGTGATTTTATTTTCTTCAACTGTTTTTTCAAACCTTTTCCATCGTATTATCCGTTGGTAGAAGAAGAGATGCTTCCTCTCGTAGCGCGAACTGTTGAATGAGTCTATGGAATGAATTTTTCCAATATATTTCCCGTTTCAAGGACAAACCTGGTTTTTCGTTGAAGTTCTTCTAAACATTGCCTTATATGCTCTTCCAGAAATTCGACTTTTTCGTTTCGACGAGCAAGTTTACGCTGGAGGACGATGATCTGTAGTTTATTGTTTCAATGCAAAAAGTAGTTAATTAATCGTTCAAAACGGTTCACAGCTAGCTCGAGACACGAAAAGAAATGGCCTGTCTGCGCTCTCCGCCACTCCTTTTCTTATCGTGTTAGGATCCTTTTTTCGATAGCTCGAGCCAGCCGTGAATCAACCAAGCTTCACCTTGTCAATCATGGTTTGCTGAACGGCTTGCTGCTCCATCGCCTGAGCCCGAACTGCGTTAGCCTGTGAATCGTCTTCGCGGGAACCTTCCTACAAAACATTCATTTTAGAAAATTTCCATAAAAGGTCAAACGGCGTTTGCGTAGCTAGATTAGTGGAAAAATACATATATTTGAATTTAGGCCCAAAATTGGATCAAAATTGAACATCTTCGCTTCAAGACCTTTGTTTTTTGAAGATAAAAACTTAGTATATACGGTAGCTTTTTCTTTGCTGCTATTTTGAAACGTGACCGTCTTGCGCGGAAATCACTAAACTAGACAATAACCGTTACGTATGATAAGTGATCGACTTTCAACGATTTTTCATTCTACCGAACTACAGAAGCCTTCTCTTCGATACACTCGGCCTGTTTCTATGCATGTGTCTTCCACTAAGCGCATTTAGAAAATGGAGGGAAAAAAAATGACAAGCTAGCGCGGAATAGGCTATTCCGACCTGGGCTTTAAGGTCCAGAAAAATTGACTATGCCTATCTTTGAAACAACCCATTTATCAAATCTGAAATTCCTTGTGAAATGGCAAGACGAACAGTGGCACGATCGAGGCTGACGATGGAGCTAGCGCGGGACCTTGTCGATATTGACGTGGAAACGGCTTCCGATGGCGTCTGGGGCACTTCTGCGGGCGCCGACGTCTTCCGCAGCGCAGCCAGCTCCTGGCGAAGCTCTTTCACGGTCGCGTTCGTTTTTTTCTTGTACGCTGCCAGGCTGTTCCGCTCTTCATCGAGATTTTCCAGCGCGTTTTGTACTGAAAAAGAGAGGAAGGTGTATCTACTGATTAGACAAAAATAGCGAATTGAGTCATCGAGAGAAAAATGCACTGTTGCGTTCCTTAGAAGAAAAAAGGCTCGAATTAGAAAAAAAAAAGACTCTAACAAGTGACTTGTTTTCAAATAGTTCTTAGCTAGATTTTTGCAGTTACACCCTTAGAATCTTAAAAATATAGTCGCGAAAGACGAGGTTTTCTTTGATACTTTATGACTTTGCCGATTCTAATCAATTTTTCCAATCACTCTCTAAAGAATAACAAAAATTGATGGCTCCTTATGAAAATTATATACTTATTCGGCTCTTTTTCATTTGAATCGGAAAAAAAACGTACATTTCTTCTCACAAGCGTCGAGCTCAAGACGAAGGCTGTTGATAGCTTTTTCGTTCTCAACAGAAGTCGAAGATGTACTCGGGAGCGGCTCTTCAGCGGTTTCAGCAGCAATGGGCTCATTCGAGATCTCTTCAACCTCCTTGTTGGTTCGGACTTTCTCTGCTTCTTCGTTCGATGTCACCGTTTGAACTTCTTCGAGCGCTAGTTTCAACCTTCCGTTCTGAAAATTCTCATGATTCAAAGAAATTGGCTTTCAAGGAACTTCTTCTTGGGCGGAAAGCAGCAAAGCAGAAAGTTCTCCGTTTCTTTCGGTCAACTGGTGGGTGATACAGAGAAGTCGTTCCGTTTGTTCTCTGCATTCGGCCGCTTCCTTCTCAGCCGTCTGCAGAATCTTTTCACTTTTGAGAAAAAAAAACCGTGTTTTTTTTTTTCGATAGATGGCATCTATTTTGTATACCCTACTGCTTCGTTTAAGGCAAGAAAATGACCGAGAAAATGACCTTTTTCTTTTCAATTATTCGTTAACTTTTTCACAGTCTCTCGCAAATTTCCCGAATTTTATAATCTGAAGACCGTAGCTTTTGACCTTTTCTTTGACCTCTAAACCGCTGTAAACAAATAAGTGCAAGAAATGCCGCCAATGCTACATTTCTAGTGACCACTTTAGTAGCGTCAGAACTCTTAAGAGATTCCTATGTGCGCTCAGAAACATCCGTAACGCGTCCCGTTTCCTTTACCAAGGACCAAGTTGTATTTTATTGTCTATGGAGCACACAAGAACCAAAACACCTATTTTCTCAATTTTTCAATGGGTCAGGAGGACTGAGATATCTTAATTGTCGTATATTTGTTGAAAATGATTACGCAAACCTCGCAAAATTGGCCTTTCGGGACAAGACATAAAAATAGGTCTGTTTTTCTGTGTTTCTTGAAGAATTTATCGACGGAATTTTGTAGAAAGGCAAACTTTTGCAATTTCCTTTCATTGCCCCTTAACTTATTAAATATCGACCGCTTTACCCCAAATAAATAAAACCTACTCTCGTTTCCATTTCAGCCGTTTCCACGCTTCTCAAAGCTTCTTCAGTACGTTCTTCGTGGCTGTAAAAATATGACTTTTTTTTTTCCAAACGTCTCTCAAACCTGAACACGGTGGCCTCAATGTTCTTCAAGTTTTCGATTTGATTTTCGCACAGCTCCCTTCGTTCCTTTTCCAAGCTCAGTTGGTCATGCAATAGCTCGCATTTCTCCAACAGGTCCATTGTTTCTCTGAAGGACGAAGTTTGATTTTTTTTTTAATATGGGGATACAGAAAGACTACCGGCTCGATTCTTCAAATTTGTTCGCCATTTCAAGTCGGGCGCTTTTCTGACGCTGGCAATCTTCCTCTACGCTACGGAGCTTCGTTTCCAGCTCTGACTCGCGTTTTTTGAGCTTCTCGACTGCTTCCGACGATTCGATGGCCTTGAAAAAAGCTTGAATAGGGAAGAGATAGAAAAGACCTGTTTAAAACCATTATGTTGAATGGAAAGATTGTTCTAATGTTAGTTATTGATTTTATTAATACGTAAAATCTCCTAGTGAAATTAGAGGTTCAAACATTTACCTCGATTTTACGCGCTAAGAAAGGAGTTTCAGAAAAAGGTTTGAAGCCCTACTTAGCGATTTCAGTTTTTTTTTTTGAGAAGAAAACCAAAAAACTTTTTCATGAACAAGTAGCCGATAAAAAGGATCATTTACTCAAAAATGAGTAATTTTGCACCTATCGGACAACTCTTTTAAAAATTTCGTTTTTCAAGTCAAAAAGTTTCCAAAGCTTTTCAGACTTCGCCCCATGTCTTTGATCATCCTTGTGAAAAACTGGGACGAAAAATAAACCAAAGCGTTCTGTCGACTGTCTTTCGCCTGAAGAAGCTGCTTGCGAAGTACGTCAGACTGTTGTTTCGTTTCAGTTATCGTCAATTGCGCGGCTTCCAAACGACTTTCCGCAATCTTCAGCCGATTCTCCAGGTCGAATCGTTCGTGTTTCACAGTTTCGACGTGTACTTTCAGGTTTTGGATGGTCTGCTCCTGAAGAACGACACTTTTCGGGGTACAAAAAAATATTCAATGATACAAATTTAGTTCTATCAAGTTTTTTCAGACGCCAGCAAGTTTTAGAAAATGGCCCAATTTTAGAAATTCGTCTTTAGTAAGTAAAAAAAAGGTGGTATGAAAAAAAAAGACCAGCAAATTTTCGAACGACGACTTTTCCGATTTTTTTCATATCGCTAGGGAACTTTCCGACGGCCACTTTTTCCGCCGAATCTTTTTCCGACTTTTTTTCCCCTTTATGTTTTTTTCGGTTTATAAAACATCTATAAACTTTTTTTCATATTTATTTGTGTTTTTATTCATGAACCAACTACCTACTTTATATAGGAAGATTTAAAACGAAGATTTTATCGAGAAAAAAATGTCGGAAAAAGATTCGTCGGAAAGGTGGCCGTCGGAAAATTCCCTAGCGAAATGAAAAAAATCGGAAAAGTCGCCGTTTGAATTTTCGCTGGTCTTTTTTTCTGACCACTAAAAAAAATTTGGAATTTTCTGTAATGTTTTCATGGATTAATGTCGAAAATAGCAGTTTTCATTTTATAAAAAAGGAAAAAAGTGATCGAAAAAATCTAGTATGGGCAAAAAGTGCAAACACTTCCTGTAGGTCTGAACTGGTGTGATAATGCCACCTACAAGTTGGTCGACGTTTTCCTGGGCTTGCGAGCGTTGGGAGGCTTCGGCGGCGGCGCGACTTTCGTCCAGTAACTTCTGGAGTTTGTCGACGTCGCCACGGACCCGTAACAGTTCGGCTTCTCGCATCGCATACTTCACCACCGCCTCGTTTTTGTCTTTTTCCGCTTGGTCCGCTTTTCGCGTCAGCTGAAATCAATGTTCTTCCATTTAAAAAGCCGAAAAAAAAAATTATCGCACCTGTCCAACAGATTGATTGTACTTTAGACTCAAATCTTTGATGGTCAAGTTGTAGTGAGCTTCCTGTGCCGACGATTTGTCCTGAAAAAATTCAGCATATCCAAACATGTATCACTTTGCATTATAATTTTGAAATCCCAAAATGAACTATAAAACCTCGACAGCTTTTAGCTTGATTTGAAGATCCCGAAGTTTCCTCTGCAATTCCTCCTCGGCCTTTTTGTGATCATTTTGAATGTTCCTGAAAACAAAAATCAGTATCTGGACTCCGAGAAAAGAAACTTTAGCAGAGATTCGTTCAAATCACGTTCTCGAATGGTTTTCAGCAGCTTCTCGCGATACTCTGCGTTCTGCTCTTCAAGTCTGAAAGCGAAATTCAAAATTTCTGCCACGATTATCCTTGAAATATCAGTTCAATGCAGCCGTAACGTATAAAAATCAGTTAAAATGAAAAATTTTCAAATACCACGTCGAATATTTCTATTCGAGCAAATGCATGTTAGTTTGAAGGGCGGAAAAAAAAATAGAATTTTCAAAGTTTTGTTTAATTTTTTAAAATTTTGGGAAAGCTCATATATTCAAAGCAAACGGGAAAATTCCAGAATCGCCCCCCACACTGTTTTTGCCCCCCGCGTTCCAACAAGCCCCCCACCAAGCCAAATTCCGATCTGCGGGGGGTAAAATCGGAGGACTTCATGTGGGGGGTAAAATCAAACGCGGGGGGTGAGTATGTATTCTAGAATGGCCCCCCGCAGTACAAAACGGGGGGCGATTCTGAAATGCCTAGGCAATCTTTCATATTTGCCCCCCGCACGACTTTGAAATAGTTCCCCAGAGCTCATTCGAACAAGCCCCCTCCCATTTCAGAATGACCCCCTCTCATTTCAGAATGGCCCCTGCTCCATTTCAGAATGACCCCTCCATTTCAGAATGGCCCCTCCATTTCAGAATGCCCCCTCCATGTCAAGTATTTTTATTTATTTGACGAATTGTTCACTGTGGCTCAGTTTTTTTCGAAGCGAGCCACAGTCGGCTTCGCGCTATGCGCGCTCCGCCTCCGTGTGAAGCCTTAAAAACTAAGCCTATCTTCCTAAGTAATTTATTAATTAATGTGCATGAAAAAGAAAAAAAGCAAAGAATTCTATTCCTCAGAACAATTACTTGATTGAAAAACTAATAAAGTTCATCTTAATTTTTTTCTAAGTGGTCAGCGCCCCATAATTTTATGATATTCGTACGTATCTCGGCGAGACGTACCCGTAAACTTCTTTGTCTGCCTTGAACTTCTCATGAAACTCGGTCAGCGACCTAATTTCTTCCATGATCTACAAATCAAATCACAAAAATTATTAAATTCACAAAAAAAGAACACGAATTTACATGCGAAAATACAAAAAAAACCATTTAAAACAACCAAGAATGACGAATAATACGAAAAAAATAGAAAACAAATTAAAAAATGGAAGCTCTGACACGTGTCCTGCGTGATCGTTGCGTGACCTATTCTCGGTGTGGGGGGTTATACTGGATAGTTGCGGGGGCTACATTGGATAATTGCGGGGGCTTGTTCGAACGGGTCGCGGGGGGCGATACCCAATACATGTGGGGGGTTATACTGTAATATGCCCAAGCAAACAGTCGTTTCAATTATACGAGGTTTGTATATAATATATTCACTTTGTGAAAAAATAAATACCTCTACTAAAGGATGAAGTGAAGAAGTTCTAATTATCAAAAATTAATGCCGTGTTCAAAGTTATTTCCGCGAAATTCAAAATCATTTCTAACTCTCCAAAATTTAGTTGTCTTCTTCACACTTTTTGACAGATATTTTGAAATCCTCGGAATCAGTTTGAACACTGCGTAAACGTCTTGATGAATTTATCATAATTTGTACGGAAAAGAAAACCTGTCGAGTTCTTTCTGCTGCACGCTGAACCGGTCATTCGAAACGCTTTCAGAATCAGGAACGACGTCATCTTGCTCTTCATAGCTCATCTCAGAGCGGCAGCACGGCTCGCCGAGCTCCTCAGGGTGTCGTTATCGATTTCCATAGAAGGGCAAGCGACGTGTATGCAGAAGCTGCCTTTTTGTTCGCGCGCTTTTATATGATTCGAGCAGTTATATAAAAAGTAGAAATAGGTTTTCAACTGAAAAGTGGGAAATTTTTCAAAAATTGAAAAATTTATAAAGCCATAAATTAAATTACAACAAGAAACATTTCTTGACATATCACGAGTCGAGGAACCCATCATCACACAGAGAAAAACGCGTTATTATGCCTAATATGAAAATGCACATAAATTGAAAAACACATGACATTCACAAGATAATGAGACAGCGGAGATTTTCGAGGAAAGCAACTGAATTAAATTGAATAAATACAAAAAAAACAATATATTTTCCCAAATGAGATTCTTACTTACGACCAAAAACAAAGTAAAAAATAGGGATGATTATTACCAGCGCGGTGACGACAGCTACCCAGAAGATCCCATCGCCCTAAAATATTTATTAGAATTTAAACGAAGAAAGATTTCCAAAAAAATTTCAGTTTTGAACTATTCGTCAACAGTTCTGCGCCCGATCAACTCCCGTTTCATAAAGAATGATTCAATTTTTCACTTCAAAAAAGGTTAATCGAAAGGAAGATTCGGAAGAGATTTCCTGCGCTTTTGGAACTATTTTAAGCTGCTTAGCGGTTACTGAAAGAATTTTGGGACCTCTCTAGTTTCACTTGAAATTTTACTGTTGATTATTAAAGAAGCTGTCAATACTTTTTGAGTCTAATGAAAAAAAGTTCAGCCGTTTTAGCACCACCTTTCATATCAAGGTATTGATATTTCATAGAAATAGATCATCCTGAAATAATATATTTTTTTCCGTGAAGAGACCGACCTCTTCGAATGGGTTCTTCGTCGGCGGACCACTGGCAATCGAGTGATCGACGTCTTCATCGTCCATTTCATGGTGGTGTTGACCTGCGGGTGTCCATTCCACTTCATCGTCCTAAAAGTTTCAAGGATCAGCGTTCCCTTGAAAAATGAAGTTCAGGCACAAACTTCGTCGTCCGCAATGATGGCAGCCGGTTTTGGCGGCGGTGGCAACATTGCGGAGTTCCCTCGTAGAATGGCTATCGCGTTGATTTTCGGATTATCGTGACGGCCCTTTAAATACAATTTTCGGAAACCATCAGAAAAAAGCTTTCGGATTAACGAGACTTTAGATTTGAAGCAAGAAATAAATCTATTGGTTAAAAATACTTTAATAGTTTTACCGATTCAAAATGAGCTTTTTTAACAGAGCGTTCAATATTATTCGAAATATTTTGATTTTAATATTTCGAATATACTTTTTGTGAAGATGTCTAACTTCATTTTGAAGTAGAATTGTTTTAAAAATAAAATTTAAAAAAAGGAGTAATAAACTCTTCGAAAATAATATCAGCCTTTTAAGTTTTATTCTTCATCAGTCCTTCCTGCGAAAAAAAAAACAAACCTTGGAGAAGGTTATTTCCAGCTGACCATCGAAATCAGCAATTTCACCATTAATTTGAACGTCTTTCTTATCAACAGCTACTTCCACATATCTGCAGGAAAACATAGTAGATAACAAGAAAAAGGTGTGAAGACGTACAAATCGTGAGCAAACCCGGTACCTCGGGCCTCTTTGAAAATGTCGAGATTCCTGACAGCCAGAATCCCATTGATGAGAACGTCGAAAACCTCAAAACATGGAGAATTTCAAATAATTAAAAGGCTTTCGAACCTTTTGCTCGGGGCGTTTGAAGTAGACCTCAGAAAACTTGAGCACAACAACATAATTACCCTTCTCCAGAGCAACATTATACGAAAAATCTTGGTCGTGGTAGCGCTCCGTCTGCAAAACTTGATTTACTTGTTTTGAGATCAGACTCGCCAATGATATGGTCAAAATCACATGGGTGATATAACTATTCCATTCTTTCAAAAATAAAATACTAAACTTCAATTTTTGCAAAATTATTTCTCCTTTTTTTCAAAAAAATCTACTTTGATAATTGAAAAAAAAAAATTAAATTTAAACTTTTAAAGTAAAAAACATGATGGCCTTAAAAAACCATCTGAAAGTAACTCTTAAAACTAATTGAAAACCCTCTTTCGAAAAAATCAACTCATACCATATTGATGTTTATACCTGGTACAACTGCACATCTAGCGGATTGGCGTTGATAAATGCAAAACGGGTTCCGAAATCTGAGGCCGTTCCAACAACGTTTTCGTCCGTTTCATAGTAAATATTGTTTCCTCCTCTGTGTCCGTGTCCACCTGCGTGTTGTCTTTCGATAAGGAAACTTTTTAATATTTCGATGTAAGTATTTAAAATTCAAACTTCAAAAACTTCAAGTGAAAAATTGAAACCTCGAAATCATATTTACGTCATTTGATTAAAAAAAGAAATAAAAACCAAAAAACCAACCGCAGTTGACGGCAAAAACAACATTTCGGCTCAAATCAGTATTTTGCTGAGAACGAACAGTGGATACGAACGTTGTGCCACACAAAAATAGTAAACTTACCCACATAGCTGAAAATAAACCAATTCTCAAAAGAAACCGTGAGTATCTATCGAACAAATGAAGAAGCAAGTAAAAGCGTGAAAATATTCAAAAAAAAAAAAAGATAAATCATGAGGAATTGGACACTAAGAATAACTGCCGAGATAAACGCGAGACACTGGCGGTACATTGACGAGCTCGCAAACATCTCGCTTTTTTTCTCGCGCCGGTCTCGCATTTTTCTGGGCGCGAGCTCGCATTTTTCTAGGCGCGAGCTCGCATTTCTCTCGCAATTTGAAAATTTCCGAAATGCAAGATAAATGCGAGATGGCGCCGAGAAAAATGCGAGGTCGCGCCGAGAGAAATGCGGGGTCGCGCCTAGAAAAAAGCGACATTTTTGCGAGTTAGTCAATGTACCGCCACCGAGCTCGCATTTATCTCGTCAGTTATTCTTAGTGGGAGTGAAAAAATTGAAAAAAAAAAATTCAGAGCGAAATTGGACGTATTTGCGAAAAACCGACGTGGAATCGACATAATTTGGCAAACAAAAGAAGAAAATGTGTGTGGCTACTACTATTCACTCCAAAAACTGTTGCAGTCAAAAAAAAAAGTGTTTAACATTTCTCTTTTTCAGAATTTTTAACAAAGAAAAATGAAAATTTTCAGCTCGATAAGTACGTGTTTTGTGAAAAAAAAAACCAGTCTCGCCGCGTAGCACTCGTATTGAGGGGATTTAAAAGATTACAGAGTTTGAGCTAATGCTAATTAGTATACTTTACGATGAAAACCTTTTGAAGGCATTAGACTAGGGAAAAACATTGATCCATTCGTTGCTCCGAGAAAAGAGGATGAAAATGCTTTAGAAAGTCATAGCAACAGCTTTAGTCTATTAGTTTTTTACTCCGTTAAAAAACGGATCCTCACAAAAATATACTTGAAGTTTTAAATATTTGGGGCGAAAATTTAAGTAGAGTCGCTGCAAAAGCATAGAAAGAGAGCACAGGTGCAAAGAAAAAAATATTAAAACTCCGAAAAACAAAAGATTTTTACTTTTAATAGTTCCCGGAATATAACGAAGCTAGAGGACAAAACACGGCTCGAGAGAAACACAACAATTATCACCCCTGTTACGGTCACATTGAACGAAAATTATTTGTAAAGTTTCTTACTTTTTTAAGCGCGAGGAAGCCGGTTGCGGCGTTCTCGGTGGCCAGGCCTGCGCGGGAGTTTTCGATCTTGCGCCCCAAAGAACACTTGTTTTCGCAACTTTTCTGCGCACTATTTCAACGCCTTTGAAACTTTTTTATCGCTCGTATTTTAGAGCATTCCGTATTGTTGTTATGATATAGTTCGTCTAAATAGTGAGTAGGAAATTCACAAAACTTTTCAAGTTCTGAAATTTTATCTACGAATTTGAAATCTTTAGAAAAAATTAGTTGATATGTCTCGGGTAAGAGATAAGTTTGAGAAAAAAAAAACTTTTTTTTTTCAATTTAGGCGTCCCATCAAAATTTTGCCAAAGCCACATGTGTGGCCACAATATCAATTTTGAAAAAAAAATGGTAGGAAGTTTCTGTTTAATTTTTATAAATTTGGGTACATCACTTATTGGAAGGACAACTATGGTCTTCCCATGAGAAAGAGTTCGATTTATTTTTGAGAAGAAGAAAAAACGGATGCGGAGGCCGCCGCGCAAAAAAAAAAAAAAAAAAAATGCGGTCCACGTTTTTTTTTCGCTGGCACAAGTTCTCTTGTTAATTTTTTTTTTTTTGATATCAGAATATTGTTGGGAGTTGTTATGTCAATTGGAAGCTTCTTTGTTTTGATTATCATTCCTTGTCTACTTCGAATTCCCCACTTTTTTACAGAATAGATAACATTTTCTTCAAAAAGTCTACCACAAAAATTTTTTTCCCTGCAATCCTGAAAACACTCCCTTTTCTTACTTCACGTGATTTTCCTGTGCGTGTGCTCGTTTACTCTGTGCAAAGACGAGACGGCTAATAAATATTATTTTAGAGCTCTGCCACGACCGAAACTTCTTTTTTAATTTTGCGTTAAAATTTTGGCTAAAACCCAACTACAGTTGATTATAAATTTTCTCTTGTTAAAGTTAAAAATTGAATTTCTGTTAGGGCTATACTTTTCATGATAGCATAGAGTGAAAAGATGAGATTTAAATTGAAAATATAAATGTTTAAATGACAATTTTCGTATTCTATCGTTCAACGATGACGCCTGTTTTGCTTGTGGTGGTAATCATTGACCTTATCGCCTTTCTTATTTACCATTCTCATCAGAGCAACGAACAACATCTTGTAGTGTAAAAGTATAGAACAATAAAAATTTCAAATGTTCTATAAATATGGTGTCAATGCGCATCGGCCTGGAGAATTGTTTCCCAAGTTTTTCAGCGTATTTCTAAAGTAAATCGGAACGATTCGCTTGATATATGTTCCGGCCTTTTGGCGGTCACTGTTTGGGACTCTGGAACAGGCTTGGTTTCCCATTTTTCTATTTTTTTATTCTGTGGGGTCTAGTCTTCTCTGCATGATATCATCTAATTGCGTTCTTGATCGACCAATTCCCCCTTATCCTACATAATTTTGATCGAATGTTTACACCAACCGACGGCTGGTCAATTTTTATTACACTGTTCTCGATCGCATCGCGGCCTTATTGATTTAAAACTAACGCCTTGTGGAAGTTTTCACTGTTTTTTCGTCGTTTTTGATTGAATCTCGAGTTTTTGAAAGGAGTTCAATGAAGAATAAGTAAATGGCTCCATTATTGAAATAATAAGAAAACTGACCTTTGAACCAGGAATTCGGAAACAGTTGATTACGAGTTCTTCAATTCGAATATTTCACTCTTTCATCATTGACTAGTTTATCTATGATCTTTTTTCGAGTAAAAAAACAAATAACTGAGACTTCTGTTCAGACACAATGAAAAAATACCACATTTTTTTAAAATATCAATAGCATTCTGGCTTTTTCTTTCATTCGTTTGGATCAAACCACATTTGAAAAATAATCAATACTAACAGAATTTCACCGTTAACGTGGTTTCTGTCTTTCCAGCTTGGCATGTCCCATCTCTTCATCAAATTAAAATGATCTATGTTTACACGAGACTAGTTTTCAGGTATATTAATCGTTCCTTTTTGCGGTTTTTCGAGCAGTACAGGTGCAAAAATGAGCCCCCGTAAAGTCACTATCATCGGTTCCGGGAATTGGTGAGTTTTTGACGAACCTTGTTAGATTCATTCTCAATTGCATATTTAGGGGCTCGGCGATCGCCAGAATCGTCGGACAAACGGTGAAATCATTTCCTGATGATTTCGATTCAGAAGTTCGCATGTGGGTGAGTGGAAGTTCTTGCTTCTGAAATTCCAATTATCACAATGGTATTTTGAGGTTTTCGAAGAGACGGTGAATGGTGAAAAACTGTCAGAAATTATCAATACTCGCCATGAAAACGTTAAATACTTGCCGGGAAAAACTTTGCCGACCAACGTGGTTTGTTTTTTCTTTCTCTAATCCTTTTTTCAAACTATGAAATCGAAAAAATAATTATTTTCTGAATGAATTCAATTTTGAAGGTTGCGGTGACGGACCTCGTTCAATCTTGTACCGGATCACAGGTTCTCATCTTTGTTGTTCCTCATCAGTTTGTGAAAGGTTGATTTTGACCCATAAATCTTCATTCGTCGTTCAATGTTTCAGGAATTTGCAACCAACTCGTCGGAAAGATTCCTGAAAACACACAGGCCATTTCTCTTATTAAGGTTTCTATATTTTTTTTTAATCGACTTTCAAATAATCTCGTTCGAGCCTTCAATTGCTTTTCAGGGCATTACAACACATAACCAGGTTGCTTCGTTTGTTCCGTTTTCTTTCGTTTATGATTCTTTTCCCAACAGCTTGTTTTTGCTTTTCATCCAATTCGCTTTTCTTTATAGTTCCTAAAATGCCATCCCCAGCTAATCCACACCATACCACCCCTTTTGGTACAATAATCTGCGAGAAACGGCTTTTTTATTAATACGAATTTGAAGAGAAAAAAGTTACTCACATTTTCCGCAGTTCCTTTTTGTCCTTAATCACACCATTTGACATATTGCCGTAGTTTTGCATGTTCAATTTCATTTTTCAGGGAGTCTCGACGGAGAAGAAAGGCGGCCTGAAGTTGATTTCTGAGGAAATTCGCGACATTTTGAAAATTGATGTCAGCGTCCTCATGGGAGCGAACCTTGCCCCAGAGGTGGCCAACGACAACTTTTGCGAAGCTACGATAGGTTTGGTTTTTTTGTTTCATTTTGATTCGAGTTATTTTTCGGAAGGCTGATTCATATAAATCGCGTGGGTTAGTGAAATTCGAAAAAAAAAAAGAAAATTTGCGGATATTATCCTGTGAAGCGAAGTTTCAACAGCTTTTCAAACTGATTTGCTTCTGAGAAAATAGCTCTCATTCAATAGGAAATTTCAACGGAGATAGACGTAAAGAAGGGCAATTTTTTCGACCAAAAAAATTAAGGATGCAAGAGGAAAGCGCAAGACGGGATGATGCTGAAACGGCTGTTCCACACCGACAATTTCCGAATCAACGTGGTCGAAGACGCGCACACTGTGGAACTTTGCGGAGCTTTGAAAAACGTGGTGGCTTGTGCCGCCGGCTTCACTGACGGCCTTGGATTTGGCGATAACACCAAAGCCGCGGTTATTCGGCTCGGGTTGATGGAAACCACGAAGGTTCGTTGAGTAATTGGAATATCTACTATTCAAATCGTCTGAATTAAGTGATAAATATGCGCTAAACTACGAAAACCACTTTTCAGAATCTATTATTTCTTCCCTAAAAAATTTAGTTCTAAGAGTTTCATTTAAAAATCACTTTGTATTTAAAATCTAATCTTGCCTAATGATTGAAAAACAACACTCATTCCAACTTTGTTTAATAAATTATCCAAATAAGAGGTCTACCAACTCATTCAAGATACCGAGCCATCTCTAGGAAATGACCGCACAAAAGTACCAATAGACAATAATTTGATTTTCTAATCATTCTAACGTAGAAAAATTGGAAAAAAATTTTTAAACTGAAGTTATTTTGCAGTTCGTTGAACACTACTACCCCGGATCGAATCTGCAAACCTTCTTCGAGTCCTGCGGCATCGCCGATCTCATCACAACGTGCTATGGCGGCCGTAACCGGAAGGTCTGCGAGGCGTTCGTCAAGACGGGCAAGTCGCTGGCCGAGGTCGAGAAGGAGATGTTGAATGGCCAGAGCGCGCAAGGTCCCCTCACAGCCGAAGAAGTTTACCTCATGCTCGAGAAGACCAATCTGACGGCTAAGTAAGTTGTACTTAAGAAAAAATGTTCTTTTGTGCCTTCTTATCAAAGCAAAAGATTACGGCAATCAATCTGATTTCGCTTTGAGGTTCCCGCTGTTCACGGCCGTTCACAAAATCTGCCAAGGACAAATGAAGGCCCCCGAGCTTATCGATTGCCTGCGGAACCATCCCGAACACATGCAGTTCTAATCTCGCTCCAAGTTTAGAAATGTACCTCTAACATTTTCTAACTACCATCATTTCGCAAATGGGTAACTAGTACTCTTTTTTTTACAACACAGCTGATCTGGTCGCTTATTGCCTTTAGCATAGAGAATCCGCGACCCTCAATGTATTTTATTTTAAAGCCGTCTAACACTTTTCAAGCCATTTTTTGTGGTTAATGGCCTCATTTGAATGATTGCGTGTCCTGAAACTTGAATAAATATAAATCCGGTGTAACAGAAAACTTGGTAAAGAACTTGGAATTTTGAACAACAATATATTTCTTTTTAATCACAGTATATGATGTTTGGAATCATAAAGTTCACAATTGCACAAGACACGGGTAAATTACAACCATTTCGACTCGATCAGGAATTCTACAGTCTATAAAAGTCCTAGAGTCATACCTATTCAGAAAAAAATAGAACTTTAATCTCGCTATCACATGCTAGTAAACTTTAAAAAAGAGCTATTTACAATCTAAAACTATAAGACCTAAGGTAAGACACAAATTGGAATGTTTCTGTTTCAGCTATGAAAATCTAACCAGTGAGTTGTATCAAGTTAAGAAAAAAAGATGACGAGGTAAAATTCATTTACAGCTGGCTTGACCAAAAGAAAAATGTGCTCAAAGAGTTCTGGCTTTTTTCAAGTTCTTCGAATGATGATATTATGCGTGAGCCAACTCTACCAGTCAAGCTTGCTGCGAATAAATCATGTACTTCAACATCAACCGAAAATGGTACTTTTAAAAGAAATTTTTTTTTAATTTAAAAAAAAAATTCTTCTTGACATTTTGCAATGCGTTGGAAAATGATTCACTGTTTTGCTTCGGATAGAAATAAATTTCCAGGTACTGTATCAACTTGAAAAAAGTACCACTTTCGGCGAATACTGGTTGGTTGAAAATAAATTTGGGGACACGTATGATACAGTGGGTGAGTGAATAAATAGAGAAATTTGAAAAGAAACTTCAGAAAACAATTCCGAAAACCTTCTGGAGAAAAAAAAATATGAAAATTCATGGATTTTCGAAATCCGAATGATTCCCCGTTCACTCAGTCACCAACGGTTTCACACAACTTGGAGGAGACCACCAGGGGGGAGTTACTTCTTTTTCCAATAGCGGTCGAGGAACTCGATGAGCGAGTCGTAGATCATGAACGTGATGGCGACGTCGAGGCAGACCCGCGACAGCCGCGGAACGGTCCCTTTGTAGAAGGCGAAGAAGCCTTCGTGTCGCCAGATCTGCAGGGCGCAGTCCAGCGTGTTCTTGTACTTTTTCGCGTCGAGACCCTGCATTCTCGTCTTCACCACGTCGATCGGAGTGTTTCCTAAACGTATCGAATTGATCTTTTTTCAAGTTTTCTTTCTGAACCATAAACGGAGGCCGCTCCTGCGATCGCGCCCATCAATCCTACCAACGGCTTTGAAATCACGACGCTGTTGTCGCCGCCTCGGTACCAGTCCTTCAAAACTCGAAATATTCGAAAATATTGAAAACGAGACAAAAAAAAACATTAGCGAAAGTGTCAGCTTAAGTAAAAAATTTCAATCACAACTTTTCTTTTTAATTTTTATCTTCAAAAACTCGGTTACTTTTCTGTCCAACGGCAAGAATCACACATAACAATTGTAAATTGTCGAAACGTACTTTTAATGTTTCCATGACAAAGAAGCGAATCGCCTGGTTCGAACCTTGTTTGGCCATCGTTGCAGTGACACCTTTGTAGATGCCCTAAAACCCATTTTCTAAGATCGAAAAGGGTTATATATTGACCCCGATGCCTTCGTTCTTTACGATACAGCCGACGCCATGAACGAAGCCTTTGTAGCGAGGCTGCGGAAGGCCTTGGTCGTGGATGAACTTCACTTTGACAGTTTCCATAGGGGTCACGGCAAACACAGCTTCCGATAGACCTGAGGACATCGACAAGTATTTCACCGAGAAAAGTTATTTTCCGGTTTACCTGCCCCCAGACCGCAGGCAAGTCGCATCATGGGAGAGAGGTTTCCTCGTTCATCTGCCGCCTTCGATTTGAGATATTCAAAGGTTCCGAAGCGGAAAGACGATTTTGGTATCGAGCCGTACAGAAGAACCGAGAGTCCTCGGTACAAGCCGAAGAAACCGTGACCTTTGACCGTTTGTTTCAAGCAGTCCACTGGCCCCTAAACTTTTAAAACTGAAAAATGCAAGATGAAAAGCTAATGATCTGATTTGAAGCTCTTCAAAAAACCTTCGAAGTTTCGGGCTGGAACATGAAAATCAAAAAATACATTCTCAAAAAACACTAAAATTTTGGTGCGTCCATAATTGAGGAGCAATGCGTCTCGATGGAAATTAAAATTTTTTTAAAAAAATCTTATAAATCGTGTTCTTGAACATATTCGGTTTAGAAAAAAAATAAACGAAACGCTACAGACTTGAAAAAAAAGTCAAATAAAAAAGGAAAGAATTTATCCCGAGAAAGAAAAAATTTAAAAGACTTGCCTTTCAAGTCGGCAAAAAAAAAAACACAAAATCTACAGATTCCTAATAATTTTCGCCATTTTTCACAGGAAAAGCACGAAACCTTGAACTTGGGTGTTGAGGAGCGTTCATCGAGCTGTAGTTGTGTTTTGACGTATTCCGTGGGGAAAGTGATGCAGATTTCGATACCGCCCGTGATTCCACCGATCACGATTCCCCGAACCGTTTTCTCCGATGGCCCGTACTGTTGCCAAAGTGACAAAGGCCTGAATTAGAATTGTTAATATGCGGTCCAAATTTTTGTACCTGTTGTTAGGTAGCGGCTTCGGTGCGTCAACCATAATTTCTTAGCACCACTTCCACTGAAAAAGTGCCTCTTCCCCACGGAGGTGGAAACCTTGAAAATTTCCATGAATTTCAATTGAAATTATTGCCGAGAGAAGACAATCAATACTTTTAAGAAAACGGGGAAATGAGAAAAAAAAAGCAAAATCCACGAAGACGTTCAAAGTCAATATTCCACGGAGAGCCTAGGAAAAGGAAACAAAATCTCAAAAATTCCGACGCCTCTGAAAGGGAAGAGACGAAAAAAAAGAAAAGAGAAACGGCTTGAGAAAGGGAATGCAAAGTTTTTTTTCTTTGAAATGGATTTAGCAGAATCCACAGAGACTTGTATCTAAGAAAAGAAAAATGAATCAATTTTTTTTTAGAAAAAATACGTTAAAAGGTTTTCCAAGCGTCTAAATTTAAAAAAACTTTTTGAAACCGGATTTTTCAATCAAATGATTAATTGATTCTCCTCGGATTTTTCCATCTCTCAAAAATATTTTTTTCACAAAAATATTGATTTTTTTAAAAACCTTAAAAAAACCCGAATAATATATATATTTCCTCCGAAAGCGACTATGAGGAGCTGTTGGATGCGGACATAAAAAAAACAACAAGAAAAAGAGAAAAAATTAGCTCAATCATGGGAGATCAGCAATAAATTTTTCTGAACATATAAAGCTTGCTAAAACGGAGAAGGAATGAAAAAAGTGAAGCACAGTGCAGAAAATGTCACCCCATATCGAATGATTACAATTTCTCAAGCGTTGGACTCAATGTGGCAAAAAAAAAGAGGTCGAAACTCAATCTCAGAAGAAATATAATGGTTTTTCTCAAAATGAAAGCTTTTTTTCTAATGTTTGTGCTGGATTAATGTGTAATATTTTTTCTCGTTGTTTGGATTTTTTCTGTGAAAAACTATCTCTATATTTTTTTAATACAGAATTGAGGTAACTTTTGAAAACCATTCGGGATCGACGGGCGCACTGGCTCACTTTCCCGATAAAAGACTAAACGTTCTGTTTGCCTTTCTGTTAGATGACACACATCTCGATCACACTGATGAAAGCTTGCTTACATTGTTTCGATTGAGATCAAGGAAAGACCATATGTAAACTCGCGCTCTCGATATGAATTAAAAGGGAAAACATCCTCGAGAAGAAAACGAAAAAATGAAGAAGAAAGATAACTTGACGTATGGAAAGGTGATACGGACCAATCTTGTATCGATTAGTCCCCGAAACACCGATTCAAGGTCTCTCGGAGTGTCTACAGGAACCTGACCTATATTTCGTTCGAAAAGTGTGAGAAAGTTGTGAAAATCCATAGCCTTAATACTAGAAAATTCGAAAAAAGCGTATCAAATCAAGTAAAGATAATGAAAAACAAAGCGTATTGAAAATTTAAAAACAGGAAAAATGATTCTGTAAAAAATGCTTTCATTCGCTTCAAATGCGTCTCTAATGCCTTGTTCAAAGTAATTTCCGCAAAATGCAAAATGTTCTCTGACTCTCCAAAATTTAGTTATATTTTTCTTACTCTAACGGCTATTTTGCATTTCGCGGAATCACTTCGAAAACGGCATAAAATCAAAAAAAAAATTTTCCGAGTCTTTCTTGATGAATCATATAAGTTTCTCGTTTTCTCTTCCTGTCGCAAATTGAGCTGCTCCATCTAATTGACGCGCCATAAAAAGTTATAACTTGTAAGTTACTCACCTAGAGATTTCAATATATGCAAATTACCAAATTGGACATTCAAGAGATGATAATAATTAGAAAAATTATTCAAAGTACAGAAATAGAAATGAATCGAAGAGTGAGAAAAAAATTACCATTACTAAAAAAATCATGATAATGAACAAATGAGTTACTTTTCGGACTTTTTTCGCGCCAAAAACTTTGGTTTCTCAAAGATTCTCCGCAGAACACGCCTGAGATTTGATGAGCAAACTAGAAAAAAATTAAAAAAAGGCGCCTCATAAAGTCAGATTATGCACACAAATAGTATTTTTTTAAAAAAACAGAAAGATAGACTCGGTATGTCATTTTTTGATCGAACTTTAGCATATCCCGATGAAGTATGAGATTGCGTTCTGTTTCTGATTACTCGAATGCGCCGATTGACCAGTTTATCTTAAAGAAAAAAGTTTGAACACGGCCGTGTTCAAAAACATTTTCGGCGATTTCACAATGGTATCTCGATCTCCAAAATCTTCGTTGTCTTTTTCATATCCGGTGGTTATTTCTACTTTGCTGAAATGACTTTGAACGCAGCATAAACAAAGAAACGTTTTAAATCGCCAATTATCACTTGAAATACGCGATTTAATTTAATTCGTCCCGATAAAAAACTTTCAAACAGCGGGCATGGTGACAGCCGCCGGCGTGCTCACGCCCATTGCATTCCACCCTCCGCCTAAATAACAATACTGCGTTTTTTTTTCATTTTTTTCTTATTTTCTTTTTTTTAATACCATTTTCAAAGTAATTCCGCGCAACTCAAACTATTCCTGTCTCTCCAAAAGTCAGTTATCTTTTTATTATCTGATGGCTACTTTGAATCTCGCGGAAGCACTGAAAAATATTTTCTTAATATTTTATGAATCTTGTTTCAAAAGAGCAAATAACGGATAGAATCGTGTTTTTCAAAGAGCGACTATCGATAGACTATTGTTTTGGAAATATTTGATCACTTTTTAACTCTCAAAAACTTCTTGCGGCGAAATTTTTGCCGCTGCAGAATTTTTGTTCTCATTAGTTTTACCAAACATGTTTAAATAATTTTTCTTAAAAGCTTTTTAGAAAGTATCACTGTTGGAACATGGTTATAGAATATGTCCTTTGCCATGATCATAATTGAGAACGAATTAAATCAGTAATTTAGGTATGGCCGGTATTTTGAGTAGAATTTCTGCACATGGTGGGCAGATTCTGCGTGGAATGCTTTCTGTCAGAAGCCCAGCCATCGTCGAATCAACAGCGGGATTCAAGGTTGTTTTCCCTCTTGAAAGTTAAGCTTGAACTCTTAAAGATGCTAAACTCCAGCTCTTACTTCTATTATCAATACCATTTTAAGGTTAAAGCTAGACTGAAGCTGCGCTGCAGAAGTTGCTATTTCATCCGTGTTGACGGTCGACTGCACGTTGAATGCAACGAACATCCTCGGCATAAGACGAGGGAAATTTTCGACGTCAAGACACTTTGGTGACGACTTGAGCTATAACGTAGATATAGTTGTTTGTTTCATTATTGTTTTTTTTTGTACAGATCTTTGACATAAATTTTCGTTCTAGCGCTTTCGATTTTTCGAAAAAGAGAGTTCAACTTTTAAAAAAAATATATAGGCATGGATTAAAAAAGTTCAGAAAACTTTTTTTTTTTTGGAATTTCAACTTTGAATATGATTCACTAGCTTATTTAAGCGCATATTAGCTTTTTTCATTTTTTTTTTTCTCGAGCGAAACTTTGAATAGCAAGAATGGAAGCTTAATCGGTCTGAGCATAAGCTTTGTGTCGGCCCTGAACTAAAAAAAATGTTCGAAAACTCTCGATTATCGTCTAGTATCTCAAGGCCACTCGTTTGGGACGAGTGCGAGTTTGAGATTTTGTCAACTCGGTTCCAGCAAAAGCTTTCCGCTCATGAGGGTGAATGTGAGCGAAACGACAGGTTTTTAATGCATATTCGCCAGCGCATGCAGCGTATTTTCATTACGAAATCCTCTCACCACAACTCTCACAGATGGCCCATCCGGTCAACTTTTCAGTTTTCTCTATGGAAAAGTCTTGTTTTCGAAAAACTTATTCTCGAACTATTTTTTTTCGAAATCTTTAAATCGACTTTTTTTTTTAATAAACGTCTTTTCTTTTTTTTCAATAGGAAAGGGCGTATCTCGGTAATCTGTAATGAATAGATGTTTATTATATAATTTTTCGAATTTGAAAACGGTTAAATTTTCGTATTCCCACGGGATAATTCAATTTGGTATTCAATTCATCGTGTAGCTGACCTCTGAGTTTCTGTTTGAAACGCTTGAGAAGTGAATTAGAACCAGTTATACTAGTTTGAACAACGTTTCGCGGCGCCCGTCGATTTTCCTGTCGTCGCCGCGCAACCCCAATTTTGGGCCATTCAACTTGTTTCTCGATAGATATATATTTTCTCTTCGATATTCTAGGTCATTTGATTCTTTTTCTGTACTCGTGAATTGAATGAAAAATTTGAATTGTTCACAGTTCCTTTTTTAAAAGGAAATATCATTACCTGCTTCATTCTTACCTTGATCAAAGTAACCAAAATCGAACAGTCTTGAAGATTTGATTTTTCGTCTTTTTTCCTTGTCAGGGCCATGATGAGATAAGAATGAAGGATTGTGTATATATCCATCTTATGAATTTAGAACATTTTTTCGCGACTTTCGGTTTAGTTGCCTCACGCAATAAAGAAGAGAAAGTCCATTTGGAAGAACTACGAGGGGCGCATCGGTTCATAAACTGATTAGGCCTTGTTCTACAGTTGTCTGAAGCTTCTGTGCAGAAAAAGCTAATTTTAACTGCTAACAGTAGTTGCTCAAGTCACATGAATGCAGTCATTTATTTCCGAGAAAAAATCCGAAAAATGGACGATATTATAGTAAGGCCGGGTTGACGGTTGTTTTCTCAGCTGTTTGGAAGGCGGAGTGTGCAGCTGGCGGGCACCGCGTTCCGTGTTGCTTGTGCTAATGCGTGAGCGTTCGCGCACTCAAACTCACAGCGATCGATTCGATGAGAACGAGGAGGAGGAGGACGAGGCTGTAAGGAGGTGCGCAGACTGCCAGAGAGCACTCCGCCTTGGAGCCCAAGATTTTCGCCTTTCTCGTCGGTCCGGCTCGCGAGGTCCTTCCCATCTACGGCTTTATCTCTAATCTTCCTCCTGGAAATCACCTTTCCATTTTTATCGATTGAAAACTATTGATTGATAGATAAAAGGATAAATTTCATGGAGAGTTATAGACTTGATATGTATTGCAATGATGGTTTTCAGAAATAAGAGGATGCGGAAGTTGTAGGAAATCGATTTCTATCCATTAACTACTTGATTTTTGAAATTAAAGTTGAAAGCTCGAACAGTTTCACTTAATATTGAATGAAATTGTCGGTTAACTGAAAGGTAGACTCGCGGTAGAAGCTGAATTAAAGTTCTGCTTGTTCATAAAGTTAATGTCGATCTTTTCTCATAAGTGTTCGTGACAATCACAGAAAAAGGAATTTGTCTATTAAGATTTGCATTAAACAAAAGATGATTCTGTTTCTATGAATATAACTTTCAAATATAACTTTCATGGTTTTCTTCCTCCACGCCACAGATCTGTCTGTGAGCGAAATAAACATTTCAATAAGATTATGAGAAGCAAAAAGTGCGTTTTTTCTTCATAAAGCTTCAAATGTGAAACTGAAAGCAACTTTAATGATGGCCTATGTTTTACTGAAAAAGGAGTCTCGCCTTGTAAGTCATAAAGTGAATTGAAATTTTTGATTTTTTCTTGTTCTTTGTTCTGTTCAAATAAAATTTAAATAATTGGTTTCCCTTCATACAGCTTTCGTACCTAGCCTTCTATATGATTCGTAATTTGTTCGTATCATTTTTACTCCGATAAAAAAAAAAATGAATTAATGAATGTGCTAAAAATTAATATAAAAAACTTTTTTTCTGGCATATGGCAGAATAATTGGTAATAAATGGCCACGGACAGAAGAACGGTTTAAAAAAATCCGAATAATGACCGAGAAAGAAATGAAAAGATAGCCACAATAACCGCTTGATTCTGGTAAATATCTGCTCCAAGGATAATCCTTGAAGAATTTCCTCATTTTCCCAAAAATATTTCTTGATTTTTTTTTGCCTCAATTTCAAATATTTCCGGAGAGATAATCTAGTTAAAAATTGAAGCGGAGAAACTTATATTTGCATTAAAATCGCGCTGAAAACAGTGATTTTTTCGTCCTAAAACTTTTTCTGTTTTATTTCTTCTGCTCGACATCTGAATTCCAATACACCTGTTCAAGAAACTATGTGAAAAAAAACTGCTTCGTAGAAATTCTAACTGAGATATTTTTTCATACTTTAAAAATCCTGCCTCGGTTTATCGACTTTTTAAAACCAAAAAAGGAAAAAATTCCAATTAGCCATGGAGCACAATTTCATCGTAACTTAGCGCCTATTGCGGCTCTGCTGTCTAGGTTATTCTTTCTCAGCCGTTTTCTCTTGTCGAAGATTATTTTGTCTGAGATTATTTATCGCAAGCTATCTCGCCATTTACCCTTTTCATATACGTTATAACACCATCAATTGAAAAGCCCTATCTACGTATCTTTTTCTCGGCTAGGTCGTAGAAATTAGAAAAAAGCACGTGAGAAGGAGAGTGTCGCCAAGGGAGCAGAGAAAACTCATTTTTTCAAGTTTTAGCGATCATTTTATAGCTACGTAGTGCTCTGAAGGAGTCCAGAACAGTTCCAACAACATATTGGGTGTTTATTTATCCACCGCGACTCCCCCAACTTTTACGAGCGCTGTAATAAGTACTTTACAACTTCTCGGCTATGCTGTTATCAACCTATGCTGTTATCAAGGAACTCCTTTCCTTCCATTAAGGAGCAGAAATATAATCTGTTCGAAAAAGAAAATTTTTCTTCCTGGGGTTTACATGGCATTAAATGCGAGGATTTTCGAGCTATGAGCCATTGAATTATTCAAATCTTTTGTGTCGTTAAGCTTGCGTGGGCCCGAGATTTCTCACTGTTTCCGGTGTCAATATTATTCAATTAACCGATGATTTCGTTTCCCACGCTCTTTTTTTCAAGCTTCTTTTACTGCTTCTTTTTTTCTCTTCTTTTATTTCTTTTAATGAAAGCAAGGTATCTGATTCACCTCATAAGTGAACCCGAGAAAGGTCATCGACATCCGAAAACAAGTCTGATAAGCGTAGAGAGATAAGATATCAATGCCATTTATGGAACACCAACCAATTAGGTGTATTGTACAGTTGTATCCGAACTGAAGCTTTGAATTAGATCTCTTTCTCGGAGAAAAGAATTTGGAATCACAAAACATTAAAAAAAAGGAAAATGTAAAGTCATTGCAAAAAAAAATGCTGAAATTTTTCTGTGTAGTTCTTTAGAGCATTATAGATTGAAAAAAAAGCAGAAGGCAAGAAAATTTTTTCATTTTTCTAGAATAAGAAAAGCTCGGAGTTCATCTGAGCAAAGCTCAACCCAACTCCCAAAAATGTGTTTTTTTGGAACTCTAATTCAATTTTTTCATTATTTGCGGCTTTTTCGAAGAGAACTATTACTATTCTCTTTTCCAGTCCAGGAAGATCTTTTTCGAAAAAAATCACCCTTTTTCCAGACAAAAAAACCGCGTAGTGTCAATTAAAAAAATCGGAAAAACCGAGAGGAGATCAATAGCTTTCAAAAAAGTTGACTTTTATTGTAGCTCCTTCCTTTTTCGCGCAATCTTTCAGAATTTTGTGAAAAAATGAGGTGAAACACGCCTATTTTTATATTTATTTTTCAAATCAAACTCTGCCAAATCGACCTTTTTCAAATCGTATCTTTTCAAATCGACCTTTTTTCAAATCGAACTCTTTCGAACCAACCCTGCTTTTTAAGGGAGAGGATTCATTCCTGTGCCGTTGGACAGATTCGAAAGGGGGCGTGCGTCGATAACTCGTGATTTCGTGCCGCCCCCTTCTCGCGCACCAAATCGCCAGCGGCTATCATGGCGGAAGCTGCCAAAGACTCAGTTGACCTCCAGGCAGACTCGGTTCGTTCTCTTGCCAGTCATTGTGCAGCTGGAAATGAGCAGTATTTATCAAAAACATAAACATTTTGAGTTGAGGGGTCCCGCCTGAAGTTTCAAATTTAGACTTTTTGAATCTTCGGAGTTAGAAAAAAATTTAAAAGTTGTAATCCTTCCTATTCGCCGTCCATTAGGCTACTGGAAAACTCAAATTGAAAATTCGATGGAATTTTTTCGAAAACGGGTGTGTGCCTGAGATGAGCGGAACTGTTCAGCAAAAAAAATGTCGAAGATGAAAACGGTGTAAACTATTTTACCAAAAAAAGAAGATGTCTGTAAAACTTTACCTACTTGGGATATAAAATGTTTCAGGTGATACTCCGATTAATTTTGGTTTCCGGCAAAACTCACGAATTTTCCTTTTCCCAACTCGCCTCGGCAGCAGACGTCATTCAGCGAGTTTTTGAGCAGTGGCCTTCAGGTTTCTATTCATCTCACTACATCTAAAAGTTCATTTTTTGCCGTGCTCAAAATAATTCAAAATGAAGTGAAAAAGATAACTAAACTCTGAGAAACAAAATTGAACTTTAACTTCGCAGAGATACATTCAAGCAAGGCCTTAATTTATGGTTAGGATTTTCCTGATAATTGGCCAGAGGACGTATGTAACGGGGTGGAAAATGATTCCCCGCCATTTTCCTCAAACTCGAAAATGACTAGAGTTAGACTTTTTCAGACTGAAATAGTTTCTTCTCTATCCGAATTTTTTTAAAAAGCCTCATTATATCAGATAAAGCCGAAATCAATGATATTCTAGCGAGTTTCAGGCCTTTTCTATTTTCAGGAAAATGGCGGAAATTCATTTTTCACTTCATTGAGTTCGGCCTCATAAAATTATTGACTTAGCAAATCCTGAAAGTCTCAACCTATTTTTTCGAGAAACGGCGTCGCAAAGTCAAGAGAACCATCAAAACCAGTTAGTAAGGCTAATTTTAGACATTGAGCTCCTTTTTTGCGGAAAACAGGTTGAGACTGTCAGGATCTTGGGACTTTTAGGAGTGTTCTGGACAATTTTCAAAAACTTCCAAATTAAAAATTGACTTCACTTGTCTAGAATCACATAACTGAGAATTTTTTTGAATCTTATAATAACTTTCTCTGATTTGCCTATGATTTGAAGCGTCGTCGAAGAATATTCGTAAAGAGAGCGAAAAATTGAATCAAATTTCATCTCAACTTCGAGCCGGCTCTACAAACAATCCTTACGTCAAAAGTTTGAAAAGAAAAGCGCTTTGGACCTTTCGAAATAAGTTTCTAGTTCTCAGACATCCACTTTTCTGGTTTCCAGTGTAGTTTCAAAACAAGACTATTTACAGAATGGGAGGCCGACAAAGTGGAGTCGGCATCCATGCTAAAACTCATTTACCACGGCCGGTTTCTGCACGGGTCCGTCACGTTACATGCATTACAACTTACGCCGGGAAAAATCACTGTAATGCATCTCGTAACTCGTGAAAATCTCCCCGAACCCAATTCCAGCGGTATGTCTTTTCTTAAATTGACAAAAATTAAACACGCATGGAAATTTTCGGAAAAACGAGATTCTCAGAATTTGAAATATTGAGCTCAGTGGGTGATTAGAGAGAAAATCTATATTTTTGAATCATTTCGGCCACCAGAAAATTTTTAAAATTAAAAAAAAATAATTTTTTATTTTTCTACTCAATTAAACACCTGTAACGAAACGTTTCAGGTAGATAAGCATTCTTACCACTTCAAAAATCAGGAAGAACATATTTTCAGAAACGCTGACGAAACGAAAGAACGGGAATTGTTGTCGATGCGTCTTGTCATAGTCCGAAATTCATGTAAAAACAGAAAATTCTATTGTACAATCATATATGATAATTATTCAAATCAAAAAGAAATCTCAACTAATGGACATATTTTTCAAGTTTTATCGTACAAAAACAAAAAAAAAACCATATTTTTTGTTCAAATGTACTTTCAAATAATTCAAAAAACGGGCAGCTCCACACAACGATCATATATGTAAGACTCTCCAACAAGCTTGGCCTTGAAACCGAGCAAAATTCCCATTTTTCCCTTCTTTCACATGGATTAATTATGTTTAGTTAACTTAGCTGATGAATTGCTTCCGTAGGAAATTTGATTCAACGCCTGAGTTCACCACACAGCCATCCAACTAGGAAAAAAGTATGTCTCCATCCTAAAATATTTTGAATCTCGAATGAATTTGATCGTGGTTTCTCAAGAAAAACAATTCAAGTTCTCAGAATCAACTACTGACTGTTTCAACGCCCAAGTTTTCTCTCAAAGTTTTTCCCGTGTTAGTTGATACACGAATAGCTTATTCGCGCTTTAGCGAGTCACTTCGCTGATTGGCTGACGTCATCGAAGGGGCGGGTCAAGCCAATCAGTGAAGTTAGTGCGCTAGAGCGTACCTCTAGGGTCTAAAAGTTGGAGCTCAGGACTATTTGTTGGGTCCGGCTCACTTGGCGTAGCTCAGATTTTTACTCCATTCATATGCTATTTCGTTTGAAAAATCTGTGATCGTTTCAATCTCCCTTTGCACATTTTGTAAACATTCAAATCGTATCTGTGAATGCGCAATTTTCAGTTATACGTTTTCTTGTGCAGACCTTGTAAGTGATAAAAAAGTACAACTCTCGGAGATCCACACAAAGTACAACAAGATGTCAAAACTTGCAACAGTTTTTAATTTAAAAAAAAGAACTGAGGAAATTTTTATTTTTAAAAAACGAAAAGAAAGACAATTTTTTGAACAGATTCGTTGTTTATATTTGATACAAGTGAAAAATTATTGCGACAAGTTGTGGAAAGTATTTTTTTATAGGAATTTCTATGGGGAGAAGCACCTGAGATTCAGTTCACACGGGATCTAAAAGGAAAAGAAATTTCGGAATGGTTTCTCGGTTGAAGTTCATGTTTTTTCTTATTTAAAATTCTTAGTTGAAAGTCTCGGCAACTCTCATTTTTTTTCTTTGTACTGAAAAAAAAGCTTTGAACAGAAGAGAAGGAAAGAAAAAAATACAATTATCGGGCAAGGAATTGGTAAATATTGTACATAGAAGGTTTTTGCGTAGAAAACGGGAAACTTTTCAAAGAGAAATTGCGGTAAGAATTGAAATACTAAGATCTACTCTTAAAATTAGATAACTCATTAAGAATGAACTCATAGGAAAATTTCTATCAACCCTGGAATGACTTGTGAAAACAAATTGTAACAAAGTAAAGCTCTGGTGTTACCGGTCATGTGGTATTGATCCTTGACAAAGGTTTAAAAATCGAAAAAAGTACAAAAAAAAATGGAAAATTGATAACGACGTGAAAAATGCTATTATCGCCGCTCCGGTTCGAATTTGCCACCGCGAGGTGTGAACGACGACGTTCTTTGTACATTTCTACAATTCGATTTTTGTCGAGTGACTTATCAGAAATAAAATACTACCAATAACGAGCTGAAGGTTGGCTATTTTTTGTTCTTGTTACAAGAATAGTTGATTAAGGCGTTGATGAAGACAAATAATTTTTTTTCGAATTTAAAAAAAGCGATATGTTGTTATAACACGAGTTTACTGATGTCATATTTGATGCGGAGTCTTTTTTTTGTTGTATAAAGCACACTTTCAATCAAAAAAAAAACTCCACCTGTGGATCGCGAGCGAATTGGAGTCCTCGGGTTCGATTCTGAGCCCTAACGGACAATTTCCTGAAGCCAAATCGCTCAAGTGAACCGAATAGCTCTCTGAAAAGGGAACTTGATAAATTGCGTCTTTTTCTCAAGCTGGATTCAATAAAAATGCAAAGAGAAGCTTTCAAAAGAGACCAATGTGTATGCAATGACGACGACGCGACCCTGTCACCGAGACTATATGGTCTGGTTCGACTCCCGCCGATGTGTACACAGAAACATCCTACAAAATGGACAAATTAGCTGCAATAGGTATTAAATTCACCTTGCTACTGCCGTATGCAACGTGTATTTTTGCGCCCAGGTCAACTATATGCTTCAGGTGCAACGATTTCTGTTTGAGAGGTTCGGTTGAAAACGACGGATTGAAGAATAGAAGGGCATGGGGAAAATTGTGCTGAAAAATTTTATTTACGAAAAAAAGAGAGATTTTTTTTTAGTGAAAAGGAAGCAAATAGTTTGAAGCCGGAGAAAAATTTTCTCAATAAAAATTGGTTCACTTTGACGTTCGCAAAAATAAAATGAAGCCACTGTCAATCTGCTTATACTCACCGTTTTATTGAGACGGCAAAGGTTTTCAACAAAACAAGCCTTTTTGAGAATTTACAACATCCAAAAAAAAAAAATGCAACTTCACATTTTATTCTTCGGCTCATTTTTATCAAAAAAGGGAATCAAGCAAAAAAAAAATTATATTCTCACAAATGGAAGAGAAATCTGAAAAAAGCCAGATTTTTCGTCTATATTTCACCTTTTCCAAAAGATTTTTTTTTTAAAGTTCCTTTTCTACCATTCTTCAATCTGATCTGACTTCGAATCTAGTTTTTTCACGAAAGTACAAACCTGAGCGAGCCAGGAAGAAACCACACGCTGCTGCATGTCGGGTCTAGCCGTAAGGTAGATGATTAAGTATCCCTGTAATGCAAAGAAAAAAATCGTCTTATATCATGGAACGGTTTTTTTTTGAATTCGTGCAAAGAGCAATCCCAATCCCAGCCTTTTTCCAAAACTCAAAAGAAAACAACATTCTAGCACGCATACATTTCAGAAAGAACGGTAAAATAGGAGAGAACAGAGTCTTTCTCTCCACGTTCTACACAATGTATGAGGACTTGCGCTTTGTTAAGTTAGCAAAAAACGGCGCACCAGCGCGCAGGTCCTCAGACATCATGTAGATTCTGGAGAGTAGGACTCTATTCTCTCCTAATTTACCGTGCTCTCTAAACGGATGTATCCGCGCTGAGCTGCCTTTTTTTTCTGGAAAAAAATATGCCTTCTGAGAATCAGCGTTATGCATTCTGAACTCGTGTAAGTCTGTACAAAAAAACTCAGAAATGATGCCGATTGCGAGGTACTTCTGCGCTGATTTGCAGAAAGCGTGAGGCTATTTTGCAGAACACTCTTTGCGCGACTTCAGTGGAGCTGGTTCAAACCTGTTCATGCCAGTAGCGGACGACGTCGACGGCGCCAGGCCGCACACGCGGATCTTTGCCTGTGACGGAGACTGACGCCGTCAGCGAGCCGTCAACCGAAAAAACGGCACATTTCGTGTCGGCCGGCACAATCGCGATGAAGGCGTCGAGGTAGGAGCGGTCCCCATGGACTACGATCTATAGTATAATTGATTTACAAATACTTGCTGAGATTTTTCAAAGGCATATATGGGCAGACCATTTTTAAAGACTGTCAGTCCTACCTCCATTTTCAAATTAAAGTCATTACTACCTCCTTGAGGTTGAAGCTCATTTTTATTGTTGTCAAAATTGTCTCCATGAGCTTAAAAACCGTTTTAATCAGTTCTTTGGTCAACTCTTGCAAGCTAACCCCTCCTCACGAGCAAAGTGAGTTCTTTACTTGCCCGATTATGTTCAAAAGTCACACGAACCAAAATCACAACCCTCTTACTTCAACCTTTTTTGTTGCTGGAAGCCATTATCTCTCTAACCACGAACCTTCACAGAATGAACTCCACACGGCAACGATTTTCCCAATGAGACGTTGAGTCGCCCATGAGAGTCTGTCTCGAAAACGCCGTGTTCATACCAATCTCCTCTTAATAATTCTAAGCGAGTGTGAAGAAAGAAGGCAACGATACCTCTGAGGACAGATGAAGACGGAGACGGGTTCTCGCGTCAAAGCCACCAAATCCATTGGACCGTAGCAGAACTTAGCGTTGAGAGACAGCTCCATGCCGGGTGTGACCAAAATGTCGTTGGCACGGTGGTTTGGCGAAAGATTTGCTATCTGAAGTGGAGTTCAGAAAAAGCCTTAAATCTACTCCAGAATCTGACCAACCTTGAACCGCGTCCTGCGTCGTTTCCAGTGCAGCGGCGGCAGGTCGATGTTAAGAGGGATGTGCTGAAGACTCGAAGACAAGGTCGTCAAGACGCACTCTTCGCCCCGGACGAACTGCCGCAGAAGGAATGCGGCCACGTCCGACGATTCCCAGTAGGAGGCGTGCAAAATGTTCGGCAGAGCCGTCGACGGTAGTGCAACCTTTAACAATCAAAAGATAATTGGTTAACTTTCCGGTTCACGATATCCTGTGGGTTCGTTCATTAAAAAACAGAACATTTTTCGAATTGCGAACCTGAGTTGCTCTAAAACAGTACTGCTTTTGATGAACTAATAATTATTCTCCTCGGCTAGCGATAAAAAAGTATAACAGTACATAACACATTTCTGACAGCTTTTTTTTTCTATTCCTCTAAAGACTTTTCAAGGTTCTGCAGGTCCATACATGGCGATAGCTCTTAAACATTGGTAACGGACGCGAAATTCTAGAGATCATTTAAGAGTTGACGCTACTAAAGTTGTAGAAATGCCCCGACACATCCGGCTCCCGTTATCAGGCTTTTTTTTTCATTTTCGATTGCTCTTCAATCAACCCACCATAGCATTGGGACAATACAGAAGGTGGTCGATTCTCTTGCTGCCCCAGAGATTCGTCGTGTCGACAAACGATTCAAACTTGAGTGGTTTTCCGTCACCCAGAGGATATCGTTGATACCTGTGTTTCATTCAAAGTTTCCTCAGATCTCTAAGCAATTTCAAACTTTGGGACATTGTAAGGAGGTACGACGGTGAGCTGAGCGTTCAGAACAGGTTCGATTCTAGCCCCGCACGGGTCCAAAGGGTAGTAGAGATTGAACAGTTGGCACGCCTCCAATGGATCAACTTCTGCAATTTTCTTTTTCGATAATAGTAAATAATCTACAAATTTTACGAATTACAATAGCTATCACTCGTGAAAAAATCGCAGCATTCGAGAAACACAGAAAACCAAGCAAAATTCAATGAAAATCCATAGTTCAGGCCAACTCGAACAAACTTCTGCGGCTTGAGAACAAATTAAAATTTTAAGCCATAAATTGTTTAGCTTCCTTTCGGAATTTAGCAATATTGAAAGACAAAAACTTTTTTTTTTTCGTACATTTCGGAAAAATCATTTTACATGCTTTCATCCATATGAACAACAACTCTTCCTGACTTTACCGACGAATTTATGCCGTGTTCAAAGTAATTTCCGCGAAATGCAAAATGATCTCTGACTCTCCGAAATTTAGTGATCTTTTCCTTTCTCTAACGGGTATTTTGCATTTCGCGGAAATTACTTTGAACACGGCATTACAAGGAACTCAAATTTCAAAACTTCTCAACTGGTTCACAAGTAGTCTGGATATAGTTTTACCCAAGTGAACCATAAAAAATTTGAATATAGCCTATTCCGCGCTATCTTGTTTTTTTTTTGGCAAAAATACCGTAGACTTTCGGATTTCAGGTCTTAAAGCGTAGGCGTAAAAAAAGCTTCGCGTACTGTCGATTTTCCTCATTTTTCATTTTATATTCGCGCGTGATTGACTAGAAAAAGGGTTCAAACACCGCAAAATTACCAAGTCCTTCAAGCTTTCTTTGCATGAGCATCAGTCCCAACGGACAGCCGAGCAGGAATGCAGTGCTCGGTTGGAAATTCAGTCTCGATTGAGAAAGCTGCAAATCTCTGTTCATTCCCAGAAGAAATCCAACTGAATTAATGGAAAAGTGGAAGAAAACTCGAGCGAACTATGAAAAAATTTTAATTTTCAAGTCTATAAAATGCCATGCAAATACAGTTTCTTACGTTTGCGGTGGCCTCTGGCACCTTCAACTGCAACTGAAAAGGTTTTTTAAATTGGATTTCCAACGGTTTTTACATCCAGCTGTTACCTTCTTGGAAGCTAAACCGGTTCTCTAACCTAATAGAAAAAAAAGTTACACAAGAAACTTTTTTCCGAGTGAAAAATCCTCTCACTCTAGACCCTCTTTAAACTTCTTACTGTTGCGAAAATCTATCCAGAATCACTTTTTGAAAAAATAGCTGATCTTAGAAATGGCAATATTTTACAATCAAACAGATTCCAAAGAAAATGATGAAATAGTGATTTTTCGAAGATATCTCCCGGAAATAAGAAACTTACATTGACACTGTCAACTGAGGCGATGGAGATTTTCTTGCGGTAGAGCAAACTTCGGGCCGAACGCCTTTGATGTCCGTTCTCCAGTAAAGGCGACGGCGGTGGCGGCATCTCTGTTTCGGCCAGAGACGCCGAAGGGCTCTGGAAATACATGACTGAAAAGAAATAAGCACGAGAGGAGCCGATTGATACAAATACTTTGAAAATGTTGTATGGACAGAAATAAAAATTACAAAACACGGATATTAGAAGATTTTCTAGCCTTTTAAAGGATAAACTTGTAAACCGATTCAGTGTGTTCTCGAATTATTTTCCCGCAGACGTTGACGGAAGGGCTCCGCGACGCGACGGGATTGGGTTCGCGTTTCGTCATCGCCTCGTACAGAAATATGCCGCCTACACAATCTCCAACAACGAAAACCTGCAAGCATTCTGAATCGGATCCATAAATTTTTCAGATCACATCAGTTCAGACTTACAGGGACCCGTCCGGTTTGCATATCCGCTGGCCATACTAGACCATTTTGACCGCTTTTTTTATTTAATAAAACGAACACGGCTATTTTCGACACTGATGAATGAAAAATGAATAAAAGCATATTTTTTTAACTAAAGACGAATTTTTGAATTCAGGACATTTTTTTAAAAAATGCTGACGTTCGCAAAAACTTTATCATTCTACTCAATTTGTATCAAGGAATGTTTTAAATGTGTTTTTCTTGAAATCTGTCTTTTTTTCGTACAAAAAAACTCGTTTTCAATGAAGATATCGCCTAAAAATCGTGATCGGTGTTTGCACAATTTGAACCTACAGTGTGTCAAACCGGACGGGCTGAACAGATTTGAGTTTTTGAAAAAAAAAAACTCTTCTCCATTTTTTCACACTTTCTCGAGTACTTTGATCAGACTTTGACAACTTCAAAAGACAATTTCTAATGGTAGGAAAGTATTGTAGCCGGACTAAAAAACTTGAAAACTAGACTAACTAAATATACATTTATTCTGTGTTATTTTTTCGATTTTACTAACATACCTCTCCATTGAAAGACGGTTGCAGTTCGAAAAATTCGTTATAGACGTCATTGGCCCGACGAATAGTACCTTCAATTGCCTGTAAAATTTTCAGATTCGCATTGGAGCGCACTCTCGGAAGCTCACTTCGCCGTACTGTTTGCTACAAGACGGGAGCATCAGGGACAAAGATGGATGCAAAACCCCGAAAGATGGTGAAATGACGTTTAGCTAGAACAGATTGTTCTTAACAGGTTGAATAGCGCGTTTTTTCAACCTGGGTAACCATTTGACTGAGTTCGCTACCACATGAAACCATCACAACGTGTAGACGACCTCGCAGTTGCGGATAATGCCGTTGGACGCAAGTTTCTATTGTTGATCTGGAATGTTTAAAAACCCGTGAGCTGGGTAGAGCTCGATTTTTTTCTGGACGCAGTGTGAAAAATCTTCTAATAAATTTTGTATTCTATTTAATTTTTTTTATCCTAGTGAGCTCGCTAGGGTTCCCGCTGATCTGTCAATAAATTATTATTATTTTAAAAATCAGACTGACCCCGAACAGCTCTAATTTTGACTCCCTTTATGAATTTAAATAAAGGGTTAAACCTGAAAGTATTTGTGTCAGTCGTTTTCGAGTCGGCCGGGTTTTCAGGGGAGAAATCGCCGTGGAAAACCAGAATGAGCAAGGCTGCGTCCGTCATGTTGTGAGGGGTCAATGGCGGCGAGTCTGACAGATTTTCTTGACTAGAAAGTTTTCTTGAAGGATCTTTTGCAATGACTTGTCTCATCTGATCGTCTTTTCCTTTTCTGCCGTTTTAAACTTTCACCTCCAAAAAAATTGAAATTTCAATAAAAATTCGAAAAAGAGACCCCTTATCGAGAAGGTGTCAAATAAAGTCGACTACAGAAAACTACGCATCACAAGATGGAATACTTCTCTCCAGAAAAGTTCAGTCAAATTGTGCAATCGCAATTTAAAACACTTTTTCTAAAGTTCTGATAAATCATATTCAAAATGTTAAGATTTATTACTTTCATCTGCAATCTCAAGCTCAAGTTCGGAGCTCCAGCGAATGATTGAAGGCTTGGAAGTTGGGGGAGGCGGCGAGTCGCGACAATCGAAATATTCGTTCGACGAGCCGCCGTCCGATTCGTCTTCCAGTTCTTCCTGATTGCTGCAAAATTCCTCTTCTATCAATTATCGAAAAGAGCTCAACTCGTTGGCCATAACTGCACTCAGATGCAAGGCGGCCTCGGCTTCCAGCATTCGAATGTCGTTCATCGTCAAGCCGACCTTTTTAAAAACTGGTTATAAACTAATTGAAAAAAGGAAAACATTTTATCATTCTATAAAATTCGCAGGAAACTTCTTTCATGAGTGACTGTTCCAAACTTCTCGTTGCTGTGTTTAATGAAGCCTCGAAAGATTATCAAGACAAATAGATCTAACATGGAAAAAAAACGCTCAAATAAATTCACATGCAAACAGTAACATTGCTCTCTTTATCATGTTTCGCATTCTGAAGAAGAAAGGCTTTACCCATTCGTCCTGCCAAGCCCAAGCTTGTCTATGGGCTCGGAGCATTGTGTTTCTCAAGGCCAAGTCGTGAATCCAGCGCTCGGCTCGTGTCTTTAAATAATTCATGCTGAGATTCATTTTTTTGCAGAAAGTGCACCTGCATGCCCCAGTAACGAAACTCGACGCGGCACAGCTTATATGCGCACATTATCGGCTTCCCTTCAAAACAGTGAAAGTAATTATTGAATTTCGTAGGAGGGGTTTTTTTTTTGTAAAACTATTTTGCTATCCTTATCACAATACTCAAATGAAAGTTCGTGATTTGCGAGTTTACAACTGATAAAATGATCACGGCGAGCCGTTATCAGTGATCAATGAGAACAAGAGAGCCGCCGCAAAAATAAAAAAAAAGAACGTGATGCTTTATAGACGTTTAAAAGCCTTTTCAAAACGTTTGAGATAGTGAAACGTCGCTAAAAACTCCTGAGGAAATTCCGAAAATGTTTTTGTGTGAATCAAAACCAAGTTTGACGTGCTCATCAACCCAATCGTCTCCCAAGGGCCCTCGAGACGTTTTCTGACTACGATACAGCTTTGGATCTTCTTCCAAGCAATAGTCGTGCGAAGATATCGGATCCTACAAAATATATTCTTCAGATTAAACTATGAAAGAAATAAAACCTTCACAAAGTCCATGTAATCAACGATCCTTTGTTTCAATTCCTGATCACTTAGGTTGAAGACATTGTCTTGGTTTCCGTGATCGTTGTAATACAAAGTTTCGACCTCCAGGCTGAACCGGTCCATCATTGGCGTCGAATATCTGCAAAAAAAAAATGTTCATTACAGCTGTCAACAAGTTTACTTCTACATCATACCATCTCGAAAAAAAAAAAACTAACCGTGTTTTAGTGACGGGGTAAGCATTCCAAGCTTCTTCATGTGCTTCGAGGGCATTTGTTGGGAGAACAGTTCGTATCCAAGCTTCAACAAAATAACGAAAGTCATTGAAATATTAACAAAAAACAATCGAGTCACTTTCAAAATAATTTAGGTGGATTCTAATGGCGTGTTCATCGGACAGAACGAAAATTGTTCCAAAACTCAAAAAAATTGCTCTTCATCTGACAAAACAAAATTTAGTACTGTTTTGGAGCAACTTTGACGCGCCGATGAACATGTTTTTGCGTTTTGAAACATGTTCCATTTTGAACACGCCATAAATATATTTAGAGATTATAATCTCTATGACCTCGGACATTGGTATTACTCCGGACGTTTCCGGGCGGTTCTAGGGATCACTTAAGAGTGCTGACGCTACTAAAGTGGTCACTAGAAATGAAACGCACGGTTTTTCAGATCAAACCGAGCTTTTAAAATTTGAAATTATGCAAAGTGTTCGGCCGCATTGCGTTATAATTGGTGAAATGCGCTCTATTGATAAAAAAAAAACTCCCAATGAAAAATAGGCCTGCTGGATTTTTTCAACTTTCTATATTACTTTCTTTTTGCTTTTTCTCTATATTTATGGCGTGTCCATCGGACAAAACGAAAATTGTTCCGAAATGCAAGAAAATTGCTTCAAAACAAAATTTAGTACTGTTTTGGAGCAACTTTGGCGCGCCAATGGACACGATTTTCCGTTTTGAAGCATCTTCCTTTTCTCCAATGGACACGCCATTATTAAGAGCATAATTACGAAGAGTTAGCGCGAAAGGGCTTCGAACAGCTTTAAAAACTGAGCAAGACTACCCTGATCATAACAACCCACCGGAGTAAGATGAATTTCTCTGACAGGCGAAAAATATCTTACTACAGTATCAACTAACGTTAGTTATACAGTTAAATTTGACTTTTCTGACTTTTTTTCTTTCTTGTGCTTTTTGACAGAAAGGCAATCAGAAAAAAAAAACAACAAGAAATTTATAAGTCAATTTTCGAATAAAAAAACATGTGTATAGGCTTTTGAGAAGTCTTCATAGCTCGTTTATCTAGCTCTAGCGTTCATTCAATTAAACGAATTAAATTAACCTGGTATTTTGCTTCCGATGTGATAAATTTTAAATGTGTACTGTCCTGTACCGCCAGGTCCATCTGTGTAGGGCTTATTGCTTATGATTTCTACTCCGCTATCTTTTCCGTGCGAGTCTAGACGGCTTTTCTTCTGAAAATAAAAACTTAATGATTTTTTTCCAACCATTTGTCGTTTTTTTTCGGTTCACTTTGGTCAATTTTAGCTGAAGCTGCTCTATTATCGATATATTTCTTCAATACAAGATGAAATGATTTAATACGTCGATTTCACCTGGATCATATAAAGCTGAGCTATCCGGTATTCCTCCACTGTCAGCGGCAGTAGAATTCGGTATTCTTTAATAAGCATGACTGCGATTCGGATTCACGACAACGTACTCCAGGCCTTTTTCAAAGGGCCTTCCACCCACTTCAACTTTTTCAGTTCATCTGAGAATTGATATACAGTTTAATTTTTCTGTACAAAAAAATTTGAAAAAAAATAGGGTTTGAAAAACGTGGATGAAGGCAGTCATGTGACACAATCTTTTTCTTACAAATTCAAGAAACACGAATGTAAAGTCATCACAGAGAGAAACTTTTGCAATGGTCTCGGCAAAGCCGTCATAAAAGAAGTATATGTAGAGATAAAGCGTGATAAAGAAGTTTTAAACTTTTTCAACTCAACCATGACAATTATATCAAAACCTCATCAAGATACGTCTCTTATTCAGGTATAGAGGGAGAAGAAAGTACGATTTCATACATAAATAAAAAAACTCAACAAAAAATTCTGAAAAATGCGAAGAGACAGAGAGGTTGTTTCTACTGCCATATCTGGAGGGCGTAAGAGAGGTGCGGAGACCATAGAGGAGCAGACGGCGCAGTCTCTGCGTCTCTGGAACCTCTTTCTATATCGCCTGTGTGTGCTCTCCTTTTTTGTGTGGTCGATAAGCTTCTCGTGGACATCTCTTTAGACGAAAAAAGAAAAGCGAAAAAATATACAGGAACAAAAGAGAGGGGTGAGAGAGAGAGCAAAAAAAAACCTCTCTTTATGGCGCCGCCGACATCTTATTCCGTCCCGATTAGTACGTCAATTACACACACTGGCAAAAATTCACTTCTCGCAGAATTCCAATAAGAGAGAGCGCTCGACATCTTTCTCAATTAAGCAGCCTTTTCCAAGAAACGTTTATTCAAAAATCGTGTCTTCTGGAAAACTCGAAATATCTTCGAGTTTAGTGGAATGAAATACAAGAAAAAAATGAAAGCCGAAAGAATTATTGATGCTCAAATGGAGCCCCAACGAAGATAGATTGGTGATGTTGTATCCGTTGAAGCACTGTTATCCATGTTGTGAACTATGCAATCATTTTTTTCATTCTCAGAATATTTTTCACAATAACTTCAGATCTTTTTTTCTGAAAAATTCAATGAAATATGAGTGAGTCTGAAACTAAAAAAGTTTTTTTGTATTGATTCGAAATAAAATTGAATTTTTTTTTTTGTGTTTTTGTTTTGCAAATCAAGGTCGAAGATTGAGAATGAGTTACTTCAGAACCTTCCTCCCCCGTCTGGCGCGACTTTGCGGCGAGAGATTTAAGTTCCGCAGGCTTGCGCCAAGAAAAACCCAGCGCTAAAATTTGCGCGAACCTCGCGCAATACAGGGCGCAAGCTTGCGCTATGGGAGGGCTGCTTTAGAGCTCACAAACTCATTTACAGTAATTCCGAAACTGTTTCGTCTATGTTTTCTATTTTCCTAAATTATGTTTTCTTTTTCTATATATATTTTTCTGGTTTTTTATAAATGAAATTTTATCATCATCGTTTTTAGTTGACTTCATATTTGTATGCGACGCGTCGAAACGTATCTTTTTCGAGAGATTCGATGTATTGGTTTATCCGATTATACTTTGAGAAAGGTAATTATTTTGTTTTTCTTCCTAGCGAAGACGTTTTTTTTGATTATTTTTCTTAAAAATTAACTCCAGAAATTACAAAAAAGTGAGTTCGATATTCTTTGTATTAGCTGTAATACTGAATTTTTCAGATCTAATGAAGAGAGAGTTCAACAATAAGATTCTCATGGAGTGGTGAACATGATATATGGAAGTTTGCAATGTTGAGGTTTGTAGTTTTCGAATAACATTTCATTATTTCTCTTATGTTCTTGGTACAATCCAAAGCTGTACACTACGTCTATAATAAGGATATATACAGAAAAACTTGAAGAGATTTCGAAAAAAAGTTTATCAGAGTCAAAAAAAGACGATTTTGTGATGGATTAATATTAATAAAATGGCTATTATGATGAAACTTGGGTTCCATAGGTAATTCTTTACGCTCAATCGGATGGCTTTAACAGATTTTTTTGATATATTTTCTGGATTCGCCGAAAAAGTCCATGATCGAGGGTGGTCCTATCCTTATTGGACGCAGTGTACCAGATATAATATCTGTTCATATAAAAAAATTAAAGGGACCCTGATAATCATGTGATTGTTTAACAAAAAAATATGTTTTTTTATTTTAACAAAAAAATCGTATAAAGTGAAAAAGCAACTATAAAACTTCAGCTATGATACGCCGAATTTTCGACACGATGATGGTCAAAAGAAAGAGGTTCCTCCACCCTGGTTCGAAATATGCGAATAAAAGTAATTTTGATTATTTTTTATCTTTGAAAAAAAGGTTTTTTTTTTAGATGAGAGCGATGGAACGTTCGCTGCGTAACGTCCCAAAGCCATCGATTCGCAGGCCCTTATTAGAAGACTTTTTTTCCGAGGCTAATGGATGAATGAAGGAAGAAATTGTGTTCAACACTATCGAGATTCTGCTAGCGCAACTGTACACATCTTTATATTGTTGAAAAACCCACTTGCAAGAATATGAACATCATAATTTCATGTAGTTTTTCTGAAAAGTCGAGACTATACTGGAAATCGTTATGCGCGATCAATTATTCAAGCTACTTGTAATTATATTTTACCTAGCCCTTACCAGGTAACTACGCAGGCACTTGTTTGCAAGTTGAGTTGCAACATTTTTTTAGATAGACCTGGATAGGGATGCTTGAAAAACAAAAAGTTTACCTACTGGGTTTCAAAAATTTGCAGAGAAATAGGCTCACTAAACTGCACAGAAAAAGATTTGAAAAAAATACTTTTTATAATACTACTTTTCATTAGATTGAAGTATCAGAACTCTTGCAAGTGGAAATTTTTTTATTGTATGTCATGATGTATTTTTTTGATATTTCTGCGTTTTTGAAATTGTTCCATGTTTCACTTTTTTTTCACTGTTTCTGAACTTCCGGGTCTTCTGAATCTTACTATTTTGCAAAACCCCCGGTTGTTTTATTACTGGAAATAATTCGAGTCATTGTAATTATTAAACATAGCTTAAATTTTACCATTCTCACGTTATCTTTTTTTCCTTTCATTATTGATTGATACCATGAAATCCAATGCATCTTAAAGACTTCAATTGTTGTAAAGTGTAAAATTAGTTCATTTTAGAAATAAATATAGTTTTTCCAAGTTTTTCTGTGTTTGTTCAGCCTCTTTTGAGCTGCGACACTCACAGGTTGCTTTGTATTTTTTTGTTTAAATCAAGCTGAAAAATTCAATGCTATGGATAAATAGAAAAAAAGCTTGAGTTAAATAAAATACAGGCGACCTTTGAGCGTTGTAACTCAAAAAGAGGAAAAATAAGAGGAAGGACGAGGAGGAGAAAGGAAAAGGATATCACGAATGCGTGCTCCATGGATAATTCGCGCAACCCTTGCGCCTCTACGCGCAAGCTTGCGGCTAACATGTGCACATACTCGCGCAATTCACGGCGCAAGCCTGCGAAATCCTCGCCGCAAAGTCGCGCCAGACGGGGGAGTCTTTGCTTGGTTCGAAAGTTCGAATGGACCCGTCTTTTCGGACTTCAAGGAACTTGTGCTCCATAGCGAAATGCCAAGAACTTTCATCACACTTTTTTTTTCAAACTGTCAGACGTTTTCGCAAACGTTTTAAAGTTTTTTTTTGCGAAAATCGAAATGCTTTCGAGCTCTTCAAAATCTTTTTTTCCTTATCTTTATGTGATGGCTTTATCGAAGAAACGAAACTTGTTCGAAAACGCAACAGAGTGTTCACGGCCGCTCGAATGTTGCTTCGAAAAATAAATATTTTTTTTGTTTCGGAGTCGTTTTGTTGCGTTTTGGAAAATGTTTTATTCAACCCGATGGACACGCCATGACGGTCTTTTTTATTTTGCTGAAATTACTTTGAAGAACGCGGCATCAAAAATTTAATTTTCACCGGTTCGCGAAAAAGTCGTTGATCAAGAACCTATATAGATCATAACCTCCTTTTTTTGTGATATGTAGATGTTTTTTTGAGTTTTTTTAAAGATCAATTATTCTTTAATAGACTGCTTAAACCTACGTTTCTTATTTATCATCGTGGTATAGGCTGTACTAATCTCGTTCTGAGTTGTTTAAAGGGTCGCAGACGTTAAAGACGTTCTGTATGCGCAATTTTTTACTTTGATAAACCGAATAAGTATCATTTCGAATATTTTGAAGGCGAATGGCTCTGACGGTGTCCGAAGGGCCGAAAGATGTGAAAATGGAAATAGCGACAAGCCCGGCTCCTAGGCCCGATTCTCCAACAATTGGCGCAGGAACCGTTGAAATAAGCACTCAGGATCTGGATAGGTTCTTTTTCCCCATTTTCTGATGTCATTTTTCGCTTCAGACATATTGAGAAATTGATGCGCTGTGAGTTGATATCTGAGCAAGAAGTTAAAACTCTCTGCGCGAAAGCAAGGGAAATCCTTGTCGAAGAAGGAAACGTTCAGGTCATCGACTCTCCGGTCACGGTATTTTTTAAAAATGCTAAGACTTAAATTTATCAATTTTTTCAGATTTGCGGAGATATCCATGGTCAATTCTACGACCTCATGGAGCTTTTCAAAGTCAGGCTTTAATTATCTCATCAATATTCTAATAAGTCCTTTTTAGGTCGGTGGCGCCGTACCTAATACCAACTACCTTTTCCTGGGCGATTTCGTTGATCGAGGGTTTTACTCAGTTGAGGTACGTAGTTTCCCATTTTCCTTAAAATGATCAAAACTGAATATTTCAGACTTTTCTGCTTCTTCTCGCTCTGAAAGCACGTTATCCGGACCGAATGATGTTGATCAGAGGAAACCATGAAAGTCGGCAAATCACCCAGGTTTGTTTTCTATAACTTTTTTTAAAATTAAAGCGCTTTTTCTCTAGGTTTACGGTTTTTATGATGAATGCCTGCGAAAGTACGGTAGCGCATCGGTTTGGAGAAATTGCACCGAGGTTTTCGACTACCTTGCGCTTGCTGCCGTGATTGATGGAAAGGTGAAAGCAACAAAAAAGTGTATTTTTTTTGTTTCCGTGAGATTATCCAGTTTGCAACTTTTTGTAGGGACTCAATTTTACAATTTTTATCATTTGTGAATCGAAAAGTTTTGGTGGATATCGCATTTCTCGAAAACATTGATTTAAAAAAAATTTACGTACCCTCATAAAATTTTGCCTGTATTAATTCCAAACTTTCCCTTTTTACTGATGCTTTCAGGTGTTCTGCGTCCACGGCGGTCTCTCACCGTCCATCACCACTTTGGACCAGATCCGCGTTATCGATCGAAAGCAGGAGGTTGAGTGTTTTCTTAGATAGAAAAGACGAGATGGTGGAAATGCAGGTGCCGCACGACGGTCCGATGTGCGATTTGCTGTGGTCTGATCCCGAGGAGAACAGTTCTGGATGGGGTCTGAGCCCTCGAGGCGCTGGATATCTTTTCGGCGCCGAGGCAGCCAAGGTGCCTTTTTTAGTTGAACATTGGACACTCAATGAGAAAATTTCGTGTATTTCAGTAAATGAAATTTCGAAATTAAGTCTTCAATTGACTTAAAGGTGTTCTTCTTTTCTCAATTTTATCAGTGCTCGGCTCGAAAATTTATAACTAACAAAAATTAATTGAATTATTTTTCTTAACTTTCAAAATTCGCTGTTTTGTATTCCCGTTCGGGTGAAAGTCTCACTTACGTAGATTTTTTTCACTCAAAATTTATTTTCGGAACACTCTTTTAGGTCAGTTTGTTTGTGTCTAATTCCCTTACGATTTGATTCTAGAGGGCTTCAAATGGAAAAAAAAATGTTTTCCAGTCCTTCTGTGAGACGAACGGCGTCGACTTGATATGTCGAGCCCATCAACTGGTGATGGAAGGCTACAAGTGGCATTTCAACGAGACGGTACTCACTGTTTGGTCGGCTCCAAATTATTGCTATCGGTTGGTTTCAGAATTTTCGATCTTTGGATTAAAAAAATGCTCCAAAAACCGAAATAACCATACAAGGAAAATAAATTCGAAAAGAAAAAATTGATTTTTACAGGGTTTTCCTATTCAAAATCAAATTCATTGGGGTTAGCGCTTGTCAATCTCTATTTATGGAAAATTATGAAAATCATTACAAGCCTATTTGTACCTCTTCTATTTCTAAATTGAGTGATTCATCTCCAGATGCGGTAACGTCGCTGCGATTCTGGAACTTGATGAGCAGCTGAACAAAGAATTCACCATTTTCGAAGCAGCCCCACAGGTTTTTTCTCACTTTAATTGTGGTTATGTTCATTAAATATGAGTTTCCAGGAAAATCGTGGCGCTCCCGCCAAGAAACCTCACGCTGACTACTTCTTATAACTCGTATTTCCTTTCCTAACTCGTTCATCAGTTTTTTCTCCTCAATTCCTGAACCGCGTTTTCCAAAAACATGGTCCATTTCGTAGCTTTATCGATTGGGTTACAAACGAAGGTATTCGAGAATGCCTTTCAGTGAGACTTTTATGGGTCTTTTTCATTAATCTAAGGCCAAGGTCATTGTTTTTTTCTACAATTTGATCAGAAAATATTTTTTATCAAACAAAAAAATGTTCAATGCCAAATTCTGTGGGATTCTGACGATAATGCATTAATAGGAACATGATCATGATATTCATCTAATTGATTTAACCGTTGGTAACATATCTCGTCTTTTTTCTAGATCCACTACCATTTTTATTTCAGTTACAAGTTTGCCTATTCACGGCTGGCTTGTGTCATCGAAGAAAAGGCTCCTGACAAAATTTGAATAAGAAAAGGACTTTTATCTGGTGCGTTAGAGCCGTTTACCTTCTCATCCCAAGCCACCTTTGCACAGGCTAATCGTATTGAAAAAAAATATTGGAAAAGTCCATGTAATGCGCAATGACGTCTAACAAGTTCAAATTTTTTTGGATGAAAGTTTTGAACTGTTTCTTACTATTTCTTTCATCTTCGGTTTTTTCTATCAGTATTCCCTTCTCGAAATTGTTTTACTCTATTTTTTGTAAATGCACCCCGGCCTTTCTTTTTCATCTATAATCTCTGCTTTCAGTCCTCTGACATAAAGCGTTTGCCAATTACCTTTTCTGTGCTTTTTTCTTACCTGAGCTCTGTTCATATGATGTTGAGCGAATAAAGTTTTCCATTTTTTTTTCTCATTTTTTTTGATTCTGGAGCGTTTTACACTACGTTTTGTTACTTTATATCAAGTTTTCTCGATCTAACACAATTGGCTTAGTCATATCTCATTAGTTTTCTTTCATTATCCCGAAGTATTAAAAATCAGAAATTTGAATTCGAAAAATGCTCGAAACTATTAGATGCTTCGCGTCTTGCAAAGACATGCCCTATCCGGACTCCGAGCGACTTACGCCAGTAGTGCCAGTGGTAGTGGAACCGCCTCATCTTCGTTGACCAATGAGGTCCGTCAGAAAATCGACGGCGTCGTCAAGGTAAAGTAAGACGAAAATATTTGGATCATGAGCATTTTTAGTCTGACGACGTCGTTGTGTTCATGAAAGGTACACAGCAAGAGCCGATGTGTGGATTTTCGCGAAACGTCAAATTGGTTTTTTTTCCGGCTATGATCGTTGAAGATTCCATGATAACATTACAGGTCCTCGATTTCCACAACGTCAAATTCACCGATTACAATGTTCTCACAGACCCGGAAGTACGAGAAGGAATCAAGGCGTATAGTGATTGGCCCACAATTCCACAGGTTTGAACAAATTTTGCTTTTCCTTGCAACAACTAACATTTTTAAGGTTTTCGTTAAAGGAGAGTTTGTTGGAGGTTGCGACATTCTGGTCCAGATGCACAAAGAAGGCGAGATAAGGTGAGATTTATTTTTTCAAACGTGTAGTTCTTCCCAAAGTTGAAACTAAATGGAATCCGTATTTTTCAGTGATTTCTTGGACAGCAAGCAGATACCCAACAAGTACGGAAAGAAATAGAAACTTTTGTGCTGAAACAGTAGGATCACATTTAAAGTCCGCTCCGAGCAATTTCGCGAATGATGATTTTATATGAAGATTTATTTATAAATTGTCAAAAAGTCAATTAAAAAGAAGCTTATTATTTCACGAGGCCGAGGATTTTAGCGAATGATTTGCTTTTAATCGAGACTCGGCTGACTCCTTTCAGAACTCGATGGCCATCTGAAAACAAATTTTTTGAAAAAAAAAAAAGGTTTAGGCGTGAAAAAATGTCAAGAAATCGTTTAACCTTTCAATTCTTCGTACTGTGCGTACTCCCCCAGCCATTCTCTCGCCGGTTGAATTCGGTTTCTTTTTGGGTATCTTCTTGTTGAAGCATCCTTTTCTCCTGCTCCTGCCCACTCTGGAAATTCGCTAACGAGGTTTTTTCAATATTTTTTGACCATAAAAAGGTGTTCATGACGGGACTATTGTTGAAAGTAAGTAAAAATGATGATACAGCTTTTAAAATTGGGTGTTCGCAAGAGAATTTTTTCAAATGAAGATTTTAAGTTCTTTGAAACAGTGTGGGCCTGAATTCGAAGTATCTCACCGATGGTCCTTGGCTTCAGCTCAATAGGAACGGTTCGGCCTCGTTTTCTAGTGTTGTGATGACCGTCATCTGGTGTTGGTTTTTTCAAACCGCCGTTTTGATTTTTTACGACAATCTCTTGGATTATTATTCGAGCTCTATCGTCCCCGCACTCGGCCGTCGGCTCTGATTCAATGTTTTCATCGAGAATAACCTCTGATGACCTGTTTTCGATTGGGGATAGAGATTGATCATTTATCGAGTCTGGAAAGATTTTTTCTTGTTTTTATCGTTCATATTTTCTGCTTGCCAACCGTTGTTGGCTAATGGCGACCTTTGACACGAACTGGCGCGACTACGTGTTGAGTTACTCGACGACGATGGCGACGAATGCATGATTGAAGAACGGAAGAATGAAGCCTTCATAGTTTAAATAATCAAAGATGACAAAATTTTGGGATAGTTCACTGGCCGAAAAGTCTTTTTTTATATATATTTCAGCATGCGTATCATTTTACGGTATGGTGTTTCAACGGGTGTACCCATATCAAACTCTTTTGAAAACAGCTGGTAGAACTGGCTTTTTTTGTACCACATCTGAAACTTATTTTATCAAAATTGGGTAAACTCAATAAAAAATTTTCCGTTGCGACACCTAAGCACAACAACAAATCTTAAGAGTCGCTTCTCGTTTTTCAATCATTCAATGAATGATAATCCTAAACAAAATTGGGGATTTTTTCTTCCTCCTCAGACCTGAATTCGTCGACAAAAAATAAATATATGTATTGATAAGAAAGGATACTTTTCCGCCCGGTCGAACACTGCTCCGATTTGCCATTCTTTCAACAACGAGCCGCAAATCATCGACGTCCAATGGTGTAGCTCTGGTTTTATCTTGAGTAGTCATGATCGAGTGTGATGAAATGACTTTCAAGCTCACATTCTTTTTATTTTTTACTTCGTTCTATCACAGTCATTAATAACTAGAGAATCGTGGGTGATCCCCCGGACACATGGAACAGACGGTTTTTCAAAGTGATTACTAAAAACGCTTCACTCTAGTAACCACTTAGGTTTTTCCAGATCACCCGAGCAGTGAAAAGCCCATTTTCCCGCCAAGCAGTATGAGAACATTCAATTTGATACGCTCGTTCTTCAAATTTATTTCATTCTCTTAAAAAAAGTTTTGTTGATGTGTTCAGCAAACATTTACATTTTAATTTAGTAGGAAAGGGAGAAACAGACACGTTGAGTGAAGAGACCGAAGACTCTTCACGAGACAATTCATAATTATTTCCACAGTTTCTTGATCGACATGTTCTTCTCGGAATCCTTTTGCATAACCTGAAAAAAAAAACTTCAGAATTCACCTTTGTTAATAACTTTTACCTTTCCCACAGCCATTTCGAAATCTTCCTGCGTAACGTGAATTCGCCGTTCACGAAGGGCAAACATTCCAGCTTCAGTGCAGACGGCCTGAATATTATCTTTATGTGAGAAAAAATATTTGAGTAATCAAGACCACGTATAGTACAGGACCATTCTTGGAAAGTGATACTCAACTGCTTTTTTATAAATTATCGCTTCGCGTTTCTTTAGCGTCTTTCCAGGAGTTGAGAACAGAAAACACAACTCAGCAAAGAGAATGGACGCGATAAACATGGGTGGGGATCGAACTCTTTACATTCAGAGGGAGGAGCAAACACCTAACCACTTTGGCCAGGCGAACCTCATCGAGGACTGAGTCCAAAAAGTACCGTGTATGTTCTTAAAATTTGTTGGCAAGATTCGAAAAAATTGTAATATTGAATTTTTTAGTTATTTTCAAATTTATCGGGGACTCATGAAAAAAAGATAAGATCAAGAAAAAAACGTTAAAGACCTTTTTTTAATGGAACAGTTATGAAAAAAATCTTCTTTTCAAAAAAATCATTTTTCTATCTTTTTGGAGGGATTGGAAAGAAGCAGACATAATATTTTCTACAAAAACTCAATTCTTTAATCCAAAACCGTTTGCGCATTGATTTTGAGAAATGTTTCACGAACCTTGACTTCTGCGCCACTAGCGCCAGGGATCTGCTCAGCGATTTTTCTCATATTGATTCCACGCATCAGATTCATCTTCCTGGAGTGAATTTTCAAAATATCCGCTCGAGCCTTCTCGTCCGGCGCTGGGAATTCAATCTGAACACATCAGATTGATCATCTGCGACAATTAGATGTCGAATAACCTTACGATCGATACGACCAGGTCTCAATAGAGCAGGGTCAAGAATGTCGATACGGTTAGTGGCCATGATAACCTGAATGAAAACTAAATTAATAGTGAAAGTTTGAAAAAAGATTTTTTGGAAAGATGCGTTCCAAGGTGCATGTCGTCACATTTTTTTTTCAATTGAAAGAAATTTTTTGCCGATTTTACTGACAAGGGAAGTGTGTGAGGTGAATGTCGCAGATCAAAATTCTGTGGTAGATAGTCCTAGATATGATAGTCTAAGTATAATCACTTTATCATTAGAAACACTAGAAAAAGACGTTTTTTTTTTTTACAAAAATCCAAAGATTTTGAGTTTTTCCTGTACATTTTCCACAGGCTATTTCTTAGTAACCTATATTCCTTCTAGCAGATATTCCTTCTAGTTTTCGAATACTCATACCTGGGGCTACCTACCACAAAAGTTTGAACAGATCTGCGATGCTCGCCTCGCACAAAAAAGCTTTTTGTTTTTGAAAACTTATGATTTGTTTTTAGGAGGGCACAAAACTGAATGAGTGTGAAAGAAAAAAAAATTCCCAACTATTTTTATTTTTCTTCTCTTTTGGACATACTAGGGCTGAAATGAAAAATAGCTAAAAACTCGCAAACTTCTCACCTTAATATTCTTGGTGGCCTCAAAACCGTCGAGCTGATTGAGCAATTCGAGCATCGTTCGCTGAACCTCGGAGTCGCCGCCACTGGATCCTTCGACGCGGCTTGAGCCGATAGAATCGATTTCGTCCATGAAAATGATCGACGGAGCGTGCTCACGAGCCATCACGAACAGTTCTCGGACCTCGAATCGGTACACTCAGAGTTGAATAGAGCCGAGCCAACCAACCATACGAGCTCCTTCACCAATAAACTTTTGAACGAGCTCAGAACCGGAAACGCGGATAAAAGTGCATTCGGTGTGATGGGCGACGGCACGCGCCAACAACGTTTTACCGGTTCCGGGCGGTCCATAAAGCAAAACACCCTAAAGGTAGTAAGGTTGCCATTATCTACACCTAGTTGACTAACTTTTGGTTGAGCGATACCCAAAGCCTCGAAAAGTTCTGGATGTTTAACTGGAAGCTCGATAACCTGGAATAAAAAAGTTTTATAAATTTAAATACAGTGAAAAGATTACCATACAACTAAAATGATTTACTAAAAAATGATCGAACACCAAAAAGAAAACTACAAACCTCTTTGATTTCTTTAATCTGCTTGTCGAGACCTCCAATCATTTCATACGTCGAGTCTGGCACTTTCTCGACCATCATAAGCGACACCAAGGGGTCAACCTGTTCGCAGTTACAGAAATCCCTTATTTTAGTATTTTCACCTTATTCGGAAGGATTTTGTGGAGGGCGTAGCTGTCGGCCCGAAGAGCAACTCGGCAACCTGGATTGATCGAGTTGATGTCGATGCCTTTGTCGACATCGACCACATACTTTCCTTCAGGGTGCACCTGAAACTTGCGAAATTTTCGAAGAAAACCTTTTTATACTGACTTTAACGAGAACTTTCTTTTTGTCCATTGCCTTGCTGACTTCTCCGACGTAGCTGCCTTGCTCGTGGAGTTGCTGTAGCTCTTCTTTCAACATTCGGACCTGAAACGCAAAGATGAGATTTTTAGAGAAATTTCACAACCTTGGTGTTCAATTCATTTCTTTGAGCTTGCAAACGACGAACGTTTTGACTTTTTTCGAGTACGTTTTGCTGCAAATATATGTTTAATACAGATTTCAAGATAGTTCAAACCTGAGCGTCATCCACTTTAGTTCGGAAATATTTTCTCAATGTTTCTTCGTCTGAGCCAGCAGTTAGGGTACCAACCGACGCGGCAATTTCAGCCCCAGATGTTTCGGAAGTAGAAGAACGACTTTTTGTCGCAGGAGTTGACATTTAACCTGAAAATTTGAAGGTCAGAACCGTATCATCTGAGAAATATCCTTAACGACAATACAAAAAAAGAAATTGAAAATTAAAAAGAAAGAAAAATAAGAAAAATGAAGGTTTTTTTGAACGTTACAATCATCACAAAAAATTACGCGGAAATAGTTGCAGATTTTCAAGCGACTTCACGAATAGTCTTAAATCGCAGTTTCGAATTGAAATCACTCACTAGCTGAAGCCGTATTTTAAGTATTTTCCGCGAAATTCAAGACCATCAGTAACTCTCCAAAATTTGGTTATCTTTTCCACTTCTTGACGGTTCTTTTGAAGTTCGCGGAATCACTTTAAACACGGCATAAACCCTCAATTTTGTTCATAAAATTTGAACGCGACATGAGAAAAAAAAAATGATGATGTTGTGAAATAGTCGTAACGGTGCGTTTACGTCGTGAGCACGCGGCGGTGTTCTACACAGACGAGACAGCGTGCGGCTGCGAGAGAGGCACGAGGGATTTGAGAGGAACAAGAAATGGCGCGAAAACTTTGATCCATACATTTTTCCCTTTGACGGATCCTCTCGCCATAGCCATTGTCTCCATTTTCTTTTCAATATTTTTTTGAGATAGCTTCATAATTCATAGCTCGATAATCATTTTCTCGTGATAAAAATTAAAGAAGGCGATTCGGCACGTTAGGGTATTTCTTTCAAAATACGGGTACCGAACAATTCTCAAATTTGAGGAAATTTTTTGTTCATTTATCATATATATTTTACTTTTTTGTACATTGCTTTCAATAAAAGGGTATTTTAGGACTGTAGCATGATATCTTTTCAGTGCTAATGGTATGATTTTTTTTCTGCTTTTTTAACCTTTCTATTTTTGGGGCGGGGTCAGAAGATCGATAATGGTCTGGACAATATGTGTAGCTTTGCCCTGACGCGACGCGTACGCTCGCGACGCTCTTTGGCTCTTCGCAAGTATAAAAATCTGACACAGTTTCTGTCTTGTGACTTTTCTCAAACTTCCCTGAGTACTATATACATCTTCGATAGAATAGGTGCCGTCCTGTCACTAACTTATATATATATATTCCGTCTTTTGCCAGGCATGTTCAGAGTCCTTCTTAGGATAAGCTATCATTATTTTTCGTTTGAGACACGAGTTTTTACCCGCACCTCAATGATTTTTGTTGAATCATTTTCAGATCATTTTTTTTTAAAGAAAAGTTTCAATGTCTTTCTTTCGAGATTCATACACCTGTGTCTTCCATTTCTTTTGAGCTCGCTGAAGTAAATTTACAAACTATTGATTAATGGTGTAAATGGTATCCATTGAAAAGTTTTTGCAATTAAGGACGCAGCGAGAGTAGAGCTCCGTCGCAAGAATGTATCTCTTTTCTCGGCGCGATGTCGGAAACATTTTGCGTCATAGCTGTTCAAATTTTTTTTTTGGCTTAGTTTCCTAGGATTTGATTCTCTTCTTTCAGAAAAAAGGTAAAAAGTCACGCATTTGAAATTTTTTATAAGAATTGTGACATGTTAACAAGGACGCAGCAAGAAATTCTGGAAGTTTCGTTGAATTCTCTCATTGCAGTTTTTTTCCAGTTTGCCGTTTCGATTATATTTTTCACATTAGAATGTTAAATTTTAAAAGAAATCATCGAGTAGCATGAAACAATCGAGTGTTGCAAAAAAATTTTTTTAACTTACCGTGTTCAAAGTGAGTTTGGCGAAATGAAAATGAACGTCAAATATTGAAAAAGATAACGATAAATTATTCGGAAAGTCATCATTTTTCTTTGCGACATTACTTTGAGTTCAACATCAACTTTTAATTTGGTTTTTTAATTTTTTTTTTCCTTTATGTCTTTTTAAAACTTTAAAAACTAATTTGACGGACGTGCAGAAAAATATTTTCTCGGTCAAAAGCACGACCCGAATCGCAGGGAAACGCCGCAGATTTTCACAGAATTATTAGTCGGCTCCGTCCATTTGACAAGTAAAAAAAATTTCAAATAAATTCGGTATTGGAAATCTGCCAAAAAGGCGGGATCATCCAACCACGCTGTGGGAACCTGCTGCGCTTCGCCGCATTTCTGTTTGATTTTTCAACACTTTTTTTTGCTGCGCACGTCGAATTAGGTTAGAATGCGGTTCAGTAAACGTGTGAGCCGTACAAAATTTTCTTTGTATTTTTAAATTAAAATAATTTTTTTTCAGGAAACTAAGATACTTTTTAAAATGGCCCGTACTAAAACAAACTGCCCGCAAATCGACCGGAGGAAAGGCTCCCCGTAAGCAGCTCGCGACTAAGGTATTTTGATTTTTTAAATGTTCTTATTTTTTTTTTCTCATTTTGGCTTTAACAATTGGTGCAGACGGAATAATCCAATTTATATTCACTTTTTTAGGCTGCCAGGAAGTCTGCTCCATCTACGGGTGGCGTAAAGAAGCCTCATCGTTACCGTCCTGGAACCGTCGCTCTCCGCGAAATTCGTCGTTATCAAAAGTCTACGGAGCTGTTGATTCGCAAACTTCCCTTCCAGCGTCTTGTTCGAGAGATTGCTCAAGATTTCAAGACTGATCTTCGCTTCCAGTCAGCTGCCATCGGAGCGCTTCAGGTTTGTTCAAACTTTTCAATATTTTTTTTTCCTTACTCCGTGCTATAGCGCTAGAAGGCGCCGCGAGTTTCTATTCTCGCCCGCAAGCGCCCTGGCATTTTTCTCTGATACATGCGAATTCGAAAATAGAAACTCGAGGCTCTTTCGAGCGCTGTAGCACAAGAAAGTTTGTCGTGGACGGTTCTCATTAAGACTTGATGATTAACTGACTTATGAAATGGAGTGTTTACTTGCTTTTCGCCATTTTTACAGTTTAACGGTTTCAGGAGGCGTCGGAAGCCTACCTCGTGGGTCTTTTCGAAGATACCAACCTGTGCGCCATTCACGCTAAGCGTGTCACCATCATGCCAAAGGACATTCAGCTTGCTCGTCGTATTCGTGGAGAACGAGCTTAGACTAGGCTGGTGTAACCCTATGCAACTTGTTAACACTACTGTTCATCTCCAACTCGTTCATTTTGCAATTATGTACATGAATCTTCACAAAAATTATATCATGTCCGATCTCATTTTTAACATTCGTAATATTTTCAATGCCGATACACTATGCTTTTTTGAATAAAACTCTCGTCTGCCCAGTGTTGCTAGCAGTTACCAAAAGTAGCCTAGACGACAAGTTTCAAGCAGTTTCTTCCCTCTCGGGCCTTTATTTTCTGCCCCATGATGCTTCTAGCTTCTGGTAAAAATACTGGTGAGGCCTAGCTTTTTTGTGCAAGTGGTATTGACAAGTTTGAACATTTCAGGTCTTTTGAGTTTTGTACTGGTTTCTGCATGGCTTCTTCTAGGAACACTAGTTTTCAAAAAGAGAAACTTCGAGTACGTCAGCCAAGGGGTTGTTAAAAAAGCTCTCATCGCCAACTACACTGACGTTGTCTATGATCATCAAAGGGTCAGTGCTTTAGGCATAACTTGAGTTGTTTTTCCTAGGATTTGAATGCTACCAATCTGCTCTTGGCCATTTTGGCTACGCTCAACAGCGAGACCACTCTAAAAGAAGCAACACCACAGAGAGACTTTCTGCTGTCTTTCAATCTCATACTCGGCATCGGTTAAAATATTTATAAGTTTTAAATTTTTTGATTTTTTTTTAGGAGATGACGTGCACGATCCTAGTTCGCCATTCCTCGCAGTTTACTCGTTCTTCGGCTACATTTTTGCAACTATTTCTGTCTTATCGCTCTGCAAAAAAACTGGAAGATGTGGTCGACAAACTTTACGGTTAATTCTCGAAAAAATTCTATATTTCCATTATAAAAGAACCAATTTCTTTTCTCTAGATCATCCTGAAACGTTGAAGTTGTTGGGAGCCGATAACGAGAAGCGTGATCTTGTGTTGGAGTACAAGATCAAAAGACGAGAACAAGAAGAAAATGGAGATAAAGTCGTCATTGAATCGGCAAGTTCTTCTTCAAGTCGTTGCCAAGTTCCTGTTCAGAACGCACCAGTAGAAATGGAGAATTTAAGAGTTTATCAAGCTGTGCGACGCGAGTGTTTTGCTCTAGTCAGGCCAATTGCGCCAGCCTTCATTTTTTTCGCCCTCTACATGATCGGCCTTTTTCTACTGACAGCCCTGTACACTAGAGTTTCCCAAAAGGAATACATCGATGCCCTATCTTCTGTGACCGCATATACCACAGGACAAGGTTCGTTTCTAATTCCAACTTTTTTCATTCCTTTTATTTAGGAAGTCAATTGCTCACGTCGAGCAGAAACTTGACCGACTACTGCTTTTTTGTTGCTAGCTTGCCACTAATGGTACACGGATATAAAAAGTGTTCCAATTAGTAATTTAAAAAAACTTTCAGATACTTTTCTACACAAGCTGTTACAAGTTGTCTGAAATTATTGTGATCTTTTTTGGATTCTTGTTATCGAAACCAACTCAACTTGAAATTTTGTTCTTCGGACCTTTGAAGGAAGAGTAATCGGTTTCTTTTCAATAAAATTTGTTCGTCATCCACACTTATGCGCTCGAAAACAGAGAAAACCTTGAATATACAAGTTGTTTCAATTTAAAAAAAAAAACGAGACTTTCAACGCTACGTAGCTACTTTTTTCTTTTGCAAAAACTGTAGCTTAAGTCCTCGGCTTAGCCTGGCCGGGACTCCCATTGTAGTTACGATGTTGTTTGGATAATAGAAACAGCCAGAACAGCCGAAGACATGCAACCGGAAACAGCTTTTTTCACACTTTTTTTTCTATAAAGCTGAAAAAGGCATCGAAAAACAGATCTTCACCCGGCTCTCTCCCGACGGCTGCTGTTTCTCGAGTAAGCAGCTTGCGCACGCTTTTCATGCAAAAGCTGAAGTCAAAAAAAAAATTCGAGTTTCGCAAATTTTTGCCACGGTTCTGCGTAGTGGAAGTAAATGCCGTGTTCAAAGTAATTTCCGCGAAATGCAAAATGATCTCTGACTCTCCAAAATTTAGTGATCCTTTCCTTTCTCTAACGGGTATTTTGCATTTCGCGGAAATTACTTTGAACACGGCAAAATGTAAAAATTTTGAAAATGCGGAGCGGCTTTGAAAGGTTGCTCCACCTAGAATTACGGTAGACAGCTATGCGCGCGAACGTTTGAATTTCTTGTTGCTCAAGTGCTTCAGGTGATTTTTCATGTTTATTTCAGTTGTATTTCAGTCTGTTTGGTTCTAATATACGGTGATTATTCTTCATTGCGACAGCGAAATGCGAAGGAATTTTTTATTTTAATTTTCTAAATTAACTGCTCGGTTTTTACGAAATTTCCCTTTAAAAGCTAAAAAATGCTTTCAGCGACATTTTCAGTGCCAAATTAAATTTTTAATTCGAATCAATCAATCTCTTCATTTTCGCAACATCGGACGAGTGCATCGTACCTTCTCTAGTAATTAGCGCTGTTTGGGTTGAGGCGAAAAAGAAGAAGAAGTCGTCCGACGACGGGGGCCGCTAATGGCTGTGCTTGACTTGCTTCGGACTGACACCTGCCCGAGCGAGGAATGCTGTCGCAACTTGTGGACATGTGGCCGCCCCCACCTGACCGCGACGCGCCCCGGCCCGCGAAGCGGTTTTTATTCAGGCCCCCTAAGCGAGCGCGAGGATTTTTTTCTCCGTATTTTTTTGTTTTTTTATTTCAGTTTTTTTCATATTGAAAATGAATGTTTAAATTATTTATGATCCATGAAAAGTTTAATTTTATTGCTTTTTGATTGAAATAGTGCTTTTTGATTTGACTTTTTTTCGCATCTTTTTACTTTTTCTCTATAAATAAAATAATATTTCAAATAGTGGTTAGAATGAATTTTTTGCGAAAAAGAAATTCCTGATGATGTGAAAATTTCAAATTATGTCTTATTTATTAATTTGTTTTCTCTAGTTCTGTAAATTGTTCTCGCCATTTAGAAAAACTATTGAATTTTTTTGGATTAATATCTCATTTCATCGGTTTTTTTCTTCTTTATGTGCTCGATAAAAATTTTTTTTTGTTTCACTTTCATTTCAGTAAAACTTGTGCTTCTTTCGCTTTCTTATAATTCGCAAAAAACCCGGAGTCAAAAAAAGTTTGTATCTACGGGTCGACCGAGCTGACCCTTTCCAAAGGCCGACCGCGGCCGCCCTCGAATACGCCACAAATCGGGGGGCCCTCGGTCGAGAACAGCTCTGGTTTTTGGGAAAGATTGAGGGAAATACTGTCGGAATAAATCAATTTATAACGAGCATACGTGTGCAGGAAAGAGTTTTGGGCTTAGAAAAGTTTTTGGAATAACCTTATGAGGAAGGTCATTTGACTTCTCGGTTTTTGAAGGTTGGCAAAAATACTTCTTGATTTACTAAATAAAGATTCTGAAAGTCTCAACATGCACAACTTTCTAATTTGCGAGAAATAAGGACCACAAAAAAAACTTTTTTATCCCTAACCCCTACAGTGAGCCCTCTGGCGTTCCTGAATAAGCCATAACTGGCAAGGAAGGCTACTATGCGATTGGGGATTTTGTAAAAGATGAGAACCCTGGAAGTCTCAACCTGCAAAATTTCTAGTTTTCAAGAAAGAATATCTCAATTTCGAAGAAAACTCTCAAAGCCCCAAAGTAGCCTATTTTAAAGGTTTTGAGGGTTTTCTTCGTCTTTGACATTTCCTTTCTCAAAAAATAGAAAGTTGTGCAGGTTGAGAGGAGGTATGAAAAAAACACCAGCGAAAATTCAAACGGCGACTTTTCCGATTTTTTCATTTCGCTAGGGAACTTTCCGACGGCCACCTTTCCGACGGATCCCTTTCCGACTTTTTTCCCTTATATTTTTCGGTTTATACAACATCTATTAACATTTTTTTTTTCTTATTTCTTTGTGTTTTTAATTATGAACAAATTACCTACTTTATATAGGAATATGTAAAACGAAGAGTTTATCGAGAAAAAAAGTCGGAAAAAGTTTCGTCGGAAAGTTCCCTAGCGATATGAAAAAATCGGAAAAGTCGCCGTTTGAATTTTCGTTGGTCTTTTTTTCATACCACCGGTTGAGACTTCCAGGATTCTCATCTGGTCAATCAAGAGTGTTCTGAATAGCATTTACGAAATTCCCATTCGTAAAGAATAATATGTATTTTGCCGTTCTAGCGCACCTTTTCGCCCATCCTCAATTTTCTCATTTTTAAGCCATTTTAAGGCTTATTTTTAACATGAACAAGTCTTTAAAAGGTCGAAATGCGCTACCTTAAAAATGTGGTCGAAATGGATGGTCGAAATGGTCGAAAAAGGTGCGCTGAAAAATTTAGATATCTAAATGTATGATTTTATGGTTAAATTACTGAAAAATATTCTCTTTTTTTATAATAGCTCACTCCGTCATTTATTTGCGCTCAAAAATAAATAATAAAAAAAGAAATATTTCTATTAGCTTCAACTTTTTTTATACTATAAAAAAATAATTGGAATAAAAAAATATCTTATTCATCAATTAAAAAAAGCAATACAATTTCATTTCATCTTCTTTATCGTCTTGGGCAAGTGTTCAAAAACACATATGATGATGTCATGAGGAAGACCGACACATGAGCGTTGTGGGGTTTGGAAAACAGGGGGCAAATAGTATTTCATACATGATGAGGTGTGGCACATTTTTATCGAATTCTACTAGGAGCACTAAAATGTTCCTATTAAGAGACGATATGAAACGTTTAAACTTTACAGGTGGGGCAAGTACAACATATACAAAGCTATTATTGTTTTGAAAGGCGCCAAGTCTCTTCAGTCCAATTCATGCTGTCGATCGTCAAGTTCATTTTACGCAGTGCCAACATTCCCAAAACGTTCGCTTCCTTGAAATGGCTGTGTGAGAGGTCGCACTCGATCACGGAATTTTCTTCCTAAAATGAGGAATTTGAATCATTAAAAGAATAGTCATACAATTGAAAGTACAAAAACTAAACCTGAATAGATACGTGGAGAGCCGAAGGAATCGCGTCGGAGCCCATAAGTTTGCTAATTGTTTTTTCGTCAAGAAACGTGCAATTCGATCCACTATCCACCAAAAACCAGACTTGGAAGATTGGAGCATTAGGCTTCTTGGCTCGACGACAGTTGAGGCACACCATTAGTCTATTATTTGGTCCGAAAATAACGCCTTCTACAGGAAAGGCAGGAGATGAGAATTCTCCAATACTGAGATTCTCAATTCCAGTAATGTCGCCGAGCTGAAAACATAGGATTAGAAATAAGAAAGAAAAAGTTGCAATAAAAAAATTATATAATAATTATTAATAATATCGAAGATCGTTATGACTCTGAAAAAAACATCTACGAAGAAGCAGAAGTCTCTGTCAGAATTCGAGGACAAGATGTACCAGTTCGAATTCAGAAAGGAGTGCGTCAAGGGGACACAATTTCCCCAGACTTGTTCAACGCCACCCTCGAGCACATTTTTCGAAGGCTTAACTGTGAGAGCTATGGATTTTCTGTGAATGGAACGACTTTGACGCACCTTCGTTTTGCGGATGACGTCGTACTGTTTGCATCCAGTGCGCAGAAGATCCAAGAAATGGCTAACGAGCTGGCAAAAGAGAGCAAGAAGGCCGGCTTGGAAATCAACTTCGCGAAAACGTTTATAATGGCTAATCGAGCCCAAAGAAATGTCGAGATTGATGGGAAAAGAATCGCCTACACGGATGGGTTCATCTACCTCGGTACCCATCTCCACTCCGCTGATGGCTCGAAAACCGAAATCCAACGCCGAATTCGTTCTGCATGGAGCGTCTTCCACAAGTTCAAAACGTACTTAACACGAAGAAACGTTTCCAATATACACAAAGCCAAGATATACAACATGTGTATTGAACCAGCTTTTCTCTATGGTTCGGAAACTTGGACTCTGAAGAAGAAAGAAAGGAACCTTCTGGCAACGGCACAGCGGAAAATGATGCGATGGATGCTCGGAGTAACATTGCTCGACAGAAGAAGAAACTCCTGGCTCTATGAAAAGTTGAAGCTACGCGAAGTTCGGTCGGAAGCTGTGAAGAGAAAATGGCTTTTCGCAAAGAAGATCGCTACGGGAGAAGACACATGGACGAAGAAAATCGTGGAATGACGACCATGGGCGAAAACGCGTGGAGTTGGACGACCCAAACCCCGTTGGCGAGATGATCTACGAGCAGTTCTTGGTGAAAGATGGGCGACAGTTGCGCGAACCAACAAACATCTCTTCAAATATTCCATGATTCAGCAGATACAAGATTACTCTGAGGACTGAATAAATGTTAAATTTTAAATTAATAATATCTCACATGCTTGAGACCAGAGCCGTTGATGTCCGTCAACATCATATCATGTTTAAACGCTGGCAGTGCATCCATGATTTCGAACGAGTGATCATTGCTGTCAGACGATGACGAAGTCTAAAAAATTTCCTTTTTAAAATGAAAAAAACAGAAATAAATACCTTTTTCATATCGCTTCCCATCTTTGACTACAACGGAAAGAAATGACGAAGAAAGGGAGAGCGGTCTGAAAATAAACAATTGAACAATAGCTAAAATCGAACTATCTTCAATAAATCTACATTATAAAAACAGAATTTGATGAAAGAATGTGATGTTGGCAGTTTCTCGCCTTCCCACGGCGTTCTTTTGACGACGCCCCTCCCACAATTTCCGTAAACGTTTATTACAGACTCGAAAAAAGTATCAAAGATCACGGTGTTTCTTTTGCGACGCCCCGCCCACTTTTCTCCGTCAATTAGGACGTGTTTAGTGCATGCACAAAAAATTTGGAAAATAAGGGTAACCGATGATATAAGTGTGAGAAACGAATGAACATTGAAGAAAAAAGACGAGGAAATTAAAAGAGATTAAATAAAAACTATATTGCTGTGGAGAAACAAATAAAAAGATGTTTTACAGCAAGTACTTTTTTTATTATAAAAAGTTGACGGAATATCCGGATATAAATGAATTCCGGAACATACTTTCTCAACTTCACAGACTTTTTTCATGTAACTTCATCTCATTGATGTCCACAACCTAGGAATCTGAACAATCGACAAAAATAGAATAAGAAAACATAAAATGGGGTGAAACATGTTCCATACAAACAGGTGGAGATTTTCAAAACGCTTCTTCATCAAGAGTTTTAAAGTTAGCCTCACAGAACTACTTTCAAAAAACGTCTAACAGCCCAGAGTATACCCCGATCGTGGTCCCGCAATACTATCAGCAATCTACGAAAAGAAAAAGTGAAAAAATATGAAAAAATTGACAAAAAATCAAAAATAAAGCCACTTTTTCAAATTTCGCGGGCGAATTTCGAGAAGTGCGCAGACTTTGCCGAGTTTCAAATTCCTTGCATTTTATCTCGCATGCTGAGCAGGGTAACCCCGCCGTGCTAACACGGGTTCTCCGCGGGTGCCCCCGTATTAAACCCGTATAAGCCCAGCTGATAGAACTTTTGGCACTTTTTAGCCCAACTGAGACCCCGCTTTAGCCCAGCTGGGTTACATATTTTTTTTACACCCGTTGTTCCCCCGTTTTAGCCCAACTGAGACTAAAATAACCTCAGAAACACGGGTTTAATACGGATACACCCGTTGAGACACCTGCTCAGCATGCGAGTTCTTCAACTGGCAGAAACGCCGTGAGATAGAGCCAAGAAGCCAAAAAAATGCCAATATCTCAGATAAGATTCTCACAATAGTGGGAGAATTTGAAATAAATTTAAAGAACCAAAAAAAATTCACACTACAATTCAATTTTCAAAATAATTCTCTGAGCACACTTCCCACTGTCTGCCACGACATGATGGAAATCGGTCGGTTCGGTTTTTTCAGAGCGGCCATGATTTTGAAATATTTCAAATTTTTCTACTGTTCAAAACTGTTTGAGTCTCTAAAATGCGTATAATTCTTGATTGTGGTTAGTTTGAATATCAAAAAGTCAAATATTAACTGTGGAGATTTTGTGTTTTTTTTAAATTTGAGTAAACTTAAAACAAGCTTTTTTACTGACTTGAAAACCGAAATATGGGATGTTAAAAATAAGTTTTATCAATATTTGAGAGCACTTCTGGCGAAAATAGAAATTTAGAAAAAGGGAGTTCTTGAAATTTTAATGACCACATTTTCGAAAAGCAGGTTTCGCAAGATGTAATATTATGAGAACATCAATGAACGCCAAAAAAGGTCTAAAAATTTGACAAAATAGCAATTAAAACCGACCGAACCGGCCAATTTTTCAAACATGCCGTCTGCAACGGCGCGCGAACGTGTTGGTGGAACGACTTCTCTCATGCTGAGCAGGTGTCTCAACGGGTGTACCCGTATTAAACCCGTGTTTCTGAGGTTATTTTAGTCTCAGTTGGGCTAAAACGGGGGAACAACGGGTGTAAGAAAAATAGGTAACCCAGCTGGGCTAAAGCGGGGTCTCAGTTGGGCTAAAAAGTGCCAAAAGTTCTATCAGCTGGGCTTATACGGGTTTAATACGGGGGCACCCGCGGAGACCCCGTGTTAGCACGGCGGGGTTACCCTGCTCAGCATGCGAGTTATTCTTGCCGTGTTCAAAGTAATTTCCGCGAAATGCAAAATGGTCTCTGACCCTCCAAAATTTAGTTATCTTTCTCTTTCTCTGACGGCTATTTTGAATTTCGCGGAATCACTTTGAACACGGCATCAAAGAAGCCCCAAGCTTCATATATTTCCTAGTTGCCATTTTTTGTTTTTAAGATTTTTCTCCTTCATTTATTACGAAATTTGTTATTTAATCAGTTTTTAGAATCATTTCAGGAAATTTTTTTTTGCAAGGTATGGGGTTGGAAGAGCATCCTCCAACAGAAAGTCGTCTCAAGAGTTCTGATGATGGTAACATCAATTAACGAAAACCATGTATAAACTCGTATTCAGTCGAAAGAGCATTTTTACGTCTGGTGATGGCAGATGATGACGAAAAACTTCAACGTTTCACAGATGGTTACCTCCCAGATTTATTGCTCTTGGCTGGGCGACAAGCTACTCTTGTTTCACAGGTTATTTGGAAGTTTGCATTACCAAAATTTATCGTTTCATTTTCAAGATCACCGAGCTTCTCACCCACTACAATAAAAGAGTGAAGACAAACGTCGCTATTGCTTTTCCCGTCGAGGTTTTGATTGGGCTTCTACTCAGTTCAAATTCAGTCACATCGGTTGGTACGATCCATTTTTTGGAGGACAAAAATTCGCTCAATCCAGAACCTGTCCTTGGTATATTTGAAATATGCACGTGATCGGCTACCAGCCAACGTCCAAGTTTCCCTCATCCCGCTTTTAATCGATGCGATTAATAAAAAAGCCGACGACATTTCCATTTCTTTCGAGTTTGCCATTAATCCTAAAACTTTCATAAAACATTTCCTAATTTTTCAGCCTTTCCGCTCTCTGCATGCCCGGACTTCGTCAGATTTGCAATATGGATCGCGAGAAATGGCCACTTTTTGAACTATCGTCGGCTGGTGTACATGCCTTTACTAGGATATTTCGTTGCATTTTAGCGTTTCAAGCAACTAATGTGTACGTTTGTTCTCAGTACTTTTATGATCCAACGAGATTTCTTTTCAGCATAGAAATTCAAGAAAAGGTTAAAGCTTTAGCCAGCACGGAGCAGCAGACTGCGGTTCATTGTGCCGGGCTCAGCCCTCAAGAGTATTTACTGGTTGCTTCCAAATTTGTCGGCGAAACATTGGCTCTAACAGAGGTTTTTTCGTCTAGTTTTCAACTTAAAAGAATGTTTCTCAGCTCAAAGTCGCGATAATTTCTCTTCTATCTCATGGCTTTATCGGGGAAAAAATGGCCTTTCCGTTACTTGTACTTGCCTCGGCTGCAAATGTCAACGCGTAAGATTTTCATCAAAATTTTTGTTGGAGAATTGAGCTCTTCAGGGTCGACGATGCGGCCGAATCGGCGCTCAAAAAAGTCGATATGTTTGTTGTATCATTTTTCAATGGAACTAGTATTTTTCAGCCAACTTTTGGTGGATGATGTAACGATCGTTAAAGACCTAATGTTCATGTACCTGGGGTCGGCTGCCGACTCGAAAAAGCCAGACAACTTTATGAGAATGGTGATTTTTCCTTAAAATCATATTCGTGTTCAAGCTTACTGTACAAAATATTGTCTTTTTTCATGTTTTTTGGGAGTATAGTCTGTTCGAAATAGTTTTCATCAAGTGTTCAAGCAGCATCAGTTAGTTCTAACCAGGGTTTCTTTTTAGAAGAAATAGCAATTTTAAGTATTTTGCGCTCCTGAAGAACCGGCAGCAATTTAATATGAACGTGAACATGGAGCTATCAATTTTAGCTTACAAAGTTCTTTGAGGCATATTTTGAATTTTTTCTCCATAGTGATGAGGCTCAAATAAGTGTGGTTTTTATGAACTAGGGTTCTTGGATAATATAAGGAACTATTTCATTAAATCACGATTTTTTTTTGAGGGTTGATCGTCCATTTCATAGATTTGAGTGCCATATTCAACATTTGTGGTACTTTGTGATACATAAACATAACGGATTCAGGCTCAACCGGGGAGCATTGCGATGAAACAGCGTATTTTGCCATTTCTCACACGCTCCAAGATCGCTGCTACCACGTACATGAACAACGTTAAAGTTTTAAAATCGAGTTTCTTCCGGTCATTAAACATGTTTCCCATTAAGATTTGCCTCGATGGAATGTCGAGTGAAGTGACTCGAACTCAGATATCCGCGTTGACTTTCCTGCACGCTGTTATCGAGAAAATGCCACCGACTGCATTGAAAACTCTCGGCCCATCACTTTTTGCCCGCCTTCGGAAGCTTCTCGGACAATCTACCAAGGTTATCATTGATACTTTTTTTTTTTTTTGAGAAAGTTTGGGCTAAGGAATGCCAGAATTGAGTATAGAAAATAAGGCAAAATTGAAAAGATTCTCAAAAGCTTTTCTCAGAAAGTACATTTTAAGGGTCCACAGCAGATTTTTTTTTTTCATCGAATTTCATTCTATTTTAACATTCTTTACCAAAAATACGCTGGGAAGCAACTAAAAAGTTTCGAACGGTTTTAAAAAGGATCCGCTGAGGCTATGAAAAGGGAACTCAAAAGCTTTTTCACATTTTTTTTTTTGGAACATTGAGAGGAACCTTTTCAGCTCCCTCTCAATATACTTCGAGGATCTTGTGTAGATTTTTCACGATAGAGAAAAATTCGAAAAATCAAAAAGAAACATGAGAAAGTTAAAAATCCTCGAATGAGGATTTCGAATGAGGATAAATTTCAAAATCAATTCCTTCCAGTCATCTGCGGCTTTGTGTTGGGTGTATCGGTGCCTCAGCGTCCTAGGCAAAATGCATCCGGCGCTCGTTTTCGAAGATGTCGAGATTGTCGGAGAGATGCTCCAAGAGATACCTAAAGTAGAGGATAATATACCTATTTTACCACAAAAATCCTTGGGCTTGAGGAAGAAGAAGACGTCGGGTACGCGATAGTCGACTGTCTGGTTTCTTGGTTGCCGGCGTTTTGCCAAGCTGCCGCCCAACAGTCTGAAAAAACGTCTCTCATCTTGAGAGAGTTTATCGCTGCTCACGTAGCTCACGTTAGTTTGTACGATTTGGGAGGAAAAATTGAAGTTGAGAATTTTTAGAAAAATTGCGAATTATGTTTATTTATTTTTTTATATTATTATTAATATTTATATTATTTATTTACTTGTTACCCTGAACTGAAAGGAATTTTCAGTCTTAAGACTCTTTTTTTTTTTGATAAATACTTTGAAAACTAGAAAAAAAAACTTAAATTTAGGAAAATGCGAAATGTCGGCTTGTCGCTTTAAAATACATTGAAGCTTTGATCAATGAAAATGAGATGGAGCTCAAATGGATGTTGTTAAAAACGGCGGGAGACAAGTTAGTTTAGGGAAAAAAATAGTAAGGTGGAAAGTTGCAAGTAATAAAGATTCAATACCTCCTTCTCGATCTCATATTATCGTATGGCGTGTTCATTGGAGAAACGGAACATGCTTAAAACGGAAAATCGTGTTCATCGGCGCGCCAAAGTTGCTCTGAAACAGTACTAATTTTTGTTTTGGAGCAATTTTCATTTTGTCCGATAAACACGCCATTAAAATTATTTTTGCCAAAAATATGTTGACTTGAAGTCCATCTGGTTTTGATTTCTTCAAGAGAGCTATGAGAGTAAAAAAAAGTTTTGGCAAAAAAAAATTTCAAAAAACTATTTTTCAACCACAGCCGTGACGAAATGCGGCAAGAAGCGACGCGTTTGTTGGACTTGTCGCTTCATCGTGCAGTCCCTGCGATTCCACTTGTCGTCGTAGACCTCTGGACTCGTCTCGAGGTTAGAAAAGGGCATTTTTTGTGTTGAAAGTGTAGAATTCGTTTCTCAGAACGACATTGAAGATAATGACGGACTGGAGAAGCTGTCTTCGAAGCAAGCCTATAGCAACCTGATCCACGAAGCGGTGTCGTTTTCTTTTTTTTTTTGATCATGCTCGAAAATTCCAGTGTTCAAAGTATGTTTGGGCGGTTGTGGAGACGTTGGCAACTGGCCGAGCAGCTGGAATGCGGATCGTCGAAGGGGATGATCACTGGGAGCAAGTGGCACCACTCATCGTCAAGCAGGTCAGTACGAGTAGGAGCGATCATTGCATTTCAAAACTAATTTTAAAAAAAATTGAAAATAGAACTCATTTTGACGTTATACGTTTGTTCAATATGAATACAATAGAACCCTATAGGGTTGTTTAAGATGGCCGGTCGTAATACGGCAGTTTGGATAGGGTTTTCAATAATAAAAAGAAATCTTGTGTACTTTTTGTGACGTCGCTTACCTTGTAACCTCGAGAAATAGGTCCCTGACAAAGTGCAAAAAAGAAAGAAAATTGAAAAAATTTCCTGGCTCCGAAACTGACGGCGCAATATTGACGGGCCACCGGCTGCCGTAGTACTGTCTCAAACATGCGTGTAGATGGTGTTAATTTTCAGCTGAAATCTCTGAACGATCCTAGAGTCACCGAGCTAGCCGTGAAAATGGCGCTTTATGCGGTTCGAGATAGCATAGGTCAGTTCAGAAATTGAAAGGGAATTGCAAAAAGTGGAGGTTTAAGGTTTGTCGAAGCTTTGCAGAGAGGTGCTTTAGGTGCTCCGGCTTATAGATCAGTTGGAACTGAATTTACAACTTTTAGGACATGGGGCGTTCAAAAATTGCTCTTCCGTCCTTGAAGCATGCCTCGCCTTTAGTGAGAGAAATTTCGAAGCGCCATATGTCCACAACGAGACGAATCAGCATGATCTAAAGTACTTCTCTGCGCTTTTTTTGTCCGACCTTTTGCACTATTCTTGTTAGAAGTTTAAAAAAATCGTAAATTCATCTTGGCAGACGTGCACCAGTTTCGAATCGCCGCTTGTTTCGTGTCGGCCTTGGGCCCTTCAGTACCAATCGCGACGATTTTCCCGGTAGCCCTGACGACGTGCCTTCAACGCCTTCGTGCGAGTACACGAATCGATCTATCGCTCACCATCACCTTTCTGAGTTCTCTGATGATGGGTCGCAACACGAAATTGCGCAGCGACACATATTTGTCGGCCACCAATGAGCTTGATACAAAGGTTTCTATTGCTGGTCACCGTAATTGCCTGAAGATTAATAAAAGAAGATGAAGAAGCTGGGAAAAAAAATCGAGTAGAGCCAAAAGGCGAGCTCGGTGACAATATAATGTTACAAGCTTGGAAACTTTTGATTTTGAATAACGTTTGAATTTTTGAAAGCCTATAGGTTTTTCGTAGAAAAATTCTCTAGCAATCAACATCCTATGGTCCGTTTTCCGCGACTTGAAAGGATATGATTTCTCTTCGCCCTTTTCATCAATCGGCAACGCTCTTTTGTTGAAGTGCTATTTTCTTGTTCCTCTGATCTCGCCAATAAGGGAAGAGGGACAATTGAAAACTGTCATGTCGCAGCGGACGGACTATGGAGGATAAGATGACATGGTCCATTTCAGCACACAATCGCAGGACTGTGTTGGACGGCAGCAGCTACCGTCTGTTTTGTCCAAGACCCTTCGAGACCTCCGATCAGTCAACCTGAACTGGGTACGAAGGTGGCAACGGCTTTCGTCGACCGCCTTATTCGCTACATCAGCGATGGCTATGAACGCCCTTGCTCGATTCTCGAGGCGTCCCTCGGCGCCCTTGGCTTCATCCTCAAGACTCACAGTTCGAGGACGATGGTGTGTGTTTCATTTTTGCTTATTTCAAAGGTCTTTTGGGATTTAGCGGTGAGGACGATTTGTCAGAAGTTTTTCTGGATACCATTGAAACACCAGTGGCGTTGAATTTATTGACTCTGAATCTTCAGAAATAACGTCTTTATCTTTTGAATAACAAAAAAAAAAAATGGATACAACAAAATAGCGTTTTATACACGTTTTCAGAGGCTGGAGCTTTCGCCAGAGAAGCGAGAAAAAATCCTCGAGTTCTGCGAGAAAATCGCAACTTCCCGCAAAGACTCACTGTCACAGCGCGCGCGAGAAGCTTCGGCACGTGTCATGGGCTGGATCGTCGACGACATCTCTGATGAGGAAACGTTCGAAAAAGTTTGCGTTTCCAAAGAGCTAGCGCGATTAATGGAAATTTTCACTTAAAGTCGCTTCGTCGTGTGTTTGCCATCGGCGAGGGACCGCCACAGCCAGAGTTGCAACTCTCTGCAGGTATGTCATTTTTCTTCTATTAGAGTTGGTTTTCCAAAGTGTGCGTCACAGTTGTGAGACAATGAAATAACTGATTTTTCTCAGGTTTCCAATTTGGAGTATGTATTCACCGGTTTTTAGCTTATCCAAGTTTTCAAGTGCTCTATAAAAAGTCTTCGAGTTTTCTCAAAAAAGTTTTTCAAGTTTGCTTCCTCAATGCCTTAGAACACTATGAAGTACAAGTTTCAAAATTTTGATGTTTTTCAGTTATTTGAAAAGAAAACTAAGATACAAAAAGGCAAAGTCGGAGAGAGTGAAAAAAAGCTTCATAAAATTGTTCCTTTTAGGGTGAAAAAGGCTCCTTTTTTGCTGCTCCTGTGCGCCATTTTACCGGCTCTTATACACCATTTTTGCTGCCTCTCCCTTTTCCCACTATTTCTTGAGCTTTTAAAATCCGAGAAAAAAAGAAAGGCTCGATAAAGAAACTCTTTTTGCTGCCTTTTTATGCCCTATTTTGAGCCTCTCCCTTTAGAGACTTTGCCCGAGAACATTGCTCAACTAGCGAGCAGGCTTAGACCAAACACAATTCTATTGCCAAAAACAATACCAAAGTCCAAAAAGTTCGTTTCATTTAGGAGAAGGCTTGATTGACGTTGCCCTCGGTCCCTATTCCCCCTCCCGACGACAGCCGTACCTCGTTGCGGATGACGATGTAACGATCTCCTCAATTGGTGATCCGGAAACGATGAATGTGGTCGAGAAGCGACTCGGCGCCATTCTACTGACATTGATCGACGAGAAACTCACCTCCGCCAACCATCATCTACGTCGTGCAGCTCTCGTCTGGTTGCTTGTCGTTGTGCAGAAGAGCGCCAAACTCGGTCTCCGGGCTTTGCGAGAAGATCGTCTCTTCCTTTCTCGTATTCAAAACGCCTTTGCCGATGGGCTTACCGAGAACGACGACTACACCCAGGACGTTGCTTCCAAGGTTATTGATCAAAGGCCTTTTCATTGTTGCTGACTAGTTTGTACCATATCAAAAATTATTTCATTTTTTTTTAAATTTAACAAGTTCAAATTTCCAGGGCTTGGGCGCTGTCTACGCCATGGCAGATGCCGAGCTACGCAAAGAATTGGTCAACAGTCTGATGGGCGCTTTGACCGAAGGACGCCGTACCGAGCGCAAAGTGGCCGCAGATACCGTCGTTTTCGCAGGCGAAAATCAGATTGGAAAATCACCAACAGGGTATTTTTGCGTGAAACTTGCAGTACATGAACAACTTGTCATTGCAGCGAAAACTTGACAACCTACAAAGAACTTTGCTCACTGGCTACGGACCTCAACCAGCCAGACTTGGTCTACAAGTTCATGCAACTGGCAAAGCACAACGCCACCTGGAACTCCAAAAAAGGAGCTGCTTTCGGCTTTGGCGCCGTCTTGGAACAGGCACGCGAAGAGCTCTCGCCGTACTTGGGCCAGCTTGTCCCCAAACTTTTCCGGTAATTGGTCTCTTCTTCGAGTTTGAGAGTTGCTTTCTAGTTATCGCTACGACCCGGATAGCAAAGTTCAAAAGTCCATGAGGTCCATTTGGAGCGTTTTGACGCAGCAAAGACGCAACGTTGTGAGTTGAATAATTTTAGATTCGACGACGAGCTCGAAAAAAGTTTAGATTGATGAGTTTGCTGACGAAATTTGCCGAGAGCTCATTCCAGCGTTGACGAACAAGGAGTGGCGCGTTCGAGAGTCGGCGTGAGTTGCAGTTCAAGTTTTACTGTATAATCAATTTATCTCCTCTCGAAAAACTGAGTCAGGTCTACTATGTATTATGTATACAGAATCGTTAAAACTCGAAAACCTGAAAAAAACGAATTTTTTTTGTTCAAAGTATCTTCCGCGAAATCCATAATTATCTCTGACTTCCTGAAATTTAGTTATATTTTTCACCCTCTGACGACTTTTTGGAGTTTCGTGGCATTTTAAACACGGCATCAGGAACAATCACGCCAATAACGAATGAAAAAAAAAACCATTGGTTTGACCATTTCAGTTGTTTGGCGCTGTCGGACTTGCTTCGCGGCCACGACACCCCCTTCATGCATTCCAAAATTCCCGACCTCCTTGAAACTGTTCTACGCGTCCGAGACGACATCAAGGTGAATCTAGCCTCATCAGTATTACATGGAAATACTTCTTAGGAATCGGTACGGTTAGCAGCCGATACGGCGGCAGAATCGATCAAACGGATCATCAGCAAGTTGGCCACCTCGTCAAACTCGAACGATTTCCTCTCTATCGTTTTGCCGTTGATTATCGGTCAAGCTGTCAATGCCACAGTCAAATCGAACAAGGCTTTTTGGTGAATTTCGAGTATTGTGTGTAACTTTCTTCAAAGTTTCCCTTTTAGCCTATCGATGCTGTTAGAGCTGTCAAAAACAGCGGGACGCCAGCTGACTCCCTACCTGGATGCGCTTATTCCGACTCTTCTGGATGCCATCAGTGAGAACGAGTCGTCTCTGCTGAACTACATTGCCGCGCGCTCCGACTCCAACCAACTGGAGGCGCTGGACGACGCCCGCGGCCATATGGCCCGAACCTCGCCCATGATGACCGCCATCCACGATCTGTTGCCTCATGTCGGTGCACATTGCAAGCGTTTTTCTTGGAACGAAACATTGGAAGATAGAATCAAAGTTGAAACTTTTTGAATAAGCTTTTCTATTGAACATAGATGTGCAAGTAAAGACCTCATTCAGCCCGGGGTTGGCTCACAAAAATTTTGAGAAATTTGGGAATAAAATCAAGTTTCAACTTCTGGGAGGTAGTTTTGGCCATAATAATACAAGTGTTTTAGCCTCAGAAAGGCAGTACTAACTTTAGTTTAGAAAAACTTAGGAGGAGGGGTCGGTGGCCTTTGAAAATGGTTTGCCAATGTATGCTATTAATGAGAGAAAAAAATCAAACACTATTTCGAAACATGAGCGAAAACACGCTCTTAATGTTAGAACAACCCATTTTAAAAAATAAAAAATAAATTAACTAAATAAAGTCCAAGAATCACACTTTACAACTTCAAAGCTTGTGCTTCAGATCAACGACGATGTCTTGACCAAGATGGCCCCCCGAGTATGCGACCAATTGCGAACGTCTGTCGGCGTCTCGACACGCTCTGCTGCCGCCCAACTAATCACCCAGCTCGTCCTTCGGGCTCCCCAACTCTTGATGTCACATAAAGCACAGTGCGGTCAGTAGCTCAATGTGATCTGTGGGATGTGGGTCACAGAAACTTTTTTATTTCCAAAAAAAAAACGCACTTACACACACGCTTTTGAAAGAAGTTCGAGCTCTTGACTAATGCAATTGGACGTAGAAACTATGTCGGGGATAAAATTCTTTCTTTCCACACAGATTTGCTCTTGCGGAAGAATCGAAGGCTTTTCAGTTTGATACGAAGTGCAAAAAATCATATACGCCCAATATTTATAGAGTTGTGCTAATTGCAATTTTCATCGAAAAATATGTGAAAATTATTTTCTGCAAAGTTAACTAAGCGTATAGAAAAGATCTCTCTCATGAAGCAAAAATTTAACTTTTTTTTTATTTTATGCTTTTTGACTGCTCATTAGTGTTATTTTTTGTTTCAGACAAGTTTTTCCATGCACTGGTTCCCGGTGTCCGCGACCGAAATCCCTCAATCAGAAAGCAGTTTGCCAACACTTTGTCTTACTTGGCAAAATATGTCTCACACCAACAAATGAGCGCCATGATGGAGAAGATCACCAAGGACCTTTTGGGCGATGATGGTTCGGCTTTCATTTTTTGCTATTTTTAAAATCATCGCCCTCTCAAAATGTCAAAATGTGGTTTCACAGAAGATCTCAAACAATCAGCGAAGCATCTTCTCAAGAATCTGGCCGCCAATTGCTCGGAGCTCCTCGGCGGCTACTCCACTCAAATTGTTCCCTACGTTTTTCTAGAAACTTGTCAAGAAGGCCTGCGATTTTCTTTTTCAATCAAAAATTCGCATGTTTTTTTTTCAGTTGTGAAAGGTGACGATGAATCGAAAAGAAGACGGGATGATTGGGCTGAACTTTGGTCTGAACTTGTGCCAAGTAGGTTTCTTAAAAGAAAACTTTTGGAAGTCTGAAAATGTCTGAAAATGACGAATTTTTTAGGTACTTCTGCTGCTGCGCGACTTTACCAGAAGGAAATTGTATCAACGGGACTCGATGTGGTTAAAAATAATGAGGTTTGTACTGTTTAGGGAAAAAGTTATTTATAGTCAATCCTTCCCGAATTAAAAGGCGAGATTAGTAGATTGGCTAGGGTGACGCGTTGCGTACGCGAAGCGATTTTCAGCGAGTAACCTTTTTTATTTGTTTTTCTTCTTTTTACAGTTTCCAACGACATAATTTGTTTTTACCTTTTTTTTTTCCATTGCGTTTTCTCAAGCTTCCCGCAAAAATCCCCGTCGCGTACGCAACCCAATTATTTCTAGGCTGTCGAGATCCATTTTTTCATATCATGCGTATTCATTTTAAGCAAGGAAAAAAACAAAAGTTTTCAAATTAAATCGTATTTCCTGGTCGCTGCTTTCTATTCAAAATGAAAATCATGGCTCTTCTTGTAGTAAAGTCGAACAAATTTAAGGTTTGGTCGGTTCGAGCGCAAGCAGCACGAATGATTAGTCAAGTGGCAGAAGCCCTAGGCGATAATCTTGATATCAAAATGGCAGGTATCTTACAAGAAAAAAGATTAGACGTTCAGCCAATTGATCTGACCTTAAGATGAGATTTTCGATACTCTTTTGCCGACGCTCTCCGGGCGAATTTGGACTGGCAAAAATGAACTTCTGAATGCGTTTAGTGCGACCATTTCTGCCGTTGGAGAGGAATATAAAAAGTCTATGAGCGAATCGAGAAGAAAAGAGGTAAATTTCTCTTCTATTACTCTTTCGACTTTGAATAAAAATTGGGTGTTCAGATATCGCAAGTTTTACAACGAGAAGCGTCAAAACGTAACGTTGACTACGCATCAGCCGGCCTCCGATCCGTCGCCACGTATGCTGCTTCTGTTGGTGACGTCGACGCTGCCAGATGGCTTGCACAACAAGTTCAAGCTAACGTCGATAAGGCTACTCGCTCCAGGTTCTTTGAATGACGACTTTTTTGTTTTTGGGCTAAGATGTGGGAATGTAGGATAATGACCGTTAAGAGGGAGAGGTCTAAAGAAAGGTTGTAGAAAGGCAGCGAAAATAGTTCTTTTATGGAGCCTTACATATTTTCTAAAACTTTAAATGCTCAAAAAATGGTGGAAAACAGAAGGGGCAGCAAAAATGGTGCATAAGAGCCGTTGAAATGACGCAAAAAGGCAGCAAAAAGGATCCTTTTTCACCCTATAGCTGATTCACGACTGGCTTGGGCCATCGAAAAAAGGGTCCTGACACGATAATGCACGAGATAGTGCCTGGCTCGCGGAGAGCGCAGACAGGACACGCCCATTTAGCGTCCCAAGCTGGCCTTGAATCAGCTATAAAATCGAAATTTCTATGAAGTCTTTTTCGACGTTTCTTGACTTCGCCTATGATTATTTTTCAGTCAAGAAAATGTCCAAGGCTCCGACTCAGACGACGCCATGTCAGGTCTGAGCAATTTGGAAAAGGAAATCCGAGTCTCGCAAATCGTCTCGTCCAACATTGTCGCCTTGGCTACTTCCATTCGTGCTTTTGATGATGGTTGTTGGCTTGTTTTCCGAACATTCAATCTTACTTGATTTTCAGGTGGTGATGCCAGAGAATCGATGGAGAAACTGCGCAATTTCCTACTCAACACGAGTGTCACCTGGAAATCCAAGCAAACCATGTTGGCCGAGCTGTTGAAAACTGTCGAAAGGTTTATCGCAGAATTTGTTATTCCTTTTCACGTTTAACACGCTGTCTCTGTAACTCTCAAAAAAATGGGTACAGAAAATGTTCGTTTTTTGATTTTGTTTAAACTTCATTCAGCGGGATAACCCATCATTAGAATTTCGGACGAATTTTTTTTGAGCAATTTTTTCTTTTTTTCATCTAATTATTGAAGAGTTTTTACTAGGCAAGTGATACATCGATCAATAGGTAATCCAATTTTAGGAACTTTTACAGTACCTACCAACTTGGATTACTATGACAGTTTTCGATTTGAATAAAAAAAGTAAACTTTTGATTACCTTCAAGGTGGGAGCCCCGGCCGACATTCGATGCCACCGACCTAGTGTCAACTCTCTCTTCATTTGCTGACGAAATGATCAATCAACAAAAAAGGACGGTCGCTGCTGAGGCACTACAGGTGAATTTTCAGAAATCATCAATGAAATATTGGTCTTTTCGTATTTTTCTGCTTACAATGAGCTACAAGGAGACTCGGTTCTCACCAACTCGATTGTCTATTGAAAACATTCTCTTGATAGTTTCTTATGATATAAAAACCGGGAATAGAAGTCGTTTTGTCATTTAGTGCCGGGCCAGTGCAAACTTTCAAACCTACAGTACGTCAGAAAATATAGGAAAAAAAGTTTGCTCACGGCTTCCTTGTATGAAGTCTTTCTGAAACTCTCCAAAGTTTTCTGCGGAAACCCCACCAGAAGAGTAGCCATCACCACTCCAGAAGGTTTCAGAAATATTAAACTCTATACAAGAATTTTGTGCTCAAAAAGCGTTCTTCATACATTTTCTGACGGTACTGTAGCAAGTGCAAAATGGGAAAAACTGTATGGATTTGGCCTTGGACCAAGGAGGATTTCAGCACATTCGTAATGATTATAAAATAATGCAGCTTTTTTTCCTGGAAGAATTGTAGTAAAAAAAAACGTCAAAAGAAGTTGCCCCCAACCAACTCATAACTTTCTTGGATAAATGCAATTTCGTGAATCAGGTCGTGATGAAGCTGATAGATCGTCCAAGCTGGTTTGCCATCGACCGCGAAACTGTCGGCGAGCTTCTGACGACCAGCCGTGCTGCCCTGGAGACTGGCTACGCCGCTCGTTTCTCACAACTTCCTGATTTCAACTCGCCTATGGAAGTTGATTAGATTTTATTATTCTTTTTTTCATTCCTGTCACGGGGCTTTCCAGGGCAAAGAAAAAGTAGTAAAAATTGCAAAAACCAAAAAAGAGGAATTTTTCCACTATAGAAGTGTAGTTTTTGATTTATAATATTTTTTCTAGATGCCCTGGAGCTTTCAGAAATGTCGAAAAATGCTCATTTTGTCGTGGGTTCCGTTTCAGTTTCGTTTCATCTTTATTATTTTTCAACACGGGGAGATTGTGTAAATTTTCTGAGTTCTCTGTTGAACGGTTTTCTGTGTCTAATGTGTCAGATTTTATTTGAAGATACCATTTGCTCGTTTCAGCCCGTTTTCAAAGTGATTCTATTTCTCTAAAACGCCTGTTCTGTCAGATATTTCCCATAATTTATTGCATCTACATTTTCTTTGGTTTCAATGCTCCGAATTTTCCGACGGTATGTAATAGAATGAATCTTACACTTTTAATTATTCTTCTTTCGTTCAAATTTTGTTCTCTTCAACGGGATATTTTTTTCTTCTTTTCATACCTCATATCGAGTTTGATTCATCAGAAGAGTCAGTTATTTATACCGAAAAAAATTCCAGGATGGACAAACTGGCCGTAACAGCAGCCGATAAAATGTTGGTTTGGTTGAGAATGAAAAACAAAGGAAACCCGAGTTTTTAAGAATGAAGACGGCTGGAGCGGTTGGGATTTGCATAACCGACGCTCGAGGACTTGTTCTGATTGCCCGAGGAACTTTGACGGTTGATAGTTATTATTTATTATAAACTTTTTTTCAAGAAAAACTCACGATTTGTTTTATTGTATTTCAGTTTTGCAAAGAAAAAAAAACGCCACCGGAGTTTTTTGTATATGAAAATGACGCTTGGAAAAATTTTGTTTTGAGCAAAACAGTTGTTTTAAAATTTTTGAAATTATTTTTTAAGTTGTTACCTTTTGAGAATCTGGTCTTTTAGGATTCCAACGTTAGCTCAATGGCTGCAACAGTGATGACCAATGCCAGAACTCTCCATGGCCACAACTTCGACGCCGAAAACGTCCCCTTCGTCGTCCTCAACTCTGACGGCCACGGAAAGGTATACTCTCTTTATTTTTCTATTTTTGGAGGTTCTGAAAGGAAATTGAGGAGCTTCCGAGTGCAGATTTAATGTCGTGTTCAAAGTAATTTCCGCGAAATGCAAAATGATCTCTGACTCTCCAAAATTTAGTGATCTTTTCCTTTCTCTAACGGGTATTTTGCATTTCGCGGAAATTACTTTGAACACGGCATAACTATTTTTTAGTGTGGAGAAAAAATATCCTCGCTGCGATATATGATTAATCGAGAAAGCGCGTTTGAAAGAAAGATTAATGTTAAATTCAACAAACTATATAATTTATTTATTTCTTATTACAGTTCCTCGTCTACAATGCTTGTGGAGAGACGATTGCCCTCCATTTGGTCAAGTAACTTCCATGACCTCTCCGGCGGTATCTTGCTTTCAGAGTTTATGTTTAATTTTCAAACTCCTCGGTTTCACTTTGCGGCGGAAAGTTTTCAATATTTCGAAAACTTATTTCCAATGTTTTTTTGCTCCTCTTGTACTTAGTTTTTCAACCGCCTTATGCTAATTTTGTGAAGTTGAAATATTTTTTCGGACGAAAACGTGTACAAGTACCTCCTTGTGATTTTGCAAGTGAATTTACCCGTTGAATTAATGAATTTTTTCCGGAAGGTTGGTGGCTATTCATGAAATTGTTCCACTGTGTGGGTGGGCGTCCAGCTGATAGTCTTGCAAAGTTTCTGTCTAGAGCCCTGCAGCGTTACTATAGAGACGACAAGAGAGGTTTCATTTCAACGACTTTTGCGCGGAACGCATTCGGAAAAAAGTTATCACCGATGGGAAATTTGAAAGTCAGATCCCACGCGTGCCACACGGGTTATTAGCTTCTGTCTCTCTTGATTGCGAGTTATGCTCACCGGCTTTCTCGTTTTGCTTCTGACTCGACATTCAACGGAATTGGGTTTGTATCTGATGATAATTGAAACTCGGAAATTTTGAGAGAGGTCAATTTCAAAAAGATAAAAATTGACTCAATCCTAAGCAAGAAAGTATAAACATTATAAACCTCCGCTTTCGTTCACGATAAGCGCTAATGGGGTGTATTGAGAACGCCATGTTCGACGGAAATTTTTTTAATTCGAAAAGTTTCTGGACGTTTTAGTGCCTTCAGATTAAGCCTGTCCAGACATGTCCCTTTTTCGAAGTTTCCAGGAATGGCGTGCTGTTAGCCGAGAGATGTAAGACTGTCTTAGAAACTGCAGAGGGGTCCCTATAAGAGAACACTTACGGACCCTTGGAGAGTCCCCTCTAGGGATCACTTCACCAAAACCTATAGGAACCACTAAAACTTGCCAAAAAGCCCTTATATGGGAAAGCTAGTCGATAATTGTTATGAACTCTAAGAGAAGAAGCATTTCCATGCGAAAAAACTGAATTAAAAAAAATCTTTTTTTGGATGAAATCGAAATACTCACTCCTATAAGGGTCACTTGAGCTTTAGGGACTATGAGGTCGGACTCTTAACCCCTATAGGGGTCATCTTAACTTTGCCTTTATAGGATCACTTTTTCCGCCCCTCAAGGGACTGTTTTCCTGTGGACCCCTATAGGGGCCAGTCTGGAATTCCTAAGGTTGTCTAACTTCAAAAACGCAAAATAAAGACTTGAAAAATTTACAGAATGCGAGTGCGCAAAATGTGGAATTGACAAGTTGCCTGATGGCTGTACAACGATTCGAGGACATGTTGCGCTTGGATTTGAAGCGGACATGCCACCCTACGATGTGCGGTTTTCATCAAAAAAACTTTTTGTATTAGATCTGTAGAGCAGACAAATTAAGCCGAAAGAAATTTTTTTCAGTATGAGCTCCAAAAAGAATTAGATTCCTTCTTCAACTTTAACCTATGAGAAAGTTATTTTCGAGTGTTTATCTGCTCATTTTTTGAAAAAAGGAAATGAAAATGAAAGTAAGTTTTTTTTTCTAGCTGGTTGCGTTCAAACTGAAAAACGTGACAAAAGTCGTTGGATGCGTGACCATCACCAACACGGTATACACGTCCCTGGAGATGTTGACCAATTTGCGATCCATCCAGTTTGCCAACCGAGTGGAGGCCATCAGCTGCAACAGTATGTAGTTTCATTCAAAGCTCGATTCGGCTAGTTTTTGTTTATTGAATTTTCAATGTAAGTATACATGTGCGAATTTCATTGAGAGACTGTGTTTAAACGGCGGCAGGAGCTGTGGCTTAGGCACAGAAGTTGTGAATTCCGCTTGTAGAACATCAGGTACACGAAAGGTCGTAGGAAGAAGAACGGTGCCGGACTCAAACCTACGACCTCGCGGACGTTAGAAATGAGTCTTTACCAGCTGAGCTATGCCGCCTTTTGGCTAGCTTCTTTTTCATTTTTCGAAATTGTTCCCTAGAATGTAATTTAAGAATTTTTTACAAATTTAAAAGATCACTTACAGAGAACCGAATCGCTCTCGCTGTCGTGAATAACAACTTTTTGAGGAATCTCATTTTGCCGAATTTACAAAAGGTAGTCTTTTTCTTTCTTTCATTCTTTCCCATTATCACCATTTTTTATAGGTTATGATAACATCAGACACTCTCAACAGCGTCTACATCTCGAAAAATCCATCTCTATGTTTGACGGAAAACGAGCTCGAACAATTCCTGACGATGGACGCAGCTTTCTTGCCACATTTCGTTGTTTGCAATCCATCTAGTAATTTCTTCGTTTTGATCTCTTTTTCGAATTTTGCAACTCGCAGGGTTTCGATATAGTCTGTTCAGAGAAGTATATTCTGTTCAGTTTTTGTATGTAAAGTAGAATGACGTCATTCGAAAACGCTCTGTGGATGGCTCGCTCTCTGATTGGTTTATCGCGCCATTAGGGGGCGGAGCTTCAGCGAGAACTTGACATTTCAAATCTGAACAGACTATAGCAAACTCCGCCCCCAGCAACGCTCTGTGAATGACTCGCTCTCTGATTGGTTTGATCTAAACAAGGGGCGGAGTTTGAGCGATGACTCGAAACTCAAAATCTGAACAGACTATAAGACCCACAAACAGAAAACGAAATTCAAAAAAAAAAATGATAATACGGATGCAACTGTAGAGACTTAATTTTTCCCTTATTTTTTATCTTGATGACGTCATTCCCGCGAACGGAACGTTTTTTCTTCAGTATCGAGCTTAGACATTTTCAATTGATAAAAAACATTTTTAAGCATTTTTCGAGCGAACAAAGACCGCTTCAGGTGTATGTATAGTAGGCTGGTAAAACCCGATTTCATAGGTTTGAAATACTTTAAGAAGCCTGCTGAAACAGTTGTTGCCATTTTTCAAGCCATTTGTTCGCAGAAGTCTATTGTCAACTCGATACTTACGACACTTTCAATGAAACCAATATATCTCCGGGCTGTCAAGTTCTCACAGATGCTTTGGTTTTGAACAGGACGAAACCTTCTTCAGAGTTTCAGAAAAGGTGAAAAATTGATGTCAATCAAAAATCTTGAGCTTTTTTCAGACTCGACAATGTTGAACAAATAATAGGGCCCATTTACATTCTTCACACGTCGTTGTCTTCCATTTCTTTCCCCAAACTGTGGCGGATCTACAATAATATCCGTGGGTTTCTATTTGAAGGAAAGTTTTCTACCTTTTTTCAGCTCAATTACCGGTGATCGTAGCTCAAGACAATCGAAATTTGTCGGAATTTACTATGCCCTTAATTCAAGTAAGTTTTGCCATTTTTTGAAAATTTGCGCTCGGCTTGTTCAATCTGCAATAAGAAGTTACAGTCTATTCCTTTTATTGGCGAATTTTCTCATTCGTTCTTCGCTTCGAGCTGTCCTCAGCTTGTTCTGGATCCGAATACCTGCAGTCGACTTGGCGCCATTGGCCTCGTCACAATCGACGACAAAGACTGCGGTGCATTTTTCTCACGTTTTAAAAACGAATTTTTTAAAATTAAAGCTGCATCGAACAAAAAGCCTGTAGTCTCTTTGTAAATTTATTGTATATGAAATCAAGTTTCAGGCTCTGAAAAAATGGAGACGACGGAAAAACCAATGGCCGTCCGACCGACAATCAATAATTCGCTATTATTAGAGGTTTGATTTTTTTTTTTGTCAAATGTTGAAGTTTTATCAGAACTCTTCGCTTCAGCAACGAAGCACCGACAACACGCAAAAGCAATTTTCATTGGGTAAAATTGATAGTTTGAATCTTCTCCTCTCGATTTTCGTTTCAATTCTCCTTTATTGAATTTTTATAGTCATCTCTCAAAAGGGTAAAAAGTTTCTCATTTTGTCCAATTTTTTTATTCAAAAACTCAAAAAAATTGGAAATTAAATGAACACCCGGTGTTGTTTTTTTAACTGGGAAAAAAACATCTATACATTGAAAGAATACGGTACTTTATAAGTGTGACGACTGGCGGTACGAATATGCGTTTTTTGTCGTTCGTGTGGCGGCTCATAGGCTTCCATGTATTCAGTTGATGGCACCTGTGTCAAATAGTTTACATTCTCGAAAGAAATTCACGAAGAAAAGTATGAAGCGTCGCAGTTGCTGGAAAAAAAAAGCAAAAACTCACGACGGTATCGAGAAGAACTGGGAGAAAAACGAGGCCGTGAACAATGCCGATCAAAACGACAAAAAAGACAGTGTAGACAAAAGTCCTGACGATGTAGGACCGGACAAAAGAAAGCAAAAAAACGCCCACGGCTGTGGACAAGGCCGATTGCAAGATGGGCTCTGTCATCATTTCGAGGCACTTCTGAAAAACAACATTTAATTGGCTTGGTTCTTTTTTCTTCTATCGTTTTTTCAAAGTTCGAGGAATCTCATGCTCAGTCCGACCATAGAAAAGAAAGCGTTGAGCTAGTTATATTGGATAGAAATATGTGATTTGATTTTTTTTTTTTCTTCATTAATTCAGTATTCAGACTTCGTGGCATTTTCGCAAAATCGTAAATTTTTCGAACTGTCAGTTGGTGCAAAGTTGAGACCGCTAGTTTGGAGATCAAATTTCAGGAATTTCAGTGGAAAGCTAGAAATTTGGAACTTCCAGTCGTTAGATCTAATCTCAGGACAGTCAGATCAAATGTTGAAACTCAGGGGTGCCAGTTTCAGGCTTGTCGGAGTTTGCAATTTAAAAAAGGTTGGTAGCCCTTTTTTTGAAGTACTGATTTCTTGTCAAAATTCTTCAACTGTTTCCAATTAAGTGAGTCGTTTACTGTAAATCTCAAATTCTTAAATAAAGGGTGCCTTACATATGTTCGATTGTTCTCAAAGCATCGAGCACTACCCATTTTCTATTATATCACTAACTTTCTTTCGAAAAAAAAAACGGAAGACTACAAATTTCTATTCATTTTAAACAGTCCACCTTCGAAGCTACCAGACGATTTGAAAAAAAAAATCAGCGCACTTCGAGACGATTTTCCCGTTGAACAACGTAGTGAAAGGTAGAGTGAGTGACGTAGTCGACAGAGAAGCCGATGCTCATGACGATGGTGATCATGGAGATGATGTCGAGTCGTGTGTTAACCCAAGACAGTGCGCCGACGACGCCAACGTTGACAGAAAGTATCGCCAGGGCGATGCACGTCGCCGAGACTGGGCGTGGGACCTGGTTTTTTCTTTTCATTTTGATGGATTTACATTATATCAAATCAGGATCTTATTTATGAAAGAGATTGTTTTCAGTTCTTGCTTTTATACTAAATGTTTTGCAGCACGTTTCCAAGTTTATAATGAGGTAAAAGAGATGCGAAAATTGTGCCTCTTCTACAGCTACTTGTGAGATTAGACGCACCATCAAGACGCAGATGGCCAGCATTGTCACAATCGTCGAGATAACATTGACAATAACGTCGTACACGGTCACGAGCTGCTGATCAACGAGCAGGAAGCTGTAGAATTTGCACACAACATTCTTGGCGCTGTCAAGTACCTTGTATCGTAGACGAAACCGTCGAAGCCACTGTCGGCCATCACTTTCCTCAAAAGGTTTCTTTTTGTTTTTTCAAAGGCACTTCAGTTTGAAGTAAAGGCGCTTCAGTTTAGAAGTTTGGAACTCTAGAGTGTTCCCTAGGAGAGTTTCAGTTAGTGGTCCCTATAGGGGATATGCCAGTTGATAATTCTCTAAGCGAAGAAACATTTCCATGGGAAAGCCGAACAAATTAGCGTTTTTTTTTTTTCAATGAAAGACTTCTAGAGGGTCCACTTGAGCTTTAGGGGCTAAGGGGTCAGACCCTAAACCCCTATAGGCATCACTTTTTCGGAAAGGAAGTCCGTTTCTTTTGGAACCTTTTTTTAATTGAGTAACGGAGAAATAAGGAAAAAAACCTCATTATTTTGGAACCTTTTTAATTGAGTAACAGAGAAATAAAGAAAAAAAACCTCATAAAGTCGGCACGTGGAGCATCGTTTATAGCTCCCAGTTTCCGCACCCGAAAAATCATCTTCAAAGCTTCAATTTCGCCGTCCATTGAAAATCTTCAAGATGTTCACATTTTGTAACGCCCAGAAAAGGCGACCTGCCGTATATCAGTTTGAAACTTTTTGTTCTCCTGCTTGACGAGATACGTGTGCACTTTTTCATTCAACGTTTTAGTGGTAAAATACTCTCCGTGAAACTTTTTCTCGAAATCGTCGATCCAGAAGTCTACACATGAGGCGTAGGGCGAGCTGTAATCAATGAAACCTTGGTGTCCAAAACATTAAAAAAAATCGTTTTTTGATAATAAAAGATTTTAAGATAACCTTCCAAGTTCACGGTAGAGTACGACAAGATCGCGACGTACTTTTGGATCGCCCAACGAAACGTTGGCTGTGAGGACAACTCCAAAGCAAAAAGAACCATAGTCGGCGAAAAGTCGCTCTTGTTGGACGAGCTCTCGAGCCGCGTAAGATTCGTCGGGAGCCAACAATTTCAGGTCGAGTCCCAAAGGAAGAGCTCAAACAAAACACTAATTTTAAGTTTAGGTAAAAGTTCTTGGAACCTAGTCCGCCGAGTGAAAAATGAAAATCTCACCAAGCGTGTAAACGACTGAGAGCCACAAGTAACCAACAAAGACGAATAGTACCAAGACTCTGAAAGAGCAAATTTCCGAGCTTTTTCCGAAAACTGTACCTCGATGGCCAGGGACTCAAAGCTCTAGCCAAAATTTTGCCAAGTTTCCATTTCGAAATATTTAAAGAGCAATCGTTGCGGATCTTGACTCGAATTTTGGTCGGGTTTTCAGAATCTGAAAAATGGGAGTTGATATCTTGATTATATATCAAAGTTCGATAAAGGGCCGTTGGGTTTTCGTCAAAGATTTTTTTGCTCGTTATGTCTTGACTTTGAGGAGGTTTATACTGTTCTCGTTCGTCTTTGAATTGAAAGAAAAAAAATGACATAAAAATTTTGAAATCCCGTTTGGTGTTGGCTTGTTCAGAAATCTGTTCAGAGATTTTTTATTTTTTTTAAAATTATTGAAAGATTGAAAATTTGACACTGAAATCACCAACTTTCCAGCGCGGGCCGACAACAGAAAATAGCGTGTCTTCGTGCAACTTCTCTCCGACAGCACAGGACCATGACGGCGTTGAAAAACGTGACTTGGAACAAGAACATGAAGAGAATCGCCATTGCGCAATATGTACAGAAAACGCCTAAACAGTCTCATGTAAGTTCCCTTCAGTTTGTTGGAAAATTCTGAGCAGTTTGCCTTTATTCTTTGGGAGGAATGTAAATAGACTTAAATTTTAGTAAAGTTGAGATATCTTGAATTAACGTGAAAAGACTTACGAACTGCGTGAAAGTCCGAAATGCTGCCAATACTGAAGGATAGTCCGTCGGTGAGCGAGGTCAGAAACAAGGAAGCGGCCGTTTCGGTCAACGCATCAATGTAGCGCTGCTCCGAATCGTCGTCGTCTGTCATCCGCCAGCTTTTGAGCATCAGGAACATGTTATCTGTCCCGATGGCTGGAAGTTGCACACGTGTTCCATCAGTTTTTCGCCTCAAGAGTCTTACAAACAACCAAGAAAGGCATGATGAACACCAGAGGAAGGAATGGATATTCCAAATAGATTAGTAACGCTGTTGAAGCCAGCGTAGCCATACTGGCGTTGAACATGGCGAAAAAGCCGATGAACGGTTGGGATCTGGAATTCTTAGGCTCATTATAGTCTGTTTACCACGACTTGGAATTTCACCAAACGACATTCCGCTGTGCCGCTGCGCGCCTTTGCGAACCTTGATCGCGCTTTTTTTTAATTCAAGGTACTCTATGTGCTCCCACAGCAATAACAATCAATTGAAAGCGAGACCTAGATTCGAAAGACGCTTCGCGAACGCACGCAGCGGAACACCGGAATGTTGTTCTTTGAAATTTCAAGTCGCGGCACACAGACTATATGATCAATTTGTTTCACTTTAATTCTTGAGAAAATGAAAATCGCGAAAACATACTTGATCGAGTCGCAAGATGAACAGACCAACATACAAAAAGTGACGAGCAGCAGCGATGTCCATGGCATCCAAGGGATCAGTAGCTTTACAAAAAAGTTAATTATTCACAACGGCTTGCTGTTTCTTCAAAAACGCAGCATTCTGTTGCCGTTATTGAGAAAATCACGGAAAAAAAACCTCTCCGTTCCTCTCCATCTCGTTTGACAGGCTTTTTGAAGACGACCATAAAATTGTCACATTTTCTTCAGTGTATTTGGGAATCTCCTCAAGAAATCGATCCAACCAACTGAATCGTCAATTTGCAGATGGAATTCGCAAAAACTAACCGTTCAGCACGCTGGCTTGCTTCCAAAACATAAACGATTCGTAGGGCTTTTGCGGAGATTATTGGCGAGTTGCCGTCGGGATCCGTGGACTGGAATGGAAAAAAAAAGGTGACAATTTTGCTTTTCTTTTATTTTGGTCCATTCAAGAAACTGCTAGTTCCCGAAACCCAGAACTTGGTTAGGTTAGAGAAAAAAACCGGATGAGATTATCGTGATAAAATGAGAAACGAACATTTTTGAGAGTGACGCCTCCGAAAACAACGGCATTATCGACTGAAAAGTCTCCGAATTTGAGTTGTGGGTACCGCAACAAAAATTGGAGTGATAGCTGCTGAAATTTTACTTTTTTTTGAAAAGTCCCAAAATTGACCCTTTCAACTCGATACATACCGGCATTTCGTCTTCCAGTGCAAAAACCACTGGATGAAGCGTACAAACATTGTCGCTCTCTGTTCGTAGGCAAACGGCAGAATGTTCTTCCCCTTTTCGAGTCTAGAATATATTGAGAACATTATTCCTGTAATTTTCGTGTACGAGGCTCCTAGGGACGAGTTAATTTAAAGTGCAAAAAAAAAATCCTCCTGTGCTTGGAAGCATGTTACCATTTGACAAGGATTTTGCAGTATAGTCTGTTGGGATTTCAAATGTCAAGTCCTCGCTCAAGCTCCGCCCCCTAATGGCGCGATAAACGAATCCGAGCCATCCACAGAGCCTTTTCGAATGACGTCATTCTACTTGACTTTCAAAATCTGAACGGACTATATTAAAGAAATTTCCAATTACAAAAGTCAAAAGAAATCTAGGTTCTTTGAGTCGCTTTCGATCATAAAAATGTAGAATTCCAAGCGTCTGCCAAGTTTTCACCTTCAATCCCATGACGAATCGATGTAGCCTTGCCACTTTTTCAATTCCTTCTTTTGTCAGAATATTGTCTTGAGCTTCCATCACCGTGTAAGCAAACTTCGAGCCGAAGTGACTGTAGCTGTCTCGTTGAGCATCGCGTGGAGGAAACAAACGCAACAACTGAGCAAGTTTTAATTTCAACTTCATGTTTTCATCTCCTACTTGTTTCAAGTCTCGTAGGCTTTGCATATCGTCTGGCAGAAAGACTTGCAACGTGTCATTGCTCACATTCAAATGGAAGTCGGACACGACTAGACCTACTAAAACAAAACCTCAAAAGAACTGAACCCAGCGACGCGATTCAACTAACCGATTCCAGCGGTGAAAATGATTGGGACAAGAATGAAGGGCAACGGCCATCGCACTACTACAGAGCTTTGCCACTGCAAAAAGTTTCGGGAAACTTCGTAAAATTGGAAACTTCTTGCAACGTTTTTGACACTCATGATTGAGAATTTAAAAAAAAAGTTTGAGCATATTTACCTCGAAAAACTGAGTGACGATCCGATGGAAATTCAGCCGCATAGATGCAGAAAGTCTGACCTTTTTTTTGTCTTCCTACTTCCTCTCGATTTTTCTCGGCCGAGAATAATTACCCGATGGCGCGCATAAATTGCTCAAAATTTGGGTCAGTACATGAAAATTCAAAAAAGAAAGGGTTTTGTAAACATTCTTCATAACCGCGAGTCTTTTCGAAATCTTTCTCAAAAAGGACTATGACATCCAAATTCTAGTCGAAAAAATGAAAAAAAAAATGAATAATTCGCAAGTCCAAGGTTCAATCAAATTGAAAAAGAAATAATTCGTACAATTCAAACCAAACTTCTCACATTAAACAAAAATCGGACTCTCTCCAATAGAGCTATATTTTGCTCTCACTCAGATCGTATGTCCTTAGAAAGGTCGTTCGGGATCTCCACACACTCTCAACGGGTGTACCCGTATTAAACCCGCGGTTTATAAAGGCTAACTGAGTCTGAAACGTTTTAAAAAGGGGGATGGCGCGAGGATTTTTATTTCGAAAATATGAGACCCAACTGTGCCCAACCAGCTTTGCTCTAAAAGATTTAATACTGAGGCATCCGTTGAGAGCCCGTACTGTAAATTTTTCCAGCCTTTCAAATAAAATATTGCGTCTGGCTCTAGTTTATAAGGCGTTTCAATACATTCTTTTTAATTAAGGGAAACTTTCAGTGACCATCTGAGTCTTCGATCAATTTCTAATACCCGCAAAGACTGTGCATGCATAGGCAAAGTCGGAAAGACTCTCCAAGGGTCCATAAAGGCTGCTGGGAGGCTCCCTAGAAATGTTCCTTTTAGGGTAATGAAGGCTCCCTTTTTGCTCCACTTTCTTAGTCCTTATGCACCATTTTTGCTGTCTCTCCCTTTCTCCACCATTTTTCGAGCCTTTAATACCCCAGAAAAATGGAAGGCTCGATAAAATGACTCTCTTCGTTGCCTTTTTTGAGCCTCTTCCTTTTAGAGGCCATTATTTACCATTCCGACCCGAGAAAGAATAAAGTAAATTATAACCGATTTAATTTCGTTGATCATTTACAAGAAAAAATAATTTTACGACCCGGGCCCAGTTGATATGGAATTTCAATCATTTCTTGATATTTTGTAGATTCTTTGCGAGTTCCTCAATTTTTTTCGTCCAAGCTCTTGTGCACGCCGGCTCGCAAATCGATCAACGCATCGCGTAGGTATTCTGGAATTTTTTTAGTAAAAATTTTTGAAAACAAGCGATTTTCTCAACCTGAATCGCACAAGAGCTCCTTGAGTAAAAAGCGAGAGATGACCCGATTGGGTGTTGTGAACTGGTTGATGGCATGTAGGAACTTCCGAACCACCTGACTGGCTATTTTGTCCAGAACAAGTGCGAAAATTCTTTCTTCGTCGATGAGGGCCGGCGTTTCTGTATCATTATTATTTAGGGGCAGACTTGTTTTACGCCTTTTGGGTTTAGACTGACTTGGAGAAAAAAAAGACTTTACGATAACCTTTTCTTCAAATCAATTATGTTACAGAACACAAATTTTTAGGATTTTTTGAAAACAAAACCGAACATCATTACTCGGCTAGGTTTTGAGATAGGGCGGCTCAAAGGATTACGGTAAAAAAGCTTCGAAATTTCATATCTCGGCAAAAAATCAACGAAACTCGACCCGAGCTTGGCAAGAGGGATAATTTAATCCAACGTTCAAAAATCTGACATCTCCCACTCGCCTGTTATTGCTCACACTAGAGAATTTTTGTAGAAAGTAAAAAATCAGTATATGAAATCAGATCCGGCTTTTTCTTTCAGTTTTCAGTTTGGTTTTATTTTTTTTTAAGTCTCGCTAAACTCTAAAATTCACCTTCTTTAGATTCGAAACCAGAAGCGACGACTGCAATCCTAGTATTGTTGTTCGACAGGGCTTCTTCCCACAGGCGCAACAAATGCAAAAGATTCTGCGGAAAGAAGGCGTGAGTTCAACGGATCGAATTGGAAAGCCTAGAAACCTGAGTCGCAGTGACCACGTAGTCTTGAGGTGTTGGCATCGCCGACTTGGATTCTTCCTCCTTGTAAACGTCTTCCTGCAAGCCCCAGGATCACTTCAAACAGTTCATGACAAGAATCTCACTCCGTGTGACGGCATACGGTCAGTGATAAGTCGATAACTGGCCTTGAACGCGTTTTTGACTCTCTCCGAAATCCACTTTTTGGCCATTTTTATTTCGGGACCAGCTGAAAAAGTTTCTTTACACACTTTTTTTTCGAATTTGGCGGCTCAATTTCGGTCTTGTTTCAGTACTCACACTGAAGTTTCGTGTCTTTTTGGTAATTTCCCAAAATCGTGTGGAATTGTCCGGCGAAATTGAGCCGATCCAGGTATTCTTCGACACGAGCCGATTCCATCTTCGTCTTGTCTTGCATCCGCGAAAGCCGCGTCGTGTAATCGGAAAAAATTGGCTGTAATCCAAAGAGTTTTTTTGTCTGTTTCAAAATTTTCTGTTTACCTTGACAACGGCTACCAGTGTCTCGTGAGAATCGCTGTAAATAGCCGAGACGTGGCTAGTGACTTGTTTCAACAGTAATCCGAACGATTCGATGCTTTTCGTGATTTCAACCGACGATTTCTAAATTTTTTTACCATTATTTGTCATTTTTTCACGCCAAGGATTTTATAATGTACTTTCACACGTGCATTTTGGTACTTTAAAGAATCAATTCACTTTCAATATTAATTGATAATACTTCTCTACAGGTATTTCACTTTTAACTTTATATTAATTAATTAATAAGTTAATTGCAGAGCTAATCTACACACCTCAAAAGGAATTGGAATGGTTTCGTCGATCTTTCAATCTTTAACATGCAAACATTTTTTGAAAAATCAAAATAAAACTAACAAAATCGATTGGAGGAGGCTCAATCATTGAGACAAGTTTCTTGGACAAGGGCTCCACTGAGCATTTCAGAAAACCCTCGAGCATTATTTTCTCGACGTCTTCTACAGTCGGCTCCTTTGAAACGACGTCTGGCTCCTCGTCAACGTACAGTTTTCGAGCATTTTCTACCAACTGTAACAGGAAAACGCTTTAAAATTTTTCTCAAATAATATAACTACATTATGCAGGTCGTCGAGAAGGTTGTAATCGGAATATGCATCAATCACGACGTCAAGGACCGTTTCCAAGCCTCCATTTTTGACGAAATTGTTCCAGGACTCTAGTAGGTAAGAAAAAGCCTTGTCTTGATCGCAGTATTTGCACAGCGAACTGAGTTTTTCATTTAAAATATTGAAATTTTTTTGTAGGTACCTCATGTGAAGTCGGAAATGCTCACTGGAGCGAGAAATGAAACTGTATCCGAGGTCTTTAACAGAGCGCTCGTCGGCATTTTTGTTGACGTTGACCAGTGAGTTGAGGGATTGGTCAAAGTGTAGTTGATAAAGACGATAAAAGTCTAAAATTTATTTTTTTAGAGTATTCCGATTTAAAAATGTGGAAAAATGTTGATTTATAGATGGTCCAACTTGAACGTGTAGATAATCAATAAAAATGCATCCGTTGAAAAGTTTTTTTTTTTCTGTATTGCTACGACTTTTTTCACACTGTGGTACAGATAAAACAAACCTTGTAACGAATTGAGAGCACTAAAAGCCTCAAAAATATCATCTAAACCGTCAGCCGAACCGAATTTCACCGCAAATTCCGTCCCCTTCCATGTCAAGTAGCGATCTCTGGTCGTGTGATACGCTTCAGAATCAAACTTTGGTTTGGCTCCAAGCTGAAATTCAGAATGGATGTTGATTGAAATTTTAAAAATTTTAGCGAGACGAACCGGTTTGAAAATTTTCAAATTTTCACCGATGGCTATCAACGTCGGGAGCAGCGAATCATCAACGGAACGCTCTGTCAACCCCAATCGAACGTCGGCAGAGTTGAAAACTTCTCGAGCCTGTAACAATTTTTTTCTTTAATTCCTTTTCGTTATAGGAACCTCCAAAAGACGCGTCAGTTCTTTTAGTCTCCGCTTGGCGCCGTCGAGCTGCATCAGTTGATCTTCGTGTGGCGCATGCGGCACCAAACATTTGGATATAGTATCTTGCAAACATGCTGTCAATGCCGATACATCAGTCTCTAATCTTTAATTTATTTCGCTTAATTTTTGAACGCAGAACAGAGAAAAAAACCTGTTTTCAATAGTTTTAAATTGACGCGCTCCAGAGTCTAGTGAAGACACGATACTTGAAATGTTGCGATTCAGCTGGTCAAGCAGTTGTTTTCCTGCTTCTCCGAGGGGTATATCGTTGTAAAAGTCTTCTAGCTTTTGATCCGTGGACCCATGACCGTGTATTGTCATCAATCACTGAAAGATGGATCGTTCAATACCGAAACGAAATTTCTCAAAAGACAGTTTTTACAATACATACCGTTAAAAAAATACCAGTATTAATTTTCAAAAAAATTTTTTTATTATCATTTATTTTGAAGTTTTTTATTGTAGCTCGGTTTGAGTCACAAAAAAAACATTATGGAAGATTTTGAGTGTGGGGCGCAACGTGTTGGTGTTTCGCGTGAAATAAGAGGTGTTGGCCGCATACAGAGCACGACAAAAAAGCATATTGCTTCGGATTTTTTCAACTTTTTTGTCAGCATTTTGGTCCGGTTTCCGTTCAAGTTTTTAAAAATTCGAAGTAGTATTCTTGCATAGAAATTTAACCGCTTTTTTCATATCGCTCTATAGCAAACTTATCGCGACCTTGCTGAGAAATACTTCACTCTTTTCTTGTAAAATCTTTGTTTTTTCATTTTGGTTTTCTTCGCATGCTATTTCGCCGTCGTCTGATTTTCACAATGATGTCGTAATTTGGGTCTCATGTGAAACCAGCGAACCTAACTGCTAGGTGAAGACTGTATAACTGAAAACCATCTTGGGCTGTTTACTTCATTCAATGCTTCGAATGTTTATTGGCTGGTGTTCACCCGTTTTTATCCAGTACCTTCACCCGAATAGAAAGTTTTTCTGCGCCGTTCGGCTGCTTTGTTCGAGGTTTATCCGGATAAGACAGTGTCCAGGCGGTAGTGAAATTTTCTTTAAAAGTTTTTGAAGTGGGTAATTTAGCGATTATATAGCCGCACCGGTGCCTGGGTTCGATGGCGATATGAAAAAAAATATTAGGTCGCCGTCGGAAAATTTGCGAGATGTTTACTATTTTTTTTTATTGTAATATCGAAATTTATGTTCGGGCTCTCTTTGTCTATACAGCTATATATTCTCGATTGACGTTAAGACGTTCCAGGAACATGGCCATGTTCAGCAATCAGCGCACTACAACATCTAACAGCGGTTACATTGTCGAGTTCAAGGTTAGTGGAGAAGTTCCTTTTTGTATCCATCTTGGTATTTTCCATTATATGTTCTCTTTTTGGTTTATCACGAGTTTTGTTTTACAGGCAGGGAGATCCAACTTGGAGCTTGGCTCATCAGAAACCAAGAGAAAAGTGGTTGCCGAGAAAAAGAAGGGACTTGTCTACATCAAACAGAGCAATGACCTTCTCATTCACTTTTGCTGGATGAACCGTGAAAACCAGGCGTTGGAAGATGTAAATTTGGATCTTGATAGGGGTATTTCATTGTCGTGTTTTGTTCTACAGGATCTCATCATTTTCCCTGGCGATACCGAGTTCAAAGAAGTTCCCGGCTGCCCAGACGGCAAAGTATACATGCTCAAGTTCAAATCATCGAAGGAAATGCGTCTTTACTGGCTCCAGGACGGAAACTCCGAGATTGAGAAAGATCTCGTCCAGAAGGTGGATAACTACCGGATGGATTGAAAAAAATTATTATTTTTTTTTTCGTTTATCGCTTAAGAAGAGTTTTTCATGTGATTACATGCAAGAGAAGAGAAAGTAAAAAAAGGGAATTTTTTTGAGAGAATTAATGACAAAAAAATTTTCTTTTTAACCCTAATCTTTTAAAAAGAGTTATTTTTTTCTAATTTGAGGTGAACGACGCTTTGAACAAGCCGCCGCCCAGCCGTCCGACTGGCCGCGGCGATCGTCTTTCAGCCGGTTCTGGATCGGCTGCCACTGCCGGTTTTCCGTCGAACCTCATGAATGCGACTAGCGAAGTGAGCCGCCTGGCAAACGTTTTTCGATTAGCAAAAGAAATTTATTGGCGCGTTTTCTAGGAATACAATAATGGACTGAACACATTTGATCCCCAGCATTTGATCTCACTTATCCAGTCGCTTCAGGTTAATTTTTTTCAACTTTTTGTTGGCGTGTTCGAAGTGATTTCGCGAAATACAAAATATCCGTCAGAGATAGAAAAAGATAACTAAATTTTAGAAGGTCAGAGAACATTTTGCATTTCGCGGGAATCACTATGAACACAGTATGAAGTTTGAATTTTTCTTCAATTGTGTCGTGAAAATTTCAGTTTTATGTGGTATGAAGTTTCTGATTTCGACGTTATCGTATCTAAAATGACCGACTTTGATGCGATTAAGTATAATGATTTTTTCTCTGGGCTTTTTCAGTGATTGTTTTGTTTTCGTTGATATTAGCGAATACGCATATTTTTCGAATTAGTTTTATTTTAAGGCTGTCTTTAGCAATGAGTTAACAGAAAAATTATATCTAGTTCTTTTTGAATTCCGATATATTATACCTAAATCTTTTTGCATTCCTATGTATATCAAGCCAAAAACGAGAATAAATTGCATCAAATTCCGCAGTTTAAACGATCAGCTTTCAATCGGGAATTTCGTACCACTCATTTTTTCATCAAGTTCACTTCAGAATAAACAAAACAAATTGAATGAAAAAGGAAAAAAACAACAATTTAACACACAATTCAAAGTTCAGGGCGCCGGGAACGATGTGCTGCCCACGATCCCTCCGTCGACCTCTAACCAAGACGGCAGCGGGGCAGTTGCGTCTTCTGCGGACTCTGACGTCTTGTCGACGCCTTCTCATCCAGCTTCTTCCGCCGCAGCTCCTGGCGCTCCGCAGAAAGGTCACCGGCTGATTCATCAAATTTTCCTTTGTTTACCCCTTCAAACTTATTCCCTCTTTTTTGTCTTCATTCTCAATTTTGCTTCGTCTTTCTGGGCTTGCGGCGAGAGCGGATCTTTTTTGAGCGCACCTTACGAGTCAACTGTGTAAAATATAGTTGGAAACAAATTGATAAACGATATTTTTATTCTTTCTGCCGTTCAACTTTGAAAACGAAAGATAACGTAAGCGGGCCCCAAAAACGATTTTCTCCATCGCCTTGTCCCTACCAACTATGCCTTCAAATGCTTCATTTGATGTATTGTAGCGAATGCAAGCCTAACGAAACACGATTTGTCAAAAATTCTCAGCAACTTGCGACCGGCCACGTCGGGTAGATGCCATTTATTTCGGATTTCATCTCATTTCGATATGATCATGTTGTAGGCAAAGGCGTTAACATTTCGTTGTCAGATGCTCTCTCGAATGAAGGTGTTATGGAGACGGTTAGAGCCAACGCCGGTCGGTTATTTTGTGTCTAGTCTTGCTTTGCACTCTTGTTTTCAAGTTTCCAATGTCATGTTTCTTTTTTTTTCAAACGTGTGCATTTGTTATAATGGAATCGGTGAAACTCTAATTGATGGCAGGTTTATTTTTTGCAGAGATTCTGAAGCCGTTGCTGCCGTCTACTTGTAACGATCCGCAGAAGGAGCTCGAGGAAACTGTTCGCGCTCCGCAATTCAGACAGGCTAGTGGAGAACTGAGTAAAAGAAATTAGAGAGAAATAGTTTCCTTGTTGTTAATTGTTCTTATTTCTATACTACACAGGCGAATGGAGAGTGTGTCATAATATGTCCACGAGTATAACTGATTCACGGCTGGCTTGAGCCATCGAAAAAAGGGTCCTGACATGATAATGCACGAGATAGCGCTTCGCTCGTGGAGAGCGCAGACAGGACACGCCCTCTTAGCGTCCCAAGCTGGCCGTGAATCAGCTATATACCTCTAAAGATTGATTGTGCATACGCCATAACGATAAACCTGAAAAGAAATATTCCCTCATCTTTTTTCTGCTTCTGACGATTGATATTACCTGAAAAGTTATTGCAAGAAACCGAAACGACATTTAATCTCTTAATTAGCGTCTTTTGCGAAGTTTTTGATTTTCAGGCTGCAGACACCTTTGGACAAGCGCTTCAGAGTGGCCAAATCGGCCCTGTTCTGACGCAATTCGGCCTTAATAGTGAAACTGTTGCAGGAGCTAGTGACGGAGGTTATAAAGACAAGGATTCCTATTTCCATTTCCCGCTAATTTTACAGACATTCGCACTTTTTCGCGTGAACTTACTTTGTCGCAAGGCGGTGAAGTGCCTCCAGAGACGGAAGATAGTCAGTTTTTCACAACTGTTTTTATTCAAAGAGATAAAAAACAGCCCAGAATTCTGAGAAAAAAATTTCAAGCCCTAAAGATTCGTTCTCAGATGCTGACGAAACAGCCAAGGAACCTGAGCCGAAGCGCAACCGTCCTGACCTCGATGACATGGATGTCGATTAATAGACTATCTACCGCCTGAAATATTCACATGCCGTTTCTAAACTTTGTCTGAGTAGTGTGAATTCGCTTTGGTTTTTTTGTCTTTTCCCTTCTCTTGTGTAGGTTTTTCAAATCGACACTCAACTATTTATTGAATTTCATGTGATAAACCTTTCGTCCAAGATCATTTTATCGTGTTTTACCGATGTTGCCATCAGTTTCTTAATGAAACTACTTTTTTTCAACTAAAATGATCATTGGAACTCAAATGATCCGGAGTTTCAAACGATTTTTGAGTACACTGTTGCCCCAGGAGTTAACGATTAAAAAAAAAAAACTTCAGGAAGTTTTTTACAGTTCTTGAAATTAAGTGCAAGTGAGTGACCCGCCGAACTGAATAAATATTTTAGATTGAGCTTCTCGAAATTAAGGGGATTGAATTGGCGACTTTTGAGCCTCAAACAAACAAAAAAAAATTTTTTTTTGGCTAGAGAACATGAAACAAACCTTCTTTTGGTAGTCTAGGACTCCCGCAGGCCGACGTGAGTTTCTCCAACTCCTGATTTTTTTTTACTCCATCTCTAACTGATGAGAGACAAATTTTTACGGCGACCTTCGGACGACACGAAATTTGCACGCCCTGGGGCGTCCGACCTCTGAGCTGATGATATGGGGCGATTCGCCTCGAAGGTTATCACCACTTTTCCGCTCGTTCTTTCTACGCTGCAAAGAACGCGTTAGGACTCTCTCCCTCTTTATTTTCATAATGGGGTGATTATTCCTTTTTTTGACATTTTTGGGAGATTTTTCAATTAAAAACATGCTAACTAGAAAAATAGATAGAATCGCCAAAAAGTTTTCGGGGAAATATAAATTATCTTTGACTTTTCAAAATGTTCATTTTTAAACGGTCATTTTTATATATTCTGTTAAGAAATACTTTGAACGTGGCGTGAGTTGGCTTCAAGTTTTCAATAGGACACTTGTAATCTCATTTTAAAATTTTTGCGTTTTTTTTTCATATTCGTAGGCAAACCCGAGCAATAGCTCGATTCCATTTTGGTCATTCATTTTTGGTACCTCAAAATTTGGCTCAAAAGTCATTTTTCAAAGCACAGTAAAGTAACTTTGGTGACTTACATCATTGATAGTTAAAGCTACCGTTTTTGTATGCAACTGCAAGCTCCTCAATTTTTTTTTTGCAACCGCATCTTTTCGTGTCTTTTTTCTATTTCTCTTCATCTTGGCTTGTTATCAAGCGCCGACGAGTGCGCTTCCAATGCAAACGTTTTTCGATATGAAAACAACTCACAGGGTCCCCATGGTCTGCCAGTGTATTCTCGACGCTGCGGGCTACGCAGCTCTTGTAGCTGTCGCCTACAAGTTGCTCACCGTCGTTTTCAACATTATTGGCCCCTATGTCTTGTTTTCGCCGATCGACTTGAAGAAGAAGGCTGGCGCCAACTGGGCTGGTTCGTTTCTTTTTGACAGTCATGAGAGCTCAAAGTTGTATCCGTCTCTTCACCTTCTCATATTATCGTGATCACGAATTTTTTTCAATTTATTAGAAAATATTACAATTAGCATCTATACTCTCAGCAATTGGAGAGCGAGTTACATTGAAGACGCTGTGAAAACGGAAATAAACTCTTCTTTTTTTAAAAAGAATATTAAACTAAGTGAATAGTTGATAATAATTTAAAACCTTTTGGACTAATGGAAACTTTCGAATAAAAAGCCAATATTTATTCAGTTGTCACCGGCGCAACTGATGGCATTGGCAAGGCCTACGCCTTTGAACTGGCTCGACGGGGATTCAACGTCTATTTGGTTTCTAGGACTCAGTCAAAGTTGGAAGAAACTAAAAAAGAAGTTCTCTCCAAGTTCAAGGTGAACTTTTCCTCATTGTGTCATAATTCTCTCTTCACTGTTCAGGATGTGGAAATCCGCACATTGGCTTTCGACTTTAACGAGCCATCACCGTCGGCCTACGAAAAGCTCCTGAAGCAGCTAAACGAGGTCGAAGTCGGCGTCCTGGTGAACAACGTTGGTTTCAGCTACGAGTACCCAGAGGTTTTCGGCACTTTGAGTTTCGTTTCAACTGATTTTTTTGAGGTTCTCCACAAGGTGGAAGGAGGTATCGAACGTCTTGCGAACATCACCACTATCAACACGCTTCCGCCGACATTGGTTTATTTTTTTTTTGTTAATATAATGATGTTCAAAGGAAAAAATCATCTTCAAAAAAACTTTCCTCAAATGACAAAAATGATTTTTTTGGTTTTTTTGTATACCTTATTTTCATCTTTATATTTTTAGCTCGTTTAAAAAAGAACCGTTCATATTTTTTGAGAACACACATTTTGGCACAGTCTTTTTGTCCGAGGCGCACTTTGAATTCAAATATTGATAGGGTTATCATTGCATTTTGAAGTTGAAATCGAAAATTGAACATGGAAACACTTGGTTATGGTGACTGAATCAGTCAAATTGCAACACTCGTCAATTTTTTTTTCCAGCTTTCTGCTGGAATCCTGCCTCAGATGGTCGGCCGTAAAACGGGAGTCATCATCAACGTTGGATCGTCGGCTGGTCACAACCAAATGGCTTTGTGGGCTGTTTATTCGGCCACCAAGGTTTTAGCAAAAAATGAAAAATGTTTAATTTTAACGAAATTTCTTCAGAAGTACGTCTCTTGGCTGAGCGCCATCCTTCGGAAAGAATACGCCTCTCAAGGAATCATCATTCAAACCATTGCCCCAATGATGGTCGCTACCAAAATGAGCAAAGTCCTTTTATCATTTTTTTTTTTCTTAAAAAATACAAAACACTTAATTTTCAGGTCAAGAGAACTTCCTTCTTCACACCCAACAGCGACAATTTCGCAAAGTCGGCCCTGAACACGGTTGGAAACGCCGACGACACGACCGGTTTCCTCACCCACCAACTTCAGGTTATCCAGTTCTCATTTTGACAAAATATCAGGTTATATCATTTTCAGCTTGAACTCGTCCAATTAGTCCCCCAGTTCATCCGCGACATGTTCCTCACTAAAATGAGCTATGGAACTCGTGCCGCCGCTCTCCGCAAGAAGGAACGCGAAGCCAAGGCTCAGTAACTGACGACCCCCATTCATATAATTTCATTTTTTTATCCCGGTTTTTCCAACTAGTTTTTGTTTTATCTAATTTTTTTCAATGAAACGTTTCCATGTGTTTTGACAAACACCGTCTATAGACATTGAAGAGATTGAGATATATCGTTAGATCCTGCTCAAGGCGCTCTATCGATTGATATTAGCCGGTTAAAGCACTGAGCTGGAAAAGCCGATGACGTCATCCAGGTTATACAAAACGCTTTACATCCTTTTATATTATAGGGAAGCTTAGGATAAGAAGAGTCGATTGATATAATCAGTTCTTCTGTAACTTCCAAATGAACAAAGTCATGAATCTTGCAAGTCCTTGAAGTTCCAAATTTGGACATAGATATTTTATAAATTTTTGAGCTTTTTACTCGAAACTGATAAGATAACAGAAATACATAGGAGCTGCTCAATCGATTGATAGAGAAAAAACCACAAAAAAGTAAATAAATTGTGCTTTTCTTGCGAATAATTTACACCGCGGTGCAATGCACCGAATGCATTTTATCTGACGCCTATCGAATTATTAATGGTAAACTTCAAACGCTTATATCTCGGCAACCAGAGCAGCTACAGCTCATCTGATCACATCGTTCGATTTTTCAGGATGTCAGCTTTGCGATGATATAGGCTATCAGTTGATTAAGCTTCACTCAAAAGCTTAATTTTCGACACTTTAAAAGTTCATAACTTTATTCCTAGGGGGTTATGGACTTCGAGATCTAGTTTTTCTCGATCTTCTCTATCGATTGATAATGATTTTGGGCAAATTGGGAAATTTGACACCAAAGTTCAACCGCCCGTATCTTAGTTCTTAGTTGACCTACAGAGGTCAAACCTGGTCTCAGGTTATTTTCTCGTCGAGATCTATCGATTGATATAGGTCTCGTCCGGATCGGCTTCCATGACTTCAGAAGCTCGAAAAAAAGCCAAGGGGTTAGACTGCAAATTTTTCAATTTTCCCAAAAATCTAAACCATTGCTTTAATATATCAATCGACAGATAATGACGTTCGCATTCCGAATATGCAGGTAGAAAAAGTTCTAAAATCCTTAGAAAAAAGTTATGATTTTTCAAAGTGAGCCATTTTCGACAAAAATGACAAACATGTTAGACTGTACTTTTTTCGATTTTCCCGAAAACCAAAGTTTCCGAGATTTTTACATCAATCGATAGGAAATGACGTCAGAAGTACGAAAATCCAGGTCAAAAAGTTCTGAGGCTTCTAGAAGGAAAGTTATGATTGTTTGAAGTTTTCGAAAAAGCATAACTCGATCCGTAGGAGGTTAGGAACTTAGAGACCTAGTTTTTCTCCATTTCCTTGATCTCCTCTATCGATTGATACTAAATTTGACCTACTTTCCAAATTTTTACCTCTCAGTTTGATCGCCCCTAATTCGTTCCTAGTTGACCTATCGAGGTAAAACCAAGCTCATTCTTAGTTTCTCGTCGAGATCTATCGACTGATATAGGTTTCTTTCAGATCGGCTTCTATGACTACAAAAGCTCAAAAAGAAGCTAAGGGGTTAGACTGCACTTTTTTCGATTTTCCCGAAAATCGAATTTATCGAGTTTATTACATCAATCGATAGATAATGATTTTCTGTATTTGAATATGCAAGTGAAAAACCTCTAGGATTTGTAGAAAAAAAGTTATGATTTTTCAAAGTGGATGACTTTCTATGAAAGTGCTTCAAACTCTTGATGCTTTGCATCTTTTAAAAGCTGACGTTGAGGCAAATAGATTGATACAATTACTATCTCTATAAGTTCGAAATGAACCGAGATATGGAGCTTCAAACTCTGAAAAATACTACTTTTCGAACCTAATTTTCACGCAATTTTCGAGCTTTTCCCTCGGAACCGATATGATAACAGTCCTATATAGAAGCTGGTCTATATGATGTAGAAAAAATTCCAAAAATACGAAAAAAAATTTTGAGCTTTTTCCTTTTTGGCAAGAAAATTTCACCGTGGTGCAGCGCACCAAATGCATTTTATTTGACGCCTATATAAAACTTGTCGTTTGCGTTCGGATACAGGTGGTCATACATGGTCCACCTCAAATTTGAGTTAAAAGCGAATTTAAAATATTTTCAGGTCCGTTTCCAGTCAGCTGGCGTGAATAATAACAAAAAATTTCAAGTTCATAAATTTTTGCATAGCAGCTGTTAAAAAAACTTGAGACCTTTCTGAAGAAATTTATACTATATTACCAACTTTTTGTTATTTTTTTCAATTTGACCGTGAAAACTTGATCGACTGAGAGAATTCACTATAGTGGCCATATTTCGATAAAAGTGGCAACTAATTATAATTATGTGGATATGTGGTTTATTGCAAGCCTAGTTCAATCTAACATCTGACGCAACCCGACCGGTTAAAGAGGGTATAATTACAACCGCAAAAAAAAGAGAAGAATATGCTATTACAAAACAATTAACGGCGATGAGCACTATAAAAATCCATGTGACGAAGAATCAGAAACGTTGGAAAACTTCCGAGCTTTCTATTATTCTGAATTCTGTCAATCACGGTGCACAGACAAATAGATGAAAACTAAACAAAAAATTTTATTTTGGCTGCAGTTGAGATCCTATTCTTGAACTTCTGATGAGACAGAACTGGGCATTTCGGCGACATCTCAGAACAAGTCCAAAACGCGACTGGCAGCATGAGCAGACGAATTCGATTTGTATCGGCTCCAAAACTCTCTGACCGCTTTGGGATGGTTCCGGCATGCTTCCTCAGTGCCCAGTTCCCGTAATGGTTTTAAAAAATAAATCGTTAACTTTGAAATCGCCGATATTACTTTGAACAGGGCACGAAACACAAAGATACATTTTACCTCCCTTTTTATTTTTCATTCACCAAGAAAAGAAATTCCGTGTAAAATCTTCACTCGAAGTTGTAGCTCTCATTCTGAGGCTTCCACGTAGAGCACGGTCTCCGGGCTCCAGCACAACATCCGCTACATTCTGAGCTCGTCAAGGCGCAACTGGATGGACTACGCGCAGAAGGACGAGGCGAAGGACCGTAAGACCATGCTTTCAACTCTTTCGACTACACGTTTGGACTTCTAGCTCGCCAAAGGCGGTTGTTCGTTATAGCTTTCAAAGTTCTTGTTCACCGCCTAGTCGATACATCTATGACTAAACCAACAAAATAAATGATTTCATGAAAAAAAAAAAAGTGAAAGTTTTTAGTGTGGTCTTGTGAATTTGCGGTATAAAAAGTTGCACGTTTCTATTTCAATTCAGGAGTTCTCGTTTGGTTCCTTCGTCGTTCCTCCTGCGACATGATGTGCACGTTGTCAATGTACAACGTGTGGACAACGCCAGACCTGAAATCTTTGTTTTCGTGGGAAAAATAAGTGGGAGGTCAAACTTTTTCCGTCCACTACTCTGAGCGCTAATTTTACACACGTGAGTGCCGATTTCAAAGTGAGTTTCTGTACCATTATCGACGAACTCGCCCTGAAAATCTAATTTGAATTGAAACTCGTTATAAACACACAGCCGTGTCGATTTTTACGCCATTCACCCAAACTTCCATCGTTTCTTTGTCTGAAAAATGGAAAATAATGAAATATTCATAAAAAACAAACAAAAACCTAGAACGATTCGAGTGTCTTGGCCGGCAACGAGAGCCTCCCAACTGTAAAGTCGCTTGCTCTGCTCCTCGCGGAACTTTTGGAAAGTTTTTCCGTTTACCTGTATGTCTCCTTAGGTGATATAAACTATTTCAAGAGAAACCTCCAGAGAATATTCATAGGCAAAGGTCCCAAGGGCTTCGACGTTTATCGTGCATTTCATGTTGCCTACTTTGAATGTTTCTTTTCCGACTAACTTAAACATCCAATCGCGTCGAAGAATTTCCTAGATCAACACGTTTTATTTTGAAATAATAATCTCAATTTTAACGCTGAGAAGAGCAAACAAAAAAGTAGTTTCAAAAATGTTTTCTGTAATTCGAAAAAATAGTTTTCCAACTAATGGATTTTGAGTTTAAAAAACCTGCGAATCAACGCGAATCACACGTTTCCCGGTCGTCGTACCGTGCTCGAACTCAATGCGATGTATCTCCAATGAATGATTAGCGAAAGTATTTTTATTCTAAACCTTATCATGGAGAGGTACGTTCCAAGTCGCTACAATGTCACCGTCCGCCGGCATTTCTAAGGTTTCTGGAAGTTTTATGAAACTGAAAAATTATCCGATTTGAAACCAATAAGCGTTCGATTTCTTGAGGAAAATCAGGAGAGGACAAAAGAATTTGCAATGTTCTGAACTTTTTCTAATAAACATCTACCGCATGATCGCACGCAGAATGACTTGCGGCGGGCCGCGACCACGGAGTTTTTAATATTAGCAATGTAACTGAACTCGACTAAATTTCGCCGAAAACTGAAGATATCGTGAGAAAGTCCGAGATCCAGGAAATCAGAAGTTTAAAAAAAGGCAACATCGGCAGCCGAGTGAAGCAGCGCGTAGCGCGGGTCGTCATGACGACCGCCGGAAGCCGTCTGTTTTTCAATTGGCCGTTTCAGGCGCAGATGCCACTGAAACTTCCTGTTCAAATCTTTTTTGAAAAAGAGCAAACTGCATAGTTGGAAATTTATTCATCGAAAAGAACTATGGTGATAACAGCAGGTTTCAACAAATTCAACAACGAAACCCGTGGAAAACATGACTGAAAACAAAAAAAAAAAACAATTTTCTCAATCCGTTCACGTAGAGCTTAACGACTTCCTTATGGCCAGTAAGTGGCAGCTTAATAAAAAAAAAAGTTATTTCCGTGATTTCGCCTCAACTCTCGCGCCCGACTGGCAAATTGTACGGGTTTGCGTAATATTTGAGATTCATTCACGGAACCAATTTTTTTTTATTCAAAAATCATGTCTGTGGAGTTTCCACCTACAAAGATATGGACGAAAATTTGAGATCCAGCTGGAAATTTTCCGACTCATTTTTGAAAAAAATCCCTTCGAACTTCGTGGAACTTTCGTTGGGCTAAACTTTTTTTTCTTCTCAGATAATCTTTTTGCGCAAAATAATACTGCCGTTCATAATTTTGGGTTAAAGACTTGATTTTTTTTCAGATCAACATGATAATCGTTATCACTGTCAGCTAGGCACTTCAACTTCTCAAAAAACAGAAACGAGTTGCTCAAAGTAGGAATTCACGTCATCCGGAGGGAGAAGCGTTGTGCGGATGAAGTGATCAACTGCGAGGCGACCGTTGAGCTCGTTGAAGACGCGTCTCTGCGAAGGCGTCATCACCGGTCTCAACATGTACTGGAGGTGCTGGTGGTAAAGCAGCCAGTCAAGCCCGTGCTCCAGAGACAGGCGCATCTTAACAATCACATTATAAGACTGCATGGAAAAATTGCCAGCTTAAACAACATCTTACTAAAAAGTATCAGAGTTTAAATTTTTTCGATTTTCCTTTGTTGTGTACAGCACACAATTTTTTTTAAACTTTTTTAAACATCGGAATAAAAATAATAATGCCACGCAAGCCTCACTCGAGTGAAGCTTACGCGGAAAAACAAATTTGATTGAAAATTCGGACCTTTTTCCAACTATTAAATGGGTACGAAAAATCTGTTCGCTGTATTGAAGTTTTTCAAAATATTTCGAAGGAGCCACTGTGTTGTAACATCAAACTGAAAAAAAAAACAAACAAAATTCTCTACGCAGTCCTGCGGCGTAGTTTCATGGCCAGAAAAAAGGGCCGGATTCGTCAAAAGTCCGTTGGCAGCCATGATACCTGGAAAAGTTTAGTTGTTAATGTTTTAAAGCAAAATTACCGGAGACGCCAGTTTCCTTGGCCAAATCGATAGCTTCTTGTCTGGTTGTGATTCCGCCATTTGCAATTATCGGCACATTCACTGCGTCCTTAAAAAGAAAGAAAAAAATTAATAATTATTGTGAACCGTTCACATTAATTATTCGCAAAAGCTTCTCGATCGATCGGTTCCGCTCTCTGGGAAGGCGTCCGTCCATGAACGGTCAAATGAGTTACACCAGCGTGTTCCGCCTACATAAAATCGAAACTTCACATATTGTTACAAAAAAAAAGAATAATAATTGACTCCATTTTTTAGATCTACTGAAACATATAATTAAAGGCGTACCGCAAGAGACGGTCAGGTTTCAAAACAGCAGCAAAAATAAAAATTTACTATATATACAAACTTTTGCTATATACAAAACTGCTAAAAGGACAGCGAAAAACAAAGGTCTTGAAGAGAAGTGGGGTCAAATTTGATCTAAATTGGTGTACGGTCTTTTGGGAAAAAAATATGACAAGCTGGCGCGAAACAAACTATAAAAACTTAAAAAGAATCTAAATAAATTCACAATGAAAATTTAAAATAAAATAAAAATTATACCAAAATCCCTCAAAAAGTTTTTCTTAATAAAGTATATCAGAAAATTGGAATGCCTACCTGCCTACATAAGTCAACTGTTCGTTCGATAGGATAGTTAATGCGGATTTTCAGCGACACCTAAAACTGCTAAATTGTTAGAAAAAAAAACATTTAAAAAACACTAAAATCCGGGTTCGGAACACGCTGCCGTGTCTGTCGTACCATATCCGCCAATAGTTCGGGCTTACTCAAGAGTGCGCTGCCAAATCCTTTGCTTCGAACGTCATGTTTCGGACATCCACAATTTAGATCAACTCCAGATGCACATCTGAGCATAAACTATTGAAAGAAAAAAATAATAATGAAAAACGTACACTGAAACCATTTCAGCGGCAGCCGCTAACACGAAAGGATCGTCAGTGGCAAACTGTACAATCGTCGGAGAATCACCCAAAAAAAAAAAACAATTTTACATAACAAAAAACTAACTGCGAACCATCGCATGTTGAAAATTCGCTGCTTCGACATTTGGCGGATTCTAAGAAGTTCTTGGCGTAAATCATTGGTGTGTAACATACGTCGACATCATATAATCTTACTAATTGACGAAAAGCCAACCTAAAAATTACGAATTCTTCTTTTCCTAGTCTGGCACATTTTTTTTACTTCGAATATCGAACCATGGGAGCGAGATAAAATTTTGGACGAGAAGTTGGCGATGGTCGTTCACCGTCGCAGTCGTTCAAACGCATAGCTGATATAAGAAACCGTTTGAAATCAAAATAAAATCCACGAAGCCAGAATAATCCGCCTTATTTTCCGAAAAAGTTGAACTAGTCGTAAGGTTTAATGTATTGCGTGCAAGAACATGAGGTACGCTACAGTATCCAAAAATACTTGAGAAAACATCTTAGCACTCGAAGCCCTTATCAAATAATGGCTTAGGCTTTGCTACAAAATTTGAATAACAATCATGATAATTTTATTTAGAAAAATTTACGTTTTCTTCATTTTTGATTCTCCGCGAGTTTTCGAATTCAGTAAACAGTTTTAAAAAGCTTTGGCCAGCTACATCTTTTCAATCAATCCTATTCGGAAAATCTAGATACTCATTTATTTGCTGTAAGAATTTGGGTGGATTGAATTTGATGGCTGAAACTTGTAAAAAATTTCCATTATGATCGATAGCTTTTTATTAGCACAACAAAAATAAAAACGAATATTTCAAAAGATAAAGCAAACAGAATTTCAAAGAATTTATTTCACGTGAACGCATTTTCTCGAAAATCGGTAATACTGTACAGTAGGAGAAGGACATAATGTGGCAGCTTCATTAGTCGATTGAAAGTTTATATGAAAGATCTTGAAAAAAGCTTGAAGATTCATTTTTTAAGTAACAAGTGGAAACTCGAGATAACGTTGAAAACGAAGCAAAAAAAACACTATCCATGAGATTGAATCTCAAATATTACGGCTTCTTCGTAACAGTTTTCGGGCTAAGGCTCGGAAGTCGATCGCCTCGTTGAGTTTCTTGGCGATTCCGGGCGGCGGGATTTGTCCAGGAGGTCCGTCATGGACGACGTGCACAATTCGACGTACAGAACTTGGTCCAACGGGTCCTCTCCTGCTTTTCGCAAACGGAAGACGTCGACGATGCAGAAGCAGAGGATTGCGACGAGTCGAAGACGTCAATGGGGATCGTAGGCCTGCCACATTTAAACTTTATTCAGCTTGGTCCGAAAATTCCAAGCACGCTGAACTGTTTCTTTCAAATTGAGAGTTCAGTTCCGCGACTTCTTGAAAAGCAGAGCTTCGTTCTCACTTCTCTCACATTTCCTCTTTATAACTCCGGCTAGATTATTCTACGTATGCCACACTCGTTTCAAATGTGAAATTGTTCAAATATTGGTAATTTTAAAGAATAGAGATTCTAAAAATAAAATGGGTTCAATTTATATCGATGTTTCTCTGGTATCTCCTTTCCTTTGAAAATTTCTTCTCTCGAAAAAGTTTTATGAGATAGATAGTTTATTTTTCTATTTTTGACTTAAACCGATCAGAAAGTGACTCACGAGTCGCTATTGGAGCTCTCCCAACAGAAGTAGGTCTGAAAAAAGTAATCAATCTTTCACTTAAAAAATCCAACGTCTTTTATCTTTTCAGTTTATACTTTGAAAAAAAGTTTTACCTTCGACGTTGAGCATCACCATAAGCCAAAAGAGCGGCCAAAATCGCCAACGTGAATAGAAAAAACGTTGGAGTACGCATAAAACTGCTTTCAAATACTCTGAATATCAGAAACTACCGTAGTGAAAAAAGAAATCTTAAACGGAAGGGCGGAGCTATAAATAATTCGCAATTGAGGAGGAGAAAAAAGGAAGCGTGCAAGGCCACGGCGGTCGCCATCAGGTGCACACTACCTGAAACTTAAACATTTTTCAAGTGGCGGTTTTTCCTCCTCTATTATTATTAGCCAAGTGGCAAATCATTCTCAAAATGGCTAGTTTTTGTGTACTCTGACCAAAAATTATTGGGTATGGCTAGCACGTTTGCGGGAAATTTAGGGGAATTCCGTTGCAAACACTTTTGCAAATATTTCCGTGTTCTGAAAAAAAAAACGCTAAAAAATAAACTTTCAGCTCAAGACCCAAGGAAAAAAAAATCGAACAGTGATTTTTGATTAAACTCTCTCTCTGAGAATCGCAGTGAAGGTCGCTAGTTTCCAATTCTCATTTAAAAGGTTAATTGCCTTGTTTTCGTCGAGCGATTTCAAATCGAATGATATGAAAGAAAACGCGACAAATTTCGTCGTCATAGCTTTCCTATTGATATATTTCAATAAATCATCACCGATCAAATAACTCATTTCTTCCTGTCTAAAGTTTGACGGAAAAAAAAACATTTCCATTTTTTTTCATTCCCATTCCCATTCCCATTTTCAAAACACAAACACCACTCACGAAAGCGTGTCTCAAAAGCCAAAAATTACACAGAGAAAAAAACAAAAGAAGGAAAAAAAAATAACTAAGAGACTAATTTCTCGACTAGTGATGGACAAGGTCATCTTGTGGGCAGAGAAAAGAAATTAAAAAAAGGAAACTGAACAAATAGAGAAAAAGATTAAAAATCAGAAAAAAACAAATTCGACACATCAAAAGGTACACCGACAATGATATGGCCTAAAAGATGACGTTTACAATTCAAGCTGCTATAGTTTTGAAAAGTTTTTCTATTTCGCTCCACTTTAAGCTTAGCATTTGAACTCCTTATTTGTTAGCGCGCTATCTATTTTTTCAGCGACTATCCACTCTTTGAAATGTTTTTTTAAATTATAAGACAATTTTTCCATCGACGTGAATTTTATTTCCCGACCCATTTTTTGGATTTTTTCTGGAGCCTCTAGTCTTTCAAATCACAACGTCGATGTGTCGAGGAAGGAGCATGATCAACCATATTTTCTTCAACCTTCTTGCTATTTTTTCGTTTCAACTTCGAGTGCAACTTTTATTGCAGATAAAAAATCATGAACACCCCGAACGCAAAAAATCACAGACGAATTTCCAGTAGAAAGAGACTATTTTCTTGCCGTCTCATAGTTGTCAACAAACCATTCGACACTCTCCTTGATGGCCGTTTCAAAGGGCGTGAATTGGAAGTCGGGCAATAGCCGTCGGAGTTTTCCGTTCGACGCCGTCTTTTTGAACTGTCCGTCGGCCCGTGACGTATCGTAGGCCACTTCTCCCTAAACCTTGGTTTTGATAAAGTTCAGAAATTCAGGGGGGCTTATGAGAGGTTCTCCTAGTTTTTGCTATAAACCTTTTTTTTGAGATGGAATCTTCACTTTTCAAGTTATAAAAGTTTTTATATCAACGAATATTACGGTCTGTGAACTATTAAATAATAGGCAAGAGTCTCAGGTTTGAAAACTTTAACTGACAGTCTCAAGCTTAGAGATTTCAAGTGGCAGTCCAAATTTGGAATTTGAAACTTTCCGCTGACAGCTCTCAGATTGGATATGACAAAGGGCAGTCCGAAAATCAGAGTTTCCAACTGGCGAACCCAAGCTTGAAGCTTCTAACTGGCAGCCCGAAATTCAGCGTTTCCAGCTGGTAAAACCAAAATTGGACTCGCCGATTGGGATAACCGTAGCTTCATAAAATTGGTATATCTACCTGGAAGCCGATGGCCTTAACTACGGCATTGACGGCATCGGAAATCGAGACTTCATCTTCCTCACCTACGGATAGAATGATGGGATCGACTTGCTGGAACATGAATATATTTAGAAAAAGTACAATTTTCATCAAAACAAACATCGTAACTCCTCATAACCCAAATGAAAAGACGGGCCAAATCAAGAGAGTAAATGAACTGTCGAAGAGGACGACCCGTTCCAAAAACCTGCAAATGTTTCAATGACTGAATTTTTTAAAAATTCGGATTTCTAGTTTTTTTTTTCTCTAATAAAAACTGACTTGAAGAGGAGTTCCATCGCGTTTGGCGACGTAGGCCTTGTGGATCAACGCCGGAAGGACGTGTCCGGCCTGGAGGTTGTAGTTGTCGTGAGGGCCGAACACGTTACAAGGGACCACCGAAGTGTATCTAAAAATAACAATATCCCATCATAACAAGTTCTTAAATTTACTAAAGAATCCTCACGATTTCCACTTCGACTAAGCTGAAGTGAACAGTACCGAATATCTAATTGAGGAAAACCTTCGGCCGTGTTCCTGGGCGTAACCACGGTTCAGGGTGTCGATCATTCGCTTGGCGTAGGAATAACCAAAGTTGGAATCATGTGGAGGACCGAGATGAACCTGAAAAGCAATTTCTTCGATTTTTCCTTTTTTTGGACTGAAAAGTAATTATACCATGGTTTCATCGATGGGATACGTTGTTTTATCCGGGAAAATGCACGTCGACAAGCAAGAAACGCACTTTTTCACGTCAAACTCGTGGCACATGGCAAGAACATTGTCGTTGATGGCCTGAAACTTTCGATATAAGAAAATGGCCTTCAGGAAATCCTCAGATGAACCATGTTCCTTCTGAAAAACTGCAAGTTGTGCGCGAGGTTGTGAAACAATCCGCCGACCATCGCCGCCAAATGGATGACGTGCGTTGGTTTGACGCGCTCAAAGAGGGCTCTCAAAAAAAAAAATTGTAAGTCCAAAAATTAAGCTTTGAATGTTGGGTTATAAAAGAAACCTCGTTTCGTTGAGATCTTCCAAATTGCAGTCTCGGCTGCTGATAAAAACCCAGTTCTCGTCCTCGCGCTTTTCAGATGAGTTGACAACCTTAAATTTTTCTCTTTTTTTTTTTACTTTTTCGGGACGTCTGGCAGTGCAAGAAAAAATTTGATGAGATAATCAATGAAATTAAACATGCTATTCAAAACAACTTCCGTTCACCATCGAGCTTTTCAATTTCTACAGCCGCTTTTTAGTTTCTGGTCAAAAGTTAGGGGTAAATTGATCGTACTAAAAAAAGTTCTCTGAAAAAGTTGAAAAAAAGGTAAAAAAATATTGTATTAAAAAAATATGAAAATAAACCTGATGAATAGCGCTTCCCACAAGGCCAGTTCCACCGGTCACCAGAACTATTTTCGGCTCTTGCTTGACTTCTTCCGGCATTTCTTCTCCGACGTGGTGACTTTCCTCAGCGCCTTCAAATTTTGACTCAAATCAAAAATAATTTTATTCGAAAACTCGTTCTGACAAATTTAATCAACAAAAAAATTTAATTACTGAATATTGATGAAATACTTGCAATGAAACACAAAAAAATGAGCTCGAAAAACCGTATGTAAATTCGAAATTTTTTTGATTTTTTTCTCGCTATGAAAAATTTTTTTCAAAAAAATTGTGATGTACATTTTTAAGATACATTGAAAAAAATATCAGACTCAAAAATTTTTCAAATTTTGTGATCAATTTTTTTCAGCTTTTTTTATATAAATCAGAACTCACCCATTTTGAACAGAAAAATTGAAATAAATAGTCAGAATATCTAAATTACAACTTGGTTTGGCGGATTTTTGGAGAGAATATTTGCAACTAACGTCATAGAACACGGATCTCGAGTGTGATTAAAATCTCGCAAGCGGAGATTTCTATCGGTTTCGCCCTTTATAGAGAATCCGACTTCAAAAAAGGCTTGATATCAAGGATTGAACTTATATCGCAGTTATTGACAAGCAAAAATCCACCAAAAGAAGCTCTTTTTCATAGTGTAAATATTGCAAAACATATGAATAGACGGAAAAAGTCGATCGAATCGAATTATAAAAAGGAAAATAGGAAAAAAGAGATGGAAAACGGCCGAAAAGCTGAACCAATGGAAAAAGGGAACCATTTATGTGCAAGGCAGCCGCTGCCACGGTGCAGAACATTTTCCTTTGTTTGCTTTTTCGCTTCCAACTTCTATTTTATCGTATCAAGAAATGGGAGGAATTAAAAATATTCATTTCGATCTGAATTTTGAGAGAATAAGCTGAATTAAAACTACATTGAAAGATACTCAGCCATAATTTCAGAAAAAAATGGAAAAATTAATCTTGAAAAATTAATTTAAAAAAATTTTCTCCGATCAAAAACTAACCTTCTCATATTCGCCCTTTGTCCTACGAATGAGAAAACCACATTGAAAAAAAAGAAAAACAGATTTCAAGCAATTACATCCGAAATTAGTTAATCACGCCGAATATTTCGAAATAACCGAAAAAAGCAGAAAAATATAAACAACAAATATTAGTGCTCCAGCATAAAACTTGAATTTCACGAGTAACATCAAAAAATGAACATGGAAAACGTTTATTCTCAAGTACACTAGACAAAACTCACAACCCGAAAGATTTACTTAGATTGAATGGTTTCAAACTGGGCGAAGAACTAATTAGGGGAGAAACCGGAGAAAAATAAGCAGAAATAAGTGACGGAGCGTTTTTTAGTGCAGTCAATTCATTCTGGAGTGATTTCAGAGAATCAATGAACAATCTTTGAATAAAATACAAAAAAAGGAAATATTATACACTGGAAAAAAGCTATTGTTTGGGAAATGAGACTGAGAGAAGTTGCGAATGTATATGAAAAAACTTTGGGATCCTACTCGGGTCGTTTCTCGGCGTGCTTCTTGGTGTACTCCTCGGCGACCTTGTTGAACTTCTTGCGGTCCTTCACCCATTCCTCGGCGATCTCGGCGCGCGTTGGATGCGACGGCTCCGGCTCGTTGATCAACGACATCAGCGCCATCATAACTAAGAGAAAAGAAAGTTTGATCCTTGAGAAATCACAGACTTTGAAATAAGGAGAACGGGACGAACGTTGAATTATGCTCAATTATAAGATTAATTTTTGAAACGTTCTTACACATTCCAATGATATTTCAAAATGAGGAAGACTCACGAAAGCTTGAAAAATTTTGAGCTGATGCCTAAAATAATCGTCAGTTTCCCTGGAAAACCAACAAAAAAAAGATCAAGACTTTATAAACAGCCTTTCATAAGAATTAAAAAGAAATGAGAAACCAAAAGGAAAGCCTACTTTGAATTTAGGGAAAAAAATTCTCTAGTTGACCTTTTTTTGCACTTATTCCTTTTCCTCATTTTCATATATCTTCAAAAAAGAATGCCTAGCCAGATTTAAAAATCACAAGACTGCTATTTGAAAAAAATAATATTAATCTTTTTTTAAATAATCATATTAACTAAATAACTTTTTTTGTGATGTAAATGTTTTTTTGAGATGTTTTTGTAAAAGTTCCGAAATAAAAAATTTTCAAACCTTGTTCAGTACGCGTGGCAGGCTTCCAATTTTCCGGAGCTATGATTGGAAGGCAGACTTTTCCTTCTTCGTCAATGTTCGGATGGTAGATTTTGGTGGCAAAAATGATTTGCGGAGGTTTGAATGGGTAGTCGACGGGGAATTTGATATTGACGCGGAATGCGCCCTTATTGTAAGGCTCCTTGTCCTGTAAATGGTCTTTGTATATATATTTGTGGAAAATAAACTAAAAAAAAATAAATACTAACCGGAACCAGTAAAATACTCCAGTTTAGGAGATTAGTTTCGTCACATTCGACATTTTCGTACGCCCTGACGCCGCATGATTTCAAGTCTCCGAGCTCCTAATTTACTTTTTTTGTAAACTTTAAAAAAAAAAGAAAGCTAGCACTAACTTTCTGAAGTCGACGTGAACCAGCCATCCTGTGTCAAATTCGCAACCTGAGAATGATCTATATAAGGTGACTGACAGGAAAAGCTCAGGCATCGTGCGAAAATACATCAGGGAAATCCAGAGAAGGTAATCGGAAAGAAGTTGGAAAGTAAATGGCATCTAGAAGGTTTCGAAAAGGCCTAAATAATGTTTTCAGAAGGCAGCTCGAAGGCTCGAAGGTCATGGAAGGTAAAGAAAAGGAAAATTCGAGAAATCTTCCAGGAACCTTCTGACAGATAATTAAATGGTATTGGCAAGCTGAATAGGAGGCGTTTGACCACTTTCTAAAAATTTCAAAAGGCCTTCTAAGAAACAAAAAGCAGAAACTTTCCAACACGTTCCAAATATTTTTCGAGGATTTTCCTAAATTAAACAAAGACTTCAATTAATTATCTCATAAGATATGACGCGCCTCAAAGCAATGCGATTTCTGCTCAAATATCTTGGAAAATAATTATTATCTCGAAAAATTTTCACTCACACGTTTCTGGAGCGTTTCTTTTTCTGCCTGAGAAAAAGACGTATAAAGAGAAATTTTCCTTATTGATGAAGAGCGTATGTGGAAGGAAAAAGTCCTACTAGATAGTTTCACATAATTTTAACATCTATACAAAGCTAAGAGCATTGGAAATTAAGAAAAAAAAAACACGTGAAAGAGTATTGAGAAATGACGACGGTTTTGTTGACAAAAAAAACATTAAAAAAAACAATTCGTGCAAACACCGCCACGACAAACACGGACGACTGTTTCACCGTAACCCGGTAATTGAGAAGAAAAAGCTCCAATACCTAAGACTACCGCATATGCGCATATGAAGCGTTCTGACTCTTTTTTTCATTTTTGAATATGTTCTGGGAACCTGCGTTCTTTTGTTGCTATTGGAAACGTACGACTTTTTTTTTCACTGAATTTTCGCAAGGAGCCAGATTTATAATGCCGTGTTCAATGTGCTTTAAAATTTTTTTTTTTTGAAATGCGGCGAATAAGATAAAAAAGCTTCTTAATAGTACGTGATCGCCCTAGCAAAGACTCTTGCATCTAATACGTCTTGCGAACAAACTTTGAACGCGGCATAAAGCTTCAAAGATTGAGCCAATAAACTCTGACAAGATTAAGGTGATTCCCTTAAACTCTACAGTCGAGAAAAGATAATAATCAAGGAAAAAAAAATGAAAAGGTTTATTTATACCGATTTATACATGAATTCATAGAGGGAAAAAGAAAGGAAAAGGCACAAATCAACTAAATCAGTCATCTCACAAAGATATTATGGATACGTCAAGAACAAAGTCGATGATATCAATCTTGAGCATAGAAGAAAAAAACTAAATCAAAATTATATGAAGGTTACTTGGAGACCAAAAAAAAAGACAAGGTTAGTTTTTCAGCTGTTCTGTTCAATATTTACGACGAGAATTGAAAAGTATATCTCTGATTCTCTCTGTCGAGAGTTTTACATGAAAAAGTGAAACTATCGAGTTCTGAGCGCGGTTTTTTTCCCTTCATCGGCTCAGATGCCGAGCTCGCGGCGGATTAGGGCGGTAACAAGTCGGAATGGGCGTTGCTCGTACTCAATGTACTGCTCCTTCTCGATTTTCACTTGGTCGCCGTTCATCCGATTCAGCAGCGTCACACAGACGATCGCGGCTGAAAGTTTTACTGAATTACTGAATTATGAGAAGCCCAAGAGTTCATAAAAGCGTTCACCGTTCATGGATTCAGAAATTTTTGAATTTGTCAAATTTTGTTTCAATCGAAAAATCAATTCTTGGGCTTTCAATAAAACAAAACTCCGCGTTAAAAGTTTCATTTTTTCCCTGACAATCATGAAGAAAACTTTTTTCGTGACTAATATACCCTGAACACCAGCGCGATACGTCATCGAAGCGAAGCAGGTGCTCTCCATTTCGATGTTCCGGACTCCCAAGGTATAGAGCTGGTTCAAAAAGGCGAATTTCTCCTCGGGCTTGTAGTCACAGAAAAATCCGTCCAGCCGCATTTGGCCTGAATAGAAAAATAGCTGATTTCCAAGCTTATAGGAAAATCACTAGTTTTCGCAAAATTCAGAAATCAAGAGCCTTCTGAAGGGGGTGTCAAGTATTTCACCGATTTACACTTGACCACATCATTCATAGGCTGTCATGAGATCCAGAGCTATAAATATAGTTCTACCAGAATTTAAGAAAGAAAATTCTCCACCACTTTCAAAACTGTGAGATAGCTTACGTCAAGGCTACAAAGCGTTTATAACCCTTTAAGTCCGTCCGACTACAAAACGACTTGCGCAAGTGGGAAAAAGTGTCACGAGACGCTGAGGATCGCATGGAACAAAAGTTTTTTGACAAGGACATAACGGCAGTCTTCAAAGAAACATATAAAAACAACACGAAACTCTCGCGTCATAGAGCAAAAAAACCCCAAAAAAAACTTAAACAAACTGCAACTAAAACTTAAAGTGAATAGTCTTTTTAGAAAAGCATTTAAAAAAAAGAGACATTCGGTCTAACTCTACACCCTCACATCCCTCACCTTCATAGAAATCATCAGCACAAAGAGTTTTGCCCTGCTCGACGGGGATGTTCATCTCCTTGCCGATTCCGAGCAACTTGAGGCGCAGCGTCTCGTCGAGGTAGGTGTCCCTTTCGATCCGTTTGCCGGCGATGACTTGGATGTACTTGTCGGTGAGCTCGGCGTTGACGGCGCCAGTGGAGACGACGACGGTTCCTGGCTCAACGCCGACGCCGCCAGAAGTTCCCAAGCGGATGAACCTGAAGAAGGTCGAAAATTAGTACATCAAAGGGCTTGAAAGTGGAATTTCTCAAGGCCATTCCAAAAATCTCACTTGACGTCTTTGGCTTTGGCGTGATGCATCAATTTGAGGGTTTCAACCAGCATGATGCTCAAGGAAGGCGTTCCCATTCCGTGCTGAAAAAAACTACCTTTTACACATTTTTCTTAAAAATTCAGAAGCTGAAACTCGTTCACCTACATTGATCCAGCACACTTGGCCAGTCTTGTAGATCACGAATCGGTCGCTTTTCGACAGGTTCTCACTGCAAGGAAGCCCTGACTCCTTAGAAAACCATTCGGCGTAGAGCTTGAACCGGCCAGGAGATCCACCGGTGCAAACAAACTGAAAGTCATCAAATTAACGTATTAAAAATATATTTTTTTTAATTCCGTGAAATCATTTTTCTGTTCTCCTTGGGTTTGTTTCAAGATTTCGGAAGTTTAGGTCTTATTAATCCAACCTGGCTTGCGCGTTTTCAGACATTCTCGATGATCGAAAACTTTTTTGTATTCAATCCCAATTTGACAATGAGTACGATTGATCGAGAAAGTAGACTGTGAAGAAAATCATTTTTTATTTGAAAGCAATTTATAAACTCCACAATTAACTTAAATTTCGCCTTTTTTCGTGAGGCTATAACTCTTTATGTCCTACATACTTAAAACTAATTGATTAAGAATGAAAGAACGATAACGACGCGCAAATTCATTCATTAGCTGGTTCATTCAGAATAAAAAATTTCCAACAATATTTTTCGAATTTCCCAGCAAGTAGGTCCATAAAAACATTCCGACGATAAACCTCCACTATGAGCCTTCACAAAGAAAATGGAAAAACCTTGGTGTCGCCGAAAAGTGCGGGAATATCAATGGTTTTAACACCAAAGCCGAAGTGATATAGGAAGTCCTCTTCGGCGCTTTCCAAATACTTGTTGGTGGGTCGAAGTTCGTCGTGGTTGTGGACGACGCCGTTAACATTACCGTTGGGCAAGGATCCGTTCATTTTCCCCTGGAAAATAAGAGAAGGAGATACTATAAATCGAAGGAAGAGTGCATCGCAATTATCTTATTTGTATCGGAATCACGAGGTTTTCCATCAAAAAGAAAGCGTATGACTCAATTTTATAATTTGAAGCTGTACTCCGAAAGTTTTTTTGATCTTATGAACTTTAACTTGAACATCAAAAATATTTCCCAGAAGCCGGATAAAAAAATCATTGCTGTATTAACAAATATTTCTCAAAAATCCAAGATTTTGTTCTCTTCAACTCAAAAATGAAGCCTGAAAACTTTCTCTTTTTTTTTTTGAAATTACGAAAATTCCCAGAAAATCGAAAATTGCTCTTCGATCCTAACTAATTCTTGCCAAAAAAATTCCTGACCTACATGATTTCTACAGTTGATTTTTACGATATAAAACGTTTCGACCTAAAAAAATTATCTTGAAAAATATGTATGATTCAAAAAAATAAAGCCTGTGATTTTCTTTTTAAGCGCCTGGCATCTAAAACCTGTAAGAGTTTTTATTTTAAAAAGCTCAAAAAAAGTCCAAAAAGAACTAAACAGATATTCTGCCGCAGGAAAACAAGAAAAGAAAAAGAAAAAAGAAACACGCGTGCGAGGAAAATGGAGTGAAAAGAAAAAGCCTGGGAAAAGAGTGGGAGGAGGGCAAAAACATCCAAAAAGAGCGTGTGCACGTGGTCGGGTCGGAGCGGAGGAAATCAATCAAGTCACCTTTAAGGACTTGGTGAGATAAAATAAAAAAGAAAGATAGAAAGTGAACTCTGAACTTTTACAACTTTAAAATAGAGAGGAGCTTGTCGCAATAAATTTTTAAAGAAAAAATTTTAAAAATGAGTTTTGTAATTTGGAATTTGTCTTATTTCTACGTGAAAGTTATGGACTTTCAACTATATACGACATATATCCGTTTCGGTGCTTCTGCGAGTGCCGAAAAAAAAAAATGATAAGTGGAAAGTAAACTCCATGAAGTTCCGATCAGTCTAGGAAGAAAGTCAGCCCATTAAACCCGAAGCTGGAAAAAATTATGATTTATAGTAGAGCTTCGAAATCAGCGATAAATATCATTTTTAAAAAAAGTTGCGCATTAAAATACGCTTAACATAGGGAACTAATTTTTTCAAATCAACCCAAAAATTTTTTGAATTTCATAGAACAACAAGTATAAAAAATCTCCTTTAAGCTTTTGATACTTTCAGCCGAAGAAAAAAATTGACGTTGATAAGCCCTTGTCTGTTTTTTGTTGTATAAACCATTGGCAGAGACCAAAAGTCCAACGAATAACTAGTTTTAACGATGGTACAAAACCAAGGACGACATTTTTCTTTTGATTTGACGATAAGAAAACAGTTCCAGTCGGGTAGGTGACAAAAATAACAGTACTCAATCAAATCTCTAAGGAGGCCGCAAAAAAAATGAAAGTATTTTTAGACATCATTTTCGTTCCGCCCTGCAGAAATTTCTTATATAAATGCGCTAAATTAAACTGAAATTATAAAAAATTCTCAATTCTGAAAAAATGAGTTTTTGAACAATTTGTTCAAAAATGAACATCAAAATCCTTGTTTCCATAAGTCAAAAGAAGTTTTAGAAACTCTCGAAATTATTAAAAGATAGAGGGCAAAAAAAAGCGTTCCTTATCAATTGAAACCAGTCCATTTTTTTTAATTGCAAAAAATTTAATAGCAGCTCAAGAAAAATAAAAAAAAGTATCGACTTTAGTCATCAAACGTTTTGCCAAAGTAGCGCCACCATTTTTTTCAGCTTTATCACGACTTTCAATCTTTTTATCGTGAAGAGAAAATCATCATTTTGCCAATAAAAAACCAGAAGAATGGCCGTAAATTGGGCGACGATAAAAGTTTTCTTTTGTTAATGAAGATAACACACAGGTAACGTGTCTTGGAGTTTCATGGACCCACAAAATGGCCACCCTTGTTCCTTTTAGAAGAACCAAACTGGAGCTGAATTTTGCATAATTTTTATACGTTCTTTCTATTAATTTGTTCAAATTTGAATGGAAAAAAACGATTATAAAAGCGTGTAAGAAATTTAAGAAAAAAATGGACTTTAAATTAAAAAGTTAGTTCCACACATGAATTTAATTCCGAATACAACACACGCAATAAAAAACATTTTTTTACGGAAAAATAGCCAAATTCAACAACGTTTGCGAGTTTATTGTCTTGACGACTGAAAAAAATTCGAACTAAATTTATCGTATATCCAAACTTTGGAAGATAGAAAATGAACCGAACATTATTGGGGCAAAAAATTTTATCTTTATGAAATTTTAAGGTTGGCTAAAAACTGAGAAACATAAAAAATGCGAAGAAACATAAAATAAAGAACTTTATGATAGAGCATAGCGTTAAAATACGGGCGCGAACTAAAAAAGAAAAAGAAAATGGAGATCAAAGACAGAAGGGACCGCCCACTGAAACGCAGCAAGTCTAATGACGTCGTTGGTCTCAAGAGGAAAATTTTGAGTCAGAAAAAAGAGCGAGAAAGAATCTGCCGATCCAATACAAACACAATTCTTCGCACCCGGCCAAACTACTGGGTTCAGCTAAATCTTTTTATTTGACGACAGTTCAGGTTGACTTTTCGCCGCAATTTTTCTTCGACACATTCGAGAGACACACTGTTTAAAATTTTTCTTACCTTGAAAGCCTAAAATAACTAAAAATGCTCATTGTTTTTTTTTACTCAAGATTAAACGTTTTCAATATCATGTGAAACCTCTCTATGAAACTGTTAGGACCTCGGCTAACGTAATATTTTGTAAAAAAGGCAGGCTCCGCAATCACCTACAACTCTCGTGAACAAGTGCCAACGAACTGAGTATAAAAAGCCGATCTCGACTATACTTTCAATTAAAATACCTCACAAAGCCTGAGAAGGAGCCTACCATCTATCATCAAATTTTTCAGATTACTTATGAGCTCTCAAAATGTTGCCAGACCCTTTTTTTTCAAGAAATTCACCGGTACTTGGAATGTCACGACGGCTGTGAATCGAATATGCTATCATTTTGCTTATCACTGACCGTTCACTGATGCTCAGAAGAATGACTCGAGCCAAACCATTAAAGTGTTGTGAGCCTGAGAGAAAGCAATAAAAATGAATGACGAAAAAGTGAATCCTAGATAAGAATGCGCCAAGAAGAAAAATATCGGCTATGTTTGTTGAAATTTTTTTTTCGCTTTCTAAATATAGAGCGAATCAAATTTCCGAGAAAAAGAGTTCATCTAGACGATAAATTTTCCATGAAAAATCTTAAAAGTGATAATATCTTTCAAAATCAACAGAAGCTACTTCAAAACCTCGACTAAAAAAATGAAAAAAGAACAACGGCGACAGTTCTCGGTAATTAATGAGTCTTTGCATATACCCATGGAGGCAAAGTAGATTTTTATCTCCTAAAAGCTAATTAATTACCATACCTTGGACCATTTTTGTTTTACGCCGCCGTGTTGCCTTTCTCGATGCTATCATACTCGTCCTTCACACTTTTTTCTTGAACTGAGCTGGAAATTTTCTTTGAAAAACAATGAATTGCAAGGCCAATCCTCACTAGACAAAAAGATTGAGAAAAACCAATGGTTATTTTATTTAGAAAAAATAAATAAATAAGTAAACATTCGTGTCATTGAGAAAATAATCAAAATCACACGGTAAGAGAGAAGGGTTACAGAAAACTTAGAAAATTTAGAAAAGCTAAAGTAAAAATGAAAACTTTAAGAAAAACTTTCCAAGACTATTGGAAAAAAAAGAGGAAAAGCTTGGTTTTCATGCGAGATTCCATAAAGTTGTGAATTCCTGTGTGGTATTTCTGAGGACACGTTTCCGGCTGGGTTGCTTTACATTTATGTACACGTAAAATTGGGTTCTACAAAAAATATGAGAGTTTTTTGTCTTTTCGAGACTGAATGAAAATTGATGAATAAATTATCACAACCAAAACAGAATTTATAAATAAGTACAATAATTATGAATAGTTAATGTCTCATTCGTTTGAGACGTTTGCTGAAGTTGTACTTGACCTGACGCCAGCGCTTGTGATAGAATTTGCTCAAATTGATACCTGAAAACAAAGTTATATACAAAGCTGAGCTAATTCAGTTATTAGCTCGAAAGAGTTCTTTTTAGTGATATTGGAAAAAAAAAAATAAAAGTCCAAAAAAAAAATTGCGAAATGGATGGTCAATTTTGAGTTGAAAAAAATTCGGGACTGCCAAATTTAGGTTTGATAGAGTTGAGACTACCTATTATGATTTCATTACATTTCGGACTACCAATTTAGTTTTCATAAATTTAGGCGTGCCAATTTTGAATTGGAAAATGGGGCCGCCCATTTCGAGCTGTAGTTTGGAACCACCAATCTCAGAAATCTCCGAGACACTGCCAGTTTGCGTTAACCAGGGGAAACATTTTATTGACAATTACAGAATTTTTTCGAACCTCTTCATATTTCATAACTCGCCTATTGATGCGGAAATTTTCCGTGCTTCTCGAATAATTTTAAAAACTAACCAGCTAATCCAACCGGTGAATCATCTTCATTGAATGTCTTGCAATTCCTAAAGAGAAGCTCCATGTCCGCGGCGAAGTCTTCAGGTAAGTCATAACTAGAAAGAGCCGATTTTTCAATTGAATCCATCATGGTTTGAAGCTTACAATCTAGCGTCGACGCGGTCGCGAATCGTACTTAGATCAATCGGATTCGATATGACTTCTCGGTAGCTGGGGACCGCTTTGAAATTGACGGGTTCCATGAAAGGAGCAGAGTCCGGCTGTTGCTCAATTTCGTCAAGCATCGTTCTGAAAAAAAACCTCGAGTTTTCTCTAAAATTTCGAAATTTTTCCTAGAGAAACTTCTGAAGTCCTGATGCTTCTATCGAAAGAATTTTTTGTTAATTAGGGAGCGAATTTTTTTTCCTCTTTTCAAAACAAACCGGCAAAGTTCGACGTTCATCTCAATGGGCAGGACCAAAGGCGCCGATTCTCCGGCCTTACGTTTCACGGCTCTCTTATCATTGCCCAACTTGCCATCCAAATCGCCATTCTCTTCAGGATCCATTCTTTCTTCACTCTCTCCGCGGATGATCACTTTCCGCTCAAAGTTTTGAGTCTAAAAATTGAAATTTAATGATTTCGATGAGCCTTTCGGGAAAAGATAATTAAAAGCTGACCTTAACATCAAGACAATGTGTGCAGACATATTGGGGTCCATCCAACTGATCTTCAGTGCAATCCAAATGGAACGAGTTAAAGCAATGTTGGCAGGACGTCAACGGCGGAGCATCGTTGGAGCAAAGGACACAGAACTTGTGGCCGGTCCGTTCTTCGAGGCACAATGAACAAAACCAATCGCCTTCTGGCACTGCCGTCATCGGCGGCTGGAAAATATGCCGTAAAATTTCGCTCCAAGTTGCCAGATTGTTTTTTTTTTGCACTCTTGAGGCGAAGCAAGCCAATCCAAAAGGACTACCATGAATGATATAGTTATCGGAATGAAAACTTAAAAATCAGATAAGAAAAATGTTTTTTTTAATTTCGAATAAATTGAATGAAAATCTTGATATTATCTTGATATGCTGATATGAATTTTACAAAAATAGTTATTCATGTCAAGTTTGCGATACCTTGAAGCACTCCATATGGAATCCAGTTTCGCAGCCATCGCAGAGGAGCATTTCATCGCCATCGGGTGACTTGCAAATCTGACAAAGGGCCTCTCTGGAAGACCGCTCCCAAGCGATCGACGACTCCAGCATCTTCAAAATAGCTCATTCTCTCCGGTTACTCTCTTTTGATTGTACCTGAAGAGCCGTCACGAGCTGAGCATTGGTTCTTGCTTCATGTGTGACGAAATCCTTCCACTTTTGAGAAAGAGGCACAGCATAACCACAAAACGAAGCAGACGTCGGTTTTTCATCAACTTCCATCGTTTCTTCGTCAATAACCAACGACTTTTCGCTAGCACAGTCGTCAATTTTGCACTCCACCGGTTGAGGTTCCGCACTTCCTTCGACTTTCACAGTCGTGCTGAAAAAATATTCTATTGCTTGGAAGAAGAAGAACTACTTCGCTACAGCCACTCATAGAAGAAAATGAACAACCTAATCATTTTTTCTTTCTTTAATTTTTTTTTCCATCATCCATTCCAAAAGGGTGCGCCGTGACTTACCAATCTCTAAACGCGAATCTGAAGAACCGCGGCTCGACCATCATCTCTGTCTGCAAGATCCTTGACCGCAGCTCGTCGTCAGCAACGTCTTCAGCGTCTTGGACGTCTTCGAAAGCCCAATCGACGTCTTCCGTGGTGGTGGTGGTCGGCGGCGGACCGAAGCCTTCAGATCGCGACGTCGCCGATATCGTCGCTGCGATCGAATTCGCAGGTCGCGCGACGCTCGAATGCACGATCCGACGACGCAGTCTCTCAACCATTTTCGCGATTCTAGACCGATCCCGTTTATCAATAACGTCTCGCGTTGCAGTCGACGTGACAGGCTCCAAGCTCACTGTAAATTGAAAAAAAATATTGAGAAACATTTCATTTTTCAAACTTGTTCCAAACTTCAGGTCACTCAAAAACCAATTTTTGCAGAGAAGCCGATGAAGGCATCTTTCGCGAATACCCCGTCCGTGTAACGAAGTTTTCAAGTGCTCCAAGGCTTCCCTGAAATCCAAAGAATTACATCGAAACCTTTCATCATCATGTAAAAAAGGAGCAGTTCCTGAAAGAATCGGGTGCAAATTTTCTAAATTAGTTGTTTTTGAGTCGATTCTCCCTCGCGTTGAATAAGAAAAGTCCCTTACATGCTGCTGATCGACCACCATCCTCTCTTGAACGCGTTGTCGATCCTTCTGTACCGTCGTCTCGTCTTCTTGTCCGCATTGGCTCGAGTCAAAATGACCTCGTCGACCAGGTCCTCCACGCATCCAATCACATCCGGATCGATAAAATCATCACCAGCTTAATCACTATCCTCAGAAAAGTTCTGAAAGCTCGAGGAAAACCTGAGAAACTCAGTGGATCCTTGGCACAGATTTCCGGGGCGTTGCACGCCGGATTGTGGGGTCCTGCACTTTCGATCGACTCCACCATCACCATGTCAGTGTGAGCCAAGAGCCAGTACTGCCTGGAAAGATTCAGTTCATCAGAATGGCTCAAATTCTGTTCATGCCTATGGTATCGGTCCCAACCAAAGGGAAACGAGCGAACGCGAACAGAAACGTCATGGATCTTGCCTCGGAGCTGGTTGGCCTCCACGCCGAGTTCCGAGATCAGGCTCTCCATTTCTTCGATTGTCAGGTCTTCTTCCTGGACAAAAGAAGCTTTTCGTAATATTCTAGGCTTTTGACAAACCTGTTGAGTCAAAACTTCGCATTGACCTAGGCCAGGAGTGAACTTTTTCTGATTGGCTGGACTCGAAGGCCTCGAATTGTCACTGTCGCTAGCACCACCGCCGTAGTTTTGCTTTTCTTCGTCTTCTTCTTTTGCCGTCAGCTTCCTCTTTTTCTTCTGCACTGCTCTCAAGGTGCGAGCCTGAAAATTTGAAATTCTACAATTTTTTCTAACAATCAATTCTCAATGATTTGCTTCTGAAAACGTTTAAGACGGTACCTTTCCCTCGCGCATCCACTTTTCTCCTTTCAATCTCGAAATCTCCTCAAGATTTCCGTCGATTTCCTTGACAATATTCTGGCAACACAGCAGTTCGTTGCACAAATATGCGAGAATAGAAGCTTTTTCCGTGCCTCCAAGTGACTCAAACGACGACTCGTCGAGCAAGAGTGAGAGCTGAAATTATTCCTTGAACTTCAATTGTCTCACAAAAGCCAAACGAACCGTTTTGCCTTGAGAGTCACGGCTGGCCAGGAAGATTCGCATCAATTCGCTGAAATTGCTGCGGTTCAAACCGATTTCACCAACGCCTTGCCCAAACGCCGTTTTCCCGCTGTAAAACAAAAGAAAAGATCATGGTCTCATTTTCATTCCAATTTGAAACGTAGTTCTAAAAATTTGATTCTTTCATAATTGAAAAAAATACCGTTTTCCATTGGGCAAGCCAGGAAACTCCAATGTGAGCCGAAAAATGATGCGAGTGAGCTCAAGGACGGAGCTCAGATGTCTTTCGTCTCCAACCAGACCAGCGCAAAGTTGCTCGATTTTTGGAACCTTTCCGAGATCTAAAAAAGAACAGAGTTTCACGTTTTTTTTTTAATTGATGAATAACCGATATTCAACACATGAGCAAAGTTCTGTACAAATTCGTGGACCATCAGAGCGTCGGCAAAGCCATTGGAGTCTAGGCATTGGTTGCCGATTCGCGACAGTTCGGGGAGAGGCTGGAAGAAATGGAAACTTCTAAGAACACCTTATTATTATTCACCCTAAACTCGGCGACCAGCAAGTCGTCCATCGGCTCTCTGGTCATCACTCTGTTGCTGCGGGTCTCCTCCTCTTCATGGCCGCTCGTGCTGGGCCCGACGTCTTCCATGTCGTCGTTGAGGTTCTCCAGAATCTCCTCGACGACGGTCGGTGGAGGCGACGGCGACTTCCGCGACGTCTCCGCCTTTTCCGGCGCTGTCGACGAGTCTGAGGGCGACGGCTGTGCGGCTTTCTGCACCTTTTGGCTGACGAATTTCGCGAGTTCTTCGTGAATTTCCTCCTCCGTCATTTGCACAAAGTCCTGAATTACTCCATAAACGGTTCATATTTTCATTTCAGAATCCAACTTTCTCAGGCTCATCCCCGTCGTCTTTCGATTTTTTGACTATGAACTCGCCAACAACCAGCTTCCCACTGAACGAGAAGTTGTCTCTGGTGACGTCACGAATGTTGTTTTTCAGCAGATACTGCAAATGTTATGAAGTTTGAAAGCTCATAGATACTCATTGAGTTCGTGGAAATCAGCAACTCACCCGCATAACTTCCGCATATGTGTTGAGCTTCTTTCCACACGGTGCAAAATAGAAGACGTCGCCACGGATCCCTGAAGCCGTTATAACCCGGACAAACGTCTGTCGTCGCCACCTTGAGAAAAATGCGTTCAATTCACTTTCTCGCTCGGAAAAAAAAAACTCGAATTGAAATTATTTTACCATACAAACTATCACATCGTAGATTGTGTGATTACGACATGAAAACAAAAAAAAGTACTTTAAGCTATCAAAAAAATATGAAATCTGTTTTATTTGATTATGTTATGCAATTGATCTTCTCAGAACACATTTCATGTTTGAAATTTGAAACAAACCCCTTCTCCAGAGCGACACGAGCTTGTTCTTCTGTCGCTGGCGGTCTTTTATTTCTTCCTCCGCCAGCCCCGACGCCTTCATGTCCATTTTCCGACGGAGTAACGCTTCCACCCCGTGAAGATCCTTCGAGAGGCGTCGTGGAGACAGAAAGTTCTGCTGGCAGCGATTTTTTAGCTCTCGTCGATCTACAAGTGCATTTTGAGATATTCCGGATACAATTTTTTTTATGTTATCTCTGTTATCTTTGAAAAATTTCGAGGCAAAAGACGTTTACCCTAAGTGAATTTCAAAAAAGGAAGTGATTAGAACAAAATTGCCGAATAAATTAAAAAAGACGATTAATTTCAAAGTAATTTTTATCTAGAAATTGAATCATCCAATCGCAAAAAAATGCGCAATTTAAGTGATTAAGTTATTGGACACCAAAAAACAGAGTTCTTAGAGCGAAGATGCTTAATTCCTATTTAATTTGGTACACGGTTTGCCGGAAAGAAAAAAAAAGACAAGATGGCGCGGAATGGGCTATAAGTAACTTTATGTCCGTAATTTACTTCACGTATTTTGTAGGAGAGTGTCCACACACCCATTAGCTCTAGTCGGAGTAGCTGGTGGCTGTTTTTTAGCCACGACTGGCGGGACACCATTCTGGACGACTTGGGCGGCTAGGAGTTGCCACATGGCCGCGTCGAGCATCGATCTCATTACCGCATTGTTCGGCGCCACTGGATTCGTCTTTCCCGCTGGCTTGACACTGTAAAGACAACACATGGCTTACCTGATCCTTTCTCGATTCAGACTCACCTTTCCTTGGGCTTTCTGACTTCCCCGGGTTCCAGCCCGTTGTTGGAGGCAGCAGCGGCTGCAGCGACGCGTATCGCCGCCAGTTGTGCCTCATTGGTCAGCTGCGGCTTCTTTTTTGGCGTCGCCACCGCTTTCGGATCGATCCTGACGTGACCGTTCGTGCCGTTTTTTGCTTGCTCGCTCAGTTTCCGTAGAACGTCGTCGAAAGACGGTTGTTGCTGTTGTTCTTGCAATTGCCGCTGTTGAATCTGCTGCTGTTGCTGTTGTTGCAACTGCTGGAAGAGCTGGGCCTGGAAATCAGCCTTGCATTTTTTTGAAATATCTATGAAACGAATTTTTCTGGGCTTTATAATTTCTTCGAAGTATTATTGATTTAAAAATTAAAAAAAAGGAATTTTTCTTTAGCATCAGCGTTGTAGTAAAAACCAGAAACATCTTGAAACGAAAAGAAGAACAGGTACACAAAGAAAAAAATAAAGAATTGGTGGTATGAAATAAAAAAACCAGCGACTTTTTCCGATTTATTATTTTTTTCTTGATCAACTCCTCTTTTCGAATTTTCCCATATCAAAAAAAGATGTATGATTAATGATTAAAAACACGAAGAAAAAGGAAAGTCATGTAATAGACCTTTCATGAACCAAAATATATAAGGAAATAGAATAGACTAAAGATTGTTTTTTGCCACAACATCCGTTGACAAAAAATTATTTAAAATATATCGGTCTTTTTTCTTATAGAGGTTAAAAAAGGACCTGCAGCATGGACTGCCAGAGCATCATCTCCGGAGTGACTCCTCCATTCGCCTGCGGGCCCCGAGTTGCCGCGGTCGCCGCTGCAGCCAACGCGTTGAACTGCGCCGTGGCCATGGCATTTGCCGTCGCTGAAGACGTCGGAGCGACGGCGGGCGCGACGGGTGGTCGCTGCTGCTCCAGCTGTTGCTGTGCCGCAGCAGCGGCGAACATCCGCATCAGCGTGTTCGGATCACACATTTCCTCCCTTCACGGAGTTCTTATCATCAGCTGTAATGAAAATTTAATTTGTCAGATTTTGAAGCGAAAATAACGACGCGAGTTCTTGAGTGTTGGATAGAAAAATAGACAGAAATCTTAAAAAAATATAAACTATAGAAAATCCATGAAAAAATTCAAAAAAATAAAAACTTATAAAAATGCTACAAAAAGAATGAGAAATCGCTCTGGAACGATAAAAACAATCAAACACACTGTTCAAAGTGAAAATGTTTGAAAACACAAAACCTTCGACGATAATCAAAATGTCATAAAAGTTTTTATTTTTTCTTTTGCGAAAAAAAACATTCCAACGTATTTTTCAAAGATCAGAAAGTGAGCTGGAAAAAGTAAGCATGAGATCTGTAAAATTTCATTAAAAAGCTCAAATTCGCTAATATCAAGGCAAATCGAAAATAGGAACCGGAGAACGACCCATGTTTCAAAGTCAAGATGAACGACAAAAGGCTCATAGAGGCATTATAAATTGACTCGGGCAAGGACGATGAGCGGGTAAATGTACAAGAAGACAGGTGCGTGCGCAGCCGTCCTCAATCAACCGAAATCCATTTTGTTATTTGCCACGTTTATGTGATCCAGTAAAAAGGAAGAAGAAGAGAAACTGGACCAGAAACTGTTACGAAAAAATTTTCATAAAATAGAATAAAGTATCAAAAGTGGAATTTATTTTCATTAATTCCTTTAAAATATTACCTAAGAGAAAACTTCGGTGTTTTCCATAAGATTCCTCAGAACAAAACTCATTCAGGAATCAGAAAAAAGACTATAGAAGCAATAATGTTGGTGACCTTTGGATCGTTTCAAAGCCCTAATTACTATTTTTCGAGGAGATAAGGACTGAACAGCACAACAAAAGAAAAACCTTCGATTATGATTAAGATAAGAGGAAAACCACAAAGAAAAGCTGTTGAGCGCTGTTTTACAAAAGTTTTTTGTGAGCGAAGTTTCTAGTTTTAATCAAGATCTGATCTGAATTTTTGTGAGCGAGATTTCTAGTTTTAGTCAAGATTTTTTTTCAAAAGACGTCTGAAACTTCTGGTTTCTCGTACAAAGTTCAATAAAACGAGTTTCCAGGCGTCCATTCACAATTTTTAAATGCTGGTTTTCTAGGATTTATATATTATTGATAAAATAAAGACTACATTAGTGGAATAACTGCAGATAGGACTTGAAGATTCAGTTGAAATAACCTTCCTTGCGTTACTTGATTTTGGTTTTCTTCACTGCGGACTGAATCAACGACGCTGAGCACAATAAAGTCTAATGAGAACCACAAAAACGCAGGAAGCGAAACTAGCAAGGTAGGAGACCATGAGTGGTCCTTCGGAGGTGGCGTGAAAGACGACAGCGTCGTCGTCGTCCCTACCGACGATGTCGAGTCGGTCTTATCGAACGTATCGACACAACTAGCGGCGACACGCAGCCTGAGACAGACAACAGCAGACGGGGGACGATTTCATTTGCGGAGGGCCAAACGGCCGCGTCCGGTGGGTCGGTCGGAGGTTGCCCTCTACCACTCGTGTGCAAATCGTAAGCCAACCACCCACCCAAATGAGTGAGATGGCCGACGCGTCGCCGACGCGATCGATCGCACATTTCGGATATGTGGTGGTGGTGGTCGTCTACAACGGCGCCACTAGAATGGTTTTCGCATCCGTGAATAACTAAGGTTTCAAGAGCTTTGCGACGTCTCCGCGAGATCGACTGCCGTGGTTAGGTCTATGAAGACAAGTGATGAGCCTGACAAATGACTCAACACGTTAAAAACAATTTGAAGAAGAAATACAGCTTCGAAGCTATTATAATCTCAACTTCACAAGATGACCGCGCCAATAAAGTTCAATTTGATTCGTTTTAACTACAAAAATTTAAAAACGCTGTTCCATCACATTGAAAATGTTCAAAGAAAATAAAAACCAACTTTGATAAATAAAAATGATAACGATTTCAAGGAAAAAAATATATATAAAACCTTGAAAACTTTGAGAAAAGAGGAGAAAAATGGTCGAATGAACGAGGTGTCGGACGGCAATGTAGCACTCAAGGATGAAGAGTCGAGCGGCGGTCTCCTCGAACGAAACTGTTTGCCGACCGACTTCTTGGCGGGTCTCCTCGGCCGGCGATAAAGACGCCTCCCTTCCTCTCGCGTCGCCATGTTCGGTGGCGCAGGCAAATCACTCTGTCCGTCAATGAGGTTTTCCGTCGTGGTCGCCAAACAAGCTGTTTTACGAGGCCGAAGGTTCTATATCACGGATTATCTCCCAAAAGATTTGATGACTCTTTTAGAATACTCAAATTCCCACCTAAATACTCTCAAAGGAAGGAAAAAAGTCTTATCATATTGGGAACGCACAATGCTCCAAACCAAAATTCTGGCCTTTCAATTTGAAGTAGTTTTTTCATTTCAACTGAATTTTCGAAACCAAAAAAAAGTTCAAAAAACGTTTACATCGAGTTTTCTGCTTTTCAGAGCTACCAGAAAATAAATTCTATAGCTTTTACCTAAAGCTCGGAATAATAAACTTAACAAATTTACTTCGAAAAACTTAGATATTATCCAAAAGATTGGCTTTTATCGTGCCTTATTTTTGAAATAGCTAGTAAGAGTGAAAATTTTTTCATGCGAAATCTCTTCGTTCAGCTTCTGAGAATAAGAGAACAGTGGAAAAAAACTGAACTTGAGTACAACCAATAGCCAAAGCACAAAAAAACAATTATTAGCTCAAAACTTGAACTTCTTTGTTCTTCGAACGGTTACTTTCAGAGACTGTGCCAGAAGAAAAATTACAACGAAAAATCTCAAAAAAACTCGATTATTTTAAACAATCAAAGTGATTAAAGTTATTTTTTTCTCTACTTTAAATTATCTCAAAGCTGAAGAAAAACTTATGCCGTGTTTTAAGTGATTTTGCGGAACTATCTTCAACTCTCGAAATGTTTTGCCGACTTTTCTACCAAAAAGGTTGTTTTGAAATTTGTAAAAAAACTTCGAACACGACGCCTATCAGCTTATAAACTTAAATGTTGAAAAAAAAAACAATAAAAAAGTAATAAAGCATTGAAAATTAGCAAATAAAAATTTTAGGCGTCACGAAAATGCCTAGTACGTGACCACTCTAGTGAAACTTTCATCTACAGTAACGTTTGAAAAAAGTTATTGCACTTTTCATTTCCGAAATTTTAATAGAAACAGGTAATTAGTTTTTTCAGAGCTATTGAAAAAATATTGAAAAAAGACTCTTCTAGTTTATCTTAAGAGTTATGAAAGACGGGAAATAATAATATTTTGAGAGAATCCTCAAATCTGAAGTTTTTTTGAATAAGAAATTTACCTTTTTTTCCGTATGAAAGCGTTCCAATGAGGTGGATCAACTATACACATATCACAAATGCATGTTGATTTGAAAAGCAGGAAAGGAGGCAATGGATAAGAAGGGAAGAAGTCGTCAAAGCTTTGCGGCGTCGGCAACGGCGTTGGCGACGTGAAGGAGGATTTGGGCGTGCGGCACCGGCGATGAATGCGCCAGCGAGAAAAGAAATGTGCTCCGTGCGTCTGTGTGTCGCAAGTCGCCAATTATGCGAGCCCCGGCGGTGTTGTGAGAAGAAAAAAGAAGCTTGTGAGAGCTGGTGTGCGTGCGTGTGTGTGTGTGACCACGACTCGTTCCCAGAAGTTTTATCGCCAGTCTCTATCATGATGTGTCTCAGATGAAAAAGTGGCCGATTTGAAAGTACGGGTCGGAAAATCGAAGGTTGGCATGCTCCGGGTGACTGTAGAGGCCTGTAGCGTAGAAGCCCGAATAACTTTCAGCGAACAATGTCATTTTAAAATTTTCACAACCTTCGCTCAAAATCAGAGTTTGCTAAAATAAACCCACCGAAATTCTTCCCAGTTTCAAGACCGTCAAAATGTACTCTATTTTTTGCTAAAGTTTTTGTCGAATCTTGAGCACGCTAAATTGAGGTTCAGCGAAGGAATTGGGAAGCAAAGAAAAAACAACCGTGCCAAGAATTCTAATTTGGCAAGACTTTGAACTGGAATGTTCAAAGAAAAGGGACGAAGCAGATGGGAATGGCTTCGACCAGAATAATGTGCGGCGGCGGCAGCGACGTCGGCGGATGGAAGAAGACGCGTCACACACGTCTCCCCATCAAAAACCGCAACGCCAAGAGGGCTCGCCAACAAATGAACGACCTCTCCGTTGCTCGGCGGTTGGTCTGTCCTGAGAGCAATGGGAAGGATGAGACATGTGTGCCAGAGCCTGAGCGCACGTGCGTGTGCCGCCGCCGCCGTCGACAACAACCATTTCGTTCGTAAGGCTTGTAAAGGCTACATGACGAACTGACTTGGTCCTTGTTTCGAAATCATCCTGATGAGAAAACAGAAGAGCTTAGAAAAGAGCTGATCGTTGATATCTTGAGGTTACATTAGAAATTAGCTCAACATATTTCAAAATACTGAAGAGTTTGTAATTGGAGAGAATGAGATTGATTCTGATTTTCGAATTTCACTTTTTTTCCCCGACTAAAAACCAGAATTTTTCAAATTTTTCATTTCATCAATATCCACATACCTTTCGCCTCAATCCACTGACGGCTAATCCAAACGTACGCATGATAATAATAATTACAGAGCTGCCGGGTCCGATGAAGCTTCTCGACGCCTGATAATCTGTTTGTTGTTGTCACCGGCGCAAATTTCTAACGTTGTTCGGCCGGATAACGCGACATCATACGCCTTAACACAGTTGATTCCCCTAGGGGTTCTAGGAGAGCATTGATACTTTTTCAAGCTAAACTGAAGTTACGCAATGAAATTATCAAAATATCGTAATAAATCGAGTAAAAAAATTGTTTGGGGTTCCTGACGTAATTCTCCATTAATTAATCCAGATTCCGGGAATATTTAATCGGCTATATTCTCAATTATTCTTTCTGGGCTAAAAAAAATTTGAACCAGTACTTTTTCACATTTTGATATTAACTGTGAAGAAAGTATTAATACTTGAAAAAAATCTCCCATATGGAAAGATCAACAAAAGAAAAAGTAACAATAGCCTTTTATCTGGAATTTAACAGCGCCTCCTCAAAGTTCGAAGAAAAACTTAATCAAAAAAATAAGAAAAATTTTTTTCTAAGAAAAATCGGAAATCATTTAATCTTATCTCAAAAATGTTACCACATTTCACTATAACTATTTCCAACAATAGTTAAAACTTTGGACGGTTCAAGGACAGGAAAAAAGCTCTAGTCTTACCTAGGAGAGTGACCGTAACCCAGCTGCAGATGTTTTGGTAGATCTACCGAGGTGCAAGTTTTAATGAAAAGAGACTTTGAAACGTTCGAAAAAGATACGGAAACGAAAAAGCAACCAAAGACGTCGACGGCGGCGATGGCGGCGCACGCATACTCGCACAAACAGAGCCGAGGCAGAACGGCAGCCTTGCATCCATCCAGCCACATGGACACATCAGGACACAGCCGTTTCTGGGTGGTGTGGGAGACATTCTCCCGCTCACCACTCCTTTCCCGACTCACGTTTTCCTTTTTTCGGCTCTCTTCCATTCCACTCCACGCACTCACATTCTCGTTGTCGTCGTCGTCGCCGTCGCCGTTGTGCCCAGAGTCGTTCACTTTCTCCCCTCGTTAATCCTTGATGAGAGTGGAGATGATTCTTCCCCCTAAGCTGGGTCAAATTCTAAAATGGTTGAACCAAAATCGAGCATTTTTGGATCCTAATATATCGATCGAGCTGATTGAATCCGAATGAACTTCAGTGAAAGTCAACAATTTTTTTGTTTTAAATAAATTAAAAAAATATTCATTAAATAGATTGAGGAAACTTCTCAGTCAATGAGGAAGAAGGAGGTCCGTATCCGAAGCCTGGAAAATGTGGACCTTTTTCTAAGAAATTTTAGTCAAAAAAACCATTGTTGATAAAAAAAGAAACTTCGAAATCGATTTCGCTGAAAAACAAAAGATGTTTTCTTCTTTGAAATTTTTTTCTTCAGAGTTCTTTTTTTCTCATTGATTCAAAAATGATGAGAGTAGAGATAACACGTTCCTGAGGACTCCAACTTTTCAGAAATCATAAATTATTCGCAAGAATAGGCTTCTTTGTATTATTATCCTAAAGACAGCTTTCTCAACCCTGAAAAAGTTTTACAGTCAAATTTGGAAATGCCAGTGTATCTTAAAGTTTCCCAAAAAAAAGAAAGTTCGAGGTGGAGATAACTCGAACAGATTATGTATATATTCTCGGCCAACGGCAGACATCTCGAGAGCCATGTCGAGTGTCTCTTTTTCCTCGTTTCTCCATCGTGTGGGCGAGTATTTCTGACCAAAAACGGACGGGGCATACATCGAACGTTTTTTTTGTTTGTCGGTGTCCGAAGGAAATCATCGGGGAGCCTCGGAAGTTCTTACTTTTCTGGGTCAGCCGAGGAAAAGTTGCATTTCTCACTTCATTAAAAAGCTTGAAAGTCTAAGAATAATATCGAAAATTAATCAATGGTGATTTTTTTATATTAAAGCTTCCAAAAAAATGACTTTTTTTAATGGGAAGACGCATCGAAAAAAACACCCGGACATGTTTTAGATAATTACCATATTTTTGAATTGACCATATTTTTTTATTATTATTATCTGAAATTCAAAAAAAGCACAAGTTTCTTTTGGACCTTTGAAAATGATGCAAAAAAATTCAACGAAAAACAGTCAGGATGGTAAAAAGCGGAAATAATTTTTGATTCTTTATGTGACTTTTCTAATTTCAAAAAGGATCTTTCTGTCCGCAAGGAGCAAAAAAATCCAATCCTAGGTCCCAGCTTCTCGAAAAATTCAGAAAAAGTTCACAATTGTTCAGTTTTTGTCTTATTTGTCAAAGTTTAACGCAACAGTAGTAATTTCAGATCTTTTCGAAAAAAAAAATCACAATAACAATTTCAATTTCAAAATCGCAAAATTTTGAAAATTGAAGGGTCTTCATTAAAACTTCCCGCAAGGAGAATGATTACAGGCTTCAGAAAATAGTGATGATATACTACAGAGCTATAATTTTCGAAAAGACCAAATTCTAGCATAGAAAGAAGAAAAAAGTTGGGGAACTTGGAAAAGGTCCTCATAAAAACATCTTCGACCTTCGGAATATTTTTAAATTCCGAAAAATTTCTGTTCCACCGTTGACCGCAGTCTTCGTTCGTGAGAATCAATCGTTTCTTTGCAAAAAATATAATGAAAAAGTTACAGAGACATCTTTTTCATACTCGCAAGAAAATTCCTGTGATTTGGTCGATTATCTGGCTTTTCCGCGGTCAGTATTGTACTGGGAGCAAGGCGGCTGTTGGCAAGAATAGACAAGACTGTCCTTTTTACACGATTTCTTCACCCACGTGATCCCCAAATCGCCTTTGAATTCGCATGATGCGACGCAAGTCTCGTTTTGCGCCGGTACGGGAATGATGCCCTCAGGCCAGGCGTTGTACTCGCTCTGAAGACTTAGATTCCGAAAAATGTGTGAATTTCATTCCGAACGGCTTGGATTTGGGTTTACAAGAGCGGGAAAATTAAAAAAAAAAGCTCACCGCCAGCAAAAAGCTATGATCCGCCCAAACATATCTATTGTAAAAGAAGTCGTATTTTAATCCAATCCAAGTGCACTCTTGACCGACGTCAAGTCCTAAAATCAGAAGGCTTATACAAAAAGAATACTCCGAAAACATGTGAAATTTTATAAATTTTCTTCAAATTTTGAGAATATTCAAACTCTAGGTATTATCGAGGCTAACGAAAAACTTTTTTGAGACCATGGGTTTCTTGGTACAGATTGAGCCTATTTTATATCATTTTCCAATTCCTAAACAAGGAAAAATGTACTTGAGTGCAAGAAATTGTCTTCCTCCAGAGTTTTGGCGATCGCCACGATACTCGTGTTGGCCAAAATGTCGCATTGGTCGTTTTTCAGACTAGCGCAAGCCTGGATCGCTTTGTCGTAGCTCGCACTGATCGGAACGTTCTTGTAGCAGCCTGAAAATGAAAAATGTCTTTTAGAACGTATCAACTTGACTTTGAGAGGATTTGAAACTCGCACCTTTTTTTTTAGAAATATAATAACGTCCAGGTTGGATATTTCCAGAAACTGTCATTTGAGTTTTCAAGGTTTTTTTTATCACTACTTTTCTTAACTCTTTCCGATTGATAATTTCACTTTTTGATGATGTTACCTTGGTCATTTAGAAACACAAAGAGTTTAACTTAAACTCAAATCTTTGACTTCCATGAGTATAGCATTAATTACAGGCCTGTTTTCGGCGCGTTTCTCGGCGGATTGGGAATGTACTCCATTTTAGGCGAACATGTGCACAGTGCGTCGCAAAGAGGATCGATAAGGCCATTCAAGGTGCCTGTCATCGAGTTGCCGTAGAAACCCGGCGACGAGTACTCCGGAAAGGCGTCCGATAGTCCACCCGTTGCCGCTGCGCTCTCTGTCAATTAAAACACATCTCATCACGCTAATTTGCGTGAGCTACCGTAGACGATAAAAGTCGCGGACGCTTGGATTTCACGGACAATGTTGATGGCTGGTCTCACTCCGTGCCGGCTTAAAGATTCATCTATATACACGTTTTAAAACAACTGTAATTAAAGTATTGTCATCCGACATGGAAAAGTCTTTCGTGAGGGTGACTTGAAAACTTTTGGATGAGCAAAAAAAGAAACACGGGAAGTCATTTTACTTTGCGGTTTCGAACTTTCTACAAATTCGCTGGAACCCGCGCCAGTTCCTAGTTTCTGAAGTAATTAAATTTTTAAGGCCCAAACGTTGAGATCCCATTTTCCGATAGATGTTAAAGTTGATCAAACTTCTCTGTAGAAGCCACAAGAATGAACACAGGATTAGCTGTAGACCCGCTGTCTAGATTACCAAGTTGAGTTTGATTGATCGCCTTGATCAGCGCCCTGAACGAAAAATTTCAACGAGCTTACGAAAAACCATCTAACTCGTATAAATTAGTCCCACTCAGGCCGTTGTAACCGATTTTGATTTCATCTATCTGGCTGGACGTCATTTCCGAATACTGTCGGACTACATAGACGTTGTCATCGTAGGAAACGATTCCGATTTTCTTGGTTTCATTGTTTCCCAACAAGGTCTGAAGTAGCTGCTTAACCTTCGACTCCATCTGAACTTTGAAAAAGTTGAAATATTCAAAGTTGAAACTAGCCTGCTGAACGCCTTGTTCAAAGTTGACGCCTTTGGAGACTTGGAAAATGAGCATGAAATTGAGGGGAAGAATGCTCGTATTGCAGACGCCACATCCAAAGTCAATCTCCTCCATTGGAAGAACCATAGAGGTTGTGGTCGGTGACATGGAAGCAAGGTGGGAAGTTCTGGTCTGAGGAGAAGTTGGAACTTTTGTCGTTGAGAAGGGCAAGTTCGAAGTGATTGTGGTGACAGAGGGCGAAATCGAGGAACCGCCACTGGTCTGAGTAGAATGACTAGAAACTGTTGGGGACGTATGCATTCCAGAAGACGCAGAAGACGTCGCTCCGGTGGAAGAAGCATAGGTCTCAGTGGTCTCGGTAGTAGACGCACCAGGACCTCTTGTCGACGTCGGCGATCCGGTAGCTGCAGTAGACGTCGACACTGTTGGTAATGCCGGAGAGGTTTGACTAGCATGCGTAGTACTGCTCGCTGTCCTCGACGTCTGCGAGCTTGAAGTTGAGGGGCCAGCTGAAGAAGAAGAAGAATGGGACGTTGAAGGCACATCTTCAGTTGTTGAAACTCCTCCTGGCGTGAAATCTGTCGCTACAGTCCAAGCTGTTGAACTAGTTGGAGATGCTAAAAACATTTTCCGTATTTTCTCCGTTTTTTTTTTAACTGACTAGTTGACTTTGTCCTGTTGAGGATGCCAGGTGGGGCCATCGGCGCATATTTTAGTTGATAAATTACGGCGGAGGAGAAAAAGCCAACGATGAACGCGACGGCCACAAAATGAACCGCTACGACACCGAATGTGGTGCTCACTGTAGCCATTCTTAGGAGATGGCTCGTCTTCTCTTACTCATGTCTTGGAAAATAACAACTTGTCAACCATATACAGTATATGGTTGTACTTAAAATAAGACTATTTCGAGAATGATGAAATACCAAGACGAAAAAAAAAATTAAGAAAGTTTCTTTAAAAATAAATAGGTAAGGTGAAAAAAAAAATCATTGAGTTGCATAAAAGCTAGGAACGTTGCAAAAGTCAAGTGCAGAAAAACGCCTCGTACGTGCCACCGTAAATGGAAAAAAAAGAAGTAAAAACCCTCAATTTCATCGGAAAAAATCTTAAAAAATCACAGGTTCTCTTTAAATTCCTTCTCGAAAAAAAAAAGCAACACCAAAAATTATTGATTTAATGAATTTAACTAGGAACCTCTCTTTTGCATTATCCATGTAACATCAACCGAAAACAGACATGAAAGAGATAACTGTCAAGCAGTGGAATCATCGGACTTTCCATCAAAACAAGAAACGAAATCAAGAGATCATCATTTATTAGTCTTATCAAGAAATAAGTTCCTCAAAATTTACGGACAATAATTAGTCGAATCGCAGGGTGAAAATTGGCAAACATAATGGAAGCTACGGCTGGCGCTACTAACTTTCCAGCCAGATTGGGTTTGGACGACCACGCCGACCATTTCTTGAGCATCTTCCATCCAAGGCTGGTAGTCGGACTCGCCGAGCTGAAAAAAGGTACTCAGCAAAAAATAGTCGCGATCAAACATTTGATATACTTCAAAATGAAGATAAGATACCGAGGTCAAAATTTGAAAAATGAGAAAAAAAAATCAGACTTGTAAACTAGAAAACTAGAACTTTGTCGAGATTTTTTATTCAAAAAAATTTCTCTTCAACAATTGAAGGGAAGTTCGAAGAATCTCACCGTTGAGCCGTCCATCCAACGCCACGGCTCATCAACAGAGCTACGACTAAGTCCGATCAGCAAATCAGCAACGTGCGCCACTGGAAGATTAAAATTTTCCGATGCAACTGAATGCTTGAAAACTACATTCTAAAAGGAAATCCGCCTGATCCTTGTTATATACTGCTGAAACATGGGCCGGTTTTCCGTATGAACCGAACAAAGTAGAACAAGACCTTTCAGCGTATCGCAGATTGGCCATTGCATTCGACGGATAGTAACAGCCTGGAAAAGATAGGTTCAAAAAATGTTCAAAATTACTTAAAGCTAAACTTTGAAATCAGAAAAACTGCGCAATAAGGTAGGAAACAAGATATTCCAATAAATTCTCTCTCTCTCGTGAGAACTCAACTATGAAACGACTGTTTTACAAAATGAAGATGGCCTTTCAAGAAGCTTGAAGATGAATAAACTAAAATTTTCCGATGAATACTGACCTTCTTCCGGTTTCCCTGTCAGAGATGAGCGATAGGGCGAAACACTGTCTGGACAGAAGCAATTTGCTGAAAACCACCCATTTTTCATTTTTTACTCTTTTCCTAACCGTCACACAAAGCTTCTCTGAATGAGTCCATCATTGGATCCTCTATCATTGTGGAATAATATCCCCTCGAAGCTTCATCTTCCGCGTCGCGTGAAGTCGGTGACATCTCTGTGAAAAATATTCTTCCATTCATTGTTTGAATCGATATTCTCAACGATAAATGTATAAAATGCCGCCGTTCTCCCGAAATTGCTCAAAAATCAGTTCAGTGTCCTTCCTAACACCGTCGCTGTCGCTTCTGAATTATTTTGGGCTACTTTTAAAAGTCCTGATACTCACAAAACTTGAATGAACAATGCGATGACTTTACGGGAGTTGACACGATGCCTTGGGGAAGTTTTGCGAGTTCCATCAGTATTATAGTTACGAAAATCATCCATGGCCACTTGCAAAGCTCTGAAAACTTGAGAGTTCGGCGAAAAACATCAAAAAAATGACTTCCCATTTTCATAAGTACTTTAAAATCGAATATAATAGTCTACTATAGCTTACGTTTGACTTAAAATCTTGTCCAATTGTTTATTTCTTATATTTATTCTTAGAATCATCACGAAAACTTTCTCTTCCGATCATGAAATTGCTTATAACTGTGAGATAAACTAAAAATAAAAGGATAAAAATCAGACGATCTGAGTCCCTTAGTTCCTTCGGAAGAGAGCGTCACATCTTCAAAGCTAATCGAATCACGGTCTCCACTTCCAAGATTCGCCTTCACTTGAACTTTGTCGGAGAAGAAGGTCACCCCTAGACGAGTTGTGTTCTAAAATGTGGCTCTTTATTTGTAATTTATGTTATTTCTTCCCGTTGTCCCAGTGTTGTCATCAAAATTAGCGAAGTTGAATTCAGAAAGAACGTTTCGAATGCTTTGTATAGCCTTCAAGTCAGAAACCTTTGCCTTATTATCATTGTAGACTCACAAAGTTGGTATTACTCCTAGCCTCACTGCTCCAATCAATCAAAACTGTGACGTCGTTCCAGGAAGTAGAGGGGTTGCAACTACAGTTCTGGGCGGTTATTTCTGAGCAGCAGATCAATGTAAAGCAGGTTAATAACTCACCTGCAATCAATACTAAAAAGTTAATCAATATCTGAAACCGATTCATTCGAGGAATGAAAAAAGTCGAATTCTCAGTGATAAGCGAGTTGCTTCGATAAGATTCGCGCAAAGTTGAAGCACACGGCAATCAAAAATGACTCATGAACGTGTTAAAATTTCATTCAGATAAGCATAAATGAAAGACGATTCAAATGGCAGTTAAATTATCTTTTTTGACACATAGTGGAATGTTAACGAAGGTTAAAAAATAAATAAATTCAAAACATTAGAACTTATTTTAAAACAAACCGGGTCAAGCAATGAGGTGCTGCTGACTTAATTTATATATTACATAGTTCAGAGTTCTTTGAGAGCAGGTGACTTGAGTTCAACAGGTAAAAAAATTTTTGAATTATTGGGATTTCGAAACAAATCAACTGATAGAATCTTAAAAGCAGAAAAAAAGGTTCTAAAAAAATATCAAATCGTTAATTATTGGTTTTTTTTAAAATCAATCTTCAACATTATTTGAATGATAAACGATCCAAGGATGAGATATGATTTCTCTAGAATGCGGTCGTTCCTCCGCATTTGTTCGCATCATCCGGGACATCAAGTCGAGGGCTTCTGAATTTTCTTTTTTTTTGTCGCTGTAATGAACTAAAAATAGTTCTTACTGATGGAAATTCCTTTGTAATCTGGCATTTCAAAAACTAGTTTTCCCTGGACGATTAGCTTGAAAAGGCGTTGCTGAGTTTGAGCTATAAAAGGAGCTCGACCAACGAGCATCACGTGGAGCACAACGCCGAGTGACCACACGTCCACTTTAACCCCGTAACCTGAAAAGAGTTGATCGTTTTCGTAACAACCAAAAACGGACGTCTTTTTTATCATAAAAATAAAATTTGTTGGAACGAAAATCTCCATTTTTCCACATAACTTTTTCTAGCTGAACCTCTCAAATTCCTTGAAATTTTAAACCAAAATTTTCTGGACTTAGAAACGTAGACACGGCGAGAAGTTCAGCGATAATGAGAGCCTAGGAGGTTCGTTTCAAAAATTCAATAAAATTTTCACTTTCTTTTGATGGTTCTATCCAGAACTAACCCTTTTTTCTACCATTCTTACCGGTCTCTTTGAGAATCTCAGGCGCACAATAAGTTGGCGTGCCGCAAACTCTATAAAGTGGCCCTCGTTCGACACAGGCCAAGCCGAAATCTCCCAATTTGACGCTGCTTGGACCGACGAGAAAAATATTTTCGGGCTTGACATCTCGATGAACCGTGTGGCTGTCGTGCAAAAAGTCCAGCGCCGAGGCAATCTAAACACAAATAAACCTAATTTTCATAAGATTTGTATGATCTTGATTGATTAAAATATTCTCTTTCGTTCTTTCCGTTAATAATATAAAGAATCTTGCTTGACAGTTGGAAAATTAAAAAAATAGTTCATCAAAATTTAAAAAGTGGTTAAAGTTTACAATGACTCGGATGATGCGAAAAAATAGTTTAAATAAATCTGGGAGCAGAAATTTACATCTCAAGTTTTTTTTTTTTGAATATTCAACTCTCTTCCTCTATCTTTTTTTTTCTGCTGCTCAGAAAAACCGATATAAATCCGACTTGATTTGCTATTTTTAATTCTTTTTAAATGGAACAAGTCAAAATGGGAAATCGTTCACCTGCGCAGTTATGACAGCCGCCTCGCGTTCACCCATTCTCCTACGTTTTCGTATCGTCTCGAACAAATCACCATACTAAAGATATACGTAGGTTCGAAAACAGCTTCAAAATGAATACCTTCGCGTATTCAAGGAACAAGAAATACTTTGACGGCGATTGAAAGGCGTCGATAATACCAATGATGTTTTCATGAATACGTGAAGTCAGGGCGAGCATCTCCACTTCATTCTCCACGAAAAAACATTTATCTCGCAGAGCTCGTTTGTCAACTTGCTGGAAAAAAAGCCATCAAGTCTAAAGTTATAACAGCTACAGATAATCAAGCCAAAAAAATAAGCTTCGAAGAGGTTTTCAAACTTTCCTGTCAAGGTGAATTCATGAAAAAAAAAATTTCTCAACCCCTTTCAAGTCAAAATTACTTGAATAATTAATCAATTTCTTCCCGTCATAATATCCAAGCGCTAAATTCAGTTCATCGTTTTTTACAACTTTTCCTGAAACCTTTATGACGCCTTTGAATCCGTCGGAACGTCTTCTGGCGATATGAACCGAAGAAAAATTGCCTCGGCCAATCACTCGGCCAACTTCAAATTGTTCATCCATCGCGCTGCTCGACTCGATTCTCGTCATAAACTCGCTTTCCTGAAATGCAAAATGAGAAAGGATAAAGCGAATACGCAAATTTAACAACAAAAAAAATATAGAATTCAATTTTATAAATCCGACTTGATTTGCTATATTTTATTCGTTTCAGAAGCTTTATTTTGCCCTCTTTTACTTCTATTTCGATGCTTCGAAGTTCATGCACCTTTAAAGTCCCACGGCCAATGTTTTCTTCGAAACCAAAAGCGCGATTATGCGAAAAGCGCAACAACAGCCTCTGCTGTACAACTAGCGAAAAAGAGGTGCCCTTTTTTGTGGCCGGATGTCCCTTGAATGTTTCCGACGAGTGACCAGCGGAAAATACGAATGCAAAGCCAGGTGAAGCATGTCTTTCCTCGCGTTTGTTCGAGGTCTCATTATTTTTGAGGTAGAAAAATAAACCGAACAACTTTCTGGAAGTAGAAGAAAAACACAAATATTTTCGAGAATGGGGGCAGAAATTCGTCCTAATTCATTTTCATACATTCATTTTAAACAAAACATCTATAAAATAAACACCACCTTGAAAATGATTTCACTCAAACATCCATAACATAAAAATGGTATCAGATATAAACTCCTCGCTGATTCCGGCTATTTCGGTTAATAGCGTTTGAAATTGAAATACGTTTCAAAGATAAAAAAATTTCGCAGTTCTCATAAAGCCGTAAAATTCAAGCTCCGGTTCGCCACAAATGAGAGAAAATAAACGCAAAAAGTCCGCTTTTCTACTTATTCCCGCGTTAATGATGTTCCTTGATAAATATGAACTTTCATCTCTATTTGTTGTTGTTGAAGAACGTAGTTAAATTAAATAACTTTTCGATTAGGCAAAACTCGGTTTCCAAAGCGACGGACGGAAAATGGGAGAATCGCCAGTTGAGATTAAAATGAGAAAAGAGCAAAAACTACTCCGTAATTGGTTTTCCTATTTTTTTATATCAATGCTACGCCATGTCTGAAAATAATTTTGAAATGGAACTCTCCCTTCAAACAAAGTAGGCAAAAGAGGTCATCAAAAAAACATGACAGACCATTTAATTCGAATAAAAAATGAAAAGAATTTGGGACAAATATAAGTATAGACTTGCCTTGAAAAACAGCTCGTTGGTCTCTTCCCGTTTTTTGGCTGTTGAAACCATCCGAGGCTGGCGATTGATTTCTCGAATCGCATTATTATTGCGATCCAGGGAGATTCCTTGAAATTTCGAGTTAATAGCAAAGTCTCTTGAAAAAATTTCAAATTTCTATCCTTATGACATAAAAACACTCTTTCAATGAGAAAAAGACAAAAATAATGAAACTCTGAAATTGACGAAAGCGAATTCTTCTCGAATCTTTGAGTAATGATATATACCAGCTTTCATAATTCACGACTTTACTTTTTCCTAAGTTTTTACAAGAGAAACTGACGTGAGGTTTTTTTCTCCTGAGAGAAACATGAAACGATCTAAATGAACCTCAAATTATACCTTTGCGTTGCGCATTCCGTTGGCCGACGTTAGTGACAGAACTGGCCCGGGATCGCATGTTCGGCGGAACCTCGAGCAGCAGAATAGCTACCTCCAACGGCAGCGGAGGTCGCTCTCCCGATGAAAAGAATATGTAGATTCTCCGCCTTTCTCCACTGCAAAAATATACACACTGGACACTGGCCACAGGAGTTGAAAAAAAAGAAGCAATGGGTGAAAAGTGGGTGGCGATAGAAGGCTCGGGTTGAAGAGGTCGCAATGGCGTCCCCGTGGAGACGCCAGCAGGAAAAGCGAAAATTGGCCAGCGGTGTGACCATGTGAGAGATCAGAAGCAAGTGTACAGCTTCTCAAAATAGACCTCACCATTGTTATAAGGGAAAAAAATCCTTGCTGAGTTATACGAATGTGGCGATGGACAGCTTTCGTCTGAAAGTTACAAGATCAGAAAATTAAAAAAAAGAACGAAGAAAAAACTGGCAAATCAGGTAAGTTTAAAATAAGCAGAGAATATCTTCTTTTTTATTTCTTCAATAAAATACTTTGAAAATAAGTTTATATCGAACATTTGCCGAAAAGGCGGAGCCGTCTAATCACGCTGTGGAAACCTGCTGCGTTTCGCCGCGCTTCGGCTCGTGCTTTTGAAAAATTCTAATCTGAAAAACTGTTTCGCTGCGCGTCTCAAAATAAGCTTTTGCCGTGTTCGAAGTAATTTCCGCGAAATGCAAAAGGTATCTGGCCTCCAAAATATAGTTGTCTTTCTCTATCTCTGACGGGTATTTTGAATTTTGCGGAATCACTTTGAACAGCATGAGAAAGATAGTGGATAAGTGATATCACAATTAACACAATCAAGCAGTGCGAAAATTTCTGCAAAGGTGGCGCGGTAGTTTCTGCCTCAATTTGTCTATACTGCGCGCACTATGACTGGGCGTTGATGCAAAATTATCTTTAATCAAAACTTTCTTAAATTAAGTTATAGGCGCCGCTATTTCTAGACCAGGGGCGTGGCTTGCCTCACCGTAACCTTGTGCGGTGGCGCGCACATACCTACTTTTCCTCAGTCATTTCCTTTATACTCATTTTTCATTTTCTTTTTTTCATATTTCTTTTTAAGTATTCCCCTTTGATTTCAATATAACTCCTTCTATTTCTTAATTTTTCGAAGATATGGTTCTTCTCAAGTACTTTCTTTGAAATCATTCTGCAAAAAAATGTGGAGCAGCATTTATTCATTGCTTCACAATTATTAGTTTTCTAATTGTTGGTGGAGAGAAAAATTGACGAACAAATTCAAAAAAATTCAGCTATTTTAATCACTTTTTTTGGATTCTTCAAATTATTATACACTGCGCGTAATAAGCATAGGAATCCAAATAAGTTGCGCAATTCCATACTTTAGAAATGAGTTAAGAATATTCTACCAGCGTAAGACTTTTTGAGTGTACGGAAAGAACTTACCGTGCGAAAAAAATCTCGGACGAACTCGAATCTATATGGCAACGCGACCCAATAAAAACCGAAAAAAACAAGACGCGTCAAAAGTTTAGGGTATATGCGAAATTTCTCGAATTATAACGCAGTAAAGGATTGTCAAGTAGAACTCGAAAAACTTTGAAGAGGCATAAATCTCGCAAGGCCTAAAAAAACACTGAAAAACTGCACCAATTACTTTTTATTCAATTTGACTGTGCTCTATTAAACATTTGGAGGTACACTGAGAAGAACTGCCGAGCTCGCTGGCAGTACATTGACGAATTCGTAAACATGTCGCTATGTCTTCGCGCGGGTCTCGCATTTTTTTAGAAGCGGCCTCGCATTTATCTTGGCGCAACATCGCGATTTGAAAAATATTCAAATATTTACTAGTTCGTTAAAAAAAGCGAGATAAATGCGAGATCCGCGCGGAGACGATATTTAAATATTTGCGTGATTGTCGATGTACCGCTCCCGAACTAGGTTTTATATCACACCCGAATAGCCAGTTATCTTTTGTGTATCTTGAACATAATATTTAATAGGGAATTTTCTTTAATTCAGATAGAATCGCTTAACAGCGTCAAGATTTTGCATGGAGATGAAGGTAAATGACGCGCATGACCAGAGGACCGAAGTTATTCGTTCAAATCCAGGAAAATGAAGCCGTCGTGACACAAATCTCAAAATAGATCGTGTTAACTGCAAAATCATCATATCTGCTTTCCTTCTGAAAATGAATTTAGGCTTTTAAATCTTTACATGCGGTAGCTACACTTCCCACAGCGGTGTATGCTTCGCGGAGATAATAAAAGCAAATAAACTATAAAACTTTTAATTCGACCAAAGAAGTAGTCGTCGACGATGTAGATTTCATCAAATAGTTGGAGTCCTCTTCCTGTGGACTTTGGACACATTCGCAAAGTGTTCAAAAAGAAACTAGAAAAAAAGGGCCTGAACTTATCAAAATAGGAGATTTTTTTCATCGAAATAAAGAGCTCACTTTTTATGGCTCGAAAAAAATCTTTATGGGAAAAGTAGAAGAACCCCGAAAAATGAAATTATTCGCAATGGCGTACACTCATTTAAACTAAAAAAACGATTTTTCGGCCTCAAGAAATTCGTCTACGATACTAAAGACAGAAGAACCATGTATTCAAAAAAATTAAAAAAATTTAATTAGATAATAGAAGGAGTTATATTGAAATCAAATGGGAATACTTAAAAGAAATATGAATAAGAAAATGAAAAAAAAATGAAGAAATATAAAGAAAATGACTGAGGAAAAGTAAGCATGTGCGCGCCACTGCACAAAATTACGGTGAGGCAAGCCACGCCCCTGGTCTAGAAATAGCGGCGCCTTTAAGTTATCTTCTCTTAAATATCACGCATATCAGCCTCCGGCAGCTTTACGGCGTATCCATTGTCTGTTTGAAGTTTTTTCCACGAGATCGGCTGATACTCTTTTTTTAACCTATTTCGAGCATGGATTCGGACGTAGTGTACAAATCGACATGTTACTGCTCTGAGCCGGAGGCTAAACAGGTTTCACATAATTTTATCTTAAAATTATTTTTGACTATTTTAGGCAAAGGTAATTGCGTCTTTGGGGAAAGAGGTGAAACTATTGATAAAATTTTTTGAATGAACTTAATTCCAGGTGGTTTTCGGTATGCAGCTTTTTATCACGGTTTTTGTTTCTATTTGTTTCTTTTACGAGTGTTCTTTACTTTGGGCTCTCTTGGTAAAAAAAGCTCCATTGTTAATTTTTTTTCATGAGCTCAAATTTAGTTTGGTAGCGAGGTGTTTCTTCTTTTCGCTATACTTTTCACTGAGCCTATTTTTGCGGAGTTGAGTCTGTCTTTGCAGGTTTTTCAATCTTAAAAATACGGACACTCATTATTATTTTCCAGTTGATTCTTCTCGCTTACCTTCTGAGTAACTCATACGTTCTAATGCTACTTCACTTCAGTGAGTTCTCTAGAATTTTTTTTAGTTTGTTAACCGTATGAAAAGTGTCTCATGAAAATAAAGGATAATAAAGTCAATTTTGAGAAAACGATCATTTTTCTGGTTACGCTCGGCTTTTCGCAAAGGTTTTTCATATAACGACTTGTGCACAGGCGGTACTTTGCGACGTTACCGTTTTTATCATTCTTTACTCCGGTTAGTTTCTATGAATAGTGTTATCAAAGAATTTGAATAATGAAAAATATCCAAACTGAAAGTCAACTTCATGTTTTTACAGCTGCATTGCTTCGAATGCAAATCAGCGTGAACCTCCTGACTTACTTGAAGGAGTTATGTTCTAACAGCACTGGCGCTTCTTCAAAAACTTCTACAAACCGTTTTTACATCACAAATAATAAAGAGACCCAACCTCGAAAGCCCTCGGTGTCGACTATTTCTGAGCTTGCGTCCCAAGTCCGATATACCGAAGCACCCATTTTCGGAAAGAGTTTCAAAGAAGTTTTGGTTTTATGAAATTGCTCAACATGAAATTCATTGTTGCATTTTGTGTTCGTATCCTTGTAATTTTTCTTGTTTGAGAATAAACTGTAAATGTTTTTAAATTAGATTATTCCAAGTTTAACATCTTCGCTCGTTTATTTGAGCCTTAGTTTATAATCCTTACTTTCGTGTCAAAATTTCTAAACGGGATGTTTAAGACGGGTAGGAAGGTTATATAGCTGATTCAAGATTGGCTTGAGAAATCAAAAAAAGGGACGCGATAATACACACGAATCGGGCAGGGGTATAGCGATAGGGCCAGTAGTCTGTCGCAGAGTCTACCGATGGTATCACGGTTATACCATGCAAAAGGGCTAAAGTATATTCAGGAGGTTTGACGATGGACATATTATTATACTATCCTGATCCATTTTGAGGTATATGCTCGGTATACTTCTATTACGCGATCCCGATTTGTCTATGAAGAAAAAGGACAGTTTGGTGGAGATGGCAGACTGGCCTTCGAGGGCTAGCCGGGAATGGACTATGAAACCGTCTTCATCACTGTGCGGTGAGTTTGTATCAGGCGAGTATTTGTGTTTTTTTTTTTTGAAGGAAATTTTTCTTAATGAATGAACTTTATCAAATAAAACTTTAACAGCACATGAATTTTCGATTGACTTTTCGAGCAGGTTCCCCTGAATCAAATTTTCAATTTTAGATAGTAAAAAAACGAACCCAATCTGATAGTATCATTACTTTTTTTGGCTTCTGGAAACGGTAGTCGGGCAACTTTTTTGAAAAGCTGAAATCGTTCAAAATGCATACGAATTTTATCTTTACGAAGACCTCTTGGACATTTTTCCCTGTTTTGGCAGATGTTTCCATGTAAAGGTCGCCTGCTTCTTTGATTAATTTTTTCAGTGTCGCTGTTGACGCTCTTCTACTGAAAAAAAATGTTTTTTCTTTCATTTATATCAAATATTATGATTTCTCTATGAAAAATATAATTTAATCATAAGAACGCTCTAAAAGTAATTTGAACCCTTTTTTTTAGAAGTAAAGCTTAATTCAAAAAAAGAATGTGCGAAGTTATAGTCTGTTCAGATTTTAAATGTCAAGTCGTCGCTCAAGCTCCGCTCTTAATGGTGCGATAAACCAATCAGAGAGCGAGCCATCCACAGAGTTCTTTTGAGTTACGTAATTGCACTTGACATTAAAAATCTGAACAGTATAGACTTATTTCATAAAACCATTTTGAAACACTTTTATGATCAGAAAAGTAGGTATATTTTGTGAGTAATAGGCTCACCTGGATGTGCTCAGGTCGCATTTATTCCCGACAATTACTATCAGAGAATTTGGTCTTCTGTCTCGCTCGATTAACCTTTTCCATCGGATTAGTTGCTCTATAGCTTCTTCGCCTGCAAAATTTCGAATTGATCAGTTTCGAAACTTGGAAATAGATGAAGAGAGAATTTGAAGTAAAATAGTATATCTGACAAGGAGATGGTCTAGACATATTACGGGAATGTTTTCACCTTGTTAAAATATTACCTCACAGTTACTCAATGACGTGAATACATTTTGTTTTCCTTCATTAATAAATTCTTTATTATCCGTTTCTCTGCGGATTTTTTCACTCCAACTTCTTTTCAACTTTTTCTACTCAGCGGCGCGGGGCGCCCCGGCAGCAGTTCGGATTTAGAGCTGATTTGAAGGGGAATAAAGATCAACGGAGGAGTGACTTCTTAAAACCTTGTTTTGAAAAAAAAAGAAAATCAAAAATAGGGAAAAGGCAGGGTTTCTTTTTGGGATGTTTTTCAAATAAAGAATTTTTCCCAGTTACTTTCCAAAAAAACTGACTAGACTTGTCGAAAGTGAGAATAATGACGCCGGCGTCCCGAACGTAAGATGGCGCCAGCTGTCTGAATCTTTCTTGACCTGCCGTGTCCCACAGTTGAAGTCGTACTTTCTAGGGATTTTTCTCATGATCACAACAAGTCCTCAACGCGCTTTTTTTCTTTTTTCCTTTTTTTTAATGGTTTGAAATAGCTGTCTTTTAGCACTTCTGTGAATAAAATCTCCTCTTACTCCTAATCGCGGCTTTTTTTTTCTCCAAATAGCGGTAACTCAATTTTTTTGAAAATAGTCTATGAATTACCGATCCATCGTGTAATTCTACGACTTTGTGTTTGAAATCGATCCCAATCGTCGATGGCATAACGTCTTCAAAATTATTTTCTAAGAAACGGCTGAGAAGGGCCGACTTTCCAGCTGAAAAAAATTATAAAGCATTAAATTTTAATGTTTGAACACTATTTAAATATAATTTTTTTCATAGTAATAAGCGTCATTTTTTTTTCGAAGTAAAAAGACAAACCGCCGGATTCGCCAACCATCACCACTTTTACCGTCTTAACTTCGTTCATTTTCCCATTTTCCGACTTTCCTTTGCTAAAAACAACTGACGTTTAGGATGATAAACAATCTTGCAATTTGGTGGGATAATTGATAAGGGGAATCGAAAATCAAATATTTGCTCTCGGTAAAAGTCGATGAAAAAATGCATTGCTGTCTTTTTTCTGAAAAGAAATTCGGATTTCAAAGTTAACTCATATTTTTAACTGCGAAATTCTCTCTATACATGGAGCAAAAGGTTTGAATGAGTTTTATGTGAGGAGTAAAAATGAGAGGGGGGAAACTGTCAAGTCCTGAAATATTTTTCGATTCCCGTTTTTCCTGTTCGAGTATTTTACCTTTGTAGCAACATGATTTTTTACGCCTTGTGGAATTAAAGTGGTTAGTGAACAGAAGATGCAGGGAAAAAAAAAACAAAGAAACGCGAGGCATGTGATGAAAATGGAATTAGAATCGTAGAGGTTTTATCAGTGGAAAAACTGTGTTCAAAAATGGAACCGGTTGGCCAACAAATAGTGTCAGTATAATCATTTTTCATTCTATTTTTGCCGGAAAGTCGATACAAATTCGAGAGTTACGTTTGCATTACGACCTTTTGTTTGAACGGGCGCAGGCAACTGTTAAACGCGAGAAAGGACAAGTCAAAGAATAATCTTTTCTCTCTTTTCCACAAAATTTAAATGGTAGTTTTGACTGTGATTGTGAAAGAATGGAAACTGGTGTGCGAAATTATTTGCTGTGAAAGTTTCTGGCATTGAAATGGGAATTCATTATCGTATAATCAGTTTTTGGAAATTTCTCCGCAATAGTGTGAGCTTGTTGATTCAAATTGATAAGCTCAAAAAAACAAGTTTTTATCAAAAAAATCGACTTATATTACTTGAGTTTTTAAAAATATAATTTTTTTTTTTTTGAAACGAGAATTATTATCAGTTTCATTATTAACTTCATTGGTTTTTCCCGAAATGTCTGATGGAATGGATTTACTCGAACATCTTCATTACTTCAACAAGAAGAGCAGAATTCCGATGACATGAAATATTTCTAAAAAATAATGAGGAAAATTCTTCTATGTAAGAAAAATGGAACAGAATTTTAAGGCGATGGCGTCCGGTTCTGTGGTCTTCTCTTCGGCTTCCGTCTGCTCATCCAAGGAAAGACGTCCAGATCTCTGCCCGTGCTGTAATTTTCTCGATGGCTAGTTTTTTTTAAAACATGTCCATTTATTGGTTTAAAAGTGCGAAATTTAATGAAATACAACTTCATCTCAGGAAAAGTTTGCGAGTTGAAAATCAGAAAGTTAGTTTTGTTTTCAGGGATTGCAAGCAATTTGAAATGAAAGGAGTTTTTGAAAAATAAGCCTTTAGGAAATTTTCGGCGTCTTTTACATGGCTTATTGTTACAGAGAAATAAAAAAATTGATAAAAAAATTTAGTTTTTTTGAAAAAAATTCAGCATTCTTGAAAGAGTTTTAAAGAAGCCGGAATTTCTTTTCTTCGTAGTCGAAGCTGTTTCTTTAATTTTTTTGTAAAACTTAAAAACTCCATGAAATTAAAAACTTTCTTTCATATTATCTCCGTCCAATTAATCAATGTTTGAATAAGAAAAACCTACTATTCGGGAAGACTGTAAAGTTTCTGAACAGGAGCTACATCAACTGGAGCCTTTTTCTTAGTAACGTGATGATCTTTCTGTAAACAAGATGAAATGAATATGTGGAAAAAACTGATATATGAGACCTTTGATTTAGTAGCCGCCATCACCACATACTGGAGAATCGGTGTCAGTCTGATGATCTCGTTTTCGAAACTTTTCTATAAGTAGACAATTTTTCGGCTAATTTTCGTTCAACCAATTATCAGTTAACTGCAAGCTTGTTAAAAAATAGAGGGATTATTTGGCTCCAAAACTGGTCAAAGAAACTGAAACAAAACGGTTTGAAGATTTATAAACGAACCACATAAACGACCAAACTGTCGCGTTCATCCGGTAAGAGTCCAAGCGCAATAAACGTCATAATGAAAACGACGACAACGAAAAAAATCCAGAAGCACACGCTCGTGCTGTCTTCGGATGCATCTTCAAGAAAATCGAAGTTTTTTTCCCCATAATGAAACTTTTCAAAATTTACTCAAGCTTCTATAGGGTTTATAGCCCACTCACATCAGCTCACTCAAGTAAGATTTGAAAAAAGCGTTTGCGAAGTTTTTATATTTTTGAATCGTACCGCATCGAATAGTCCCGGTCTAAAAGGTCTTAAAAAGAACTTTTGAAAGAAAAAGCCTCAAATGAGCCCATTTTTGTTGACCTTTCCTGAAAAGGTGAAAAAAGGAAATTCCGAAAAACTTTAGACAGCTTCTCAGGAACTCAAAAAGGAGCTTTAGCTTTTTCTTCTGAAGGCCTTTTTGCGGTAGTTTGGATTTTTTTTGAAAGAAAAAGCCTCAAATGAGCCCATTTTTGTTGACCTTTCCTGAAAAGGTGAAAAAAGGAAATTCCGAAAAACTTTAGACAGCTTCTCAGGAACTCAAAAAGGAGCTTTAGCTTTTTCTTCTGAAGGCCTTTTTGCGGTAGTTTGGATTTTTTTTGAAAGAAAAAGCCTCAAATGAGCCCATTTTTGTTGACCTTTCCTGAAAAGGTGAAAAAAGGAAATTCCGAAAAACTTTAGACAGCTTCTCAGGAACTCAAAAAGGAGCTTTAGCTTTTTCTTCTGAAGGCCTTTTTGCGGTAGTTTGGATTTTGCCTGCGGTGTTCTCTCGATGAACATTTTTTTAAGGCACGAAAATTGCAATTTTCTCATCAATCAAAATTATACACTGCGACCCATAATTATAGACCCACCCTAATTTCTCCGATTTTAAGAAAGATTGAAAAACTTTCAGCCACCAAACTTTTTTTGTGATAAACCTTGTGGATAAGGAACATAATCATAATATAATTATCAATCACCCAGTTGAAAAGTTTTTCAAGATACGAGAAAATCTGATTTTTAACCGACCCAGAATTATAGACCCACTATAAGTAATCAACAAAATTCATTTCACAAAGTCAACAAAGTATAACAAAAGATTAATTAATAATGTGTGATGCCTCCTTGTTTCTGAGCGACTTCGAAAAATCCTGTTCGGCATGCTGCCAACGAGTGATTGCAGCAGTGACTTGTCCAAACCATCCCACTCGGCACGAATCGCTCTTTTTCAGATCGTTGACCGTTGTATACTGCTTGGCATTCGCGTAGACCCTTCGTACAAGGACTGACCATGAATTCTCTACAGGGTTGAGGTCAGGACTGCACGCGGACCAGTCCAGAAGAACCACGTTCTTGGCCGCAAACCAAGCCAATGTGGAGTTGCTAGCGTGAACAGATGCATTGTCTTGTTGGTAAATCATATTAGCACGTCGTCGGCGACGGAGATAGGGCAGGAGATGCTGGGCAAGCAGTTGCTGGTAGTCTTGCGAATTCGTTCTGGTCCCAATAAAAGAAAGAGCTACCGTCCCGTTGCCACAGAAAGCCGCCCAGACCATGAGGCTGCCGCCGCCGAAGTTTCTCTTGGAGAAGTACATCGGATCTTTCCTCAAATCTCTCCAGTAGTGAGCGTACCCATCTGGCCCATCAAGGTTGAATTTCTTCTCGTCGCTGAAGATGATCTGAACAGAAAAATTGGGAATCATAAGGTGATAGAAAACATTGATACCTTATTCCAATCCGTGGCCATGTTAGAGCGTGCAAACTGGAGCCGTTCATTCTTATGGCGTTGCTGTAGACGAGGTGCTGCCTTCATTGGAGTATTCACAAGTCGACCGGACCGATGAATTGTTCGTAAGATGGTGTTCTTCGAGACGTTTTCAGGACTTTCGGATCTGATTTGGTTGGCGGACTTCGTAGAGTTTGATGCTTTTCGACAGACGTCTCGTTCAGCTTGAACCGATAGCAGCCTGTGCCGTCCAGAATGTATTGCTGTGCCGTATTCTTGCGGATTCCTTGCATAAAGGTCAATAGTTCGTCTTGAGCGACTCGTCTGACGAGCGATTTCCCGATGGGACAAGCCGTTGTTGAGTAGAGCATCGATTACCGCTTTTTCGGTATTATCAAGTTGAGTAGATTTAGGCATTATGGCTTATAGTGATACACGAGGACTTTTTTTCTCTTATATACCACTGAAAAAAACAGGAAAAAAACGTGTGACCTGAAACGAAAACTCGGAAAAACTCTGGGGTGGGTCTATAATTCTGGGTCGGTCAAAAATCAGATTTTCTCGTATCTTGAAAAACTTTTCAACTGGGTGATTGATAATTATGATATGATTATGTTCCTTATCAACAAGGTTTATCACAAAAAAAGTTTGGTGGCTCAAAGTTTTTCAATCTTTCTTAAAATCGGAGAAATTAGGGTGGGTCTATAATTATGGGTCGCAGTGTATAGTGATTGTAAAATCTTCGGAAAGTTTTGTAGTGATGAATAGAGAACTTTTGAAGCAACAAACCATATGGCTCTCCCATCAGCTTTTGGGGGTTCGGCACTGAAAAAATAAGTTATTTCAAGTGCCTTATTCTATAGAAATTAAACAATTTGGCACTTCTTCGGCCTGACTGATGTCGAAAACGGCTACTGGTTGATCGAAACCCTCGTATAGACATTTCGTCGACATTCCAGAGACCTGAAGTATGAACTGAGTTTTTTTTTGGAAATAAAAAAAAAATTGTGTTTTTCGTTCTTTTTTTGGAAAATCATCTTTGACAATTCGAATCAGCTAGAAGCTTCTCACTAAACATAGGCTAAGACTTGTCAAATTTGTTCAATAATAGGAATTACAGAAAAAAAAAACGTTTTTGAACATAGAGTAGTAGGTCCGAAAGACTCCCGTTGAATTTTTCATCAGTGAGACAACTCCTTTTTCATCGGCATGGTGAAAATACAAAAATGACAACCCGGCCTCCTGGAAGTTGTTTTTTTTTAAATTCAGTTTAGAATAATGTGATCACGTACAAAGTTGGGATGAAAGGCCATGACACGTGAATGATTGTTCACCCGCATCTCTGTCATGTTTAATCGGTAGAACCATCGAAGGGGATGGTAAAGCTGCAAGGAAAAAAAGTTCACGCGTTGCTTTAAAAGTTTCAAAATTGGTATATAACCCGTTCGCCGCGACTTGACACTTCTCGAGTGTCTGCATCTCTCTGTTCTCTCCACCGACGAGGTCGGAGAAACATGAAAATACAACGGAAGAATGAGAGGGTCGCGGAGAGAAAGAGCAGTTTCAAGTCGCGAAAAACGGAGTTTTTTTATGGTTCTATTTGGTTTTTTTTTATCCTATCTCAAAATGATCTCGGCCTAAAAGCTTCGAAGAAAAAAAATAATAAATGTATCCGTTAGAGACCTTTTCAGAATTTCTTTTCTGAAGTATTGTGAACACTTTATACCAGTATCATATCGTTTTCGCCGTGCATGTAAGAGTAAGAAGCGTTGTGAACCAAGTAGGGGGGTCGATGGATGTTTTTCTCCCTATAAAGAAAAATAATATTTTGTCGATTCGAGCTTCTCAAGTGCGCTATAATCGGAGAAAGTTAGATTAAAAAAACAGGCGTGTCTAGCCAATCAACGGCCTAGGCCGATAGAGTGAAGTTGACCAAGATAGTCGTCATGTTAGTCGAAGAAACTAAGGACGTGTTTATCTGAGAAAAGGTACATGTTTCAAAGCGCAAAAGCGTGTTCATCGGCGCACCAAAGTCTCTAAAAAACTCTAAAACAATACTAATATTTGTTCTGAAGCAACTTTCTTGCTTTTCGGAACGATTTTCGTTTTGTCCGATGACTACGCATAATTTTTTTGCACATAAGTCTCAGATAAAATCGATTAGGAAATTCCACGAAAAAACTTACAGGGTACTCACGAGTGAATCGGAACTCATTTTGACTTCTTTGATGTAGTCCTCGAAAAATATGTAGCACGTCATTCTCAACTGGAACTTGGTATTTGAACGTTGTATTGGTGTCATAAATGTGATTTCTCATCAAAATTATGCTTGTCCAAAAGGTTTACATCATGGTAGTTGTAGTGACAAGGAGGGTGTTTTTGCTTCTTTCCAAAAACTTCTAGTTGATCGAAAATATCCGTCTCGTCGGTGACTTTGAGTTTTTGAACGCCGCTTTCTAAGCTTTCCACTCTGCAAAAATCATCCGATGTGCAAAAAATGAATCAACAGGCACTTCTATTTTCTGCTCTCTCTTCCATAAATCATTCCTAAAAAAAAACCATTTCCCGATTGTGCAGCTGAGGTTTAATTATTCAACTCTTTTCACTTTATTCAGGGTTTTCATGTTTCTCTCTCGCCACTAGAAAATGAAAAGTTTAAAGATAAGTGAAAAATTTCAAAATCCTTTCAAGTTAGCCATGAAGCTCTCTTAAACGCGGGCAAAGTCGGAATGGTGGATAATGGCCGCAAAAAGGGAGAGGATTAAAAGAAGTAGCAAAAAGGCAGCAAAAGTAATCTTTTTATCGAGCCTCCCATTTTTCTATAATTTTAAAAACTTGGTGGAAAAAGGGAGAGACAGCAAAAAGGTGCACAAGAGTCGATGAAATGGCGCAAAAAGGTTGAAAAAAAGTAGCCTTTGTCTAGGGTCCGCAAGCCATTTCTTCAGAACGATTCAAAAAATATGTTCTTTACATTGTTCGATAGAGGAGACTGTCCATTTTCATAATTCGTTTAGTTTTAGAAAAAAGCTCCACTAAGAAAAAAGTTATGGCCAAAAAACGAGCGCGCGCGGCGTTCAACTGGAGGCAAAATCTGACGGTTTACCCGCTGCCGCACGCTTTCTTTTTAAATGTTTTTGCGCGTTTCTGGACCGTTTTCGAATCGGTTTTCTGCTCTGAAAGATTGTCCGAACTGAGCCTCATGTTTTGGTATGAATCTTTTGTACAATCCTCATAGGAATTTTTTTGATAAAATATCAAAAAACTACCTAGAAAAAAAGGTCAAAGGGATTTTTTTCAGCTTATTTTTTTCTTTTTTTCTACTCAGAAAAAAATTATTATCATTCGATTTGGAAAAAAAGAAAAAAATGAAAAAAATTATGTTATTTCGAAATAAAACAGGAAAAAAAGTGCAATTTGACTCCGAAAAAAACGGCTCCTGCGACATTTAAAAGGGCGCATCGGTGTGTTTGACGCAAACACTGCTACGGACACTTGCACGAATTCTTCCGAAATTTCAAAAAAAAATTGCCATTTTTTCGAGGTTTTCAAAGCCGTTATTTTTTTCGCGTCGATCGATTTTTTTCATAATTTTTTCATTGATAGAGTTTTGAACGCTTAATAATATAATCAAAAAGTATAGACGCGATCCTATTCTCTCATGCGTCAACGAGGCAGGCGAAAAAAATGGAGGTTTTGGTAAAACTCAAATATAACTTGATTCGCTGTCCCAATAATTATTTTCATTTTTGAATTTTTTTATTTTTTTGGACACACTTTTAGTTTTTAAATCAAGTAAAAAAGTATACCATGTCGCTGAAATTTTTTCGCATTTCAGCTTCAAAGTTTGGTGTCACTTTACAAGCTTTAATATTTTTTTCGCGTCGGTAGATTTTTTTCATTTTCACTCAAAAAATAAAGAAAGTGTTAATGTATAACATACTTAAAATTTAGAAGCGTTCCTCACTTGGTTTTCTGAAACACGACGATTTTGTGAAACTTGTCAGTTTTTTTCGTGTTAAATCTTACTTTTTCGCTTATTTTTGAAAAATACATAGTTTTAAAAATATTCAGCCTTGTAGAGCGTTGTCGAATACATGGTTTAACAGAAACAGTTAATTTTTAAAGTGGGACTTTAGCTAGTATAAACGCCTCAAAACCGTTTTTGCAACAAAAAAATCGTCATTTTGGTGGCGTGAAGGGGCGGTGCTTTGCGCCCCCTACCTTTGTCACCTCAAAAGGATAATTCCTATAGAGGCGTTTTCCACCTTTTCCGACTTTGCCTATGAACCTTTTTGAATATTCGTCTAATTAAAGGACTTTCCTTTATGCAATTTTCACGTGTTTCAAGTTTTCAAGCTTCTAAAATCGGATCCCAGGGTCATAATTTTTTATGTGCCACGCCTCCAAGCAGCATTAATAAACGTGATAAGCAAATCGTCAAAATCGATCCTTAAAGCAAACTTGGAAAGCTCGACAAAAAAAGAAAAAAGGCGCATTAATCACGGATCAGAACTTTCTTGGAAGAACTCACAGATAGACATGCCCGACGTCCGTCAATTGAAGGACGTCGGATGTTTGTATTGCGCTGACAAATATCGTATTCGAAATTTCAGATTCAGGCGTGTCTGGTCCGAAGCCGACCGTCCAACGCTGCGAAGGACAAGGATTCTTTGTTGAGACGATTGTCGAGTTCAAGTCTGCACTGATATTTCTGAAGACGTGCAGCTCACAGCGATCCTCGACTATCATCGTCACAACCGGAATCTTTATCAGTTGAGAGAGAATCGTGGCGTCACATTCCTTCTGATCTACTCCTGTAAGAGTTTTAAAGTTTTTCTTTCAGTTAAACCCCTTTTAAAACGCAAGACAGTATAGGGATTATGGTTGCTTTGATTTTTACCTTCTGCAAAAAAATCGCAAATTTTTTTAAAATTTAGTTTTCAACTCTTGAAAATTTAGGAAATTAAACTTCGTAGCTGCCTGAGAACCCATTCTTTTTGCTTTTTTTAAAGCATTCGCAAACGAGAACCAATAATTTGTTTTTTTGCATGGGGTGTATCGACATGAGAAATTTTGAAAAACCCGGATTGTGAATTGTATACCTTGACCCGCGATACTGTCAACGGAAAGAAAAAATATCAGAAGCGTGTAGACTCGATGTCTCATCGCTTTTTGGAAATGCTGATCTTCCAACGTGTTAAATTTTTTTAATTACGTGTTTATCCACGAGAACATCTTTCATTCTTTTAAAATAAAAGTGAAGCTCATTTTTTGTTTAATACCCACAAACAGCTGCTCGCAAGATGGAATCGTTTGAATTGAACTTTCAAACGACAGAGGAAAGGAAAGTTGAAGAAGAACTGCGTCATGCTCGATATGAAGCCGGAGAAGAACTAGATTCTTCAAAACTCGCCAAGGTTGGCCCTCAGGATTGATTTTCGAATTTCTTTTTTTAAAATTTCAGTTGCGCAAGCAGCGTAAAAATGACATACCCGACGTAAAGACGATCGAAGGAGAGAGCTTTCATACCGTCTCAGAAACTTCTCAATCGGAGTTATTTTATTTTTTATAAACTTTTCAAAAATATTAATAGTTAAGATGGCTTGATGAGCTCGGCAAGAATGACGACGGCTGTTACTGGAAAAACCTCTTTAAGTCTTTGTCGCATTACAAAGTGGGTTCACCATAGCTTCAAATCGGAATTATTCAAGTTTAGTATCAAATAATGATCATCGCGTTGCTCGCCGGATCAGTTACTTTCATAGCAACAAGAAGACGTAGTCTCACTTCACGCAAATGAGAATTTTTCAATTTATGTATGCAATAAAACTAAACCAAGAACTGAAAAATTTTCATTGATATAAACGGATGGAATTCAATAGATAGTCTAGATTTTGTTGAAAGCCACGATGTCGACAGATTGGACGTGCGACTCGAAGTCGGTGGTGATTTTTTCGATGAGGTCATCAACAGAAACTTTCAGGTCTTCAATGACGCAAATGATTTGAAGTTTCTTGATTCCTAAAATCCCCAAACTTGAAGTTATGAAGTCAAGGGGAAAATTATGTACCGTAGCCGATCGGAATGAGTTTGCCACCTCCCCAAACGAGTCCATCCATTTCAATGCTTCGGACGTTCTTCTCCATCTCCTCGAGGCTCGTCTCATCATCCCATGGCTTGACGTCGAGAATGACGGACGACTTGGCGATCGGACCTGGCTTCTTCGATTTCTTCTCGGCGTAGGCTTTCAGTCGCTCCTCGACAATCTTCTTCTTTTCCTCATCGTCTTCGTCTTCCGATCCGAAGAGATCGAAGTCATCCTGATGAAATTTTATTTAATTCATAAAATAATTTGAAAGCTAACTCCGTCAGCAGCAGCGGCAGCTGGGGCAGCAGCCGAGCCTCCAGCAGAAGGCCACGACTTGCGCTCAGCTTCAGAGTAGCTGGCAACATTGGCGTACCAACGAGCGACATGTGGGTAAGTCGAAGCGTTTGGTGCCGATCCGAGGGACTCGAAAAGTTGGGCGTCTTCGCCAGAAAGTGTGAACCTGAATCAAAAGTTGAAATATTTTCTTTGAAAGTACTTAAAAGTTAAAATTGCATTAAAAGGTAGGGGGCAGTTTTTTTCTCTAACGTGGTATAAATATACAGCAAATTTTTTTCAGTCGCTCATTCTAAAATAATTTTTATAAAATTCTTTCTCATTAATGAATACACATAATACTCCTCAGAAGTCTTGGAAAAAAAAAAATGAAAATTTAGTTTTAATGGAAATATAAAATTTTCTGATGAAATTCGGTTTAAATATATTACCCGTTGGCGAAAGCCTGGTCAGCGAGAGTATTGTTGAGAGTTCCGAGATCGGCAGGCATTTTCCAGGCGAAGGCACGAAAAGTGAAACAAAATTCCCGTTTGAACTCCAACACAGTTCACAGCAGTACGGTAGCTCATCGTTACAAAGTTGGATGCCGCGGCCGCGTGTGTGCCTTTAAAGCACCGCCCGCGCCCAGTCTGCGACACTGGCGCTTTTTTTGTCTGCTTAATGACGTCTTCTCGGTGGTTGTTCATTTCTTATCATTTCCCGCTCCATTATGGCCTGTGATCACTGATTTAGTAGCGGCAATCACTTTTAAATATTTTCTAATAGTGTATTGCTGTTTCTTTTTTGCAGTACAGATTTTCAAAAAAAAAAAGTTCAATTAGCTTACAACAAAATTATTTTAGAAAATTTAATCCATTTTTTATTTCGAAAAGAAAACCCATTCCAAGTGAATTTTCAGATTTTTTAAAAATTATATTCACCTTGTACTCGATTTGAAGAGTTTTCTTTCTTTTTTTTCCCTTTTTTATTTCTTCTGCATATCGTGCTGTTTAGGTAAAGCCATGCATCTTCTTCGGATAAGCCAGCTGGCTGGACCGGCACAGTTCCGCGGCCTTCACAGTTCTTATGGTCTTTGGGTATTCTAAAAATATACTTATTTTTAACGTAAACGTGTTCAGAGCAAGGTAGCGCTCAGCAAGTTCGACAAGAACTCTCATCTACCTTATGAGAGACTTTCTAAAAATGTGAAGATCGTCAGAGAAAGGTACACGTTTCAGAACAAGTTTTGACTAACTGTGGAGCGTTTAGTTCCAAAAAATCTAGTTCGAAAAAAAGTCGAAATGCAAAGCTCAAAGTTTTTTATTTCATAATATCTATTTTCAACGCACTTTTTCTTATCGAGAATTCTATGATTTTGTGATAGTAGATACGATGTTCTCTTCTCCGTGAATTATTTTGTAACAAACTTTGGGCCGTTATCGCACAAACATCAATCGCCCGTTGTTGTTGAGAGAGCGCCGGTATTGATATGGTGTTTCTAAAGCGAATCAGCAAAAACAAAACCTAGAGTGTTTTGAGTTTGTATTGATTACCCATCAAACGAGCACGCAATGTGTATCAAAGTCGTAGTCTCGGGCGGCAGTTGCGCCGAAAATGAACTTTGCCCTCCACTTTGTCAATATCAAAAACATTCAATATTTGTGAGAATTGTCAGCGCAAAAGGAAATTCCGAAATTAATTTGAAAGGTTGACGGCAAAGTTTCATGGTTTCATTAGTTGAAAAATATTAATTATCAAAATTATCAAAAAAATTTATAAACGAGTAATTTATTTTCTTTTTTCTTTCAAAAAAGTTTTTAGTTCAGCAAAGAATACTGGTGAAAAAAATAATTGCGATATATGGAAAGAATTTCTAGATCATTATTTTGACTTTTCGCCAGATTTCATTGTTGTTTTTTTAAGCGAAAGTCGAAAAACTTCGTTCACGAAAAAAAAAAACCTTTTACATTGGTTTGTAAAAGACCTATCATTTGAGTATGAAAAAAATAAGTTCAGATCTAAACTTGAGAAATGGTTTGAGAACAACATTACAGAACTAAACACTCTTGATCCAACAAAAATATGAAAGCTACATAATCGACATCTAAAAGAATAACTTCATGGTTATTCCAATTTACTCAAGTGGGGGGTTAACACGACCGCGAGTCCTCTTCCCTCCATCACTACAAGTTCCGACACATATGTTCCCAAACTCTCCCTACATCTATTTCGTGAAATTTAGTACTTGTGTGTGAGAAATAAAACATTTTGATTGATATTGTTTGGTAAAAGATCTATGATGGTTTTTAATCATACTTTCTTCATTGCATAGGCTGAAGCGGCCGCTGACGCTCTCCGAGAAGATTCTCTATGGTCACTTGGATCAACCCGAAGCACAGGCGATCGAACGCGGGGTTTCCTATCTCCGTCTGCGGCCGGACCGCGTCGCCATGCAGGACGCTACGGCTCAAATGGCTATGATGCAGTTTATCAGCTCTGGTCTTCCCAAAGTACTTTTAAAAAAATTACCTGTATTATTATAAAAAATCTAGAAGATTGCATTAATACCGCATTTAAAGTGATTTTTAATTCAGATTTTTTTTTTCTGTCACTTTGAAAGATGCTGAATAACCTCAAAAATCGTTCAAAACTTCAAGTTATTTTTTGGCAGTGACGTTTCTTGCATTTTTCCTTTAAAAAAGAGGAAAAAGAAGAGAGTAGAACGGAAGTAAAGTTTAATCTGTCCAGGTTGCTGTCCCATCGACGATCCACTGCGATCACTTGATCGAAGCTCAAAAAGGAGGTGTTCCTGATTTGGTTCGCTCAAAGGTTCAGTTTCTACTTCCTCGTGTTGATTTCAATTTCGATCTTACAGGAACTAAACAAGGAAGTTTTCAACTTCCTCTCCTCTGCTGGAAACAAGTATGGCGTCGGATTCTGGAAGCCGGGATCTGGTATCATCCATCAGATCATCTTGGAAAATTACGCTTTCCCCGGCCTCTTGCTCATTGGAACTGACTCTCACACTCCTAATGGAGGTTTCCGGATAGTTTTAACGTGAAAAAAATTTTATTTGAGGTGGTCTGGGCGGTCTTTGCATCGGAGTTGGAGGTGCTGACGCTGTTGATGTTATGGCTGATATTCCATGGGAGCTCAAGTGCCCCAAGGTAATATCGAAAGAGTTTGTGAAATGGAATAAAAATAAGTTTTACAGGTTATCGGTGTCAAATTGACTGGAAAACTTAGTGGCTGGACCTCGGCTAAGGATGTCATCCTGAAGGTTTTATTGAAAATTTGTTTTGACTAAAGGAAAGAAGGGCGATTAGATAAAAAAACGAGATTCAAGAAAGGATATTAAAAGAAAAGAGTTCAAAAAATATCTAATGCAGCTTTACTTTTTTTTTTTGCGTTTTTTCATCACTTTTTGTTTATAAAAATCAGCGAAAGGGTTGGCACACGTTCCTGTTCTGAATCTATTCGAAGTTGTATGTACATATTCGATTTAGCTGGCCGACATCCTCACTGTAAAAGGAGGCACCGGGGCTATCGTCGAATATTTCGGCCCTGGAGTCGATTCATTGTCCGCCACTGGAATGGGAACCATTTGCAACATGGGAGCTGAAATTGGAGCCACAACTTCGGTGTTCCCCTTCAATAAGAGCATGTACAAATACCTCGAGGTAGAAAATCCAATTGTTCACAAGTTGATAAACTTGATTTACTTTCAGGCCACCAACCGCAAGGCGATCGCTGATGAAGCCCAAAAGTACAAGGAAATCTTGACCGCTGACGATGGCTGCCATTACGATCAGGTTGAAATCATTTCTTCCTTTAAGTAATCGACTTTTTTTGTTTTCAGGTCATTGAAATCAACTTGGATACTCTTGTCCCGCACGTCAATGGACCTTTCACCCCGGATCTTGCTTCTCCCATTGACAAACTTGCCGAAAACGCCAAGACTAACGGATGGCCTTTGGAAGTCAAGGTTTGATTGTGAAAAACTTTTTATTCATCCAAAAAAAAAAAAATTAAGGTCGCCCTGATCGGATCCTGCACCAACTCCTCGTACGAAGATATGACGCGCGCTGCTTCCATCGCCAAGCAGGTTGAAGACTTTGATCGAATCGGTAAAATTATTAAATTTTCAGGCCCTTGACAAGGGACTGAAGGCCAAGGCTCTGTTCACCATCACTCCTGGATCCGAGCAAGTCCGCGCTACGATTGAACGCGACGGATTAACCAAGATCTTCAGCGATTTCGGCGGAGTAGTCTTGGCTAATGCTTGTGGACCTTGCATTGGTGAATATTTGTCGGAAATTGAAGAAAAGTTGGACAACTGTCGGAAATAGTAGAACAAAAGCAAAAAAAAAATCTATGGAAAGTTCAGCCGTCAAAATCGAATATGCATAGTTCTCCTTTTTTTTTTTGTCCATCAAAGGCCTACGCTCTAACCACGCTCTCAAGTTTCAATTTTTATTTTTGCTGCTATTTCTTGGGTAAAAATTTTGAAAACCTAGATTTAAACGAGAATTAGGGATTATGGTTCGAATACAAACGTAAAAATTTTCGCGAAAAATCTACGAATGAATAATTTTTACAAACAACTTTATAGTTCTAAAATTAAAAAAAATGTAAAAGCTGTTTTTATTTTTTATTTAGAAACTTTTTGATGCTATTTTTTGCAAACGAAAAAAACTATCTATTTCTAAGAAATTTTTAATTTTTTTGTAAAGCAATATACATTTTAAATTCATATTTCTCTTTTTTCTTTTTTAGGACAATGGGATCGTAAAGACGTGAAGAAGGGTGAGAAGAACACCATCGTCACCTCTTACAACAGGAACTTCACTGGAAGGTTTTTCACCCTTCATATTTACTTATCGCCGTCTTATTCAGAAACGACGCCAACCCAGCGACTCACGGCTTTGTCACGTCTCCGGACGTCGTAACCGCCATGGCCATCACTGGACGTCTTGACTTCAACCCGCTTACCGACGAAATTTCCGCTTCTGATGGTTTTCACGTCTTAGTAAACTTTGAAACATGGCCTTTTCAGGATCCAAATTCAAACTGAAGGCGCCAACTGGACAGGATCTCCCAGCTAAGGGTTACGACCCTGGAGAGGACACTTACCAAGCCCCTTCAGGATCCGGAAGTGTGAGAAAAGATGATAATTTTGAGGATTTTGAAAGTTGTTTTTAGGTTGATGTTTCTCCCGATTCTCAACGTCTTCAGCTTTTGGAGCCTTTCGATAAGTGGGATGGAAAAGACCTCAACGACATGAAGATCCTCATCAAAGTGCGAATCAGAATATAATAGGGAAAACTTGTAAAGATAGATAAAAACTTAGGTTCTGACAAAAGTTATGTGCGATAGTAAGAAGAAATGGACCTTTTTCAACTATTCTGATAGCGCGTTCAAATTGAATGCGACGAAAAAAATTAGTTTCAACACGGTCTTGAGATTTCAACGCCCTTTTCGAGATTTTTTATTTTAGCTTTCTTTTTTCATAAAAAACGAATTTTTTTTCAAACTAAAAGGGATTCAATGAACTTTTTCTTGAGTTTCAGGTGAAAGGAAAGTGCACGACTGACCACATTTCTGCGGCTGGACCCTGGCTGAAGTACAGAGGTCATTTGGACAACATTTCCAACAACCTTTTCCTAACCGCTGTCAACGCTGAGAATGGAGATATGAACAAGGTTTCTTAACCATTTTGGTTGAAAGAATGAAAATTATTTGGTTTTCAGGTCCGCAACCAGGTTAATGGAGAGTTTGGAACCGTCCCTGACACTGCTCGTTTCTACAAGGCCAAGGTGGGGTTGATAATTATTATTACAAGAAAAGAAAACGTTTTTCAAGGGCGTCAACTGGGTCGCGATTGGTGACGAAAACTACGGAGAAGGTTCTTCGCGTGAACACGCCGCTCTGGAGCCACGTCACTTGGGAGGAAGAGCTATTATCACCAAGTCGTTCGCCAGAATTCATGGTATAATTTTCAGTTTTTTTTTTGTAACTGTTAATTCATTTATTTTTTTCTAATAGAGAATTTTTATGTTGGAGTTTTAATACTACTTCCATACACAGGAATTATATTTTTCCAAGTTGAATATTGATAACCTCGAAAATCTTCTCAAAAAATGTTTTCTATTAAGTCTACTCTATAAACTTACAGAGACCAATTTGAAAAAGCAAGGAATGCTTCCTCTGACCTTCTCCAACCCTGCCGACTACGACAAGATCGACTCTTCTGACCGGTTAAAAAAAATTTACTTTCACCTTTTGACTGCGTTATTTTTTTAGAGTTTCAATCGTTGGATTGAAGGACTTCGCCCCAGGAAAGCAAATCAAGGCTGTCATCACTAAGAAGGACGGCTCCAAGGTTTGAGAAAGATTAACTTGTCCAAAAATGACGAAGGTTCAGATCGACATCTACCTGAACCACACTTTCAACGAGCAGCAGATTGATTGGTTCCGCGCCGGATCCGCCTTGAACCGAATGAAGCAGGTGTTCGCCCAGCAGAACAAGAAATAACTTTTTCCTATTTCCACTGATCATTTTCCGCCCCCTATCATGATTGGTTTGTTCAATAGCTCCTCAAAACATCATTTATAATTTGTATTGGTGCCTCAAAGTTCCTTGTATAATGCAACTCTTTTTTTCAATTCTACTTCTCGACGGTGTATTCATAGTAGGAATAAATAAATTAGTTTTTTTTAATTTTTTGCTGTTTTTTTTGTTTGACGTCGTCTCACAGTTGTTACTTGTTAGAGTGTAGAAAAAATAAACCGGCAAAAGCAGTTTTTTTCTATAGCCTTCAATTGAAAAGAAAAGAGGAAAAAAAAAATCCATACACAGTTTTCGAAAGAATTTTTCGATCTAGTTTGAAGAGAGAACATTTTTTGACAAAAAAAAATGGGGGAAAAAAATATAAAATTTGTAAGGTTTTATTCACCAAAAAAAGATTTTAAAACGATGTAGATTATTGTCGAGATGACTGCAATGATGAGAATTTTCTCAAATAGGAAAATTCGTTTAGAACAAAAAAACGAAACCAACCATAATCTGCTCTTGCGACAACTGGCTTTGAGAGTTGCATACAGCCGTGTTTCTGGAAATCATTCTTTTTTCAAAGAGAATTCTCGTTATTTTCTTACGGTGATTCTGTGGATTTTGCGTCGTCACTGCTCACCAGATCGTTTAGCCAGCTGTTTTTTTTTTTGAAAAAAATTAATTATCTGACGACTTTTTTTTAATGAAGTTTTTTTCCGTCACATTAAATTGTAGTGAAAAAAACGTTGTGCAGAATTTCATTAAAAAAATATATAAACTTATTTTTTTAAAAACCTACTTTTTCTTGTGGCTCTTCAGAAGCGTCGCTGAACGATTTGTCGACGTCCGAAACTTGATCTTCGATGTCGCCAATTCGATCGCGAGTCTATAAAAAGAAATCACGGATTAGAAGATTTCATCTAATTTTCGTCGTTTCAAAGTGAAAAACCTTCATATTTCGACGCTGTTTGATGTGCCTCCGGAGCAAAACTTCTTTCTGATATGGCGTTTTTGGCTTAGGAGCTGAGGAATCGCTGCCAGGTTTGTTCATTTCTGAAATAAACAAGGGAAACTTTCTTTGAACTATTTTTATAAGCATATTGTTCAATAAGAGCTAAAAGGTAGTTGAGAACAAGGTCTAAAGAGAGTGCTCAGTTGTATTAGATACGAGGAAAATGATTGGAATTGAAAAAACCATTATGGGCAAGTCCTTTGCGAGCTATATGAAAAAGAACTTATTATTTAAACATCGGTTATTTTGGAGCAAGACGACTTACTATGCGATGATGCTGTATAAGAAATGAAACGGTTGATCATAATGTATATGTCAACGTTATTTTCATTTTTTATATTTATATTTCTCCTGAAAGCATTTTTCAAACATCTTTGAGGTTCTCGTATTCAAAACGGCCATCTTTTGAATTTCATGAAAACGGAAGTATAGCATTGAATTCGAATTTATTACTTTTTCGGAGGCGATTGACAACAGACAAAACAAAAAAAAAATCAAAATAACAGTAAAACGTGGGTTTTCTTCCAGTTATTCACGATATTTTAACTGGTATCCCACATTTTGGGCTGTTTATTGTGTGATTCGGAAATGGCTCTAGAATAAAAGGAGGGTTTAGGTTCTTTGAATTTATAATTTTATTTTCATTCAATTTTTTTTTGACTTTATTTTTTGATTTTTTTCCTCATTAACTTAAATTTTTTTTCATCTTTCGAGCCAGAGATGCAATCTTTGAAAGTGGTTTTCATCCTGGGAATCGCGGTTCTAGCTTCCGCACGACCTGTCGAGGACAATAACGACGTCAGCCTTGACTCTGATGAAGTGGAGGTGAGCGGAGAGAAAAAAACTGTAAATCAAGCGCGCTTGAATGTTTGAATAAGAAGTGATGTTTCTACTAAAGCTACTCACCAAAACGGTACAAATTTCAGCAATTATCACGCTCCACAAGGTTTGAAACTGAGGTTTTGAATTTACAAACGTCTTGATGGATTAGATTTGCTCCTACATTTTTTACGGGTACATTACAAGCTCCACACCACCGCAGGATATTTGGAATTTCTGATAAAATAATACACCTTTCAGTTTGTGGGGTGAAGCTGAAAAGAGTTCTTTAGAACGGTAAAAGATAAATAGAAATTTTTAAAAGTGGTAGACGTGTCTTCAAACCTCAAAATGTTCATTTACGACGTCCTGCACTTTATAAGGTACACGACATGATTAAGCATACAGAATTTCGAAGAAGAAGTTTTATTTTGTTTGACGTTTGAAGATGCTGGGAGACGCGCTGGCGGAGGCGTCGGACCTGAAACCCAAACGGAAAGATCCTGTCGTGGTTGTGATCGAGGATGTCGTGGACGACAAAGAGACGGGCAGCGAAGAAACTGAAGTCCAAGAGCTGATCGAAGAAGCCGACAAACTGGAGGCCGAGCAAGACAAGAAGAACAAAAGAAACAAGAGAAACGCCGACCGTTGCCCAAAAGTTGTCTCCCCAAAAAAAGGAACCACTCCTCGTCTTGCTTGGATTTAGGCACCTTTTTATCTCGAAACAAAATATTGTAACCTGGTTAAAAATTAACTAATTTATTCGAAAACTGTGGAAATAGAAAGTTTGGTATTTAACCTGATCATTTTTTTCTATAGACTCACAGTCTTGGAAATAGTATCTTGTTTTTCTCTCCATTTTTCCCTCAACGTAATAAAGGTTATGTCGTTTGCAAAGCACATGATAAACCCGTCATAGAAATTTTCATTCGCATGAATCAACAAACATTTTATTTCGACAAAATGAAATAGATAAAAAATGAACGGCTTGGAAGAAATGCAACGTTGGCAGGTAGATTTTTAACGGTTTGAAGAATGGGCGGAGTTTGGTCGAGTTGTCAGGAGATTTGAAAAGCTGCGAGACCTGTAAGCAGAAGTGTGAGTAATGTAGAAAATTTTAAGGAATAAAAAAAACGGATATATCTGACTTGAAGTGTCTAAAAAATTTAGTTCAATAGTCATTCTAGCCGGCCCAGCGCTCATTCTACTACCTTTTATACACACTTTCAAGAAGGCATTCGCTTTATTTTAAATTGTGGTGTTTGAAGGCTTATAAAAAAAGTGTAATGAGGTCTTTGTTACATTTTGATTGAAGCAAACCCTACATGAAAACTACATGAAAAGGCAATTACCATTGGAAAATGGTCTGAAGAAGGAGAAAAATATGATTTACCAGTCATTCTTGTTTAATGATGGTTTTGTAAATCAACTCTTCATTTATACAATGACTTCTCAGAGGATTGCAAACTAATTTTATTTTTTTAAATCAAATTTCAATAATTTACCTGGAATTTTTTCACGAGAGAAGAAGCAAGGCGAGGGTATGCCTTTGTGGCCGGAAAAAGAGCGGCGTCCGTTTCATGAAAGATGGGCCAACCTCCGAAACTTTCCGACCTTGTTTCTTATCCTTTGCAGGTTCTGATTGTGCGCTGAAGTTTTGTTTTGCGTTTTTTCAGGTGAATAAGAGGAATGGATGATTCAAATTGGAAAATCCTACAGAGTTAAAAGAACTTATGTTGATACTTTAATGAAATATCGCAAAGAGCCATCTTAGGGCACTGAGTTCTTATCAGTTGAAACCACCAGTTCAATTTTTGAAAATGTAATGACCCTAAAGCCCCTCTTTGTTCAAACTTTGAAAATTTGCACGAAAAAACAAAAGGCGTGAAGTTGTTTTCTGTTCTGAGGTCAATGTTTCCTAGAGATTTTTGAACAGAAATAGCTCAAAATGTGGGTTTCCTTGTGTTTTTTGGACGGAACTAAAGAGTAACGCGCATAAAAAATGGTAGTGTGAGAAAAGTACGTAGGAAGACGGTTATTCATGTGGGAGAATTAGGAAGACCAGACTCTTGTTTTTTTCACGAGAAAAAGAGATGACAAGTAAAAGTGTACCTTGATAATGAAGTGAGAAGAACTGCACAAAGTGAAAAGATGACTAGGAGGCGCGCCCAAGGCGCCATAGTCGTTACCTGGAAATTAATAAAAAATGAATTTTAATTTTCGTTTTTTCAAAAGTTTGGTGTGCACAAGTCGCAAAAATCAGAAACGTCGTAAATAAGGAAGTGAAGCGTGGTTAGGAAGAGAGGAAAGTGTGTTGCCGAGGTTTCAACAATGAAAATTGCGTCTCATAATTTATATATCCGAGACATGCATTCTGAGTTTTTTTTAGTAATTATCAAATTGATCCCTTTCATTTCCTTGTACGTTTGGGTGAATTATTTTGGAAGCTGGGACGAAGAAGTTCGAAAAATTTTAGACGCTTTTAGGTTTTACGAGAATCACAATGAAAAAAAATTAAGAGAAAATTTGTTTCTCAACTTTTTGAGAGCTTTAGAAGTGGACATAAGTTGAAGTTTGAATAGGGAAGAGGAGCCCTAAACGAGTCATCTTGCCCCGCAATTCTTAGATTTTGAATGTATAAATTCTGATGTTCATTTCAAAGAAATTTGTGGAGGCTCAAGACCAAGTTAATATGAGAAATTAGAAGAGTTTTACAAAAATAGGCATGATAACTTTCCATATGATTATATTTATGAGGGTCTAAAAAAATTGAACTGGATTTTTTTAGATTAATACATAAGTTTTTTTCAAAAAGTGTTTCACTCAGAGAGTTCTCAAACCAGACCTTTAAAATTTTCTTACAAGAATGTTTCCCATAAATTTTCGAATAACTAAACAAAACATTTTTCACATTCTCATTTTCAGATTATTGTCTTCTCAACTCGAGCTTTGCGCTGTCAAGAGGCCATCCGCAAATAGCCGCTGATGAATGGCCTTCGACGTGGAATATTTGGTTAGGCTTTTGAAATGCAACATGAAATGCATCGAAACTTCACATTTACACATACACACCAAAGTGATATCACAAAAAAAAAAGAAAGAAAGCAAAGAGCAAAAAATGCAAAAAAAAAGTGAAAACTGCATGGAAGGCGGAAAGTTGGAATAAAGTTCAAAGTTTTTTGAGAAAATGGAATTTTTTGAACTTACTCAAATTACTGATAGAGGATGTGTCATAAAAATCCATCAAAAAGTAAGAAAATTAAACTGACTGGAAGACAGTTCCTTAACGAAAATTAACCCTTCGAAAAAAAAATATGACACAGCTGTACAGCGGTGAAGTGAAAAAAATAAGGTAACGGATTTGAGAAAAATAAGCTATTGAAATCGAGAAAAATAGAAAAATTTAAAGAGGATTAGATTTGGTAGAAAATTTATTGCAGATTTTATTGAGCTTGAGAACTTGCACTATCCTAAATTTCGAAGTCGATTTTTAATGGAATATTGAACAAATCGAGTAATATGAATAAGGAAATGACTTTTATTTGAGTTTTTCGAAACGAAGCTCTCTATAATTGTAGGGTTGAGAGGAAATATTAAAGCGTGACGCATTCTACAAGGAAATTCGAAGAGGCTAGAAAGTGGAGTTACAAGTTAAAATTATTTCAAGTTTTTTTGTTCTGGCTCCGAATTCCGTGATTCCAATCACAGTTTTTGGTTTAAAAAACCTTCGAACTCTCCAATTAAAGGGAATTTTCGAAATGCTAAATAACTTAAGCAGTGAGAAGTTAAAGAAGAAAATTTAAATGGTAGCTGAAGAATTTGCAAATGTTGTGCATCTTTTGTCGAACATCAGCAAAATTAGAACCAATGTATCTGTTCGATCTTTTCCAAAATAGTTTTCTTCCAATGCACATGAAAAAAGTATTGAACAACCAAGATGATATCAACAAAAAGAGAAATAAGAATGAAAAGAAGGAAATGCGGACTGACAGACAGCCGCTGTCCAAATTTGAGGCTTCTCCCTTCAAAAATTAATCCGAGCGAATTTCGGCCGAGAGCCGCTGGGCAGCAGATTGTGATGGACAAGGCGTTTTTTCCTCTCTTTTGGAGAATATGACGAACAAAAAAGGACATAACCGAATAGAGACAAGTTTTGATAGTTGGAGTAATGGACTATTTTTTCATTCCGCCTCTGGATCTCCATCAAGTTTAAAATAGTTCTTTCTGTTCTGTGGAATAAATGTATTTTTGAATCTTTCAAATATCGCTTCTCAATACTTCATTTCAAAAAAACAGAAGCAATTGCTATTAATTAGGCGTAAAATAGGCAAAGTTTCAAAGCAAACAAATACATATAGAATTTTTCTTCGTCGGAGATATTTTCGGACGGCCGATCATCCGCCCCAAGGCGAAAATTTGTCCACGCACTTTATGCAGAGAACTTTACGAATCTATTACTATTTTTTTGGAATTATAAAATCGACTTTGAACACTTTGAAAATGAAATTCATTCGAACTTTTAGTGAGAGAAGCTTTTTTTTCCACTTTGCTAATTCAGATATTTCTGATTATTTCTAATTTACGAAAAAGTTTCTCTTTTCTAGAAATCACTCCTGGCCGAATCCAAAAGTCAAGTCTTCGGACCTAGTTAACTTTATATATATATAACTTTGGAAATAATCGTAATTGAAAAGCTGAAAACAAATTTTTTCAAAGGTCAAAGTGATATCAAAAAAGGAAAGGACAGCGCGAAAGTCCATTGGACACGCCTCTTTTTGCAAGATCCATGAGAAGAAAAACGGAGACGAATAATTGAAAAAAAAAAATGAAATTCAGCCTTTATGGGAAAAAAACAGACGTGTTCTTCAAAGACCCGCATTAAAGTCATTTTAACAAGCTCAAGACATCACACTACTTCAATGATCGATGTAAAAACGCACATTGGCAAGTTTCCTGAACTTGAAATTTTTGAAATGGAATAGAAACAGAAATTTGTCCAACTTAAAAAATAAAAGTGAATTTCGGATTGGCTTATTTTTAAAAAAAAAATTTTTTTCCCAACAATTCGCGTTTTTTTTTCCATTAAGCAGTTTCACATATCTCTCTTTTATTTTCATGATTCGGGAGAAAAAAGTTCAACACCTGAAATTACTAAGAACACTGGTCGTGTCTTCGACATTCAGACGTCATTTTTGCTCTTTGGATACGCCTACTTTTTTTGGGAAGTTGACTGAGGTCCAAATAGGCATCAATTACGAATGAGAATAATATTAGGCTTGCAAAAGGTGTGAGAAGAAAGCAAAGTGTGTTTTAGCCCATTCTCAAACGACACATGAAATCTGAGAAAGTTGTTCTGAAAGATGAAAATCTCAATTTTACAATGTCTTCTCAAAAAGGGCGTTATTGAACGATTTGAAGCGTAATGGCCGCTCTACCGTTCCAATCAGAGCTGAAACTGATTTGAATAGTTGCAGTAGCCAGCGAACTTTCAAATTTAAAAAGTCCTAATTGTCAATTTCTCCAACCATTTGTCCTTCGAGTTTAGAATAAAAATTTTCCGTTGAAATTATGAACTGGAGTGATGTAGGTAGAAGATAGGGGGAGTTGATCTTCAAACTTTTTCCCCACCCACACTTGAAAAAAGGAAAACAGCGAAGTCTCCCTACGGAAAAAGGATCTATTTTTGAAGTAACTGGCTCCTAAAAATAGCTTCTTTTCTCTTTATTTTGACAATAAAATTGGGGAGGATTCTCTTTTGAAGAGAGGTGACGTTGGAAAAGTTCTTAGTAGGATCGAAAGGAATATAACTCATACTTTCATTGAATAACTTGAAGTTCCACTGCTTCAAACGAAGCTTATGAAATTTAGCGGAAAGTTTTATTCAGAAATTTTTTTTGTGAAGGTCAGGCTTTTTTGGATCAAAAGATGAGGTTCGCGTACGGATTTTGAAAATTGGCCCCGCTAGCCGAAAGGCTTCGATACGCTTCGGAAAAACGGATTAGGCGGGAGGGTGCAGATTTAGATTTCTGGATTTAATTCTTTTTGGAAGGCATCTACGAGGTCCGAAATTCGAGAGTTTGGAGGTCAAAAATGGAAAGAAAACTTCAAGTTGAATATTTTCGAATACTACAGCTCAATTTTTCTGACTAGTGTGCCCCAGCAAACCACGATATTGCTCCTAGACTTCTTTCTTGGTTTGTTTTGACTTTTCAGGGCAATCATTAACATTTTGAGCATTTGTAGAGCTTCCACTTCTCTTTTTTGACCTTTTTATTCCTCTGAAAATTTATACGAAGAAATTGAACTAAATGATGTCAGAATAGGTCTCTTTTTCAACTTGAACTATGAAATTCATAAAAAATTGACTTCTTTATCCAGTGTTCATCTTCTTCCGCTTGACCAGTCCAGTAGACAAAGAGGAACTTCTGTGGCTTGACATTTTGGCTTTTTTTGTCTGTGAATTTTCTATTTGCAAATAGAAGGGCTTTTTTGGATTTCTGAATTATATCTCGCACAGGTCTCTCAAAGTACGAATTGCAAAAAATAAAATTACATTGCGCCAGAATTTTTAGGAACTCGAGACCTGAATAAAGCACATAATCATCAAGAAAGTCTAATGAAAGGAAAAATTGTAGAAAGTCAACAACAATTTCAAAATGTTTTTGAACTACAAAGCGAAATCATAGCTTATTGAAAAAAGATTTTCGCTTTCAAAATAGGTCCAAACGAGAAAATACAAAAAGCATAGAATATTCAGAAAAGAATTTTAAAAAAATTAAAGTAAATATGTTTGACAATTTATGAGCTAACAAGTTAGCGGAATTTTGCGAGGAAAGAAGAAGGAAAGAATAAAATAATTAAGTTTTTCGACTTTTCAGACCGTTTATCAGACTCAAGGGTTTTGAAAAACTCTTTTCTCTGGTTTTAATGAAAGAAATATATGAGAAAGGTAAATAGAAAATGACAGAATTGAAAAAAAATTGTTAGGCCTCCTCTTAAAGATGAGCTCTCTGAAAAGCAGAAACAATAGTAGATTCACCTCGTATTTGTACCACTGGCAAATGAAGGTCTTCCTTCCGAAGGCCACGCCCTCTTTTCGATGTCCATTCTAGGCTTTTCGAGGCTCAAGTGGCCCTGCTTTTCATCTTCAACGATCTTAATGATTGTGGAAGTTCCTCGCCAAATAATAAACCTTTTGTTCTTGAACAAACAGTTGTTCTGAATGACGAATTCCACACCCTTTTCAATTTTTTCGCTGAGAAAAAACAGATGTTTTTGTTTAGAAAACAGGTGTAGGAGGATCTTTTACGTGGATTTGCACGCTTTTTGATTTTTTGAAAGGAAGTTTTTGGAATGAGAAGGAAGTCGGGTAAACAAAATATAGTCTCTTAAGAAGTTTTGATTTGCGATTCTCGGCTTCATTGTCGACTCCATAAATGAAAGGGTAGTTTCTATTTGTGAATTGTAAGCTCCTTCTGGTTTCGAGCGATTTTTGCTTGCAAACGCCAAAGACTCTTTTTTGGAGAAAAATGATCCTGATCATCGAGTTAGTATATAATGAAAGTTTTTACAAAATTTAATATTGAACGCTAAACTATTGGTTTTTTTTTCTTTTTGAATTAAATGAATTTTTCCGTCAGTTGAACCTTTTTCAAAGCTGAAAGAGGCTGTGCCGTCCAGCTTCTCGTAGGTCGCATCATAAGTGAGCGAAAAACGTAAAAGAAGCAATTACCAACCGGACGCAGTGACCTTTCTTTTTTTTCTAATCAGGAATTCCTTTTCTTTTCTTTTGAGTAGGTTGGAAAGAGTAAGGTGTCTGGACTGGAAAATTGTTCAAAGTAACGAAATGTTACTTTTTCTTTTAATTTGAGTATACAAGTAAGCAAGTAATTTAGGAAGTTCTCTTAAAAGTCATATTCAGAATGGGTAACAACATGTGTTTCTTAAATTAATATGATGTAAGCGATTCAAATATAGCTATTTCTTCATATTACTCTTGTAAGATTTAAATTTTTGATAAATCTAAAAGAAAATATTATTTCTCGCGGCAATGTGGATTTTAATTTTGGATTGAGGGTTTTGAATGTCGCCGTTGAAGAAGTTTCGTTTTTATGGCTCTATCGAAATGTCACAGTTTCAAGGATGACCTTTTCGAATTAGTAGGTTTAGAGATTTCGTTATAGTGTGTAATTAGGAATTTCCTGACATTTTGGGCAATTTTCGTTTTGATGAAGTTTTTCGAGACATTCTATTGAGGTCCTTCTTTAAAAATAGTTCAAATTCAACAGGAAAAGTGAGAAAATCGATAAATATATTGGCTTGAACTTACTCGTCTTCGAACTCCGCAGGAAGCTAGTTTAATTAATGAAAAAGAGAAAATAAAGAAAACAAATCCGAACGCCTTATTAGTTGTATTCAGTTACCGGCGTTTTTTTTACAGAACCAACAACCACACGCAATGTCCAAAAAAGGGCAAGAAATTTGAGGAGTACAATCAGTTGAAATTAGCAAATAAAACAATAGAACAAAAATCAAGTCGTGGGAAAAGATGACAAGCTTGCATGGGCGTTTTTGTTGCTTAAAAACTGGAAACATGATAGTTCTTGATTTGGAAAAAAAAACAGGGAAATTTCTTGATAGTTCAAATAAAGTGCAGTCTCAACATTTTTGGTAATTCGAGAAAGATGATTTCAATGATAAATCGGATAAAGTTGAACGGAAGCTTTTCCTCAAAATATTTTTTAAATAAAATAAAAAAGAAAATCTGGACAGCACTAGTTGGCTGCAAATTGGAGCTAAAGATACGACCGAAAAAAGGAAAGAAAAAACAAAAGCGGTCGTTCCAGGAGCAGATTCTGACGCGATGACACGCACAACTTCCGTCGACGTTTGACTCCGTCAAAGAAAATATATCAGAATCATTTGTACGACGCTTGCTCAGCTGTTCTATTTGGTTGAAAATTTTGGAAACGTTGAGGAGGGAGAAAATTGAGCTAAATACTTGAGTAAGGCCCTGAAACGGTATCGCTTAAAGCATTCGGTTTGCGATTGATCAACTGAAGTTATCACTGAAAAGCCTAGGTAAATGCGCCATAAAAGAGACGTTCCGCGAAAATTTGTGGAATATAAGAGATTTTGATTCTTTATCTAAGATTTTTCAAACCACACTCCCTCTAAAATTTTAAAAACCTATCTTGTCGAATTTTCACAGGTTTTTTATTTCAGAAATGGACCAACGGCTGTCTTCCGAGAACATCTCGCCAAAAATATGAGCGACTCCTTTCATATCATCAGATACACGTCAAATAGTTTTTCAATAAAGTTAATTTAAAAATTTTTTTTTAGGATAAAAAAATTCGGAAAAATGACGAAAAAAATTGAGATTTCTGGATCGACTAAAAAGAACCGGAAAGCTGTCTTCGATCCGGTGCGTTGGTTTTTAAATATTTTTTAGTACCTTCCTTTCCGGCTTAATCTGATTTTCAAGAATTATGATCTTTCTGAGTAATTTGCTACTCCTTACTTGTTAGTCCTGGAATTCTGATTGAAAAAATTAACATTTCGCGCTCGTTTCAGTTTCATTAACAGGTTCAAATCGAAATATTTATTGACGACCCGTAGAGTATATAACAAAATTTAAAGGAATGTCTAACACAATCTTAAAGGCATGTAGGATTTTTCAAACAATTTGAAAGAACGTAGAAATCAGTAAGTGAAGATTGGCACAAATTATTTTCAGCTCCCAAGGCACACGAAAATGACCTGAAAAAATCTTGTTTTTTTTTTTCTCAAAGTTGATCTTTTTTTTCATTTATAGCAACTAGATTTTATTTTATATATCTGTTCAAATTCCCGAGAAACTCACACAGTGACACAAGTAAGTAGTGTTGAAGGCCTTTTTGGTTGTAGAAATGTGATATTATGAAATATTTAATTTATATGCTAAGCGGCTCGAAATCGCGCGGCCGGCCGTTTTTGAACAAATAAGTACAGTGAAGGCACCAGCGAACGCATTCGATCACAAAAATACTCGCAATTGACATCACCAGAATCAGGACCAGTAGACTGCTGCAAAAAAAAGGAATTAATTTTTTCCCAGAATGGTCCATAATGGTTCTATTTTTCGTAGGAAACAACTAGTATTTGAATTTTAAAAAAAGCCGTGCTTACATTAGACAAAAAAGAAAGGTCAGACTTTCACGGAAAATTGAAAATCGCAAAACTTACTTACTCTTGATTTCCGATTCTGTATTCGAAGTTATTCATTCTATTTTGCATTTGCAACAAGGCCCATCATAATTCCTCTTTTTGAAAAAAATTTTGAGGCCGACGAATTTAGTGACGTTCTTCAATGCAAACTAGATTTTTCGTTGCGTCATTTTTAATGGACTGATCTGTCCTCCCCTATTTATACACCTTTCTCTGATAAAAACTGCCAAAACTGACAATAAGCTAGTGAAGAAAGTTGATTCTTGGCAACAATCGAACCCACAACAGTAGTCCTCCGACTTGCAGCCATAGACAATCTCGTGTGGTCTGGTTTCGTTTTCGAAATACACCTGTAAAGAGAACTGGATTATTTCGTAATGGTATGGGATGAAACGGACTCGGCCAAACTGAGGATCGTTTGGGTCTATTTTGTTGACGCACTGGACTGGATAGGCTTCGGTAGGCTGGTAGTAATTACCGTCCCAGTAGTAGGTCTTACCGCCGTAACTGGAAATAGTTACTGCGATCTTGATTTTAACTTTGATGAAAAAGTACCTCATCGGAGCCGATGGCTCTCTGATGATATGACGACCGGCTGAGTAGGCAAGGTATCCGGCGGTTGCTCCGAACAACGTCGATCGGAACATCGACGTGTGCTCAATGGATCCCGGTTTAGCGTATCTGGAGGCATAGTTCGTCAAGTTTCTTTATCGGTGGTAAAGGGAGAGAGAGAGAAAGCTACCAAAAAAAAGATAGTAATACATCGGATATAGTTACTTCCTAATGAAAAAAAAGCTCGTATTTTCTTTAAAAGTAGAGAACTTTTAATAAAAAAGATGGTCATGACATTATCAGTGATATAAACAGAAGAAAAAAGAGGATAGTAATCGGGACGAGTTCTGTGATATCCGTTTCTATTGGAAACTATTCTTGGGGTTTAATTGGAGGGATTTTTAAGAAGGACGAATTTCCCGGAGAAGTTTGGTGAACTGTAAAAAACTGACTTCCTCGTGAAGTGGAATCGACTCCCACTGGAGGCCGATCTGCTGGCTGAGCGACCTCGACCTCCACCTCCACCTCGGCCTCCTTTTGACTCTGCCACCAGAGCTGCTGCTGTCAGAAACGCCAGTAGCAGCCAACCCGTCCACCTCATCTGGAATATAATGAAATTGTTTTTTTTTTCAAAATCAGATATTTGGAAATATGGGTGAGCACGGGATTCCGATGTAATTAGCAGAGACGAAATGATGGTAAAAGCCGAATTTTATGAAGAGGATGAAAAGCAAAAATTTTCTTCTTCAAGTTTATTTGCCCATGGGCTCTACTTGTGAGTCGAGGGTTTAGACTAGAATACAGGGAAAAAAAAAACACAAAAACACATATGTTTACACATAGAAGGCTCCTTCACATATTTAAGTAGATCATCTACGAATCGGCAAGGAAGAGGTGGTAATTGATATGTAAAGACCCGAGATGGAAATGGAGGTATAATGAAAAAAAATTCGGCCCTTCAAAATCAGAATAAAATTAAATATGCAAGAACTTAATGAAAGTACAAGTGAGTAAGAGGAGTTTTTAAAAAATGACCCAGAATATTTTCCGCATTTCACATTGCGTCCTCAAAACCAACTAACAAATTTTCAAACGCTACCAGCATTTAATGCTCGGATTCTCACAGAAAGAGCATAGCAATCTTTCGAAATGAACCTGAAAACTTGAATTTACAAAAAAAAGTTCTAAGTGTGTCATCATTGACTAACATTACTCTGTGAAATTTGTAAATTTTTCAAGCGAACAAAAAGAAGCGAGAAGATGAGCAAGACGTTGACTGTTCATTTTCATTCTTCAAGAAAATGGAGAAAAAAGTTTCGAGCGCAAATATTTGCACCTCGGAAAGAAGAGTCAAGTGTCCAACGGACAGGCGGAGCTTTTGTAGGTAAAATTGGGCTGAATTCAGTAGCAAATTAGAAAATTTAGGAAAAAGTGGTGTTCCTGCGTATTTAGAAGCATTTTGTGTTTTTAGGATGAAAAAAGGGAATATCAGGTGACAGGAGTTTGTCAAGCTTTCAGAGGGGACAGTCATAACATTCCTTTTTCGCCTTATCAAACTGGTCATACTAATTTATAAGATTTTGGCGGTACGTTTCGGAAATGCAGCTCCCAACTGGTATCCTAACTTTCAGAGCTTCTGAAATCGGTATACATACTTTGAAAATTTCCTAGCTATCTTGAAAAGTAGCGAAATGATTACAATTAGGCTCTTTTTACAAAAAAAAAACTCCATAACAAAAAGAGAAAAGTCGTAGGGAGAGAATCAAAGTTTTGAGGAGAAAGGAATTAAAAATTAAAACGAATCGAGGGAAAAAGAAACAGAAGGAAAAAAGCCAGACGAGTGGTGCCAAATTTCTTCTTTTCCATTCTTCTGAGCTTGTCTCCGATTTTTCTTCTTTTTTTCGACTTTCGCTACTTTTGATGGCGATGATGATGAATCGAGGCTTTTTTCTTGACATTTCACAGAATACTTAACTTCTTTTTGTGAAAATTGCCAGGCCTTTTATAACTTATTTCAAGTTGAGAAAAAAATCTTATTCAATATATATTTTCGAGTCAGATTAAGTAAATGGGAGACATATTTTCTACGAGAAGAAAGGTTTTGCGCTTTGTCTGAACTTTTTATCTTAATAAATCAACATCAAAAATCTCAAAGAAAAAGTCCAGTTTTGAATATTGGATCGAATACCGATTTGAACCTAATCAATAGAAAAAATCGGAGGAGAAAATAAGTATTCGTGGATAAATCATGCTTTCAATCCCTACAAAAGCGCTCAAGCGCACAATGTCTCTAATTGCCTTTCCACGTTCCAGGACAGAACTAGCCAATCAGTGGGATGGTTATAATATACGCACTTGTGGGAATTCGAAAGCTAATGTAGGAAGATTGATAGTTGATAGTCGCTCAAAAAAGTTTACATTTTTCTACGGTGTAGTTTATTTTAATTTTTTTGATGTTGTTTTTGAACGAATGAGAGTGAGCTGCAGAGAGAATTAAATGAAAAAAAAACTTAGAGTTTTTCGGTCGTAATGAAATTGAAAAGCTCTGAGAAGTAAAATGGAATAAAAATAGAACCTTGTCCTATAAGTGATGACGTCAAAGAGAGAGAATCTGGAAATTTTGTTGAAGCTCCTCTCGCATGGCCTTCCAAACAGAGACAGGGCCAAAAACTAATTGGTGGCCAAAAAGAGAGAATGAGCGAAACGTCCACGGCGAACAATTCCGATGGGAAATTCGGCGGAATGCACATCACGCCTTGTCGTTGTAGATATTCGAATAAAAGTTAGACTTTCTATACGTTACAGGAATTAGTCGGAAAGTAAATCTCTATAAAATTTCGTTGAATTGAGTTTTAAGTAATTTCGAAGAAGTTATTTAGATACTTTGAGTGAGAGGGGGAGAGAACTAAAAACCAAGAAGAAAGCCCGAGAGACAAAACACGCTTTTCTCGACTCCAAATTAGACTCAAGGGCATAATTTGAAGACTAACACCACATATTTAGCTGTTTTTTTTTTCTCTGGACGCAAATTCGTCATTTTTAAAAAACCTTCTCTCTATCACTCACTGAGTATGCCTTTTTTAGATTCCAATGAATTCTGAGTATTTCGAAGTGACACAAAAATTTTCTTCTTTATGAACACCTGATAGCAGAAAAGTTGAAAAAACATGTTTAGAAGCCTATATTTAAATTTTATTTGTCGAAGGTCTAGGAGAAGTACAAGGGAACGACAAGATTTTAGCTTGTTGATGGGTTTCAACTTGGTTGGTGTAAAATGTTGCTGAAAAGCAGAGAGCGACAAAAGAAAAGTGTTTTGGAGGATAAAGTGGTGTGAAAAGATTCGGCGACGGCGGCGGCCATCAAGCAGAGGGTCAGCTGTGAAAAAGAAGAAAAAATTAAAAGCACCTGAAGAAGAAATGTTGAGATGAGAAGGAACAAGGCAAAGAAGAAGAAAAAAATAGACTGCCATGAGCCAAAAACAAAAAAAGGTGTGACGCTGATTGAATGCGAGCCCCAACCATGAATCTGTCAGATTTCCAGCCTTTCGCTCAAAATATATCAAAACATGTAGTTTTTCGTTCTCACGATCGTTTCTTGACAACTTTTTGGATGGGCTTAGTAAAAATCTTGAAGAGGTTTTTGTTTCGATCTGCGTCTCTAAAACTGTTCTAAGATGGAAAATATGAAAGAGCCTTAAAGCATTCACTCGACCGAAACTTCGTTTGTTTAAGAAAGCTTCTCCGGAAATGAACTCTCAAAAATGATGAGATATCAACGTTTCTATAGTCAATGTTTCCCGACTTGAAAGGCGTGGGAGGCGTGGCAAGGGGCGGGACGCGTAGCGTGTGCGTACGCGGTTCTTGGCACGTGTTCAATTCAACCGCTAGCGAGCATTCAGAGAGCTTTATTTATTGCTCTTTTTCACTTGTTTTTTTTAATTATTTATTGATTATGTTCATGTGTGCATCAAAAAATAGAAGAAAATACAGGAAAAGAGCGTTGGCCGAGCTTTTTAAATAGTCGGCGGCGATTGAATTGAACTGGCGCCAAGAACCGCGTACGCACACGCTACGCGTCCCGCCCCTTGCCCCGCCTCCCTCGCCTTTCAAGTCGGGAAACATTGACTATAGTCGCATTCATGTGTCTTCGCTCGTACTTTTTTTTTTACTTTAAAAATTAATCTTTTTCTTATTTTCTTCTGTGATGTTTCCTGAACTTTTGACGAGAAGGGAAGGATATTTTTCGAAATGAAAAATTTGAAGTTTATAACATTATCAAATTGCAGCTCTCAAAAGAAAATTTCAATTTCCATGCTTCCAACCGGAAGTCCCATACTCTTAATTAGCGATTTCATAAAGGCAGCTTCTAAGCTTTAGTTCAAATCTTTGAAATATTAGGACTTGAGGCTTTCTGGTAGAAACTCCATTTCAAAAGTAGGCCTTCCTTGAAAATTCTGCCCCTAACCGGCCCTCTTCGTGTTTTTCTCAAATTGATAACATTTCCCATGAGGTTCCGATATTAAATCATAGTCGGTATATTCTTAAATTGAAAATTGGGGGAAAGATCGTCGGTTAGTGCATAACTAGCTTAATGTACTTGGAGAAAACAGGAAAACAAGAAAAGGTATGTGGATGAGAGCTGCCAGAGCTCATTTGTCAAGTGCCTCCGGTGGCGATGAGATCCAATAAATTTCACTACGAGTTATGGCCCTCCTAGCCAGAGTCACCAATACAAGTGAACATATTTCTTGATTTAGATAAATTTTTTTCTGAAGTATCCATTTTAAATAGTTATCAAAGATGATCATATATCCTAAAAATTTCCAACTAGGAGAGGATAACTCAATTAACTAGAATGAAAAAGTGGAGTTTTGAAATTAATTTGTTCCAATAGGAACGTTAAAAAGAAGTGATGGAAAGCTAGGAAATACACCAGAAAAAATTGGATTGAAGAACGTCCAGACATAAAAACCTCAAGGATCTAAATAAAAAGCAGCTGGAGTGGCCCAACAATACAGCTCGTTAAAGCATGCAACTCGGAGACAGGATCTTAAGGAAGAAAAAAAAATAGAAAAGTCAAAATTAAATTTTGTTTCAATTAGTAGTGAAAAATTCATCTTTTTTCGTTTTCACAATAAAATTATTTTTTCTCATTATTAAAATCTTGACCATTTGAATTTCTTCTGTGAAAGAAAAAATTAGAAATTCAAATGCATGTGGAAAACAAATGAGAGGGGTTGACCTACGGGAAAAGGGTAGTCGGCAATATGGATTGGGGACGGAAATCGAATGAAGAATCGTTGGGAAACTGGTTTTTGGTATGTTTCGTGCTGGTTGATGAGTGAGGTACGTGACAAGTTGCCACTTGATGGTCGATTAGAATTTGAAACATTTGCATCCTTGGCCTCGATATTTTTGACTAATTGATTGTCTCAGACGATGTTTATCAAAAACAGGTTTCTACAGACCCCTTTTTAGAATAATTAATTTCGAATGAGAAATCGAAGAACTGGAAACTGAATCCACAAAGGGTATCTTCTTAATAACTTTAAACACAGTGTTTGAGGTGATTCAAAAAAGTTCTTATTTCAAAACAAAGAAAGCTACCAGAAAAAAAAAATATATTTGAAATTATGGCAGAAAAGAAAATCCAAATTTGCAAACTAAGTCAACCAAACCTCTTTTTAGATATTTGAAAGCGCGAAAAGAATTATAACAGAAGACTGACTCGGATGGTTCACCATAAAAATGGGACAATTATTTCAATTATTGGTGAACCTACTATGGGGTTTTGCAGTCATCCTAATTTATGTTCTTCCAAGTTGCAGTGCAAAGTTTGTAGCTTCCAACTGGACGTTGCAAACTCACAACTTTCTACTGCAATTCCCGGATTCGATTATTCAAATTTTAGTTTCGAAATTTTACCTAATAATTACCTCATTCCTAATAAGTTTTTAGCTGAAGGAATTTTTGAAAAAAAAAACCTAGTTATTTCAAATACTGACGAATACGTAGATCGCGTTTTTCAATGAGCAGTTCAATTTTAAATAAAATAGTGGGAAATGGTGCTGACTATCGGAAAGATGGAAGAAACGGCGGATTCGTCACATTGTGTACCTATCTTTTTCCATTCTTCTTTTCCCACTTTCCCGTCACATCAGATTCAATTTTTAATTGCAGTGCATTCAGGCGTGTATTTAATATTGAGAAAGCCGCGTTCAGTGCTGAAATTCCCCGACTTTGAGGCTAAAAAGGCTAGAGAAGAGAAATTGAGAATTATCTAGCCATCAACTTCTCGGAAAGCATCACGATTCTCATCAAAGCCCCTTTTTTGAAAGATAAAATCTTGCATTTTTTGAATTCAGGTAAGGTGGATGCTCAAAAAATCTTCCCCGTTTCAAGACTGATTGAGCATGTTTTTATTTCTTTTCAATTTTTCAAACATCTTCTTATTGATCAAAAATTATCAATGAAATGTTCTAATAAACCTAATCAATCCAATAACAGATAATAACTGTACGAAAAGCATTATTTTTTTCTTTGTCTTTACGGTACTGATAAGCGCTTGCAAAAAAAAATCACATGCTTAAACATTGACACAAGGCTCGTGATCAGGTGCGACAACAAATATAATTGAGAAATAAAGTATAAAATCGAAAACTAAATTTGATACTGTTTTCAAAACAAAAAAGGTTCAAAAATCATTATTTATAAGTCGAAGATGAGGAAATCAGGATATTTTGCGACTTTTTAACAATTTTCAGTAATTTTACCTTTGATGAGAGCTAATTTTCAAGCTATTACCTGGCCGGAATTTATCTCAATGAGGAAAGGGACGTAATTTTTAGAAATTCATCAGGGAGCCGCCCTCACTTTCCTAGTTTTCCTCGTAGCTCTAAACTTTATTTCTTATATTTGTGACATATTTTTCTTTTACCAACGGCTTAAATAACTAACCGATTTCCACTTGAAATATTTAAAAATAACCCGTAGCGTTGAATATTTTTTTGTTTTTCTTCCGGAAAAAGGTCCTCTACACATTGAGTCAACACATGGAAGCGGGAAGGAAAACAAAACCGTCTGCCGAGCTTGTTTTCCACAAATAGGCCACGCCCAGTTTTGCTCACCCTGAGGTGGACTCACCTTTCTATTTAAGGATGAGGTGGCGACACCCTTTCAGCTTTTTTTTCCACTTGAAGTACAGGAAAAATTGTTTGTTTGTTTGTTCGTTGGCTCCTTTTTGATGTTTTCTTCACAACGATGGTAATTTTTGTGTATTTGACGGGTTGACTATTGTGAAGTTTGGCAAGGAAAGTAGAAAATTTCATGTTTGGTTCTACTTTTTTTTTTCAAAATTAAACGCATCGAAAAATTTCCCCATTTTTAAAAAGATGGTAAGGCCCCTTGGGAGTAAGAAGGAAACAATAAAAGAAACTTGACAAAAAGACAAGAATAAAGCGGTTTCAACTTTTCGATGAAATCTTTTAAAACATTTCAGTACTCAAAGATGAAAACTCAACTTATCTTCGAGTGGCTTCCTTATTCATATCCTACTGCGTTCAATCCTTGGGAGATCATTTGAATAGGCGAAGAGGGCTTTATTGAGACATAGGTGATTTTGAAAGAAATGTAACTCCAATAAAATTAACAATCAAAGAAAATTATCCGTTCCCAATAAGACCCTCAATTTCGTTTTTTTTTCTGCGTTTTAATAAGAACCAGGTTCCCCCAGCGGCAAAGATCTGTTGGTTATTAGTTTTCACTCAACTTTTTTTAATTTTTTTGAAAAATATATTGTTTGAAAAACTGACGTTTCTTTTCAAACTTTCTCCAGACATCCGTTTTTTTGCTGTTTTCCCGCCAAGTCCTCAAATATTTGTTCGTTATGTTTACAATTATTTGTTTCGAAAACACCTTTTTGAGCCTGGGCGGAGCCTAGAGTCTCGCCTCACTAAATTCGTGTTTAAATACGTGAGAAAATTTTTGTGGTTTCATATTACTCGCGTTTTTAGTAACTCTTCTAATGATTTCTTCTTTCAGCTCAAAAAATCACACCGGAGAATGTTTGACAAATTGTTCCACCGTCATAATCACAAAAAGATCGAAGTCAGCGAACCGAAACAGCGCTACAACTCGACGTCTTCAACCGGATCAGGTTCGTCTGAGAACAAAAAAAGAATACATTTGTAAGAAAAAAATAGAAACCTTTCGAATTTTGGGTGGAAAAAAATCCCGCATTTTTGCGAATTTTTTTCTTTTTAAAAATATCAGAATTCAGTACGGCTTGAAAAATTTTTTTAATTAGTTCACCAAAAAAATTTTTTTCAAAAAAATTTCACTCGGGACTATACCAAAGAGACGAAGTTATTGAAATTTTGAACTATCAAAAATTTTTAAGGTATGTCATTCAACTGTCCCATTACGCTCCGGATTAAAACAGGAACCTTTTCTATATTTACATATTGAATGTTTTTTGCATTTAAACTTAATAACATCCTGTACCATGTTCATATGGTGAAGGAAAATCATCACATTTTTTTCAGAACTTTCCTCGAAAAATGCTTCGAGAAAAGGCAGTTTGGATGTCCAGTCGGCCAACGGCTACACTTTTCCGCCCAACTTTTGCATTACGGCCGCTCAGCCCTTCTTTCCAGCCGTCTTACCGGCGAAATGGCCTTTTGCCGGATAACTTTTTCTGCGATTTCAATCCCGATTACCATCTTCGTCCCGGGTTTTTGTGAAAATCAGCTGTACATATCTGTAAATCAACTTTTTTTGTGCTCGGCTACAAAAAAGCAATTTTTATTCCTTTTTTTTCGTTTGTTTTAAAATTGAAACAAATGAAGGAGAAAATAAAGAAAAACAATATATATGTACAAAATCGTTGAAAGTGCTTAGAGAAAAATTGGCAAGAGAAAACTTGAGAAGTGACCAGTTTGATTCTGAAGGATTTGGTTCGGGGAATGTCACAGATTTTTGAACAAAGAGATATCTTGAAACATACGAAATAAAAGAAAAATTGTTAATGTTCCGAAAAGAATGAATGAAAAGTTGTTTCAATAGTTCCCGGCTACTGGGGCCGATGCTTGTGGTGCTGAAAAAATTCGGAGTATCACGCAAACTTTCAGAGAAATTTGACATTGTAATTTTATCGATCTTCGGTGAATAAACTTATCATTTTGTCAATTTGTTTAATTGAACGGTATTTCTTAACTTACTGATTACTTGTTATGAAAACCAACCTCGGTAATTTTTTCCGTTGTCTGGAAGTTTCAGGCCGCCCCGACGGAAGACCGCGAAACAGATTGGAATACAGCAACAAGCGAGGCAGACCAGGGCCAGAAGCATCCTGGAATCGATGAGAAGGTGAATTTCATGATAGTATTTCTGGGAATGAATCAAAAATGTTAGAAAATAGCCGAAGAGTGAAAAATTTGAAGTTTTTTTCCTATGTTTTCTTCTTCTCAACTGACTGTGGAAACTTTTAATAGTCCATCACGCGCCAGAGTTAGACGATTTTTTTTAAATTTTCGAGCTACGAAACCCTTTTTTTCGATGTACGCGGCCTGTCTCAATACAACGCAAAATTTCGGGCCAATTTAAAGGCGCATATACAGAGGCAGGTCACGCGCCTCGGAGAAGAGCTACTCAGAAAGGTTCTGTAGCTCGGAGGAAAATATAAATCGTGGCAAGCTGCCAAGGAATGGGCTATAACTGCGTAAAAATTTCAAATTATAACAAGCGGACTGTTAAGAAAATTTGAACAACTCTAATCCAATGTGCATTTTTTTTTTCTAAGCTAGTCCTTTTCGTTAGTTTCCCTATGGCTGTAATAAATCTCAAAACACTTGTGCTTTGTTTTAAAATCTGACAACTAGCCGCAGCGCGACCGTAATGCGTCGAGCCATTCTCCATGCGATTTTCACGTATTCACGAGAAAAAAAATTCAAATTTTTGATTTTTTTATTTTTCTAATACGTGAGTTCAAGCTACGAAGTTCATTTTTTTCACTAGACTTGAATACAATTTTAAACAATTCATGATTTTGAAGAGGACCTGTGTTTTAGTTGAATTAATGTTTTTTTCCAGAGTTTTTCGAAGCCATTTCTTTTTATATCACTCGAGTGTTTTTTTCCAGTTCCATTTTCGAAATTCAATAAAATATCATTCGCTCCATACGGAAACTGAAAAAAAAGCTAACAAAAGAAGTGAACTACTTTCTACCAAAAACTTCCGTGCGTATCTCGCAAATTCATTTCAATTTATTGCCACCGAAAAACAAAACTGCTGGATATAACAAAACGAAACAAAAAAGCTACTGCGATCTTTGGCAAAAATTTGGTACCGATACATTGTGATTAGTCAATCGTCTTTACAATGGGGTTGAATCACCGGAGAAAATCTTAAAATATAACAATGTATATGGCCGGGAAAGCTAGTAATTTGAGCAAAGATATGATAAACATGGAGATGAGTTATATGGCGAAGATTTGGTCGTGAGATTTGTTTCGGTGAGTTTTAAAGCAAGAAAAAGGGTTAGAGAAAGCAGGGAAATGAGAAAAATCGGTTAGAATTTTGATAAAGTCAATGATTTACACTACACTATAAAATGATTCTATTTTTCGAGTTAAGAAATTTGTTCGAGCGTTTTTGTTAGTGCAAAATATGAGGCAAGATTGGAAAGAGACCGAAAAGACTTTCATTTTTATTTTCTCATTCGCTTGATTCAGAGCCAGTTCATCAGAAAATTTGGAAATCAGTAAAAATTTTAAGATATTAAATAGTAAATGAAGTGTATAAAGACTCGATTTTTGGAAATTAGAACTTTGAAGCATTATTGGAGTAGCAAAAAGATCTTTCCGTCTCTGCCAACCCAAACATGAACCGAAAGAGACATTTCTATACAACTGCAAAAAAGGAACGTAGGTGCAGGTGCAGAAGCGGAAGCCGCGGGCTAGAGCCAGCTTGAAAATGAAAAAGTGAAGTGTGTAACCAAGTAAAACTATGTATATATGAATGTATTTAAAATAACACTAGATAACTAAAGCACGTAGGCGCGGACGAGCGAAGCAACGAGAAGAGCGTACCCCATGGAGACGTGGGAGCCGCCGAAGGTGCTGCTGCCGGCACCGCCGCCTCGGCAACATTCGTAGCCGCAGCAGTACTCGTAGTACTCACAGCCCCACACGATCTCACGTGGCCGAGTGTTGTCCTGAACCATGAATCTGAGGTCCGTTCTCGTTTTCAATGCGAATTTGGTCGATAATCTAGGCCTATAGAGATTGGTAAAAAAAGAATCCATCTCAATCAGTTTCAGTTCGAATTTTTCGAACAGACTCGAAATGGCTGCAAAAAGTTTGTCAGGACCTCCTAAGGAGAATGTTTGAAAATTAAAAACGAGGTCAAATCGATCATAAACGTGACTGCTTTGAGCCATCCTATGTGCGACCAGGGCCATTTGAGCTGAGTGCAAAAAGTGTATAACAGCCGACAATTTAAAGAAAAAAATCATAGAAATCAGTTGAATAGATCGAACGCAATATTAGAATCCATGTCTCCATTTTTTATTATTACTTTAGAGCAAACTAGTTGCTTTTTTTACGGCGCCGGAGTCCCATCTTTCAAATTTTATACCTTTTCCAGAATAGACTAAAAAAGCTGAACTGAGCCAGAAAAATTCAGTATGACTTCCTTGTCCGCTGGGGCTTCATCAGATCACCCCGTCACTCTTTATTTTTTCCACTCGAGCAACGAAGAATCTTACCTGGAAATAAACGTTGCCGAATTGGCCGTCATTAGGGTCAACAGGCATCCGACACATGTTGGATCTTCCAGCTCCGCCTCGATAGTAGTTAGATCCCCAGTAGTACGGTCGACTGTTCCACCTATTTCCTCTCTCCTGTTTTCTCTATCCTTTTTCGAATTCCTCACATCATTGGTGCCGCTGCAGCTCGGATGATGGCTTTTCCGGCTTGGTAGGTCAAATAACCGGCGGCGGCGCCAACAATTGCGTTTTTGAACTGATTCGAGCGTAAAACGCCTCCGATTCCGCCTGATTTCCGGCTGAAATAGATCAGTTTTCATGCCCTTCCAGCCGTTTTTTCCTTCATTTTGAAAAAAAGAGAAGAACTGAACCATGCGAGGTTGAAAAAAAAAGAGATAGGAAGCTAAAAAATTTCCTTCATTTAAATTGCCTACTCGGAAATTCGGTGGCGTCTCTCTTTTAATTGGACATCTCGAGGTCATCTCCATAAATTTTAGAGTGCCCCTAAGGAAACTCGATGATTTTTGGTCTTTTTCCAAACTAGGAAGAGTTTGAAAAGTCGGATGGAGAGGCTGAAAAGTGTTTTAATTGAGGATTTTGAGATTTCTGTTTATAATGGAATAATAAAATCGAAGTAAACTCAAGGTATTTTATAGTTTATTATACTAAAGCTCCATTTTTTTTATGTCGTCATCCTATTTTGAATGTCCTTTACACTCCGAAAATCGGTAGAGAACTCACCTTTTCAAATTTTGAGCCAGAAAGGTGTTTTCAAAAAATACATCGTTATAAAATGTCAAGACCATGGCATATTTTCTTTCGGCAATTAATTTTTTCTGTCTTTCTTTTACGTTAATTGATTCAGCTACTCGGGCATTTTTTTCTTTGTTCGTGTGAAAATATTAGAGTGTATGAATTGTTAGCAGCTTTTGCCAGAGTGAAGCCTAACCTATGAGAACCGTAGTTAGACCTTCCGCCACCACCGAAAATCCCGCCTGAATGTCCTTGCTTCCGACCGCCGAATATTCCCGTTCCATGACTGGACCTATATTATGTTTTTTTTCACTCAAAATATGAAAGTTCCTATCGAACAAACATACATTTTGAGAAACTGGACTTCGGACAGTCAGTTACAGTTTTACAGGACATTTCCGTACCGAAAACTACATGAAACCATTCAGATTCACTCAATACCTTGGACTGTTAATTAAATCTCCATTGAACCTTATTTTAAGAGATATTTCTTCATGCGATTTAACACTTTAGAGAATTAGTAACAAAGGGAAAATTTAATTAGAGCATGCAATCTGGGAAGAAAAAAGGCGAAAAACATACAGCCAGCATTTACATGCATTTTAATGGGAAGCAAAATGAAGTTGATAGACAAATAGGGACAGAGAAAGTTTAAACATAAAGTATAGAGCAAATGACAAACCTAGACGATCCGATGTTGCCAGTGGCCCCTGAAATTCCATTCATTTATTTATTTTTCAAATCTCAAAGCAAAAAAAAAATATGTGACTCTGGGAAAATTATAAAAAATGGTCACGCCCTCAAATTATCTAGTTTCAGCATCCAGAGGGGGCTTGAAAAAAGCTAAAATAATAATTTCTCAATAATGCATTGCGAATGAAGTCCACTATTAGTCCGCATCACAGCACTCAGAATAACCTCGCCGTTTAAAAGCATCAAAAACGACGTTCACACCTCGTCCAAAGTTGGTATTGCGACCGTAGGCGTTGCCGCCCGCAGGAGCAGAAGATCCTGACTTTCTACCTCCTGAAGAGCCAAACCAGCCGCCGCTGCCCCCAGAAGACGTTCGTGCTCCGGACATTCCTCGACCACCAACTCTTGAACCGCCGCCCATTGACACGCCTGTAGCCAGTTAAATATTCAATCGAAATTTGGGTAATTAGTCTACCTCCTCTGCGGGCGTCTAGTTGGGGAACTACCGAGGCGAGGAGCAGCGTTAAAAGTAGATAGGTTGACGCCGCTTCCCCCATAGCTAACTAAGATAATTCTAATATCAATTTCACTTTACAGAAAGAACGAAAAAGAGAAAATGACGTAGTTTACACTCGAGAACAAGCCGAAATCGGCAATCATTGGAAAGACAAACGCGGAACTAATCAATTGTTTTTTCGAAGGGAAAAAAGAAGAAACGATAAGGAAAATATGTCAAATCAAGACTTTTATTCTCGTCATGAATCAGAAAGAGGAAACAGTTTCGTCATTGGAAGCACAATAGATACATTAGGAGGCGGAGACAGCTGACTTTTTTTTTCTCTCTTATGAGTCATTTTCTATTTTTCAACTTCTGTGTGAAGATAATTCAGGAAACTCACAACTAAATTCTCAAATATTGGAGAAAAACTTTCAAAAAAGTTGATTGAGTTTTTTTAAGCTCTGATAACTGCTATTATTTCTAATATCTAATTTGCATTTTTTTCAGGTTTTTTTGTCATAAACAAGTTCAGAGAGAAATTAGAAATCTTTAAAGAATTGAAGGACAGAAAAAAAAAGTGAACATCTGTGAGTCACATTTAAAGCTTGAAAATTGACTTCATTTTGCATTATTGAGCTCTCAGAAATAGTATTTGAATACGTGTTTCTTGGTTCGATACCCTTAATGATAAACTTGAGAAAATGCATTTTACCAAAAACCCTAACATTAAAAATAGGAGATTTTTGATTCCAGACATGAGAGAGCCGCGAAATCAACACTGAGGCACATGGTGTAACCAACAATAACAATTGCCAGGCCAGTGAAACAATGATACGTGCAGGAACGAAATGACGTGAGCTTTTCCCCTTTTTCATTTCGAAACGTCTCAAAATTGAAGTGCAGTTATTCATAAATGAATAATAATCGGGGATCCAGGAAGTTGAAAAAAAAAGAAATATCGCCGTTGTTTTGTTTGAAGCATTTTCTTCGTTTTGCCCAAAATTTCTAGCACAATACTCGAAATCCAAGACTAACGACGAAAACAAAATAGACGGCAGCTGTGGCGATAAAATGGACAGATTTCAATGGCGGCTATTGGAGCTTTCATGTTACTTTAAGAGGAAATATTGAGCTAGAAAAAGACATATTTATGACGTGTTCATCGGACAAAACGAAAATTGCTTTGAAACGCAAAAAAAAATGCTCCAAAACAAAAATTAGTACTGTTTTGGAGCAACTTTGGCGCGCCGATGAACACAACTTTTCGTTTCGAATCATGTTCCGTTTCTCCGATGAACACGCCATTAGAAAGTTTATATTCTAATCACTTTTTACTTCTGAAAGAATGTAGATGGTTAAAGTTTTGATCATAAAGAGCATGTTAGAAAAAAAAATTTAAGTACGAAAAGTTGACAGTCTCACATTTGAATTTGAGCATGGATATAATTTCAACTGAAACGTAGAAAATAATTCCCGACTTGAAAATTTTAGACAAGCTGCGTAATCCAACATACCCCCGGAAAAAAAACCTTCGAAACACTCGAAAAAGGAAAACTAATTGCTGAGACGTGATGAACGAGCCTAAGCGGACGGGTGGGTGAAGCGTCACACAACAGTTAGCTATTGATTTCGGAGCTCGACCAGCGGTGGTGGCCGAGAAACACACAAAACAACACGGGGCCAAAAAGCCGCGAAATAGGCGAAAAGGGCGGCTGGTAACAGGAGGCAAAAAAAAAGGAAAAGCCCGTTGGGAATTTGATAAGAAAAGACTTGAGGACGTCGCTTGCCTTCCGGAAATATTTGACGTTCTTGGCTGAATTTTTCTGGGAAGGAAACAACTTTTTTTTTTGATTAAATATATTTGATATGGTAACGATAAGTTTCAACAATTTGAGCTCCATTTCGATTCGTTCTTAGTAAGCATCTATTTCAGATTTTTCCATCAAACAGCAAATCTCGCAACTTATTCACCTTCAATGAGTTTTTTTTTTCCAATCAAGTCAACTTTTTCTATTTTTTTTTTTTTGAAACTCATCGAGTCAGATTTTGTTTCGATTTCTATAAATCGAAAATGTCAGAAAAAACACACGTGATGCGGAAAGAGTGAAAAACTCCGCAGACATCAGAATGCGGCAGGTCCAATAGAGAGAAGGAACTGAAAAAGAGAACACGAGAGGCCGTATGTTAAGTGGTCGAGCCCAATCTCTGCAAGAAAAAAAAGAAGCTGAGAAATATTCTCTCGAAAAAGCAACAAAGGTTTTTGAAAATGTCGATTTTTTGTATAAGAGGTCATTTTAACTTCAACAATCAATTAAACGACCAGGTCATTTTGTACATATTAATAAAAATATTTGAGGATTTAGTTCATCAAGATTGCAAAAACAACAAAAAAAAGGTTTATTTTTGTTGAGGATATTTTAATTCATCGTCAATAAAATGAAAAAAAATTTTTCTAACAAGTCTGGAAAAAAAAAACCTTGAAGAGCAGCGAAACATTGCGCTACTGAACTTGCCGCCTTTTTTTTCAAACGCAAGATTCGCAGGCCCTTGAGATTACGGTAGTCGGCAGGGTTTCACGTTTTCCCAAATTTTTTTACATTTTCCTTACGCTCTCTAAAAATATTTTTTTCCATGTTTCTTAATCTCTATGCTAGTTTTCTAATTAATTCACAAAGATAATTGAAAAATTCCTTCACATTATGTAGGATTTTTCTCAAAAACGATTATTATGTATTTTTTTCACAACTTCCAATTTGCACGTTGTTTTTTTCATGTTTTTCTGAACTTTTTTTGAAATAAGAGCAAATTTTTTTAGGTTTTGAAGTTCCAGCAAGATTTAGTTCGACTTATAAGAGTGGATTTTATTAAATTTCATTGAATAATGAATAAGTTGGATTTATAACCTATTTTTTTCCGATATTTAATCAATTATTACAGCTCGGGTAGGAGGTCGCCATGATCTTCGTTAAGTCGCTCTCTGGGCGCACGTTGTGCCTGGACGTTGATGCCTCGGAAGATGTTCTGAGCATCAAGCAAAAAATCGAATCAATTGAAGGCATTCCGGCCGATGAGCAGAGACTTATCTGCGAAGGTTGGTTTCATTTTTATTTCTCGGCGTTAGCTGATTCCCGAGAGAAGCTCTTCACTGGGCTCTTGAGGACGGAACGGCTTTTTTCATTTGGTGATCCTAAACGTTGTAGGTCATCAGTTGGAGGACGATGAGTGTGGTATCGAAGAGGATTCTACCCTTTACCTTTCCTTGAGGTAAGCAACCTGTTACACGATTGTGTCTAGTCATTTATTTCAGCCTGCTCGGAGGTGCCAAGAAGAGAAAGAAGAAGGTCTACACGACTCCCAAGAAGATCAAGCACAAGAAGAAGAAGGTCAAGCTCGCCGTCCTCAAGTACTACGAAGTGAGTTTATGATTATTGTGTTCATATTCATAATGAATGAATCAATTCGGCAATGATGATGATTACCATTTAATGGTGTCCAGACCTCTGAGAGTTTCATGACCTGAGAAACGAGTTACTGAGCCAACCAAATTCAAGTGAAGCGAAAAAGATTTTTTCTTCTTTATTTGAAAAAAAAAACTGGATGTTTTTTTTTAAAATTGATTTTTAAGGTCGATGAGAACGGAAAGATCCGACGACTTCGCAAGGAGTGCCAATCCCCAGGATGCGGTGGTGGAGTCTTCATGGCCGCCCACGAAAACCGTTACTACTGCGGACGTTGCCACGACACGCTCGTCGTTGAAGAGAAGCCTGCGGGTGCTGCTGGTGGTGGTGCCAAGGCTAAAGGAAAGGGAAAGAAATAAACTGTTGTTGTTGTTATTCAATAAATGAATTGTTTTCAAAGTTGGTGGTTCTTTAATTTGTCGTTACAACGAAACTAAATATTTAGCGCTAATTTAAGTTTTTAACTAATAAAAGATTTGCACAGTGAAGACAAGCGAGAGACAAAATGGGTAAAAAGGTCAAAATCGGAAAACAGCGTCGCGATAAGTATTATAAACTCGCTAAGGAAGCTGGTTGGTGTTTGATAAAATGAATTTCAATATTGCGCTTGATATTTCAAAAAAATTCCAAGCGAAGTGTATAGCCTATTCCGCGCCAGCTTGTCACGTTTTTCTTTCCGCCAAAAGGCCAGGTCAAATTTGACCAATTTTCGCTTCAAGACCTTTGTTTCTTTCCGTTATAAAAGCAGAAATTTGATCTAATTTGGTATACGGTCTTTTTTGGCAGAAAGAAAAACGTAACAAGCTGGCGCGGAATAGGCTATACAAACTTTTGCTCTTCGAAACTGCTGAAAAGACAGCGAATAACAAAACTCTTGAAGAGGAGATGCTCAAATTTGATTCAATTTGGTGTACGGAATTTTTGACGAGAAGAAAAACGTGAGAAACTGGCGAGGAATGGGCTATAAACGTATTTAACCATTTTTAATAACAAAAATATTCATTCACTAAAAAAACCCCCTGAAAATTATGCGTTCAGTTTCTTAGGTTTCCAATTATTTGTGAAACTCGATCGTTTACGAGGCCAACGCAAAAAATTAAGATGTGTTCTTCGTAAGTCGATTTTTCGAGCTTAAGGCTACCGGTCGCGTGCTGCGTTCAAGTTGATCCAGTTGAACAAGAGATTCGAATTTTTACAAAAGTCGAGAGCGACTGTCGATTTATGTGCTGCTCCGGGAGGATGGATGCAAGTTGCAGCTCAGAATATGCCAGTTTCCAGCCTCATTATCGGTTCATATATTTATAACCGTTTCATAAGTTTTATTCCTTTGATTACAGGCGTGGATTTGGCTCCCATCAAACCTATCAAAAACTGTATAGCACTGCAAGGTGATATTACTACGCAGGAAACACGAACCGCAATTAAGAAAGAGCTGAATACGTGGAGTGTATGATTATAGATTGGCATCTCAGTGAGGATTTCGGTTTTAGGCGGACTGTGTTCTTCATGACGGTGCTCCCAATGTCGGTCTCAACTGGACGCACGACGCTTTCCAACAAAATTGTCTTACTTTGTCTGCCTTGAAACTGGGAACGCAAATTTTGCGGAAAGGGGGCACATTCGTTACAAAAGTATGTGTGATGCGATTTTCACTTAAAAAAGCCATGTTAGGGTCATATTGTGCACGACCAAAATTGGCCGAGAAAGAAGTTCCAAAAGATAACATCTTCTTTCACATTGCTTTCCCCTAGTATATTTAAGAGATTTCGCCACGAATCCAGAATATCTCTTAGTTCTGTGTTCGAATTGTTTTAACAAAATTCAGAATGGCCTTCGAGAGTGCAAAATATAACTAAATTTTGGATTGTCAAATAATCATAAATAGTTTGGCGAAATTAGTTTGAAAAAGACAAAAAGACCATGCTGAATTAATCAATATGCGTTTTTTTTTCAATTTCAAAAGAGCCGAAGCTTGAATGTCATGACTTTTTTTTGTGGAGAAATGAAACTTTCATTTTTTTCAGGTCTTCCGTTCTAATGACTACTCTTGCTTGATCCGTGTTTTTGAAAAACTATTCAAACGGGTTCACGTTTGGAAGCCAGCAGCATCTCGTCTTGAATCTGCTGAGATTTTCGTTGTTTGTGAGCAATACTTGAAGCCGGAAAAGGTGAATAATGAGAAGTGAAGTAGTATTTGTTTTTTGAGGTTGGCGCTGAGTTCCTGGACCCCAAAAAGGTGTTCGCCAATCCAGACGGTTCGGAAGTCAAGAAAGTGAACCCGTAAGATTTTTTCTCTGCGTTTGAAGGGAATAATATTTTTCCAGCCAAAATCTTCTTATCGGCAAACAGAAAAAGGCGCGAGCTGAAGGTTACGAAACTGAATCGCTTGCCATTTTCTCCAAAGTCGACGCCACAAAGTTCATTTTGAGCCATGTAAGGATTGTTATGTGATTCGGCATCATACCAAAATGTCAAACTTTTATTTTTCGATATCCAATCCTCTTTTCCTTGTTCCACAGTTACTTATAATTTTGATTTTTTTTTTATAGGAATATCTCGATGTCTTGGGTAGCGCCAATGAAGTTGTCCTTGACCAGGATAAGTGGCGAAATTCGGTAGAAACCACTGAAGAGGTTTGATTGGACTTTTTTCAAGAATAATGCTAATTTTTTAGGTGAAAGAGTATTTGCGCGATCTAAAAGTTTGTGGACCTCGAGAATTGCGGATTCTGCTAAGGTGGCGTAAGGCTATGAGACAAATTCTGGAGAAGGAAAAGGAAGAAATTGAAAAGTTAATTGGTCACTTCTTGACCTGCAGTAAGATTTTTTTTTCAGAGAGAAGGCGGGAGAAGCTGGTGAAGTTGAAGAAGAGCCTATGGACGAAGATGCCGTTGAGTGAGTTTAAATCAAAGAAGTTTGAAATCTCATTTTTTTTTTTAGAGATCAGGCTATGGCGGAAATCGACGAAATGATCGCGAAAGCTTCTGAAGAGGAAAAGGCAGAGTTGAAGAAGTACTCAATTTATTTGAAGTCTTAAAAAATCAAAGGAATTTTCTAGAAAGAAAAAGAAGATGTTGAAAGCAAAAGCTCGTATCATGAAACGTCGGGATTTGAAAATGATCATCGACGGAGATCCGGGAATACAAGATGAAGACCTTGAAATTTTCAGTTTACGACGAATTCGAAAAGTTTAAACATTATTTTCAATTCAACCCTAAAAATAAACATATATCAGAGCCGTGAGTTGGCAGAATTGACGAAGGATTCTGTACAAGCTCCAGATGAAGTCGACGGAGAAGAAGAAGGTCTTGGAGATGGAGAGTGGGAAACGCTGGAAAACGAAGCAGTAGAAAAGTTTGATAATTTTTTGTAAACTTAGGGACATGTGTCTTCCATTTAATAGCTCACCATGCTTGTCAAATTATGGAAGGAAAAATCCAATTTGTAAAGTGTGAGAATATCGATTTCGATTCAATTTGTACTTGCTTGATTTTCTTGATGAAACCAACCAGAGCTATTGATTTTTGTTCTGATTTTTTTCTAAACGATCTCACTGAAGTTTTATATGACAAACGATTGACTTTTAGAGACGATGATGAACCACGTGAAGATTCGGACGAAGAGGAGAACGAACTGGTGCACACTTTGGACAGCGGATTGTCCAAGGATAAGAAAAAAGATCTGCGAACTCAGCGGTGGTTCGAAAGGGTTTTCAAAGCAATATTATTCAATTTATTCGTATGTGTATTTGCAGGACGAAATCGCTGGTTTACTGTCCGATGAAGACGACGAAGATGAACTTACCGCCGTCGAAAAGCACATGAACAAGATGAAAAAGAATAAATACGAGAACACCGGTCACTTTTTACGTTCTTGCTCTGATATTGATATGTTTTCAGTTTCGTTTGAGGATGATTCTAAGAAAAAGAAGAAGGACAAGGACGCTGACGACGGCTTCAACACGAAGGACGATGAATCCGATTCGGAAAGCGGCGTTTCAGAAGGCGAAGATGAGGCTGAAGTCGAAAAAAAGAAGAAGATCAGCCAGTTCGACGCCGAGATGGATTATGACGAGGAAGAACGATACGAAGATGGTACTTTTGAAATATAGGATTTTTTCTGTGTATTTGCTAGAAATTAAAACTTATGGAAAATTTTTATTCACCTACTAGCTGTCGTACTTTCTATGGTCATTTTACGTGTACATTTTTGAAAGTAGCAGTGATGATATTTTCATTTTTATTTTTTGAATTTTTGAAGATCTTTTCGTTAGACATTAGATATCACATCAGTGAATTTCGTGGTCCTCGAAAAGATTTTTTGAAAAACTTTCAAAAAAGTCTCACTTTGGAACTACTCGGACTCGGGTACGCATTTCGAGTTGAAGCTTTGGTGGCTAATAGACTCAGGTAAGAGTACTTGGAAACAAGAGAGATTATCTGCTAAATCCCCTAGGCTTCTGAGAAGAAGCTTTTTGAAAATGAACAGTTTAGGCTTGAAAATTATCAAATTTTTGCTTTTCTCCTTCTTTTGGCGGGAAAAAAGTTTTTTAGAGTTTATCATAGCCGAATCATTCAAGGCGATTGTATTAAAATATAAAATAAGGAAAAAAGCAGTATTCTGAAAATTTTTAGGCCTAATTTTCACATTTTCTACTAATTTTTTCTCAGTTTTCTATCTGGTTTAGCAGATATTCTCACTTGTTTTCAAGTATTCTCACTTAGGTCTATAAACCACTAAAGTTTGAACTCGATCCGCGCACCCGAGTCCGAGTAGTTCCCTAGTTAGCTTTTTTTGCCTTCGAGGCAGTCGAGGCCAATAAGAAATCTTCCGTACCTTGTATAATGCCCGAAGAGATATTATTTCCATTCAAAGTGTTTTTCAGCGGACAAGAGGGCGACAAAACGAAAAGCCGAGAAAGTTGTCATTGGAGAGGACTTGAAGCCGAGTTCGTTGTTCTTCTTCGAGATTTGTTCCAGTTCTTAACTCGAATTTTTAAGAAGCGAAGAAAAAGCGGCTGACACCGGAACAGAAGGCCCTCGGTGAACAGATGATCTACTCGAGTAAATCTGCTCGTGAACTTGAAGAATGGGGATGGAATAGGTGAAAAATATAGTTTTTTTCAATTTCATCACTTTTTCGTATCATTTTGTCAGGCATTGAGAATAATCGATTTCCTAAAATTTGAATGAATAGAATTAAAAATTGAAAGTTTATAAGTGATTAAAATACATATGCCAACTCTTCAATCGTCTAGTTAATGTGAATGTTTTTGAAGGTTCACTAATAACGATGAAGGGCTGCCTGATTGGTTCGTTGAGGATGAGAAGAAGCACTATCGAAAAACTCTTCCTGTTACCAAGGTATAAATATTTTTTACCTTGAAAAAAAAGCTTGATTGAGCGATTTTCGTTAAAAAAAGTGAAAAAATGTCCCACTTACTATCCATTCGCCTTTGGAACACCGACATGGTGTTGTGAAGAGCTAGGAAAAAAGAGAAATAGTTTTCAAACATGTTAAAATTACTTTTTTTTTAGGAACAAGTTCAAAGGTATCGCGAGGAAATGCGTGAACTGAATGCCAGGCCTTGCAAGAAGGTTGCTCAAGCAAAATTGAGAAAGCAGAAGAGGTGAATATCCATTTGAAATGTAAACTATATGAATATTTTCAAGAATGATCCGTAAAATGGAAGCCGCCAAGAAGAAAGCTGAAGGCGTTCTTGAGAATGATCAGATGGAGCATTCGGAGAAGATGAGAGAAATGAAGAAGTCTGTTGATGATCCTTTTATGGCAAGAAACTTTTTCATTGCAGGATTTATGCCAAGGCAAATAGAAAGGAGACGAAAAAGGTAGAGCTTGTGAAGATGACCAAAGGAAAGAAGGGAACTACGGCAAGGCCAAATGGAAAATACAAGCTCGTTGACAAGTAAGAAATGATTCAGCTCATCGTGTTATCCAATTCTCTATTCACCATTCTGCCGTAATTCTAAAAAAAACAAGATATACCTGAATTTTCCAGAAATGATGTTGAACGAAATTTTCGCTAAAGAATTGAAGATACTGCAATTAGAAGCTCTTGTTATGTGCACGGACTCCTTTAATTATTTTTCTTTTGAAATTATTTATGCAGAGCTTGAAACTAAATAAGAAGTTGAACTATTGTCTGAGTGTCCGATAAAATTTCTTCTAGGCCAATATTTCACTTCAGGGGCTCTCGCCTTTGTTTCGAATAATAGTGATAAACGTTCTGAATTCCAGCCGAATGAAGAAAGATCTCCGCGCAATGAAATCCAAAGAGAAGACGAAAGGTCGTGGAAAGAAGGCTGGACGGGGCCGTTCCAGACGCTGATTCTCCCCTCACTTTTGTTATCTGCTTTTTCCCCAAGTTGTTATCTTTTCTGTTAGTCCTTCCTGTTAACTTTCTCACTACGAGGTCGTTGTTGATTGAATGTATCTTTTTGTTCACACAGTGTAACGAATTTGTTGAATAAATGTTGAGCCTTTTTTCTTATTTTATTTGTTGGAAACGTTTTGGGAGTAGATATTCTCAGAGTATATATAATTTGCCTTGTAAGATCAGGGGTCTATTGTTTTTAACTCAGATGCTGAGGCTAATCGTCCTCAGAAAAAATTCGGCTACGACTTTTTCCACGACTTTTTCTATTATGGAAGCTGAGGTTCTGATATTTATTTATATATCACTTAAAGAAAACAAATTCAGAAACGACCCATTAGACACGAAAGCTTAGTTTTGGAATTGGGGGCCAGATCTTCGAAACAAGGAAATCAAAAGCAAAAAAAGAGGATACACTGGTCCGTCGGTTCGGCGGCCATGCTGGTTCGTGGATTGAGAAAATTTTGAAGGTGCAGAAGGGAAAATTGAAAATTAACCGTGAAAATTTTCAAGAAGTTCCGATATAGGGCGTTCTGCGCGAGACGGCCACGTTTTGAAAGAACAGAAAAGAAAAAGCTACCGTGAATACAAACTGCTAAAAAGGTCTTGAGGCGAATATGCTCAATTTTGATCTCATTTGGTATACGGTCTTTTCGGCGGAAAGAAAAACGTGACAAGCTGGCGCGTACTGGTCAATAGCTCTTCAGGAGTTTTAAATTTTAGCAGCTAGGAAAATATTTTTCAAACACATTTCCAGGTTCTTCCGACGTTCGCGTTTTCCCTGGGATGCTGGCAGGTGTACCGCCTCCGGTGGAAGCTGAACCTCCTGGAGTCTTTGGAAGCAAGGCTCGATCAAGCCGCCGTCCCCTTACCCACACCTTTAGATAGGTTTTCAATCAAAAATATTCTCTCACTTTCCAAAACTGGAATTTAAGAGAAACATTGAAGAGTTTGGAGTACTGCCGCGTAAGAGTGAGTGGAACGTTCTTGCACGACCGAGAGTTCATCATCAGCCCACGAGGACGGTTTGATCCAGGTGATTTGAGAAGTTCCAAAGCGATCAATGAACAGTGTTCCGCGCGAGACAGACTAAAATCAATTGTGAACTAAGTTTCTGCTCTCTTTTTGCAGTTTTGCTTAGAAAAACGGCAAAAAGACAGCAAAAACAAAGGTCTTAAAGCGCAGTTTGATCAAATTCAATCCAATACTGTACCTTTTTGCTGAAGAAAAACGGTACCCGCCGGCCTGAATTTGACTATATATTTTTTCTGGAGCGGTTAAGGGGTTTGACCGAAATCAACAGAGCCTAAATGAGGAAGAAAAGGTTTAAAAAGTGAATTTAATTTGGCTTATTTGCTTCTGTGAATGCTTTACGTTATGATAAATGAGGAAAAAGGTCCTGACAACAGTGATAATTCATTCTCTTTTGCTAGAATACAGCGGGACTAGCTCTGCGATTTGAACTCTTTTTCATCACGATCAGTGGAAAAGACAAAAAATTTGTGAGCGAAAAAAAGTTCGTCTTCTTTGTTTTGTATCATCATATCTTGAGTTGATATTTCAATACTCAGTTGAAATAGGTTGTTTTTGTTTAAATAAGTTTTTAAATTTACAGTATTAGTTTGGAGAATAAACTATCATTTCTAAATTTAATTTCAAATGCAGGCCAAACTACCAGCGCTTCGACTGGATCCCTTTTGTCGGAAAACGACCTCTCCAGCCATGGTGGCCATATCATAACGCCTTTCCGGTTAGAGTCCAGTGGGTTGGTAGTTTCCCACGATGCTCTTTTGAGAGTGTCAGTTTGCAGGGAAGTCATCTTGGTGAACCGAGGCTGGGTGCCGCAGTTCTTGTTTGACCCGGAAGCTCGGACCAAAACGCAACCTCGTGGAGTTGTGTTTTTTGATGCGATCGTCAGGAAAACGGAAAAGGTAGACTCGATAAGTTGACGCTCCAGGCGTCCCTTCCAAATGAGTCAAGGGGTTTTTCAAGTGAATGCCGGCCACACCGAGCTTGTAGAAGATATTTTTTGTTTGACAACCTGAGTGACCGCGTTTTTAAGCTTTTAGAAACCCTCTTGATGCGAAAAGTCTGCTAGTGACTTACAAGGTAGACCATTTTGCTTCGTAGTTGAAAATTTTCTGAAAATTTGCTGAAATACCCTATGCAAAACTTCTTAGTTTTTGAGAAACGAGGGCTCAAAGTCCCGAAATGACCAATTTCAACGGATTTTGAGGGTTTTCTTTGAGTTTAAAGGGACTTTTTAGCAAAAACTAGTTGTGCAGCTTGAGACTTCCAGAACCTTCGCCATTTAAATCAAAAAGTGTTCTGACCAATACTCAGGAAATTCCCAACCGCAAAGAACCATCCTTGTCAGACCGTCAGTTTATAGTGAATACCCAGTAATTGAGGTCCTCCGAGATTAATGGCTTTCAGCGCCCCCAATTTGTCGGCCAGAATATCCCCGAACGCGGCGTTTGGTACTACCGCGATTTGGAGCAGATGGCCAAAACTTACGGTACTCTGCCAGTCTGGGTCGATGCCGCTTTTGGTGGGTTCACTTTAAATAAATAGCATTTGCAAAGATCTCAACTTGGGCAAAAATAAAATATCATGTTTCGCCCAAAAGTACCTTTCTTTTCAAGAATCAACGATTCCCGGGGGACCGATTGGTGGCCAGACCAATGTGAACATCCGGAATGAACACCTACAATATCTACTTACATGGTAATTTTAACAGAGAAACTTCCAATCATTCTGAGCGAAATTTTCAGGTTCTCATTAACCGCAGTCACTTTGGCCATGTGGTTGCATCGGTTCCGGAGATAAATAATATATTTCTACAAATTGTTTTAAAATTTAGTTTTCTTATTTTCATGTCTTTACTTCCAATATTTGAATCTATACGGGTCTTTCTCATTATTTTTCACTCAGAAATCTTATAAAGCTGCTAATAAATTCTTTATCATTTTCCCTTGAATCTGATGGTATCTAGTGGGTTCCTAACTTATGACTTACCTATTTAGAAACTTGTTTTCCTGGTCAGGAACTTTTTCACGGAACATTTTTTTCTTAGGTCATTAAGCCTCACAAGGACGGATGCCAACGTCGGACCCGGTAAGAAGTTGGATGTTTTTTTGATCCAATGGTATAACTTTTTTTATTTGAAATAATATTATTGAAAAATTAGGAGAAACCATTTGGTTCAGCGCTTTTCAAATTGCCCGAAAAAGGCTATTTTTTTGGTTCGCATGAGCTTTCTGAAAGTATCAACGCATAAATTTTTGCGAAGCGTCAAGAGGAAATCTACCCAATACTTTGTGTCTAACGCGACTATGACCCTCTGAGATATTCCACGTGCGATTAATTAATTATCAGTCTTAAAGGTGATGATAATGAAGGAATTATCCTAAATTATCCGTTAGCTTTTGACAAAAGATTCAGAAAACTTCTGTATTTTCTTATTCTTTTTTTCGAAATCTTTCAAGTTTTTACTAAATCGGAGTACTAATATTTTCCTGAATATATATATTATTTTTTTTTGGGAAGCTGGCAAGTCTTCGAACCAAGCTAGAGAGCGGAAACAAAAAAACTAAACTCGTAAAGATCTTCTTATCTTGAAAACTAATTTATTCTTCTTTTCTAAATTTTTTTCTCTTCTTTCAATTTCTTCCGTTGAAATTTCGAATAACCTGCTTTTGAATTATTTCTTTGCATTTTAACAGAAAGTAATCTGGGAAAATCTGGAAGAGAATAATTTAGTGGGTAAAAGAGGGCGATGCATGTGGAGCAGTGTGGATGAGGAGCACGAAAATAACAAGCAACAGAAAAAAGGCCACCCTTTCTTTTCTTTTTTTTTCGTTTTTCTGCTCCTGCTGCCGATTATTGCAGTGTCTGACGTGGATGTGAATTTTTTTTCTTCCTTTTTCTACCTCTTATTTAGTTCCTTTAGGCCTCAATATTGTCATTTCGCTCAAAAAAACTTGCTTTACTCTTAAAGCTTTATAGATATGAGATTCAAAAAAAGAATCTTTCATTTGCTTCCGGGTCCTAAGTTCCAGCTTTTCTCAAATGCATAGAGAAAAGAAAAGGACTTTATGAAGGCTTCTTTTTCTCTCAAGGTTTTTCTTGCAGGGTCCGTCAACTCCGGTAAAAACTGTAGATGATCGCCAAACTCCGATAAATGGTTTCAAAGTTGCTTCAAGTCCAGTTCTATGAAGATTTTCCAGAGAAATGGTCGGAAAAGAATCTGGAAAATGATGAAGACGAGGAAATGAATCGACGCTTCTTCCTGCCACCCGGCTATCGCTATTTTGAGGTATATATGAAAGTCTATTTGATGGACTGAAAGGTTTTTTTTCCTTCGGGCTCGATACTATACGGATTCACTTTGAAAGTTAAAGTATTAAAAAACGCTTTAATAAGGTGAAATTTGTTTTTTTTTTCTTGTTTTTCATGATTTTAATGCCATTTCTGAAGTAATTTCAACGAAATAGTAATGATGGTCAGAGGGTGAAAAAGACAACGAAGATTTTGGAGAGCCAAAGATCTTTTCGAGCTTCCCTAAATTACTTTGACTGCGGCAGGAAGAGTTGTTTGAAAACACCAAGAATAGATTTCATTCGAGTCTTTTCCTTTTTGATTTGTTCTGACACGTTACCATGGCTCATTTCCTTTCATTTTTTTTTTCTTCGGAAACTAGCTTAGCTGCAAATGACGCGTGGAATATTGAAATCTCGCGTGAGCCTTTTTTCATTCTGTATTAGTTTATTTCTAGGTATGATACGTTGAAAGTACATCGGACTTTTGAACTATAGTCAGATTGGGCATTTCGAGCTCTCTAGTGGCATCCCAGTAAATCACAGCTCATTCTTTCATCAAGCGTCTTCTCTTGTTCAGAGAAATAGAGCTAGCTCATAGGGAAAAATTTCGCATTTTAACGAATTTAGAAAGCCGTTTGTCTACTTGTAGCGTTCACTTTTATACTCTCGTTCTAGTTTGAAAAAAGAAGAAGTAGCTTTTCTGAGACTTATACTAATACACAAAAAAAAATTGAATTTCTTCTTCCAGTTGGACGCTTTAAATTACTTTCAAGAAAGATACGTAGATTATTTGAAGAGCGAGAGATTTTATAAGCTTCTAAGTATTGGAGAATGGAATTTGTCGTTTTCTTATGGCTTTGAAAATTTTTGATGATCTAATAGAGGAAGTTTCGCATCACGTTATTTAATAGCAACCTAGAAATTGTATTTTTCTTAGAATAAATGTCTTTGAATGAGCCAGCAGAAAAAAGGAATAAATAGTGAAAAAATCCACAACTGCTTTCAAATTAAAATTGTGACAAACGTAGTAAATGTTCTGAATATAAGTGTTCAGTCGTTCTAATTAGACTCGTGTGCTTGAGAAAGTGAAAAAAAGAACCTCAGCCCAATTTTTTGGGCAGTTCTTGTTGAATTGATTTAGTGAAAAAAGAGAGCAGAAACCCGAACCGAAATTGGCTTGTCTCATTTTCCACTTGCTCTTTCGCCGCCTCTCTACGACTTGGCTTTCTTGGGTTATTTGTGTGACGCGCTTAAAGGATTCACCACTCTCGATGATGCCAAAATTTCCTCGTTTTCCGCTTTTTTTTTCGTTTTCCATCTACTGAATTAATTTTGTCTGAACCGTTTCCTAATCGTCAAAAATTTTTAGTTTCGTAGATGAATTTTTACTCGACATTTTTTCACAGTCATTCCTTGAATCGCTCAAATTTTCATTCGATCAAATGATAATAGTACGTTTGTAGCTTCTGGGTGCAATTTCGCGTCTCGCTCTTAATTATAGATGCCCTGGGTTGTTCATCTTCATCGGAGGGAATAAATAATACGCGTATCCTTCCACCCACCTTTTTCTCTCATTTTTTTCCTCTCCTCCAACTCGCCCATAAACTACTTCAATCTTCATCCGAGTTGAGTTTATGCGCTTCCACGGACCGCCGCGCACTTTTTTCTTCTTTTTTTTTTGCTCTCTCGCCGCTTCCTTTTTTGCCTTCTCTTTACTTGGCTGCACCCAGTTGTCATTTTTTTGGATATTCATTGTCCTTTTTTGGCGACGTTTCTTCAAGAATTGTTTTTCTCTCTCGAAATTTTTTGGGAAACTTTATGAAAAAAGTGTTTTGAAAAGCCGTTGAAATTGCATTTTGAACGGGGGAGGTGCCCATTTTTCGCGTCGTAGTTTTTTCGTCTGACGGGATCTTGTAGTTTTTTCAGAGGGTTCAGTTTTAAGTTTGAAAAATGGTGGGAGTTTTTTTTAAAATAAAGTTTTTTTCGTTTTCCATGTCTAAATACATTTTTTTCTGACGCGGTTTCATTCTATTTCACTAGAGATTTCAATTTTTTTATAACTTATCTTCCAAAATGATGCATGATTTCAGCTGCCGTCTTCTTCGCAACTCGCCGAGCAAAAAAGCGGCGCGATATCGTCGTCGACGACGCTCCCTTGTACTTCTTCAGCACCGACAACGACAACCTCATCGCCGGCGGTCGTTGAACGTTTGAGACGATTTGGCGATGTCGCGTCCGATTCGAAACTCGCGACAACGCCTTCAAGACCCAATGATGACCTGAGCCGTGTGCCGCCGGCTGTCATCATTCAGCTTGGTGGGATTCGAGTTTCATGAAGATCCGATTTTTCTCAGTTCACTCACCAATTTCGCTTCAAAATTTGACTTCAAAGATAAAAAAATGGGACGCTTCCGTGTTTATAATAAGTTAGGATTTCGCGAGAAAAAAAAATTGATTTGAAAAAAAAAACGGAAGACCTAATGAAAATGTTACCAGTTAAAGTGAGAAAAAGTGAAACAATTTTGTGACTCGAGATCGCTTTTTTCCATGAGGACGTCCGGCTGCTTTTTGAAAAGGAAAAAAAAAACTTGGCAACTTATAAGTCTTAACTATTCCCACGATGTTTTCCTAATCTTTTTTTAAGCATTGTTATTGAAAAAAATTTTTCTCAACTCATGATTAAAATGTATCCATTCATTTGTGAAATTTTCTTCCAGCTTTTCTCAGTTTTTCATACGCCAGCTTATCAAGGTCTCTTTTTTATAACCAAAGAGCCGTACACCTTTTCTTATTAGTAAAAAAAAGGCGAAGCCGCCCCAAAAGTTGTACTTTCTAATGTCTGAAAAAACGTAGCAAGCGGCTGAGTTCGCAATATACCCTCCTTCAAAAAAAAAGTGTCTCTTTGACTGGCGACTTTCAAATGCAGAACAAAAAGAAGGCATTCTCGACCGAGACTAAACAAGACATCGAAGAAACGAATAAGTGGATGAATTATTAACACGACTGCTTTTTGTTTTTTGTTTTGTTTTGGCCGGCCGAGGGAATAACATAAGGAAGATAAAGACATTGAGGAAAAAAAAACGAGAAATTTCAGAAAAGGCCAACCGAACGATTGCCTCCCAGACTCTTGAGATTGAGAGGTTCGTTTTCCCTTTTTTTTCTAGGTTTTTGAGAAGAATTGTTTAGACTGAGAGCTTCGGACCAACAAGTGGAGACAGATTATCTACGGGCACAAGTCAACGAACTTGAACGGGAGATGCAGTGATTTTTCTTAGAAATCGTTGAAAATAATTCTTTTTAGAGACGAGTCTGAGCTATTCCGAATAATTTTTGATAATTTTTTAGCATTCATGTAGTTGATTTTCGTTTGAAAACAATATTTTGTGTAACCAAATTTTTTTAATGAGAGATGAATAAATGACTAATTTATCGAATCTTTTTTAAATAATATAATTCAAGAAGTAGCCGCGAGCGATTTTTGGAGCAAGAGGAACTTTTGGCGGAGATGAATCACGAAATGGAGGTTTTGCTCCGTGAGAAACGAGCTATGCAGGTTTCACTCCGTTTGAAAATATATAATTATGAATGAATTTTCAGGCATCTTATCTTGAACTTGAGAAGAAGTACAAACGTGCGAAGCTGGCCAGCAAAGAGCTGACGAAAATTCTGGAGGTAGAGGAAATTATTAAGACTGATCGTTTTTAACTGAGGCCTTTTTTGTTGAGATTTTCAGACCATCTAAAAAAAATAAATCAATATGTAATATAAACGAAAAGCAGTCATTTACGGAGGAGGAAGCCCCCTAGAACCTTCGTACTGAAAATTTGCTTGTTTTTCTGCATATTGTTTCTTTTTTTAAATCATTTTTTTGAGCACCTTAAAAGCAGCTTGAAAATGTTTCGTGGTAGAAAAAAACCGATTTCACTGCAACTTCAGAACGACGTGATGTGCTTATCGACGCCGTCACGCCTACCAGCTGGCTCAAACTCGATCGACAGAACTCCGGACGGCGCGACATCGCTTGTCGAGAGATCGCGCGCGATGGCCATCCAGCAGGAGAGCGAGGACCGTCGCGACAGAAGCGAAGCTCTCAATGAGAGTGTGCGCCATCGGAAGGCGGTCCGTTCTAGCTTGTAGTCTGTTAAAAAGCTCTGGGAGTATTTAAAGGAGCATACGCTCTTTTCTGAAAAGTCTCAGCACGAAGACCTTATTCCGTTGTTGAAAACGCCATCACAATCAAACTTTTTTCCTCAAAAATCGATATTTGCCTCAATTTTTGTTTTTTGTAAAAAATAAAAAAAAAGATTTTATGGGTCTTCTTCTGTTTTAAAGTCCTTCCCATTTGTTTTTTTGACTTTTCTTGAAGTTTTTTTACAGAGCAAAGCCGAAGAACAAACGAAAGAGATTCTCCAGCGAGTTTTAGTTGAGAATGAAGATCTGCTCTTGGAATTGGAAAGGTTTTTCTTTTTTGATTTTACGGAGGAATGATTTTTACATCTTAGTAAATGGGTTGATAATTTACGATCTTTTAGGGACACGAATAAACCGATTCAGTATATAATTTTTTTTTTTCTGAATTTTCTTCTACAATTTTACGTGGAAACTGAACATCATTCGCTTTTCTTCAATAAAGCAAAATTTAAAACAGTTTTCTTTGAAAACTTTGAATGAATCGCATTTTTTGCATTTGCTTCAGAGAAAGGCGCACAGCGACGTCTTTACACGACGATCTGGAAACGAACAGACGATTGGTTTGGCCGATTTCTGAATACTTTTATTATTTTTGTTATTTCGGGTTCTTGACCGAGACGAGGAGATTATGAACTTGAAAGAACAACTAAAAAAGGCGGATTCGAAAGCGTTGCAGGTGATTTTTTAAGATTTCTTATGTCTTTTTTTTGCTTTTAATAAATCTAATCACTTATTTAGCCCACAAAGACATTTGTTCATTTTTTCTAGCCTATTTCGCGGCAGCTTGTCACTATCACTGTTTTCCCCCAAAAAAAAACTCTTCCCTTCGATGCGTGTATCCTGTCTCTGTACATGCGCCTTTAATATAGCGGAAACTTTCGGGTAAATTAGAGGCCGCATGCATAGACACAGGTCGGGTGCAAAAATGGTAATGTATCTCGGAAGGAAGAGAAAATCGTGACGAGCTGTAGCAGAATGAGCTAAACCTTTATGCAGTTATAACCAATGAATACCTCACAAATTACTAGCTTATTTCAGTGCGAGAACGATTTGTCGAGAACAAGTACAGACTTGGCGCTGGAAAGAGCTCGATGTGATGCTCTGACTTTGGAGCTGCACGAACTTGACGCCATGTTCACGCAGGTTGACCCATTTTTCGTAGCCCGTTCAAGTTTATGTCGTGACTGAAGGATTCGTCCGATTGATTTCAAAAGATTACTGATTTTTTTTTTGTTTTATACTTCGATGTATCGCAAGTATTTATTGTTCTGCACGAACAAATAGGATGGTTCCATATGTGTTTATTTTATTTTCAGGAGTATTTTTAAAAATAACCCATCGCACATGGAAACAACCGAAATATGCCGAAATATCTGGATTTTTTTGGATTGAAAAATTTTGAACCTGCTTCTTTTTTTCTAACTGCTCTTTGCATCGAATGTTTCGTGTAGTTGATTATTATTGAACGGATTTTTTTAAAAATTCACATGCTCAGTTTTTTTCATATATAAAAAAGTTTCTTGATTATTTGAATATACTCAGACGCAATCGACAACGCAAGCCTATGCGATGGAAAACGAGGAGCTGATTGAAAAATGCCGACAAGCTCAACAGGCCGTCATTACTCTCAACGCCAAGCTGTAAGTTTCATTCTTTAAAGTTTTTTCCCCTTTTTGAAGTTAACGATCAATGAAGTATGTTCAGAAACGATTGCGCTTTGTGTTGTCCGTGTAAGTATTGATTCAAAGTTTTCATTTTGTTTCGTGTGTTCCTAGTTTGGCTTTTTTTTTCTGTGAACTATGTGGTTTTTTCAACAATATATGGTTCTGTAAAGATATGACGTTACAGAAAACTTCATTCAAAAAAAAATTTCCATCTTGAAACCGCTGGGATTTCGAACGAAGGCTCAAGAAAGTCCTCAATGAATTATGCTTGAGATTTTTTATTATGTCATTGCACAAACTATAGCTGATTCACGGCTGGCTTGAGACATTAAAAAAAAAGGTCCTGACACGATAATAAACGAGAAAGTTCGTACATTCGTAGAGAGCGCAGACACGCTACGACCTCTTAGCGTCTCAAGTTAGCCGTGAATCGGCTATATTGTTTTTGAGATGATTCAAGAGGATAACTGCCTTCTATATAAATTCAATAGCGTTTTGAACTTTTTCTACTAATTTAAAAAAAGAATGTAAAAACGTATCGAAATGCTTTTTTTTAAAAAGCTTCTTCACGTTTGGTGTTGCGTATTTGATTTCTAAAATTCATGCATAAATTCATTTTCAGATTATTTGTGTCAACATACTCACTCACCCTTTCCCCTGTTTTGCTGTTAATCTAAACAAAACTTTTTCTCAAAATTGTATTTTTAAACTCAGTTTTCTTTTCAGAGAAGCCCAAGGAATCGACCTGATCAATACGAAGCGAACGCTGCGAAACCTACAACAGAATGTGCCTTTAGGAACAAACTGAAAATGGAATGCAATTGAATATTTTGATTGATTGATCTCAAACTTACTAACGTGAAAGTGAATAAAAATCCCAACTTATCATTTTTTTTCGTTTCATTTCTCAACTCAATTTGCATGAGCAAAAAAATTGTTCCATTTGTGTCTGTTGGCGTGAGTTTCCTTGTTCCAGCTTTGGTCGCGGCATGACATCAAAGTCTCACCAATTGATTCAGGTAGCGACCGTTCTGCTCCTCTACTTCTTGCTCCTGTTCTTCTTGGCTTTTTTAACGGCCAAGTTCTGCCCCAGTATCGATTCGACCACAGTTGACGAAGATGAGATGACTGAGAGGACGCACGAAGACGAAACCGCAACTGGTCCGACGCACATCTCCAATCCCAATCGAGACCACACCCCCAAGAGAACCACGTCGACCTCTCTAAGTCGAAGAAGGCGCAAACAGTGAAATGCTCATTTTTGTACGTTTCAATCCGCTTCTGCCTTTTTCCACTTGATTACGGAGCGACCAGAACATATCAGGGAAATAAAGCACAAGGCGTTGGTTGGAAGATTGCTCAGAATTTTCAATAAAAAAAGGTAATTGTGAAATCATATTCAGCGGTGAAACATTCGGAATGATAAAGTTCGATCAGTTGTAACTGCTCCCACTGATTTCACTGACAGAAATATTTCACCCAAGTCGAAAAAGGATTTTCTCGTCGTCTTCGAAGACATGGAGCGAGCCTATGAAGTATCAGAATACGAACATATCTATAGAATTAAATCTTATGTGTTATCTAAAATGGACGAGTTACGAGCTGAACTAAGTCTGCAGCTTCGACATGGAGCTTCATCAACTGATAACTTGAATAATTAAAAAGCTGAAATTAAGACGAATCGAATGAAATAACCAACTTAGCTCTGGCTGCCCTGGAAACCGAGAAATCTCAACTTTTCTGATTAATGTCCTATTGCGCGTCAAATAAATTGTATTTGGTGGGCTGCACCACGGTGTACTTTTCTCGAGAAAAAGGAAAAGTTCAAAATTTTTTGATTTTTTAGGGTTTTTTCTACATTAATCGATAGAACAGAATTCTCATAACACTGTTATCATATCACTCACGAGGATAAAGCTGAAAAATCCTGCAAAATCGGGTCCAAAAATAAAGTGTTATGAAAGGCTGCTCTATCGATTGATACAGAAAAGATCTCAAGATACGAAATATTTTTGGGCTTTTTCCTACTTTTCCTTTTTTTCGAGAAAATTTCACCGTGGTGCAGCACCCCGAATGCATTATATCTGACGCCTATCGAAGATTAATGGTAAACTTTAAACGCTTATATCTCGGCAACCAGAGCAGCTACAGCTCATCTGATTACATCATCCGATTTGTCATGATCTCAGCTTTGCGATGATGTAGGTTATCAAAAGATTAAGCTTCACCCAAAAGCTTAATTTTTGACACTTCGAAAATTCATAACTTTATTCCTAGAGCGTTGAGGACTTCAATGCCTAGCTTTTCCTGTGCGCCATGATCTCCTCCATTGATTGATACTGATTTCGAGTGATTATAAATTTTGACGCGAAACTTTGATCGCCTCTAACTTAATTCCTAGTTAACCTACAGAGGTCAAACCTGGCCTCAGGTTGTTTTCTCGTCGAGATCTATCGATTGATAAAGGTTTCGTCTGGATCGGCTTCCATGACTGAAGCTCGAAAAAAACCTAAGGGAAATTTTTCGATTTTTCCGAAAACCAAAGTTTCCGAGGTTATTACATCAATCAACAGGAAATGATGTCAGAAGTACGAAAATCCAGGTCAAAAAGTTCTGAGGCTTCTAGAATGAAAGTTATGACTTTTTGAAGTTTTTGAAAAATCATAACTCGATCCGTAGGAGGTTAGGAACTTAGAGACCTACTTTTTGTTGATTTTCTTGATCTCCTCTATCGATTGATACCAAATTTGACCTACTTTCCAATTTTTGACCTCTCAGTTTGATCGTCTATAACTTAGTTCCTAGTTGACCTACAGAGGTCAAACCTGGTCTCAGGTTATTTTCTCGTCGAGATCTATCGATTGGTATAGGTTTCGTCTGAATCGGCTTCCATGACCTCAGAAGCTCGAAAAAAAGCAAAGGGGTTAGACTGCACTTTTTTCGATTTTCCCGAAAACCAAAGTTTCTGAGATTTTCACATCAATCGATAGATAATGACGCGTTGTACCTGAAAACGCAAGTAGAAAACTTCTGAGGCTTCTAGAAAAAAAGTTATGATTTTTCAAAGTGAATGATTTTCTATGAAAGTGCTCCAAACTATTGATGCTTTGTATCAATCAAAAGCTGACGTTAAGACGACTCGACTGATACAATTAGTTTCTCTGTGAGTTCGAAATGAACGAAGATATGGAACTTCAAAGTCTGAAAAATACGACTTTTTGGACCTAATTTTCATGCAGTTTTTGAGGGTTTCTCTCGAAACTGATATGATATCAGTATTATGTAGAAGCTGCTCTATCGATTAATATCAAAAAATCCAGAAAATACGAAAAAAAAATTTTGAGCTTTCCTTTTTCGCAAAAAATTGGACCGCAGTGCAGCCCACCCAATGCATTATATCTGACGCCTATCGAAAAATTAATGGTAAACTTCAAACACTATAACTCGGCCCCCAGAGCAACTACAGCTAATCTAATCACAACATTCGATTTGTCTTGAGGTCAGGTTTCTAATGATATCAGTCAGTGGTTGCTTAAGATTCATCTAAATACTCTATCGGTTGTCAAAAAAACAAAAAAAGAATTTAAAAAACCAATATAATTTATTTTCTGCATGAAACAATGAAATGGGAAGGCAAAAAAATCGTAACTATTTAAGAGTAAGAGAGAGAATCAGAAGTGTCGCCTAGACAATCACTGAAAAATTTTTTTGCTACAACGTATTTTTTTATTGAAAAATAAAAATTTTTTTGCAATGAGGAGGAACATCTGGAGTAGAAGTGATGAATACAATAAAAAAACGCTAACCAAGGCACTTCTGAATAAAAAAAAAAGTGCCGATTAGATCTTCGTCGACATTTAGAGAAACAGTAGGAAAAAAGGGAAGAGATCAAAAGACATCAATTTCAAAACCAAAAGTATTAAGAACAACTTACATACATCAAATTTTATCGAATTAACCGTAACAAGAAGTCGAATTCTAGTAGTTGGGTCAGTGCTCTCACTGAAAGAGTTCATAAACATGACAAGAACACCATCTCAGCATAATCGAAAGAAATTCAATTGAGCGCGGAAAAAAAACTATAGAAATTTGTTAAAAAAATAAAAATAAGAAAACAGCTACCTACGGCTAAAATCTCTGAAAAGGTAAACATGATTGATACAAAAATATCCGTCATCAGGTAAAGGCGACAAAAAAGGTAACAGAACTGCGAAATGTGGTTACAAAAAAATGATGAAAAGATCGCCGTCTACAATAAACCCTTAACAAAGACGATTGTGATTTTCAGATGGAAAATCTTTCAAAAAACATGCGTGAAATATTCCGCCACACGTTTCGTGATTAATTGGAATACTTTCGATGAAGCTTGGTTACAATATGTTCCAAGAAAACCTTCAAATCGTCTCCGAAATCATTCTAAATGGAAATGGGCAAAAGTACCAGACTACGCGATGAGCAAAAGGACAAGAGTAATGTCATCTGGCTTTCCGCCAGGGGCCAAAAAACCATTCTCGCGAGCCTTAATCGCAAACGGACTGTTGTGCTTCGAGTCGAATGCAAGTCGCCGGGCCGTCAACGCCAACGCGTTGCAAACCTTAACGTCAAACCTTTTTGAAACACATTCGTTAAACAAAAGGACCTCCTGAACATTGGCCTCTCCGGCTTCGAGCGTCTTCAGCTGCTCGAGAACATGTTGCTCATTGAGGTTATCCCAAAGGCCGTCAGTAGCTGTAAATTAAGTTTAATCTTTGCTCAAGCAAGAAAATAAACCGAGAAGGATAATGTCGCCCTTCTGCATAGGCAGTTCTTCGCGGTCAGCCATATCAGGTCGGTCACCGATGAAATTCTTCTTCATTCCTTGAAAAAAATTGGAAAAAAGACTTCGATTTCACGTACCCTCGGGTGGAGATGTGAGCTGGAATGGCGCATTGAAGTAATGTGTCTGTTCTCGACTCTTGGAAATTACCTGAAAAAAAAAATGTAAAAAAGATTGTTCATTATCAGAAATATAGTGATAACTTTTCTCGATAAACTATCGACGAAATCCTACATTTTAATTGAAGATTAGAGAAAAAGAAGGTTCATCAATTTTCGAAAAAGCAAAATGTCACAAAATGAAAAACCAGTAAATTGAGCTTAATTCCGCAAAACTCGAAATAGGCGTCAGAGAACTGAAAAGATAACTAAATATTGGAAATCAGAGACAGTTCTGAATTTCGCGGGAATGACTTTGAACGCGGCATTGAAATTGCACAGAATTAGAGAAAAACATCCTAATGGCGTGTTCATCGAACAAAACGAAATTTATTCCGAAACGTATGAAAATTGCTCCAAAAAATTACTGTTTCGGAGCAATTTTGGTGCGCCGATGAACACGTTTTACGTTTTAAAACATGTTCCGTTACTCCGATGAACACGTCAAAAAAAACTTGAAATATTTTTGCGATGCTCAAAAAGTTGCAAGAGGCGCACGCTCTTTATTGCCATCACACGATTAGTTTACACCTACTCGGACCTTGGTAACGCGAAACGGACGTTTTTGGGCGATTCTAGGGATCACTTAAGAGTGCTGAGGCTACTAAAGTGGTCACTAGAAATGCCCCGACACGTCCGATTCGCGTCCCGTTCGCGTTTCCAAGGTCCGAGTATTTATTTTTAGTAGCTACGTTATTCTTCTATGCAAAAATGCTATTTTATTGCAAAAAAAACTTGTGTTTTCTTTTAATTCGTTCAGAAATTCGGAAGAATGGTGTACCTTTCCGCCACGGACGACCATGAATCCAGAATCTCCCAGGTTGGCCGAATAGAGCATCTCCTGATGAACGACCAAGACGCAGGCCGTCGAAGACCCAACGGGTCTTGGCGCTTCTGCAGTCGCGCGGAACGCAAATTCGAGCAACCGATCCGGCCGTTGTGGGTCAAAGTCACCGTCGGCGACGCGCTTTTCGCACTCTTTCATCAGACGTCTGGAAAATGCGGATGGATCGATTCCGTACTTTCTCCAGCCGCCAACGCCGTCAGCGACACCTGAGCAAAAAATTTAATCATTGAAAATTGTAAAGTCCTGCACTAACCAACGACAAAAGTGTTCTTGAATCGAGATATGAAGCAGGCGTCGTCGCCATACACGCCCTTGTCGAGTACTTTCGATGGGCCTTTGAGCATGTCCTGTAAACAATTTTTATAATAATAGTTCGTTTGAACTTGTAAGGGAATATGAAACATGGCGAAGCTTCAAATTGAAAAAATTAAAAGTTTTTGTTCAGAAAAATATCAAATTTTTAGGTTTCTCAATCTGATAAAAGGAGAAAACAACAGTTTTTAAAATGATAAAATCCTTTCTTCACATATATTGATCAAGAAATCGAGAAATGTATGAGTTTTTGAAAAAAACAGAGATTTTTAAGAAGAATGCATTTTTTTGATTTTGAAAGTATCTTTATAAGGGACATCCAAATGAGAGAAAATTTATGCTCATAAGTGGTTCGAATTGAACCAAATCGGTTAATTTTCAAATTCGACACAATTTTCAATTTTCGTAGCGCCACGAAGTCCCACCTTGGGGAAGCCAGCACAACTGGCGATGACATTTTCGACATGATTCGATGGCGTCGCTGCAGCTTCGGCTTTTCCGGGAGCTGAGGGACCAGTGGCTAAACTTCGCTTCGAAGTGATCGCACCTGCTTCCGAAGCTACGGCTCCACCTCAATTAATCATTTAATAGTAGGGATTTTTTTTTTCCACTCTAACCTAAGTCGATGGCCGAAGCGGAGAAAACCGCTCTAACTGCCAAACGGCCGCACGCAAGTAGCCGAATGCTGGCCACCATTTTCTGGTTGTTGAGCGGAATCTTGGCCCCGCTTCAAGAGTTCACCCTCGTTTCCTCGGATTTGATTCAATTCTCGTTCCGTTTGTCGAGCACGAGAAGTCACTGGGGCCAGCGGCGTCCTTCTCGTGCAAAATGGTCGTCTGAAATAATTTTTTTTGAGAAAAAAGAAAATCTGGAGAAGACGAAATGAAATTGTGTCCTTTTCCCGAAACATCGATAAAAGAAGATAATGTCAGCAAGAAATATGAAACAAACAAGAATGAACGTCAACAGCGATCTCTTCTGCTTGAAGAAGAGAATTGTATTTCGATGAGAGTGTTTTTGATCGTTTAGCAACAAGAGAAAGACAAAAACGAAGAACGCCTCAACGAACACAGAAAAGCTAAAAAAAAAAACTTGGAAAATTTTTTCGAAGAATTTTCGAGTACTCTTCAGAATTTCGAAATGTGATCCAAATCTCCCACCGAACCACAGGATGAAAAATATCGAAAACTGAAAGATTTACCGATTTTTTCAAATTTCGTTCACATGAAAAAGAGCTCCAAGGTACACAAACAAACCCACAAAAAGCTACAGTTTATCGAAAATAGGCAAAAAGGCATGAAAATTGTGACAAAATAGCTGATTTGGAACGAGTTTGATCGGCGAGAAGAAAGAAAAACATTATCGCATCAATGGAGGAGAGAAACCAACGTTGGACTGAAGGCCAACTGCGTCGACGTTGTCAAAGAACTGCCGAACGATTTTTGGTTTTATTTTCGTTCCGACAAGTAAGTTGAATATGATTTTATTCTTCAAAATGTTTACATTGAAGGAAAAGAACATTCAATAGAATATTAAGTTTACAGTATGGCGTGTGAAAGTGTATAGTGAGGAGAAATAACATTCTTTTTTAGAACAGCTCTTTACAACCTTTCAGCGCTTTTTCACAATAAAAAATTTTTTCTACAACTGAAATTTTAAAAATTAAAAGCTTAAAAGTTCGATGTTAATGATGTTAAAATGAAAAGAAGGTGATAGTCAAAAACATCATCAAGCAGCTGTTAAAAAGGGGGTGAAAACTCTATATTTTCATTTTTGATAGCAATCAGATGTGAAGAGTAACGGCTGTTTGGACCCAGCAAGAAAAAAACGAGAAGAAAGAGAAGCAAACTGAACGGAAATCGCAAATTGCACGTAGGCAAACTACACTCACGTTAAAATCCAAAAATTACGAGTGAGTATATTAAAAAAGAAAAAAGGAAATAAGAGACGTTACAATGGCTCTGAAAAGAAGACAAAAACGTGTCCTTGAGTTGTGTAAAAACGTTTCAGACGATTGCAATGTCTGACCGAAAAGTGTGTAATTGAAACGTTTTAAAATTTAAAAGCATTTCGTTGAGCTAAAAATACCTCGTTTTCCGAGCTAAAATTGTGTAAATCGATTATTAAAAAAACCAAGAAAATTTTCTTTTCAAGAGGAAGTCACGAGATTGAGCGAGAACTACATCTACTTTAAACTAGAGGACACATTTAGGTTACCGAAAGGAAAGATTTGAACAATAATAGCCTCTTCAAAAAAGGCAAACTACATTATTTGAAATTTAAAAAAAAGCCTGTCTTCCAATCCAAATTACTGACTTCCACAAAAAAAAAAAAAGCATAATCGTGTGCCAAAAAGTTCTACCTAACAAACGGAATCTTGAAGGAATAATTCTAAAGCACTTTCAAAGATTATTATCGCAAAATAAAGGAAGGAACAACAAAAAGGACGAAGTTAAGCGTGAGAAACAAAGCTGGACGAGTTGTGAGACGGCAGAGAATGATCGACTATCGATCGGGGCCGAGTGTCTGCCGTCTCCAGCCCACGACACGCAGTTTGCTCATCTATCGCATGCACAGGAATGGAAAGCGGCGGCCGGGAAACGCAAATTTGATAACAAAATGACGTCGCGTAGCGATCAATCAGATAAAGACCACGTAAAAAAAAAGAATAAGACTGATGAATGAATGGATGGGAAGTCAAGCATCAATGATCTTGGCTTTTCGCCAGAAAACCGGACTTTTTTTGGTTCATAACTTCAACTGTATTACAATCGTTCATCAAAACAGTGGAACAAAGTACGGAAGCGTGTACCGAGGTTCATTGTCTTTTATCCTCAAAATAAGCTGAAAATTGAATTAAATAATTCCTGCTCACCGAAACACTAGAAATGAGTTTATAGGCACATTTCAAAGGTTCGTGGTATTTCCTCCAGAAAGTAAGTTGAAAAGTAAAGTTTTTTTTATCAAAAATAGACCTTGATTTAAAAGCACACGACGAATTTTGATAGCACACAGTGAGGTACCCTTTTTTTCCAAGGAGAACTTGGAAGCGTTATTCAAATTTAAAACAAAAATATGGGTTCAAAGGAACATAGCCCGGTTCAAAGGTACATATATTTTTCTCCTTTCCTCTAAAACTGTTAAAGCCAACAAATAAAATTATAGATAGAACAAAGTCAAGTACGACCTTCACCTTCCTTCTTCAAAAACCAACTCTAATCAGTGATTTTTGACTTCTGACTCCAATATAGCATGTTTATCAAAAATATTGAACGTATAGTTGATTTTTCTTCCTTAGCTTGCTGAAATTTTCAGAGGTAGAAGATTACCATAAGCTACTCTTCAAAGCATTTTGCGCCGAAACGCGTGTTAATTTATTTTGTCAATTCAATTGGAACTTTCAGTCTCGTGGCTTCTTTGACATATTGCAAAAAAATGGAAAAAAAGGTAAAGAAGAAACACATTTTTTTGATCAAAATTGGCCAATTCTCTCCTCAAATTCAATACGGTTTTGATTTTAAAAAAAATGTTAGTTAACTTGAAAAACGAAAAGTCGAGGACAAGAAAGAAAAAAAAAACGTAATTAATCAGAGAGCGAAGTCTCTTCTCGCCGACTAAATAAAAAAAAAGAAAAGAAAAAAGAACGAAGTGCGGAAAGATAACAGCTGGCGGCCAGACGAGCTCTCTCGGCGCAAAATAATACTCATGGGTTGGAAAATATATATGAGAAAAGAAAAAATGAGAAAAGATTTTGAAAAAAAACGTAACAAATGAGGTCGACTCTACTTGAAGGAAGATTTCGCAGAGCCGCAAACCATGTGCAAATAGTCAAGGCGAACGAAAGCCACCGTCGAACGGCTTTTTATCGTTTAGGTGTTCCGGACAGGAAAAAACTGGATTCGGTTTCAAATTTTTTGTAGCTTTCACGATAATTTTGACTCCTTTACGTCCCCTAAATCAGGAAACACAAGGAGTCAAGAATAGTTTCGAAAAATACTGCTGGTTTTTTTAATAGATAGAAAATAACTAGGGAAATCATAATCTTCGAATTGAAAAAAAATTTCTCAAGTCGCAAAGAATATTTGAATCGGAACAAATAAAAAAAAACAATAGAAACCAATGACGTCACGTGGGCAACTTTCCTTCGTTCGTATTACATCAGATGACGGGGCACAACGAAACGGCGTGTGGGGCAAAGTCCGCATTTCCCTATTTACTTCTTCCAAATACCAAAAAGGTGTTCACAGTCTATCCAAGGAAATTTTTGCATTCAAAAGAACAGGTTGGGGTTTTGCAAATTTTATCATTCAATGAATGATTCTCTGAAATACTCACCAGGGAACGTTTTTTACCCCCGTTGAACTTTTGCTGAAACTTTGCTGAAGTGTACTTTAGGATCCCCTGATTGCAGATCAAGAAGAAAATTTCTCGCAATAGATCTTGTTTCCGAGTTATGAAGCTTCAAAGTGTGCAAAATACGCAAATTAGGCCAAAAAAGCGCTATTTCGGGCTTTTGAAGTGTCCTAACTCGAAAACGAGATCTATTGCGAGAAATTTTCTTCCTGTTCTGGAATCATGGGGTCCTAAAGTACACTTCGGCAAAGTTTCAGCAAAAGTTCAACCGGGGGGTAAAAAACGTTCCCTAGTCAGGCTAAAACTTTCTCAAAATTAAAAAAAAAATGAGGAATGAACCGTAAAAGGTGGCTATAGTTTTTAAGAACACTGTAATATATAAAGGCATAATTTGCGAAGCTTTTCTGAGGCGAATAGTACGATTTTTTTCTTTTTTTCTGACGGCTTTTTCGGATTTCGGGGAATCACTTTGAACACGGCATAAGTTCGTAGTCGTAATAAGGGCTTAAAATAATGATTTCGCTTTTTTGGAAGGAAAAAAAAATCACATGAAGTTTTTCAAAGGTATTTTGAAGAAGCTTTTTTGGAAGGAAAAAAAGTCACATGAAGTTTTTCAAAGGTGTTTTGAAGTTTAAATAGTTGAATGTGCTTTTTGTGGCAGAGGCTGATTAAGTAGGTAATAACTGAACTTCTAATTCATATTCGAGTTAAAAAGAAATGATAAGTGGAAAAGCCGAGAAAAGCCCCGCGTAATGGTAACACTGTCAGCAGAATTTCCGTTGTTTATGTTTACAAGGGCGATATTTTCAGTTCGTTTCTTTCGAGAGCTCTGCTGATATGCTCACCTGTTGCGAAAAGACGAGAAAAGGCTGTTATTTTTCTCGACCGCTCAGAATTTTGGGAAAACTTGTAGAGAAAAAGCGGCTAATCCGCATGATTAGAGCAAAAAAAGATCAGAACCCTATTAATTCATACAACTATTGAAAATTAATTTAAACGTATGAGAAAACAAAAAATCATAAAAAGAGGTTTGCTCAACTTGAAAACCAAAAACGAAAACCTCCAAAAAAGAATAATTGCAAGATACGAAAAGTCATAAAATACGCAAGGATTGTTTCGAGAGCATCTTTGTTATGGTTCTATCAACCAAAAAAAAATTTTTTTTTTAAATAGGTTTGCGTGAAACAAATACGCGTGAATAATTAATTAAGTTTAAAAAAAAGTAAAGGGAATTTTCTTTAACATTCTTAAACTGATAATCAAATTAAAGAAACAACTTCGTAAACAAAAAAAATCATCGGCAAAAATTTTCCAGTGGAAAGTTGCTTCTTAGAGATTCCGGCTCCTTGGCAGTTCAAACAAGAGCTCGCATCTCCGAGAAAAAAAAAATCGCGAAAAACGGTTCCCAAACAGAAAATAGAGAAAAAGGTGGCATGACTATTGTTTAGGAAAAAAAAAACGTTAACGTTAAAAGTCAGGCGCCAAATGTTCCTCTATTTTCAGAATATTGTTTAGGGCCTGTTTGGCCTAGATTTTGACGATAAGCGTTACTGACGCAAAAAATAGGAGCCAGATGATCAAGTCTGGCCAAAATTTGAGGACATAATTCAAGTTTAACGGGTTTCAGAATCAAAAACTTCTAATTAGAAACTACCAAGCAGCTTCTAATTAGTAAGAGCTTGAAACTATATTCATAGCGTCTTATTTTAAAACGCCCAAAATTTTTTCAAAATTATTTTCTTCTGAACAACTACTCTAAAAAGCCCCCAAAGCTTTGTAAATCGGAAAAAATGTAAAACGAAAAAAAGTGCGACTGAAAATTTAAAAAAAAAATGGAGAATCGAACCAGTTTTACACGGTAACTTTTCATCGATAATAGGCAGAATCCGCAGAAAAGGGAAGATTTCAGCGGCGTGCAAACGCTTTCCCTGGCTCTTCGATCAATAACTCAACGCCTCTGAATCCGTAGGCGCGACGGAAAGCTGTCGCGACGCGCGGCTGATTTTTGTCGCGTCAGCTGTTCATAGCGGCAGAATGCACTATATGAAGCTAAAAATTATTGCACTGCCACTAAAACGATCTACTATATATAGCTGATTCACGGCTGGCTTGAGCCATCGAGAAAAGAGTACTGCCACGAAAAGAGACGAGGCAGTGCCCTGGTTGGTGGAGAGCGCAGACACACCACGCCTTTTTGCGTCCCAAGCTAGCCGTGAATCGTCTATTCGTACAATCGCCAAGCTAGGCACCTTCACAAAAAGACTAAAATTTTTAAAACGTTTCAAAAATTTGTTTCCCCGTCAGATCCTGGAAAAAAAAAGATGAAAAATTGAGTTGAAAGACTCTGGCAAAGTAGGAATGGTGGATAATGGCCGCTGAAAGGCAGAGGCTCAAAAAAGGCCGCAGAAAGGCAGCAAAAGGGCAGTAAACAGGCAGCAAAGAGAGTCCCTTTATCGGGCCTTCCGATTTTCTGGGATTTTAAAGTTTTTTTTTAAAATCACAACTTTATCAAGGCAGTCACGAAAAAGCTATAAAATTCACAGCTACAAAAAAAGCTTATTGGGAGAGTACTTTTCACAAACAGGTCTTGTATAAAAAAATAATTTTTTTAAAGAGATCAAAAACATTTTGAGCCCATGGTTTTTGAAAAAAATGTAAATAGCTCATGCGCGATTGAGTGATTCGCAGAAAAAAATCGTTATCAGCTACGCTTAAAAATTTGGGCTTCAATAATTCAAACCACTGAGTCATTTGAAATGCAACCGCACTGTGGATTTTCTTATAAGTAAATCTTTGAAACAGCCAATCAATACATAAAAAGAAAAAAATTTTACTGTTGCGAAAAAAATGTTTATTTCTCTATAAACTCGTTAATATCATGAAACAGGAAGAAAGATATTCAAAATCCAGGGAGAAAAAAAAATTAAAAGAGACCGCGCATTGAGAACTTGACAATAACATTATGATTATGCATAGCACAGGAATTCAGAGTAAAACGGTTTCCAAAATCGTTCATTCACCGCTATCTTTTCGAGAAAGCTCTTCAAATTTTGTAAAAACACAGCGGCAAAATAAAAAAGGATTCAAAGTACCCATAAAAGACATGCAGATAAAATTTAAGTGAACTGATTGGCTTGAAAAAATGTGAGCAAAATAGTGTTATATACAGTGAAATCGAAGTCATAAAAAAAGAAGTTGAAATGTCCCGTAGAAAAAACTACCAGTAATATATCAAACATCGTCAGTTAAAAGTGAAAAAACCAGATCGAAAACAAAAAGAAAAGTGAGAATTTGCAAAAAAGAAACACGGAAAAACGAAAAAAAAAAATCTAAAACAGAATATTTCGAATCACGGAACGTGAATCGTCTGGTCGGAGATTCTCTGCAACAGAATTATAAGTTCGAGGAAATGATGTCATTTTCAACATGCACCCATTTTTATCAGGTGAATTGAATCGAGATAAATGAAAACAAACATGGTTTTGAGATCCACAGCAACAGACGACGCGGCCGCACCGAACCGGCGTCAAAACGCAGTTCACTAGGCATGACGTCATGCCTGTAACATGAGCAATGCTGAAGAAAACAGATTTATAAATGCAAAAATGTTCATTAATCATGATTGCTTTCGAAAAAAAACAAGCCTTCGGAATTTTTTTAAATGAAGTAGATGCCGAGGAAAAATGGCTAGGAGTGAGAATTCGACAATTATTGGCTGCGTAGATAATCGAAAGATTCAGATCTCTCAACTTCGCTGCACTATTTACGAGTGGAAGAGTCAAAAATTCTATTTTTCGTGCGCTTCGCGCAAAACATTCCATTAAATACGAAAAATTTTTTTGTTTCAAGTTTTAAAAATTTGATTCAAAAAAATCTTCGCGCATTCAATTTTTTTATCAGGCTTTCTAATTTCAACATTCTAGATGAGGATCACAATCAAAAAAAGTTCAAATTTCACGTTTTTTTGATCAAGTTTTTTTCTTAGAAATATTTTTCTCATAGCCAAGGCAAACTTGTTATTTCATTTCCACCTCCCGAGAAGTGGTCTTTATTTCCGCCCACGCCTGGCAGCCTGAACGAGCTGGGAGCCGTACTTTTCCTTTATAGAGAAGCAGCTGATCGTCAAAAACCTTCTACTATTATCACAAAATAAGGGCGATATATTTTGCGCCGTTCTTGATCAACGACCGTTTCGCAAGCCGACAGAAAACTTTAGAACTATTCCATGATTCAAAAATCTTTGAAGACTGAATGTGTGAGTGTATTATCCGAACTACTCTCAGCATTACCTGAAGCGCGTTTCTTCTCGGCCTGCTTAGCGGCGATGCGTCTTCTGAGGATGGTGGACGGCGTCAAGGTGTTGACCATGGAGGTGAGGACGAACCGCGGCACGAGGCTCAGGACAACGGACAGCAGAAGTGAAACCCAGAACCGACAGTCCGAGAGCGCCTTTTCGGCGATCAACACTGGCGGATCCTTGACGTTGGTCCAAGTCCAGTTCGGAGTGACAAAGCCGTTGTACAGTAGAGCGCACAAGAAGAACGACACTACTGAGAGGGCCATCGACCAGAACATGGGCCACGTCTGAAAAAGGGAAAAAAGTTAGACCTAATTTTGAGCTCAAATTTTACAAAGAAAAGGCTATCATTTCTTCCATGGAGTTTTCATAAGGTTGATTTTGAATTTTCCACACCATTTCCTAAAGCTTTAAGCCTAATTTCGTTGAAAATTTATCGCTAGAAACGAGAAACTGAAATAAAAGCGAAAACGCGTATAATTTGAGCTTTTTTTAAGCGATCTGGAATTTTTCGAGCTGCTCGGAGTCTGCAGCATTACAAAAACTAAGTTCTCAGACTCAAATTGAACTTTTTCGATACTCAAAAAAATGAAATGATGACTTTCCTCAAAATAGTGAGGAAACACTTTCAATGAATAAATTTTTACTCGTAAATCCAACGAACTCACCCAGTACTGCACAAGGAGCGCGAGATGAGCCGTGTTGACGAGCATGAGCTGAGTTATCAACAAGTTTCCGAACATCCACATGTCGCAGTCTGTTCCAGCATAAGCCTGAAAAAATCGAGGAACTGAGAATCTTGAAGAACAGCTTACAAAATGACAAATCCAATAAACGACGGCGCTTTGATAGAGCGAATCGACCATATTCATCCAAAAAGAATACCAGCGATATCGCTAAACATTTGAAAGTAACAAAAAATGAGTAGAACTTTTTGGTTAACCTTTCCTAGACGGCCCTGCTCATAAAGCCGCGGATATTCGAGCAGAATTTCCGAAGATGCATCCTGATCAGTGCAGCCGAAGAGTAGAGGAGGGACTACAAGTGAACAATTTTTTTGATGAGAAATAAATTTAGAAGAGCTTTTCGCAAGGTTTTCAGTATATAAACCCTAAAGAAGACCCTTCGAGTTCTGCAAATCCTTACCCGAAGTAAAAATCAAGTTGTAGACCATCAGGTAGACCGGATCAATTGGCACTTGTGCAGAGAACCCGTTGAAGATTTGATACCAGAAAATGACAAAGACCAGCATCTGTAGAGGAAGAAATGAGATGAGTTGAGGAGAGGTGAAGAAACCGCATTTTTATAGAAAAAGTAGAGGATAGTTTGAGCGAGACGATAATAGCACCAATGACCGTGAACCAGAAGAAGTTTGGCTAGGAATCGGAAACGAGCCATCGCGAAATCACTTGCCATAACAGCCTGCATGCCTTCCTGGCCGGATAATCCGACACCGACATCGGCTCCCTAAAACGCGATTTCAGAAAATTCATGGGAATTTTCGAAGAGATTTTCAGCTTCGAAAAAAACCTCCCGTACAGCAAAAAACCCGTTGATTACTCGCCTTACTAATTTTTTTTATGACTCTTTTACCTTATAGGCTTTACAGTACTTGATTTTTACATAAATTTCAAAAACGCTTCAGATGTCTAAATGAAAGTTTCTCAAGGTCCTGCGCAAAATTATAGTATTTGAGATGATTATTTTTAACGTTCGGAAAATTAGGCTTAACAACCATACTTTGCAACTAAAAATCATATCTTCAAAAATAGAAAAGTGAGCAGAGCCACTATGATGAATCTGAACCTTCAAAGCAAATTCGTAAAAAATTTTGAACCCACAAGTATAATGACCTCCCAGTGAGATTATACACTTCCATTTACTTTCCCACCTAATCTTCCTTTTTTTCATGAAATTTTAACTGACCTGAATCATGCTGACGTCGTTGGCACCATCGCCAATGGCCAAGACTTTGCCGTGAAGACGATGCTTGGCCAAGGAGACGAGTTCGGCCTTCTGGAGCGGCGTCGCACGACAACAAAGGACCGATCTGCACTGCCGGAGGAGGGAGACGAAGCGGTCGATGTTGTGCGGGTCCGTGCAGTAGTTCATCGTCGCCGCGTTCAGAACTAGGCCGAACGAGTCGCCAGCGTAGTCCGTCACTTCTCGGGCTCTGAATGGGTAGATATTACATTCTGGAACTTAGTTTGAGGGCTGAGAAGCGAAGGAAAGCGTTCCAGACCTGGCGATCCGCTTCAAATGCTCGTCAATCAGATCCGAAACGCCACGAACTCCATTGGCGCCGATGTTGAGCAAGTCCATCGAAGGAGAGAAAAGCCTGTAAAAGGGAAGGATGAAATTACTAGTAAAATTTAATTTAAATAATTGCGTGATCCCGTATAGAAACACCCAGAACATCGACTACTCAGGTCAATCTTTAAAAGGTAACCAGCAGGACGTTGGAAGGTGAATGGAAGTTAGAAGGTCTTGAGAAGGCCTTGCGAAAGTTTTGGGAAGGTAGTTGGAAGGTTTTTGAAAGACAAAAGGAAATATATGAGAATGCCTGCCAGAAGCTTTCCAGCAGGCTTTTGGAAGGTAAAGATATTGGGAAGGTATGTGGAAGGCATCTGACCACTTGTTGGAAGCGCAAGCTCATCATAATTCTGAATGACGCCGAAGCAAAAGTTTTTTGAACGACTCACCTCGAAGAGTAAGCAATATTGACGGCGGTCTCGACCTTGTCCCCAGTCAAGACCCAAACCCGGATGCCAGCCTCTCTGAGGGAGTGGATGCACTCGGGAACGCCGTCTTGAAGGCGATCCTCGATCGCTGTCACACCTAGATTTTCTCTGTCTACAAGAAGAAGTCTTTTTTCCAACCAAGGAGCTCCAAGTTCATCTCGGCCTTCATCGTGCTGTCCTGGAGCAGATTCTCGCTGTGATGAGGGTCAAGTTCGGCCTCCTCGTGTTGGGTCCGCCAAGCCTGGTACTCCTCTTCGGACCAGATCTTCCGCGAGAGACAGAGTGTCCGGAGGCCTTCCTTGGCGTACTTGCTCAGGTGTTCTTGGGACTAAAAATGGATGTGCAAAGATATGATTTTTCGGAAGACTGGGTACTTGGAAAATGATCTCCTCTCCTTCACCGGAAGAGCAGAACTCTTGGCTCAGGACTGGAAGAATTGAGGCATCAGCTCCTGAAACTCGAAATGTGGTAACTTCTGAACTTCTGGTCGAACCCTTTGTCAGAAGCATGACCCGTCTCTTCCCAGTGCACTCCCTTACAACCACAGACATTCGTTTCCTATCAGCATCAAAAGGAAGGGTATGAAGAACCTAGAAAACCACAATTTTTCAATTCATGAAATTTGCTCCGGAACCTTGAACTTCATGCTTTGCGTGGAATGCCTCAAGTAGATGATAACTTCATCAAAACGACGCTTCAAGAGTCGGACTCCGTACTCTCGGGCAGCTTCGACAAGCGCGAGCTCATCAGGAGACTCCGAATCGTAGAACGAATGGATCGGAGGCGGGGCGACGGATGAAGTCGAATGGCGTTTGTCCACGGATCTGAAGATGTCATTTTTATTTTTGAAGCAGAATATTAAAAAAAAATTTATTATATCCATTATAAACATAGGTTGATAAACTTTTGAAGTATTCTATTTAGAAATTTCCAACCTGCCCTTTTTAATTCTGCACAACGAGAAAAATAGCAGTTCAGAGATAATGGTAGAACAGTCAATGAGAAAATTTGATCACAGAAATTCAAACTTTGCGTAGATTCAAAGCGTACTCAGTTTTGAAAGGTTTTTTTAAAGTATTTTTTTCAGCAGTCTGGTTTTCTAGTTTTTGTTAAAAAAAAATATTGGGATTTAGTTGTCAATAGCTCCTTTCAAAATATGAGCAAATTGAAAACCTAATCAAGCGATTTTTTTCGAAATATGATGAGATGAGAAAAGAGAGACGAAAAACTAGCTTCTCAACTTTTCAACTGATGCGCTCAGCGAAGCCAGAATTTTATCAAGTCTGAATAACTAAATTACTTCCTCAGTAGTCATATATCTTTTCTTCAAAGGTTAATCGTTCAAACTTGTTTCCAAGAAACCCATGGCTACCTCCTGAACGGACTCTTGATGCCCTTGAGCTTGACCAGCGGACCGAGGCTCAGGATCGAAGGCCGGTGTAGAATACTCTGCAGCCCTTTGAACTCTTTGTCTTTCTTCGGTTCTGGCTCTTCATCTTTCTCGACTTCATCGTCTGATGCCTGAACAAGATCACTTTCCACATTTTCAAAAGGATTTCTAACTTTCTTCTCCTCAGGAAACTGGATAAGCTCAATGTCTTCAAAACCGTCGTCCGCTTTTTTCTGCGGCCTTTCTTCACCCTCAACGGGACTATTTGTGGGTGAGCTGGCCGAGCTGGACGATTCCTCCTCTTCCACTTCCTGTGAAAATGAGATAATTATGCTCTAAGCTCAGATGATCAGTTTTAGGTCTGTCTTCAAGTCTTTTTCACAATGCAGTGGAGTTTCGATGATTATCTAACTCACCTCCAAATGCTGGGCACTGCTGTTGTTCGACCCGCTGCTGCTCTCATCCGAATCGTCGAAATCGAAGCGGCTGTTGATGATGTCACCATCAGGGTCCATCAGATCCTCGTGAGGCTTCGCATTGACGACGACCGTGTTGCAGATGGCCATCGTGAGAAAGAAGGCGAAGACGGGGTCGTCGAAGTTGGCGTCGCGGACTTTCGCCGAAAGCTGCGTTTCCAGGGCGGGATCTCGCGATGGTCGCGGTCGTCCTGTGGACGCAGTCGCAGCAGCGGCGGCAAGAGCAGCCATTTGACGACGCGACTTGGATTTCTCGTCGTCTTTCGCCAAGTTGGAAGCGACCAAGGCCAGAGAAGAACCGACGTCTGATACTGGCCGACCACCGTAATCTCTTCCGGCCACCGAGCATCGACGGAACACCATCTGGAATGAATTCTCTTTGAAAATAACTTTTTTGAACTTTTACAGTAGTCCTTTTTGCCGGGTTTAGAGAGCTCGTACGCTGTTTTATGATTGAAAAAAAAAGGAAGTGTGTCTTTGAAGAATTTCCGATGTGTACCTGATTCTCCGTCAGAGTCCCAGTTTTATCCGACATCACATATTGAATCTGGCCAAGTTCTTCCGTAATATTGAGTGCTCTAAAACATTGCTCTTTCATTTCCTTCGTTCTCCTCGGAAACCTGCACTGGAGTCGTTTGTCAACCTTGTCATAGTACATGTCCTTGTCTTGGGACATCAGCCAGACTTGGCCGAGTTTGATGAATTCAATAGAGACGTACAACGATATGGGAATCAAAACCTGGAAAAAATATAAAATAATCAAAATTTTTTCTCTATTTTTAACGACTTGAAACGGATTTATACATGGACTTGTTCTAGAAAATTTTCCAGAGTGATAAAAAATGTGAGTAATTATCTCAAATTGCCTGAAAAGTCGCAGAAAGTCTTTAATAAGCTTTTCAGCCTTTTTTACAAGAACATGAAAAACACCTGCAGAACAATGACATAGCTCCAAAAGTTCCACCAGCTTTCGAAAGACGGCCGATAACTGTACTCGCTGGTCGTCTTGTTCGGTTTATTGATGGGATCCTTGACAAAATCTTGAAAATATGTCAGGAAAGGAACAGCATAGGGGTCATCGAAGCCTCGCAGGAAGACGCCTAAAAATTATTTCCGTTTAAAACAGACTTTTATTTTATTCAACCCGTCAAAATCGCCGCGGTGATGCACAAGGCCAATAGGATCACAACGCACCAAATGATGTCAATGTTCGTCAATTTTTCCAAGGTGCTCCTGAAAAAATAGCAGCACGGTTTGAGAGATTTCATTTTTCAAGTACCTTTTATATCTCGGTCCACCATTATTAAGCATGGCTTTAGTATCCGGTCCAGCATACAAAACGATTCCTTCGACAAAATCCGTGTTTCTGACAACACAACCGCGGAGAAGCACATTTTCCTTGGCCAATATCGTGAACTCCCGAGCGATTGGTGGTCCTGAAACTCATTTCTTCAAAAAATACGGAATTTTCCAAGAGAAAACCTCCTTCAACAGCTTCAAGCCGGCCCTCAAACTTATAGACGTCTGTGGTTGGAAGTTCGCAAGCGACCTTAAATAATTTGTAAATAATTAAAGAATTTTAACTTTTAAAAAAAGAGGTTATCTCAATGGAGCCCAATTTCAAAACAAAAGGTCCACTTATAGTACAAAATACCTCAAGGTATCAAAATAAGAAAAGAAGTCTGTTATAGTTCTTCAAAATCACCGAAAAAAGCTTCTATCTTTGACAAGTTCATCAGTATTTTGGAATTCACTTATATATTCTAAAGCACTTCTTTAAAAGAAAGACCTTGATTTTCTAAAACTCAGAAAAACAGCTTTTTTTTTTACTTCCCTCTCAACTTTCCTCTTCTATTCGGCAAAAAAACGAGTCGATTCGCAACCAATTCAAAAACCCATTTCCATTCAAACATCAACGGTGCTCACATACATGTAGACATGAAACCGTTCGCAAACAAACAAGCAAAAATTTGAAAGGCGACAAAAACGGGAGTTTTCATAGTTGTCTCTTTTCTTTTTCTTGTTTGTTCAAACACTGCAAACAGTTTCCACGAGAAAACCACGGCACAGCGTCTTCTTCTCCTTTAAGTTTGTCTTGTCGCCGAGAATAAATCACGGGTAGAAAGAGCAAAAAAGTGAACTCGTGAAGAGCCAATTGTGCAGTTTTTTTCTTTGCTCAAGGCTGTGGAAAAAAAAATTCGAAAAGAATTGAAAAAAGATCCCTATGAACACATTGCATTCTATTTTTCAAATTTTATAAAGCTTCAGGTGCTTAATTAGAAGTATTATTTAAGCTCAAAAAAAAAAAATTGTAAGATGTAAGAAATTGAAATAACTCCAGGTTAATACTTAATTTTTCAGACTATAATATCACGAATTGAGAATCTACGAACCCTATATTTGAAATCATCGGGGCAGAAGTCCTGAGGCACATTTGCATTGTGATACTTTCCCATGGCGCGGATTGCTTGTCGTTGTTTCAAATTGCTCTCGCCGTCCAAGTTCGAGGTCTCAACATAGCAAACACCTGAAAAACGTAGAGTTCCATCGAATTGTTCGTTTTTCAACCATTAGGATCGCTACTCCTCAAAAGCAGCATATCCGCGGGGATGATTTCATCGTGAGACAAGTGAACGAAATCTCCAACCAGAATATTCTGCCATTCAAGTTTACGGTATCTAGAAAAAAATTTCTGTTATTTGTTTTTTTGTTTTATTTTTTTCTTCCGACCTTCCTTGGCTTGAATCCCAAACACGACAGGTTGAGTGATTGATTTTTTTCGGTCGGATTTATATCTGCGATAATCCTGGAATCAAAAAGTAAACATAATTATCGTTAGAGATTCAAAAATTGGTCCTACTTGAAGCATCAATGATCGCGAAGAAAAAATCTTTTTTTTTTCAAAATTGTTTCTAACACTCTCCATATCTCTCGGAGCACACCGTAAGGTCCGCCGCACTAGAAAATGATTTCTCTAAAACTCTCTATTGCTCCTACGGTCTCTTGCTCGTAGCAAAGTCATGAGGGTCTGGCGCAGCGGCGATACATTTCTCTAACTCTCTCTCTGTTTTCCATTCTCACTGTCTCCTCACAAAACCGCGAAGGTCGGGCGCAATTAAAAATCGCGAACTCTCTGCGACCATCGCGTTTTGGGTTTGCTTTACACTGCTTTACCTCAAAAGCATCCTTGATCGCCGTGATTCCCAACACGAAAGAAATCGGCATCATGGAAATGTACTTGCCGAACGCCCCAATGATCATGTTCAGCACCACAATAAATATGAAATACAGGTTAGCTGCTCGATGCATCTGAAAAAGAAGAAGATTCAAAAGTTTGTTAATCGACAAAGAAAAAATTAAGAGTCTACTTAAGAAATCGACGATCGAAGTGACTATTCAAGAGGTTAATCTCAAGCGGTTCCGCTAGTCTAACTGTAGACAGAGTATTCCAAAAAAGGAACTTTTTAGTTTCCGCGTCAGGACCCAGATAAAAACTACTACCCCTTCGCTAAATAAAATCTCTGAAATTTTTTTCTATTATTCGCCGGGAAATTTTTCTTGATAAGTTATTAAGGAGGGAGTCAGGTTACTTCCAAGAGATCTTACAAGTTATCTAAATGCCCTTTTCAAGCTTCTTCTACGTCTTAAGTGATCACTTCAGATCGTTCAGTATTTCGATACCCCAGGACAAACCTGTTCAAACAGATTCCTCGGAATAAATGTCAAAATGCTATATTTTGTTGTTGATATCCGATTGTCATTGTATTTCCTATTGGGGTGTTCATACCTAAAATTTTAATTTCCTTCATTTCTTGAAACGCATATTTTTTACTAAAGACCTCGGAGGTGGTTCTGGTTGATTATTAGGTACAACTATTCGTTGTTGGGGTAACACCGGCCGATTTCGAAAAAGCCACCTAAAAGTCACAAAGTCTGATTTTCAACGATTCTTAATTTTTTTTACCGTGTAACCGGATGAGTTTTAAGTATCCGTTCGCCATTTTCAGCTTTCTCTCGGATCACCTGCGTCGGCGAGGAGAATATCGATCTGTAAAGGGAAAATTAGAGTTCTAGGAATTTTGAAACTGTATCCGTAAAAAGCTTATAAAATATTGTTGCGAGAAAAAATTATTGAAATTTTATCGTGATTTGGTACAACTCTTTCAAGGAGAAGACTTATTTTCTTTTTAAATTGATTAAAAAAATTATCGTTTAACACACGCTCTCTGAGAAATTTGATGAACTGCAGTGAAGCATAGGTACAAGATTTTCAAGCTTCGGTTTGAGAATTGAAACTATTATCACAATTACTAGACAGACATAATGTGTGGTCTTTTAAGCTAGTTACTGTGAGGCTCCGCCCCCCTGGTTACGGTAGGTCTTTTAGTAAAAACATTCTAACTTTTTCTTATTTGACGTATCGAATTCAATCTTTTTTTTGAACAAATGTTTTTTTATTAAAGCTTTCTTAGAAAAAAACTTGAAAAAAATTGATTTTTCGCAAAAATCGTCGACTTTTTCCTTTTTTGGTGTTTCTGAGCGGTTGGGACTCGTAGTAAAAAGGAAAAATGTACTAAAAACGCTCATTTCATGAATTGAAACGCTAAGCCTCTTTTCTCAAAAAAAAAAAAATTAATAATAAGTTCAAGTTTCTTGGATATTTTACCGATATATTTTTATTATCCATATTGTTTTCACCTAGAAGGCGGGACCCATAATGAAGACGTCCGTCGATGGTGACCTTTCGTATCATCAAACGTCGTCGACGTGCTGGCCACGCTGTTGTCCGGTTCAGTCTGAAAACATTTTCTACTACAACTGAAAAACGTGAAAATCTTCAGTTTAAAATGTTTATTTCAATTTTTTTTTTCGTTTTGTGTTTTTAAAAAACTGTTTATTGCATCTTCAATGTAAGAATACATGTGCAATCGACTTTCATTGATTTAACTGTGTTTAAACGGCGGCAGGAGCTGTGGCTTCGTTTTGTGAAGCTTTTAAAAATTTTACTATGTAGTTACCGAAACGGATGCGCGTTAAAATTAGATATATATTTTCGCATTCACATTTCTGTAATAATCTTCCCTACTTCTTTGAAAATACGGTTAGCCATCTTTCTCATTCACGCAAAGCTACTGTTTCATGTAGTTTGGAACCGAGGTAAAAGATTAATAAATGAAAAAAACAAACTATAGAACCCAAAGCAAAAAAAGATATTTTCAATTCCGCTCATTTAAAAAAAAAAGCTTGATTAACCAAAGGAACACTTGGGACCAGTTTCGGTTAATCAAGCTAAAATGAGCGGCATGTAGAAGTGTCTTTTCTTGCTTTGGGTTCTATGGTTTGTTTCTTTCATTTATTGATCTTTTCCCTCTTCCAAACAACATGGAACAGTTATATATGTTTTGTTAATTTTGCGTGAAGGAGAAAGATGGCTGACCGTGTTTTAAACGAAGTACTACGAGCTGAGACTGTTATCCGATGAGAGAAATCAGTACTTCGAACAATTTTTATTCGAGTGTTAAAAATATCATTTTCGTGTACTGCTTTCGATATATATCCTGTTATTTAGTCGCAAAAAATAAACTAAAGAAAAGGTTTAACATTATAAAAGCAACATTAAAAACGTCTAAACGGGTTTCGTTCGGTCAGAGGTAGAAGCTGAGGACGCCTGGGCAGGTTTTTTTTGGGCCGCTTAAGATAACATTATGGGTAATGATGGATGACGGTGAAGAAATGATACGATGGGTTTATATATAATGAATTGATGGAGCGAAGAAAAAATGATGGGAAAGAAATGAAGAACAACTCCAAAGTTTACAATGAAGCTCTGTTTTTCTTTTTTTTTCTGGTAGTCAAAATATTTCTATTGTTTCGTTCAATTACTTCATTTGTCTTCTACAATTCTGGATGTTTACAAAGCTTGGGCTTACTTATCAATGATAACCTCAAGGATTGAATTTTCTTTTTTTTCTGGCTCCATACTGCAGTTTGCCATGGAACTCCGTCTTTCGCCATTCTGTTTGTTCCCTCCCAGGGATTTTTCTCGCAGTTTCGCAATTTTTTTTCCTTCGGGTCAAAGATTTCACTACATTCCAGCTGGTTTTATGAGCAACAGGGCGTGAAAGAGAGCAAAAAAAAAGAAAGATGGTTATCTTTATGTGTTCCGCTTTTGCTGCGAGGAAATAGCCGTTCTCTTCGTACTTTTTTTTAAAATGAAAACCCGGTTTCGTTCAAGTTACCTCAAAAAGAAAGAAAGATCATTTCAATTGTTTTCGGTGATAAGAACTTTAAGAGAATAAATTGAAGAAGAATTCACATAAAAATTCCAAAAAGGCTTACCTTTCCCATGGAAGACGCGTCTTTTCAAAAATATATCAATGAAGCTTTTTCGATTCGTTATGAGCAATGTTTCTTCTCCGTCTTTTCCGGAAACCACAACATCCGCGGGCAGGGTTATTTCTGAAAAAAAAATTTAAAGATCGAAAACAATGTGAATAGCTGCGAATGCGTGCAAAAAAAAAAGCGAAACGGTTTCAAAAAACGAATACCTCAGCAGGAGAAAACCCAAGAAAAGGCAAATTATCAGACAGAAGAAAAGAAGCGCTCAGAGCTATCTATTATAATAAAAAGAGACAATTATAAAAATTGTTTGAAACAAACGATGAGCATTGAACTTCTGAAAAAAATGAAACATGTCTGAAAAAAATGAAGAACCAGGAACACAAAATTGACCCAGTTCTTAGAAATATCAGCAAAAAAATGTAAAATTAACCATATTTTCCTCACCAAAAAAAGTTGAAAAACTCGAATTACTAGAAAAGAAAATCTAGTCAATGATCTTACCGCCTTTTATGATATCTCTCAGAAAATGCAGCTACAATTTCTTAAGTCTGATATACTTTGAAGAATCAGAGAATGGTCAGATCAATTGATAGCACGGAAAAGCGTTGCCAAGTTACACTAAACAGTTCAAAAACTGAAAAGGCCACATGGAGGCGCAAAGTTGATAAAGTAATTCGCGAAGGCGAACATCTTTTGTTTTTTCTAGAACCTGGACTTCTAATCCTTACCGTTTATCCCAAAAAAAAATCCAAATGCATGTTAGAAACAAAAAGACGAAAAAAAAAACCGAATTTGAAAGAATGGTTCCACCCAAAAAAAGAAACTGACGAAGGCGAGAGCAGCAAAATTTAAAAACTGAAAAAAAACCAGCTTTATCAACTAAGAAACGAAAAACAGCTGACATGAAAGGATTTTAGGAACTTAGTATTTCCTCCAAAAAATTATAGCATTGGTCAAATCGAAAAGGAACTCCAGTATTAAATTAAAAAGCGCATCAATTTGTCCGAGGTTTTGAACAAGAAGGAATACATTTCAAACAGGTTTCGAGGCGATGAGCCACTTTCAAGGCTCTTTTGAGTCGATAACACCCGAATAGTTACAAAATGAAAAAAAAAACTATCCAAAAACCAAAAACCAAAAAATTCAAAACAGCTTGACTTCTTTCATAGTGATTCCGCGAAGTTCAAAATAACCGTTAAAGAAAGAAAAAAGGTAACTAAAGTTTGGAGAGTCAGAGACCATTTTGCATTTCGCGGAAATCACTTCGTACGCGGCAACCGACCTTATTACTAATGAATGAAGTAAAATCCCAGTTCGAAGGCTGAAAAAAATGGATACAGGTGAGCGACGAGACGGTGATGATGAAGTTCAAGAGAAAATCGTGAACCCAACTTCAAACGGTGAATTCAACAGCTCAAATTACAACTAAATAGTTTAAAGACAGAAAAAATCTTAATGGTAGGGCAAGTTGATGAAATTTCAAGAGAGTCTGAAGACAAAAAAACTTTCATTTCAAAGATTTCTCCGGAATGAAATTATCAAGGAAGTGAATGGTCAGTTCAAAGACTGAAAAACGACTACACGCGGACGGAGAGACGGCGGGCGGGGCCGATAATAACTCTCCAGGTTTTGGACACAAGTGATTTCTGAGAGAAAGATCGTAAATGAAAAGAATAGCGGCGTGTGTTGGAGACAAACAGTCGGACGGAGGCCCTACAGGCAGCCGCCAGCATTGATCTCACGTTCGGATGCGCCGTTGAGTGCATTCTTCGGCCCCGCGAACCGCCTGAAAAGCCGCCGACAACCAGTTGGCTTCCTTCAACGATAAAAAAAATCTTCGAAATCTGTCATCTATTTTGCTATGTTATTCCCTTCTTCTCACCCAAAATGTCTTCAGTTTTTTTTTTAAATTCTTGTCATTTTAGTCTATTCAGAAGTCCTTGCCATGAGTTTTCCATAAATGCACGTGGTCTCGAAAAGGATAAATTCTTTTTTCTCTCACCAAAATATTCGTCGAAAATGGCTTCGATGCTTTTTGAAATGGATAATAACTGATTAGTTGATAGGCGATTATTTGATTTGACAGTTGGAGAAAGACATCTTAACTAAATGCTGAAAACCTTGATTTAAAATAACCAATTTGATTAAAAACTATCTATTACCAGCCAAATTTCGAAAGTGTAACACTAAAAAATCCAGAAACATTGAGAGTAAAGATTCGAAAACTTTAACACATTTTTCAGTAAAAAAAAATCAAGGAATAGTTAAAAGGTAGAAAGCTTCTAGAACGGTCAAAGGCAAGAAAAATTAGAGGACTGATTGAAGAAAAAACGAGTCAAAAACCTTTTCCAAACTTTTTCAAAGGTTAATCTGTGTAGCGCTCAACTAGAGAAAAAAGCGAGGAAGAACAAATTCAAAGTCCGTGTCTGTGACGGATTCGAATCTTGTGGTCTGAACTTCTTTTTGGCGTGCGTTTTCAAAACAGTCAATTCACCAAGGAGACGTCTTTTCTTCATCACTCGAGGCGATTTATATGTTGAGAGCCTCTTGAATCTACGGCGTCCGTAACTTTTTCGAATCTATTTTCATTTAAAAATTGTCCTTCCCCACAACTTTAAGTGAACTATTCAGGTCTGAAATGACAACAACACATCAAAGAAAGACATTTAAAAGTTGATAAACATAGTAAAGAGTATTTACTATAGCGAAAAAAATCTCTCAATTCCAAGAACTTGTGAGAGTAATGAAGCTGTTTGGTCAAACCATAGTTTCCAATACTCTTATCAGAAAACCGTATGAACTGGCGTGAAGCCCGGTTCAAGAAATTCAAAACATGAAAACGCTAACGAAAAAGGGCTAATGTTCCAAGGATGAAGCAAGCCAGGAAGATCTAAGAAGATAACGGCAAAACTCACTCTCTCTTCAATGAGATAAAAATCTAGTGGAAAGATTCATCTGAGCGCGTGTAAATAGAATGAAGTCGGCATTACGAAACTGTCAGGTTGAGTGGAGTGCAAAAAGTGTCGAAAAAATCAGTCTCGGTGAGCAAAAAAAAAATCGAGCTCGAATCTCATCTGATGAAATTGATGAAAAGAGATTTGAAAAAAAAATGCTAGAAAATTTTGAAACACTGAAAAATTTTAGACAACCGTTGTTTTAATCGGACCTCATCAAATTGGACCCGCGTTTTAGAAGCCATTCATATCACTCAATTACTCTCCATTTTTAAAAAACGTTCAAACCTTGTTTTCCACTGATTATTCAGTTATCAAGTAACTTTAAAACGCTTTGAAACCGTATAAATCATTTTTCACAAACTTATATTTTTCTCCTTTTTTTTCCAACACCTAACATTAAAACAGATAGAGTTAATGGAAAAAAGAATGTTAAACGCACAACAGCCAAAAAGATTAGCAAGTTCAAACGTTTGCGAAAAAAAATTGAGAAGAAAAAAGGAAAAAGAGCGGCAAAATGGTCGGTGGAGAGGAGAAGAGGAATTGACTAGAAACTTTCGCCTCGCTTCACTTTCCTGCCAAAACATTGTAAAACAACCTTTCCCCGGAGGCGGAATACATTAGTTCTTTTGTCCACTCATATAACTACGGCAAAAAATTCTTTTTCAAATATACGTGTGTACTACGTCCAGATTTTAAATATCAAGCTACCCCTCAAGCTCCGCCCCTAATTCCATGATAAGCCACTCAGAGAGAAACTTTGAATGTGTAATTGCGCTTGATATTCAGAATCAGAACAAATTATGAAAACCATATAAGAATTTCTCGATCTACTTTCAAACACAAAAGAGGGAATAGAAATGGACACTCGTCAAAATTTTACACTGCTTACGTGTATTCCGATATAAGAGCAAAGTGAGAAATATAAACTCAAAAACACCTATACTTCAAAGTTTTTTGCTTCTAAAAATAAAATTGTTTTTTTGGACAACCCAAAAAGTACTTTAAGGCATACGAGCCTGTTAAAGAATAAGGACTCTGTTTCAAAACCTACTTTTTCAAATTAAAAGATTTTCCAAGAAAACTTATAAATCCTGTTAATTATGAAAAGCTAAAATTCCCATCTGAGGGAAGAAAAACGAAAACCGCATTTCAAAGGCTAAAAAAAGTAATAAACTCGGCACACTGAGGCGGAAAAACAACAACAAAAACATAAAAATAATGCACTGGCCGTCGGTCGGTGAGTATCAATTGCTATATAGAAAAGCTTTTTAAGTGATATGAGAAAAAAAAGATTTTGAGCTGAAGTCACAATATTTTTATTCCTTTTCGAAAACTTTTTTTGAAATGAGTAATGCTTTTTTTCTTTTCTTCAAGGTCGGAAAGATGCATTTAACTTTTAAAAGAATATTTTTAGGTTTTTCCTTATCATCTCTCTCAAAAAAAATCATGAAAGTCAATATCAAGATACGTTAGGTCAATAAAAAAAAACCACAAAAAAATTGTTCAGAATTGGAGTACGACTTTGAAAAAGTAAACATACTATGAAAATGAACAAGAAATTATTAACGACGTAGGACCATGAAAATGAATCAACTACTTCAAACTTCAAAAAAGAACGGGAGAAAAAAAACGCTCGTTGATCAGCGCGGTGCACTCTTTCATTCAAAAATACAAATAAATAAAGCGAAAATGCAGGTTTTGTAAATTGCAGCGGCGAGGGAGGAGGGAAGGGCTAACAAAAATAAGATGTTTATTGTGGAGGATCAAAAACCTGGCCGGAATGACGAGTGGCGTGAAAATTTCCGCTGTCGACGAAGAAAAATGGCAGTTGTGAGTAAACATTGTGAGCAAAACGAACGGGGTGGCGGCTTGTTTCGTTGAATTTTCAAAAATTAAAGTTTTATCGTAATTTTGAAAAACCTTTTTTTTTGATTCTCAGAACATTAAAATTCTTCCTTCGAGGTCTTTTGAAAACTTCTCTACATTTTCCCATCTTGACTTTTCGAGAAAAATCGTGTCCTTCTTGAGAGATGAAACTCGCCACTTACA